CCCAACCCCAACCCCAACCCCAACCCCAACCCCAACCCCAACCCCAACCCCAACCCCAACCCCAACCCCAACCCCAACCCCAACCCCAACCCCAACCCCCAACCCCAACCCCAACCCCAACCCCAACCCCAACCCCAACCCCAACCCCAACCCCAACCCCAACCCCAACCCCAACCCCAACCCCAACCCCAACCCCAACCCCAACCCCAACCCCAACCCCAACCCCAACCCCAACCCCAACCCCAACCCCAACCCCAACCCCAACCCCAACCCCAACCCCCAATTTTTTTAATACAATTAATAATATATTTAAATTAAATTTAAGATTTAAAAATCTGTTAAAATTTAGAGAAAACACAATAAATTTATAAATAAAGAAAATTTAATTTAAAATGATAATATTAGTTATATTTATATATTTAAAAGTTTATTTTAACAGAAAAATATTATACAAGTTATATTAAATTATTGGAAAATTTTTTTCATATTATTATTTTTGAATTCAAATCAAAAGCTTTTGGCATAGGCTAAAGATTTAGAATATTGGAACGACTTCTCTCAGTACTTCTACTTTAAGACGGAGACTGATTTGATAGATAGTTGTTTATATTGCTTTTTAATGGATCAGGCTTTTAAAAATATTATTCTTAATTTTAAGAGGGGGTTCTATTTAAACTTCTATTATCGTATCTCCTTAAAGAACTTGGTTAGTCTATTTAAATGGTTTACAAGCTATTTTAAGCACCTCTACTAAAAATATTCCCATATCTATGTGAATCATCATTATTTTTATAATCTGATCTTGCTGAATTAGGTAATTCTATTTCTTTAAAGTTATTTTAATAGTTTTTACTGTGCTAAGGTGTAGTTGGACCTAAATATATATTGGGATTTATGCTTAGTTACTCATTACTTTATATAGTGTTGTTAAAACTATTTATTTTAGATCTTTAATTTTATATTTTTGAATGCATTTCCTTTCCATTACAATATTTATCAAATTTATTTGTTTCTCCCCACTTAAGTCCATTACTCGCTTTCTTTTAGCTTACTTTATTATGAGTATAATTTGATTATCTTTAAGGTGTTTGATTTTTAATAAAATTAGTAAATATAGGAGTTTTTTCAATATTTTTAGACTCATTATTATTTTCAAAGATAGGTTTATCTTGAATAGTTGTAGTGTGCTAAACACTGGCTTAGGTTAGTGGATAGGTTTATCTTTCTGATGGCTCATCTTCTATAGCTGTATACTATGATCCTGCATCATTGGTTTTCATTTAGTTTTAGTTAAGCTTTGGAATTTCCTACTCTTATATTTCTTTAATTATTTTATCTAATACTGATTATTATGGCTTTTCATCTACGATTTTATTTTTTGGAGATTCAATTTCAATTGGTTATGTTTGACTACTGAAGTCTTATTATCTAGGTTACTTTGAAAACTAAATTATTTATTCGCTTTCATCTTCTTCAGCTCCAAAAACTTGGGAACCGCCTACTGCTTGATCTTTGTAGTTTTTAGGAGTAGGAATATGTTATGTTTATACCTAAGCTTCTACGACTATTTTAGGTTTCTCAAAGCACGTAGAATCCACTTATAATTCTTATGTATGATAAATTTTATTTTTTTTAATTTCACTATCTTCTTCAGTTTTTTCTTAAATCACTGACTCATAAACTATACTCTATTTTTAATAATCGCTGTTTTATGAATTATAAAAAGTACTATCTTGAAATTCTTTTTCCATATCAACTTAAGTTTATCGTGATTAAACATATCTCTTTTTCTTTTCCGATGAAGGTGGTAAAACAGTTGATTATTAACCTGATTCAAACATTTTTGAATTCACTTAAATAGATTACGATTTAAGGAGTTTTCTTTTTTCATCTAAATCTTCTCTAAATGACTCATCTTAAATGTAACGAGAGTGTTAATGTGGATCTTCAAACAATATAAGCTTACCATCATATTAAGAATTTTCAACTTCTTCTTTAACTTCTAATATTTACAGCTTATCTATTGAATCTTATCTTGCTTTTACATCTTATAATTCTTTTTAAAGATCTTCTACCTTTCTTTTGAGCTCATCATCATTTTGATCAAATTTTGCTTTTTCTTCTATAGGCTATTCAACTGGTACTTCTACAGGAACAAGAACCTTCTCAGGGTAGACTTATTGTTTTTCTTTTTTATTTATGTCTTTTTTCTTTTTTTAAGATTATGTACATTTTTTACATTTCTAAATTATCCACTAGATAAGAATATATAATGAGTAAAGGATAAAGGTAATAAGTAATATAATTAAAATAAATATAAGTCCTTCTGTATATTTATTGATAGACTACTTTTCTAAGTAAGAGGAAGAATCTTTAGAAATAATTATTGTTTAGAATAAGAAACACAGTAGCACTTCCGAGTGAGCAAGGAAAATAAGATATTTTTCTTGATTGTTTTTTATAGGTTTGCATGCCATTATGTATATTATATATACAGCTTGATTACACAGAAGGATTATAGTTTGAGCTAAAGGACTTTTATGTAAGACAGAACATGCTATTGAAGAAATTAGTTTTCTGCAAAAGGAAATAGCAAAATAGCATCTTTAATAAAACTTTTCTTGGTTGTAGTTATCTATAAGGTAAAATAATACATTATAATCTGACTGTAATTCTTAATTTTATTTAATTTTATTTTTAAAAAGTTTCTTAAAGAGGAAAAAGAGAATAGCTATTATGTATACTATCATTAACAAACAAAATCCTGTGCTAGCTGTAGTTCCTGGATTTTAAAAAGTAAAAGAGTAATTAAATTGACCAATTATGACAATTAATGTTTCTTAAATAGTTATCATAAAGAAGAATATAATGATAGATATTGAGAATGGATTTTTATTTGAGATGTGCTCTTGCAATATGTTTGCATTATTATTTTACACTTTGATTTATTTTTTCTATGATATTTAAGAAATTTAAGTATTTTTGTAATATTAGCTCTATGGCTCTTATAAAGCATTAATATTTTTGTTATATTTATTTTATTAATTGTTATTATTATTTATATTTATTTAAGAATTGTGTTAGCTACCTTTATTTCCTTCACTTGTTTCTCTATTTTGCATCCCTTTTGAAAATCTGAAATTACTGGGTTCGTTGCTATCATAAATAACAATTGAATTCAAACTTGATTTAGATTAATTAAATGTTTGTTTTCTCTGAGGAGGAACTAAATATTTCATATTACTACTATTTTAGCTTATCCTGTTACTATTTAGCTAGGATTAATTATTCTTCTCAAAGGCACTACCATTTTATTTTTTAAACAAGTTATTCTTTGAATTTCGAGAAGAAATATCATTTATGTCTCTCTAACTTAAGGCTTAATCCCTTTTTTTAATATTCTTCGTTAAGTCATCTTCAACTTATTCTTCTTGAATTTGGCTAAGAGATTTTTATTGAAGACTTATATTCAAGCTACTATTTGCTGAATTTATCAATCCTCTACTATTTTAATTATTTAATCTTTGACTTAGTTTATCAGACCTCCTCTTAAGAGAGTTATTTTCTGAATTAATTCCCTTTTTTTTATTAATCTCCCTCGTTTAGTAATATTTAATACTAAAAAAGGCTATTATCCAAAGAAGGAGGGTAAAAATAAAAACAATTATTTGTTCTACAGCAAAATTAGAGCTGTTTATATGTTTAGCTACTTTCCAATTTAAATAGCTTGTGTTATAATTGGATTCTCCTCGATACCAATCTGGTTTTAGAGTACTTGAAATGTTTGATTTATCAATGTATCTAATAAGATCATCTAGTTGATAGCTATTTTAATAATTTATATAATATAGAAGAGCCGCGCATTATAAAGAGTCAATATAGTAATACAAAATAAATCCACTCCATTATATCAAACTAAGTAAAATTATAGCTATTAAACTAACCAAAGCCAAACTAAATACTATTGTGTTGAAAATGGAAGAAGTGCTCGAATCTATATAAATTAAAATATAGTAAATTTTCCAAGTAAGAAAAATTTTAAAACTAAAAACTTCATATTGATTGTTTGATATAATTAAAAAAAATATATTTCCTTCAGCTCATAAAAAATGAATATCAGTTATTTAATTTTACTAGCTATATTCTAATAATAATTTTTATAAGTAAATTTAAATATTTTGTAACCTTGGCAAGTTGGAGAAAGATCGTCTGTGAAAGAGTAATTGCAATTACATTCTCCATATTGAAAAAAAAATGATAATTCTAAATCTCTATTATCTCTACAAGTCAGACATTTAAAATATTCACTACCACTACATGAAGAACAAGATTCGTAGCAAATTTAATTGCATATTCCATTAACTTCTTATGTATATGAAGGGCAGGTTGCAACACACCCATTTTATAATATTTTATAGGAAGAGTTAATACAAGTACTACAACTTACTTATCCGTTTGATGTTTAGCACTGTTAGCAAGTTGATGTATCGCAAGAGGAACTTGCTTAGGCATCTATAAAATTTTGACTTAAAGCTAACATCCAAATAATAAAAGAAAATAATTTTATTTTATTTTAAAAATCCTAAGGATATCTTTAATTAGTAGAGTAGCTTACTTTCATTTTTAAATACATATTCTTTAAAAAAATTAATTGAGTTAAAATCAATTAAATAAATTAATGATAAAAAATAAAGTATTCTTTAAATTTCACAATCAAGTATTACAAAATTTACTCATGGTTATTATAATTTGATTCTAAATTAATAATTTCAAATTTTTTTCTCATAGGCCATTTAACATAATAAATCTTCATTCATTTGCTAAAATTTCAAGTATTTTATAAAATTTACATTAATTTCAAAGCCACAAATATATTTCAGTATTAATTTTAGAACAATTAAACATTAATTTATTAACTTTGTAATGACAATTTATGTAACATTTCTATGGTTTTTTAACATGGTTTATTATTATGTTATTTTAAATTAAATTTTATTAATTTTATAAATTATTATTTAGTTTAACAATAAGTTAAGATTGAATTAAAATATATTAAAAAAGATTTTTCAGATGAAAACAAATAATTTTTTAAATTGAATTTTTGTAAAATAAGGATTAATTAAATATCTATATCCCTTAAAACGAAATATTAAAATTTATAAAAAATTATACTAATTTTAATTGAGTACTTATTAAGAGATAGTTTCTCATTTTTTCTCTTGAATATTTAATTTAATAATAGTCAAATTATTTTTTAAATGATAAAAAAATTTCAAAAACAAATTTAAAAAAATTATATTACTTTTTTTATTGCTCTAAATAAGAAAATAATAAAAATTTAATGATAGATATTTGCTCATTTCTTCATCTTAATATTTAATGTAATTATAATCAAATTATTTTAAAATTATTAAAAAAACTTTAAAAAAATAATAATAAGATACAAAAATAAATATGGTTGAAATTTTAAAAACTTCACACGTTTATATTAATTAGAATTATATTTAATTGTTAATTTTTCTTTAGTGTTTTGTATTTTAGTCAAGAAAAATTTTGAAGTACACATGATAACATTTGGCTTTTAATTATTATTTCAATTTTAATCTTAGAATAAGTTTTTAAAACTTAATTGTAAAATGAATAAATTTTGAATAATAATCTCTTAAATATTAAAATATTTAATCTTTATTAATAAAATAAAAAGATTAAAAATAAATCAATACATTTTCAAACTGATTTTCTTTTATTTAAACTAAAATAGAAGAAATTATGTCAGTATTCAATAGAAAAAGCATAAGGTATTTCCTTATAAGTTAGATATCAAATTTTTACTACCTAATAATATAGATTGGAGAGTAGAATCAATAGATAAATCAAATCTTTTTTTTGTATATTGGTAATTAGTTTTTATAAGTTAGTTAGCAAAGTTTTTTGATTATTTTTAGTAAAGCTTTTTTGGTGTAATAATTCAAATTAGTTTAAACACAGTGACTAACTAATTACTTAAAAAAAATATAAACTAAAAATTTTAATCAATTTAAAAAAGATAAAAGCCTTTCAAAATTATTATTGTGTAATAAATGGGATAGGTAACTTACTTTTGTTGTTCTAACTAACTTAGAAGTCCAACTGCTAATTCGACTACAGAAAGAAGTAGTATGACCAACTGTTCTTAATCATAGAATATAAATTTAAAGGATTAAGTAAAAATAATGATAGTTGGAACTAAATCATCAGGAAAGACTACTTTACTGAATAATTTGATTATTAATAATTAAAAATAAATATATTATGGTTTAAAGCAGATTCCACATGGTGGGATACAATTTAAAACCATTTAATTGAAACTTGATGACATAAACATTTAACATACAATTAAATGTAGATTTATAGATGTAGAAGGTAATTTTTTTTAGCAATTAGAGCATATAAAAAAGCTTATTCCTAGCTGTGATGGCTTCATTATAATGTGTGATATGTCAAATGTTAACAGTATTTAAGAAGCTTAAGAAATTTTAAAATATTTAGAAAAAGGTCAATAAAATAAACATATATTAGTTTTAGCCAATAAGAGTGATTTATAGGAATCATTTTAAAACTAAGATTTAATTCACCAAATCACTTCAACTGTTAAGCATTTTTATGTGAATACTTGCTCGTTAGTAGAATGTTTTAAATACAAAGAATTTATTTAGTAAATCGCATATGCATCTTCTCTTATAAATCTTGAATGAAATTGGATTAAATTCTCCTATTAATTAACTTTAATAAATATCACCTCAAAAATAAAAATTCATAACATTATTGATGTTTTTAGAATACTAATATTTCTTTTAACATCTATAGCGTCATTAAAATAGATGAATCTTATTTATAATTAATAACCATATAATTATTATTTGGAAAACCCTTTAAGATTAATAATCTGAAATAAACTAAAAAATAAAAAATAAATACAATGTTCCTGTACTTTCTCACCACCTAAAATTAAAAATATATAATAATTTATAATTATAAAGAAAAAATTAAATTTTAATTTAAAATAGCTATTATTTATTTATTTGTTAATAATATACTTAATTATATATACAAAATCTAAAAAATTTTAATTTTTTGGCTTATATTATATCAATTATAAATTTAATACTTTTTGTTTTGGTTTAATTTAAAATAAAAATAATTTTCAATTTAATTAATTTAAAAAAGAAATTCACTAACAAAGATAATAAAATTGAAAAGATAGCTTTTTTCATTATTTAAGGCATAAATAATATTTACAATGATTCATAGCAGATACTTGATTTTTGTTCATTCATTTAAGAAAAGATACTTGAGGAATGAATGAATGGATGGATGGAAATTTCTCATTAAATTATTAAATATTTGATTGATATCTTAAATATTTTCCACCCTCCTTTATAATAAATTGTTTATTTTAATTATAGTTTTATTTAATAACTTTAAATTTGTTTTTATTTAAAAAATAAAAATTTATTTTAAGACTGGCTATCAAAATAAAATAAAGAAATTTTGAAATAAACACCATTTTTAATTTTAATATTAAGATGATTGAAAAGCAATTCATTTGTAAATAAGGAAATAAAATATGATTCGCTTAAATATTTATTAAAAAAATATTTTATCAGTAAAAATTAATTAAATATTTAGTTAATGTGAATAAATAAAAATATTTGTATTAATATATTTATTAAAATTAGTATACAAAAATGAATAAAAATATATTATTTTTAATTATATATAAATAAATTAGTGAGTTTATATGAGGTTCAGTAATATCTATTGTTTTGTTAAATCCAATCAAAGTATCCAAATGGAGAAGAGCTTCTTTAATTTTACTTTAATTGTTCTTTGTTATTGTGGTTTAATATTATTTTAGAGTTATTTATTATTATAGTTTCATATTCAAAAGTATTTTATTTAATAGATTTTTAATCATTGGTATTTTATTATTGTTCGATTCTTTATTGAATTAATTAATTATTAAATTAGATACTAGAATTTTTAATTTTTTAATTAAATGTGTTTTCTTTAATATTTGTATTAGATAATTAACTTTATTCATTGGCTTTTAAGGGTTTTTCCATTAACATTTAAGATTAACAGCTTGAGTATATTAGATCTCTCTAAGAGTTAATCTATTCTATTTGTTGAGGTTCTGTTTAACTAAGCTAGTTACAAGAATGCTATCTAAATGTTTATTCAGATAATTGTGAGTATTCACTATCTTCTTCTTTATTAATAAGAGTGGTATTTTCAGAATAGCTATCTTCTTATTGGTCAATACTGCATTAGCAGACAGAATAAGATGACTCATCTTGGCAGATAAGTTAACTATTATAATATGGTTTTTAATTATTAGATTTGTTCTAGCGATCTATTTGAAATGAGTCTTCAATGCATTGTATATTAGGATAAAGCTATTTGAATTCCTTACGGAGGTTTTATATAGTATTATCAAATTTTTTTTTCAATTAGACCTTATATTTTTTATTTTAGTGTATGGAGTTTAAGGCAAATATATTCTTTGTTTTTAAATCTTCTAGTATTAAGCATGGTCTTAGTAGCTACAAACTTCTCTATTCGTGATTAATTCTACTTACAAAGTACTCTTAGAAAATATAACTTGATTATTTTTCAATTAGCTTCTTTAGATGATCAAGTTCAAAATAAGGATTAGATTCAGGATGACCATGCTTTAGATTTATATTAGACAGCTAAAAAATTTTATTCTTTTTATTAAAAGAAATTTTAAAGCTGCATTTACTTTTCTAGCATCTTATTTCAATAGATGGCTTTTCAGAGTTAGTTTTATCAACAATTCTTAAATGATGTTAGGCCTTCAGTTCTATGGAGTGGAGATTTTTTTTGATGAACTGCAAAGATCTATTTTACTTAAAAAGATATTTTATAAATGAAGGTAGGTCCTTAGCTCTGTTATCCATTCGATATGTTTTGTTTTATTTTTTTAAGTATTTAGTATTAATCTGTAGATTTTTTTTTTTTAATTAAATTATAAATAAACATGATTTTTTTTAAGGTTTTAAACAACTCTAAAGTTTTCTAAATTCTATGATGTATCTTTAAACTTAACGGTATCTTTTTTTAAATTTGTTGTATCTTATTTTTTAATTAAAATAAAATCAATAAAATTGAAGTATTTTATAATCCTCTTATACGCTTAAGGTATTTATAACGATTTCCATAATAATAAAAAATAGTTAAATGCCATCAACCACTTGATAAAAAGAAAACTAAGAAAAATTAAAAATATTAATTTTATATTTTTTTTAACAATTAAAATTTATAAAACCTAAAACATTTAAAGTAATGTCTTTCTTTTAAGAAAAAAATTTCTATATTATAATTTAATAGATTTCAACACATTGCGTAGATAAGATCTAAATGAAAGAAAGATATATGAAAAAGCTCTCTTATATTTTCAAAATATTTTTGATCACCAAAAAAGAAGTGGGGAAAAGTTTATAAGTGAGTCACCAATAATATTTATTGAAAAGGAACTATAGAGTCTATTTATGGTAAAAAAAAATTTCTTATTTTGAAATTACAATAATTTTTGTTAAGTGAAGTGGAAATAGATAATAAATTGATAGAATATAATATTAAAAAAATTATTACAAATACCAAAAATAAGGAATAGTATTAAGAAAAAAAAGCAAGAATTTGATATTTATTTTTATAATTGATTTCATAATTTTTTAAATATCAAATATTTAGAAATGCATTTTTTTATATTAAAACTTATATTGAATTTTTATTTTTTTCCAATAAATATAGGATAATTAATGCCGTTTAGTCTATATAATTGTCCTTATAATTGATATATTATTGCTATCTGTTTTAAGATATAATCTTTTTTAAGTTTTTAATTTTGATTATATTTTTTGATTTTTAAAAAATAGCTTTTACAAATTATTTTTTATAAAAGAATAAATAAATAATAATATATTTATTATTACAATTATGAAATAAAAAATTTGTTATAAATTTAAATTTAGTTAATATTTTTCTTTCTCTAATAACTAAATATAATATAATATTTTTATAATAAAAATTATAAATTAGAATAATTTAATTTTGATTTTTACTATAAATAAAGATAAGTATAATCTTAATTTACAATTGAATTTGAAAAAATAGTACTACAAAAACAGTTAACCAATTTAATTAATGGAGTAAATAATTTATTATCACAATTTGTAATATTTTTCTCTATTTAATTCAATCAGCATAGACTTTGTAAAGAAAGAAATCTTAGTACGAATATTTTAATATGAATTAAATAAAATTTTGTAGAGAGAGATTAATAGCCAATAATATCAACCTATTTTTCACATACTAAAATAGTATAAAAAAAAAAAAATATATATGAATTGATTTATGGCTATTTCTATTCATTAGATTAATAATCATTTTGAAATAAAACTTGAATCAATTTATGTAATATTAATTATTTGTTTATCATTTGAAGTGATTAATAAAAATTAAGCTTTTTAAAATATTTATATTGAATGGAGGGACATTAGTATAATTTTAGCTCAAATTAATTAAATTCTATTCATCAATGTGATGACACATTAGGTTAGGAGTAGCGATCATTTAACAATCAAAGAATTCGTAGTAGAGCAGGGAGTGTAGTGCAAAAGGATATTCGCCATAATGAAAAAGAAGAATCAATAATCAAGTAGGAGGAAAATATGACTACTTTTATGAGCGATTACTAAGAAAGATCTCGTAAATTAACAAATGAAGGAATTGAAAAAAAAGTAGGTACAAGTGATTCTTTAGATTTTTAAGAAGGTACTTAGGAAAAGCAATAAATTAAAGAGGAAGATGAAGAGAGTGAAAAGAGTGAAAGAGTAAATTTTAGATAAGAAGTATCATAATTTACAAATTCAAGTAATGTATAAGAGTTTCAGAATTAAAATAGATCTTCTTAACAAAAGGTTTCGAACATATTAGCTTCTATTGATAAAGAAAACAATCATGAGCAAATTATAATTCTAAAGAGTGATTAAACATCTATCGATAACTAGAGGGTTTTAGAAGATAATTTACAAGGCATTTCTCCTATCAATAATAGATAAAGTCCTACTCAAGATATGCCCTTCCTTTAACCTACCATAAACTTAATGTATTTCATTTTATTAATAATGACACTTTTAAATACTAAATTAAAAAACTTAATAAGGAAATATTAAAAAAAAATAAATAATACTTTCAATTTAAATATTGCCCTTTATTTAGCACTTATAATGATTGAAACAAAGCTATTAAACCTAAATTGATATATGATATTAATATTCACAATATACATGATTAAAATGAAGAAGCATAGTTAATGGAAGTAGAATTATTTAATTTAATTAAAATACCATTCAAAGTATTTTCTACTACAATACATTTAAGGATTATTTAATTGAGAAAAGTAGATATATTGATTAATATATTAGCAAAGTTATTTAGTTTAATAAGTTCGTAAGTTACTGAATAAATTTTATGTGAGCAAAAATTTTTTTATTTGCAATTCAAGTAATATTAACTTTCAATGTAAAATACTTGCTAATTAATCAGAAATACCTTATTCAAATCTAATAAAAAGTTTGCTTATATGATTATGGGTTTTTAGACTAATTTTTTATCTTATTTAATTTTTTAAAAAACAAAATTTTACTTTTTATAATGTATTTTAACAATTAATTTATTATAGAAGCTTGTAGAAAATAGAAAATAGCTAATACCAATTATGTCCAATTACTGAATAATCTGAAGATTAAGTTTCTCTGGCTAAGAATTAATTCAGTGACTAAAAAAATAGTTAAAGACTTTATACACCTGTATTAAATCCTTAGCCAGTGTAGACAGCTATTTTTGATAACCTTTCTAATTCAGAACCTCAATAATAAAAAGATTTATTAGGAGAAAATAAAAATAGTCCTAAGCAGTAGTTTTAAAGTATATTATCAGATATGCCTAGAGTTATGCTTTATACTATAAATAAAGGATAAGCTATTTCTTAACCCTCTAGTCCTTTACCTATTCCTCTTCCTTAAATACCTTAAGTCTAGCCACTTTAATTTCAATAACTACAACTCCAATAATAAATATAGTAGTAGCAGCTACAAAATATACATCTACAAGGTTAATCCAATTTAGTAAATTCTTAAAGTTATTCTACTACAAGATCATAATAAAAGCTCATCCATCCTTAAGAATAATATGGCAGTGGATAATTTTATCAGATACCTCAGTAAATTTTATAGCCTATGACTTTTAATGAATTTAATTAAGCATAACAAAATAGTGGGATTAATACATTTAAAAATACTTCAAGCGCTATGTAAGATAGAAAAATATATGGTGAATTAGAATTTTCTTTAAATGGATTAAACACCCAAACAAATAGCAATAATTATAATAATAGTAGTGGTAATAATATATTTAATCAATAATAATAAGTATAATAGCAATAAACAAATCAAATATTAGAAAAGCTGATTTAATAACTGTAGAGCGTGATAAGGCAAAAAGATGAATAAATTTAAGTATTTAAATGTTTATTTCAGATATTTAATTATGAAAAAAAATTTAATTATTTTAGCAAAAAGATAACACTTTATACGAATATACTTCAAAGGTGTCAAAACTAGATGAACTCTTCAAAAACATTTCATAGTAGTACCAGAATGAAAATTTCTAGTTAAAAGAATAATTTCAACTTTTACAGAACGAGCTATTATCAATAAAAAGATAAAAAAGCTCAGTTTCTCTTTTAAATCAACAAAATGATTAACTCAAACAAGAAAATTAAGATTTAAAGTAATTTTTTTTAGTTTTAAATAAAATAAATTATTATATAATTTTTTTTAGTAATGAATTAAAAGAGTTGGAGATTTAAAGAAGAGTACTTGAATCTAAGTTAAAAGAAATTAGTGAAGAAAGAGATTAATTTAAGTAGTAAATAACAGAATTAAATTAAATATTAGATAAAGTAAACTAAGAAAACAAAAGCTATAAAATATCTTATGTAATTTAAAAAATATTGACTTAATTATCATACTCATTTAATTAAAATTTAAATAGAAAACACTAGAGAAATAAAATTAGGATCTACTTTAGCAAATAAGCACTCTTAAAGCCGAATAGATGTGCTAAGAATAGTAATTTAAATTAAAATAAATTTTAATTTAAAATATTTTATTAATTTTAATAGTCTTAAATCACACTAAAGTTATATAGCCACAAGTACTCAACTTGATTCTTAATAGTTTTTGAGCAATCACTATTCTAAAAATTTTAAAACAAATATCAATAATAATAATAACAGCATAAATAATAACAATAATAATTTAAATAATTTAGTCCTTAATACTTAAGAAACCTCTGAAGAAAACTTAACTGAAAATAGTAGTAGTCATTAATTAAATTATGTTGGTAATTCTAATTTGTAAAATACAAATAAATTATCTAAACTTTAAGATAAGTTGCTTAACTAGTTAAGAGGCTAGTCCTAGTTTAGCTAAAATTCTACTAATTCTAAGCATGAGAGATCAAGTAGTGCCAGCATAAATTTGCTGAGTGGTAAAAAAAACTTAAGTAATTACTAGACTCCATCAAGATAAATTTAAAGTAACAGAACTACAAATATATCTGCAGGGAGAGAGAGAAATCCTGAGCAGCATTAAAATGGAAATTAATAAGATAGCATGAAATTTGATCAAAACCAAGCAGCTTACAATCATTAATATACCCCATATTCTGGAAGAAATATTTCAAGTGGTAGTAGCAGTGGAGGATAAAATTCTAATTAGATGAGCTCTTATCGACTTTTATAGGCTACAAGAAGAAATCAACAAACATAGAATTCTGAGGAAAAAACAGTTACTTTTGCAAATCAAGAAATTCCATAAATGATTAATGAAAAAATAGACCCAAATTTTGTAGAAAGCGTTGCACTAGAGGACTTACCAAACAGTAAGTAGTCTGAAGATTTAAGATACTATTCAGCTTAATCTAACAGTAATAGATAGCATTACCATGCAGGTAGGCTCACAGATGTTAATAACTCTCCTGTTATAAACCCTTTTACAGAAAACTAAGCTACCTAAGTACCATCAAGTAGTAGAGCAAAATCATTTTCAAATTACCAAAATTATTATGACCCAAATAACGCAGATAATAATAGATTTAAAATAACTCCTGATAAACCTTCAGAATAAGGCTATAGGTAAATTAAAATAAAAAAAATATATTTAATAGTTAAAATTTGATGTAATAAATAGCAAAGAGAAATTACCTAGCCAAGATTCAGGCAAAAAGGAATATCTTAATTAAAATCGCCCTAAGTTAAATAATATAAAAGGATATTTAGGAGAATCATAGAATTGTAATTTATTTATTTCAAAATTTTAGCAAAATTAAATTTTTTCTATCAAAGATAATTATGAGCAGGCGAACTAAAGTTAAAAAAATGGCAGGTATGTAAGATAAGAGTAATAAACTCCTCCTTCATTTAACAATGATAATTAATTATTTAGTAAAATAGCTCAAACTAAAGCTACAAATAATTATTTATTTAATCCTTAATATGAATAACTATAAAGCTAACTTAAAAACCTGAAAGATTGCTAATAAAATGTAATTTAATTAAATTTAAAATTTAAAAATAATTTAAAATTATATGATTTAGCTTGAATATGAAGTTGGTAAATTGAGAGGAGGAAGAGATGAGGACAATGAAAGAAAAAATATGTTAAATTTAGAATTAACAATAATAAAAAAAGAAATAGCATAAATATAAGCTAAAATGACTATGGTTTGAATAGCATGAATTTGAAGAATAAAAAATAAATTTAATATTTATTTAAACAAAAGTCAATAATCTTCAATAATTAAGCTTAGCGATTTTTTAAATAGTTAAAAGCTATAATAAATTTTGGTATATAAATAAATAAATGTATATTAACTAAAAAATTTAATTATTGAAAAATAATATAGATAATAAATAAAATATTTGTAAATTTATATTAAAATTACATTAGTAAACAAATAAAATATAAATTAATACTCTAGCAATTTTATTGCATAATCTATTAATTAATTTATTTTATTTTTTTTGTTGTTTACCAATTTAAAAGTATTTTTTTTAAATTTAAATTTTATATTTATGAACAAGTTCAAACTATGATCCTGGAAAAAATAACTTCCCTATTAAAAATGTATAAAATAGTTATATATAAAATACTTAAACATATAACTAATCATTAGAATTATAAGATTTATTGATATCTTAAACCAAATTAAAGTATTATAATGAAGATAAATATATTAGAAAACTAAAGTATTTTAAATTATAAGATAAAAATTACTAAAAATAAGTAAATAAATAGTTTTATGAAATTTATAGTTGGTAATTATAAAATGATTTAAAACAACTAAGACATATAAACAGCAAGGTTTAATTTAACATTTAAGATATTATGTAAATAATTTGAAATAGTCACTTAGTTGATTGTGTGAATATAAGAAATGAAAATAAAAGAAAAATATTATGGTGTATAATAATTATTAATTGTATTTATTTATTTTTATAATTTGAGTTAGTTTTTATTTGTGGTTAAATTTATATTAGCATTTATTTTGGTTGTTGATTATTTTTATAGAAATGTTTATTATTTTAAATTTTTTATGATTTTTCTCACTTTTTATCTTTCTTAACTTCATCAGAGACACCTTCAACATCCATGATGATAGCGACACCAGCTAAAATCCACTTTCTAGGAGGGAATCTTGTTTTAAGTTAAGCAGTGAATACGTAAGTATTACCTCTATCTTCTGTCTTATATACTGGACATTAGTACAAACTCTATAATTTTAGAAGAAAAAATTTTAACAACTTTATCAAAAAACTTAAATATATGTTTCTTTACCTTATCTTCTTTTCCTTCTGGTGGAAGAGGGATGGCTTTGCAATAAGTGACAGGAAGAACACTGAACATTTCCTTTGGTTTACTTTCTTCAAGTTGACCGAGTTAGTAATCCCAACGAGCGCCTTCTAAAATAAAACCATATACGTAAGCACCTTCTTTTGCTGCTCCTTCAATTTCTTCAATTGAACGTTTAGTGATTTCAGTTTGTATATATAATTTATTAAGTTCATAAGCCTTGGCTCTACTGATGACTTACATAATAGCAGTGAGGAAAGATTAGGGATTGAAGAAACGAGAAATCATAACAACCCTAGGAATAGAGTAGGGATCATCTCTGAATATATTTAATTGCTCAATACGTTAGAAGAGATTAGCAAGCCATGATTAGAGACCTCTCTTAGAGGGATAAGCAAGCTTCTACCATGATGCAGGAACTCTGCTCAAAGCAATACTTTCAATAATCATTTCCATGTTTTCTGAAACTGTTAAAAGACCAGAAAGACCTTAACCAATTTCTTCAAGATCCCTAAAAATTTTTTAAATGATTAAATATTATTACTTTAAAATTTAAATATTACTTGACTATTTCTGAAAGAAGAGCGTTCATGTATTCAATTTCTTATAAGAAGACATTCTAGTAAGGACCCTTGTTTTCAGCATCAATCTTATTCTTGATTTCTTCCATATTGAAAATCTTATTCTTTAATTCACTGTCTTCAAGTAATTGTTTTATAAGATCAGAAGCCATTTCATTAGATGATTTGATATCAGAAGATTTTTCATCACGAGATTACTCCTTTGGCATAAGTTCAAGGAGAGTATTAAAGAGAGTCTTACATTAGTCTGTACGGAAACCAATTTCAGCATTAGGATGGAGACCGTATGCAAGAGGAGTTTCTTATTTAAGTGAAGTCTCAATGTGTTCAATATATTTCTCATAAGGATTCTAGCCAGGTACCTTGAATGAAAGTCCTTTACCTTCAATGTAAGGGAAGAGTTCAAGCTCATCGAATAACTATTCGTGCATAGTGTTAAACAAGTATGAGTTGCACAAACGTCTATCCCAATCATCTACAATGTGGCCACCATACATAATTTCACCAAAAATGTATATAAGATCATTAAATGGTACTTTACCACCTTAGTTTTATTCCATATATCTATTCATAACAAGGTAAGAGTCACGAAGATCACCCATATTGAATGGATAAGACATATTCCAACCCTTAGGTCCAAAACGACGACGTTCGATTAAAGTTGAGTGGAAGAAGCAAAGAGCGAAAAGAATAGATTTAATCTTGGGATCTTTATCTTCAATTTCTTCTTTAGAGAAATAAGTCCATGCACGCTTCATGTTAGCTTTAAGTCCAGCAGGGGGTTCATTTGTAAGCTTAATTGAACGATCAAGGATACCAATTGGAATACCAGTTGAAGGTTCAGCAGAAAGGAAAAGACGGAATTCAGAGTTGCCACCACCTGCTTCACCTGAGTAAGAATCAAGAATCTTTTCAAGTTCAATGAGCCAAGTAGGCATAAGATGTATGTTTTAAAGCATAACCCAGTGACCTTCTTTATTACCTTCTTCAATACGACGACGAGCAATTTCATCTTGGCCTTGACCCAAAGCAATGTTGAAGAAGTTTTTACCAGGTTCAATACGCTTTTTCTTTGCAATTTTTTCAACTTCTTTGACTGGATCTGAACCAGGAGACAAGATAAAGAAGATAGGAATAGTAGATTCAGAATCTTCATTAATAACTGATTCAAGAATTTCAGAGAAGGCAAGCTTTTGATCCATTTCAACAAATGCATCACCTTAAGGTAGTACGGCACGGATAAAGTTATTTAAGGAAATGGTCATACGATCAGGACGTAAGCAACGGAGAACTAACAGTTTCTTGAATGGCATACTGTCAAGACGCTTCCAGTCAAGTGGAAGTTTTTAATCTTCAGGTTGAAGTTCATTATACCAATCCTTGAAACGATTAGGAGCTTCCTTTTCAAGTTAATGAGCAAAGTTTCTGAATTCTTCAAGATTTATCAAACCTTGAATTTAGTCCCAAGAAATATTAGGTAACCAATCAAGAGTATTTTCAACTCCAGGACGAGCGGGACATTTAATCAGGAAGTCCATTTCAGCTACTTCGTAAGCAACATCAATAATTTTCTTTTACATAAGACGGAAGACAATAAGAGTAAGGAAAATAAGTTTGTGCTTTTCGAAAAGACCACGAGAAATCCATTAATAGATTGTTTAACGGATGTTTAAGATTAATGTGGGAATACGATTTTCATCACGAACAGTTGTACGGTTGATAGCTTTGAAGAAGAATGTAATGAATGATTCCAATGAGTATTGATACATATGATCCATAACACTGAGAGAAATAACAAGGAAATAGAGCATAGAACCTTCAGCAGCGACAACACGATAATGTTCTCTTTGGATATTAATTTCTGCTTCTGTTACCTTAGCCTTTTGTTATTATTCAGTAATTTCGATAGTTGTTTTCTTGGTCTTATCAAGATTCTAAATGAGTTCTGTGTTATCTAAAATTGTAGCAGGATCAGCTTCAGAAAGTGATTATAAAAGGTCAGATTCTAATTTATCTAGAGTGACGGCATATTCATTTTATTTCTTAACTAAATCTTACTTGGCCATTTCAAGTTCATTCTTTTCGATATTGACGACCATTGCAATGAATTATTCTTCTAGACCACTTTCAGTGACGATAAAGTTTATAATTGTACATTATGCAGCAATTTCTGGACGGAAATGAGGATTAATAAGCTTAGTCATAAGGAAGAGCTTGAAGTTAGGATCATAGTCAATTGGATCACCACCTATTTCTAATTGAAGTTGATTACCATTCTTCTTAACAGCACGCTAGAGCAAAGGATCAAGGGTGGCATCTATTTCTTATTGTATACCTTCAATAAGGACAGCACGACCTGATGATATACTACTGGTAAGAGCTCCTAGCCATTTAGGTTAGCTGAGAGAAATTGTAGTAAGATTTTCACCTTATTTACCTCTAATCCAAGTTGAACCTTGAAGTTAAGGATCGATAATAAGTGGCCAACGAGCACATGCAGTAATAATGGCAGCATTTTCAAGAGACATAGGATCAGCAGGAAGACCTTCATTTTTCCACTTAGATTTAATAGCTTCAGTTGTGAGAATTTTCAAAGGTTCAATACCTTCAGTGATTGGAATACCTTTTTCAATGATATCAGGTAACCAAGTATTCTTCCAAAGTTCAAGACGAAGCTTGGCTGAGAAAGCACCAATATATGAAACAAATGCAGAGGCAAGGAGTGAGTCACCAATCATAGATTTTATATTCTCTTTTAAGAATTTTACATTCTGAGTCCAACGCTTATTTTCACCAGCAAGACCATTAACAAGGTTTTCTGCAGCACTGAGACGAGATTAACAACGAGCAGCATCTTATTCGACAATCATTTTACGAGCTTCAGCTTCTTCTAATTGACGTTTTAATGAATTGACACGAGCATTTAATTCTGCAACACGTTACTTGACAATAGCAAGTTCCTTTTTCTTTTCTTCTAAAATTTCATTAGCTTACTTTTAAGCATCTTACAAAGGCTTAACCTATTTGAAAATTTTATTGAAGGTAACGATGTTTACAGCCCAAGCGCAAAGCTTTGAGGCAGCATATGATTGACCAGCCATATCTTTTTCGTTGAATTTCTTGCTAGGATCTTAAATAATTTTGTTTGATTGTTCAATAATGTTAGGTTCAATGTTTTCACCATCAAAAGATTTAACCTTATCAATGAAAGCTTAAGGATTATTCATAAAAGTAACAGCTTTCTTCCAAACTTTCTCATCAGGGTCATTTAAGGTAATACCTTAATTGAAAAGAATAAGTACGACACGTGCAGTGACGATGACACCAGCAGGAGGAGAACCAAGATTTTTCATTTCTGTTACATGAGGTTTCTTTAAGCAATCGACTGCAGCTTCAGCAGAACGAAGAGCAGGAAGGGCTTCAGCTAGAGCCTCAGTGGCTTCTTTAGAAATCTTTTCAGCTTCAGCGGCAGCAACGTTGGTTTTTTCTTCTTCAGCGTTAGCAATTGTTTATTCTTCTTCTGCAAGAGCACTTTCTTTTCCTACCTTTTCAATCAAAATATCAGTTTCTTCTCTTTGCTTATTGACTTCGACCATCTTTACTTTAAGTTCTTCTTATAAACCTTGTACCTTATTTTAAGTTTCTGCTAAAATGTTAAGACCCATTTCATAACGTTAGATTTGGCGTTAGATAGTTTCACGCTTTTCAGTAAGAAGCTTCTTATAGAAATCAATTAGTTCTAAGAAAGATTTGGGAGTAGTGTAGTTGTAACGACGTTCAAGTTTTAAGAACTTTTCATTGGCTGTATCAATTGAGGAGTGGACCTTAGCCATATTTAAAGAAATGGACTAACGAATTTCTTCAGTAGGGAATTCTATTTCTTCTAAGAAACGGAAAGCTACATCAATAAGAGCCTCATGTGGCCAAGGATGGAACCAATCAATAGAGGTATTATTGATAATACCAGGGAATTTTCTTGAACGGATACGCATAGTATCACCTACGGGTGAGAAACAGAGAACGACTTTTAGATTTTTACGAATCTTATCAAGGAAATAGCTTGTAAGGGCAGTGAGATTGTTAACATCAACACCTTCACCTTTGGCTTCATTACGGACACCACTAACTAATGAGTCCATATCTTCTTTAGGGAAGAGATCGAAAATCCAACCTGAGTTAAGCATATCATTAATGGGAATCAAAAATTATTCTTCTTTAATTTAGGAATCAGTGATCATAAAGACACGAGCAATACTGTTGGGTTTGGCTATTTTCTTATATATTTCTTGTAAGTTGTTACGAAGATCATTTATGGTGAAAGATGCTGTGACAACGAGTTAGTCGATTTCAAAACCGTTGATAAAAGTTGAAAGACGGCAGAGTGATTATTTACCAGAACCACCAACACCAACTAATAAAGCATTGTTACCAGGCATATCAAGGATACGGCAAATTCTGCTTACATGTTCCATAGCCTATTAGAAAAGTACTAAATTCATTTGAGCTTTAACTTCATTATATTCTTCTAGCTTATCATCAAGTACTCTCTTTAATACAGGGATAGTGCATTAAGTATATTACTAGTCAAGACCTTAGTGAGCTGCTACAAATCCAGTGAAAATAAGAGGTTCAGCAATAGGATTTTCTGTTTCAGGGAATTCACCTATGCACTTAGAAATAGCTTCAGTAAGATATCTACGGAAAAATTCTACGTGTTCATTAGCAATAAAACGATCTTCAAAAGTACGTTTCATTTCATGAGCCCATAAACGGACAAGCTTACCTTAGTCACCACCTGAATATTGGCCAGGAGTAGTACGGCAAATACCTTCGCAAACACGAGCTAATTCTCTGAAGTTAAATTGATAGTGGAAACGTTTAGCTGAAGGAGCAAAGGCAGTTGTATTTTTGAGGATCTTGTCAAATGTAAAGTAAGTTGCTTCAACCAGCTTGAAAGCCATTTTTTAAGCCTTATCATCGATAGTAGAAAGATGAGCATTTAAGATAGAGCCGAAAATTGTTTTGATTACATCAGATGAAGGAGTATACATACTGAAAACTGAGAAATTACGTTAGAGACGTAAATCAACAGTGAAAGAACCAGATTTTTGGTTTAAGCAACCGAAAAATAGGAGATCCTAAAGGAACTTACGTTCTTCAAGCTATTCACGATTGAAGATAGATCCATAATCAAGGATTAAACGAAGTAACTAAATTGGAGATTAAGTACCATACTTATCGACATATGGCATGTTGAAATCATCGATGAAACAAATTAAAACTTTATTTGTTGCTGAACCATAGTTTCTACCGTTCTTCTTTTCAACCATAGATTCAATGTTCTTTTACAAAGCAAGGGAGTCTGTGAATGATGAGAAATTGATAGTTTTATGTGAAACCTATTCAGGTCTAGTGGAATTAAGGTAATCACGTACAACTGCAGTTTTACCTGTACCAGCTGAACCAATGAAAAGAATTGGTTTACGTCTTTGTAAGTGAATGTCAATCATATATCTTAGACGAGTGGTATGAATTGTAGCCACATAGATTTTTGAGAACAAAGGTTAGTCGTTAGGTAAATAATCTTCTACTTTCCAGGTATTCCATTTGTTTTCATTGATGTCATAATAGTAATCGTAGCAGAGACCTTATTCAGGGAATTTAACCTTAGCAGCGCCTTTCCAAACTGTGTTGAATTCCTTCATATCTTTTGAGTCATCTTAACCACCACCAACTGGACCACCTATAGCCCATAAACCAGCAAAAATGAAGAAAGCTTCAAGAGCTTACTTTTCATCTTCTTCTTTCATTTGCTTTAATTTAGGTAAGTGTTGAATTAGAAGGGCATCTAATATAGTACAGATTGTCTAGATCATAGCTATATCTACCATTGGGCAAATGTGACGGACTCTATTCTTATCATGAACATCTATATTTTATTCGAAATATGACTAGAAGCATCTGTAGAAGACACTCTTAGCAACATCATCAATAACAGGGTATTCAGGCATGTTAGCCATTTCCTTTTGCTATTTCAATATATTAATTTGAGAACGTTCTAACCAACTGTTCATGTAGGGCATCCAACCAATATCAGTTTCATTAATAAAGAGCACACCAGCACGAGATACTGTAGCAGGAGTGGCATTACGCAAGTTAGATATTTCAAAAATCAATCTCATTTAGGGAGTTAAGAAGATACGATCATTAGAGACAAGGGTAAGTACTTTATTATCATCCATAACTGTATTAAGAGATTCAATCCATTCAGGATCAATATCACCATCTAAAACTGACCATTTGTGCATATGAGTTGCTTTATATTTTTCTTCGTTCTTTACTTAGTTTTTCATAATAACTGCGATAACACCATTTTTCCATTCTTTTGTCTTTGTGTAAGCACCAAAAAGTTCATCTGAAGTGACGGCTTTGGGGTTAAGAGTATCATATTCAGCATCTTCACCACTGTTAATATAAGATTTAATTAAAGTTTTCCATACACAAGTTTTACCAGATCCAGGAGGACCAATAACGAAGCAACAGTGACGTACTTCAAGAATTTCAGCTAATTAAACAACCTTGGTTACGAAAAGCTCTTCTGCAACCAAACCCATATCCTTCTTAGTAGTATCTTAAACTATCTTCTTAAGTTCAGGATTTTATTTAGTAGGAGGATCTAATTTAGGGAACAAATCACCAATTAATCTACGGAAGATGACTTTATCATCAGTAACGATTTTGGGCATATTGAAATCACGCAATGCTCTCATAAGCAAGGGATCTTCTGGCATATCAGGATCACCTCTCTTTAGCTTACCAGCTTAACGCAAGACAGATTTAACTGCTCTTAAACCCCAATCATAATGCTTTTGCTTGGAAAGCAATTCTCTTGAGAGCATATAAAGAGATACGAACTTACGTGACAAAACTCTGGCCATAGTAAAACCTTCAGACATAAGCATATTTTCACAAATAAGAGCTAAATCAGGAACAACCATTGCACATGATCTGAATAAGGCTTTTAAGTTTTCAGGTAATTCAGTACGACCAGCATAACCAGGATTCATTGTAATGAAGAAACCAACAGTATCTTATAATTAAATTTCACCTTCTTCAACAAAAGAGAACTTAGTTTTCTTTTCCTTCAAGGCATCAAGGACACATTTAACTTGAGTAGAAACGACAGACAAGACTTCAATTGAAATTCTATTGAATTCATCAAAGCAACCCCAAGCACCAGATTAGGAGAGACCCATGAAAATTTGAGCCATAGAATCTTTATTCATTTGGTCAGAACAGTTAAATACCATGACTGGAATACCAATAGCTCTACCCAAATCCTTGGTTGTTTCAGTTTTACCAGTACCTGCAGGACCAGCAGGAGCACCACCCATTGTTAAATTAAGAGCTTAAGTGAGTGTAATATAACATCTATCTGTTAAAGGAGTAATAACCAAACGAATGGCATTACCTATGTATTCATATGAGTAGAAACGGAACCAATCAACGATTCTAATAATACATTTATTTTTATTTTTATCTTTTTCCCAAGGGAATCTGAGAGTTTATCTGAGATGCATATCTGAATCAGGTTTATTTTCCCAGTAAAATTTGAGTTAAGATAACCATGCAAAAGATTCAGCTTCAGAAACTTTTTAGATAACAAACTTTTCGACAACATCACGACTGTGGACATCAATTGTAATAATGTTGATAATTTTCCATCTTTCTAAGATATGTAAGTCACCACGGACTTTTTTAATTAAATTTTCTAAACGGACTTCAATAAGCTTTTAGCATTCTTTCATGGCTGTTTCACTACCACCAGCTAAGTCTTCAAAAGCTCTACCGACATCTTCAGTCCAAACAATAGTAGTAGTTAATAAGGCAATTTAAGCATTGTAGCCTTCAACCCACTCTTCTCTTGGCTTATCACCACTATCCCATAAGTCAGCAGTATTTTTAGCTCCTTCTAATATTTCTTAAAGAGTTTCACGCATTCTAAACTCTAAGTTCAAGAGCCAGTGTTCTACTGCACCTTCACAAATAAACTTAGATGAGAAAGGTACCTTTTCATCATCCTTAGAAATCATACCAATACCAACCTTGCTAGTTTCAGCGGGATTGGCAGGAGGTTCGAAAGTCAAAGTTTTAAGACCATCAAAGCAATCACCAAGATATTCACAGACTTTTGGAGCGTTTTAACCATTAGAGAGAATTGTAAGAAGAGATTGATTTGATAAGAAATAGAAACGAGGGAAAGATTTCTTCTTTTGCTCAAGATAATCATTAAGAGCTTTCTCACATTTCTTAATAGCCTGAGACCATCCTACTAAGACATCACGACGTTCGATAGTGCATGCTTCAACAACAGAAGGATTGGCTGAGACTTCAGACATCATATCCTTGAATTCTTTATCAACACCTTCAAAGACCTTTGTGTCTTCAGGAAGTTACATACGAATATCTTCTGAAAGAAGGAAAATATTGTAAAGAATTTTCCAATTCTTTTATACTTTAAGCCATTCATTGACAACAACATCAACACGGCCAAGCTTTTCACGCCAGTCTTCAACTCTGTCGTAGAAGAATTCAACATACTTACCTTATGATTTCATACCCATCAAATCTAAGGAGTGTTAATCTAATACTTCCATCATGTTATCTAAAGAAGCAAATGTCTTAGTTTCCTTATATTCAGTAAATTCGAAAACTTACTTGCTCCACCATTGTTCAATATTTTTGAGTTTCTTTTCTATTTTAGCTTCCTTTTAGGCAACATCTACTATTTCATTTACTGTATTTTCATATTTGTAGAGGTTAAGAGCTAAAATATCTTCAAAGTAGAAGGAAAGAGAGTTGTGATCAAATACAGTTCCGGTAATTTACTTAAGTTAACTCCAGTGACGATCTTCCATAAATTCAGAATGGAGAGCTGAGACAAGAGGTAATACAGTACCCATATTCTTTACCTTTTCAACAATAACGTTATATCCCTTGAAGTTACGGATTTCTTTAGGTAAGTTCTTAATTTGAGTACCAAGTGTTTTGTTTGTATCTAAGAGGATATCAGCCTTAATTTGACGCCATGGTTTTGTCTTCCAGTCATTGTATTAGAAATGAATAAGAGCAATAGCATCCCACATAGTTTTGAGATTTTTTAAATCATTCATACAGTCCTTCAATTGTTTATAGTTACTCTTTTAAAGTTCGAAAAGTTTTTCTAAATTATTATATTCAAGGGCACGTCCTTCAATTGCAGTTAATTTATGATAATAAACCATAATAGTGTCATATGCATTGTTAATATTTTCATAACCCATGCTTTCAGTGTAGTCAAAAGGTAATTTTTACATGAATTCCTTTCTGAAACTTTCAACTTCTTTCATAAAGATATCTAAATCACGCTTAATATTTTATGTTTCTTCTGCTTATAAGGGAATAATATCAGCCTTAACCTTGAAGACACGTCCATAAATTTCAATGAAGTTACTATTGGCATTATCGATTTATTATAAAGGATCATCAGTACCTTTTTCAGTGATAGGTACATTATGCTTCTTTAATTTAGTGACCATTTCTTTCATACGAGTGATGATACCTTCACGACGAGGTTCAACATCCTTTACATCTGAGATAACCTTCATGACGCTCATCAATAACTTCTTATCATGTAAATTTTCATGGTCAGCAGGATTTTTTTTGATGCCATCTTTTGTTTTTTCAATAAAATCTAACAAGTTCTTTTAGGTAGTACGGAATTAGTTGACTAAAAAGTCAGTATAAACACGAATCCAACGAGTAACTCTTGCATCTAAAGCAGTCTTCATAGGTTGTAAGTTGATTCTCAACCAAGAAATGTCTTCGGGAGTTTTAATACGAGAGATTTCTTATTGAATAGCTTTTAAGTGAGTGATTTTCTCATCAAACAAATCTAAATTAGGAATCTTTGCACGACATCCCTTTAAGAGAGGGTTTTATTTTTCAGTGTTTTCACCTTCATCATCATCTCCGCCCTTACCATCTTCGTCTTTAGGTTCATTTTCATCTAAGAAACGATTGAATGAGATTTATTCGTCTTCTGTCCAAAGGTAAGAATAAGTGTCAAAACGAGCACGGAATTGGTTACATTCATTTTCAATCCATTCTAAGTTTTAGGTGATCATGGCTAAGCATTATTTGATTTCAAAGAAAGAACGAATTTCTTATAAGAAATCACCAGGCATAGTGGTATCTAAACGTTAAATAGTACCTGCAATATTGAAGAAATCGTTAATCCAATTTCTAATGGTATTTCTAACAGTCAATTAGTTAGAAGATTCACCAATTTCAGGATCAAATTGAATACCGCTCTAGCCAAGTTCCAAACGGATATCAAATAGAGGTGAGATATCGTTTCTTTTAATAAAAACAGGGTTAATTTATTCATTTAAGTGTAGGAGAGCAGTTTGAATAGCAGTACTGATACCTTCAATTACGATAACATTAACGTAATCGTTGTAATTTTTCCAAGAGTTTTGCTTCTTGTCAGCTTTCACAGCATCAAGTACTTCTTTAACAAGCTTTTAGATTTGGTTACCATTATCTTTTACAATAGTAAGTTTATTTGAGAAAATAGCTTTTAAGAATTGATCATAATCATCTGGAGACATAGGTCTATTTTTTCTTTCAATGATTTTCACATTAAAGTTAGCTAAGCTTTTGTGAATCTTTTGTAAGGAATCCTTCATTTTGTTGACTGTTTCAAATAGTTAATCAACAATACTCTTAGATTTAGAAATAAATTAATCAATGTTTGTAGATTTCCAGCGAATTTCTTCAATGCCAGGCTTGACTTCCTCTTCCATATCTTAAATTTTCTTTTTAACCAAAGGTTCTTCAACCGGAAGTAAGCAAGTTTTAATATGATTGTAGTTATCAACAATCATGTCAAGAGCAACAATTTAAGTTCTATAAGTTTCTGCTTTTGTGTAAATATCTTTTGCAGTGGTTGGAACTTCTAATCTAAGTAACAAGAAATATTTAACTTCTTTCAACAATCTTACTAAACTAGGGTCAAAGTTAACCTTGTTTCAATAAATGTTTAATTTTAATATTTGAAATTAAAGAGTTTTTTTAATTTATTTACCTTAATGAGATCGTTTTCATCCTTGCAAAGTAAAGTTTATTTAAGTTTATCTTGAGAAGAATCTTCGACTTCTTTTTCCCAAGAAAGAATCTTTTAGTCTTCATAATCCTTAATAGATTTTGTGATTGAAGTGTAGAGTTTTTGAACATCTTTGTATTCTTCACGTTCAGTAATACCTTATCCAAGTTAAGCAAGTTTTTCAATAGGTTCCTAAATTCTATCACGAAGAGATTTACACCAAGTCAAAGCACCAGCAATAGGTGGCATATTTAAGAAAAGAGGGGCATTTTCATGCATGCTATCAACAAATTGTTTACCTTCTAAGAAGATACTCTATACTTATTTAAGGTCTTACTTGTACATTTCGAGGAGAACGATATGCTTCTTTTCTAACTCGTCAGCGATAATAGGACGAGTAAGTAATCCTTCGAAATTATCCAAAAGCTTGAAACGACCATAGATTGTATCATAATCATCAAATCCTTAGGTAATAACTGATGCTAAACGACGTTCAAGCTCCTTAATTTTAGAACGGAACTCGTAGAAATCATCATCGAATTTCTTTTCAGCAATATTCATAATATCATAGCTAACTGATGTGAAGGCTTAAACAGCTTCTTCAAATTCCTTGAAAATCTAGGCAATAGACTCTGTAAGTGTTTTACCTTTAGTACCACCTAATTCAATCTTTTCAAGTTTATTGAATTGAACGATAGTGTTAGTCAAGTGAAGGATATCTTAACATCTTTCTAAGAAACTATCTAATCTAACGAAAAGGGCATTGCTAGTAAGTTTCCAGTTTCCACCAGCTTTAGCTTTATATTCAAAGTAAGCGTCTTTGAATTTGCTGCATACGTCAAGAGTTACTTGCAATTTATCACAAGCTTCAGTTGTTTCCTTGCTATCAATCAATGAGAATATAGTATCTTTATCTACAAAAGCTTAAGCATTTGAAATAATTGCATTACATATTTCTCTAATCAAAACAACCAATCTAGGAGGCTAGTTGTAGGTTTTTGATTTATTGTAAATTAATAAAATTGTATGCATAATTGGAATAAAAAGTTCATAGAGGGTAGGGAAATCGCTTGGTTGGGATTCTTACAATTTAGAAAACAAGTCTTTTAATGTGAACAAGTATCTATAATTTTCCTAAATTAAAAAAATAAATTTAAGTAAAAGAAAGAAATATTTTATTTTAAATTACATTTGCTTCTAAACGAGCCTTTTTAACTTCAGCTTAAAGCTTAGTGAAAGGAGTAGTGTATGTTGATTTATTATTGTCGAGGAAGTGGAGAATGTTCTATACTTCAACAGATTTAAGCTGAGAATCAATTAGGTTCAAGTTATCTCTTTTATTTTGCCAGAACTCAATTTCAGCTAATGGACCAGGGTCATTACCATACTTAAGCAATTGTTCAGGTTCTAACTTTAATACATTTTTAATTTATTTTGTCCAAGTGATAATTGATCCTTCAAAGACGTGAGCTTTATCTTTATCAGGAGTAGTATCAGAGGAAGTAAGTTTATGAGAGGGGAGAGGTAACATTGTTTTACCCTTAATTTATCCAAGCAAAACATAAACTTAAGCAACGTAATTATTAAACTTTTCCATCAAGTCTTTTGCAACTAAATCAGTCCATCCTTATTAGTTAAGAGGATTTTACATAACAGGAGACATGATTTCATTAAAAACACTATTCAAATGTTCTAAGAGATTATTGGTAATTTCTACTACAACAACATCCTATAATAGTAATAGATTTATTTTTAAATTATATGAACTTTAAAATACTTAAATTATTAAGAGTAAAATAATTGCCATAGAATTTTAATTGAAGAAATTTGCAATTTTATATAGAAAAGAAATAATCCCTATTTTATTGAGAATTTAATCAGAACATAAAATTTAAAATTGAAGTTATTAGAGGAAGAAAAGAATTAAAAAATATGAAGACTAATAAAAATTAAATTTTCCTTTGATTAATTAATTTATTAAATAAAAATGCAAGTTTATTTATTTATTTCAGATCTTTTTGAATTTAAAAATGAATATTAATTAATTTTTTTGCACAAATATTAATCACTACGTTTGAAAGGAAAAATCACAAAAATAAAAAATTCTTTTTGCGCTTTAAATTATTTCAAATACTTAAAATAAAGTATGCTAAAAACTAGGATTTAACAAAGACTTATAAAAAAAAATTTTGATGGAATTGTTTAAAAAATCCTCCATTTTTATAAATGTTTATTTATCGCATTAATATTTTTCTTTAAAAATTAAAAGTTAATAATAATTAAAATTAAAAGTAAAAAGGAGGTTTTAAATTCAGTTTCAAAATATCTTAAATTTATATATTTCAAATAAATTTCTTTTTTATTGCATTATCAAAAAGTTTATTTTAACTCTCTACTCAGTGGAAACCATTACAAGTAATAGTATTTCTGGTATGTAATGAGTTATTGATCAAACTAAATGTGGTTCATTTGTGTTGATAGTAAATTATTAAAAAATTTTGCAATTTCATCTCTTTTCATTTTGATTTATTTAAAATAATTATTATGTGTTTATTAATTTACCTTGGCTACGTTTTCATTAGTTAATTTATGAAGACCTAGCTTTATTACAGCAATACCTTTCTTCTTAAATTTATCTATAGGAGGAAGCTATCCATAATAGAAGGTACATTTTTCAGATTAACCTGAAACCCATAATATATTAGTTGAGTTATCTTATTGAATAAAACCTTGGAACTCATCTCTATTTAATTTTAAGATAAAAAGATTTAGAAATAAAATAAACGTTGGGCCATTTTTTAATTGTAGTTAATGATTCTTGATTTTAAAGGTATCTAAAAATTAACATGTAGACTTCACCAATCAAAAGATTGCTAAGTCAAATAAGGCTGGTTCTAAATATTTTTGTGCATAGAGGGATATGCTTTATCATTTTCTGAAAAAAACTGAAATTTAATTAGATTTCAAAACTTATAGTTAGGGGTGTTATAGTTAAAATGAATTTTAAAAAGTCAATTACTTATTGGTAACTTCACCTTTATCATCTTGTTATGTTTCCAAAGATTTCTTTATCTTTTCTTTTTAAATACCTAAAGCCTACGATAAACGATTTATAATAAAATCTTCGGGGCTATCTTTTTGACTATGATCACCCATTTGATATGAGATAGATAGATAGTCTTTTACTTTTTCTTATTTCTTATTTAGTTTTAATTAATTTATTATATAACACTAAATGAAAGTGTAATATATTTCAATTAACAAATCATGCAGAGTTGATAGAAAAAATGAATATAATAATCAATCTTATTCTTACTTGTATTAATTTAAAAAATACACACCACTATTGGTTTTTACATGAATGAAGCTATTATTTTATTTCATATTTTTTTTGATTTTATGAATGGATTCTATTTTTTTTATAAATAAAGCAACTACCAAAAATCAATGCAATTATATCTTTGTTTATAATATTTATCTAAAATTTATCATTTTTATTGTTATATTTCCTTCATTCATACATTTTTTAAATAATTTATCAACTTAATTATTTTCAAATCTTAATTTTCCTTATAACTATAAAGAGTTTTTCACTCAAGCATTTCTTTATTTATTCATTCATATTCACACTGATCTTTCTTGATCGCTTCTCTATTATTTTTCCTCTATTTATATAACTTATTTTTTATGATTTTTTTTTCGCAATACAAAGAATACTTGTTTTTGAAAGTCCTCATTAAATCAATCTCTTTCAAAAGTCATTTATAAAAATTTCAATTTTTCTTCATTCAATTCACATAAAATAAATAAATTATTGTGAAAAATATTTCAAATTTAAAATAATTACTTTTCATTAAAAATTGTAAAATTTAAAAAAATTAAAAATATTTATTTTAAAAAATTATTCATTTTTATGTAACTTTAAAATTTAATTTATATAAAAAATAAATAATAATAAAAAGTAATGTAAGTAAATAAAGGATAGTTATGTTAACTTTTGATATAGATTGAATATATTTTTTCTAATTTATAACGGAATAACATTAAAGGTATGTATATTTTAAATTTATATATATATTTTATATATTATTTATTATTTTATATTGCTTTTTCATATTACTATTAAATATTATTTTTACTTTCAAATAACTGATGTAGTATTTAATCATGTAAATATACAGCTTTCATAAGTAGGTATCATATATTTTATATTTATAAACGCATCCTAATTTTCATAAAAAATATATTAATTTTTTTCACAATTTTAATATTTTACATCTCCTCCCGTTCTCTCTAGAAGTTCTAGAGTTTCTTATATGATATCTCCCAAACTCATATTATTTCTTTAGCCAAAATCCATAAAATCTCCACTGTTCTTATTGTAATTTTTATATAGATTAAACACAGGAAGCAGCTATCTATAATAAGGAACCTTTATTATTTTTTAAGATTATAAGTAAATAATTTATTGTTTTCATTTTATATAATAATTTTTATTACGAGCGCTTCTCCAACCATATTTCCTGATAGGACCAATTTTTAAATAACTCTTAGAGTTATTGATATAATTTCAATATCTCTTGTGTTTAAATTAGCTTTTATACATTAAATATTAACAATAATTTTATTTAAAATATTTATACTTTTGAGTGGCATAATAAGCTAAGGAATAACAGGTAGAATTTTATTTTCACCTTTTTCTATCAGATCAAAAGTTCCTAAAATGCTTAATGTTCTATAAGGGTCTACTTTTTCTCTCATTCCATCAATAAAAATAGGAAGATAATGATGATAATCTAATTATGCAGGATCAATTTTCCATATTAATTTACTACCTCCACCAGAATGATTCACCTTTATTGGTAAATCAGCTCTATCGTAATATCTACGAAATTCGCTTTAAGGTATGAGTCTTCTTTCAAGTGCTCCAGCTTTTGGAGGAGAGCTCTTATTGACTTTGTAAGGACTCATCCTTGATCCTATGTTTGAAGTGTCTTATGTTAAACTATTTAGAATATTTTAGCTGTTTCTTACTAATTTAAAAAGAATAAATAACATATATTATCATCTAAGCTTATTTAAGCTACTAGTTCATTTGATTAAATACATTAAAAGTAAATAAGAAATGAAAAAAAAATAATAGATTCAAAGTACTAAAATTTGAAAGAATAGAAGTATACCTAAAGGAGATACTCTAGTTTTTTCAACGCCTTTCATAAAATCTTTAGGAAAATCTCCAAAAGGTGATTAAGGAGCATTAGGAGTGTATTTATTATTCCATGGCTTAAATATCTAATTTGCATTTTTTGCTAATAAGCTTTTCATATGATCAGAAGCTACTAAAGAAGAAGCTAGATTTTGTCCCTTCAACTATGGCGATTTTTAAAGCTAAACACTTTTATTATTCATTCTTTTTATTTTACAATTGCTATTTACTTTTTCTAAAATAATCAAATGATCTTTACTTATTAATTATGAAGTAATTTTATTTCTATCTACTAAAATGTTAGTTATTATTGTTGTTTGGTAAATTTATAACTATTATTTATTTTAATATCACTAATTTATTGATAAAAAGCAACTTTTTACAAAATAAATTTTTGTTCATTCTAATTCAATAATCAAAAGCCATAATTTCTCTTAAAAACAAATAAATTTACAATTCTTAAAACCCTGATTGACTTCCAAAAATAGAGCAAATACTTGGTTCCTCATCAAAAATAAATTGCAAACTAAATAATAAAAGTATAATCATATATATTTTAAATCATGTTATTATATTTTAAAATATTTTTTAGAGTTAATAAAAAAATTTTTTAGTAGAAATAAGTTTGAGAACCTGGATAGAAAACGTGAATAGCTAACAATAATCTAATATCTAATAAAAGAAACCTATTGAATTAAATATATTAAATAGCAAAGATTATTCATGGATACAAATAAAAAAATTTACTAAAATGGAAGAGTGAAAAGCCACAGTTTAGCTTCTAACTATTCTGCTTAGATTTCCTCAACTTCAACAAATACTAATTTTTATGTACAAACTTTCCACCTTATAAGTCCACAAAGTAATAAAAATTCTACATCTAAATTCTACTTTCCTAAAAATAATAATGGTGAAGAGGAAGATATCAAGCACATTTAAAATATATAATACTAACATTAAAACCAAAAATAGCTTAAGAGTTTAAGTTATTTGACCAATAATATTATTGAAAAATAAACTAGATCACGTAGCAAAAGCAATAAGCATTTTATATTATCTGATCTACTAAAAGCGTCATAATCATCAAAAGACTTTAAAACTTTACCTAGTCCTTCTTAAATTTAAAGTAGCAGAAGCTGCATTAATGAAAAATACAATTAATAGTTTTTAAATATTAATAGTTAAATAGATTTTTAACCAAGTTTAAGTTAAAGTATTAACTTTTAACCAGAAAATAATACTCGTTCATTTTTGATAAAACAATAGCATTAGAGTAAGACTAACTTTTAAAATAATATTTCGATCTCAAAATTAATTTAGCAAATAGATATGTAAAGAAATAATTTGAGTAGTATTCTAAGTAAAGATTCTGTATAAAAAAACAAAAATAGTATTTCTAATCATTCTTAACTTTAATAAACACAATTAGAAAGAAGTTTAAAAGATTTTGATGTTTCTATAGAAAATGATGATCACTAATATTCTATTAATTAAAGAAATAAAATGTAAAAAAAACTAGGTTCTATAATTAAAAATCAATCTGATAAATCACTTGATCAAAATTTGTAAAAATTTCAAGATAAGTTTGTTAATTAAAATAATAATAAAACAAATGTTCTAGCAACCAAACTTTTAAAAAAAAATGATTCAGATTAAACTAAAAAACTATAAATTGAAGCTAATTATGAAAAGAATAGCATATAAACAAAAGAAACAAATAAAATTGCAAATTTCTTTAATATTTTTAAAGATAGTCCTAAATATGATGACATAAAATTTAAATTAAATGTTCCAACTTGCTTTAAAAATGTTTTCAAACAAGAAAAATCCCCTAACTCGAAATAAACTTAAATGTAGTTATTATAAACTTCTTTCAACATTAAGCTTAGAACTAAATAAATATAATATAGGTGTTTAAAGTAAAATTTTTATTTTTTTAAACTAAAATTTTATTTTACTTTTTATTAAAAAAAGACTTAAACATAGCCAAAAAAATTAACATAAAGATTAAAATACCTATTAGAATTATTAGAATGTCAATCATAAAATTGAAGATAACAAAAAAATCTAAGGATAAGAGGTTATCCATTAAACAAAAGAGTAAGTAAATCAAGATCTCTGTAATAAAAAAATTATAAATTTTGCTTATTTTTTATTTTTTTTATTTTAAATTATAAAAAAATATCTTAAACTTATTGAATTCTTCTTACTAATAAAATTAAATTTTAGAACTTCTTAAGTATTAATTTATAAAAATTTAAATCATTAAAATTCAATATTTTCTAATAATTTAAAAATAAAAGTTTGATTCTAATAAAATTTAACAAATAAAATAGCTATTGAAATAGGAAAATAAGAAATATTTTTAGATGAAAATAAATAATTTTATAATAACAAACTGAATATAACATTAAAAATAAAACAAATTTATAAATTAAATTAAAAAATGATAACAGTTGATTATCTTTTTAATTATTCTTGAATATTTTAATTGAATTAAATTATAACTTTTATAAGATAATAAGTAAAGAATTTAAAAACAAATGATTCAATAAATTGTTTGATATATTTATTTAATAAAATAATTTTTTAGAAGGTTTAAAGATTTTTTTAAAAGTTCCAACTTTAATTATTACAAGAATTATTAAAATATTTTGATATTATTAAATATAGAAAGAGAGAACAAATAAATCTTAGTTCATAGCTAGTCTTCTAAACAGCTTACGTATTTAAAATCTAAGTAGATCTAAACTCAAGATAAATAAATTATAAACTCATAGCAGCATAATTGCTAAACTGATATAATTAATTAAAATAATATTATATTTAGATAGATTGTTTGCTAAAATTAAAGAAATAAATTGTCACCTGGATAAGCTTTAACAGCCCTAAGAAAAGCTATTTATCATTTAAAAAGTATTAATGTTAAGATAGAAGACGTAATTACTACTTATTTTAAATAATGATTTTATTTTAAAGCTATTTTATTTATTTTAAAATAAACAAATTTAGTTTTCATAAGCACAAATCTTTAGCAGTAAGCCTTTTTAAAAAAAATTTTCATATGAGCTTATTTAGGCAGCAAAATTAGGAGATATAATGAAAGTTATTGAATGTTTAAATGAAAATAGATTTCTTGTTTTTGATTTTGATTATGTAATATTAAAACTAAAAACCCAATACTTATTTTTACTTTTTAATAGATTTACTAGACTGCTCTACATTGGGCTACCAAAAGAAATCATTATTAGATTGTTGATATACTTATTAAAAATGGAGCAGATGTTAATTAGAAAGATATTGTAATAAATATTAATGATTTAAATATAAACTGTTTAAGAACCAATTTTATCATTGTTTTTTTTCTAATTTAAATTGTTACTTATGACTTATTTTAATTTTTGATTTTTAATTAACTATTTTGAATGGACTATTATTAGAATTTTTCTTTGGAAATTATTTTAATAAATTTAATAATTTTTAAATCTTAATTAAATTTAAAAAGATGGGCAGGACACCTTTGTTTTTTGCTTTAAAAGCTGGTCTTGAAAAAATTTGTTTGGTAAATTTAACAATTTAGATAATTTAATAAAAATAATATAATTTCTAAAATGAATTAGCTGCTTCTAGAAAATAAAGCTTCACCCTGGTCTACAAGCTAACTTAATTATTTAAAGGCTGCTAATGAAAACATACAAATAATTTTATATCTTAACAAATTCAAATAAATTGATATTATTTTAGGTATGATACCTAAACAGAAGCATCAGTTAGTGTGGTAAAAGTACATACAAACACTGAAAAGTTGATATTAGAAATAATTAAAATTTATTTATTAGCTTTTAAATCTATTTACAAAACACTTAATTGATTTTCATTCTTCAATTCTACAGATAATGCATGTGATGTACCATATCCCTTTTTCGTTTCTTTTGAAAAAATATAATTTTTAGTTATTTCAAAATTAATTAAACTATTTTACCTTTTAACTCCAACTCCTATATAGTTTGAGTTCGAAATCATATTTTCATGATTTCCATGAGATTCTTTCCAAAAATCTAAAGCCATCTAATTTAAGGTTATTTTATTGACGAAATTGTTTTATGTATAAAAATTACCTTTGCAATGCCTAAATATGTGTAGTATTAAAATATATTTTCACAAGTAAAAGTAGTCTTTTTATATATTTAACAAATAACTTCTTTTCTTTCAGAAAAGTTTTCATGTCCAAATGAAGTTTTTTCTAGACCCATATTTATAGAATGATTTCTTGCAACTTTTGAAATATCCTCATTAACAATCAAAGCAGATAATTATAACTAATATCTATACTAATTTATATGTTTTGCAATGTCTTTTTCTTTATTTTACAATAATTAAAATTAAAATTTTTCTATTTTATAAAAATAAATACCTGCTAATTTTTCAAATTCATCAAATATTTTAATATCATTTTTTTATTATTAAGCTTAAATATTTTAATTAGCATTTTGGCTACTATAAAATGATTCTCTTTATGCTTGCTAAACTGCATCTGATAATGTTACACCTTATCTCTATAAAAAAGGATTTCTACTTTTAAATAATTAAGCTTTAATCTATTCTTGTACTCTTGCTTAAATACTATTTTATTTTTAGTCATTGATATCTTATTTCTTATGGAACTCATACAAATTATGAGATTTGTGTTTGTGTGCATTTAAAGATTACATTTTCTTTTCTATTTCTTTTTGTCTTTCTTATTCTTTTTATATTTGTATTTCATCATAGAATAAATCTTCTTTAAGATTATCACTTAGGTGGACGATGGCATTTTGAGTAAAATTAACATCTGGATTTTAGCACTCTAGTGTAGTTTAACCTTATTTTTATGGTTCCACTTAAATAAATCCGAAAAATTCTAACAAATTTATAAGATCATCAGCCTTCGTGTATTTAAATTTATCAAAATGTATATATACAGGAATATTATTTTAATTTTCAATTAATGTTTCTAATGAACACAAAATAAATTAGAGATGATTTTAAAGATTTTATTTGTTGGCTGAAAGTGATTCTCTGATCTCATCAACTTTTTTCAAGAAGTTATATTCCTTAAATTCTTGGCTTACGAATTTTGCTAGTTCACTATTTTATTATTTCTAAAACATAAAACAACATTAGAATTCTCATCATTGAAAATGTTTCTAAAATTGACACTAATTTTATGTTTAATTTCAAAATTTACTTTATTTTGGGTAACAATTTGGCTAAGAGTTGAATATCTTTCCTTCTTAGACTCTAAGTAATCAAGTAGATCATCATATATTTCATTAAGATCCATATTTGATGAATATTAATATTTTTCTTTAATCCACTAGTGTTCCTCTAAAAACTTTTCAATTTCTTCGACATTAATAAATGTTAGCTCTCTTGATATCCTAACAGAGAGTTTGATTTATTTGTTCATTTTATAAATTCTCTTTGATTTAATCTTTATTGCAGAAAAAAAAAATTGTTTACTTATTTATCAAAAATAGATATCAGATATCTTTTGTAAGTTTGCAAAATATTAAAAAATCAAATGATCTGCAAAATAGAAAGTAGCATAAAATTTTATAGATAGAATTAAATAAGTTTACATAAATTATAAAAATAAATATTTACAGTTTATTCAATTATTTTTTAATTTTGATGACAAAAATGTTAAAACTTGATTGCATTAAACTAAAGTTGGATGCCCTGCAGGATAAATATTTAAAAATATTCTGTAAGCTTAAGACCCGTATTATACTGCTTCTTCTATTTTGTTTATTTTCTGAAGCATAATCATCATGTTAAACATAGTTTATGCATCTATTATATATTTGAAAAAAAAAATTATTTTAATTAATTTTATTCTTGCTTACTATTTTAGTGGTTTTCTCCTAACACTTTTTATTCTATTTTCAAGGCTTTTTCCAAAAATTCAATTCCTTTTTCATAGCTGCCTTACTAATACAAAATAATACCAATATTGTTCAAAGTTGGTGAAACTATTACAATTAATAAATAAAATATAAATTTGTTGATAGATAAATATTTTACCCTCTTAAGATTCTGTTAATTTTGCTTCATTGAAAATAGTTAAAGCTTATTCAAATAATTCTAAAGCTTTTTTATTGTTTCCCAAACCCCTATAGGCTTCTGCTAAGTTGTTTAATCCTCTTGCAACTATTATTTTTGTTATATTTATTTTTAATTTATAAACAAATTAAATTCATTACTGTCTGGGTCTGATTATTTTAATTTTTATTTTTTAATCTCTAAAGATTTTTCAAGATTACAAATAGCTTCTGTAAACATGCCTTTCAACAATTAAATAGTACCAACTTCATGTAGAGATATAGCAACTTTATTTTTATGATATCATTAAGAATTGTAAACTTAAATTTAATTTACTCTGCAAGCTGTTATTTCCATACAATTTTTTATCTATTTCATACGATCTTTCAATGCTTTATTTTGCTAACCCAATTTCACCAACATTTTTGTATGCCTCTCCCAACATACTTAGTGTATATGAAACTAAATTTTTAAAAAATTTAATTAAAACATAATATTATAAATATTCAAATTACTAGAAGAATCATCTTTGTTATTAAGATTTTATTCAAGAATTGATAAAATTTCTTTATGCAAATTAATTTGCTCTTTCAATAAACCTTTTTATTAAAGCTTAGCTCCAATTCCATTCCAATCATATGATACTTTTTTAAAAAAAATATTTTAATTATTTATTTATTTTTAAACTGCCTACCAAATTTCAAATCTTCAACTAACTGGTACTATTAACACAATTATGCTGCCTATCTTATATTGGTGATTGCTTCATTAAGATCATCTAAGCTTAAATAAATTTAAGATATCTCCTTAGTAGCAAAAATGATATCTTTTTAAACTTGCAATTAATTAACTTCAGTTGCAGAACTATGGTCTTAAGATTTTTATATAAACTCCCTGTAAGCTTTAATTGATCTATTTTTGTCACTTATTTCGTAATATCCAATTGCAATATTTAAAGTTTCTTAGAGAGTTAAAGGTTTCTTTTTCTTTTTTATTTTTTCAACTATTTTTTTAGAAAGTTCCGAGTCTGTTACTTCGTCTTTATTTTAATCTTATTTTTATTATTCTATTTCCTCCTATTTGTTTTTTTTTAATTCAGATAGCTATTCTTTTACTTTATCTTTGTCATATTTGAATAAATAGTAGATAATCTTTAGGAAATCATCAAGTTGATTTGATTTTTCTTTTTCTTCGAGCTATTTAACCAGATCATCTAACTCACTAATTTCGTATTATTTTGCATTCAAATTATAAACCTATAAAAGACTTTATGCTAGTTAAAACATTGAATAATTATAACTATTAAACTTGTTTGCTTCATTCTAAGTGTACTGGCTATAAAATTCTTTTGGGAGTGAATGTATTTTACCTACTAATTCTGTTTCTTTGTTAGTTAAAATATCTAAAGACAATATTTTATAGCTATCTGAGTTCTTATAATATCCTATGTTATCAACAGTTAAATCATTTATACTGATATTAAGTTCATTTTGAATTTCATACAATAATTCTACTAGCTATGTAAATATTTTTTTCATTGAGCCTTAGGAAAAATATTACTTATTTATTGATCTTTCTTTAATTAAATCAAATAATGTACATTATGGTTTTTGAATAAGGAATACTAGCTTTGTACCATAATTCTTGTCATTTATTTTAACTATGTTTTTAGATATAGGAGAAATATTTTCTGCATATTTATCAGAAAGATAAATATGATAAAGAAAATTAGTTATTGAATTTATAGGTGAAAGTTGTTAATTATCAAATGGAACTACTGCCAAATAATATTTTTAAGATTGCTTTACATCGAAAGCTTCATATAAACTGTAGATACTTGAGTTTATGCTAACCTTCTTTTCAAGTAATCTATGAATTTCCAAATCAGTTTTCATTTCATCTTAAATTAAAGCTTCTATGTTTAATGGACCTAGACTAAAACTAACTTTCTAAGTGCTATCTTTAATAACAACCTTAATATTTGTTTCATCTGCTTCTACTTTATTTTAGAAAACTAAAAACTCATTTTTATCATCTACTATGGTAAAAAACTTATTGCTTTTCCATTAAATTTTCATTTTTAGTTGTACTATTTTCTATAAAAATTGCTAATCAAGCAACTCACCTTTAACATTCACATAAAGGTTAATTAAGTATGAAATGTAAGATGCAAAATGGTCTGCTATATTCTATTATATTTTATCATTTTATAATTCTTTAAGTTTGGTTTCTAATTCCTAAATTTTTTCAAACAAAAACTCTCCTCTCAATGATTATCTACTTTTTTAATTGCTATTCCTTTCTTACTGAATAAGCTAAACTAAATCTAAAATATTTTTAACTTAATCAACATTTTACTCTTCGCTAATGTTTTATTATTTATTTTTTAACCAAGGCCTCATTGCTATCAACCAAATCTTTTTTTTCAATTAAATATTTATATTAGTATCTTTTTTAATTTCTAATTTTTTTAAGTATCTAGAAAATTTAATTAATTTTTAATTTTTGATCTGATGCAACCGTGTAAAAACAGTCGTCAACATATGTACACATACGCAATATTAAAACATGAATGAAATGCAAGTTAAAAAATAAAATACTATTTATTTATAATTATCAAACAATAACTTAATTATATTATTAATTTTTATAGTAGATTTTAAAACTAAAAAAATGTTTACAAGAAATAAAATAATTTAAAGTTACAGTCAATAAATGAATTAATTCATTTAAATATTATAAATATCAAGAATTTTAAGTTTTTTAGTCAATTAAATCTTCCTTATTAACAAATTTAGATATTATGTCATTAATAGCTTCACTATCATCTACTTTTTAAATATTTTCACCCTTCTTTTCCATTATTGTTTCAATATTTTATTTTTTATCATCGAACCAGCCAAGATTATCAGCTACAAGATGCAAACTATCACATTTTTCACATCTAATTAGTACTACCCCTTCATTATAAGCTTTTTTTGTAAAACTACGGGCAGATCTTGTTTCGCAAACACCACAAGTAAATATCATAAGTAATTAACCGTGTTCGAATTCTCTTGCTTTAACACCTTTTATTTGAGAAATCTTACTATAAGAAATTGTATTATCACCTGTTAGAACTGCCTCAACTTTATCTCCAGAGTTTAATTAGTACTCTTTTGTTTCTACTTTCTATTTGGATAACTACTCAATATCAATAGCATCGTTACCATGATTATGATGGTGATCATGGTCATGGTGATGATCATGTCCACAACAACCATCATGATGATGGTGGTGGTGATCTACTCCATGTTCATGATTATGATTTCCTGAAACTGAATTATCTTGATTTTAGTTAGAATTTGCCATACCATGATCATGGTGATGGTGGTGATGATGATGGCCTCCACAACATCCATTCTCATGTTCATGCTCATGGTCTTAGCCTTTCATTTTATTTGAACCACATTCCTTTTATCCACCACAACATCCATGTTCGTGATGATGGTTTTGTTAATTATCTTTCGAAAATGAGTTAAGCAATTCTTTTAATCTAGTGATATCAGGATCTTCCTGGTTTTAATGATTTGGTTATGTTTATTAATTCTAGCAAGTTTCATGATCATGACAGCTTTCTTATTTCGAATGACAAGCTCCATTATTCTAGCAGGTTTTATCAGGATTACTTTTACATCTATTTTAAGAAGAGAATCTAAAAGAAGATAAGTAACATAAATTGCCTTTTAAAGGAAAATTAAAATGATAATTCAAGCCAAATTGTTATTTCTAAAATTTCATTAATTTTCTCAAGAAGTAATTTTATTAGCTTTAGCTCTTGAGTGTATTAAGAGCAATTTTTGATAAGTTCTACATATTCTATTCTTACTTTTTATCTCTATCTAATATTGAAATTTTTAAATAAGCAAAGATTATTTTAATTATATCACAATTAATTTAAAAAGAAAATTTGTCTAAGCACTAACAATATTCTTGAAAAAATATATCTAAAATCAATATAAATATATTAAATAGTATAAAAGCTAACATTTAAAGATTTTTCTGGAATTTAAAAAGTATATATGATTGATGTATGAATAAAAATTAAATATTAAACTAATTTAATATTTTTCATTTAAACCCAAAAAAAAATAATTTAAAATTATTGTTCCATATAAAGATAGGTAGATTGTAAAAAAAATGAATAAAAATTATCGTGTTTTGTTTTTTAAGGATATTTTATTGAAATTTTGCATTAAAATAAGAAAGAAAAAAATTTTTGTAATAAATTGTTCTCAAATAATAATTAGAAAAAATTATTTACAATATTTAAAAAAAAAAGAATAAAAATATTTCATATTTATTTGTATTTAATTTATATTTAATTAAAATAATGAAAATGTGCTGTTATTTAAAAAATTAAATTTAATATCAATTTAAATTAAACAAGATTTACTTGTTATTAAAGTATTTAACAAACTATAATTTATAAAAGGTAAATATTAAAATATCAGTCACAATATAATATAAAGTAAAATAATCAAAATAATTATTTACAACAAAATAATTTAATTTATTTTAATAATATAATTCATAAATAGACTAACTAGATACCTAATTTTACTCAAATAATTCCATAGTATTCTTCTAAATAATAAGCAAATATTTAGGTTTTAAAAAACTCTTGTAAAAAAGAATCAGGATTATTTTTAGAATTAATAATCTCTTCGTGTATTAAAGAATAATCAAGGTTTTTATTTTAATAACCGTTTTTAAAGATTGGTTATTTCGGTATATGCTAAACAATATGATCTAAAAATAATTATTTTGTTAATCTTAATATATTATTTGCTACTTCTTCTTAGTTTTTTCTTTCATCAATTTGATGATCAAAACTAGTTTTATTTCTAGGAGTTAATGTTTTTGCTTATAATTTTTCAAATTATCCTTCTAATTCCATATTTAATATGCAGATGAAATCTGAGTTTTCTTCCTATTTAGTTTTCAATAAACAAATATTAATAACAATATTTGATTTCTAATCAAATTACAAAAACTAAGTCATTCATAAATGAAAAACTCATGTCGTCTAAGTACACAATATTAAAGGAGTCAGAAAATTTTTCTTTAAACTAATTAGATTCTAAGTTTTATTTTGTCTAAAGAAATAGATTAGTGAAAATTTCTACAAATAATTTTAAATTTACATCATTTATTCCAATAATTATTGGTGTAGGAGAATGAAGGTAATCAAAAAGAGACTTAGGTAATGTAGTTATCATAGCATGAGTCCACTTCAAGGGTTTTAATATAGAATGGAATAAAAGTCTATTTATAAAAAAATTGTAAATTTAATTTATAAAATAAGTAATACATAAATTATGATAGAACTGATCTTGACATTGAAACAAATACAACTGATCTTTCAAGAAGTAATGATATATAGAGCTTAACAAAATATTTGATATCTTTAAACTTTTTAAGACAATCTAGCAAACCCCATTAGCACTCAAGATATTAACAATATTCAGCATCTTACATATACAAATTGACATGTTTTTGATCAAGTTCTAATTTAGGCAAGGAGAATCTTCCTGTTTTGAATAAAGGAATTTTAGTATGTAGTAAGGTCGCAAGCTTAGCCTCAATTTCAGATTATAAATTCTATTTGATAAATTTAACATTATTTTATAAAATGATAAAAGTTTGCTTACTTTATAAAAAAATAAATCCATATCATATGGATTAACTGAGTACAACTTTTATGACTTGACTACTTTTACCATACCTATTTATATTAAATTATTTACTTTTGAGTCATTAAATATATTTTACTTAAGATATTTTCAATAACTTCTAGATAAAATTGTATATGAGGAAATTTAGTTACTATACAATAGACAGATTCTACTTCATAGTAAAATTCTTTTTTCAACTTCTATTAAAAATTAAGAAAAATTAAAAACAGTTCATATTAACTTAAAATTACCTTTTAGCTCTTAGATTATTGCTTAGGATCTTTGAAATCAATAAATGTTTTTTATTAAACACAAATGCAATATAATAGATTACTTGGATTTGCTACATCCACAATATCTTTTTATGTTGAAATAGAGTTCTTGTTGCTATTATCATATTTTTCATAAGATTAAATTGTTTTGATGGTAAAAACAAATTAATCAGAACTCATGTTATTCTTATCGTGCATCAGTATCCTAATTTTAAAAAATTAATTAACAACTTAAGTTGGATAATCCATTTAAAATAACTTACTAAAGAAGATCACTTTAGGATTATGTTTTTTGCTTTTATTTTATAAATACTCCATAAGGAAAAGATAATTAATGTACTGTTTCTTCTATTTATCTTGTTTATTCATTAAGCTTAGGATAACTATATATTGTTTCTGCTTTTACTCTAATTAATCAATAAGTAAAATAATTTATTAATAAAATTAAAACTATTTATTTACACTTAAACTTCATTTGTAGTCATTACTCTTTCTTTTATTTATGTTTAATTTGCAGATAGTATAAAAAAATTTTCCATTAAATTATTCTTGCTGACAAACTCTTCATTTAAATAATCTGAATAGCCTTTATCTTAGTTTTAAAATTTTTTTGAAATATCCATCATATTTTTAGGACTTTTTATCTATACTAAATAATTTAAAAATAAATCAATTATAATCATTTAAATTAATTTAGGATAATTTTCTAAAATATGTAATTTATTCTTATTTTAAATTTCATTTAAATTAATTTTTTAAAAATAAAAAAAGTTTGCTTTACCTATTAAATAAATATAATGTGTTACAAAAAAATAAAATATATGATAAATAAGGGGTTGGAGAATTAATTTTTGAGAAGCTATATAATTTTATTTAATGAATAAATTACCTTTTTGCACCTTTTATATACTTTCATTTATGCTAGTTGATTCTATAGATGATTAAATATTACAGCTTCCATAAAATTTACTTTTATCATTAGCATCATTAAACTATTATATTGCTATCTTACTACCTAAACCTATTATTTAACATGAAAATTAACTTTGATAAAAAATTAAGTTTTACCTGAAGAAAAATTGCTGTCAGGTTCATAAATATTAATTTGATTATTATTTTAAAAATTATCATTTATAAAATTATTTTAATTCTAAAATGTTATTTAATTAGAAGCTTTAAATGCATAATTTTGCATATTTAGTATTTTTTAAGGATACAATTCTTTTAAATTACTTTGATATCCATCTAAATTTGAAATTTAGCTTTACATATAATCTTAAGTATTTAATCTTCTTGCTTGAATGTGTTTTATTTAACCTCCTTATAATTCACTTTATTTTTATTCAGAGGAGTATATAACCTAAGAATGTTACTTTTCTGATTTATTATCATTAAATATTATGCTTCCAACTTCAAAAAAAGCAGAGTGTTACGAATGATCATTGTCTTATAGTAGATTTTAGCTATTTTTTAGGTTTATTTATTAATGTTAAGTACTATAAAATTAATTTTAATTATTAAAAGATATCTAAGATTAGCTTATGGAGTTATCCTGATTAAAAATTTTATTTGGTATTCCTTATTATATTTACTAGACTTGCGAATTTTAAGAAATTTAAACTTATTAATTGTTTATTTGGTTCATACTATTAGAGTAGTGCATTTAAGGAAACTATTCAAATATCTTTCTTGTTTTAGTTTAAGATGTAGTTAAATTTTATTATTTTTCTTAAATTTTTTACTACTCCTATAAAGTTTAGTTTCTATGGTGGTATTAATTTTAGTTATTGAAAATCTTCTGATTATTATTTTTATTTGATTGCTTATCATATTGATAATTGCTTTAAGGTTAATTGTTGACTGCAGAGTCTTAATTTAATTCACCATACAATTATGATTTAGGATCAATAAATTAAGCAGTCTATCCTTTTAGTTCTTATCTAAAGTAATTGAGTTAAGGACTTTCTGTAATTCCAAATGTCATTTATTTGGGCTAATGAAAAATAGGTTCATTTTAGTTAGAATCATCATTTAATACATAGCTGTTTGTTAATCTTGTTGTATCTTAGTTATTAAAACTATTTGAATGATTAGATGTATTCATTATCATATTTTATTTAATTTCAAATTCTTTTGGAGTTTATTTACTAGTTATAAGACTTTTATTATTATTATTAATATTAGTATAGCTTGAATTTTCATCAAAATCATCTTCTTCCCTATTACCAGAGTTTTATTAATCATCACTATCTTCATCCTCATCATCAGTGTAATTAGGTTCGTTTTCATGGATTTTATTATTTGATAATTAAAGGCTACCTTCTTTACCCTGTTGTTATATTTTTATAAATATTTAAATAATTTTTTTCTCTAAAAATTTAAAAATATTTTACTTTCTATTTTTATATTATATTATTATCAATATTTATGTTATTGTAATCAGTATTTCCTGCAGACTAAGTTTATTTGTTAATTGGACTGCTATTCTAGCTTGATGAAAATATATTCGAGTTTTAGCTAATTTTTAAGAAGTTTTGCTCATATTTTTTTTAAATATTTTTAAAATTGGATGCTCCGTTATATCTATTATTTGGAGAGTGATCAAACCTAGAACTAGATACTGACAGATTTGATTCATTTAATTAGAGTTTATCATTACTTCTTTGCTTGTTTGATTAGGTATCATTTGGGAATAAATTAATTTGCACTTAAGGAGCTGAGTAAGGGCTAATGTATGTTAATTTATTATCTGTATTATTTACACTATCTGCAGTACTTTGATTTTCTAAATTAGGGATGGCTTTTGAAAAAGTGAACATATTTCTTTGGGATGCTTATGATTCGCTGTTCACATTCCCTTTAGATTATTCTTGCATACTATAAAGCTAATCTGGTTATTAATTTTGATAATTTTAAAAATTGCTATTTTTATTAGAAGAGAAGTTATTTTAATTACTTGAGATGGCATTTTAATTTTGTCCATCTACATATATTGTTGAAACTGGCATTTGAACAAAATTTAATTTGCTATCATTTTAGATAATACTATTTTTGTTAAATAAAGGCTTGGTACTTTCAAAATTTTTTGCTTGGTTTATGTGGTTATCAGTATTTTACTCATCTTATACATTTTCGCTCTACTAATGATCATGAACAAGAAGACTATTTTATTGATTTCCTATTTTTGAGGAATTCATTGATAAAACATTTTTGCATTCTTCTTACAAATTATGAATGACTTTATCTTATTATGATAATTTGTATTATAACTGTTTATTTTGCTCTTGTAGCAGTTTGATAGTTTTTTTTTAATCTTCACACTATTTTTTATATGATTCCTTACTTAGCTAGACCTTAGATAAATCCTACTTTAGCTCTTCATTTTTTTATTAAAGCTACTAATTGAAATTCTTGCTTTACTTAAGTGCTTCGACTAATTTATAGATTTCTTCATTGTTACTTTTGCTTTGGAATTAACTCATTTCACTATTTAACAAAATTTTTTAATTCTATTTTTATCAATATTTTAATAAAAACAGTTGAAATTTTTCCTAATCCTAAGACCTATATTTTTGCAAACTATTTAATAATCCCATATCCAAAATATTTGTTTTTAATCTTTAATTAAGCTACCTCACATCTTTCTGAATGAAAAATTTTTAAATTATTGGTACAGGAGATTATTTAAATAATACATATTTTAAATTCTAAGTAATTCTTATTCCTTGAAATATTTCTGATAAAAAATGTTTAAGTGTACAAAAAATTAATTTTTATTTTAAATAAAAACAATTAGCTATTTTCTAAAATAAATATTGAACACAAAATAAATAAATAATATGTCAATTTAGTTTAAATTTTGCTTATAAAACTATATTTATAAAAAACATGCACTGATAACTTTAATTAATATTTTAAATATGAGTTAAAGCACAAACTAATTAATATAAATTACAGTAAAACAATCAAATTGTTCTTTTTTGCTTTTTATTTAAATATAATTCTGCTAATTCTTGAAAAACTATTACTTATGTTTATTATTATTTACTTAATAAAATAAATCAAATTTATGTTGGCTGTTTTGTAAAATGATTCAATTTAAAACGTCTTCTTATTTTGCAAAAAATTAGTTATCTTGAGTGTTGTCTAGTTAATAATCTTAATTATTTTCTAACTAATCCATTTCTTTAAACAATAGCTAATTTTATTCATCAATATCCATTCCTTAAACATTAGGCAAGAATTTGCTTTTTGCAATTTTCTTTTGTAAATTCATTTATAAAATATTTTTAGATTCTTAATCAGGCTCCTCTTCGCTCATTGAAGATTCGCTATTCATTGGATTAAATTACTTATTTGCATCTTTTTAATATTATTAATGAATTTATAGTGCTAAACTGTTTAATTGTTGTTATTCTTATTCATTCATGTTTTTGATTTTATTATTAACTTTTTTAAATATTTCTTCTATATTTGGATCATTAAGGTTAATGATATCCTCCTGAGGTAAATTTTATGGAATATATGGGTAATCAAAAATTCTAATTTTATTTGTATTAAGGCAATTCCCAGCAAAAAAATCCTCTGGTAAAGAAGTTTCTAAGAACTTTTCTAAAGTAAAATTATCCAAGAAAACATTTTAATCATATTCAGACAAAATGTAAATATAGCAGCCTTTACCAGTAAATTTTTCTCCCCTTTTAAAATCTAGAAATTTCAAACTATTTAGTTTAACTTCATTAATTAGCCTATCATAATATCTTTCCCACTAATGAACTTAGCCATATCTTATTTTAGGGAAAATAATTCTCATTTCAATCTTTTTCCTATGATTTTGTTTACTATAAATTACCTGAAATTTTCAAATATAAAAAATTACCAAATGGGAGGCGATTAAGGGTCTATCGGACTTGGTTCTTGAATCATAGGACGATTTAATCGCTTTTATAACTCTTCGTTTTCTATTTCTTCAATTTCAGAAGAAGTCAATTTCTTTTTGTTAAATTTTTTAAAAGTGTATCTTTCAAATTTTTATCCTTTGCCCTTTTAATAATTAATAAAATAGCTTTAACAATAAAATCAATAATTATATTAAAGTTATTAAATTTTTATGTTGATCGATAAATAAATACCTTCGTACAGCCAATACCAAACTAAATTAAATATCTCCTAATTTGTTACTTGCCTATTCCAAATAATTTCGACGCCTTATTTACTGTCATTTCTTAATTATTAAGGAAAAGATAGGTCATTTGCTTTATTTTTTCAGAGTTAAGCATAAAAGGAGGAGCTCTCTTTGTTTCTTTTTTTTACTTAGATTACTTTCTTTCTTCATAAATTCTCCATTAATTCTAGACTATTCTTGGTGTCGACTCATATCCGAGTTAGATAAGAATAGTATTTATCTCTTCATTAGTATATTCCCTTTACTTTAATGAGACTATGAGACTTTTTGCCTCTATGTTTATAGGCTAAGAAGTTAAATTCATGGTTATATAGATTAAAATCGCAAGGTATGTACAAAATATATTCAGGTAGTTTTTTTTCTTTTTAATCCTTAAATTATTTTTAAAAATAAATAAATAATTAATTAATTATTTTAAAGAAGAATTGAATAATCTATATATATATACAAAAATAAATAACACTCATTGTATAAAACATTTAAAAAGTTTATTCATGTATATTTTTTTTAAGTTTTATAATAATTAATAGTGTGGTAAGAAGGTAATTTTTAATCTTAACAACCTATATATTAATTGAAAATTCTATTTGGCTTTTTTTAATTATCTTCTAATAATTTTCCCATTTATAAAAAAAAATGAACCCATAAATACAAAATTAATTTTTAAAGTTGGGATATATCAAAATTATCTGCTTAATTAAATAATCACAAAAAAAAATTTTTATATCAATATCCATTAAAAATAAATATATGTTACCAAAATAAATATAAGGATGATTTATTTGCAACAGCGAGATCTATATGATCCATGAAAACTTCATTTACGTCGATAATCTGATTTTTTTTAGCTTTCATTTTAGCGGTTTTACACAAAATAACGAGTTTGAAAACAAATAAAAGCACATATTTATCAATTACTTATTTTATATTTTTAAAAGAAATTGATCTATATTGAATGATTTATTAATTAAAGACACTAATATTTTTTTTAATTAATAAATGCTATCAACCCATAATTTTTATCATTCAAATTAGGAGCATTATAAAGAGATATCAAAGTAAATTAAATTAAAGTAATAAAGATATTTTTAAAGATTAAATAAATAAATAGTTAAACATGATGTATAAAACGCATGGAAAGAGGTTTGTAGTTAACCCTACTGAACCCAGGGTTAAGCCATCCCTCGATGAATCCATACCAATCGTCTGATTATTTTTTATATTATAAAGTATTAGGCTTGATATTAAAATATATTATTTTAAAAAGTTAAATATTATTTTATTAATAATTTACTTTCGATGCTTGAAAATATTCTAGAAATGAACTTATAATATTTGTTGAATTTCGTAATACTTAAAACTAACCAGACTAAAAAATGCGAAATATCTTTACCTAATACGCTAAAATATATATATTATTTCTATGTGTTTGAAATATCAGAAAGAAGATACTATTTTTTTTACTTTTAATTAAATTTTTAAAGATATTTCAGTCTTTTTTTGAACAAAAAATATTAAATCAATCATTTTCAATTAATTAATTGGCAATAAGTATTAGAAACAAATGAAAAGGGTTCTTAGCATCATAAATAAGAGCAAATTTGCTTTTAGCTCTGACTAACCTCTAGCAAAAACTGCTCTTTGTGAATTTCACAAGTCTTAATTAAATGCAAAAATGGTCGAATTTGCAGGTAACCATATCACTTATTATTAAACCTTATTTTTGATATTGATTTGATTGATTAATAGATTTTTGTAATATATGAACTCCTATTTATCAAAATTATTAATAACAAAGGATACGAAATGCCTGTTTAGTACAAAGAAGGAGTTCTTAAAGAGCATTTACATACTAGAGAAAGTGCTTCACTATTTGATGTCTCCCATATGGGTTAAGTGAAGTAAATAAAATAAAAGTTTTGAAAATAATAATCATTATTTATAATATTAATAGGATTAGAGGTAAAGATTCTGTTGACTTTATTGAAAAGCTTATTGTTGGTGATATCAGAGGTATATTTCAATATTTTTTTCTATTTTAAAAATAAATATTTCAAGATGTAATTAGCAGATAAGTTTACAAAAGACAATAAGGAATTCCATATAGATTTCTTAAATTTACAACAAGAAAAAAAATATAATAAAATAAATAAATAATAAACAAATAAAATTTAATAAAGTATGATAAAAGAAATCAAAGCAAATTATGAATTGAAATTAAATGTTAAAAAAATTAATAATTAAATATTATTTTATTATTAAATATCTAAAATTTCTAAAACTTATGAAAAATAGGTAAGCCTGTAGCTGAAGGCTTTTTGAGTCTCATTTTGAACAAAAATGCAGGCATTATTGATGATACAATTGTTACTAAGTTCGATGACCACATGTAATAATAAAATTAATTAATATTTTAAAGATATCTATATTTTAAATATTAGTCACATGGTTGTTAACGGTGCTAACAAGTATATTGATTTAGAACACATGAAAAAATTAAAAGAAGAATTTTTTGCTAATTCTGATGTCTCAATCGAATATTTAGATACAAGATAACTTATTGCAATTCAAGGTTTAAAATTTTTTTTTTTTATTGTAATTTCTAAAATCTTATTTAAAAATTAGGTCCTAAAGCTGCTTAAGTTTTATAAAATCTTACAGATACTGATTTATCAAAAATTAAATTTATGCATCATGTTGATCTTACTCTTAAAGGAGGTATGAAGGTCAATGCATGCAGATGTGGATACACTGGAGAAGACGGTTTTGAAATCAGTGTTAGTGAATAAGAAGCTGTTTAATTAGCTGAGTTACTTTTGGCAAATCCACTTTTAAAACCTGCTGGTCTAGGTGCAAGAGATTCTCTTAGAGTTGAAGCTGGTCTTTGCTTGCACGGATAAGATATGAGCCCTTAAATCTCTCCTGCTGAAGCCACCTTACTCTGGACAGTTAGAAAGACAGTAAATATAATTAATTAAATTAGAAATTTAATTTAAAATAAAATTATTTAATAGAAGGATAATCCTTTCCCAGAAAAGTAAAAGTTCTTAGGAAGTGAAGTTTTAGCAAAACAAAGAAAAGTATATCAACTTTAAATAGTTTAGCAAAATAATCAAATTATTTTTAATTAGGAGGGAGTTTCTTAGAAGAGAGTTGGATTTGCAGTAAAAAATAATGGTATTATCAGATAAGGATGTGATGTACTTGATGAATAAGGAAACAAAGTTGGTCACGTTAGCAGTGGTACTTATTCCCCTATATTAAAAAAAGGAGTTGGAATGATTTTTGTTCCTCCTGCTCTTTCATCAGTAATATTTATTTATTTAAATAGATATTAGTTAATATTATTATGCTAAATATAATTTTATATATATAGGTTGGCTAATAACTTAAGGCTGTTTCTAAAGGTAAAGAATTCCCAATCGAAGTAACCAAAATGCCATTCGTAGAAGCTAAATACTACAGAGGATAATGAAAAATAAAAAATATTTTTTCATTTTAAGTCATCATTATTTATGTTATTTCATGTAAATTAAATAAGGAAGTAAAACTTTAAAATAATGTTATAAATTTTTTTTTAACATTAAATGTATAAATTATAATTAAAAAATTATTATGCTTTGAGAGAGGATTTTATATTCTTTTTATTTAAAAACAATTTATTAAAATTAATATTTAATTTAAAAATAAATTTAATTTTGAGATTTATAAATGATATTTTACAAAGTAACTATTTGACTAAAATAACAACTTTATTAAAATTAGTTTCAAATAATTACAAATTGGATTCTTAATTATAAAAAAGCTTATCTGAGAGCGAGCTTGTTAGTTAAATTTTAAAGGTGTAAATATTATAGAAAAGAAAAGAAAATAAAATAATAAGCATTGAATAAGACATTTTCATAAATCAAACAAGCAAAAAATTAAATTAATTAGTTAACTAGTTTTTTATTGGAATTATTTTTTAATTATTAAGATAATCAAATTTATATATATTTAATAAAATAATAGAAAAATAGATGGATACTTAAAAGAAAATATATACTTAGCCTTAAGCAAGATAAGATAAAAAATCTTTATACTTACTGATAATTGATTTTGTAACAATAAGTATTATATTTATAATAGTTTGTTATTCTTGCTTTGCCTCACATAGAACGTTATCATATTTAATTATTTTCTAAGGTATTTCTCATGTGTTTGTGCTTTCACTTAATCTAAAAATTACATTTTCCAAAAATACATTTACAAAGGATTGCTTATAAGAGGAATTAACAGCAACTAAAGCACAAGCTATGGAAATTAATCCTCACAAGTTAAAGTTTTGTAAGATTTTAAGCAGCAGAGTATTAAATTATTTTTATGAAATTATAAGGTTCTCAGCTTATTTTACTTTTATAGAAGCCCTTCTTTAATTCCAAAGTAGAATTTAGTTTAGTATAATAATTATTTCCTTTATATCAGCTTTTTCAAGCTCTACTTTATTAAAAATTGAGAACAAAAAAATTTAAATAATAAGCACTCTATTACAATAAACATATACATTCATTCGATTAATCCACTTATGTGATTACAATATTGAGGAGTATATTTTGAATTTTCTGCTTATTATCTACATTTTATCCTAGAGATTTTATTCAGAAGATGCATCCTCTTAAGATTATCACGATCCTTAAAAAAGAAATATAATGGGATAATTAATAGTAAAATTTTATAGGAGTTTACTTTAAGTTATACCTGAAGGTTTAGCAATTATTAACCTAGATAAAAAATTACTGTATGCTAATCCTACTTTAAAAAAAATTTTTTAAGTAAATAAGAAAGAAGATATATTAAATGCCTTAATGAACTTAGGAAAGAGTGATGAGCAAGAAGGAAAAGAAAAAATTTTTAAAAGCCCAAAGTTATTAGAATAAAAAACGATAAATAAAAGGAAGAAGATGCAAACACTCATCCCACATCTAGACAAACATTTTTTTTAAGCATAAAATGAAATTAGATAAACTAGCTAAAGCAAATAGATAGAAATTTTAAAAAATTCTACTTCTAGATAATAATAAACACAGAGTACGTTTGCTATATTTGAAAGAGATATTATTTGCGAGGATTCATAAAAGAATTAGTGTTTTGCAAATTAAGGAGATGTGAAATAACCTACAGGTTAATAAAATATAAAAGTTTCCATGTACAATAACGAAAATGATAATTCAGATAAAGATTAATAATAAATACAAGAAAAAGCATAAGAAAATTTTAGTATAGAAGAAGACAAAGAATAATGCGAAATCAATTAAGAATTTTAAAGTAAGTCATAAAATCAAAAAAATCGCTTAAGCTATCAAAAATCTAGAAAGTCTATTAAAAATCTAACGTCTATTCCCAAGTTCAACCTATAAGATACACATTTTGATGCAGTATTTATGTTTGATTAATTAATTTTTTTAATTCTATTATAATTAAAAGATAGGAAGCAAAGACATTCAAAAGTAACAATTCAAAGATATTGTGAATTAAAATAACAATTCAGATACAGAATCAGAAGAAAGTGAAATATTATCCATAGAGGATTTAGGGATTGATATAGATGAAGATGAGCATATTCACAAATTATAATTATAGTTTATTCAAGATAGTTTAAAATAAGTAAACTATAATTAAAATATTATGAGTGACTCTAATTTAATCAAGTATAACCAAAGCAAAGTATTTGATTAAATAAATAGTGATTTAGGACTAAAATAGCCGAATAATAATTTTTCATCTTAAAAGAGCTAAAATATAAATAACCTAAATGATACTCAAAATTTTAATATATAGATTGCAGAGACTCAAAAAAATGGCTAGTAAAATTAGTTTGACGATACATATAAAAGCAATAACAATCAATCAAATATGCATGAAAGTTGTAATAAAGAAATGGTGACATTAAATTCTCCAAAATAAGAATATTCATTCTATGACTCCATGCTATAAAATTCAAAATTTCGTTCAGGAAAGCCGTTTCTAAATAATAAAACAAAAGAAAATAAATATAATAATTTATAGAATAGTAAAAAACTTAAACAGTATAATCCAGATCAGCATGAATAAGATGATAATTTTAATATTTAGAAAAAAGAAAAATCAATCTTAAGAGTTTTTAAAAATGGTAAAATATCTTCATTTTTTACTTTTAAAATACTAAATAAATAATATTATTTAATTTATTTTTATCAAACATGTGTTGTCAAAATAATCAATAAATTCTATAAATATAATAACAGGCGATTCTAATAAGGATATTTATCTTTAATAAACAAATGTAGATTAAATAACAGATGATCTTTTCAAACGATACTTACAAAAATAAAATCCAAACATAAATTATTCTGATAAAAATAAAAATATTTAGGTAAATAATAAAAAAAGTACTTCCTTCTTACAAAAGTTTAACTTTAAAAGTATGAGAGATGATATAAAAAATTTGGTTAGTCAAAACAGAAACAAATTTAATAGAGTTAATTCCTTTATTTCTCATTTAAAAAAAATTAATTAATCTAATGAAGATAGCTATATTTAAGAAAATAATTTCATTACTAAATTATGTGTAAATTTTTTTTAATTTTAGAGTATTTTAAAAATTAAATATTTATTATAGATAAAAAAGAAAAACAAAGAATTTATTTTACAGTTCATTCTAATAGACTTGGATATTGATAAGTAAAAAAGCAACCCATTAATATTAATATTAGTTCAAGATGCTTGGAAAGAGTTATATCAGAAAAAGGTTGACGACCTTCAGAAGAATAAGATGAAAATATTTGGTAGTCTCTCACATGAGCTGAGAACTCCTCTAAATTGCTCGATATCAATGCTTGAGGTTTTAAAGGATCAACTTTCATAATAAAATCCTTAATATATTAATGAATATATTAATCCTGCACTCTTCTCAAATAAACTTCTTTTGAACTAAATTAATGATATACTTGATTTTGTATAGATGGATAGTGGCAAATTTAAGTATAGTTTCTTTGACTTTAATATAGAAAATTTATTGAAAGATTGTACAAAACTTGTAAGCTTGTAAGCATAAATGAAAAACTTGGAATTATACACTATATATGATCCTAATGTACCAGAGATAATATGTTCTGACCCTAATAGAATCAGATAAATTATTCTAAATTTTCTTTCTAACTCTCTTAAATTTACTTAATCTGGATACATAGAAATTGGGATTAAGCTTGTAGATGTTGGGATTTATAATATTTATGTCAGAGATACTGGAATTGGTATTACTGAATCAAATTTAGAAAATCTTTTTGATTTCTGTGGAAAAGTAAGTTTTTATTTATTATTTTTTATATATTAACATTTATTATAGATGATAATTTTTAATCGATACTTAAAATCCTTTTTTGATTTAATTAATAATAGATAAACTATAACAAAAAAGATGAAGTTCTAAATAATCAAGGTTGTGGTTTAGGACTCACTATTTCCAATTCTATTGCTAAGGATTTGATTGACAGAAATTAATATGAGGGAGGTATCAAGGTTGAATCCAAATATGGTGAAGGATCTACCTTCAGTATTTTAATTTAAGATAGGAGAGAAGTTTTAGCTATCAAAAAACAATCAAAATATTTTAAAATGTCCTCTTATAATAAGAATATTGAGTAGCTGATATAAATAACAAGCAAATAATATGATGATAAAAGTTTGAACAGTGATAAAGATAATATAAAAAATAACATATCTGATGTTTAAAAAAATAGAAGTTTATCAAATTAATTTGGTCAGTCAAGTCTAGCTTATAATTTTAATGGAATAAACTAGAATGATTTTCATTTTGAAAATTTTAAAAAGCAGTAGAGTAATTTCAATTATTTTACTTAAAATAAACCAAGTATTGATAACCATTTGAGTAAAATTGATTCTGCAACAATAATTGAAGAAGAAGAGGAAAGTAAAAAAATAAAATTCTAACCTCAAATCAAAATCAATCATTCTCCATGGCTCAAATAGGATTCTAACCATATTTAAGCTAGATTATTTTAATAAAATAGTTTTCAGTAAAAATAAGACAATAATAAAAATAATTAAAATAGTTTGAAGGAAAACTCATAATTTAGTAAATAATCATAATTTTTTTCTCTTTTACAGATTGATGATATTGAAAAAGTCTAATCAGAGAATTCATACATCTAAAATTAAAAGTAACTAGTATCTTAATCAATGACACATATTTGCAATAAGTAAACATAAAATACATCTCGTAAGAAGAGTTTTTACAACTAAAACACATAAAACTCAAACTAAAAATCATAAAATAACAAGATTAATATTATTGACTTAGAATAGAAATCTCAATTAGAGTAGGAAGGTTTTACTTCTTATATTATACAAAATAACAAAAAAACTGAGAATTCTGCTTCTTTGACTTATGTTCAGAACCCATTAAGCCCTTTTGAAAAATAAAGATAAACTTTGTTTTCTAGGACAAACAAATAACTATCATCAACTTCAATTATGCAATAACCATTAGATAACTTTTAGTAAGATGAGAAAAAATTAAATTAAAGTATTAATATGCACCCTGAAGTTTAATCAGGTGGGACAATCGTATAATAAATTGTAAATATTAATTAATAAACTCTATGTACATGCCCTTAGATAATTATAGTTGATGATAATCAATTTAATCTCTACGCTCTTTCAAAAATAATTAAATAATTTAAATTTTAGTGTTTAACAATTTCAAATAGCTTGGAAACCATGCATAAAATTAAGTAAATGTTTAGCTAGAAGTGCTGTTTAATGCCAAAAATTATTTTTATGGATATTGATATGCCAATAAAAGACGGCTATCAAGTGGCATCAGAAATAAATTAATTTTATAAAGATGCTGGTATAACTAATTTACCTACAATCATAGCATGCACTTCATATGTAGGCCAAGAAGATAAAGATATGGCATTTTAATCTGGCATGAATGATTTCATTAATAAACCTATCTTAAAGAATGCTTTCGTTTAATTATTAATTAATTGGTAACATCTTTTCATTTGAATAAGTTAAAATAATTTTTTTACTATTAATTTGGTAATAAGTTAAATATAATTATTATTAATTATTTAAATTTCAAAATTAGTTAATTATTTAATTGTAGATATTTATTTCAATCAAAATATTTTTTTTATACACTTTATACTTTATGATAAAAAATAATTTTGTCTTTATTTAATTTTCGAATATTAAATTAAAAATTTTTAATTCATTAACTTTTTCATTAAAACAAAATCTTCTATTAAAAGAAATTTTATATTTATCAAATAATTTTTTTTTCCTTTTAAAGTTTTATTTTGAAAATATTATCTTTTATTTGATTAATATATTTAATTCTAATTAATTTGTTTAATTTAATTAATAATAAATTAAGGATCTTATTGTAATAAATAAGCAGCAACCTATTTAAAATTAATTATTTAATTTAAAATATTTTTAAAGTTATTCTTTTAGCAGATAAAAATTAATTTTTGAATTTATGGAGTCAAGAAAATTTTAAAAATTATACTTTTAATATTATTATAATGAATTTATCAAAATATATATCAATAGACATTTATAAATTAAACACAATTTAATTTGCTTTTATTTATATTACACTATTATTGAGTGATTAATTAATTTCACTAATAACTTTTATTTATTTTTGTACGTTACTTGAAAAAATTTGTCATTAATTAATTAAATAAATAATATAATATCCACAAAAAACTAATTAATATAGTTAAGTAATACAAAATAGCAGATATGAATTCTTAAACTTCAAAATGCTATTTTAATGAAGCAAAAATAAAGGATATGGAAAAGAAATAATATTATACAAATGTGGTTAATATATCTTCTCTATTTGTCATACTTCTATTAATTTCATTATAGGCTATTTAATAATAGATTATTTTATTAGGGATTATGATTTTGATGCTAGGCATAAAATTTTTAATTCTAGGTATAGTTTAAATAAGATTAGCAATTATAAATACAAATAATTTAATTTAAAAAAATGAAATAACTTCAAGGAAAGGCTAATATTTCAAATTAAAGTATATATGCTAGAGAATAATTAACTTAAAATATATAAGATACTATTTTTTAATTTTGTAGATTATAATTTATATATGCTTCTTCGAATTAATGATAATGCAATACTAATAAATAGAGTAAGTTATAGTCTGTATGATGATACTTTCTGGATTGATTAATAATTTAAGCTAAACGCTTCATTTAAAAAAAATAAGATTGTATACGTTAGCTTTAATCTAAACTTACACATTTTTGAGAATATGGATTCATTATGAAATAGATTCTTATTTTTTTATATTCAATATTCTATTTATTATTTATACAATATCACACTTTAAGTACTTTTTTGGGATGTAAAATATATAAAGATTAAATTAAAAAATGCATCAATAGAAAGTAGACCTAAAATTAAATTTATATAAAAAAATTCTTGAATCAACTCCAGGAGGTATAGCAGTTATAAGTTCTGAAAGCAAGCTCCTTTATTCCAATTCTTTTCTTTAAAAAATCTTAAAAGTAAAGTAGAGGGGAGATGTAATATAAGTTTTAAGTAACATAGGAAAAGCATAAAATTAAAATTTATAGAATTCTCATGAAATAATAAGTGATTAGATATAAAAAACAGAAGGTATTTTTCTTGTAAAACCAATTTAATCATAAAGAGAAAACAATTAAAATAAATTAACTTAGTAGTTAAGTTAAGCAAATAATAATTAATAAGTAAATTAAGAATTTCCTATTTCATAACCTAGCATAGAGAATATTAAATCTCATAAATTTAATTAAAATCAAATAAGTTGTGAAAATTAATAAAAAGATATTAAAAATATTAAATATTAAATGGCAAAAAGTGAAAAATTAGTTTAAGAACATGAAGAGAACTATAAAAAAAAACTGAAAGGAATAAACATATCAGAGGAAAAGTTAAAAAATAGAGAGTAGCAAAAAATAAAGCAAAATATTTAATATCCTAATTATTTACATTTAAGTTAGCAATCTTCTGATAGTCTAAATATGATAAAGTTTCAGAATTAAATCACTGATTAACTATAAAAAGTAAATTATTTTTAAATTTGTTTTAAATTTTATTTTAACTTCTCTTTTTATTTTTATAAAGTCATTCAGGTTTGGCTCTGCAAAAAATATTACAAATTAACATAATAACAATACAAAAGATGAAAACAGTGAAGGTTTATCATTTTAAGAGCTCACAATTTCATTTAATGACTCAGAAAAAGATGCAAATTGCTAAAATCCGTAAATAAACCAATAAAATTAAAATGAAGATAACTTCATTTAGAAAAATGTAGTTGAGCAAAGTTAAATGAAATCATTTAAATCCTTGACTTTTAAAAACTAAAATAAAAGATTTTCAGTTAATTTATGTAAAAAAGTGTAAAGTTAAGATGAAAAACAAGAAATTTATTAATAAATAAGTGCCTAAGATATTAAAAATTTAGATAAATTGATTTATGAATAGTAAAAAAACAATTCAATCAGAAAAAATAGTATCCTAAGCTCTAAGATTAGCGATTTTAAAAGCTCTAAAAGTAAGAAATTTCTATAGATGATGGATGGTAACAAAAAAAGTAGCTTGATATTAGGAGCTAGTTTAGAAATCCAAAGAAAGCAAATAACAAATAAAAATGTTAATTTTTCAAGTGATTCATTTAACTAAATTCAAAATTAGTGTAAAATATTAATTTAAAATTATATTTTTTTTAAGTTTTTTATTAAAAGAATTTTAGGTAAAGTAAAATGAATCTAATGATATTATAGCAAAAAAAACTAGTGTAAGTGAAATTATAAGTTAAATTTTCTCAAAAAACACTTCATAACAATTATAAAACTAAGATATCAAAGGCAAAGTTTCCATATTGTAAAATAAACAAAGTGAAATCTAAAAATTTTTTAAATAAAATGAAGAAGATAAAAAATAAAACTAACATCTTGATAATACTGTAGATCTACCTAAACTTAATGATAAAAGAAAATCATTTATATCTTAGCTTAAGTAACAGTAAGAAGAAATTCATTACATGCAATAATGTGATGGTATAACTAAACTCTAGGTAAATTTATAAAATTAAAAAATAGTAGCTTTTATGTAAAATATTAAAAAGCAATTAAATTAAAGATACTTCATTTATTTATTTTTATATTTTTATAGATATTCAATAATATTTTTGATATAGGTTAACTATAATAATTAAGACTTACTATTTAAGTTTGTTCCGTTAGATTTGAGTGATGAAAAAGATAATAATTCAAATCATGTTCTTATTTTAGTATCAGATATATGGAGAGAGTTGTTTTAAAAGAAGGTATCAGAAATACAAAAAGAAAAAATGAAAATATTTGCAAGTTTATCTCATGAGCTAAGGACACCTCTAAATTGCTCTATTTCTATGCTTGAAGTACTTAGAGATGAGATCTAGTCATCCAACCCAACTTATATAGAAGAGTATTTAAATCCTGCCTTATTTTCAAATAAATTATTGCTTAATTAAATTAATGACATTTTGGATTTTGTGTAACTAGATAGTGGTAAATTTAAATATACTTTTTTTGATTTCAATTTATAAGGGCTGTTAAAAGATTGCTAAAAATTAGTTAGTATTTAAGCGAAAATGAAAAACATAGAGATCAAATTATTTATAGATCCAGATGCTTCAGATATTATTTGCTCTGATCCAAACAGAATTCGTTAGATTGTATTGAACTTTCTTTCCAATTCATTGAAATTCACAAAGTAGGGATATATTGAAATTGGATTTGTTTAAATTTCTTATGGATTATATAAACTTTATGTGAAAGATACGGGGATAGGTATTACAGAAGAAAACTTATAAAAGCTATTTACTTTCTGTACAAAAGTAATTTTCCTAATATTAAAAAAATAATTTGTCAAAATTAAACTATTTTTCTAATTTTGTGGCAAATTTAATTGAGATTATTATTTTTGCTATTAAAAAGATATTATTTTTTCAAACAGTATAAGTTATAAAGTCAATATAAAATAATTTGATCATATTTTTTAATTAAAAAATTATATTAAAGAAATTAAACATTCTAAATAAAAATAAGTTTGAAAATTTTTTTGTTAACCAATTTAAATTTTTAATCAATCAGATAAAATATGATAAATAAGATGAAGGACTCAATAATCAAGGATGTGGTCTTGGCTTAACCATTTCCAATTCAATAGCATAAGGCTTAGTAAATAGGCAAAATTAAGAAGGAGGAATAACAGTCGAATCTGTATATGGCTAGGGATCCACTTTCAGCATTATAATTCAAGATATGAATATTACTGATTATGAAGAAAAAAACCACAAAATGAATGAAATACTGGAGTAACTTAACAGCTCATTCAAAAAAATAAAGTAGTAAATTTAAACTACTTCATAAGAAGAACAAAAATAAGGTAAAGGTAATAGTGATAGTCCTAACTAAGCAAACCTTTCAAAGGGTTCAAACTATTACTTGGAAAATCTGTCAAGGTAACTTGGTGAAAAAAACTCAAAAAAAAACTATGAAGATTTTAATAGTAGTATTGATTCTCATAGGAGTTAAGAATAATAAGTAAGCATTAGAAACTATTCGAAATCAACAATTTGTCAAAAACAAGTAAGGAAAAAGGAAGATAAAATTTCTAGTGGTGAATTAAGAATTTAGCAAATATTAGCAACAAGCTAGCTGAAGATTGATTCAACAGCAATATTCGATGACGAAAATGATTAAAAAACAAAATAGTATCAATAAACAAACCTATTTGAGTATCACAATTAACATTTAAATAGATTTTAAGAAGATTCTTTTTAGGAAAAGAAATAAGAACTTGTTAATCCCCCTAACTATGCTTCTAATAGCTATAGAAAATTAGAGTAAGGAAACCATTAACAGAATGAAGTCTTTAAGAACTCAAAAAGAGATTCAATTTTAAATAATATAGTTGGAGATGTTTAGTCATCTCAATAGATAGAATATTCTCAAAAATATTTTTAAGAATAAAAAATAGGATAAAATCAAGTTAAAAAAGAAAAAAGCATTACTTCTTTTCAAAACTAGAAGACCAAAACAGCAGTATCATTCAAGACTTTAAATACAGATTTATAAGAATAACAAAAACCCCATTTCGAATAAGAAGGATTCACATCTTATATGGGAATATACAATAAATTTAATTCACTTATATATGAATCTTATGATAAACAGTCACTCTGCTAAAGTGAAAATCAAGATTAATACAATTATTAGATTGATGATATCATCGAAAAGTAATAGGAATACCCAGCATCATAATCTAATCCTTAAGACATAGTTAAAGATATTATATAAAAAAATTTGAACAAACCTATTTTATGCTAGTGCCCTTAAATTGTAATTGTTGATGATAATTAATTCAATTTATATGCTTTATCAAAAATTATTTAATAGTACTCATTTACTTTATAATAAATTTGTGATGGAGCTTAAGCAATTGAAACTTTGAAAAACTTGTATTTTAAGAACTGTTGTTTAGCTCCTAAAATAATTTTTTTGGATATTGAAATGCCCTTTAAAAATGGGTACGAAGTAGCGAAAGAATTAAATTAATTTTATGAATCAGTTAATTTTTAATATCCACCTATAATAATAGCATGTACGGCCTATGTAGGATAAGAGGACCGCTAAAAAGCAATTGACTCTGGAATGGATGATTTTATAAATAAACCTATCCTAAAATCTGGCTTTCAACAGTTATTGATAAATTGGTCAGACTAAATTTTATGATTGGTTGATCAGTATTATTTAAATGTTAAATATTAATCAAGTACAATAAATGAATAATTTATAATTTTTAGGAATACGGTTGAACAATTTTATCAATTAATTAATATAAGCAAGCACGTTTGTTTAAAACTGGCAATTTGTAAGAAGGAGACTTACAAGATAAATAAATAATCAAAAGTATCTCGTATAAATAAATAATATTTAAATTAAATTAACTTAATTGAAAAAAATAGCTATTTTCTCATTATTTAGCAAGCAAAGGGCTTATGTGTATGTATCCTTTTTGTTACTAATCAAGAAAACCTTGTGAAAACACAAACATGTTTTTAGATTTTACTCTATTTTTAATTATCAAATTTGCATTTATATGTTCACTCGCTTTCCATTTTTTCATAGAAAAGAATATATGCTCTCACTTTTAATACATCAGCTTTTTCAATATATCTAATTTCTATACATAAACAAAGTTACAAAAACAAAAATTAATTAGCTTTTTAACTGAGATAGTTTTTATCTTTAATTCAAACTAAATAGACATTCATATTTAGTTAAGAAGAAAAGAAATGAAAATTAAATAAAATTTACCTCTATCTGATGTTAAATACCAAAGAGATTTAGTATACTATGTTTTATTAACTTCTTCAGTTATATATGGTTGATAATTTTAATGCCAAACTCTTCTTAAAGTTACATAATGTCCTTTTTTGTAAAAATTGATAAATTAAATAATATTTTGTTGGAGGTTTTTACCAAAGTTATCACTTCCTAAATGAGATATTAGAGATGATAAATGATATGTTTAAATATTTTCCTTTTTCTTAAGACCAAGAGTTTAATCCAATCTTAATTATTCATCAAATTTTATGAAATCGCCAATCTTTATAGGATAACCTGTTTATGGATTTATAACTAGTCTCTTAAGATGCAAAATTAAAATTTGCTGTATTATTTTTTTGAGAAAAAATTTTTAATTTTTTGTGATTTAAGAAAATTATTTTTACAGGAGTTTTAGAGATTTTTTAAACCTTTTTAATCTATCTTTTTAGCACACAAAATGGGCTTTGAATTTAAGTTTTGTATTCTTATTTTAATCCTTATATTTACTCACTAATCATTTTAGTTATTCCTCCTACCACATCCTCAGTTTCTATCAGAGATTTATTTCCAACAGTTTTGATATAATCGATTTATTCATTTATTTTCGAAATGCATGCTAAAATATCTATAATTTAGTTTTTTTAAAAAAGCTAACTATTGCTTGATCATTACTAAAATTTATTTTACTTGAGTCACTATTTTTTTAGAACTAAGCTGTGAGATATTTTACTTTATTTTCTTTTTCTTTGAGAAATACATTTATAGAGCAATTGAGACATTAAACATCTTATTTATAAAAATGAAATTAGTATTCTATTATTTTTTTTAATTCTTTATATACCATCTATATATTCCTCTTAAAAATAATGCTTAATACTATCTTCAAGAGAGGAAATAGACCTATCTAAAATATCTAATGATAAATCATAAAATGCTTCTATTCTATTATTAAACTTAAATAAAATATTTATTTTTAGTATGGATATAACTCTAAAAAATAATTACTTTTCTATCACAAGCAACACACTATAAATAAGTATTCATATAACCTAATAACGAATTACTCAATGTGAACTCCTTTTTAGAAATGTTAACTAAATCATATTTCTAGTAATTTCCCTTTTTAAGAGTATCCTCAAAACAATTTATAATAAGCTTTAATACTTCATGAGAATCCTAGTTTTTATTTTATTTTTATCATTTTAAACAGTTAATTTCCTTTTAAAAGCTAAAATATCTTTATATTTTAATAATACCTATTACTCTCTAAACGATAAATAATCATTAGTTTCTTCCAATAGATTTATGAGGTTGTGTGGTTAAAAAGAGAAATCCTCGTTACCCATATTTTCATCATTGAGAACTTTAAGAAAAACAATTAATTATTGTTTTAGAATAGCTAGAAAAATTACCATGTAATATATTTAATAACTCCTTGCAAATTAGGTGAGATTGCTCTTTGATTCCAAGTACTTTATTCTTTTTCTTTTTAATTATATTTATTTTTTTATTATCTTTTTTGCCATTTCCATTTCTATCTTTAGTTTCTTTAACATCATCATATTAGCACAATTCCTCAAGGTTTTTAATGAATTTAGGCATACTTGCTAAAGCCTTTTAGTTGTAAAAGTAAAAATGATTTTAAAAATATTTATTATCTCAATGAATCTGTAAGCTTCAGCTAAAAATTCTTTTTTCAAAAAATTAAAACAAACCTGTAAAACAGAATTGACAAAGCATGTATTCCCAAAATTAACAAGACCTGGTGGTTTTTTGTTTATCGTTATTAAACCTAAGCTTTAGTCAGGTGATAGTTTCTCTAAAGCTTTAACTTTTCTCTTCACAAATATGCCGGAAAGAACTTGATATATTTTATCATGTGATTATTTTATGATTTAATATTTAATGGAATATTTTTTATGATTTTTTTAATGAATAATGGCTATTTTTTATTATTTCGAAAAAATTAGAAACTTTAGGGCCTGACTTTATATGAAAGCCCATAATTTAATGGAATGAAATATTCCTAAATAAAATCAGTAGTTATATTAATACCTAATGTTGCAACTCCTGCTAATGATAATCCTATAGTAGTCTTACTAAAACTTTTATGTAGAATTTATTCTACATCTATTGAGTATTTCATTCCTATACTTTTTTAATGCTTATTAATAAATAAATTTTTTTAATAATATCACATAAATTAAATAAATCATAGGGTCTTCATCAAATATTTAATATACTTCTTAATCCAAACTTTTATTAATTATTTGCAATTTGTTTTTTTATTCCTTTGTCTTTTAGTTTTATATCAAAAAGGATTGTAATGTTGAAAATTCACTTTTTAAGTAGTCGAATTAGATATTTTATATGATAATAAATGTCAGAAAAAATCGTATTAATTATCTTTATTTCCATTTATGTTTATTTACAATAAATATTAAATCATAGCTGTTTATTAGTTTGATAAAATATACTTCAAATATATTATATCTTTAATATAGATAACAATAAAGGTTGTATCATTAATAGTAAAATGAAAAAGAACTATAAAGATAAAATATAAATTGTAATAGTTAATAATTGGGAAATATCATATTCAGTCGAAAATGACAGATAATAAAATTTAATAAAAAATAATTGTAAATAGTAGGATAATAGTTGTTAATTTGAATAATAAATATTTACTCTTAATTGAATTACAATTTATCAATGAATGAACAATCTTAAAATAAATTTATTTTTATTTCATATTTCTAAAAGTAAATTAATTTTTAAAAAATAACAGAAGAAAAAATATTTTTAAAATGATATTGAAAAAACTTGAAGAATGAGATTTTGAGGATATTTTAAAATCATAACGATCAAAATATAAAATATGTAAAGATAGATTGATTTATTAACCATTAAGAAATATTTTAAATAATATTCTAATCTTGATGTAAATTAATCATTGATTGATAATGATGGTCAATTTATTTATTCATGAAGCTATTTAATTTTATTTATTTGCTAATTCCTCAAGTTGATAGCATTTTTTATATGGCTCTTTCTTTCCTCTCAGTTAGGGACAGTTTTTTTGACGTATTCAATTGATGAACGATCAGCATCACAATTTCTTTTATCATTAATGCTTTAGAATTTCTAATTTTTTAACAAATAATTATATGAATAAAATATTTTTAAAAATAATTATTTACTTTATGAGAAGGGAAAACTCTGCCAAATCTATTGAGGTCAATATAGTGGTAACCATTATCATCAACTTTGTTGTTAACGTCCTTGAAATTATAGACTTCACCAACCTTAATTTCTAAGTTTTAAGGTTTCTTGATATCAAATCTAATATTAGCATTTTCATCAGCAATTCTACCCTTGACAAAGTGTAAAGTTTTATCATTGATCTACTTGGAGAATTCAGAAACTTCAATCACCTAATTATAGTTATTTAGATATATCATTTTTTTATTTAATTTTAAATTTATCTTTACCTAACCAGTTACATTTTGACCTCTCTTACCAGGTTCTAAGCCAGAAATATCGGTTTATTAATTATGATGATGATCATAGTTATTATTTCTAGGATATGAGCTATTTCTATTTCTTTGATTGTTTTGGTTATTGACTCTATGACCATTGCCATTGAAATTATTTCTATTATTTTCATTTCTTTATCTATTATTTCTATTTTCACCTCCTTGTCTGTTATCATAGTTTCTAGGAGGTCTTTGGTTTTGTGATTAAGATCTTTATTAGTTTTTGTTGTTGTTATTGTTTTAGACGGAAGTGTTTTTGTTGTATTTATTGGGTTAATTGTTTTAGCTATTGTGGTGCTTATCTCTATTTCTTTGGTTTCCTTTTATTATTTAAGTAAAAAATGCTAAGATAAATACTTTTATTAATAATTAGTTTGGAATTACTGTTATTTTAAGAATGAGATCTATTTCCCCTTTAACCACCTTGATGATTAGGTCTGCTACTTGACTAAAATAGAATAAAAATTAACAAAAATGTTTTAATTTGTTATAATAAATTATTTACTCTTTTTCTTTCTCTATCGATTTTGTGAATTTCACCAACTTTAAGTGTAGTAATTTTGTTTCTAATAGTGATAGATTGTTCTTCACCTTCTTTACTTCTGACAGTGTAAGTATATTAGATGTTTCCATCTTTTTCTTCTTCCTTTACACCAACAAACTAATAAAATTGATATTTAATTTTAATTCATCTTTATTATAAAGAATATTAAAAATTTTAAGAAAAATAATCTTTTACTTCTCCCTTGATGAATCTTGGGTTGGGATTCTTGGGACGAGCGGTGAGTTCTAAATTAGACAAGTTATTGTTTAAATTTACATTGTTAATATTATGCTTTATTAATAATATAAATTATTTAGTGATATTCCTAAATGAAAATTATTTAAAGTGATTACATCTGAAAGGATAATATATTGACCGAATTTCTTAACTTCGATGTAGTGACCACCGACTTTTCCTTCAGCGCTTTATCTACCTTTGTTCATTACAGAGGTGAATTTAACGACATCATTTTCTTTGAAACGAGGGCAATCTCTTTTTTCAGCCATATCGAAATCAATTACACCTGTTTCGTCACCAATAGTTCCCTTAAGGTAGACCATGGTAGTTGAGGTACCGTCTTGCTTAGCTGGTAAAGACTTATCTTCAGTGCGGAGAGAGACAATCTACATTTTTAATATATTTTAAAATAAAAAAAATATTTAGAATAGTTAAACTATTACCTTGCCAATAACTGTCTAGTTATTGTTCCATTATTAGAGACCGCTAATTTTTACGGGTTCAGTTTCTTATAAATTTGGTCTTTATCTGTTGTGATTCTTGTGAGCATTTCTTGTATTTTTATTCTTATTTTACTATTTGTGAACTCTTTCCTTCTTTTCATGGATTTAGAGGACATCAGTAAGAGCCTTCTTTTCAGTTTCATCTGAGTATTCTTTGGCGCTCAAGTTGTTATTTGATAATTGTTAGATCTAACGGTCATTAGCTTCAACAATGTTTGATCTGTAGTTGAATCTGGCAACTAACTTGTTACTTTCATTGAAGTTGAGAACAACATCACTGAAAAGGTAGACCTTATCAGAGTTTAAGGATTCAAGTACTTCTTAAGTGATTGCTATTTATTTATCAATAAATAGATATTAATTAAAATTAATTTAACCCAAATTTGAATTAGTGTTGAAAGATATTAAGGCGCAAAATTGGAGATGTGATTTGATTTTAAAAATAAGAATAAATTATCATTTAAATAATCTCTTTGTGATTTAATAATTTAGTTTAAAGTAAATAAATAAATAAATTTGCAAATGTTTATTTATTCTTTAACTTTTATAAGATGCTTTAATTAAAAAAGGGTATTTATTAACTTGTAATAAATTTATTCATTTAGATTTAAAATGTCTAAACAAATAATTAATTTGATTTATTTAATTCTTATAATGATAGCCACAATATACTTTATTTTTCCTAAACAAAAGTATCTATTTGATATATTTATTGAAAAATTAATTTAAAACTTCTAATACTTATGGCTAACTATATATGTATAGATTTGTTTATTTATCTATATCCTTTTACTCTACAAATGCTAACTTTTTTCATGATGCAATAATATTTTGCCTTTCTATATATCTAGTTAAAATAAATTTTATTGTTTACATTTCTTGTTAACACTAATTTCAGCTTGGATAGCAGCAGTGTTATCGGCTAAGGTAGCTGTCATTCTTCTTTATTCGTTATTGTGAACAATATCTCTAGGCTTTAAGATTAAAATTATAAAAAATGATAAATATTAATATAAAATCTACAAACTATTTTAAAAATTACTCTAGCGAAGAAAGATTGACCGATTCTAAGATTAATGAGATCCTTGATCAAAACGATATGCTTTCCTGAGTGTTGATCAATATCAGCTTTGCTGAGTTATTCAGAACCAAGATTAGCAATCTAATAAATTTTATTTAATTTTCAAAAATTAGCTTATTTTATCAAACAATCGTACTTAATCTTTAGCAGGAGTAGCAGAGGTAACAGCTAAGTTGAGCTTATAGTCGACAACCTTCAAGGAACCAGTGAATTCATAAGTTTGGTTGTTATTTACGGCAACACCTATAAATTATAAAAATATATAAAATTAATTTTATATACAATATTCATTTTTGAAATTACCTTCAGTAGTGAAGTTGATAGAGCCAGTTTCGTCAGCAAGTTATTGGTTAACAACCTATTGAATATATTAAATAATTTAGAATAATTAACTTGGAATGTAAAAGCTTAAAAAATAAATATTTGATAATGTCCAGCCTATGCTAGACCTACCAATACAGCTTTAAAATCAACTTTATTGATTTATAAATAGGCAGATTTTTAATCACTCTGTAAAAATGGTATTTTCAAGTTAAGGGAGAATGTTAATTTAATTTCATACCTTAGCTCTGAACTTTAATTCCTTCTAATTTCTACCCTTTCTGTTTCCCTTTCTAAGGAATTTCTTGACGGGATCTGCAATTTCCTTCAAACTACCGACGGTAATGTCTTTTTGTAAAAACAAAGACAAATTAATAAATTTTGAATGGTAAGAAGATTAAATTTATAATGAATTTAATCATCAATAGACATTTAAAATTATACATTGTTCTTTAGCGACACCTTGATCAGTCATTTTTTTAATTTTTGTTGTTGTTGTTTTTTTTTTAAGTGGAGTTTTTTTTATTTTATTTTGAATGTGAAAAATATCTTTTTCTAAATAATTTAATTTTTTCTTTTTTAAAAGTTTATTAGATTTTCATATAAATAAACTAATAACATCTATCAAATAAATAAATAAATCAATAATACTTTTTCTCTCACTTTTTTTCTTCTTCTCTCATTCTTTTTTATTTTTTCCACTTAATTCTTGAATTCTCTTAATTTGTTTATTTATTTATTTGCTTTGAATACCCTTAACACCTACCTACCTACATCCTTGACTACTCCTCCAAACAATATCTCAGTTTTTCTTTTTAATTTTTAAAATAATATATCTAAAATATCTAAAAAACTGAATAAATAAACCATTTTGGATATTACATGAAAATTATTATTAAAAAGTACATAACTCCTATCAACTAAAAGAAAACATTTTCTAGTGTTAATAAGGTAACAAGATCCTATGTGAAATTACTTAACCCCTTTATTTATATTTAGGCTCATAAAAAAAATCTTTATTAAAGTAGGGTTTTGAATTAGTAATTGTTGGAATTTATTTAATTTAATTATGTGGATATTTACCCCACGTCAATCTTACTTAATAAATCCAATCTGTTTTAGTATTTTGAAATAAATCACATAAAAAAAAATCTTTCATAGATCATTTCTAATATCTACTTATATCATGATTGATAACACATCTTCTTAAAAAATAATCATGGTTCATAAATTTATATGTTTAGGTTATTTTTTGCTCAGGACTAAAATAATTTATTAAGATAATATCTAAACTTAAATTATACATGATAATTATATTATCTCTATATTGTAAAAAAACAATTAGTCTTCCTTTATCTGAATCATATAGTAATTATACTACTTTTACAAATAATAAATTGAGTTATGGCTGAAAGCGTTAAATAAAAACCCTTCTATTATCTCAGAACAGAAAAGCTGGGGTTATTTCCATATTTGTAGGAATTTATTCCCATTTACCATAACTGGATGCAAGATGAAGAAATTCTTTTTCTGACAGGCAGCGAGCCTTTAACTTTAGAAGAAGAAAAAGAAAACTAACTATCTTGGTTAAAAGACAATGAGAAATACACCTTCATTATTTTTGAGAAAGATGCTACAATCGATCTCTAACAGCCAAATTTTCCTGAATATACTAAAAATTATAAAATGGCAGGAGACATAAATTTATTTTTCCACCCATACATAGAAGAAAATGAGGCAGAAATTGATGTTATGATTGGAGAAAAATCAGCTAGAAAAAAAGGACTAGCTTAAACTGCTGTTTAAATAATGATGGATTTTGGAAATGCTTTTTTTAAAAAGAATAGATTTATTGCTAAAATCAAAAAGGAAAACTAAAAGTCTATTAGCCTATTTGAAAAATTAGGTTTCAAAATGTTTATTGAAATAGAATCCTTTTAGGAAGTACATTATGAGTTTGTATATACATAGGATTTAAGCGAGTAATAATTTAGATAAAAGTATCTAGATTTTCATTAACTCTAACTTTAATTGTGAGACAAAATCTTATATATATGTCGATATTCAACATTTTTTGTGAGTTAATTTTATATTATTGTTGCTTAACCTATCTTATATTGAACATAACTTAAAAAAAAAGAATAAGCCTTTGCTTTTACTTTAAGATTACAAAATTTTAAGCATGGATTTTAAAATTGTATTTAAAAAGATGAGATTCTTACATTGAAATAGAAGAATTTAAACATCTACTTAAAATCAAAAAAAAGATATTTTAAGTAATTCAAATTTTAGAAACTGATAAACTTTCTATGAAGAAGATTTAATTATAAGAAATCATAATCCATATAAAATATCTTTTTCTTCTAGATTAACTAAAAGTAATATATATGTCTAAATACAGAACTATTACAGCCTTTTATAATTTAAAATATTAAATATCTTTAAATTCAAGCTAGCACTTAATTAAATATTATTCAAAAAAGTTTGTGTGTATTTTCTTCTTTTATTTATCATAAACAATCTTCTAAAAAGTTAAGTCAAATAAAAAAATGCAAATTTTCATTAATTATTTTTTTAAAAATATTGATTTTAAGTAATAAATTAAAATACTTTTTTTGAAAAGTTTTATTTCTTTTATGTAAAAGATTGATGTATGTATATATGTTTGTTTGTTTATTTGTGTGAGTGAGTGAATTTTCAAATCAATAATATTTTTGAAACAATTTATTTAAAAGATTTTTTATGTTTTTGTAGATTTAAAGTGTATTCATATTATTATTATTATTTTTAGATATATATTAAAAAAATATAAATTAATAGTAATTAATTTTATTCTTTAAAGAAGCAAGTAACAAGAAATATATTTTAGATAGATAGAATTCATTGAATATTGGATTGATCTATTTTTTAAATAGGTGTATCAAATACATACATTCTTAGCTTTTTTATTGACTATTCACTTGCTTTTACCACTCACTTGAATTGCTTATTCACTCATTGTTTAGTGGCATTATTAGAAGAGCTGATGGCGTATTCAATAGATGACTTGTTTTCTTATTCATTAATGTTGATCTATTTTTCCTATTTTTTAATAATTTTCATTAGTCAGACAGAATGTATATTTATTCAAAAATATGCTTACATTCAAGACACTGTAATTTCCGTACTTGCCGACTACGATGTAGTGATGGCCAGTTTCTGAAACCTTATTCATAATGTTGGTGAAGATAACCATATCACCTTCAGAAATGGTCTTTTCTTTCATCATGAAGTCAAAATTAATATTTGCAGTGTCATCAGCAACTCTACCCTTGAAGAAAGTAGCTTCTCTATTCTTGATGGTCTTTTAGTAGGATTAAACATCGAAAACCTATTAAGGTAAATAAATTAAAATTAAAATTTCTTAGATTCAATTCAATTGTTTTATAAATCTATATAATCTGAACATTTCTAAACAAAGTCTTTACTTTTCCTTTAACAGTTTAACCGTTTTAACCAGGCTTAAGATTCTTGATAGGAGTGAGTAAAGCTTAGTGGAATCTCTTAGGCTTTTATTTGTAATTTTTGAAATTCTAAGAGTTGTTAGTGTTGTTGTTGCTATTGTTGTTGTTGTTGTTGTTAGTCTTTCTTTATTAATTGTAGTTTTATTTTTTGTAAGGGCGGTTATTCATTTTGTTACCATTATTGTTTGTGTTGTTATCACCGTTATTGTTGTTGTTGTTAACTTTACCATTGTTGTTCTACTTATTGTTGCTTTTTTTAATAATCTTCTACTTCTTTTCACCTAATTTGTAATTATAAGTAATAAAATTAAAACAAAGAAAATTAAATGAACATTTGCTATATTTGCAATTTGAATGAAATTCATAGTGTATCAATCCAACCAAAATATCTTTACTGCAAATATCAAATTATATTTTTTACCTTCAGGAAGAGGAGGAATTATCTTTGTTGAGATGTTGTTATCTGTTTTAACAGCGGCAATAGACTATTTTAAATAATAAGTATAAAATTAATATTATAAAATTTACTTAATTTTATACATTTGTTCTCCCCCTTTTAAAACAAAATTTTGAAAGGAGAAGAAGATTTGTTATTTTTTAAAAAACAATAATTTACGCCGTTGGTGATTTCGTATTTACCGAATCTCTTGACTTCAATGTAGTGGTGACCATCCTTGTTTACCTTGTTCATAGCTTTATCGAAGCTGACGACATCATCTACCTTAAAGACGACATCGTTCTTAACAGCCAAATCAAATCTGACAACACCAGTATCATCACCAATAAGACCCTTAAGGAATTTTCTAGGATTGCCTTATTTGTTATTGCCTTTTTCTAAGACTTAAACTTCAATAACCTTTAAGAATAAATAGTTTTATTAATTTTTAGAAGCAATAAAAATATTTTATTCTATTTTTTGTTTCTTTTTTTGATTTGGCATTTAGCTAAAACACATTAAATATAAATTGAAAAGGGCAAAAAAGTATATCCTAAATGATCATCTATTTTTTTAAGTTTAATATCCTATGTATTAAAGTAGGTACCTTTCCAACAAAGTTAGAATTGTTGTTTCTGGGTTAGAGATCAGCAATCTTAACAGGATCCTTAGATTCTAATTGAACAGTTCTTGGTCTCTTTTATACCTTAGGTTTTTGTTCTCCTTGAGGAGAGACTAATTATCATAAAATAAATCATTATTTCAGTTAAATTAAAAAATCGAATATCTAAATTGCAAATGATAGATGAATCAATTAATGTTTGTTTTTTTACCTTAGTTGTTAGTAACTTATTCAGCCATTTTATTTTATTGTTTTGAAGGAGATAATATGAATATTATTTTTTATTAATTAATTAATTTTTTGTTGTTTTTGTAATTATAAAGATAATTTTTTCTTTATTTAAATAAATTTATTAGATATTTTAATAATCTTTGCTTTTGAAATTTACTTTGACTTTTGTAAAAATATCCAATTTTTTGGGATCCTTCCTTCATTCTAGAAACTATTTATATTTTTCATTTCTTCGGTACAGGTGTTTGCATCATTAGCATTCAATTTTCACTCATTTCCAGTGCTGTTATCTTATTTAAAAAGGAAGCTCTAACTGGATAAGCTTGATTTATAATCCTTTTTCGATGTTAAAATAGCATTTTGTTGGCTATTATCTTATTTTTATTTAACCTAAGGAACTAATGAATGAATGAGCAAATCTATTTGTATGATATTTTGTAATTGATTAAAATTTGTTATTATAAAATCCGCGAAATCTAACAAATTAATGTTAATAATTTAGATTTTATAATCATCATGAGATTAAAATTAATTTTTCTTTTTAAACTAATTTAAAATATATTGAAAAGTAAACTTAAAATAATAATTTTACTTAATTTTTAAGCTAAATATTCAAAATAAAAGAAAAAGGCTTACTTCTAAAACAATTATTTCTTAGTTTTTTGGATAAACTTTTGTTGCTCTAAATTTACTTTAAAACTTTTAATTTATTAATTACATTTTTTAAATTTTTTTACTTTAGCAATTTTGAAAATTGTTTTCTAAGATAGAAGCAATTTCATAAAAAGTTCCATCATCCATTATTAAAAAATAAATGCTATCAAATTTCAAAACAGTTTTTTAATTTTTATTTTTTAATTTTGAATGATTTTTATCATTGAATAATTAATTTTGATTTAAATTATTTCATTATTTATATTATTATTTCAAATTAACAAAAGATTTTAGAATAAAATTTGTATTACTTACTAGCTTTTCAAAGATGTCAGACGATGAAGATAAAAGCAGTAATATAAGCTTCCTCGAAATATTATTAAACTTGTTTTCTAAATTTTAGATACTTCTCATGAAGAAGAAGAAGATGATGATGATGAAGAAGAAGAAAATTAATCAAGCGAAGGAGATAAAAGCGATGAAGATGAAGATGAGGATAAATCTGGTAGTGGAAGTGAAAAAAGTGATGAGGATGATAATGAAGATGAAGAAGATGAGGATTAATCTGGTAGTGGAAGTGAAAAAGATGATGAGGATGATGGTGACTCTGAAAAGTAAAGTGGTGAAGATAGTGACTCAGATAGTAGTAAAAAAAAAAAAAAGAATACCAAAAAAGATACAAAAAAAGAAGCTGATATTATACCAAAAGAATTGTAGTAAAAGGAGGAATTAAACCTGAGTGAACTTTAAAAAATAATTACAGAAGTTGGTTCACTTTAGCTTGAAGTTGACTCACTTATCTCCACATTTTCATATGAAACATAACAAAAAATAGGATATAATCCACATAAAGCTATACTATAAAATAATTAACAGGGTGCATTCATGTAGTTAGGAAACACTAGCTAAAGTATTCAAAATCAAATTTACATGAATAATCGAAATTTAAATCTTCAAAAATCTGTTTCTCCCCCTTACTCTCCATACAACACTTATGGAAACTATCGTTTTTAAAAGGAATAAATTCAAAAAGAAAATAATTAATAACAGTAAGTATTTTAAGCATAATAAACTTATCCTAAAAGCTAGTAGTTAAATAAAATAAATCTTGGAGCTGCATCTTAAGTTGACTAAAAATAAATTTAATAAGATCAATTAATACAAACATAGTAGTCACCTATTCCTAGAAAAGGTTCAATAGAAGAAATAGCAGAAATGTAGGCCATCCTAGCAAGACAATAAAATAAATAAATTGAATAAATGTAATAAAATCAATAGTCTAAAAATTAACTGCCATAGTAATAATCAGATTAAAAATCTTCCTATCCAAATAAATACTCAGATACGGGTAGATCATATTAATAGCATTAAGAATATAAACTTGAAGATAATTTTGGAGCTAAACAATCAGATAGATTCCGCTTAAATAAAGAGTCATAGAGTATTATTGATAACTATTATCAGAATTTATACAGAAAATAAGTACCTCATAATAGAAACTACTCGAATATAGAAGACTTATATAAATCTAAACCAAAACACAGTATGTTTATCATTAAAATAATCATTCTAATATTATTTTTCAAATTAAATAAAGTGTATGATGAAGATGATTTAAAGAAAAGAAGTATCTCCCCATCAACATCTTCTAAGGATTAAAGTAAAGATTAGGTTTTAACAACAAAACTAATTTATAAATTTAAAAATATAGAATTTATGAGAAACACTGTTTCACAATAAAATTTAGCATAGGGTTACTAGCATAATGATTAAAAGATAGATTAAGCTATTAAAGTTTTGTTAGGTAAAAAGTGATTGGATGATTTCTTATGATAGATTATGCATTTATCAATATTTCCAAGTATTAACTAAATTGTTAAAAATATGTTAATATGAAAGAGAATTTAATATAAAAATAAATACTATGAATAAATAATACTTTTTATGTTTTTTTTCAAATTATTTTTTATTATACTTTTTAAAAAGATGTTTAGATTTTATATAAAATTGTATGTAAGTAATGTTGATAATCAAATAAATAATTTTAGAGTTTCAACAAATATAAAATTAAACAAAAAACTAAACTCAAGCAAAAGATATATTTCAATCTTTAATAATATGTAACTAATTTATTTATATAATAAATATTTTTTAATTTTTTACTCTTATATATGAGTCTTTAAAAAACTATATTGAAAATATATTCTTAATTCTCTACTTCAGCCACTTTATCGATTCCTCGATCACTTCGGAGAAGTTGAAGTGCATACTTTTTAGATTTCTTAAGTTACAGTTGTACTTTCAACATTTTAATAAGCCTTTCTATATTTTTTATCAAGTAAATTATTTAAAAATGCTAAGAAATACTTTTCGTACAATATTGTTACTATAGCATTTGCTAAAATAATAGCTAAAATTACGAATTTCCAGCTATAATCCATTTATGAAACGATTTCATCATTTTAATTAGTAGCTTTGATAAAAAGAGTAAAGAAATCAAGTATGGGTTATTGTTCTGAGAAAATAATTAGTAAACTCAAGCCTGTGATTGAAACAAGGAAGAAAGTGAATAGAATGTTTGTATAGAATGGTTTTTTATGAACAGAACCAATAGAAAAAGCTATTACAGTGAAAATGTATTAGAAGTTAGAAACCCAGAATAGAACAGTTGTGTCATATGTAGTTGGTGCTAATTCTTCGTCTTCAAATTCTTAAGCTTTAGATAATTATTATGGGTTAAGATACCAGCTTTGATTACATGTAGTAGCTACTGTTATGATTAAAAACAAGAGTTAAATAACACCTTAGCCAGCAACAGAGAGTATATTTTTGTATGAGAAAAGCCGATGTGCTGGAATATCAGGTGTAAGTTTATCACTAGCTTCAGTTAAGCCTAAGAAAAATGTTAGAGGAATGATAATAAAAAGATCCCAATACAGAATCTACATATCAGCTGGTTGTGTACCACGAAAATAAGTCAAAGTTTAAGTGAAACCTTATATAAGAGAGTAAAGGGCCATGTACTTAAAGCATTAAAATGAAGTTGTTAAGCAGCATCTACCTTCACGTAAAATGTATTCAATAACACTTATATTAATAACCTTGCTTGTGAAAGCAGCTGCAACGGAAGCCTCTGCTTCACCTAATGAAATACCCATATCAGCATCTTTCAGAGCTTAGCAGTCATTTGCACCATCACCACACATTCCAACAAATGAGTATCCTTACTCTGGATTTTAATACTTTTGCAATAGATGTATTAAGCTTTACTTCTAATCTGGCTTCATTCTCGCAAAAACTTTTCCGTACTATAAAATAAGAGTAAAGAATAAGCTAGTTCTCTTTGAGCAAGTATTGCTTTCAATGTCGCATTGGTTTTATTATGAATTCTGATTTGTTTTGTTTTGGAGGAATTCTTCAAAAAAATTACCAGTAATAACTAACTATTCCTATCCTTAAACAAATGAAGCTGAATTTATAAATTAATCTAAATCAGATTTTTTTCCATTCATTGTAAATTAATTATTACTATAATCAAGGAGATTAATTTACTAATTTAAACTTAAAATTCCACATTGTTTAGCAATATTCAAGGAAGTTTCAGGATTGTCACCAGTTACCATACGGACTTAAACGTCATTATTTTTAAGTAGTTTGATATGTTCTGTTGTTTCTGGTTTTAATTTGTTTTCAAATACCAAAAAACCTGCAAAAGTTAGGTTTGCTTCGTATTGGTTTCTGTCTTTTTCAAAATCAACTTCATTAATCTAACTATAAGCTAATGCAAGAACACGATATCCTTCATTTGTAAATTCTTATAATTTATTTGAAAAGTCATTGGGAATAGTTTATTATTTACAAATTTTCTGAATGCTTTCAGGTGAGCCTTTTGTATAGATATAATTTTGATTTTCTTTTGTAATAGCTACTATAACCGACATTCTTTAAACATCAGCATCAAATTAAAATCTTTTCAGAATAAAAATTGGTGATCCTAAACTTTTGTTGCAAGTAAGTTCTTGCAAAACTTCATAACCTTAATAAAATAATTTATCATTTTAATCTGCCTAGTTATCGCTTTTTGAATTTTCATTTTCAACTAAGCAATATGATGAATTTTTAAACATTTCAATGTCCAAAGGATCTCCAATAAATTCGTTATTATAAACCATGATACTGTGGCACGATGCTATAATTTATCTTTAAATTTTGGAGAAGGTAGGAAATATGTGTTTGTTTTTTTTAGCAGCTTCTTCAGAAAACTAATCTTCAAATTTGTTTGAGCTACTTAAAAATGAAGAAATAAGTTTAAAGGATAGGAGCTCTTCAGTCAAAGTACCAGTCTTATCAAAACACACACTTTTTACAATACCGCAAATATTAATTTTTTCATTATTGATACAAAAAATTTGTTTTCTACGCATTCTATTTAACGAGAAGGAGACACCAAAGGAAAGGCATGTTGGCAAAGCAGGAGGAACACTGATGGTGATTAAATCAAAAAATTTTTTAATTAAATCTGATGAATCCATAGTACCTCGATCTAAGTTATCAATGAAAGTTGGTAATGCAATAAAGAATTATATCAATGTAACAAATAGAAGGATAGATAAGAATTTAACAGAATCATTCTAAAATGAAATTTGATTATGTTGCTTTGGATAAAGGATGGAACGGATCAAGTTCCCTTTAAGAGTTTCAAAACCTATTCTAATAACTACTAACTTGGAATTTGAAACCATCATAACCTAACTTCCACCATAAATAATATTTTAACGATTTTCGCTAAATTAGCAGTCTAAATCTGCTAGAGCAGATTTGATAATAGGAACGGATTCTCCAGTAAGCATAGATTCGTTTACTATGACACTACCTTCTACTATCACCATATCACATGGAGCTGTCTCACCCTCTTTTAAAATAACAACATCGCCATATGCTAACTCGTTTGAAGAGATAACTTTGGTTTGTCCATTTCTAACTACTGTTGTTTAACCCCTAAAATAGCTTAATTTTTTTATACGATTTATATTTGTTCTTTCTTCGTATAACTTAAAAAGCAAACTAAAAGTTGATGTGGTAATAATAACTGTAGCATAGATTTCATAAGTATCAAAATACCATAAAAGACAACTTGCAACTTGAAACAAGAAGAAAGGAGAAAAGAATTCATGAAATGCTAGAACCAAAACGCCTTAATCTGGTATATCAGTAGAATTAACTCCGTTTTTAGTAATAGAGGAATTAATCTAAGAGTCATTTAAACCCGTTTTAGCTGACTCAATAATTTCTTTATGGTTTCTTTCGATTATACTATCGCCAAATGGCACGAAAATTAAGGACTATTCATCATAAACAAATTTTTAAAATCTATATTGAAAAATACATTTGTTTTCTAAATTCACAATTTTTTCTATCTAGACATCCTTATCTGGTCCATAAACTACAATTTAAGTAGCTTAATTAATATTAACAAGTTTAAAGAATATTTTAAATTTCCATTCATTATTCCAAGAAAATAATATAAAAAGTAAACCTCCAGATAATATGTAAAGAGTTATTTCTAGTATAAGTAAGCTTAAAGGTTTTTATACAGGATAGACCTTTTCAATCAAGCACTCTTCTTAAGCTTTGTAATACTATTTACATTATAGACCCTACTGAGGAATAGTTTTTAAAGAATTATACTTTTTTTCTTCAATCTATATCTATTGTTGATTTTCTGTATTCATTTTTTTTTATTTCTTTTAAACTTTTATTTTTTTATTAATTTAAGAAAATTATTTGATTTCAGAGCTTATCCTAAAATGCAAAAACAGATAGATTACTTTTAATTTACAAAAATTAAATTTTTGCCTAAATATCAATTATATTAATTTAATCAGTATCTTTACCTCTTATATCTCTCATATATTACTTCGTCATAACTATTTTTAATCTTAAAACTTAAAAGCGAAGCAACCAAACTTTACTAGTTATTTATTCAAGTAAAATCACATACTTTCAAGTAATTACACAATCACTATTTTTAGCTTAAATATATATTTTTTTAAAATATATAATATTCAGCTAAAATATTTCTATTATTGTTTAATTGATTTATAACTAAGTAGGCTTTTATTCCTCTTACTGCATATTTTTTTAATACTTTTATATTTAATTAGTTTTACTGGAAAGCTTTTGAATTCTAAATATTTCAATTTACTTTTAATTATTTTTACCACTAAATTTTTGTTAGAATTTTATAAATTATATTATTGCTTAGAATATTCTAAAAATAGAATTATTCTTTAAATGGATAATTTTAAAATGATCTAAAAATAATTATATTTCTAAAAGAATATTTAAAGAATCTTTGCTTTGTTCTATAAATTTATTATAGAACTATATACTAAAAAAGAAAATATAAAAGATACGAATATAGTTTAGATCATGTGAATCATTAATAATTAATTAAATTTTAGTTATAGCAGCCAAAAAATTTTGAAAGGAAAAGAATTGCTTTTATAGCTTCAATTTCTCAAATTAGCTTATAACACAAAAAGTTTATAAATAAAAATTTTATTTTAAATTTTTTAAGTAATATATATATCTTAAGCAAATTTAATTAAGAAAAATAAACATTTTATTTATTAATTTCAATTACAATTAATATTGATAATAATTAATCACTCTATAGACAATGTTCTATTAATTAAATTACATGACTTTCAATGCTAATTATTTAGTTATTTTCCTAAAATTACAAATTATATTTGCATTCTTCTAATAATAAAAAATGTAAGGTTAATCCTAAATGAATTATTATAATAATCCCAAGTTTGATTTTTTTATCATTCATTATTTTTAAAAATTTGTATTTTTTATAATAATCCATTGTCTTTAATCTTTATATTTTTTACTTTTAATTTACTTTTAGCATAATTTAAAGAATTTAATTTTAGTTTCTTTTAAACAAGTTAATAAATCAATTACAATAAATTAACAAATTTATAATTTCCTAATAAACAAAAATTTTTTTAATCTTGAAAAATAACTCTTTATTAAAATTGGTCAAGTATTTTTATAAAAAAAATTAAATAAAAAGTAGCTTTTTTTAAAAGTTAATCGAATATTATTTACCCTAAATTTTTAATTAATTAAGCAATTTAGAGTATTTGATATATATCTTCCTTATGAGTAATTAATTAGTTAGCTCTAAAAAAAATCTAAATTAATGAATTTAATTAACTTTTTGCATTTATTTTTTACTTTTTATTTTTCAGTAAAAAAATAATTATTTTATAAAACAAAACATAGAAATAACTCTTTAAAATTTTAATAAGATAATTTTAAATAAATTTTTATTTATTTATTTTTTTAAATTTTACCTCAAATGGTAGTTCTAACTTAAATAAAGTATTTGAAATATTAGGCAATTAGCTATTCGTTAGATTTCTAACAAAATTAATTTTTACTACCAACTAAAGTTTTATAAAAAAATACTGCTTCGATTATTAAATGAGAAATTTAAGAGGTAAAATACAAACCTTTTATTCTAAAGAAGGGTTGAAATCTAAAGAGTATAAAACAGGTATTTACTAAGGTGAGTATAAAAACTAAAAAGGTAATTTAAGAGAAGGAAAAGGAGTGTTCTATTGGTATGGAGGTTAGATATACATAGGGCAATGGCAAAATGATTAGATTGAAGGATATGGAAGAGTTTATTTTCCTTATGGAGGATAGTTTATAGGATTCTTTAAATAAAATAAAGCTTGTGGAATTGGTATTATGACCCTTAGAAATTAAAAAATATATGCTGGGAACTGAAATGATGGAAAGTTATATGGAATATGTGCTAAATGGTTACCAGATTAATAAAAATGGGTTTTAGTTGAATATCTAGGAGGAATTCTAATTTAAATGAGTAACAAAGCACAAAACAAAGCCATATAAATATATTAAACTATTCAATCACAATTACCAAAGCCAGAAATGATATTTTTTAATGATCCACACACAACTGACTAATATAAATTTGGTAAAATTTTAAATAAAATCATCCACATTCAATTTGCTAAATAAATTGACATTAAAAAATAGGGGTTGTTAAATTAGATGAAAACTTTTATTATGATGGAGTTGTTAGAGGTAATAGACCAGATGGAATTGGAATTATGACAGATAAAAGACAATTGTTCAGCGTAAGAGGTAGATTTGCAAACACAAAATTATGTGGAGCAGGTCGTGTTGAATTGGAATCAGGAGAAATCTACGATGGTGTATTTAGAAATGGTATTTTTTGTAGTGGAATTTGCTATCATTCTAAAGAAGACAGGTATATTTATTTTAATTTAATGAATTTATAATAAAGGCCATTTTATTAAAAAAAAGATTTATTTATGGTAATTTTAAGACTCCTGAAATCAAAATTTTGTTAAAGGGAAAGGGTTATCCATATTAGCTCTTTTTGAATAATAAGGAGAAATTATACGATTCAACATTAGTTTATAAAACTACTTGTAGTGAAATAATATTTGCTCCATAAGAGGATCGTCACTTGGTGAGAGAATTTGATAGATTTAAATACAATTTAGATATACCAAGTAGTCGGTCAAGTTATTAAGAATCTATTTTCGAAACATCAGAAAGAGAGAGCAATTATAGCTTAATTTAAGATGAAATGAACGGAATTTAATAAGATGTAAAAATGATTTAAATATGGCAAAAACATTTACTTATTTATTATAATTTTATAGGAATTAAAAAATAAAATAAATCAAGATAATATAGAAGTATTTGATCATGAAACAAAGCAAATGATTGAACAAACTTAATAAAGTATCTTATAAAATGAAGAAATACATTATTAAAATTATTAAGATGAGGAAGATGATAAAGATAGCAATAGTATTAAAAGAACAGCAGATTTTAGTCACTAAGAAATTGACGAATTTGAATAGAATTTAGATCCATTAGTATAAATTTCTAAATAAAGAGAATAACGCATTAAATAAATGTAAGAGTAATAAAATTAGTCATACATTTTAATTGAATCATTAAGAAACTAATTAAATTGCTATGAAGAAATAAAAAGAAACAATCTTTAATAATAATCAAATTACAATTTTGATTATTAGAAAGATTAAGATTTTTCCAACAATTTGAAATACCAAATAATTGAAGATAAAAATAATGAATAAATTAATTATCTCGAATAGATAAAACATGGATAAGATTAGACAGGTTAGCTTGATTAAAAATATTAGTATCCCCTTTCATAAAATTCATTTAACTAGATATAGAATGGTAATAGCTTTATTAATAATTAGTAAGTCTCTACATAATATATAAATCAAATAAATTAAAGTTAACTTAATAATAACTTTCAGTAAAATTTTTAGAACAATTTTAACAAAGAGTATGATATTAATTAGTAATAAAAGTATGTTGGAGCTCAAATTTTACAAGAGTCCACTAACTCTTAAAATTCTTTCGCTACATTTTCAAATAAAAAAAACGGTGTTAAATTATTCTATCAAGATGATGATAATATAGAGCATGATAAAATACCTAGTTCTAATTCCAATTAATGTATGAAAATTTAAATAAATTAATCATTAAATATGAAAGAATTTTAAGAAGAAAATTAATAAAAATAGCATAATAAAGTTCCAAATACATAGTTTTAAAATAACTTAACAAAAATTATAATAACAGATCTCTCGAAAGAAATGCCTGCTTAAAATTAAAAAATAAACAATAGCTAAATATGTTAAAAGGATTTAAATTAATCTATTCTTAATTAAGATTAGCAAAAATTAATCTATAATAATTAAAATGGTAAAGACATAAACAGAGATTTAGATTCCTAAGATTTTTCAAAATTTTCTTAATAATAGATAAAAATAGATAAATTTAAAGAAAAATTGTAGAAACAGCTAAATGATTAGTCACTTAGTAAAAAAAATTAAAACGACAGTATTGAAATTTATTAGAAATCATAAGATGAAGAGTCTAAAGATTTTGATAGAATTAGATAGAGATCTTAATTTTCTGTTGATTTTGATCCCAATTTAATATCAAATAATAAATAATTAGAACAGGAAATGATCGAGAATTATTTTGAAAACCTAAAAGCATAGTTTACAGACAAAAATTAAAATAATAGTACAGGTACCATTTCTGCTTTAAATGAAATTCTTTCAGATTAAAATTATCAGAGCAAAGGTAGGACTGAAGATTATTCTTTAATGTAAATCTTAGATGATAAACTTGCATAAAATAGAAGCTAATCTATTGAAAAAACTAATACAGTTTAAAGAAAATTCTTAGATTCTTCAATTTAGTATTTAGAAAGTGACCATAATATAAACTTCAAAGATAGCCAAAATAACAGTGGTTTTACACATTCTTTTGATAGGAGTGGTAGAAAAACAATTGATAAATCAAATCCTTCTCAATTTTATAGATATACCTAAAATAGCTTATCAGAAAAAAACGATGAAGAAAATGATGAGGATGAAGAATCTTCAAAAGATGAATTTCATATTAAAAATAGTGAAAGAAATGATTCAATTATTGAAAATGATCAAAACTCAATAGACTAAAGGAATTACTCAGCTAATGATCAAGCCTTTATAAATTCTAATTTGAATTTAACAGAGATAGAGTAGTGAAGAAAGTTTTAAGAGAGTAATAAAATTTATAATTCAAAGAAACAATAAATGTATTTTATCTCATTTACAAAAAATAACATAAGCTGACATAAATATTTTTATTTTTTTTAAATGTTATATTTACCTAAATTGTAAGTGAATTATGTCGTCAAATTTAAATAAGGTATTATCTAAATAACCTTTGCAAATTAAAATTATAAAAAATATGATTTTGCTTTAATATTAAAAATTACATATCAATAAAACACCTTTTTCCATAAACAAAAAAATATTTAAATATTATTAAAAACTCAAAGATTTAACTAAAATTTATGAAAGAATGCCAAATAGTCACAGATATTTTTAATTAAAAACCTACATATGCTATTTATAAAATTAATATTTAACTTTAAAAATTTATGGGGGATTGTTTTATGGTAATCCTCAGCCAATAAGGTTTTTGCTATATGGTTACAAATTTTTATTTGTATAAATTAAGAGGATACTTACTTAATTATGTATCCCTTTATGTAATATTGAATAAGATTTATTGAAATGATAAAATATTGATAATTTTAATGAAATTAAAAGAGATTTTGTTAACTAAAGTTAATAGTAATATGAACTTGATGAAATAAATTTTTAACAAATATCACAAAATCATTAAAATAATTTTATCAATTTTAATAAAAATGTTTACAAAAAATTAAAAAAAAAATAAATGAAATGATTTGAATAAATCAAAAAAATAATAAAATTTACTTTTATTTTAAATTACAAAGAGTCCAAAAATTTTGTTGAAGTTTGAATGATAAACTAAAAAATACTTTACTAACATAAAATACTTATAATTAATTTTTTATATTGCAAAAAAACAAATTAAATGCTTATTAGTTTTAATATATATTATTCATTTTTTCTTTTTAGGATTAACAATTTCGTCAAATTACTTATCTAATTCTTCTTATCTTTTTTGAATAGTTTACTAGAATTATTCTTCTATTGATTTTAATTTATTATTAACTATATTCCTTATTTCTTACTCTTCTGAATTTATACGTTTAATAGATCTTTTACTTTAAGAACTGTGTTTTTGTTCATCACTGAAACCATTTTGGTTACTTTCAAATCCTTCTTAATCTTCAAACTGATTACCTTCTTCTTCTACCTCCTCTTATTCGAATCTTATTCTTTAATCTTCAGAATCTATTTTTTACAGGCTTTCTCCTTAGATGCTATTTTTATTTGAAAACTTATCTAATTAAGTACTTCCTTCTCTTTATCTTGATTCTGTATATGAAACTTTCTTTATTAACATTAAGTTCTTTTTTAATAAAATATAAATTTGTAATATACTTTTTATTTCTATCTTTGCTTAGATTGGTGATCATCTTCCTCATCTTCAGGTATTTCAATTTTTGGTTATCCCATGTATAAAGCATCTGAAAGAGGGGGTATATCTAAAGGCTTATCAACAAATAATTATATTTCTATTTCTTCATTTTTATTTTTATTATTTAGGCAGTAATTGTAAAGTGAAAAATTCGAGAAGTAGCTATTTTAAGCAAATTATACAATCATCTATATTTATTGAGCATCAAATATTTTGATGCTATTTGGAACTTCGCTCGTAGAGTGCTTAATTATCCATTTTTTAAAATTCTCAAGATCACTTTATATTGTTTTATAATTTTCTTTTATATTTGATAATGTGCCTATTTTTTATTAGCTGCTTTATGGATTTTATTACACATTTTTAGAAACCTGTCCTAAGGTGTTTGTATTATCTATTTGCTAAACATTTTTAGAATTTAATTCATTCAGAGAATTCATAGTTGCCTACGTATAGCGTCTATGAAGAATTTTATAGTCTGGGTTATCATTTATGAGTAAAGTCCACCTAATGTTCATAATTTAAAATTTTAATTCTAATTGATATGAAATAGTTTAATAAAAGTACATTAAATTTAAAAAGATTGCAGTTTTGTAATCATCTAAAAATAGTGTCTATTTGGCATAGATTATGTTATATAAGTGGAACTCTGCAATAATGTTTAACTCCATACTTTCAAAATTTTTTTATGCATCTAATCTTTTCAATAAGTCATTTAATACTTCTGAAATAACTATTTTAGGTTTATCAAATGACCATATTCTTTTTACTTATTCTTCATTGATAAGCATTTCTAATCCTGTTGATAATGATCTCCAATTAGGTCTATTCGCCTCCTCGCTTTAAAATTTAGAAACTTTTCTTTAGCTTAATCTTCTAATTATTGAATTTCTTTTAGATAAGCTACCTGGATTTGTTGAAGTAGTTTGCTAAGTAGTCTAAGGTAATGCTTATAAATTAGGCACAGGTACACCTTTTTAAGGCTAAGGAGGATTAATTTAGGCATTACTTTTAGGCCTATTATTTTGTTACGGAGGAGGAGTCTATTTTTTCATTTACAAAAATAGTAATAAATTTTTGAAACCTTTTTAAATTAATAATAAATAAATAAATTTTGAGTAAAATTTGACAAATCAATAAATGATAAATTTCAACGATAATAAATAAAATTATATAAAGATATTCTTAAAAATATTATTTTTCAATTAAATAATAAAATAATTTAATTATTTTCTTACAATATTAATTAGTTGACATGAGTAAAAATTAATATATTTACTTCTTGGAGTGATATATTTGAAACATTTATAAAAAATAACAGTGAATTTATAAGATAATATAATACTATTAGATAAATATATAAATATATAAAATCTATATTTATTAAATCAAAAAATTATTTTTTATATAAATATTTTTTTTATTAAGAAAGGAAGATCTATTATTTCTTTTTTTATCTATTTAGCCTGATAGATAAAGCTTAATAAAAAGAAGATATATTTTAGGAAAAAGAGTTGCTATTAATAAATAGCTTTGAAGAACTAAGTCAATCTTTCATTTTTTTTATGAGTAAATTAATTTTAATATAATTTCAACCAAATAATACAATCGTCAGTTTTAAAACTTATTATTTTTTTTGCACTTTCTTTGATTTCATTTCGCATTCCTATATTTTTATGCTAATCCTTTTTTACAGTAAAATAATAAATATGGCTCATGTGAGCCCTTTGTATCGTAATTCTAAGATTTTATATTGATTTCATTCCATTAAGAATCATTAAACTCATTCCAAGTTCCATCATAAGGGTTTCTACATTATCTAATATAAATAATATTTATTTATAATTAATTAATTTATTTATTTATTTAGTATTTTAATTACGCAGTGTAATGACCGCCATAAAGGTTTCCTGAATGATTTACTATGCCAATAAGATCATACAAAAAATCTTAATTATCTATTTTAGTAAGTAGGCATTGAAATATATATGATAATATTTAAAATAATTTTACTTGTTTATCTCTCTAGATATTAGCCCATATCTAAATCTTATATTGGAAAAGTCACATCCAAATTAATCTTTTCTCGTCTAGTACTTCCAAAATGGAATCTTTTTAAATGAATTACTAAAACTTCAGGAAGCTACCAAATATAAAATTAGCGCTTTGATTTTGTGTGCTTTTTACAATTTTTACAATAATAAGTGTCATCTAAATTTTCTTCTTTTAAAAATGCTTTAATTAGTCTATCCAATTCGAATGAAATTAATATTCTGAATGCCGTAAAACTTAGCGACAAGTCCATAAAATTATCAAATGCTATTGACTCTGACTGACAAACTTAACAAGTTACTTTACTCATTAGTTGCCCAGTGAAATAATCAGTAACAATGCTATTATCTCTATCTAAATAATACTAAAACCATTCTTCTCCCTTTTCAAATTTTAAAAGTTAAGGATTAAATAAATAATTTTGTAACATATTAGCTATTTACAATTTTTGTTAGTGGTTTTAATTTAATATTTGCTTCTAATTCTCTATAAGGCTTTTTGCCTTAAACTCTATTTAAATCGTTATGCAACCCATCAAGAAGTGTCCTCAGAAACTCTTAAGAATCTTATTAACCACTTCCTAAAAATTGCTAATTTACTTTTGCTATAATAAATTAAGTTTATATAAATTGCTTAAAAATAAAAAAAGTATATAATTTTTTTTGGAAATAAACTTACAAATAGCAAATTTAAGACCTGATGGACGTAAATAACTATTTTTAGTTGTATTTTCTTCAATGCTTAATGCCAATTCAGCGAATTCATTAGCAATACCTTTATTTGCTTAATTAATCTCTTTCTTAAATTTTCCAGAAGTGAAATAATCCAAGAAACCTGGAATGTTAAATACACACTGTAAAGCTGAATTCCTATTATTTAAATTAAAAAATTAACTTTTATATCTCGCTTGGTCTTAAAAATTGATTTTAATTAATTAATTATTTTATTTAAAAATGTTATTAGAATTTGTTAAAGTAAATTTATGAGAATTTAATATATATTTATAATAAATACATGTAGCATGTATTTCCTATATTTTATAGTCCGCATTTCCTATGAAATACTTTCCTAGTGCTCTAAGTAGAGTTTTGATTATATTATCCATAGTTTTATTGCATTTAAGTACCAGATTAGGAATAATTTTGAGTATTGTATTGATTGGCATAAGGGTAATTTATCTAGTTTTAATCTAATTAACTTTTACTATAGGCTCCTATCTTATCATTACCATAAGAAGAGGAATTTGAAGTTGTTAAACTATTTTTGTTTGAGGATGCCGTAGATGATCCATTTGAATATTAATAAGATTAGTTAGTAATAGGATTATATGACTATGTATTTGGTTAAAGATAAGAGTTATTTGAGGTAGTCATTTAATTTACTGTTTAATTTTATGTTCCTATTCTAGGTTAACTAGTTAATTATTATGTGGATTATTGATTCCTTATTTAAGGATTGTTATTTGCAGTGTTATACTAAGGAAGATGACTTGGAATAACTTTATACTATTATGGATATTGATATTTACTATTATCATAATTTTATTAGCTTCCCTATTAAATATTAGAATATTTTGGATCCCTTTAGGTCATAGTGTTTGGTTTTTACTATACTTAAGTAATATTACTTGTTCTATTACTTATTGTATTTTTGTTTATCTATTGATTGTCATATTATGGCTCATAATATTGATTACTTGGATTTATATTTCGAACTTTGATATGTTATTATGCCTACTATTAAATGCTATTTTTATATGATTAATTGGGATAATTACCTTTTTATTAAAATATATTTTATATGTAAATTAGGGTTGCTACTTGACTAACAGAAATAAAAGTAAATATACATTAACGAGGCTAGGTATTTTTAATACATATTTTAAAATTTATTCTTTATAATTTCAAACTCTTTACTTGTATATGGATATGACATCTAAATAAAGTCCTAAGTGTATATAGTAGCTTTTAAGTTTACTAGTTGCAACAGATAATTTTTTGCTGTAATGCTTAAATATGATGAAGCAATAATTGAAATTTATTTATTTATTACTTATAACTAACTATCTCTATGTGATTTTGAATTAAAAAAGCAAAATTTTTTATAAAGATCGCTCGCTTTTAATTATTATTTATATACAACTTTTACTCATACAAATAAATACATTGCTCAAATTTTATTAATCAAATAGTAAAGAAAAACAATCCACTCAATTTTACTTGTTTGATATTAATTTTTTTATTCATCCAATCAAATTTTTGATACAAAATTCAATGTATATTTAATATTTATTAATTTTAATTATTTTAACAAGTTTTGCAAATTACTTTAATCTCTATGCTGAGCAATTAAAACATGTAATTTTTGACATTTAGTATATAGTAAATTCAAGGTAAAATGCATTCAAAATATTTGATTTAAATTTCCAAAAAAAGAATAATAAATATTTTTAAAATAATATTTTGATTTCATTTTTTTTTATTAAATTTTTTTTAGAGAGATGATATATTATTTATCAATAATGGCTATTTTTCAATGCATCAACATGATAATATATAAAATTAAATTTTAATGTATAATTTGCTGATAAAAATAATTTATTTAATTGTTTTAATAAGAAAAAGAAAGAAGTGCAATATTCTAATTAAATTGATTAAAAAAATATATTTTGTTTTTTTATCTAATATGAATTTGATAATTTTTACTTTTAATAGAGATAAAATAATGCTAAAATATTTCTAATTCATTTCTATTAGAATTTAAGTACATAATTTCAATAAATTGAAATGCAAATGTAAATTTATCTTTATCTTTTTTTTGCAAATAAAAATTACTTTAAAAATTATGCCACCTAATAGTAAGTTGATTTAACTTTAAAATTCTCATGAATTCAAGTAATATTTAAATAATAATAAATATATTTTATTCTTTTATATGCAAAAGAAAAATATTTTAAGAACAATTTTCAAATTGTGATTGAGGTAATTCTTTAAACCAAGAAATTATTTTGTTAAAATAGTAGAAAGGGAAAATTTTGTTAATTTTTAAGTTATAATATAGGCCTATTTGATACATGTATTTTACTCATATGCAATTTGGTTAATTTATTTTAATTTTTTATTCAATTTTACATTTTTTTTATTTATTTGTAAGTAATGCACCATGATTAAAATAAATATTTTTGATACACCATTCATTTCTTACGCTTAGGGAGATCAGTTAACCACTTCATTACTTCATCAATATTGTTAGAATTTTTAGCTGATATGCTATAGCAGGCTACTTTTCTATCTTTAATACTATTTAAATCGAATTAACTTATTAAATCTTAAACAGTTAGAGCATTAGGTATGTCATTTTTGTTGCCTAATACAAGTAAAGGAATTCCATCAAGTGAAGGAAAACTAATTAGTTAATGAAGTTGTGTGCGAGCTATATCAATATTTCCTAGATCTGCAGCATCAGCAACAAATATTATAACATCGGCATCTCTGCAATATTTTTCCCAACTTTCTCTGAAACGAGGCTGACCACCTAAATCCCAAAGCTTCATTTATATTTTTCCTTTTTTAATTTATCTTTAATTGAATCCAATTGTAGGAATTGTATCTTCATCAAATTTTCCTGTTGCTAATGTGTTAACTAAAGTACTTTTTCCTGCATTTTAAAGGCCAACTATGGAAATTTCAAGCTCTTTATTCCAAAAGAGGCTTCTAATCCAATCTAAAACTTTTTTGAACATTTTGACTATTTTTCAACTGACTGATTGATACTTTCTACAAAATTTGTGAATAGCTAACTAATTTAGTTTTTTTTTTGAAAGAAATAATTATTTTTGATTAAAATTTTTAATTTTTCTATCTATACAGCTTTTTAAATAAATGAAAGTGTAATTTAGTTATGGGGTAATAGCATATAAATATAAAATATTAAATTATTTATTTATTTATCTTAGTTTGTAAAAGCATTTTGATAAATTATATTGGTATTATTTTCAAATTTATTGATATTAACTTAATTGACAGAATTATTCTTTCATTTTATGATATTTTTTCACATTTTCAGTATTTTAAAATTAAAAAATATGCAAACTTCTGATAAAAAGTCTGAAAAAGTATCACACAGTCAAAAATAAAAATAATATTTAATCTTTAGATTTTCATAAATAATAAATTTTCTAATACTAATCTGATTATCAGAAAAGCTAAATTCAAAGAAAGGTTAAATTTAACTTTTTTTATTGATTTTAATAAATTAATTTACTAAAATACTAATTTAAGATAAAAGAAAATTTTATTTTTATAATAAAATTTAAAATCTTTTTGAAAATAAAGACAAAAATTTGTTTAATTTACCTACTTAATATTTTATAATAAAAATGAAAAACTTGAATAATTGCTTTATTGAATGTAAAAGAACTAAAAATAGAAATAATTTGAATTAATAAATTTTTGAAGTAGAATAAATAAACGAGACTTAAATTAAATATGAATTTAAATAGAATTTGAAAAGTGAATAAATTGAGAAATAAGATATAAATATATATTAATTTTTTCTATAAATAACATTTATGTTAACTAAAATTAAATTTATAAGATAATAAATCAAATATATTGTTAATATATTTTCATAACTATGATTCTAACTTCTTGTTACTTGCTTGAAAAGATACTTAAAAATAATAAATTTACTCAGTCACTCATATCAAAAACTTATTACCAAATTTTCCTTTTTAAAATATTATTTTGATTAATTGTATCTAGGATTGATCCAAAGATATAATTTATTAAAGGAATTTTTAGTTTTTTCATCTTCCTCAACATATAATTTTCTGATATGGCATTATATTATTCTTATATTAATTAAATTAATGATATATATTTATTTATTTTTTTTATATAGCTTTATTTTATAAATATTGAGGTAAATAAGTTGCTTACTTTCCATCAATTTAATCATTTTATTATTTTTGGTAATATTAAAAATTCAAAAACCATCTCATCACTCTTCCTCACTTTCTAATTATTTTTAAGAAATAAATCAATTTAAATAATTTTATTAAATATTTTAATGTTTTTTAAAATTACCAGAGAGCATTGCTTCAGAACTTTACTCACTGTTATTCTAATTTTAAATATGACCGTTATATTACTAAGCTTAATTACTATTACTGCTGTACTGTGGATTTACATTCATTTATTGTAAATGTTACTAATACTAGCTTGGGTTTGATTGATATTAAGCATTGTAGTAATTTTACGATTGAGGGTATTAGCTGATTCCATTTTACACTTATGTATTAGCTCCATATTGAATTTGTTAATTAGGCACAATATTTCTATTGTGATTGCCATTTGAATTAGCACTAAGAGGCTAATTCATATACATATTTTGCATGTTATTTCCATATCCTTAATATTATGCTTATCCCTATTGATTATACTGCTATCCTGAATAAGGTTGCTAAGTTTAATTAATCATGCTTGGTATTGCCATGCCTTATTAACCTGCATCATACTATTAGCTGGGTCTGTTCTGATAACCACCGATGACAGCGCTTTGCTTTTATATTTGATAAAATTTTTAAAAAGTTTTAAAAAAGTGAACAAGAAAGTACCATAGGTTACTAAATAGGAAAAGCAGAAGGATATTAATTCATCATCATTTAATTTTAGTATGTCGATTGCTAAGCATACTATTATTAATTTAAATGATTGTATCCTTATATAGAAGCCATGTTTTATTATGTAGTTGCTTAAGCAATGGGTAGTTATTACTAAGCTACTGGATTAGCTTGAACATACTATCCCTACTATATCATTTAGCTGTTGTTGACTTTTGCACTTGCAGCATTTTAAGCAGAACCATTATTTTGAATAAGTTAATTTGCTTATGTATAACCTGGATTACTAGCGTAAGCTGTGGCAGGATATTACTAAGCAGCAGTAAAGCTAGTTTATTGTGGGAAGTTGTTTACTGCAGCATCAATTGGAGTTTAATTAGTATTTACTGTAGTACTTGCAGTTGTAGTTGTTGTAGGCGTAGAGTATGGTAACTAAGCTTTAGCTTATTGTTAGCTGTCTGATAAAAGGTTATTTGGTTAATTTTTCTAAACACGTTGTTTTTTTTGTTGAAATGCAGCTCTTTACTTGACATATGCTTCTAATTCTCTAGCTTTTCTTACTGGCAATGTATCAATATCAAATTCTATCACTTCACTATTTTATTAGCTATCTTATACTATACTCCAAATTCCATTTAAATCTTCTGGAGGAAGTCTACGTATATTTATTCCTAGTTGCTTCTTTTCACTGATAGTTAATGGGATGTCTTTCTTTTCCAATTTTCCAATCTTCTTCTTCTTTTTATTGTCTTACTATTCACTTTTGTTAATTAAAATGATAATATTAATGTAAAATTTAAATAAATTATTTTGCGATAATTTTCAATATAAATTTCTTTTTATAATTCAAAATATTTTTTTCATTAACCAATTAATTTATTTTAGTTCAGCAGTTGGAAAAAATTTAAGATTTATGGTTGAGTTGAAGGTTATTTAGCAAAAATTAATGGTGAAGTAAAAAATTAAATAGAATTAATTACTCTTATGACTATTGCTATTTCTATTATTGGATTTATTGCTGCTGTAATTATTATTATTATTACAACTATTATTATTACTACAACTATTATTATTATTATTGTTATTGATTGACTTATTGCTAAGATGGTAAACGTCTTTTGAAAAGAACGAATTCTTGTACTTCTCTTGCAGTTTTAATAGGGAGATTATCTATATTTAATTCAATCTATTCGTTATTTGTTTCACAGTAATCCTTTATTAACTCGTATAATTATTTTGTATCGTCTTCTGTAAGCGATCCGATATTTTAATAAAGTTAGTTGATTTCATCTTAACTTAATTTGGTTTAATATTTATCTTTAGCTTTGGCTTATTATGCAGTTGTATCAGGTTAGTTAGCAGTTTATTTAGTCTTTTTTTATTTTTCAGGTTTTGGAGGATTTGCTGGTATAGCTGAATTTTAAGTTATTGGCACTGAAGCAGAAGATAGCTATTAAATCTAATTCTATTATTAAGTAACATTTTATGCTTATTTATTAGCTCTCTTCTTTAATGACGAAGCGGTATTATTGTTGATAGAGTTGGAAGAAGCGTCTATTGAATCTCTAATTTTGTATGCAAAAAATTATGAGAATGAAAATACAAATTGATAATTAATTAATGAAGGATATTTAATTTTTTATTTATTAAGTTCTACGACTTTGGTAAACTAAAATTAAAAAATTATATTTATATATCCTAATATATGTAAGTAAGTGAAAGCAAAGGATCTTGATGTTGTTTATTTTTTGATCAAAAAGATATATAAGTAAATGTGTAAATTTTAATTAAAAATGTATTTAAATGCTACAACCATCAACCTATTGCTTTTTATTTGAAATTTTTTGTTATTGCTCCTATTTGGAATTTTTTTATCCACTAAAGAAATTTGAAAAATTTTATAAAAAGATGTTCGTTCAAATAATTAATTAATCAATCAATCAATTTTTTTTAATTTGAATGGAATTATTTTTTTATTTTCACTTAATTAACTAATGAAGATTAAGTGCAACAATTTTGAGGAAATTTTATTGAATAAATAGAGGATTTCGTTCAAAAATTATATTTTTTAAATGAATCAACTCAAAACCAATAACTTTTACTGCTGTATTTTTTGTATGTGAAAATAAAATTATTTTTTCCACCTTTCTTTTGTGTTTTACTTCGTTTAAGTTAACAAAAATTCATATTTTTCAGCATTCTGAATGAATTTACATTTATAATTTAAATAAAAAATTATTACTGATACTCCATAGGGTTAGGAAGTGATTAACTTTTTACCTGAGTAAAAATTTTTTCAAATAACCTGCTCATTTCTTCTGTCATTTTATAGATTTAGCTTCCTTTTTAGTTATATGTAAAGGAGTTATTCCATATCTTTCTAACATCATCTGCGAATTGTAAAGTAGTTTAATAATAGCCCTGTTTTAAATTTGACTCCACTTTCGATAAATCCATTGGATCTCTTATTATTTTATAGTAGTCAGGGCATTATTGTGCTAAGGCATCAACTTTTTATAAAAATGGACCTGCATTTTCGCTTTTCTTTAGTTATTACAATATCGAAAAGCACACCCTTATGTCTTCAGAAACAGGAATTGTTCCTTTCTATTGTGTGTCAACACTAATTACTTACTATAAAACTTAATTTTGCTGTTTTAAGCTTTTTGCTGCTTACTTTTCTAAAATTTTTTCCTACTACTTTCTTTTCTTTGTATTTCCGCTTTCTGGAGAATCGGCTATTTATTCTTTTTCAGGTATATTTTCTTTTTTGGATTACAACTTTTTATCTTTATCATTTTTATTTTGTTGGGCTGCTAATGATGCGGCATTTTAAGCATTTGCTGCCTGATTCATCTTGGATCTAGTTTACTTTAACCTCTCTTAGATCAGTGTTTGCTCATATTGCTTTTGTTTGATATTTAAATAAATCAATCTAAAATTTAGGAACTTTATTTTTCATATCTTTCTATGCAACATATTTTGCTATACTAATATATTATAAATTCTATTTCATTTTATTTATTTCCTATGCATTGTATTTGGGTGAAGAGTATATGAATGCCTTCATATCGTTATTTATCTTAATACTTAAGAGTTTTCTTCCAAGTTTAAAATTATGATCTTTAATGTAACATCAAAAATTGTAAACAAAGCTCAAAAGTTTGGTCTAAAAAATTTTAAGTAAATTACATTTAACTTTGTAGCATTTGGATTCATTTGAACACGTCTAGTGTGAGAAGATGAGAATTACAGTGAGTATCCTCTAGGTAGCATACTATTGATGTACTTTGATTACTCTTATGTCAAAAATATTTCTTATACTTACTAATTTTAAAATCATACACAAAGATTAGGTTTGCTGAAATTCAAAAAATTTAGAGAATAAAATGATAGTTAATTCACAAATAATTGAGTATAAATGATTGCTCTTCTGTTTAGGAAGTTATTTAAGATATTACATCACTCATTTTAACGATTAGCTTTAATACTTGCACGAAAAATCACTTTGTTTTCAATGTCCTTGTAGTTCTTTGAATCAATACAATTGAATAAGAACAAAATCTATCAATTTGTTGTAAGAAGTGGAAGAAGACTTTGTTAGATAGATGTAAATTTTCTTTTTTATTAATCACTTAATCAAATATTTCACACAATTTCGCGCCTAGATAAAAAAAGTAAAAAATTAATAAAGTTAATTAATTAATTGAGAGAAGAAGAAAACTCACATTATAAATTTTCCTTCCTGATAGATTATATAATCATAAAAAAAATATATACGTATTTTTATATTTATTTATTAATTTATTTGTAGATATATTCGCATCAAGCTTCTGGTAAATAAATATATTTTAAATTATTAAATGACCATAAATCAATCACCCTTATTCAAATTTAATTACTCAAAATTTTATTTTTATTTTTATAAACTCTCTTATTATTTTGTTAAGGTATTTTTCCATCTTTTCATTTAATTTTCAATAAATTTTGAAAGGAAAGTAAATAATTTTGTCTTAATTAAAATACAAAGAAGTTTAATAGCAAATAATTTTAAATTTTCACATAAATTTGTTGATTATAAGATTTTATTTGAATATAAAATTTAAAAATTGAGGATATTAAATAGATATAAATATTATTAAATTTTTTTAAAATATTACAATTTATAATAAGAAAAACAAGCAAAATAAGATTAAACATTATTTTTAATAAAAAGTTTAACTCTTATCATATCATTTAAATCAATTTAATTCTCTTTTTTTTATTTATTAAAATTAGTTTTAAAGCCTATATTAGGAATTGAGTAAACCTTTTACATTTATTTTTAATCTATTTATTATTTATCTATAAAATAATTGTTTATAGAATTTTTGATCTTTAATATTTTATCAAATAAATATTGGCATCAAATCAAAGATATTCAATTTAAATAAAAAATGAAATACTTTTGCTTTTACTTAATTCTTCAATTTTCATTTTTTTTATATTTATTTTTGTTTCTTTAATCTAGAAATAAATGAATTTCTATTTCTATTGTTAAAAGGTTTATTTTAAATGATAGAAATTATTTATTCCCTCATCAATCAAAGTGTTTGATTAATAGTCATTCCAAAATAATATTTAAATTGAAATCTTTCAAAATATATAAATAAATAAAAGTAGCACTTAAAATATTATTTTAATAATTTAAAAAAAGCTATGAAATTATTAAAATTTTCAGCTTTATTAGTAATGAAAAAAAAAAAATTCTAAGAGCAAAATTTAATTAATAATAGTTGTTCTGATAACAAAATAAATTACTAAAAATAAACATCAAAAAAGATATACTTGTAGAGTAATAATTTTGAATGAGTTATTTTTGCAATAAAAAAAGCTTTTTATAAATGCTTTAAAGTAACTAACATGCGTACATATTTTACTCATAATTTTGCTTTTTATTTGTTCTTAGAAATTTAAGGAGCTAACTTAAATAAAACTTGATGAGTTTTTTATATTTCTGGAAGAGCTTCTATTCTCTACATCCATTCATATAAAATAGGAGTCTTGTTTTTGAAATCATAATCATCAAATTTCATTTAAATAATCTCAGAATAGCATGATAAGTCAGCTATTGTTAACTGTTAGTTATTACCTATATATTTATTCTTTCCTTGATCTAACCAAACCCTCTCAATAAACCTGAAAACACTTTCAACTTCTTTAAATAATGTGTTCACATCAAATTAAGGCTTAATACCTAAAACAGGAGCGAAGTATTGATCAAAAAGATAAGGAGCGCATTTTCTTGTATTTGTATGATGCCAATCTAAGTAAGAATCAACTTTAGCCTTTAGCTAAATATTTCCTCTTGGATAAAGATTAGATTTGTTATATCTGTCTGCTAAGTATCTCATGATTGCATGGCTTTCAAATAAATTAAATTATTCGCCGTTTTCAAGAGTTTCAGACATTCCAGGCAACTTAGCAGTGGGGAACATTTTTTTATATTCTGGAGTTCTGTTTTCTAACTTTTTAATTCTAACTTCTACCAACTCATGAGGAATATTTTCAATTAAGCAAAAAGTTACAATAGCTCTAGATGGCTAACTAAGCCATTCAATATAAAGTTTAGTGCTTGGTTTTGTTGTCATTTAAATTAATATAATATTTGCAATTTAATAAATTATAACAATTGCAAAATAAAACCAAATATTAATACTAACTTTATGATTACAAATTCTGGGTTTAATTACATTTAAAGAAACCTTCTAGAATATAATACAAACTAAAAACATAAATTTTATCTCGAATGATGAAACATTCGTCATTATATTATGAGATTAACCATTTTATGAATTTTCCTATTTATTCAAGTCAGTAGTATATTTGGTTATTTATTAAAAAAATAATTATTATTTAAGTAAAGGACGATAAATACTTTTCTTTAGTTTTTATTTAGAAAAAATAAAAAAATTAATAACTTCTTCATTCATTTGCTTGATATTATTTACACTAAATAAATATATTTATTTATTAAAGATAAAACTAGATTTGTTTTATGATATAATATAAGTGACTTAAGCTAATTTTTTATAATTATACATTTTTAATCAAAGATTAGGTTTTATTTTGTTTTATGACATTTTTGGAGCTAGTTTGAATAAAATTTAATGGGTTTACTAAATTTCTGGTATTTATTCAATTCTTTTCATCCAGTTGTATAAATTAGGTGTTTTATTTTTAAAATCATAAGAATCTATTATCATTTGAGATACTTCGCAATAGCAAGATATGTCAGCTATTGTAAGCTAAATATTATTTCCAATAAACTTATTTTTTCCTTCTTGAAGCCAAATTTAATCAATGAATTTTAAAATAATTTCAATTTCTTTATATAGCGTTTCAATGTTATTCTTTGGTTTTATTCCTAGTACACCTGATGAATATAAGTCAAATAAATAAGCTCCACACTTTCTTGTGTTATTATGGTGCCAGTCTAAATAACTATTTATTAGAGCTCTTAGCTAAATATTATCTTTGGGATAAAGCTTAAACTTATTATATCTATCTGCTAAATATCTCATGATAGCATGGCTTTCAAATAAGTTAAATATTTCTCCATTTTCTAATCTATCTGAAATAGCTGGAACTTTTGCGCTTGGATTTATTTAAATATACTCTGGTTTGCGATGCTCTAAAGCATTTACTCTAACTTGTATAATCTCATGTGGTATATTTTCAATTAAGCAGTAAGTAACTACTGCTCGAGATGGCTAGCTAATCCAATCAATAAAGATTTTCATAATTTATTAGATACTATTAATTTATTTTTTTAAATTTATAAATTATATCACTTCAAAATAGATTTTGAGAGAAATCCTTTTTATATAGAAGCAACCCAACACTTATCCAATTTATTTTTAAATATTTATGAAAAGTAAGCTAAAATTTTTTTCAAATATTATTTTTTATTTTCAAAGTATTTTTAAAATAGAAATGCATTATTTTAAAAAATAATTTAGTAAAGAATTTTGAGTTAATTTGCTTATTAAATAATTAATATTTTCTTTTAAAATAATTAAGTATATTATTTTATAAAATGCAAATCTATTAAAAATTTACAATTTAATATCTGAAATTACATAATTAAATTAAAAAATCATAAAACAAAGAATTTAACAAGAATTTAGAAGTTATATTCATAAAAATTTTAAAACAACATTAAAAGTATTTCTATTTTTAAAGGAATAATAAAACAATAATTAAAAATAAATTAACAATTTTTTTTAATTTTTAATAAAATTGATGTGTTTAACATTTTTCGAAGAAAAAAAAATATAGAGAACTATATTCATGTACTTAGCTTAGTATAAGTGATCTTTTTAAAATTAATACTTTTATAAAAGAGTTTTTAATAAATTTTTTAATTTGAATAAAGAATTTGCTTAGGTTATAAAATATTATCTTAAAAAAAATTTATGTTAATATGATTTTTTAATTAGCTTTTTATTTTCAAAAATAAAAGTTCAGTTATTAGTTAATTAATTAGCTAGTTTGTTAGTTAGACACAAATTAATTTTGAATTATTCCGCCATTTACTTTTCAATTAAATTACAAAGAATTTTATTTATATTTGTTTAAGAATAACACAACATATATGCTTGCATTTAGTGTTTTAAAATAAAACTATAAATTAATCTTTTAATTTTTAACATTTATAATTCCACTGATAGACTGATAGGTGGTATACTATTTTAAAAATGAAGGATGTTTTTAAGGATAAAATAATAGTAAATTTTATGAATAGTTAAGATTGAATAAGGATTAATATAGTTTATACTAAAAAGAGATTGATATAAAAGTGTGCTTAGATTTTTTAGATTAAAATCAAATAAATTAAAGTTGGTTATTATTTAATTTTTCAATAATTTTAAAATTATTACAAACAATTAAAATGAGTATAAAATAAATAGGGAGTCCTATTATTAGCAAATAAGAAGAGGAAAGTTCAAATAAAAACTCTAATATAGAATGTATAGTTGAAGAAGATTCTGCTTTGCTCTAAGTTAAGTAAGAATACGATGATTAGGATGAAAATTAGAATAATAATAGCAGCAATAGCAGCACAATAAATGCAAACAATTAAGGAAACAACGTTGGAGGAGGGAGAAGCAGATCTTCAGGATAAAATTTAGATGGAGGAAGCTTTAATACCAAAAGAAGTGTTCCTGTAGTAAAGATGTATTATGGTAAAAAGTATGTAGTCGGTATGTGCTCTCAACAAGAACAAGAAATAGAAAGTGAAGAGGAAGAAAAACCTATTCATTACTATCCACCCAAACTTATTTTATTGAATTTCCCTCGCCCTCATAACTATGATGCCTAGACTTAACTACTTCTTATAGAGAACTCATAATTCTAAGCAAAATTTTAGGAGATGAATTAAAATTAAGATATAACTACATATTTAGAGCAACTTGTTGTTGGTAATTCTTTAAATTACACAGAAAAATTAGAAGTTCGTCGCTTTTGGTTTTCTAGATTTTTTGAGTACGCTTAGCGCTATCCTCCTTGCTGTAGAAGAGTTAAAAAGTTTTGGGAGTGGGTATTTATGCTCAATCCAGAGTCTAATTTTAGATGGCGTTTTAAAAGCTTTTCTTTACAGTGGATTGAATTGATGACTTCATATGTAGAATTCCGTGAGTTATTTAGCAACTGGTTGGAATCATTTGAATAAGACATTCTGTCTGAATTATAAGATGAGAAAAAAAAATTATTTAAGGCATAACTTTATTCTCGTTATTTCAAAGAATTACTTTAGATGAAAAATAAAAGTAGCTTTGCACCTGATGATTTAGAATCAAGAGAAGATATGCAAAACTAAATTATGGATGAAGGTGTTGTTATCAAGCCAGAAGGATACAAAGAATCATGTATTTGTATGAGAGCTGAACGTGATATGAGAATTGGGATTATACCAAAATTAAATAAAGTCTAGTTCAAATATAATATGAAGATTTTCCATAAAAACGTAGAAATAAATAGTCTATTCACTATGAAGGAGGCTGAGTTACCAGTAAATCCACCTCCTGAAGAAAATTATGATGATGAAGATGAAGATGATGATAATATCGATGATGACGACGATGAAGAGGACATTGATGATGATGACGATGAAAATGATCTTTCAAGCATTGGCAAAGAAGATGATAGCAACTTATCTTCTTAATCAGAAGGAAGTGGTGATTCAAATATGATGATGTCTTAAGACTCATTAGCTAATAATAGTTAGATTTAAAAATTTAAAAATTCAATCAAGCCCTAAATGGAGAGTTTTGCTAATTCTAATAACTATGATAAATAAAATTAAATTCAATCAAAAGAAGAAGAAAATCAACTAAAAAATGAAGAAAAGTAAGACACTTAAGAAAAAATTAATCATGATAAAGTTGTAGATAAAGCAGATTAAAACACTGAAAATTAAAGTGCTTAAAATATATAAAATATAAATAATAGTAGTAATGTCAATGCTTAGGTTGCTGATAATAGTAGTTAAAATGGTGAAGAATTAGACGTAATAGCAACAGACGAGCATATGGACAACAATTAAAGAAATAATATATTAGATTGACGAATTAAGAAAAGATTGAACGAATACAAATTTATTATAAAATAGAAAAATAAGGAAAAATAATTGGTTATTTAGATATAAATAGAATAAACAGATGCTATCTATCAATAATTCAGCAAAATTAAAAAAATATAAATTTATAGGAAAGCGACAAAAAACATTATTATTCATTTATTTCATTTTGTACATACAAGTAGATAAATTTAAAGCTATTTTATAATTAATTTTTACCTGAAATAAATTTTTAAATATTATACATTAAATAACTTTTGCTTTGTTATAAAAAGCAACTTTTATATGTTTTTACAATTTAATATTACTTATATTTTAAATATTTCTTTTAAAATAAAATTTAATTATGTATGTCTTTTAACATAAAATATTCATCAATTAATTTAATTAAAATTTTCAAAAATAGACTAAAAAAAAATCTAAAAATATAAATATAAATAATTTAAATAAGAATTTTTCAATAAATTAAATACTTACTTTATGCAAATAAATTAATTAATATCTTGAAAATAAATTTTTGATAAAAATAAATTAGAAAAATGATAATAAAATATGTTTTTTATGATCTGACTTTCAAATAAATTTCAATTTGATGTATTTTCTTGAATATAAACTAATTTATTTTCAAAAAGATTGAATAGTATTTTTACATATTATACTATTGTTAAAAATTATCTAGATTTTTGATTGGAATCTTTAAAGAAAATGATTTTTATTAATTTTATTTTTATATTAGATTGAATATTTTATTTAATTATTACATTTGTAATAAAAATTTGTTATAATTTAACTTAATCAATTTATTATGATTATTAGTTCAATAAAATTTTGGCTTTAATTTGAAGAAATAAGTTATACATTTAATTTAATCCAATTTAAAAAGTTATTTCGTTAAGTTTTTTATCTAAAATAGTTTTTACTGGTATCATGCAAAATTTAAATTTGTAAAAGTGATGAAAGTAAGTAAAGTGAGTGAGTGAAAGAATTTAAACTTTCCATTTTATAAAAAATAAATTAATATAAAGAAAAGCTGAGATACGAAGAAAGTACTAAGTATATATAATAAATATGAAGTAATTTGTATTAAATCTATAGATTTTTATTTCTATATAATTAGCTTTAAAAACCCTAGTTTATAATTTTTATTTTACATCTATTATTTATTCTCCAAGCCAAATAGATTTAACAATATTTATTTATTTATTACCTCAGCTAAATTTAAAACTAAATGACATTCGAAATAAGTTTTCAGAACATGCAACTTTCATAAGTTGGAATCATATATTTAATATTAATGTAAGCATCTTCTCCACCATACTTTTCAAGTATTTCTAATGTTTCCTAAATTAGATCTGATAAATTCTCATTTTTTCTTTAAGAATAGTCAATATGGTCTCCAATATTCACTATAATTTATAGAAGTTATGTAATTTTAACAATAAAAATTATTTAATTTAATTACATCTCTTATTTTTGAACATATTCATCACTGGTAAAATTTAACCTTAATTTATAACAAAAATAGATTTAATTATTTATTTTTTATTTTTGTTTTAATAATAATATATTTTACGGTAGTAAGGAACTAGAGCTTCACCAATCATATCACTTGAAGTAACTAACTTTTATATTTTCTTTAAAGTGGTGCACATAATTGGATGACTCTTTGTGCTAAGTGCCTCTATATATTGCGAAAAATATTACTCTCTCTTAAATTAAAAATTAATGATTTATTACTCTTAATAGGAATAATTAATTGAGGAAGCACAGCAAATATTTTAGCTCCACCTCTAGCAAGTAATTCTTCACATCCTTGATCAGCCAAGAACTGATTTTAAATCAAATTTTAATTAAAAAATTTCGGGCATTATTATGAAATAATTTACTTTATAGGGTTCTTCAGTTTCTCTAAGTCCTTCAAAAAATATAGGCAAATATAAATGGTAATCTAACAATTCAGGTTCAAGTTTCCATGAAATCTAATTAAGTTAATAAAAAGTTGAATTTTGTTTATTTGTCTAAAAACTAATTATAAAATTCAATGTAATCAATAAGAAATTACCTTGCGGTGAGCTCCGTGGAAGTTGACTGCTATAGGTAAATCACCTCTATCATAATACTTTTTGAAGAGATTAATTTCAACAGCTTCACTGATTTAAATTATTTATAAAAAGGAGAAATTAATAAAAGGATTATTAGCATGTTAATTTGCATATTGAATATAGAATTTATTATCATTTATTCATTTTTGTTTTATGAAACTGTATATATATTATATTTTCACTTAAAACTAAATCTTTTTCACTCTAAAAAATGTTAAATTAAAATATTTACATAGCTTTAGCTTCAAAAATACCAGTTTTTTTTACTTTAGGGATAGGTTATACCTTTTTAGGAGCAAGTGATGAGCAATCTATAGATTAAGATAAGATAATTATTAAAAAAAATGATTAATTAATATCTAGTAGCAAGCAAATAATTCAATAGATCATTTCTTTGGCTTAAATCCAAAGTGAATTGAAATTTTAATTTATATTATGAAGAAATGCTATTTTACTTCCACCAGTTCCAGTGAACTTAGATGAAATATTTAATAAATGAGTTGTGTTATTTGGTTTAACTTTTCTAGATGGGCTTAAGCTTTACATTTTTATACTAACTATTCTAAATAATTATTAAATTTATATGAATTGCTTTTTTATTATTTCTGTTCTTTTGCTTTTTCTATTTTTTGTTTTTTAATTAATATTTATATGAATTCAATAAAAAAATGATAAAATATAAATGAGTTTCTTTTTTTTTTATTTGCTTAATTATAAAAACTATTCGCTATCTTTAATAAATAATAAGTAATAAGTAAAACTTAACAACCATTAATTATTATCATTTAACAGCGAACAAAATTTTGATGTTAAATAATCTTCATCATTTTCATTTGAAAATTAAAACATATTTTTACTTTTATTTATTAAAATGCATTTCATTATAAATTAGAAATTATCAAATTATTTAATGTATATTTATTCAATAATTTTTAAGATAGCTTATATGTCTATTATAGTTATTTATAATTTATTTGATTTAAATAAATCGATTTTTTAAAATAAATATTTATATTGTTTTTTATTATAGATTTATTTTTAAGAGTTATTCTTAAATTTAATTTACTTTTTAAATGAATTTTCAGATTATAAAATAATCCATCCAAATAAAGATTTTATTAGCTTCAAAATTAAGGATAGATATCATTTTTAAGTTATTTATTTTAGCCTTCATAAATAATTTTCACAAAAAAATATATTTAACAATTTTTAAATTAAAAAATTTACAGAATTTTATGTCTTTAAAATAAAGCTGAGCTCTCAAATAATAATTTATTTTAAATAAAATAATTTTTATTCATTTTTTATTTTTTAAATAGAAAAAAATTTAGGTTTTGTAAGGAATGATTTTATTTTATAAATAAAGCTTGCATTCTAGTTTATAGCTAACTTAAGAAATATATTATAAGTAAATTTGAAATTCAATAAAATAGATGAATTAGATAAAATAGATATGCGATTTTATCAAATTAATATTCGACAGATTGTGATAGTCATTCTTTATTTAATCTTTATTTGTTTGCTTATTTAACTCATTTAACATTTTCAAGGTATTTAAATTGTTTACATTCAATACTGCTTTTTTGATCCGTCTTTTAAATAAAAAATTAAGAATTATACAATATAATTAATTTTTCGTTAATAGCATAGATATAAATCAAAATCTCTTCAAAAAGTAAAGATATAATAATAAGCATAGGTTTTAAAAAAGTGAAAGAAGTAGTAGTGATTAGAAACATTTAATAATTTTAACTTCTCTAGATAAATGGCTGACGTATTTTTAATTATTATAACTATTGTCCTAGCTATTTTATTAGTCATAGCAAGTTTTTATCTTCTAGTTTTGTATTGTCATCGTAATTCATTTTAATTAAATTAAATAAGAAATAAAACCAATTAGATTAAGCTAATAGCAACGTTTTAATTAACTTAAAATATTTTATTTAATAGCTGAAGATAGAGGCTGGGGAACGTCACTGTTTTGTAAGATTGTAGTCGTAATTATCAAATTATAATTAAATTTGCATTACATTAATTTAATATTCTATTTATAGATTGCTGGTATGACACTTAGTTGGGCTTAAGTTTTAATCCTGCCTTTAGATGTGTCTAACTCAAGGTAAATAATATAATTATGAAATATAAAAAATTAATTTGAAATATTGAATTTGTTAGGAATGATGCTGGATTAGATATGACAACCTTTTGGTATATAATTTATATGTGCGTTGCTATAATGGTTAGTATAATTATACCATTTGCATCGTTTATGTATGAAACTGACGATGAAAAACCTATTGTTTCCAGAGTATTTACAGCTATTTGTTATGAAATTTGTCTTTTTATAGTTATTAGTATTGCTTACTTTGTATCTTGGGCATATTTAAAATACGCTTAAATACCTGTTACCATTATTACCACAACTTTGAGTCCTAGCTCATTTTTAAATGCAGGAGATTAAATTCCTTCAAACTTTACTCCAAGTTAGGTTTCTAATAATACAACTTTAGAATTAGAAGTTACATTTGTTATTTATGTTATGGCTTTCACTAGTTTTATTGGTAATTGGTTATTTGTGCTTTTTGCAGGTGTAGGACTTTTCTCATTACCACTTGATATGATTCTTGAATTTTGTAACAGACCTAAGCTTAGAAAGAGTAGTGAAGCTAAGGAAATTAAGAATATCTTAATAAGAAAAACAGAAACTTTAATTGAGCAAGGAAAAAATGTTAGAAGTAACAAACATAAACAAAATCAATTAATTTTAATGTTATTGTATATAAAAATAAATAGAAAATGGAGAAAATATATCAGAAGATGAGGGATTTTGGAATAGAAGAAGATAAAAAAAAGATTTTGAAAAGTCTTTTAATGAATTTAGAGTTTCAGTTTTAAGTTTAGAGAGAGATTATGATATTTTTAAGCTAGAATTAAGTATTGTCGATGTGAATCCAGCAGTATGGTTTTTGAAATTAGTTGGTGGAGTTTTATTATTTGGTGTATCTATTGTCTGGTGGCTCCATATGTAATTTGTTAAAATAATATTGAAGCTATTTATTTATAATTTTCTTTCAAAATTTAAAAGTATTATCTATATTTTGGCTCCAGGAATATCAGGTTTTCCATCATCTCCTTTCTTAAATAAAATGCTTACAGATATAGAAGCTTCAGGAGTAAACTTTTTAGCAACAGTTTTCTTCGCTGGTCTAGCTCTTCACTTGCTGTTTTGTGTCTAAAAAGGAAATATCAAGTTTGGACTTAGAATTCCCTTCATATTTACTATTCATCCTATGAAAATAAATGAAACATGGATGAACAGTTTCTTATTTAATATAAACCTAGTTTTAATCTGTAGTGTCTCTATATGCTAGTTTTGCACTAAAGCACTTTCAATTTATACAAGATCAACTACCATTGATAGTAAAAATTAATTTTGCATGAATATACATTAATTAATATTTAAAAATTAGTTTTGTTCAACTAATAAGTTAGATATCTTAAGTTCTTTTAATACTTTTACAAAAACAATGTGTTCGAGTATATTTTAGTAATTTGGTCAGTTTTAACCCTTGCCTACTTACTTTTAAAAAGATCTGACAAACCAAAAGTAAATTGATAATCAATCAAAATTTAAAATTAAAATTATTTTTAATAAAAAAAGGCTTTATAATAAATAGAAGAGTTATAAAAAATAAAAATTAAGTGATTTAAACAAATCTTTATTGAAAGTTCATTTCTAGCAATTTACACAAAAATTTCCTATAAATAAACATGAATTACAAAGTTTTTATAAAATTTCAAATTAAATTATCAATTAAATAATTATTAAATAAATAAAAATTATATTACACTAAAATATTTTGTAATCTTTATCTAAAACATATTTATGTCTACAGTTTTTAAATTATTCGTTTATTTCTTCATCATTAAATAATTAATTTATTAAAATTTATATATAAACCTATAATAGTAATTCATTAGATAGCTTTTACTACACAATTAAATTTTATAAATTATAGATATATGAGTGCTAGCTATTTTTATTTTTTTTTAATTCTTAAAATTGCTCAGATTGTTAATGATTTTTAGTTTGAATTTTTTAGAGAGATTTGCAGAAAATTATTTACTTAGCTCTACTATTAATTAATAATTAAAAGTAAAAATTGATTAGAAAAAATTATTAATATTTTATAAAATTAGTTTAAAATCAAAAGATATTAAAAGATTCATATATTAAAAATACCTAAAAATCATTTAATCTAGATGAAATAATTTATTGACTTGGATTAGAATACCTATTAAACTAGAGTAGATTTATAAATTGATAATTCTATTTTACTTGAAAAGGAACTTTTATATTAACTAAAAAACTATTTTGAAGCTAATTAACAATTAATTACAATCCATTTAAGTATAAATGGTAAACTAAATGAGGACATATTTTTAGGACTATCACTTATGTAAAATGTAGCTAAATTGCATTTAGAATTTTAAGAAACTACAATTAAAGGAGATTTACTATTGTAAATTATTAATTACATCTCAAATCCTAACACTTTAAGAAGCCTATCTATCTAATTTTAAAACTCTTACATAGTCTAGTATTCCCAAAGCTAATCTCAGAAGCAACTATTATAAAGGTTTTCTTAACTGAGCGAGGTAAATATGTTATTCTAAGAGTCTTATTTTGACATATAGACATTTTAGTAAATTGTAAATACTTTAACTGCAAGCCCAAATATAAGGGTATTAGATATTAATTTAATGAATATAGATGAATAGAGCAATTAATTTATTTTAGATGATTAAAGCTACGAAGTAATAGATAATCCTAATACTAATTATGAGTTATTTGAAGAAATCAAACCATCAATTCGTTAGCTTAATTTGAATTTTCATTAAGAAAATATAAATTTCTGTGAAAATGCATATAAATTAGCAAAAGGTTTTTAATACTTACCTTAGTTACAGATCCTTAAGCTTCAAATTACTAACTAACATGTTTCTTTAGATTAATATAAGTAGATATTTTTAGATTTATCAAAATTATAAGAATTGACTTAAATTGATTTATTGATTTGCGATAGTAATATTAATAAGTTACTAATATAATCATTGAGTAATCTGGTAAATTTAGAGTCTATTAATATAGATATGAGTAGCACCCAAATAGTTGGGGATGGGTTCTAAGATTCTGAGATATTGTTTTCAAAATTAAAAAAATTAAAAAGAGTTTAATTAATATTAAATAATAGTGTTTAGGAAATTCAGTTAAATAATCTGGCTAAAAGTATTTCTTTTGCTTAAAGCCTTCAATCCTTTTACTTAGATATAACTAACTTATAAATTTAAGATGAATTTGTTTTAAAATTAGGACAAAGTCTTTCAAAATTAGCTTCTATAAATGAGCTAAGACTACATTTTAGTGAAAATAAAATAACAGACAAAGGTATTTCTAGTATTTGTTTTGCGATTGAACAATTAATGTAGCTCGAATAAATATCAATCAGTTTATAGAATAATTATATTACTGAATCTGGATATCTGCATTTAAAAAATTCTCTTCAAAAGAAGATTACACTGAAAAATTTAGATTAAGATTTTAAGTGGAATAGAGATGAACTTAATATTCCTAATAATTTTGCTGAAATATTAGTTTTTGAGAATAATTCTATTAGAAACCTTGAACTTAACTTAAGAGTTTTTAATTAATTGAACTAAAATATTGTTGATTAGATTGCAAAATCAATATAGTAATCAAAAAATATAGAGACTTTGATTATTGATGCAGAAAAATCGTTTTTCACACTTAGCTCTTCTAAAAAACCATTACCTGTAAGTGATTTAAAATAGCTTAAAAGACTAATTATATTTAGTGACCTATCTCATGATGAAAATAGATAAGTAAAAAAATATATTGTAAGAAAGTCATTAAGATTAATTGAATTAATAATAACCAATTATTTTTGAGATTTATTTTTTAAAAATATATTTTAAAGTAATACTTCTAAAAAAGACACAAGACTAAACTGTTAAATTTTATTTTATGTCAAATAAATTTAATAATATTATATGTGTAATATTTCTTTGTTATAAAAGAAAATTATGAAATTGTTTTAAGTATTTAAAAAAATTTTAAATAATTAGTAAAATAAAATTATTGAAAAAAATTTAAATTAGAAATATTTATTACATAAACATTTAAAAATGTGAATAATATTTCTACTGTATCTAATACTTTTAATTAATAGTGAGTTGAGTGATTGATTGATTGATTTATTTATTATTTGCTATCTTTGAATGATATAAAGATAACTTTTTGTTTAAATCATAATCTTTATAAAAATTGACTGAAACAAAAAAATTGACTTAATAATTTAAAGATTATATAAATTAAAAAATATTTTCATTTGAAAGGATTATTATTTATGAATTCAAGTAAAAGTGTTCCATTTATAACTCCTAATAAAAGGCCAACGACAGCTTTTCCAAGAGTAAGTGAGCATTAATAATTGAATAATCTTAGTATTTTATAGAGATGACATTTATTTAGCAGTTTACAAAACTTTCATAATTAAAAAATAGGCTGATCGTGAAATGACTTCTATCACAACAACTTAATAGGAGTACCAGCAATAATTATAAAAAAATAATTTGCCATTTTTAGATTTTATAGATCCTTTAGTCCTTAAGAAAAAAAAATAGGAAATTGTTAGAAAAAAATATGAATAGCTGCTAGAAAAGATTTAATTTTATGATGCGGATTAACCTGAAGATTAAAGACAATATAGATATTCCAAAGAAACATTAATGCCCTATTTACTTTTCACTAAATATATGGCAAGAAAACCAGATTTACCTGAAGGAGAAGTTAAGTAAAGTAAAAATAATCGCTTGAAAGTTTGGATACCAGATACAATTGTTCTTAATGATGATAACTTCCCACCAATGTGGTTTTATTCTTCACCCGATGGTCATGTTTATCGTACTGATTCATTTACTTCTAAGAGTGTAGCAGCCAAATTATCGAATTATGCATCACCAGACGAATTAGTTGCAGTTGTTAAAAAAGTAATTTAAAATATTAAGAAAATAGGAGAAAATATAATTTATACAGCAACAGATTTAGAATAGAATTAAAATTGTGATAAAAAATAGATAAATAGTTAATATTTTTGAAACGAACGAGCAAATAATTTGATTTAATTATATAACTTTTATAGCAATATATAATAGAGTTTGCTAATATTATATTTTTTAAAGATACAATTTAGGGACTAATTGAATATAGCAGGTAATTAAGTCAAATTAGTTAGCTCCAGAGACCTTCTTACCACTGTTACAAATACTTTTTAAGTCAGAGGTAAGTTATTCCAGTAATATCTTGATTGTATATCAATTCTTAATTTTTATCAAATAATCAAGAGCCAACCGTGATTTAAAAATTCATCAAATCAAATGGTCCTAAGGCATTCATTTGCAGAACAGTATGGAGGAAGGATAGAAATCCATACTGTTGGATTATAACTAATAAAAGTGATTTCTATTCTGAAGAAAAAATACCTGAATAATAAAAATATATAACAAACCCAAATATTATGAATTCTTGCACTATAGTAAATACTTGCAGAGGAAAATATGTTGATGAAACTGTCCCCTATATTAAGAACATTTTAAAATATTTACATAATAATTTGAATATTGGATTTAAAGAATTTATCTGTGACTTCATAAAAGATGAGTCTGGCATTTGGTGGATGGTAAAATTCTTGAAGATATGAAATTTAAAATTTATAAATTTTTTTTATATTAATTAATCACTATAGGTAAATGTAAAGGGCTTTGTATTTGATGATCCTATACCTGAAGAAATAAATACAAAAAAGATTTTAAATTATGGTGATGATATGGGTTTAGAAGTAAAAGAAGATAATTCATAAGTATATTTTAAAATGTCGATAAGATTTTCATTCATTTTAAATATTATTTTTCTAAAAATAGTAAAATAAGAATAAATATTAAAAAGTTAAAATTTGTAAGTATTGTGAAACTGTTTTTCCAGAAAATGAACTTTGTCATAAAATGACTTTAAAAATGATTATTTAGACAGACAAGCATTTGTTAGTAAATTGAAGTTTAATAAAAAGCATGTTTAATTTATTCATTTCTTATAAATATAAAGCACAGAAGCAAAAATTTTCCATGGTTAGCTAGATCTGATATTAAGCATGTAGATACTCCACTTTTGTATCAAGAGCACAAGGTCTGCAAAACATGGTGAATACTTGATTTGTTTATCAAATATTTTATCTAACATTATTTTGAAAATAGCTACACACTTTATACTGAAACAGAAAAACTTATTCAATAAGAATACCAATTTGCTAAATTACTTGGAATTCCTTGTAATGAAGAAACCAAATACAACTTGGTTAGCTTAAATTAAATTGATTAAGCAAATGGAGGAGCAGATAACTCAGATTTAAGTGGCATGTAAAAATAAAAACCAGAGGAATAGGATGATGGAAGTAATATTATAATTTAAAATAGATGATGGATATTTAAAGATTTTTATATTAAAGATTGGGTACTTGATATCGCTCCTAACACTTAATTGGTAGTGAAAAATAATTAACCAAAAATAAATAATAAAGTATAGAAATAACTTGATAGATACAGAATGATGATTTTGTTACATTATATGAGAGACATACCTATAGAAAGAGAAGATTATAATAAAAATTACTTCATAGAATATACAATATTTGATTAAAAAGTTAAATATAAATTAGATTTATAAAATGCTTTAGTAAATCCTAAAGATAATACTTGCATAGTAGGTTTGAATAAAATAAGGATATGCTATTTCTTCACTAATGGAAGAAAAGGAATTAACTCATATATTCATTAGAAATAAGTTTTGACTATGAATTTGTATTGCGATTAATAAAAAATAGGTGTTTTAGATTTGGAATTACAAGATTTCCTAAGTGATAAAGTTAACAAAAGAGAATATTACAAGGTCTTTTCAGGGAAAACTTTACCAATTCTTAAATGGGGTTTAAATGTAATTTAAATTTTTGTTAACTTATAAGTTAAAATATATATATTTTTTTTTATCTTTCAGCTAACTGTCGGCATGTTTAATGCTGGGTTAATAGATGTTTCAAGGATAAAGCTATCTGAGCATGAAGGAGTAAAATAAATTTATTTATTTGACTAATTTTAAAACTGGGTATTAAATTATAATATATTTCATAGATATACTTACCTCATGGTGACTATTATACTTGTGAGCCTCTTCCTGCTGAATGGATTTAAATTATTAACGAAAAAAAGGATTTAAATTCAATAAAAAATAGTAAGTTTTTAGTTATTTTTATTATTGATTTTAACATTTTTTATTTTAAAGAAATGACATATCTGAAAAATACATATGGAGCAAACACTCCATTGGACAGATCAACAGTGAATACGCCTTCATATAATTAAAAGCAAAGAGGATCATAAAGAAGCCATTAGCAAGCATAAAGCTAATTTTCAGCTACATAACCTAATTTTAACTCTGCACTAACTCCATTATAACTTAACTAACAAAATTCACATCAATCTTTATAATATACAAATACTGTGGGATAGAATACAAATAAAAATTCTTCTTCATAGTTTTACTAATAGCATTTATAATAACCTTAATCAACAATTTTATCTGAGCTCTCCCCTTTTGGAAAAGAAGTTAAATTTTATCCATCCTAACATTCATAGTTTGCAAATAATTAAAACTAAGATTAATATGGAACTAATGATAATTCTTCTTATTAAGGATATAACTCTTCTAATCAGCAAGAAAATTTCGTAAATTAAATATTTTATCAAAAAACAATATTTAGTTTGATATTTTTAATTAGTCAAACGAAGAAACTAGACTTTTCGATGAAATTTTAAAGAGTGAGATCAATTAATATTCTAAAGAAGAAACATAAAAAAAGTAAATTGATTGATTGATATTCTTTAACAAAATTAAAAACATATTTTTATTTTTTATTAGGAAAAAACTCAAAAAGAAAATATATTATTGAGTGACAATAAACAAATCCAATCCATAAAAGTTTATTACCAAAAATATTAATTTAATTTAGAATATATAAAATCTATCTTAAAATTTATAATAATAAAACACGCTCTTCTCTTTAATTTACTATGTATTGTTTATAGATTTCCATTATGTTAATTTAATTTCTCCACACCAAACCTTCGTATTCTGCTGGATCTTAATAATATTTATACTTGATTTTTGATTAAAATTTATTTTATTTATTGTAGTTTTTACTCATAGATATATAAACCCTTAATTATTGATATGTATAAATTTTTAATAATTATGAAACTTAGCACTTTCAATGCTACATTTTATAAACAATTTAAGTAATCTATTGTAATCAAAACTCATTAATTTTTTATAATAGACTAAAAAATTTAAGATAATTAAATTGAATTCATTAACAGTAAATTAAAAATAGTAAAACTTTTAGAAAAATGAAATTTATTATTATTATAGATATATAATTGGTTGGTTAAGTTCATATCTAAATTTCAATTTTACTATTTATTTGATTCCTATTATCAATCAATCAACCAAGAAATTAAATTTGTTTTGATTTTCTTTAGATAATATCTATTTAAATTTTTCAAAGTTTTTTCTTAAATTAAAAATTAACAAAAGAATAGCATATTTTGTATATAAAATGGTTGATAAGCGCCCTATAGGTTATATTCCAGGAAAAGGAAATGTAAGCAGTATTTAGGAAAAATAGGTTATTTGATAATATTTATTCTTGTTAATTTAAATAGCCACTAGATAAAAAACCTCCTAAAACTAATAAATATGATTATGTGCAGGGAACATTAAAAACTGGAACTACAATAAAAGATATTAATATTATGAGTAATTTTTTGAGTAAAGAGGTAATTATAAATAAACAGTAAATTTATATAAATTTAGGTGATCAAGCAGTTGCAAAAAGAAAAAATGAGCTATTTAAAAGGATTAAGACTTCAACATTGAGTAATCTTTTGAAAGTAAAACTTAATAGAATTAGAAAATTAAATTTACAACAATCTAATTTTTTCAAAATATAATTCCAGTAAGATAGAAATTTTGAAAGCATTTATCAACTAGGAGAAGAAAACAAGGATTAAGTAATCTTTGGTTGAATAAATTTTAGAAAATATTAAGCATTTTTGTCTAATTAATTAGCAACAATATGTTCATGATAATATGTCATTAGTTAGCAATCCAATAAGCATCAACAGTCAAGCTACTTACATCTCAGCTGTAACATATGCAACTGAAAATCTTGGCATTACAGTAACAAATTTATTTGCACTATTTTATATTTATTGAATAATTTTTAAAAGGATAATACTTGTTTCCTTCTTTTGGACACAAGAGAGCCAGAAGATTTTGAGTTGTATCACATAAAAGAATGTAATTAATTATTTAGTTTTACTAAAATTTTGTAATAAAGATTAAGATATATAAATTAATTTTATTTAGCTATTAACCTTCCTGCACCTAATATTTCAAGAGATAAATTCATTCCTGCAGTTTACAGATTTGTAAGAATTTCACCATATGTATTTACTTTAATATATTAAATTTTATTAAAATTAGAAAAATTAACCAGATAAATTAATAATTATATATCATTCTGATGAAAGAAATGGGATTCCAATTGCTTAAAAGTTAGCTGAAAAGGGATTCGAAAATGTATTTTTATTATCTGGAGGTAATCGAAATTATTTATTTTTTATCACTCACTCAAATAATTTTTATTATTTTATTTAATCTCAAGGTATTGAAAAATTTGTTTAGGAGTATCCTGAAGAACTTGATGGAAAAAAAATACCAGTAATCAAAAAATAAGATGAAGATAATAAATCAAGAGTTTCAGTTGCAAAATCATAAATTTCATAAGTCAGTAACGCTAAATCACAAGTTACTAACAAATCATAAATTTCATAAATGAGTAATGCTAAATCTCAAATTACAGCCAATTCTAAATTACAAGCTAGCATATAGCAAAAAAGTACCATTGGTAAGTCAGATATTTAGTCTACTATTCAAAAAAGATCTGCTTCTGTCTAAAAGCCTGTCGTATCGAAAAGCAATACTCCATCTCACATCGGTGGGTAGAACACAACCCCTAACAAAATTAATAAGAGAAGCAACTATAAAGAATACCCAGAGATGAGTGATGTATTCATAAAAAAAGACTTATAAAACTAGAAAGAAATATAAAATATCATAACAAATTCTTAGTTGAAGCAGAGCTAAGCTCAAATGTCTCCAATCATGCAAAATGATTCTATGTTTTCTAACAACGAATCGATATATAAAAAATGATTATAAGGAGAAAATATTATTTTAAAAGAGTTTTTATATTATTAGTTAAATTATTTTTTTGTTTAAAAATAAATATTTTTGTTTTTAGATTTTATCCATCTTATAATTAAAATTCACTTTATAGATATATAAATAATTCAAATTTAATTTCATCACAATTTATCTGATGCATGATATCGTTTTGGATTTTTTAACATGCTAGGTTTAGTTTATTTGACTTATTATGGGAAAGGTGGGGAGAAATTATTAATTAATTAATTAATTATTTAAGACTTTAATTTTTGTACAATATATAGATAGATAGATATTGATAGCTTCAAATTATATTATAGAGATTATTTGATTTTTAATTTTTTATCAACAATTTTTGAAGGATTTTACCAAATTTCTAAATAAATATCTCTTTTGAAGTACTAACTATACTAAAAGAAATAGGTTCATCAAAAACTTATAACTTCTATATATCTATTTTATTTTTGAACAAATTATTTATAATAGACGAGTTGTTGACTCTTAATATTAACTTTCTAACATCTTTATTATAAAGTTTGGAGAAATGCTCACTTATATTACATAAAAGATACAGAGAGCTTTTCTCAACTTATTAATTTATTATTTTGCATGATTTTTTATTTAAGCGCTAATGCAGAAAACAAGTAGAAAAATATCTAAAACCATTGAAAGCTTTATTTTATTTAAAAAAAATAATTCATATAAAATGATTGTGTTTTATTTAATTTTTCACATTAAAAAAAATATTTTATATTACATAAAATCGATGCAGATCTTAAAACGAACATAATAAGTATGTATCATAAATTAATTACTGATAGAAAACATGATATTTAAGTTAGACTAAATAATATTTTAAGTTACAAGGAAATTTTACATTTTGTTTAGAAGATAAAATATTTATGCTTTAACATTCAATTTATTACTAAATGCATCAATTCTGTTAATAATGACTAAATGTGCTAAAAATTAGTTTATTACAGCTATTTATTAATCCATCATTGAGTCTTGACAAGGTCGTACTTGATTAATTAAGCCTTGACAACTTCTCTAACAGTATCAAGTAAAGAAGAGGTTGTGGTAAGGAATTAGTCATTTAAGTCAGAAATTTTGTTGCCTAAGATCTTATGGATGAAAAGAAGACCGAAAGCGAATGCAAGTCTGACAATGGTATTGACTAAACCAAGATCGAGGAAATTTAAGAAAGGATACAAAGTGAAATTAGCAACAACGACTAAAACCCAATGAATCAACCATCTCTTTTGTATGAGGTTATCAGTAGAAGCACCACCATTCAAAGCTCTTAAGGAAGCAACTAATGGGATAACGTAGACGACAGCTACTTCAATGATCCAAGTTAAGAATTCTATGAACATTTTTTAATACCTTTTTTTATTTTTTTGTTTTCTCCTTTTTTTGAGGTTAATTAATTTTTTGTTTATAAATAGAATATATCTGCAAATAGATTTATGTTTGAATAATAAAGAAGAAAGAAATATGTTTGTTTGCTTGCTTATTGCTTGATTTTTGCTTATCTTAACAAAATAATGTATTAAAATTTAAAAATAATTAAAATTTTATGCGAAAAATAGTATATTTCATATTAATTAATATATACAATTAATTATTCATTAATATTTCTTTCTTTATTTTTTGCTTGCTTGCTTGCATATATGTATGTATGTATTCATATTTTTTATATATTTTTCTTTTAATTTAAATTTTTTAATAAATGTCTTCTATTTATCAAATACTAAAAGCTAATTTCCATTAACTAATTATTTTGATGTATCGTATTTGTTTTTAAAGACTAAGAGTGTGATTTAATTTAAAACAATCCTATTACTTCACGTCCTTCATTTTTTCAAATTATAAAACGAAGAAAATTTAAATTTTTATGAGAAATATAATTTAAAAAATATTTTAATTTAATTTGAAAATAAATGATTTTTTTAATTTTACATGATTTGATTTTATGCATTTTAATCATATTCTGTGTTAATGAAAGAGTTAAAAATATTATTTAATGATTGTTAAAAATTAGTTTCAAAGATCTACTGATACCAATAATTGAATAGCTTTAATTAAAAAATATTTGTTGGTATAAAGCAAGCAAGCAAAACTTAATAAATAACTTAGGCATTAATTGAATGATTAAAAAATTTATAAAAGGACACATTAGCAAGTTTCTAAACTTATGGTAGTAGGAACTAGAATTAAAAAAAGAGTAAGCAAACCCAATAGACTCAATGTTAAGAAACTACCTTAAAGAAAATAAAGCATTAGGCAGTAATGACAGAAAATTATTTACTGATAATGTTTACAAGCTAGTTAGACATAAAGTGTATTTAGATACGATTTCACCCAAACCACTGTCATGGGAAGGCCGTCTTGACACTATTTATACAGAGAAATTTGCTACATAAAGAAAAAATATGTCACTTTTACCGTAAATTAATTCATTATAGATATACTTTTTAGATTAACTTTAAATTTAAAAAAATAAATAGTCATGTGAGAGCAAGCTGTCCAAAAGAGTTAGTAGATTTCATTAACTTTAAAAAAGCATTTATCTATGCCAATAAAATAATTAATGTACATAAAAATGATTATTAATTTATAATATAGTCTATTTGATGTTCTTTGCGATTCTTTTGGTGAAGAAAAAGCAATTGAAATATGCATGGCATAAAATCTAAGGGCTCCTTTAACAGTCAGAGTAAACCCTATAAAAATATCAAGAGAAGAGCTTATTTAAAAGTGGAGAGATGTGAACAAATTTGCAATCAAGCCTACTGAGTTCTCTCCTTACGGAATAACATTTACAACAGACAAAAACGTAAAAATAAAATTAAAAATATATAGATTTGATATAATGGTTTTAATTAAAGAAAACTAGAATCTTCTACTGAAGATTTATATCTACTTTTCAAAACAATTTGATGTTATTTAATTTTTTATTTCTTACAGGAAAACTTGTATGAACTACCAGAATTCAAAAGAGGTTATTTTGAAATTTAGGATGAAGCAAGTCAACTTGCAGCATTTAAAGTGAAATGTCAAATAGGTGACCATGTCTTAGACTATTGCGCTGGTGCTGGAGGAAAATCTTTAGCTTTTGCGCCTTATCTTAAAGGAACAGGTTAAATCTATTTGCATGATACAAGAGACTATATTTTATAAGAAGTAATCAATCAATTAATTAATTTAAAATTGGAATAGTTTTAATTTAAAAATATTTTATTTGTCTATTTAATAAAAAATATACTTTTGACAACTTTATTAATAATATCTTATAAAATGAAAATAGGCTAAAAAAAGATTTAATAAAGCTGGAATTCAAAATGTTCAATTTCACACATAAGAAAGCTTAAATAATAATAAAAATAAATTAGTTAAAAAATTTGATTGGGTAGTATGTGATGTACCTTGCACTGGTACAGGTACATTGAGAAGAAACCCTGATTTGAAATATAAATTTTCGAGAAATAGACTAAAATATTTTGTAGATTTGTAAGCAAGTGTTTTCAAGGAGGCTCTGCCTTTTGTTAAACCTAAGACAGGAAAAATAGTTTACTCAACCTGTTCATTGCTTTAAGAAGTAATATATTTTAATTTTAGTATTTAAATTAACAATTTTTCATTATAATTTAGGAAAACATATTTTAGATCACAAAATTTTGTAAAGAATTTAATTTAGAAGTAGTAGATGGAAAGCATTTCTAAACAACCCCAGGCAAAGATGTAGAAATGGATGGATTTTTTTGTGCTGTTTTGCAATTTAAAAATTGAAAGAATTAGCAATAGTGCTATTTAATGTATGTTACTAAAATATGTATTCATAATTTTAATTATTCAATTTTGTATTTTATCATATCATAAAAGATTTTTATTTCTGATAAAAAGTAAATAAGTTTCTTACAAAATGCTGGTATTATTTGATATTTACAAACGATTTTACTCTTTTTCGATTCTATTTTTACCACACAGTACATCAAAAATTTTTAAGCACATAAGTAAATAAATAACAAAATAGATAGTCTATATATTACTATTTGTTTTGAAATTTTTTAATTATCTGATGATAAATGATAAATAAAAGAATGTGTTAAACAAAATTAGAATGTAAAATCTAATTAATACTATAATGAAAGAATATTCAAAATTAAAACTAGAAAAGTAAAAAATTTTTGTAACTAAGGAAATTGAGGTGAATTTTTTATTAATAAAAATAATAATATAATATAATACTATCTTTACGAGTACTTTAAATGAACAAGAGTATTCCATATTTTTATTATATTTAAATAATATCAAAAAATATAAATTACTTAAAAAAATTTGCACTCTAAAATGGAAAACACATACTAAAATATAACTCAAGCTACTTTGAATGAAGTCTAAGAAGTTAGAGCAAAAATAACTGATTGGAAAGAATTGAAAAAAGGAAAGCATTTAGTTATATATAACACTCAATATAAGGACTACTCTTTGAAGCTTACTAAGGTTATTGGAACTATTCCTACAAATATTCAAAAAGTAGCTACTTACTTTTTTAGTAATATTGATGTTTAAAGAGCTAATAGATCAGAAATGCTAACTCAGTTGAACGTTGTTGAGCAAATTGATGAAAATTCGTATATTATTTTATCAAAAACCAAGTCTAAGATGCTTGTAAGCTCAAGGGAAAATATCAACGTTGTACGTAAAATTTAGCTAAGTGCTAATGAAATAGTAATCGTAAGATCAAATGTTGACACTCATCATAAGGTTGTTATTAGTAAAGACTCTGTATAATCATAAACTAAATTATTTGGTTTATTTTTGACAAAAGTTGACGAAAACAACACAAAAATTGAAGTTTACAATTTAGTTGATCCTAAAGGTAGTATTCCTTCATCTATCACCAATGGATTTGCTGATATGTAACTTAATGCTTTAGAAAAAGATATTGAAGCATTATTGAAGCTTTGATTAGTATTTGTGTAAAATAATAAATTAATGAATTTTATTTTAATATTTGGAAACATGTTAATGAATCTTATGTAATTTTTTATAATTTTTAATGTAAATTAATAATTTATAAACTTAAATATTTTAGAATTAGAATAAAATACATTTTTTAATAAGACCCAGAAATATATTCCTTATTTTATATTTTTATTCATTTAAGAAAACATTTTTTTCTCTTAATTTTATCAAAGCATATTTAAATATGGGTTTTTAATTCCAAAAATTATTTTGAACATATTTATGTATTATTTGTATTAAATTAAACTTAAATATTTTACCATAAAAAATTATATTTTATTTATTCAAAAATATCTTTTTTTAATATAAATACACTCTTTATTATGCTTCTTATTTTTAAGTTTTAAATTAAAATAAAATCTATCAATTTAAAGATGTAATTTGTATTACATATCTTATACTAAAATATAAATTTTTATTTTTTTCAGATGTTAATATATTTTAAAATGAATTTATAAGCAAAATAGATAGCAGCTATAGAAGATATTGCTAAAATAGTGAAAAATAAGTACTAAGAATTTGAATCCACTCTAATGTTTTCGTTAGCTTTTACATGATTTACTGTTGTATTATCAAAATAGTGATTGGAGTGAATGCAACGAGTACTTTCAACTTTATTTAAAAGAGATCTAACATTTTGAATGCATATAGTTGTCAAGTTATAGATCTCTAAAATACCGTATCCAACATAATTTTTAATTTCGATAGCTCTTTCATCAGTTTTACCTAAGAATTATATATCATATTTAATGTTTTCCAAAAATTCTAAAACATGTCCACCGTTTCCTTATATGACTGAAATCATACCTTATGGATTGACTATATTATTGTCATCACCTTGGTAACTTTAGATACAATTATCGTAAAGTGGCTTTAAGAACTAAATATTTGAAAATATAATCATTATTTGTTATTTTAATACTTAAATTTAAACCAAAATATTTCATCTATAAATCAACAAAAATTTAAGAGTTTAATTAAAGCATATAATAAGAATTATCTTATGAAATAAAATACCTAATAACGATGAACATGAGCACCTAAATATAAGTCAACAGAGTATTTATAGAATAGTTCATCAAACTCTTTAAATGATTGAGGAAAGTTTGCGCAATCTGAATCTCCGCTACAATAAATAGGCTTATGACCAAATGCTATAATCCAAGGAGTTTAATTTCTATTTTATGTTGCTCTAATTAAATCCTACTCCACCCATTAAACCATTTTGGATTTTTCCTCAGGTGTTGCCCAAGAGTCGTAAAAATGTAAATTAACACCAATAAAATGAGCAAGCCCTTAATTAAAAGAATAGTAATTATTGCTAGTTTCATTAAAGCTAGGCATGCGAAATTTCTCATTATAAAATTTGAAATTATAATTGTCTTCGTGATTTCCTGCCTGCATTGCTGTAGGCCATTCTGCAACAAACTCTTCAAGAGAATCTAAGTAATGATCGCCTCTCTTACCATTAAACATGTAGAACTCATAAGCATAGTCTCCTAAAAAAAGCATAGAATCAATCTTCTATTACTTATTCTTTAGGCCTTCTTTTTTCAGTTATCTCCATCTATTCATATTTAGTTTTCCATCAGGAGTATTGTCTTAATCTCCGAAGAATAAAATTCTTTAAGGTTATTCATTAAAATCTTCAATATTTTCTAACTTAATATGGGGAAGTTAAGAATTAAATGGACCTTTAGTTTCTGCTTTTGAGTAGAGGTTTCCATAAACAGTATATGTGAAAGGTACACCAAAAGGCAATGGTAGTCTAAAAATATGAACATATTAATTGTAGTACATATTAGTGCAAAGCTTATCATGATGGCAAAATTTTTCACCATTCCACTATGAATGCACTATTTCTGAAAATATATTTCCATCATAAGTAACTACTTAGGAATTTTAGACTGTTACTGATATAGAACTTTACAAGCATTCACCATAAGTTTAAAAAATAATAGTAGCAGAGTTCTTTATTTCTGTTATATTATAGTTTGAATAGTCTTCTCCAATTAAAAGTCTTACCTGTCTAGGTTTACAGTTATTTTTTAAAGTCAGGTCATCATTTCTAAGCATTTACCCAAGGCAATTCGTACTTAGAATCAACAATATTGATAATATTATAAAAATTTTCCTCATACTTTTAAGAAAAAAATTTTTAATTGCTTTTTAGAGAATATAAATTAGATAGATATTCTTAATGTTAGTTTACAATTTACTTTTGGAATTGTGATTCTTAAAGTATGAAATCTAAATAAATAGAATTAAGTTAATGATAATATTTTGATTAATTAATATTGAATGAATAAGCAAAAAGTATTTATATGTTAATTAGAAATAGATAGATACAACACTTTTCAAACCATCTAAAAATGAATGTTCTTTAATTTTCAAAAGTAAAATAAAATTGATTTAAAAATATTTAAACATAATATCAAATTTTTAATTTAATTAAAATAATTCTTTGAAACATTCAGAATAATAAATCATATGATATTTATAAAATTCTCAAAAAATAAATGTCATTTCAAAAAATTAATAGAAAAAATAAATTTTAAAACATTAAGAAATGAAAGTATTTATAATTTCATGGTTTATTTTTATCTTTTATGTAAATATTTTATTTATTTTAAAGAGTTTAAATATTTTTTATAAAAAGATAAATGCAAATAATAATAACATCTACATAGAATTTTTAAAAATTAATTCCAAAAGATTTTTTTTGATTTTACACGAATAGTTTTTTATTTGAATTTTAAAAGTTACAGATTTAAGAACGATATTAATCAATCAATCAATGACAAATAAAAAACTTTGAATTTTTAATATCTTACAATAAATTACATATTTTATCTTATTAGTAAAATATTCTAAATAATAAATGATAAATTTGTTTCATACTAACTATTAGTCTTATTTTTATGAATTAAATATACATTTACTCATATTAAAATTCATTTTATATTTATTTGATTGATATATTTATATTACATATTACTATTTTTGTGATCTCCCTTAAATTTTAAATATTTATAGATAAAAATAAATGATATTACTATTAAAAGAGTTAATAGAAATATTCTCCATATTAATTTTTTATTTTTATTTTGTTAATAATCATCAACAGGTTCTGTGTTTAGTAATTCACGATTAAACTTATGCAAAGAATAAATGCAATATTGGTCTTTTACTTCATTAGTTTAGGAATTTACTGCTTTAATGCATGCCCTATTTTTATCGTGAACTTCAAGTATACCATATCCTACTTAGTATCTAACTTTGAATGAGCGGGGATTCTTCCTATCTTAGAATTTTAGATTTTACTTAAAATCATTTTAGAATTCACTAATTTATCCACCATTTCCTTATATAACTGTTATCATACCTTATGGGTATTTAATATCATTTAGGTTACCCTCATAACCTTGAATGCTCCCTCTATACATTGGCTTTAAAATCTAATAATAAAAATTTTTAAATACAAATATTCTAACTTAAAAACATTTTAAAGGCGAATCTAATTTTGAAACTCTTCAATGAATAAAGCTTATAATTTTACTTCATGATAGTGAACATGCGATCCTAAATACAAGTCAACAGTATAATTGTAAAATAAATCGTCAATTTATCTATAAATAAAAGGTGACATAGAACAATCATCATTTTATACACAATAAATTGGCTTGTGCCCAAATGCAATAATCCAAGGAGTCTGATTTCTATTTTAATTAGCTATTATTAAATCGTTTTCAAGCCATTTTAACATTTTTAGCTTATTTTAGTTGTCAGCCCATTGGCTAAAATAATGTAAATTAACTCCAATAAAATGAACTTACCCTTAATTAAAGGAAAAATAATTATTTTAAGTTTATTTGAAGTTAGGTAATTGAAACTTCTCATTAAAGAATTTAAAATTATATTGTTCTTCATGATTTCCAGGAGTGAATATGGTAGGCCATTCAGCTATAATATCTTAAACAGCATCTAAATATTAGTCTCCTTTTTCTCCATTATTCTAGTAAAATTCATAACCATAGTCTCCTAAGAAGATAAAAGACTCAATTCTCTCATTAAAATTTAGATTTCCTCTCTATTTTAGTTGCATGATACTCTAAATTGTAGAATTTGCTTGAGGAGACACATCTTAATCACCAAAAAACAAAAATTTTTGCACATTACATTCCTCTTAAATTAAATCTGGTAGTTTAGATTTAAAAACCCTACTTTTTGAATCACTATCACCATAAACAACATAAGAAAACTAAACACCCATCATAACAGGAAGACGAAAAATATGGGTATACTGATCATAGTATAACTTTGAACATTTTTTCCCATTATGGCAAAATTATTCTCCATTCCACTTAGAATGAACTATTTCTCTAAAGCCATCACTACCCTAATAAAGAGTTTCATTTTATTTGATGAAGATTTTAATATGCGAGTGGATACATTAATCGTAAGTTTAAAATATAATAGTAGCAGTATTTTATATTTAAATAGGATTTTTATAATCAGTATAATCATCGCCTATAATTAATCTCACCTAACGAGGTTAGCATAACTAATCTTATTAGGAGAAAGACTAAATTATTAGTAAACAAATTAAGAATAATATTTTTATTAGATCACTTGAAAACTGTAGCATTATTTATATCTTAAGCAAATTTAATTTAATATTATTTATTAAAATTGGTTTGTAAATATCAACTTGCTGTAAAGTTTTTCAATTAATTCCTATAATAGTTGTAAGCATTAATTTTGTAAATTTTTTAAAACTATCAACAGATAAAAATATCTTAGTAAAATTAAAGATAAATACAATTCAGTAAATGACTTGATAAAGTCATAAAAAATAAGTATGTGAATAAAATTATTTGACATAACCATTTACTTCAATTACTTTTGATAATTTATCTAATTTTTTATTTTAAAAATCAACTAATCTATTAAAAAAATGATTTTATTAAATTTTCTTCCTAAATTCTATTTTTTGAGCATTTTTTATGTAATTAAATTATTTAAACCTTCTCAAAACTTTTTATCAGAAAAAATATCTAAGATATGTATAAATATATATATCAAATTTTATGCATCTTATGTAAAAATGTTTTTTTAAGATACTAAGAAATATATAAATAAATACATTTCAATAATATGTAAGGAGATATTCGTAAAAGGCCTTGACATATTAAGGCACATTGCTTTTAGCATTCTCCAACTTTTAGTTATATTTTGTTTGAACAAATTAAAAATATTAATTATAATCAATCTCCACATCAGAAATCATGTTAGAATTACCAAAAAGACCTATTTAATCAAGAAAACTCAAGATACTTAAAACAAAAGTTTTGTTATCTTATCCCTTATTTTTAGTAATTACGCTTTCGCATATGCTATAAATATCTTTATCAGTTTAGCTTTTAAAGATTTCAGAAATCACTTCCCTTTCGTTTTTAGTCAGTTATTTTCTGCTGTGTCTGCTAGAATTGTTTTAAGCTATCTATTATTCTTACTTAGAAAGGATCTTATTGGCTTCACTTTCATAATCTGTATTATTTACATTGGCGCCAGAAACGTCTATGTCGAAGTCAAAATCAAAATTTATTCTGTTGTAATCGCTTTTAACTAAATTATTTTCTTCTTTATTTCTGTCCATTTTTTTTATTTAGTTTTAGTATTTTTATTGGTTTTAGATACTTATATCTATATTAATCAATAAATTATAAAAAGAGAAGCTTTTTATGGGATGAGAATCCAACAATAGTTATTAGATATGCCTGCCTTATCTTACTTGAAGAAAAATTAATTAATAATTTGTTTAATTTTTATTTTGAAAAAAAAAATATCCATGTTTAATTTTAATAATAAGAAGAATACCTAAAAATTATTTTATAAAATTTAGATCAAATAAATGAAAAAAAATTTATTATTTTAAAAACTCATACATGCAACATTTATTAGCATAAATAATTTAAATTATATATAAGTTTAATTAATCAAATTTATTAATATTTAATATCAAGATTCACCAGATAAAGCAAATATTAGCACGTCCCCATTTTTTAATTTTTGATTTTACTCAAAATATTTTTTGATATCAATCATATTTTCATTACCCACAGTAATATTCAACAAGTAATTTTAATAAAGAGTGTATAATAAATCTTCTTTTTTTTCAATACTTGAAGCATATCTTGAATATAACTCATCAAGTTTTTCTTATGCTTTTTACTCAAAAAGTTTCTAAGAATTTAAAATTACAATTTTTATTTATTCATGCTAGTCTTGATGCTTTTATAATGAAAGTTAATGCAATTTAGTTTAAAAAATTTAGTCATTAATCATAAATGATATTTCATTCTGATTTTACTTTCTGTAATCTAGTGTAAACTCTTATCCATAATTTTTTATTCCAAATTTTGAATCAATAAACTACTACAAAGTATTATCCAAGTCAAGTTCGGTTACAATATACTTATTGTCTTTATCAGTAGATATTTCCATATGAATTTCTTCAGGAGACTAAAATTTCAATATTTCTGTAGGTTTGAGTTATAGCTTCATCTCAACAAAAATTTTAGCTCTTAAGTTGTATAATGTATCATCTTAATAAACATTAAAGGAAAAACTTTTTCCAAGATACTATTCTGTAAATTGGAAGTTAAGTTATTGCTTTTAGAGCGAATCAATTCCAAATATAAGAGTACTTTTATTTTCTATTTTTATATTATCTTTGTATTGTGCCTGATGTGGTGCTGAAGATAAAGAGTCACTAAAATCTTGATTATTTTATTGCTCATTTTGATCATTTTTAATTATTTTTTATATTTTTAATTCTTTTATCGGGACTAACATTTATTATGAAATTATTTTCTTCACTTGGCTTAAATTTACTTCTCCTTCTACTTAATAATTTTTGCAAACCTGCTTAATGTCCTCTATCCTAAAGCTAATAGTAGTTGTACCTTATTATTATGGGTTAAATTTATGAACTAAACTAATCATTTTTTATTCCTTTAAATATTTATTTTTAATTTGTTTAGATTTTTCTTTTATTTATTTTTTTTCACTCTAATTTCCTATTTTCTATTGAATTTTTTAAATATTCTATCATCTTTTTCAAATAATAAAAGGAAAAACAACTAAAACAAGAAGTTAATAAGGTAAAAATAAATACATATTTAACACAAATTTTACTTTTGCAAAAAATAAATAAAATTTAGGTTTTATATAATTTTTTAAAGAAGTTTGTCATCTTTACAATCATTTCCTTTTTTTTTATTTTATTAAATTTTAATTTTTAGCAGGTGAATTATGAGCTTCAAACACAATTATATTATCTTCTTGAATTTATTTGGCTTTTGAGTCTGCCTTTTACATAATCCATTCATATTTTAATTTGAGAGTTCCTTGTCCATCATAATCAAATAGCAGCTCTGTGCCAGGTATTATTTTTTCATTTGAAAAAAGACCTATAGTGTATCCACCTTTAGCATAGACCATTTTAGCATAAGAATTCTCTTTGCTTTTTGAATGATTCATGAATCTGCTCTTTATTAGTGTAAAGAAAAATAGAAAAAATAAATATTTTTGTAAACAATTTTTTGTTCAATCTTACTTTATTTCCAATATATTTAGAGTCAACTGTTAAATCTCCCAATAAAGAAAAAATATAAAATAAATTGGAAGGTTTCCAAGAATCTCTAATTATAATGTCTAAATCCTAAAGTACTTCTCCATAATAAATAGTTATAAGATCTCCTTTTTACAAAGGATAAACATTGTATATTCCTAGACCTCCACAAATTTCTGAATTAGCTATTACAACTCTCTTAAATTAAATAGAAAAAAAAATCAAAATAATTAAATCAAAATAAAAAATATAATTATTACTTAGACTTTGTTAAGTGTGATCTGATTGTTATTACATTTAGATTTGCATTCAAAACACGATTTACATATCTTAAAAAATAGTTGAATTTTATATTAATGTTATTATAAAAGCTATTTTACATCTGGATCACATTCTACATTTCTCTTAAAACATATGCATGTGTTTTTAGAACAATTGTCTTAACAATTACATCCAAACCTATAAATTTTGCATTTTTTAGGATCACACATGCAATATTAATCACAGAATCCTCTTTTTCTACAACTTTAATTTTAATTAATTATTCACAATCACTATTTTAAAATAAATTGTAAATTAAATTTACCAGCATTTTTTACAGCTTGTGTCCACTGGCTTTCTGTTGTGCCTATAGTGCACACAATGTTAATAGCTATCATCTAATTGTGTTTCGTTTTAGGTATTTGTATACCCATAACACTCATCTTGATCTTCTTTTGATTCCTTATCACCTTTTTTTTGTTAATTATTCTCTTTTTATAATCCTTCATCTTCATCAGATTCTTCTTACATAACTTCAGGTTTAACTAAGAAAGATTGAGATTTTCTAATTAGAGCTTTCAATTTTTCTTATTTTATTTTTTCCTATTTTATATTTACCTCTTAAACAGTGTAGTTGCTAACCACAAACTCTTTTAGTTTATGCATAAAATTCTAATTATTATCTTCTTCAACCTTCAATTTCAATTTTTCTGCCAAATTTAATTATTTTTGAGTATTTTCATATTAACTAGGATTAATTTCATTTTCATTTTCTTCTTCTTCAAGAAGCCATGGGTCTTCATCGTCATCGTTATCATCAAAGTTTTTCTTAACTTAGAATTTCTATTAAGAAGTATTTGGAGTATTAGAAGATTAGTTTAAAATAGAATTACTCATTAAGTTTTATTCTTATTTTAATTATATCTAATCTTATTTTTATTTAAACTAGTCATTTAAAATCTAAAAATTTTCACTTTCATAGCTTTGCATAAACTACTCTACTAAATATATAAATAACAAATCACATCTAAAACTTAATTACAATAGAGACATTTAGCAAATATTAAAATAAAATCTTTATTCCCCTAATTTTATAAATAACTTATCTAAATCTGAAAATTAAATAGGATAATTTAAGCTCTCTTTAATCTAAAAAAAAAATATATATTAAAAATATATTTATTTCATTAAAATTTTACTTATTTTATTTTCTCTTTTGTAAGCCTTTTATAGCAAAATTTACCACAATATGTATCAGCCTACGTTGGCATAAATGAGTAATTAATATCAAAAACCATTTTCTAGTAAATATCAACCAAATATTAAATCATTCTTTCAGAATATTATTAAGTATTTTGAACAAAAGTGCTTGGATGATAAAAATCTTAACCCTATTAAATTACATTTCAATATAAATATGAAATAAATATTATTTTTACTAAATTATAAATTGTAAACATACACACACAATCAAATTAGATTAAAAAGCTATTCAAGTTAAATATTAAAAAAAGTAAAATCATATCCTTATAAAAATTCAAAAAATCTTTAACTATATTTTCTAAGATTATTTAAAAAACTATTCTTAATTTTAAATAGTTTTTTAAAAACTCTCTAAATTTATATAGAAAAATATCAAAGAAAATCTCTAAAAAAATTACAAATAAATTAATTACTTTTTTTCGTTCATAAAAGTGAATCCTGCAATCGTAAATATAGCAAATATTGCAGTAATATTACTTAGACATAGCAGTTAAATCTATGATAGGATCAATGTGTTCGTTATTTTTTTTTTCTATGGTAATTCCATATCTATATTAATTAATTAGGAAGACATAGATGAAAGTTTAATACCAAAAATTAAATACTTACTTGTATTCTTTCTATTCAACCATTCTTTTAATATCTAAATATCTAAATTAATAATTGCATTAAAATTTAAGAATATGCTAAAAATTTACTTTAAAGCAAAATTCTATTATTTAACTTGAGGTTATTAAAAAAAAATTTGCATGAAGCTTGTGCATCCCAACGTTTTTTTATAAGTCTTGTAAATATACCATATCCAAATCTTTTATTCTTTAAAAATTTATAATAAAACTCCAAGCTAATTTTAAATTTAAAGATACCTATGTCAACTAATAAATTCATTTTTTTAATAATTTTGAACCACTTTTTAAATCTCTTTTTTTCAGATAAAGATTCTTTCATTTTAAGCTCATTCACAATTTGGTATAAATCAATTCTTTCAATAACTGGAAAAAGCTACAGTAAAAAATCATCAGTCTAATTTTTTAAATTATGAAAGATAACTATCTAAATTGACTTTATAATTATTTACTTAGACGTTTTGTGAAACAGGCATGTAATTAGAATACATGTTAGATTAAATTACATCATTTGATTTATCAATTATGTGGAGTTATTTCTTTTTAAGATAAGGCTTATTCTTCCAGTTATTAAAGAATTGTTTAGCTATTGATTCTTTCTTTTAAATTTAATACTTTAAACATTTATTTTATCTAACTCTTCTCATTTTATAACTCCAAATACTTAACCTAATAATCTTATAAATAAAATGATTAATTTATTGCGCCAAATAAATCTTAAATTACTTATAAGCAAAGGTCATTGAAAAATTTTTATGTAGCCTTTTATATGATTTCCATAGACTTTAAATACTTTTCATTAGGTTCTTATTACGTTATGCTAATATTTAATACTTTTTCTATAATTTTTTCTTATTTCTAATCTATAAAATCTGATATTGTATCTTTGTTTGGTTACTACATTTCTATACTTTATTTGCTTCACTATAAATTAAATTTAGTAAGAATTAAGAAGATTTAGTAAACAAAATAAATACTAATATTTTTTAATTAATTGTTTGAATTTATATTAAAAATATACTCGTTAAATTATTTTTAAAATATTTTTTTTATTTTATTTAATTTTTGAAATCATTTATAAAATCAATTATTTCTCTCTAAATATTTACTTAAAAATGTTTTTAAAAAGATTTAATTTGTGATTTTAATTTTTATGTAAAAGCATTTTTTTTGAAGTAAAATTAATTCTATTAAATATAAATAAAATGTAAAAGAAATCGTTTTTATTAATTATTTATTTATTTTGTTACAATTATTTTTCAAAATCTAATTGACCATAAAATAATAACTTAAAAAATACAATTATTGGCCCTTTATATTATATTTTTTTTGATTGAAATTATTTATTTGTTTTTGTATACAACAAAATTACATATTTTTATATTTTTGAGAAAAATATGTGATTTTTAATAGCGTTGATTAGTATTAGTTACATTATTGGCTAATCCTGCAATTATTAAATCTTTTTTAGAAATAAATTAATTCAAGTTAAGGCTATGATAATATTCATTATTTTTATTCAATAGGTTATGTAAGTTCTATTTTTGAATATTTTTCTTATGATTACTGATTGTTTAGGTAAAAGTGAAAAATAGTGTAAGATGTTTGGAATGAAATAGTTAATTATTATTCTAAAATTCTAAAATTTTCTTTATAAAAGATTCATAGAATATATTTAGAATTAGATGTCTTTTAAAAATTTATAGATTTATAATGCTAAAGTGTAATACTCATCAATTGAGGGAAATAAATAGAAAAATGTCTTGAAAAATTATGTTTATAGCATTTTAACTAGAATGATTGATTGACTATTTTTTTACTTTTTTTATAATTTAATTTAGACATAAAGAATCAAATTTTATTAAAAATTTTAATATATTATAAGGATCTCTGATTGGAAACAATAAAAACCATAAAAACAAAAAAATAATATTGATATTTATAAATAGTTATTGCATTAAAAACAACCTTTATAAATTACAAATTAGTTCAAAAAATAAATAGCGATGGACTTAGAAATCAATAACAAGTATTAGGGGTAAAGTAACCAGTATTGCTCGCAGTAGAATTACTACTATTCAGATGAGAGTAACTTGAACCATGATGATTATGGAATTGAAAAGGAAGAAGATTTATACAAGAATAATAATCAATAATAAGTTTACTTAAACAAGTCAATAAATTTAGGAAATTATTAGATTTAAAATAATCATTTCTTTTTACCTAATATATTCTAAAATGAAAATGAAAAATGTTAGATTCAGTTATAATAAACAGAGTTAAGAGGATAAAATAGCTCTAATTCAAATTATAATAGCTAGCTAACAAATAATTAAATAACTAATTCGTATAGAAACGAAGAATAAAGTTTAAGCTGCTTTTCATAAATTAGCACTTCAAACCTCAGCTAAAACAATTATGAAAATATACTTTCGATAAATAATGCAAATATAGACAATCTATCAAATTAAAACAGTTCACAGCTTTCATAAACTATTTTAAATGAAGCCTAAAAGAATTTTGAGTAACAAAATTCAAATTCAGGTTCATAATTAAATAACTCTTCGTAGACTTAAGATAAGTAAATATCTCAAAAATAATTGAAGTAAGTAGATCTAGTGGCTGTACCGCTTCTAAAAAATTTAAGATAAAGAGAATTGTTTCTGATATATGGAGAGATATTAATTGAGCTTGATAACATTTTTGAAGTAAAAAATTCTTAAATTATCTTTCTAAAATTATATTTAGATTTGTAAACCGAATTTTGATCAAATAAATTGATCACTTAAAATCTTGAAGTAAATCAATAATTAAAGATAGATCAAATTCATTATTACTATCTAAAAATTAATTAATTATTTGTTTATTTTAGATTACATTTGATCATAAAATACCAAAATAGATTTTTAATACGTTTAAAATACCTCAAATAATAATTCAAGCTCATTTGCTATTTATTTTTATTTTTTTTACAAGCACTTAAATTAATTTATTAAATTTATTTTAATTTAATTTATCATAAAAATAGATGAATATTTTAGAGAGAAATTCTGGATACAATTTTTTTAAGTAAGTTGAAAGTGTTAAAATAAGACAAGATAATTCTTATGTAGAGATTATTTTTGATACTTTTGCTGAACCTCTGAGAGATTTTAGGTTTTTAATTGACCGTATTAGGACAATACCTGACTAAAAAGCATATGATTTATCAAAGATTATTGAATAATATTAGAATTTAGTTGAAAAATAATTAGCTGAAGATGAGGTAAATAAATCAAAATATACATAGGAATTAATACACTAAAGGAATTTATACTGCTAATAAAAAAGTGAAGAATTAATCTCTATGCTAGATGAAAATGCTAATGTATTTTATTATCAATGTAAAATTAATACCAAAACCTTTGAGCCAATTAATTTTAAGTAAGGATATAGCAGAAAATTGGCTTGGGTGTTTGGATGTAGTCCTGAAGTACTCTAAATGCTTTACATGCGCTACGGTTAACTCGATTTTACTAAATGTGCAAGCAAAATAGAAATGACTATGTAGAAAGTCTTATCCAACTTTAGCGATATGTTTAAAGAGAGATTTATGAGAGAAAACAATTATCAATAAAAAGAAAAAAGTATTAATAATTTAGTTTCATAAAATATAATGGAATTCGAAATGTAGACAATAGATGATTTATTCATCCCTCTAACATCTATAATTTCAAGAATAAGCTTGAGTTAAGAGTTCGATGAACTTCATGGAATTAAAGGATTAATGCCCGAATGTTTACTTATAGCAGATATAAAAATAGATATTCGATATATGCATATGTTAATAAAACACAGATGTGAACAGCTACCTACTGTAGATCATTACATTAAATCCTTTGTAAATTCACACAAAATTTGTGAAAATGAAGAATATTATGAATAAAGTAAATAATTCTTAGAAAAATACTATCCTAAAGATGATGATTAAGGAAAGATGATGATAAAACCTAAATTTAAAAAAAATAATATCAATTCATTTAATAATTAAAATAAAGTAAGCGAAGAAACTTTAAATCAAATATACTAAATATTAACAAATCGTATGTGAAGAAGCAAGCGAAGGATTTTATTTTCAATATAATGTAAAAAATTACTTATTTATTTGTTTGAATTAATGTTATCAAAAATGCTCACTAATATTATTTTATTAATTTCAACAATTAAAAAATAAATAAATCATAAATTCATTATTAAAATATCGAAATATCTATATAAATAAATACTAATTAAACTATTTTTTTATGTTATATATTCATTTTAACTTTAAAATAATGTAAAAATAAAATACCTTTCCATATATAATAGGTAGTAGAGCTAATAAATAATTAGCTATTCTTCAAATTTTAGAAAAAAATAATTTACTTTAAATTTATATTTTTTTTTTTGAGTTCTATTTCAAATTTTTGATTTAAAAAAATGAATAGAATTTATATAATAATTTTTTTATATAAAAATATTCCGTTCATATTAAACAATAATTTAGAAAAGTATTTAAATAAATATAAAATAAAGATTATTTTCTATAGTTTTTTTGATTTAGTTAACAAATAAAAGAATTTTACAATTATTGAGTTTTCTGAGATTAGATTTTACCTATAATTTAACTATAAAGTTAAATTAAATGTAATACAAAGCAGGAAGTTACTTATTAAAGGAGTAAATCATTTCTTATAAATGGTTATAGAAAACACTTTTTTTAAAGAAACACATGAACTGAAATTCTTTAATTTTTTTATTACTCTTCTTAAAAACACCACAAAATCAACTATTCCTATTTATTTTTAGAAATTAGTAGTACATTTTTACTCATGAAAGGCATTTAATTATCATAGAGATAAATCCTATTAAATTCTGAATTGATAAAATTCACAAATCAAATGAAATATTAAAAAAATAGACTCTTTGAGTTTTTAATTTTTAATCATCAAAATCTCTAAATTTCTAATATTAAATTGAATAAAGGAAATTAAGGTCTAACATTTTAATTCAAGTTTTTCAGTAAAAAGATCTCAAAATTTTTTAAAATGTTGGCAGTTTAAATCTTTGATGAAATAGATTTTCATATTAAAATAATGAAAATAAAATTTCTGTTTTTTAACTAAATTCGTTTGCTCACTTTTAAATATTAGTTTGAATAACTTCTTACTAACTAAGAATTTTCCGTATTAAATATTATTTAAAAGTGCATATTTTAAAATAATCGAACTTAGAAATTAATAGTTTTTCTTACAAAAGAATTAATGATAAAAAGTATATTTTAGTAATTGTAATATTCATTTGATAAAAATATTGTTTTGTTCATATAGAAATCCTTTATATTAGCTTATTCAATTATTATTATGGTAATAACTTTGCTAATTAAATACATTTAAGAGTAATATTATTTGATAGGTTATACCCAGTTAATTCGTGATTGTAAATAGCTCTATATCAAATCAAAATAAAAGAAGTAAACCAAAAAGAAATTACACAATCAAAAATGATTAAAAAAACTATAGTTAAGCAATTACTAGATTAAATATTTGTATGGCTTTTATTTAAACATTAAAATATTACTCATATACCTGATAAAAAAATAGATGAGCTATACTTAAATTAGTATTTTGGTGAAAATAGGGTCAGTTTATCATTTATTTATGAGAAAAATTATTTTTGTATTAGTTTATTTATTGATGATTTAAGAAATTCTATTTAATATTTCTCAAAACTGCAATTTTATTTAGCTCTTAAGCAAATAAATAGTTAAAGTAAACTGATAATTAAATTTTTTTGATAGCCAGCTTAATTTAATCGGCTTTTTAATGAAGTAACAAGAAAGGAAGGCAATTTCAATTTAAATATTTTATTTTAAATATTTTTTCTTAGGAATTGTAAATTGATGAATTGTTTAATGAGTCAAAAAGTAATCAATTTATTATAGATTTTATTTAATTAACACATTTCATTTCAGAAACTGTATTTTAATTATAATGTTTACTTCTAAAAATTATGAATTCTGATTAATATTTTTTTATTGAATCTTGAATTAATTTAAGTAAGTATTCTTTCGTTGATTTTGTACAATATGAAGAAAGAGTGTAATTTTTCCCTTTACGATTATTTTTCTTAAATTATTAAATCTTTTTTTCTTAATAATATTCAGCTAAGAAGTCTTTTGAGTTTTGTAAGCTATATGAACAAATTAATTATTAGACGGTGATTAAATCTTTTAATGAACAATTTCTTTCACTTATTCATCACAACCTCAACAGAATTTCTGATTAAAAATTAACATTTTTTACTTACATTCTTACATGTTCAATTTAATACGCTTTGAAATTTAAAATAAAAAAGGGTATAAAATGTAAATTAAATACTAACAAATTCAAGTTTTTCCTATGTTGGTTATTCGAGTTAAGCAATTTGATAGAAATTTTAAAATAAAAAGCTAATTTGCATTTATTAACGTCATTAGTATGAATTGTTTATTTTATTTCTAATGTATTTTGATAAGAATCCTATTAGGAATTTATAAAATGAAGTTAAGCTTAATTGAATTATCTTTTATACTTCAAGCAAATAAGAAAAAAGGTTTTTTATGAAAATTTTGAAACAATTTTATTTCAAAAATTTTTGATATGAAAGAGAGCAGCTTCCTTACCATTTTACTATTTTTTTGCTTATGCTTAAGCAAAAACAGAAAATGGAATAAAATTGAGAAGGGGTCTTTCAATGGAGTAAAAATGATCAAAAGTTTATTTTTTTTATTATAATTTCTTTTACATTTATTCAAAATCTTTATTGGTTAATTGAGCATAAAGGCGCAGTTGCATACTAATTTTGACGAATATCTATCTATCTATTAATTCTTTTTAAAAAAACTCAAGGAATATTTCACACTTCAGGTTTTTAAACTGTCACAATATTTATAACAAATAACTTTGCTTATGTAAAAAAATAAATAGGACCTCTATCATTTATTTATTTTATAAATTCAATGAATATTAATGAAAACTTAATTTATTTAATAATTTTCTTTCTTTCTGCTTTTATTATTTTGCTTATCCTAATTAAATTTGTATTAATGTATTTATAATTACAATCAGTCACTTGCGTTCCCCCTTTTGTAAATTGTATTGAGAATTAATTATGTGAATGTATAGATAAATAGATAGTTAGACCACTTAAATTTCTTCTTGCAATATTTTTTTTAATGTTTATTAATTGAGAAGCAGCAAGCAATATATGATCACCTTTAAAAACAAAATAAAAAATTTGCGTACGCATTTAATTAATAAAAAACTAAAAAATTAGTGCAAAGGTTAAGAAAGGTTCTATTATATTGAAAAAAGAGAGTCTTACAGTCACTTATAAATTATTAATTAATAAAAAAATTAGTATTATTGAAATCGGATTCGTAGTGCAATATTTGCATTTTTTATCAACAAAAATATTAAGTGAGCAGAAACAAGGGTTGATTTATTAAACGAAAATAGCATATTTTATAAGTAGTTGTGGGAATATTTCAAAAAAATAGAATGAGCTAATAAGCTTTAAGAAAAGTATAATCCTTCAATGACATGCCTCCCTCTTCAAGTGATAGGAAATCTACACGCAACTCCAAAAGCGATTCTGTAAAAAGTCATGAAGATAAAAATAGCTCCTCTAACAGCTCTACAGATTAAGAAGCTGAGAAGAAATTGGAGTTCTATACAAATATATACGCAAGGAAAACTATCTTAAAAGTTAATATAGATAACACAGAGCTAGTTATTTTGGATAATGAATAATATACAGTAATTGAGACATTCATTTTCTCTAACTTACTCACTCAAATATTTTTCTCTATTTTATTCATTATTTATCTTGATAATTTTCATATAAATCAATTAGAGATTACTTTTAGCGCAAAAAACAAACAATACATATTTGATTTATAAATTTTTCATTAAAAAAACAATGATTTCTTGTGAAATCATATAATTTCCATACCAAAAAAAAAAGTGTTTTTTTGTTTTTCAAAATATCACAAAGTATTACAAATATTAAGATAATTTATATGTTTTAGTGAAACATTTTACTTGTATTTAATTTATCATATTTATGCTATTATCATTTAATAAAAGGCATACTAAATTAAAGTAGAGACTGATATGGGTACTTATCATATAAATAAGAGATATAGTGAATTCAGACTATTCAGAAAAGAGGTAATTAGAATCTTTTAATCATTAAAATTAATTTAGTTTCATTATACCTCACTTTTAAGAAGCTAACAAAATTTAATCAAATTGCATTTATGATTATTCTTTGTCCATCATTTAAATAAAAATAGATATTTTATAGTCTTTTTGCTTTGAATTTTTCTGTTGAGAAGTCGAATTTAACTATTACAAAGTTATTATCTAATCTAAACTACTCTTCTCAATATATTTATTTGTTTAATAATTTATGCTAATTTGAATATAAAAAAATTATGTTTTCATTGAAAGAATAATTTTAAAAATATAAATTGAAATTCTGAAATTCTTTTTTAACAACTTCAAACATTTTTTTTATTTTTAAAGTTGAAGCAATAGTACTCTGACTTAGTAATAGCAAAATTCCCTAGAAAAAAGATATTCAGTTCATTTAAATAAAAAACAATTGAAAATCGCACTAAAGCACTTAATGGTAAAAATCCTTCAATATTATTATTATTCTTCCCATTAAAATCACTTTATTCGAATTTAATTATATAATGCTTTGAATATTTAAATGATTTTTTATAATGTAAAAAAATAAACTTTATCATAAAATAATAGATTTTCTCGCTGCTATGTTTGAGGCATATTAGAAAAAATAGATCTTTATGTTTTTAGATTTTATCGAAATATAAGGTAATAGTTTTTTAATTTGGAGTTTTAAACAATTAAGTTACTAGAACTTGTTTAACAGTGATTTGGCAATTATAACAAGTATTACAAAGAGTATCAGGAAACTTACATTACGATATCTAATTTAAGATTCGATACTTAAAAATAAGTTTTAAGAGATTCACCTACAACAACAATAACTTGTTAATGTTTATAATAATAAATTGAATGATTCATTTAATTTTAACAAGATATAAGAAATGAAAAAATAAGAAATTCATTTATTATTGTATAAGGGTAATTAGAATTCATAAGAAATATGTGCTAACAACACAAATTGATCAGGCAAGTTACTTATTTATTAGAGAAATATAATTTAAATATAAACAAAATCAAAGAACAAAAATTTTACATACTAATTATACTATGAATAATAATCCTTATTTTGTTTTAAATGTAAAAGCTATGCAATGATTATACGCGTATATTACTTAATTAAAATGCCCCCCTAAAAATTAAGTACTATTAAGCTTTAATTAACTATTTAACGTTGATGCCTGCCTAGTCACTTCTTACATTATTACAATAATTGCCCCCCTTTTTTTTAAATTGTAAGATTTCTGATAACATTTTTTACAAATAAAAATCCATTATTGCAGATATCACAAATTTATTACTATAAAGACACTGGCAATTTAATAGATTAGAGAGATAAAATTTTAAATTTTTTATTTATTAAAAGAGCAATTCATCAAGAAAGGAATTCATGATTTCTTCAGAGTATAAGCCAACAGTGCTTTCCAAATCCCACCCTAAATTATCAATAGCATTCCTATTAAACCTACTAATGAATAAGAAAGGATGATGTTAGAGATTATACAAAAACTTAATGCTTTCACAGATAGTATAACCTGCAGCTTAGAGTAATAATTAAATTCAATTTATTTTATTTTTTCAAATGCAACATATTTTTTAGATTACATTATTGCATAATATGATTCTTATAAGAAAATATTGGTTTTAAATGAACTGAAAATGATATTTACTTTTTAATAAAAGACTTATCAATTTCAAATATTTTCTTTATATGAAAATTCATGCTTGCTTGCATATATTGTTCTATTTTTATTTTAATATTTCTTAGAAGAAAATTAATTGCAAATTAAGAAATTTAGAAATGCTCTAATGATGTAATCTGATAAATCAGATATTAAATAAAATAAAAAAATCTTATTTAGCTTACTTTCGTTTATCAAATTTTAAACTTTAATTAATAAATATTCTTGTTTATTACTTTTAGGAAAATAAGGAACTTCTATTTCAAATAGTAGCCAACTTTAAATAGAAACTTTATTCCTTTAATCCTTATAGGATAAGACAATTTAAAAGGAATTATTGAATTATCACTTTAAGTTACTAAAGAAAATCCTGATAGTCACTTAATATGCTGCTAAGGTCTCAAATTAGTATTAGAGTTAATGGATATACAAAAAAATCCAAGTAATTATCTATTATTTAAATTTATAATATCATTTTTTTAATTATTTTAATATTTATAAATAGATGCTTAGCAATTTATTGATGTTTACACAAAAATAACTTTTTAAGACATGAAAAAATTCAATTTTAGTAATTTGTTAATCACTTTTAAACAAAACTTTAACATAAATATCTTTTAAAAAAACAGAAGCACATATTGCAAACAAAAATGCTAAAGAATGTAAAATTTCTGCTTTAAAACTAATGAAGATTTTCGTTGATGCCAACTCAAAAACTTTAACTAAGAGCACTAGATAATTACTTGTAAACTAAAATTCTGGAATTTCTAGATTATATTTAAATTATTACTTTGCTCTCATTCAAAATTTAAAATATTTTTAAAATAAAAATATTCAAAATCTTTTATTTAAATAACTTGCTGACTGACTTATTTTGCTTTAAAAATAGATGGATGAAAAAACTTTTGAAGAATATGTCAAATATTTTAAAACTTAAAATGTACCAAGACAACTTATCACTAAAGCTATGGAATTAGCTGAATAAGATTAAAATCCAGAATATGCTTCCAGCAACTATTAGAGTATCAACTCAATGAGAATATCTACTCAAAAAAATAGCAAAAACTGGAAAGACATACTTTTTTTTAACAGAAACTCTGTTATTGATTAAAATAGTAAAACATTTACTGAACCCAGCTATTCTTAAAACTGTTAAGATGAAACTTGCGATTTGGAAGATTTAAAAGAAGCTATTGATGAACCAAGTATTTAATGGACAAAGGTATATAATGCAGAAGATAGCTTCTCACTTCAGTATTGTAAATAACCAGACTAATATATCTTGATCACTTTTTTCCTTCCTTTAAGTCTATCTGGAGCATAAGCAGCTGTTATAGATAACAGAAAAGATTGGGATACTCTAGTAAGCATTTAATTAACTTTCAAATTCATATATTTCTTTTATAGTTTCTTACTTTTTGATTTGATTAATAAAATTTCTAATTTAAAAATTCTTTTATTATTTTAACTAGTTTATGGAGAATAAAAAAGTAAATCTTAACAACTATACCAACGAAGATACATACAAAGAAAGTTTATTTATCTAAAGATATAATGGTAATAGATTGCTAACCTTTATTTACAAGAGAACAGTCATAGAAGAAAATGATTCAGTATATATTTATAAAGAACCAACATAAAATGTAGAATACAAGCCTCAGCATTATGAAGATTTAGGTAAATCATTCATTTATTTATTTATATATAAAAAGTATAATTTAAAAATTTTAATTATAAAGGTAAATGGTACTAATTGGTTAAGTTTAGTCCTTACAAGCATGAACACAAACTAAAAAGATTTGATAATACAACAGATTCTTGTACTACTTTCTCGATTGAGGATGATGAAGATGATTCTAAGTCATTTGAGACTCTTTCATAGAATGAATCACCAATTACTAAAGTAGATATAATCATAAAATGCTGTGATAAAAATTCAATAGTATATACTACTCCTTTCCTCGTCAAAGATAATAAACAAGTGGTCGATAATATACTTAACTTAATAGAAAGCACAAATAAATAAAACTCAGGAAAAAGCACATTCGATCAGTCATTGAATGAATCAATAACTCCTACTACACCAAAGAGAAGTGATTCATGAATATAATATGCTACAAAATAAAATACTTTATATAAATGAAGACTTATATTAATCTTAAAATATTTCTTTCAATAAATTTCGTTATCACCTATAATAACAACTGAACTTATATAGCAATTGTAATATTATTAATAAATAATATAATAATCTAATCAAAGTGAGTATTAAAAATCAATATTTAAACTTAATGATACAAACAATTTAAAATGCAAAATAAAAAGGCAATTAAGTGTTGATACAAATATTTACTTTGTTGTTCTAATAGAAATTGCTAAACAGTAATTGTACCATTCAACCAGCAGTGATAATAATAACAATTTAATTAACTATATTTTATCAAATAATAATAAATTTTATAAATATTAATGCATAATAAAATAAATACAAAAATATTAAAAAATTTAACAGAAGAAGATTCAGAAATTCAGCCTAGAGTTTACATAATAAAAATCTTAGTGATATACAGATAGAGTAATAAATTAATGTACGAGTTTAATGCAAATTGCTTACTAAATAAAACTAATTAATAATATTAAGATTATTTTTCATAAATCAATATAATTAATAATTAATAAATAAAAAAATACACAAACAATATTTTGTATATTCAGTTTACTTTATTTTTATTTGTATACATAAAATAAATTGTATAATCTACAAATCTACTAAACTAACTAACTAAATCTTAAAAATATATTTTTTCAGAAAAATAATTAAATTATGCAATAATAATGAAATAAAAATTTTTCAAATGTTAATTAGTAAAATTCTTTGGGATATTTATATAAATATTTAATTGTTTATTATAATTTAAAATAAATCAATAAAATAGAATTAAAAATTTTTCAAATATAAATTAGTAAAATTCTTATTGATATTTAAAAAAATATTTAATTGTTTACTATAATTTAAAATAAATCAATAAAATAATGAATGAATAAAAATTTTAGTAAAACGATTTATCAGAAATTATAATTTAAAATAATTTAAGAATTTTAATATTATTTTAGGTAGTTTGTCAGAGCTTTTTTACAAATAATCTGAGTATTTTTTAAATCCTCTAAAGTAAAATAAATCAAAAACAAAAATCTTTTAAGGCTAAACCAGATTATAATACTTCTTATATTCAAGCAATATAGAAGAATAATTTTCCAATTAATAAATTATTAATTAAATTAATAATAGTAAATAATTTTAGGCTAAAGTTATATTTTAGAAATTTTACATGCTGTATTTATATATTTACATAGGTAAAATATGGAAATAAATTAATTTTTTATATAATTCTAACTATTTACAATAACAATTTAATTACTTATAAAAATTTCAATTTTTAAGTTGCTGATTTAACCAATCAAAGCCTTCAAACATTCCTTCTCCTGTAATAGCACAGCATTATTATAAGTGAATTTTTCTATTTTATAATTCATGCAATCCTAATTGACCAGACAAATCGTTAAATGCAATTTAGCAAACATCGATTTTATTAGCAAATATAAGTACTGGAATTCCAAATGTTTCTTGTTCGTTTAAAACTTAGAAAAGAGTATATTTAGCAACAGAGAGCCTTTCTACATCAGAAGAATCAACAACAAATATTATAGCAGATGCACAAGGATAGTAGTGTTTCCAAAGTATTCTTATTTTATCCTATCCACCAATATCCCATACATTAAATTTAACATTCTTATACTATAATGTTTCCATATTAAAACCTATAGTAGGTACAGTCATAACATTTTAATTAAGTTTCATTTTGTAAAGAAGAGAAGTTTTTCCAGCTCCATCAAGTCCTAGCATTAGAATCTTGAATTTTTTATTAGATGAAGAGAATAAATTTCCTAGTAGTTTTGAAATTGACATACCCATATTATATTAAGAAAATACTCAATTATATTTTTTTTAGTTTTATTTATTTGTTTATTAATTTGATTATATTTTATTTTAATATTCACTTTTTACTAATATATAAGCTTATTTTTTAATTTATTAAACTGACTACATAAATAAACCCAATTAATCTGACAAGGATTTAGTGAGGATTTGATAAATTATTTAAAATAGACAAATATATTTTGTCTATTTAAGTATTAATCTTAGTTATGATATCTTAATATATTTTCAATTCTAAAATTCAATTTTGTAAACTAATAAATGACCTCTCATATTTTATCACAAAAATAAATAATTTTATCAAAATAAATTTTAAAAAAGATATTAAAATATATAATATAAATTTTTCATTTTACTGATAAATTATAATCCTATCTAAATTAATTAAGAAATTTTAACTAATTTTATAAAAATGAATCATTCTTTAAGTACATTGTGGTAAATAGAGATTGTTTATGGATCTTGGATAACTGTCTTTCCAAGGCATTCTGAAGGTCCAAAACTATTATACCATTCTGGTAAAGCAGTAGTTCCATCAGAAAGGGTAACATTCATTTATGAATATGTCATTCTTCCTTTTGGATAATCAGTGCAATTAGTTATTTAGTAAGTTTCCAAAGTAGCGTCTATCCAATTAAAATTTCTACCAATTCTATCAACTGTGAGGGTTGATTATTCCCCTAATTTATTTTGAGAAATAATAGTTACTTGAGAGTCTTTTACTTCAACTGAGCCATAAACCTCATCATGAGGAGTGATATTAAAAATAGATGGACTATTATAAGCCTATCCATCAGGGCAGCAATTCCATGATTAGAAATACCATCCTCTGAAATAAGATAAAACTGGCTAAAGAATAGTTATTTCAGGGCCACTACCATCATTATTTTAAGATCCAATAAAATAATATATCCATTAATTGTTTGTAGTACGAGGAGTATTGGGAACAAAATAGTTAGCTTCAAACTTACTTAATGTGGTATTAGCAGGAAGATACCATCCACCATTGTCTATCCATTATTCTAATTTTATTCTTGGATTTGCTTTTTGACATTTCTCACTTTTTTGGATTCTTTATGCAAAATTTTTTTCATTATTAGTGAGGAATACACTTCCATCTTCAGATTCTTAGATATAAGTACCTGATGGAACATTATGGACACATTCTCTTAACATCAACCCAAAAGGAGTTTAAACATGTTCTTCACCATTAATGATTTAGATTTCTTCATCATGAGGATATAGAGACTAAGCTGTAACAGCTGAGGCAATTAGCAATAATCCTAAAAACCAAGTGATTTTCATTTTTTATTTAATTTTAGTATTTTTTTTAATTTAATTTAATATTATTATCAATTTACTAAATATCAATCATCACTTAAAGCCATAAAATTTCAACACCCTAATATAATGTATAACTTTTGTAATACTAATCAGAATCTAATAAATTTTCATTACATAAAATTATAAATATTTATCAGAATTAATTAGAATTAATTGATAAAATTATTTGAATTTAATGGAAATCAATAAGTTATTTCCTTATTAACAAAATAACAAGAGGTTAAAATGATATTTATAACAGAATAAAATAAACAAGATCTTTTCAACCAATTTTAAATTGATACATTATTTGATTATTTGGATTAGTATCATATTATCAACAAAAATTAATTTTAATATACTTATTATTTGATAGATAGAAAACATATTTTAACATTTTAAGTATATCTTTTTATTTGGTAACTAGGTTTAACAAACAAAGTAAGGTTTGTTAACATAAAATTTGTAAGGGTTAATTAATCATACTTGTTATTCAATCTTAATTTAATTATTATAAAGATGACGATTATATTGCAATAAAGTAAGCAAGAAATGTTCTATTCTTAATATATTACATTTTATTTACCAATTAAAAATAGAAATATCTTTTTTAAACCTCTCTTAATCACTTTATCAGTTGAATGGCTAAATAAAAAATAATTAAAAAAGAGATTAAAATAGCAATATCTTTGAATGGAATTAAAATAATTAAATAGTTTGTTACATTTTGTCTTTAATTTTTTTTGATTAATTTTACTTTTTTCATAAATTTATATATATACTGATTTTAACCTTATAATTTCTTCAAAATTCAATTGGAGATAGATATTTATTTGAATTTCAAAAATAATATTTTATATAATTATCAATAAAAGAGCAATAAAACAGAGAGAATTTTCATTCTTTAAGAAATATTATTACAGTTTTCAAAGTATTAATACATAATTTAATATGATTGAATTTATATACAACCTAACATAAAAAATATATCAATTTTTAAGTTCTATAAATAAGTTAATCTAATTTAAGTTGTTTTTTTAAAATAATTGATGATAATTATTAGGGATCAAATATTCTTTTTTAAATTCACTATTAAAATCTACATAGATAATTCTTAGTATTATTTTACCATAAATCAAGAATGAATGAATAAATAAATATAATAAAAGAAAGAATAAATAAAAAGGCATATCTTTATCATACTTAACTAAAGTAAAATGCAAGCAAAATTAAATAAAATGTTGAAAAAAACCTTTAGTTAAAGAAATATATATTTCTTGTTAAACCATCTTTTATAATAGTTAAATACTATATTATGTTTATGATATACATTATTATTATTTAGGTCAAAAAGCTTTTTTAATTATAAAATTCTCTTTCTAATCGTAATTTTTAATCACTCAAACTGTAAAATTAAATATGAGAGTCAAATAGTCATCTTTATTTAAATAAGTATTAATTTATTAATGTAATTAATCATTCATTACATTTTATAAATCAATATGAGTTAATCAAATTAAAGTGATGGTTTTAATGAATATAGTTTATGAATAATGATTGCTATGTTTTTCATATTTCATAGATTAATTTTAGAAATAAATAAAATTTGAAAATTTACCACAAAAATTTAATTTTAAAAGTAAATGATTCATATTACATTTTTTATCATAATTTTCATTTTTAGACAATTAATTGTGTTGCTTCATGTGCTCCTGAAAAATTAATCAAGCAAGTATCTAAATCATAATAAAAAATTCTATTTAAGAATATAAATATATAGATAGACAAGTCAAGTTATAAATAAAAAAGCTACAAATAAATAATAATTTTTTTGATAATTTGTTTCAAATATTATCAAAAATATTTTTTAATGTTTAAAATAGACTTTTATATTTGTTTTAGATAAATTTTACTTAGCAATTACTATAATTTATGTTTTATTGATTTTGATTTAACAAATTTTGAGTAAACTTAGCTTGTTTAAATCTGAGAGATCATTTTCAAATTTTCATATTAAATTAATGGATAAAAAAGTTTATTCTTAATTTATTATTTTTAATAGGAAATAAATAGAATCAAAAATAATTGTCTGACTTACAAAATTAAGAAATTAATTAATTGTAATTCTAAGATGAATTATTTTATATTTAAACTAACTTTTTATTTACAAATTAATACTTTTACTTTAGAGTTTAAAACCATATTTATTTTTTTATTAATTTTATTAATCACTTTTTAACTTTTTTTTGTAATTTTAACTATTTCATAAACATGACTTTTATTTTGCTCTATTATCCAATTTAAAAAGTATTAAAATTTTATTTATATTTGTTTCTTTGCATTTCTTGAATTCTTGATACGAGCTATTAATTTCGTTATAAGGAATAAAATATATTTTTATCTTTTTTAAATATGGTATGTAAATTTCAAAACTAATAGGAAATTTGTACTCTTCATTTAATTAAAATTGATATATCAAAAGTATTAATTCCTAGTTGTTATATTGATATTTTAGATATTTAAAATTCAAACATTTTTTAGTATTTTTTATTAATTTTATTTATTCGTTTATAAAATGATTATAAATATTATCTTAATATCACATTATTAAAAGAACTTTAACAAAAATTTTTAATTTACTAAAATATCTATTTTTTACATTATTTTTATAAAAATATATTATATTTTTTGTAGGTAAATAATTATTTCTTTAGAAATAGAAAACTAAGTTCTGATTTGTTCATATATATTTGAAATGTTAACAATCAAATTTGTTAAAGAATGAATGAGCTCTCATATAATAAAAAAAAATTGATTAAAATAAATTTCTAAAAATATATTAAAATATAAAAATAATATAAACGTTTTGTTTACTTATAAATTATAATTCTTTCTAAATTATTTAAGAAAATTTAGCTAATTTTAAAAATATAAATCATTCTGGAATAACATTGTGGTAAATAGAAATAGTTTTTGGACCTTAGATAAATGTCTGTCCATTACATTCTGAAGCTCCAAATGTATTATCCCATTCTGGTAATGCAATTGTTCCATCAGAAAGGGTAACATTCATTTATGAATATGTCATTCTTCCTTTTGGATAATCAGTACAATTAGATATTCCGTAAATTTCCAAAGTAGCATCTATCCAAGTAAAATTTCTACCATTTCTATCAACTGTGAGGGTTGATTATTCTCCTAATTTATTTTGAGAAATAATAGTTACTTGAGAGTCTTTTACTTAAACTGAGCCATAAACCTAATCATGAGGAGTGATATTAAAAATAGATGGACTATTAAAAGCCTATCCATCAGGACAACAATTCCATGATTAGAAATACCATCCTTTGAAATAAGATAAAACTGGTTGAATAATGGAAACTCCTGGTCCACTACCATCATTATTTTAAGATCCAATAAAATAATATAGCCATTAATTATTTGTAGTTTAGGGGGTATTGGGTACATAATAGTAAGCTTCAAACTTGCTTAATGGGGTTTTAGCAGGAAGATCCCATCCACCATTGTCTATCCATTATTCTAATTTTATGCTTGGATTTGCTTTTTGACATTTCTCACTTTTTTGGACTCTTTTTGCAAAGTTTTTTTCATCATTAGTGAGGAATATAGATCCATCTTCAGATTCTTAGATATAAGTACCTGATGGAACATTATGGACACATTCTCTTAACATCAACCCAAAAGGAGTTTAAACATGTTCTTCACCATTAATGATTTAGACTTCTTCATCATGAGGATATAGAGACTAAGCTGTAACAGCTGAGGCAATTAGCAATAATCCTAAAAACCAAGTGATTTTCATTTTTTATTTAATTTTAGTATTTTTTTTAATTTAATTTAATATTATTATCAATTTACTAAATATCAAACATCACTTAAAGCCATAAAATTTCAACACCCTAAATAAATAAAGTATAACTTTTGTAATACTAATCAGAATCTAATAAATTTTCATTACATAAAATTATAAATATTTATCAGAATTGATTGATAAAATTATTTGAATTTAATGGAAATCATTAAGTTAATTCCTTTTGATAAAAAAACAAGAGGTTAAAACGATATTTATCACAGAATAAAATAAACAAGATATTTTCAACCAATTTTAAGTTGATACATTATTTGGATTAGTAAAATAGTATCAACAAAAATTAATTTTATTTTTTAATTTTTTTATCCATAGTAAATTATAATATTTATTAAAATTTTGAGTATATACTTTTAATGGGTTACTATGCTTTTCAAATAAAGTAAGGTTTTTCAACATAAAACTTGTAAGGGTTAATTAATCATATTTGTTATTCAAGCTTAAGTTATATATTATAAAGATGACGATTATATTGCAATATAGTAAGCAAGAAATGTTCTATTCTTAATCTATTACATTTTATTTACCAATAAAACATAGTAATATCTTTCTTAAATCACACTTAATCGCTTTATCATTTGAATGGTTATATACAAAATAGTTAAGAAAGAGATTAAAATAGCAATATTTATTTATGGGATTAAAATAAGAATTTCTATTAATAAAATGAAAGTAGAAATATCTTTTAATGGAATTAAAATAACAAAAAATATTGTTACAATTTTTCTTTAAATTTATTTGATTAAATTGACTTTGATTTGAGATTACACATTGATTTGATACAAATTCTCTTTTCAAATTTCAGTTGAAAGAGAATATTTACATTTCAAATAAAATAAATTTTTAATAATAATAATATATTTTTCGAAAATATTTTCTATTGTTATCTTTAAAGAAAGTACATAAGAAAGAATATTCATTCATGAAATAATATTAGTTTTTATTTGAAAAATATTTTTTAGTTTATTTTATTTTGATTGATTTTATAATACAAACTTAGATAAAAAATTTATTTATTTTTAAGTTCTATAAATAAGTTAATTTAAGTAAACTTGTTATTGTGGAGTGATTTTTGAGAATTCTATGGGACTAAATCATAGTTTATATTTTAAGCATTTAAAATTCATTATAAAAATATACAAAATAATTCTTAGTAATATCATACCAGAAATAAAAAATAAATAAATACAATTGAGAAAAAAGAAAAAAAATAAAAATGTCTCTATCTTATTAAACTAAATTAAGGTACTAAAAAAATTAAATAACCTTTAGCCAAACTAATTCTAACTAACTTCTTTATTAAACCATTTTTTGAATTAGTAAAATACAAATTTCATATTTATGATAAAAGATATGATTATTTAATGCCAATCAGCTTTTTTAATTATAAAACTCTCTTTCAAATCCTTTTTTTTAACCACTCAAAATACTCAAATTGTGAATTACAAATGAGTGTTAAACAGTTTATCTTTATTTAAAATTAAATCAATTATTCATTACATTTTATAAATCTTAATCAAATTAAATTAATGGTTTTAATGAATTTAGTTTACAAACACGAATTACTTATTTTCAATATTCTTAATTAATTTAAGAAAAAATAAAATTTGAAAAATTAATTTACGAAAAAAAGTTAATTTTAAAAATACACAATTGTTATTACATTTTTTATCACAATTTTCAAATTTATGCAATTAATTATATTGATTCTAGGACTCGAAAAAGTAAGTAAGTATCTAAATCAAAATAAAAAATTGTATGAAAGTATAATAAAATCAAAATATAATACAAATAAAAAATAGTATTTTTGATAATTTGTTCAAACATTATCTGAAAAATCATTTAAAATTTTTAAACAATTGATAATTGAAATGATAAAGATAAGAAAATCAGACATTATTTTCTAAATAAATTTTATTTTTAATATTTGCAACCTTTACCACAACTTATTTTTATTGGTTTAGATTTACCAAATTTTGAGTAAACTTAATTTGATTAAAACTGAGATTTAATTCAAATTTCCTTTTTAAATTAATGGCTTTAAATAGTATATTCATAATTTCTTATTATTAATACAAAGCTAACAAAATAGAAAATAATTATCTTACTAATCAATTGATTAATTAATTTATTCTATTAAAAAAATCAAATATTTTATTTTTAAACTTATTTTTTTAGTAAGGAAATGCTTTTACCTTATAAGTTTGAAGCAGAAATTTTAAAAATATATCAGTAAGCAGCTGTAATTATTTTTAATTATTTCTACCTTAAATATTCTTCATTATTAACTTCCAAAATAGTAAATATTTATATATAAATTTAGGGGATAATATGATCCATTTTCAAATTTTTTTGAGGATTAATAAATTTCAGTTATTTTTTTTTAAACTTTGAATCTCATTAAAAATCATCGAATTTAATTCATGTTTAATTAAAAAAAGAAAAATAGAAAAAATTAAATTATAACAGAAAATTGATTAAAATTTTAGCTGTATTTTGAAATTTTTATAAAAAATTATTGTTTACAACATTTAATTTATAAATAGCTATATTTATTTACGAGGATAGTTATTAATTTAATACTTATAAAATAAGAAATTTAAATAAATCTTTCATACGAGTATTATATTTTATACTTACTATTTCTAGAATAATATATTTGTTAAATATTAGATCATTTTATTCGTGACAATAAACTTCAACTAATTAATTTAAACACATTAATTTCTTCTAAAATAAAATAAAATTTAAAATAAGTATTTTGTATGCTCTTTTTAATTAGTATTATTGCTTTTACTTTTTATATGCATTTTAACTCATATAGACAAAGAGTCGAATATCTCTAATTATTATTATAAATTGAGCTTTAGTTTCTTAAAAAAATCTTAAGTGTAAATAAAATTATAGATTATTAATTGATCATAAATATATTTATCATTCATATTTTTTTATTTTTATTTGTGCAATAAAATAATTAATTATTTTATATTAAATCCAATAATAAAATATATTGATTGAATTTCTTTAATATAAATAAATGTAAAATTAACTAAATTTTATTATTATTTATTTTACTTAAGATAGATTTTGTTTAAAAGCTTTAAAAAGATAAAAGTATATTTATATATATATATCAAATTGCCTTTAATATGTATTTATATTTTTAAATAATTAATGGTAAAAACAAATTTAAAACACAATTTATTATAAGCTGATTAATTGAAACCTGACCATTCAATTTTATCAGCCTAACAATAAATACAGATTAATAAAATTTAATCAATATCTTTTCTTCAACACAAAAATAAAAGGAGCAATAATTTTTTGATAAATCAATTAATTATTTATAGCTTAGTTTAGAAACATAGTGAAATATTTAATTAAAGAATTTGACTAAAATAAATTAATTAATTTGTGTTAAATCTGCCAATTTTTAATTATTATAGACCATATTTTGTATAAACACATATATAGCTGATAAAATAAAAAAGGTGTTAAAGGAATAAATAATGCATTTAAGACAGAAATCTGTGCCAGTTACTAGCAAGACTCTTTTTTACTAAACTGACGGTACAGGAAGAGATTCATATATAAAAGTTATCAATGGTGGGCTACTTCCACAGGATAGGCTTCATGAACTTAAACCTAAACCTGTATCATCAGTAGAGAGAATGGAATTTCAAAAAAAAAAATATCATCGTACTTTACCTCCTAAAAGTGAAAATAAAGTAGTTAATTACTACAGCGATGGAAGCGGAAGAGATTATTATATATGTATAAATAATGGAGGAAGAATGGATACTTCATATCATTGGAGAAACTAAGTAGATTTTAAATTCAACTCTTCATTACGCTAGTATGAAAAGATTCCTCACTCATTTTAAAGGTAAAAAATTAATAAATTCAATATTTGTTTAAAAAATGTTATGATGAACATCTAAACAATTAAAATTGGTAAAATAAAAATAGAGATTTATGGAGAGATTCTATGCAAGGTTTCAGAAATTAAAAAAATCCAAGGTAATTATCATCTGAAAAGACTATTGCAACAGAATAAATGAATTTGACAATGAGGCTATCTTAACCTAAGCCAAATAAAAGGGGAAGATGCCAATCGTTCTAAGAAAGAAGTTAATCATTTAAAGAAAGAAGTTAGTCTAGAGATAAAGTAGAAAGCTCTAACTTGAATAAAATAGCAGAAAATTAGAATGGTAACACAATGGATATATTAAGAAATGATAAAGAATTTATAAGAAAAAAATTAAGCTCAACAGTTAATAATTTTAATGCAATTAATAAGTCCTTAAATAAAACTTTTAATGCTTCTACTCATCGTTAAATTGATAATAACCTTTCATTTTACAAATGAAAAAATGGTGTTTTAAAATTTGAAGTCTTTTGTGAAGTATTTATTTTGGATAAAATTATGAAAGCTAATAGGTTTTTCTTAATTGGTACCTATTTGCATAAATCCATAAATTATAATGAAGAGAGTAATAAAAATTTAAATAAAATATTTATTTATCTCCCTAGTAATAAAAAATGTAATCATCCAAATATGTGGAATCAAAAACTATTAAAAATGTATAAATTTATTTTGTAATTGAAATTATTAAAATTTTATTAATAATTAATTTTAAAGTAAAAATAAATTAATTTATTGATTAATTTAAATTAATTTTCTAAGTAGATTTTAAATTTCTTAAAATTAATAAATACACTTAAATTAATTTATATTGCATAATTCATATTTCAATGAAATAAAATATTTATTTATTTATCTCCCAAGTAATAAAAAATGTAATCATCCATATATAATGTGGAGTCATAAACTATTAAAAATGTATAAATTTATTTTTAATTGAAATTATTAAAATTTTATTAATTAATTTAAATTAATTTTTTAAGTAGATTTTAAATTTCTTAAAATAAATAAATACACTTAAATTAATTTAAATATCAAAATTCATATTTCAATGAAATAAAATATTTATTTATTTATCTCCCAAGTAATAAAAAATATAATCATCCATATATAATGTGGAATCATTAACTATTAAAATGTATAAATTTATTCTGTAATTGAAATTATTAAAATTTTATTAATAATTAATTTTGAAAAAAATAAATTAATTTAAATTAATTTTTTAAGTAGATTTTAAATTTCTTAAAATAAATAAATATACTTAAATTATAAATTAAAATTCAAATTTCAATATCTTTTATTTCTGGTTTCTTATAGTGTCTTAATTAATTAACTAAAGTGGAAGGTTTAAATGGTGCATGTGCTCCGTATGGTTTAGGGATACCAATTTCGTCGGGCACATATGCATTAACTCTATGCTCTGCTGTAGTTTTTGTTGCAAAAGCAGGGAAATTCTTTTCCAATTATTCTCTTTATAATCTTAACTTTCTCTCTTCTTAGTAGCTTAATTTGTCTCTAAGCATCTTTTAATATTCTAATTCTGATTCTAAAGTTGGAGGTTTTCCATCTTATACCCTTAGTTTAGAGATTTCATGCTATTCTTGCAACTCTTCTCTTTCTTTCTATAATTTGATCACGATGGCTTAATACATAGATAACTCCGATATTGTAGCCATCATCTATCTTGTTATCTTTTTTAGTCTAAATTAAAATTCGTTCAACCTTTCTGTCACTTCTAATGTTACTTAACGTCCATCTAAAGCTTCTGAACGAAGTTTATCACTTAAATTATTTATTTCTTCAAGTATAAGTTCTTTTTCAAGTAATTCCTCTTTCTTTTTATTCAATCTCTCTTCAAACACTTTAATCCTTGCATCTAAAGACTCTTTATCAGGGTCTTCACCTCCTAACTCTCTGTATATATTTTTATTTAAAACATAAAATTAATACTAAAGCTTTCAAATCGGATAATATAAAATAATATAATACATTTTCCTCTAAAAAGAGAAACCACAAATCAAATCAAATCAAATAAATTAACAAAACTTAATTTATTTAATATTTTACCTCCACCTATCTTTATTGGTTGGGTCTTCTAGTTTATCCGATAGCTCATAATACCTTTCTTTTTACATATTTAATTCTTGCTTTAAAGATAATACATCTGATGCTAATCTTGGAACGGTATCTATTTGTTTTAGTGAGATCTCTATTTACCTTTTTTTTTCATCTATTTCTATTTAAAGCATTCTTTACTAGTCTTCAATGTCTTTAATTTCGAACTCTCCTTATTTAAGAATTTTTTCTTAAATGTTAGATTTTTCGTACAAAACGCATAGCTCATCGTTCTTATCTATAAGCTATACTCCTGTATAATTTCTACTCTCTTAAGCAGATTCATACTTCTTTCTTAGTTAAGTCATATCTTTTTCCAAAATTTGAATTGTGACATTTAGTTTTTCTATTTCATTAACATTTTAATCTACTATTTTTTTTTTTTACTTAATAAATAATATTCTAAAATGAGTAAGTATGAGTAGAAGTAAAGCTTACCACTCTTTGAAACTCTAGTTTATTCAAGTGAGTATTTTCTCTATCTCTTAAGTTTATCTGCAGCTGTAGAGTATGACTATACTATATTAGACTCTAACTCTTTTCAAAAGCTTCATTCTTTAATATTTCTAATTCATTTTAGGAAATTTTAATTTTTTCTTTTAACTCTGCAAGATCCTAAGAGCTATTTTAAATCATATTAACATATTTATTTCTTGCAGATTTAGCTTCCTCATAAAGTGCCTTAACTGCATTTAAATTGAATTCTGTTTCTTAATGTCTTTTTATTAAATCTAAAATGCTTAGCTCTTTTATTTTAAGTTCTTCTCTTGTTTCCCTCACCTCTATAGAAATAAAATAAAAATATTTAATATCTAATTAAATTAATATTTTTTTAATTAATTTAATTTATAATCACTTACCTGACATAGCTTAAGAAGCTTTTCTAGCCATAGATTCTCTCATATTTGTCAAGGTTTTAATTTTTTTATTTGCTGCCATTTCAAATTACTATTATTATGTTAATTACTATTCCAATTCTACAATCTATTTCGCAATTTGTTCTTTTTATGAATCTTTTTCATTTGTTTTACCCATAATCTATCTGGCCTTAAATTCTGTTAGTTTATTTTCATCTATAAGTTCTCCATTAACTGATTCTTAATTCTTAATTTCAGTGAGTATAAACTAGGCCTATTTAACGTATTTATCTATAGACATTTCTTATTCAAATATGGAGTCTTTTAACTTCTTTTTAATATGTTCTTGCTTTTTGAGTAGTTTTTTTGATAATTCTATTTAATTTTTCAAAGTATCTATCAAATCTTCTCTGTTCTATTTTTCTTTCTTTTTAACCTTTATTTCCATCGATAATTTATACCTCTCAGAAAGCTTCTCTTCTAATACTAGTCTATTTTCTTTCACTTAATCCATAAGTGTCTTAATAGATTTTTTATCTTCTTAAATTTTCTACTGATCTTCTTGATTTTTTTATATTATTTCATTATATTTTTCTTAGTATTTTTGTATCCTCTCTTACAACTCTTATATAGTCTATCAATTAAAATATAATTAGATATTTAAGTTAATTAATAAAATAAAATATAAAAAATCATTAACTAAATTACTTTATTCCTTTTGCTTATCTCCTCCATTATTTCAGCTAAATCATGCTCCATTAAATTACAAGCTGAAAGTAGCATATCTGCTTTTTTTTAAAATCGATCTGGTTCATCTTTAATCTATTTACAACAAATTAATAATATATTTAATAAAAGTTACACTTAGTTAGTTAGTTATTTTTAAAAAATAAACAAAGTTATAAACTAACTTATAAATAACTTAGCATAAAAGCTTAAAAAGGTTTACCTGTAAAATAATATTTTATTTATTAGAAATTTCATTTAAAATCTCTTCATTTTCTTTCTTCAAAACTTCTATACGCAATTTTTGTTCATTCAAATGTTTTGTTTCAAATTCTATTGTATTCTACCTCTTATTTAGTTCCTCCTTAAGCCTATCAATTTAAGTTTTTAGGGAATCTTCTTCTCCCTGAATTTTAGACCTAATGTATTTTTCTTCTTCTTATATACTCATTTCCTTAGTTTTTAGAAAATATATAATTTAACTTAACTCGCCATTTGACAATCAGCAACTTATATTTTTTTTTGTTGCGTGCATTGTAATATTAATTATAACTTGTTTAATAATATGCTAGTAATATATTTAATTCTAACCGAAATCACTTACTAAAAACTTTAAAAACTAAATTCTTAACAAAAAAATAGAATTACCTTTTCAAAAAGACTTGACTAAATTTTATCTTGCTCATTTTACATTGAATCAATAACCTTTATATGCATCTCAACTTCAGCTTCAAATTTTTTTAATTCTGCTTAAATTGCTTTCACTTATTACTCTAGTTCTTCTTAACGCCTTTATTATTCATCTAATTATTCTTTCTTTCCTTTCAACTCTACTTAGAGTTTCTTTTATCTTACAGGAAGCTGCTTTTAATTTTTAAACGAATTAACCACAGAGTTATGCAAAAATTCAAACTTTTCTTTCATAGCATCATGAACTTCTTTAGTAATCTTTCCCCTCTCAAGGAAATTTTATAAAAGTAAGATAGCCATATGGCCTTTAAGATCTCCTAAATCATTCAAGTCCGCCATAAACTTCTATTGATAAAATCAATTTTATTTGTATTGTTTCTTGTAGAAATAACTATCGCAATTTAAAAACTACCAAACTATACTTGCTTTGTCTTAATTCCAATTAATAATTAAAATAGATGTATTTATGTTTATTAAAAAAAAAAAACAACAACAATAAATACTATATCAAGTATATCAATCAAGGTTATATATAGATTTCTAATTATTTTCAATGAATTTAAAAATAAAACAATTTGATAAAATATAATAATCCTAGGTTATTTAAAACAAATTTTATATTATATAAATTATCTTGATTAAAAAAAACATAACTTAAATATAAATAATAATTGTTAAATCAAGTAAAAAAAAATCAGATAAGTATTTATTTTTTGTAAATTCTATATAAATGTTAAAAGTATGAAAATATTATTGGTGTTTCATATGAAAAATAAATTCATAATTAAATATTTAAAGTATTATTAAAACAACCACTTATAAAGCCAGTCCAATTTATCAAATATATGTCCAAGTTTAAGTTAAAATAATTTTTCTTTAATAATGTGTCTAAAATTATTATGTTATAATAAAAATTTTTATGAATGTAATTCGCCAAAAAATTTTGAAAAAAAATTAATTAAAAATAAAAATATTTATTTTAGTTTAAAAAAATAAAAATTTAATAAACAATCCTAAATAATTTTTTTATCATTAAAAGTTAAAGTAAAAAACGACATAGAAAAAAAAAATAGTTATTTTAAAATTAATAGTTAATTTCAAATATTTTCTTTGTAGAGTTCACTCTTGAAGCTATCAAGGCAAAATTTAATTATATCTCCAAGTTATTAGTGCTCATAGTCAAAACCTTCTCCGTCTTTAATCATTTTATCTATGTAATTTTCTTAAGTGTCTAGAGAATCTACAAATTTGTGAAATAACTCGATTTCTTCTAGGTTGAGACTAATAGAGTCTATGCATTTATGGAAGTATTCTTAAATACTTTAAAGTACTTTTTAATTGTGTAGATATTCCTCTTTAGGTGGTACCTCTACAAAGTCTCCAAGGGTGATTTTCAGTAAAATTAAAATAAGATTAAGTCTATTGTAAGGTGTTGTCTTGATATTTAGAATTTAATCTGTAACAGTCTTTTTTTAGTCCTCAAAAACTTTTGCCATAATATCTTTTAAAAAATCACTCATCTTTTGTTTATTTTGTATTCTTTATCTGATAGAATTTTTTTTTAGGTATTTTTGTTTTTTTTTGTTTGTTTATTTATTTATTATTAAAAAATATTTAAATGGTTAAGTTTTTATTTAAAGAAATATTTTTAAGCATTAAAGTGGATACTTAAAATTTACCTCCAAAATGTATTGGTTAATCAAAAAAAAGAATTTAATAGGTTCAATTATAATTATTCTTTCAAGTAATGATTAAATTTAAAATGTTTAGCAAATTTATCTTCTAGAAATCTAATAAATACCTCTTGATTATTATTTTTCTATATACTTTTCATTTTTTTAATTAAATAAGTGATACTTTTTAAAGTACTCTTAAATAAGAATACTAGCTTCAAAAATTTCATTTTCCTATTTTTTTTATTAATCATATTTAATAATAAAAGAGTAAATAGGATACTAAATTTTGGATTAGTTAATTTTAAGTAAATTTAGATGGAAAAAATAATATATTTTTATAAATATTTCTCCATTATTCACATATATAAATAGAATATATTTCGAACTGTTATGATTTAAATAAATTTATAAATTGCAAAAATTATGACATATCTTTTATCCCTTTTATTTTAAGAATTAAATGAAATAAGAATTGCTTAACATTTACATTATTATAACTAGCTCTAAAGACCAGCCTTTAATTCATATAAAAATATTAATAATTTTCTTTTCATTAGAATTTGATTATATTTTAAAAAATCTAATTAGGTATACTGCTACTTCTTTATTTCCTCATAAAATTTATATTTTTAACTTGAATTTACTTTATTTTTAAGATAAACAGGATATTGAAATTTCAATTAATTTTAATAATTTTGCCCATACATAAGTATATTACTTGCTATTTAAAATTATTTTTAGATTTGATTCTTAAAAAACGAATACTAAAGTAATTAATTAAAATCCTAATTATTAAGTACATATTTATTAACTTAAAATTTTTAATAAATTGTTTTTGATTTTAATTAAGAATAATTTTATTTAACCTTAAAAAATAACATCTTAAAACTTTAAAATAAAACATTTTAAATATCTAATAAGTCAATTTCAAAAGTTTAGAGAATTCATGAACACTTTTTACTTTTTTATTTTAATAAAAATCGATTAAGAAAAAATTATCCTTCAAAAATAATAGAAAAAAATTTTATACTTTTATATTTTTTTAAAAATTATACTTTGCTTCATTTACTCAAATAATATATTTTTTAATTACTTAAATTATATAATTAAATTTATATCAATAATCTTTAAAATATAAGCAAAAAAGTAGTAAGGCAATTAACTTTGAATTACATTAAACTTATTTTCAAAGATATTAAAAAGTAAATTATGGAAAATTTATTTTTAAATTATAATTTATTTATTTATTTACAATCAAATAAAAATAGCTTTGTTAATTTTATAGATTTATTCTTTTATATCATTTGTTAATACAATAATTAATGAATAAATTTATATTTTATTCAATTTTTAAAAGATTATCTTTTTATTAACATTTTCTTTAGAAAATTAAATGCTTATTTTTAAGATACTACAATTCTTTTTAAATAATATTTTATTTTTTTATGTAGAGTATTATAATAAATTTACTTTAGATAAAAATGTTTTAAATATAATTAATATAAATAATATTTGAGTTATCTATCTATTCTTTTATCTTAATTTGTACTGTTTTATTTTTTAGTTTATATTTTCTTTGAACTATTTTACTATTTTCTTCTATTATATTTTTAAAAATAAATTTCATCTTTATTATTTAGCTTAGCTTATATTTATTTGCTTTATATTAACTAAAAATTGCTTTTATGAGTTTATAACTTACTAATTTAGAGTTTTATTTAATTTTTTATACAAAATATTTAATTCATTTATGGTGTTTATGAACAATTACCTTAACGCATAAACATATTTTAAATATACTCACTTCGTTTTATTTCAATCTTAAGCTTTAAATATAGCTCATTTTTTTGAAATGTTAAAAAATAGAAAAAATAGTTGTAAAAAACGTATAAAAAAGTAATTAATTTATTTATAGTAATGAATATAACAAAATAGAAAATTTTCTTAAAAATAGAAAATAACTTTTAATATGTTTTTAACAATAAATAATGATGAAATTGAATTATATTTTCAAAATAATGTTAAAATTTTTAGTCAAACTCAAAGAGAGTTTTAATATTATTTCTTTTTTAAAGTTTAAGGTTTGGTCCAGTAAGAAATTAGGCAGTTCGGGAAAAAAGAGCAAAATTTATTAATTCAGTACTTTCTTATTAAAAATACTTAAATTAGGTATTTATATACATTTTTAGGTAGATCATTTGTATTAATAAATTTTATCTTAATATATAAGCATATTTCCTTCTATTTTTCTTTTGAATAGGTAAATTTTTTATAATATTTCTAATATTTATTATATTACAAAACTAAGATAGAAAAAAATTAAGCAAAAAAAATCTACTCATTTATAAAAATATTATAGATATTTTCATAATTTTATTCTTTGCTAAGGTACTTTCATTATTTAATATAATCTTATTAATAAATGCGTTGAAAATTATAGGCATTTAATTTACTTCAGTTGAGCATTTTTACTCAAATCGCTTTATGTAATTTAAGGTGTTGTAAATACAATGATCAAATAAATATATTTGGCTATTATATAAATAGCTTTTGAATTTTTTTTTTTTATTAATCATAGCAAATGGATAAGATAAAAATCAATATTATAATGTTATTTATGAAATGTTCTAAAAAGTTAGACCCAATAAATCATAATAGGCCAAATTACAAATATTTTTTATTTTTACATAAACTTAATTGAATAAATTTATCAGTAAATTTATGTCTAGAACTTATTAATTTAATGAAGTTATTTTGCTGCTTCAAATTATTACAATCTCATCAATTATCTTTTAGAATTCAATTATTGAAAATAAAATGAAAGTACAAGCAAGAATAGATTTATATTTATTTAATTTAAAATCCTAAAATGAACATTTATCTTCAATTTTAGGAAATTTCATAATTTCCATCCAGCACATTGGTAAGTTTTAAATAAATAGTCAGTTGTTAAAAAGTACTTTTGTATATGTTTATGGTGTATAAAAATTAGCTTTCAGTAATATAAATGGAATAAAATTTATTGTTAAGATAATTTAACAATAGAAAACAAGCCATCATCATCATCAATCAATTAAACTCATAAGTATGCAATTTTATGTTAATGAATCAATTTTTATGACAAATGATACCGCCTAAAGATAGATAGATAACTTACTTGAGATATAATTAATATATTAATTACTATTCTAATCTTAGCTTTTTTGATAAAATCACATACTTTAATAAGCTAAGTATTTTTTTTATAAATTGTTTTGAATTACAGTTTACAATTCAAAACAATTTAAAACAAAAGTAAATAAACGGATTTTCTTTATATATTCTGATAGAGTTTGTTTATAAAAATACAAAAGTGTAATTAAATTTTACTGAAAAAATGAGAGAGTAATAATATAAATATACAAAGGAGATTGTTGTATAATGTATATATTATTTTTATTATTTGAACATGTTTGTAAAGAAAATTTCATGGATTTTACTTGATATGTTTCTAAATTTTTGACTACATTAAATCATTTTAACTCTTAATGCTTGAATTTACTATCCCGTATTTCGGACTATTTTTTCGTTTGCAGTTATGGACAAAAAACAAATACATTTAAATTTCTTCAATAATTTAAAATTTTGTGTACTGTATTGTTTTTCATTTTGTAGAAAAGAGTTGATTTAATATTAAGCTTGAATTTTTAATTTTTGCACAAGCTTGAAGAAAGGATGGGAAGTTATTTTAAAAAGAAATTATTGTTGCAATAATTAATTAATCGATGTCCAGTATTGTAACACATATCTATAACATAAAAAGGTAAATATCTTATAATCAAAAATTTGAAATAACTGAAAAGTATAAGTTTCATAAGAATTTAGCACTTTAACTCGTCATTTACTATTTATAAAATAGTAAAAGTATTTAGTAATAGCACAATATTTTAAATAAGTAGTCTTTCTTTGGACTGACTAGTTTTGTAAAAATATGTACAACAATGTAATACTAGTTTTGGAATTGAATTTTTTTTTATAATGTGATTTTTTTCTTCGATTTTTCTCCAATTTTTTATGTTGCATATTGATGGAAAAAATAAAACGCAATTTTTTTTTGAATTAAGCGTAATTGATCAATAGATTTTAAACAATAAAATTATTAAATCATGGGCAATAATGTAAAATTTCTATCATTTTTAAGATTATTTTTGGATCCTCAATTATTTGATTCCATTATTCATTTCTAAATTTTTCTCATGAAAGTTCTTTTTTTTATAGTTTGTTTAATTTGACAGACAGCTATTTAATTGTAGACAGTGCTTCAAGATTATTTTTATGGTGATTGAATTGAGTTAGTTTGATTATTTTTCTTAATAATATTACTAAAGAGTATATTAGTTTATTATAAAATTCATTAGCTTGAAAAGGAGTCAGCAAAAATAGTGTAGTAAAATACTATATTATAATTTGAATATTTTTTCGAAAATATATTGCATATGAAAATATGTATGTATGTAATCGTCATAGTTTAATTATAATGATGCGTGATATAAATAAAGATCAAAAAATAAAAATTATTTATTATATAATGCAAATAAATAGAATGAAAAATTAAAAATAGAACATGAAACGGATTAATTCTCTTTTAAACCTATTAAAAATAGTATTTATTTTATTTAAAGATTTTTAGAATAAATATTATATTTAAATTATATATTCTAGTGTTTGCTAAGTTTTTTAAAGGTTTTTTTAAAAAAGCTTTTAAACAGCAAATAAAATTTTCAGTAAAACTGCAACATCCTCAAAATAAATACTTCTATAAATTTGAATGAAAAAAAAAGTCATGACTTAAAAAAAAGACTAAATCCGATGAAAATTTTAACACAATTTACAACATAGAGTTGAATAAATATTGTTATTTATTTTGCATTTAAAATATTGGTTAAAATCTAGATTAGAAAAATGAATGAAATCAAATTTTGTTTATTAATGTAAAGAGCTGATTTCTGTTTTCTTCATACAAAAACGAAATTTTGTATCTAAGATTGTTTGCCTCGAATATTAATTATAATTATTTGGTATTATTGTATTCATTTGTTTTTAAATTAATTTATCGAATTATTCGGGGATCGATACTACGTATATATATGAAAATTATTCGGGTATTTTAAAATAAAAACAATATAGATTCATATATTCTATTGATAGACGTAAATTAGCTAAAAGTATACAATTTTCAAAAATCAAATTTAGGAAACGCAAATTAAAAAAAACAACAAACAATTGCTCATCTAGTGGATAAGTAAACAAACATTTTGTATCTGATATAATTAAATTACAATTAAGAGCAAATATATCGACTAATAACTGAATCGAGGGCTAGGACTATTTTAATTAACTAAAAAATGGACATACCCCTAAAATTGATTATGCTCTATTACTTTTATTAATATTAAAATCTCTCTATTTAAGGTAAATTACTTTGAACAAAAATAAATGTGACAATAGAATTTATTAGTTTAATATCAAAAAAATTGCGTCAATATATGTGGGAGATCGTTAAATTAATATTTCTTTTTATTATTAGGCAATTAATTTAATTAAGAGTGAAAGTCTTATGGAATTTAAAAAAGGCAAAAGAAAAATTTGATTCATCTTATAATTGTTTTATAAAAAAAAAAAAATCAAAGAAGCAAATTTGCTTTTAATAAATTGTTGCCACTTTATAGTTTTACTCACAAACACAGAAAAAAAAAATATTACAAAAAAAAATGTTCTTGAGAGCCGCTTAACACAAATCCTGGGAAAACACTCACACTGTCTAATAGTACTCCATCTACAACGACCCTAACATAGCTCATCGTGACTAAATGGAAGATGGTAATTCATTTTTCTTACCTTAACTTTAAAAACCTTTCAAAATGAGATTAATAAGTTGCACGTTACCTATTTTAATTCTAATTTTATGCCTTTATTTATCATGTATACAAATATACAAGATTTTTTGATTGAGCCCATTTATTTTATTTATTTTCTGCATAGTTTTAAGATTAAATCCACTCAAATAATCTAAAATAAATTAATAAAAATTTTAAGATTTTTTGGTTGGTAATAGATCTAATTTTCTTAAAATTCAATCATATCAGTGCAAATAAAAAAGAATTTTATTTATATAAATTCAAAACTCCTAGTATCTATCTCATAATTTAATTAATTTAATTATTTAAACTGTGTTCTAAATTTTCTTTATTTATTAATAGCCTACTTCTATGAAGAATCTGATAATGGTGAATGCGTCTTTGGTGTCCTCGATGGTCACAATGGCTAAACCGTCGTTGAATATGTAACTAAGTCTCTCCCAGCTCTCATCTTCGCTAACTTGAAGAAGATGGATTCAAAGGGTCTTGTTGAAGAAGCTTTAAAGTCTGCTTTCTTGGAAATGGATGAAAAAATTAGCAACGAAATGACCGCTAAGGCTTAAGAAACTGGTAGCACCTGCACTATTTGCCTTGTCCGTATTGAAAACGGTTAGAAGGTTATATACACTGCTAACATTGGTGATACCTGTGCTTTCCTTTACGAATAAAACACTGCTAACCCTGCCACTGAGTTAACTATTACCCACAGAGCTGCTAATAATGAAGAAAAGGAGCGTGTTAAGGCAACCGGAGCTTTCATCAGCATGGACAGAATCGATGGTAAACTCGAAGTCTTCCGTGCTTTTGGTGACCTCAAGTTAAAAAAGAAGGGAGTCATTGCTGAACCTTCTGTTTCACGTGTTGTCCTTAATACCTCTAACGAAAGTCCCGTCTACAATATTGTCCTCGCCTGCGATGGACTCTGGGATTTCGCTAAAATGAACGATATTGATGCAGTTGTCAAGAAAAACTTTAACCATGCTGGCAACGTTGCTATGGAATTAAGAAACCTTGCTAAATCTTCTCGCTCTAGAGACAATATAACTGTTATGACAGTCTAAATTGATGCCTCTATCTTAGAATCAAATATTTTGGGTTGAAATCTATGCTTCGATTGATAGCTTTAAACAAGTAGAGCTAATAAAACACTTTTATAATGAAAGCAATATCTATCTATCTATCATCGAGTATAATAACTTCAAAATTATACATATAATTAATTGTAAGTGCATTGTCCCTTCATTTATTTATAATGATAATAAAAAAAATATGATAATGGAATAATGCTCTCTAACTCTAATAAATAAATACTTCTATAAATAAAGATGTACTTAGAAATTCATTAAGTCTGCAAATACCAACAGCTTATTATATAAAATTATCTTAAAATTAAAAACAAACTCCTCTAAAAAATTCCTTCTCAACAATATCTTATTCTAAAATTATAAAACTAATATTTAAAAACCCCTATTTCAATAGTATTTTTATTTTCAATATCCTTTGCTATTATCATAAATAATTATTTGAATTCAATTAGTTCTTTTCACTTTTCCATTCATTTTATGTGATTTATTTTTTTTATATAAAAAGTAAAAGAGTAAATTTGATTGATTGATTGTCTTAGTTAGTTAGTTAGTGTAAAGATTTTGAGAAGATTTCAATTAAAGGATTAGTTAATTTGTTTGTTAAAATATGAATACTTTCCTTTTACAAGGCATATCTATATATTAAATATACTTTATACTATACTATTTTATAAATACTTTAATCTTTTAAACAATCTACAACAATATAATCAATATATATGCAAATTTATTATTTGTTCATTAATCAATCAATTCATGCCTTCATTTCATTTTGGTCATTGTGTCTTAATTTAGTTCCCTTTTTTTCATCAAAAACCTTCATTAATGTATTTTTCTATCAGGGACTATATTACAAGTTAATTCTTTTTTTATGTGCAATCTTAGCTAATTTAGCTTTGCTTAGCTGATCAGAAAATATATTGCTTTATCTATTACGAAAACTTTAATGAATCTCCAAAAATTTATTGTGAGAATTAGTATTTTAACTTTTTGTTTTACCACTCAAATTAAATGAATGATTAATTTTAAAGTGTCTCGTAATCTATGTTTAATTAATGTGAAATTTACCTAATTTATGGAGAAATTATTATATATTTTTTATAAAAGATTACATTCTCACAATTAGAAAATAAATTTAGATCATAATTTAAAAATAGCTTTTTTATATAGAAAAGTAATTACTCTTAATTTGCCAAAACAAATTTGATAATAGTGAATATTATGTTTCCAAATCTATTCCCAAAAGTGAAAAAAATTAATTTGGAGTAGTTTAAATTTAGATTCATAATACGGCATATTTTGTTTGATATTGTTTCAGCTAAATCTGTTTTTTAAATCTACCCAATCAAACTTTATTATTTTGTTTGAGATAATTTTCTCATTAAATATAAACTTTCTCTCATATGGTTTATTCGCTTAAATATATTATTTTAATCATAATTGCTTCCTTTACAGGTATAATTCTTTTGAGTTTCTTACATATAATAATTTTCAGAGTAAATTTCAAAAATGTTTAACTTATATTTTGATGGTTATCAGATAAATTAAGATATATTTAATTTGTAAGGCTTACAAATTTAAAATAATAATTTTTGGTGATAATAATTGGTAAAATTAAGCTGCTTGGTTGATAGTAACTTAACCCACCAAGCAATTTTTAATTGACTAGTAATTAAAATATTGATTATTAGTTTAGAATTTGAAATGTTAGTCATTAAAATTCGAAATATCAATTATTAGCATAGAAATTTGAACCTTCTATTAGAGTTTCTTATAAATTAATTTAACCTCTTTAAAATCACCAATAATTCAGAATATTAAAAAAATTTTTTTTTTTTTTAGTATTAAATATAATAAATAAAATTGATTTCATAAATTAGCTATTTTATTTTTTTATAAATATTTTAAGAAATTTTATTTAAGCTATTAAAAAAAATATTTATTTTATTTTTAAAAATTTATTCTATGTTATAAATAATTAATAATATTTTTACTAATAAATAAAAAATAATAAAACCATTTTACAGATAAAAAAGCCATTTTTAAAATTTAGAAAAAAAGTAAATTAATTAAAATTTTAAAAATTAATTTATTAATTTATGATAAAAAGCAAATTTGTTTAGTAGATTTTATTTATTTAAAATTATTAAATAATATTATAATTTATATTAAATATTAACTTATAAAAAATAATTTATTAATTCAAATTGTATCAAAAATTTAGAATTTATTGATTATTTTAAACTAATAGAAATGTTTGAATTGTTTTTGTTTATTAATTTTTTTGAAAAATTAAACATTTTTAATTTTCAATATTTTATTACTTAATTTTCAGAATTATATTTTCACTTAATTAATAGTAAAAAAATTAAAAAGTAAAGAAAAAATAACGAAGTATACTATATATTTAATATATTCAATTTATCAAAAGATTTATTAGTTCTTAACTAATTAAGAATACAATCAAGCTGTGAAGTCATAGCGATTCAATCAATTAGTCAAAAGGGATAGCCTATTCAAATATTTAGAGTGCAAGCGAACATTAAAATAATAAATTTTATTAGTTAAACCAAAATAGAACTTCAAAAATGGATAATAAATAGCCTTCTGAGCCTCTATCTCCGCTCAAAAAAAAATAGTAGAATTCAGAAAATCAAAAGAGACTAGATTTAATAGTAATAAATTAGCATTTTTAAATGAATTTTTTCAATTTATTTTAGATTTATTTTAAGAAATTAATATAAAATTGCTAATTATTGTAAAGACATTTTTATTTGCATTTAAATTAGAAAACTATGAATGGGTTTAGCGATAAGATTATGAATAATCCAGGAAAGGTTGAATCAGTTGAATTAGTATTAGAAGAATTAGATAGGATGAATTGCATTTCACATTTTAAAAATCTTAAAACCTTAACATTAATTAATGTGAACCTTTATTAAATTGAAGTAAAAAATATATCTTAAAATATAAAGCGAATTCAATTTCAGTAAGCTATTTACTATGATTCTAATTTTCTTTTTTCTATGTATTTAGGGATTAGAAGAATTGCAATTATTAGAAAATTTGTGGCTTGACGAGAACCATATTTCAAAAATAGATGGACTTTAGAATAATGTCAATTTGGTTAGACTTCATTTATCTAACAATAATATAAAATAGATATAAGGTTTAGATAATCTTGTAAATTTAGAGATATTATGGCTTTGTAATAATAGAATAGATGTAATTCATTATATCAATTAGATTCATTAAAATAAATTTGAAATTATTCAAAAAAATAAAATATTATCATATTTGCAATTTCAATTTTGGTTATAAATAAAATAAATCATCATAAATGTATATAATAAAACTAGTCTTTGCAAAATTTACAATCTCTAGAAAAGCTAAAACAGTTATGGATTGCAGGAAATCAAATTGAAGAAATCAGAATATCTTTAGATAAATTGCAAAATTTGAATGACTTGAATATATCAGGAAATAAAATATGTTCTTTCAAGGAAGCATTAAATTTAAATAGATTGCCTAATTTAAAAATTTTAAGCTTTTACGATCCTCATTTTGGAGAGAATCCAATATGTAATCTCTGTAACTATTAGGTATATTTATTATAAATACTTGCTTCATTATATATCTAATTAACTAAACTAAATTATTTTTTGATAATCTATTTAGACTTATGTTCTTTATCATCTAAGAAACATTACAAAGCTTGATACTTTGTTTATATCTGATGAAGCAAAGAGCTTTGCTGAAGCAACCTTCATGAAAAAAAAAATGTATTATAATATGCGTATTAAAACAATGTAGAGAAGCTTTTCTACTCTAGGAAAACTTATTCGTAAAGCAAGAAAAATTAAGCTTGACTCTCTTAATGAAGATATTGCAAATCTTTAATTAAAAATTAACTAAATGTAAAGTTTAAATTCTAAAGGGTCTGAATTTTAAGATTACAAAACAATGTATACAGATAAAATTGAAGAAATTACTCATGTCGAGGAAGTATACGAGTCAATGAAAAAAAAATTATACGAAAATTCTTCAATTTGTATTCATAAACTTATTACAGAGCTCGAAACTGGTGGAAATATCAGGTATTCCAATAACTTACTTTCTTTATGAGATTAACAAATTATTTAAATTATTTTTTAACATAAAGATTGGAAGAAGGTAAAAGTAATGAAAAGTGGTATATTAGTTGTGAGGATTTGATAAAATCAAGATTCCACAAGGAAGACATGATTGGGTATGGAATTTAGGATTTACAAATAAAAAGAGTTGTGAGAATTCATAATAGATTCCTCAGAAATAAGTTTGAAGAAAAAATGGAAAGTTTAGTTGATGTTAGCAACTCAAACTACAAAAAGAGTTTGGAGTACTTATTTTATGGAGTAGATCCAAATACTCCATAGGAGATATACCACGTTTTAGAAGAGGGCTTTCGTCCTTATAATGAATGCAAGCAATTAGGTTTATGTGGATACACACCACTTGTAAATAGTATACTAGGTGCCGATAGTGCTCGTCTAATGAGTTTCCTTAAGAATAAGCGTAATCACGAAAAATTCAAAAAAGCATTCATTAAACGTCGCTTTTAAGATAGTCTTACCATATATCCTCCTGGAATGCTATTGATTTGCAAAGTTTTAATGATTAAAAGTGTTTCTGATAATAAAACTCCATTTTTTGACCCAGATGTTGCTCCAAGCGATATTTTTAGAAATGCTCCTATTGATTCTAAACTTTTTTCTGAAGAAAATACTATCTATAGAGTAAAAGAAAACGACCCAAAGCATAAGTTATGGTTTGTGATCGATAACAATCTTGTATTGCCAGAGTATCTTGTAGAGTTCAATTATATTCTTGCAAATGAAAATTAAAATAAGATTTCTGATTTTGGAGATCAAATAGGTATCCTAGATAATCCTGAAGATGAATTTATTTCTCCTAAAAACATTCATATTTACAAAGGAGAATTAAATAATATATATAATACACTCTGTGAAGAGATAAATAATTACCAATTTGAAAATATAGAAGACTTAAAACATCCTAATTTGGAAATAAAAGCTTAAGATCTAGATAGAGCAGATATATCATTAATAAAGATAACTTTACTGAATTATTTTAAATATTGTCTTTCAAGATCTTTCTTATACGAACTTAACCCTAACTTATTATAGGAAGCAGTCGAATAAGAAATTACTTAGGATGTAAATTATTTTTTTATTTTATCATTGATTTATTTTTTTTCATATTATTTAAGATGGTTCTTGAACAATATCAAAAAAATCCTGAAGAAATTCTATTCGTTAACTTATCTAACATGAAAATAAGTGAAATATGCATTTTCCCACAACTGAAAAATCTTTAAACTCTCATCCTTTCATATAATAAAATACTTGAGATCAAAAACTTAGATTACTACCCTCATCTCTCAACTTTAGATTTAAATCATAATTAAATTACTTCATTGAGTGGACTTAGTAGCTTAGAAAAATTAGAAATATTTGATGTTTCTCATAACGATATTGCTGATATCAAAGAAATTACATAGCTTTAAAGCAACATCAATTTGGTAGATTTAAAGGTTATATTTAATCCATTTAGTGAGAAAAAAGATATTGTGAACGATATCGTTTAAATACTTCCTTAACTTGTTTACTTAGATAACAAATTAATTAAGTAATATAATTTCACTATTCAGCAATTTTTTCTTTAAAAAAAGAAGAATCCAATTAAGATTTTGAATTTTATAATAATTTATTTTCACGATATAAAAATCATTAAACTTAAATTTTTAGAAAATTAAAAATTCTTTTAATTAACAAAAATTTTCAAAGCTAAATTAAATTAAACCTTATTTGTATATGTTTATAGTAAGGAGAGTATATAAAGAAATAAAGAAAAGATTATAACAGAAATAAGTGATGATATGATAAAAGAATATGGAAAGATTATACAAAGCAGATCGTTATCTTAACTCGAACCAAACTGGAAAGAAACTATAGAAATAATAAACTTATCTCATTTGAAATTAAGAGGAATAAAAGGTTTAGATTAACTGGTTAATTTGAGATAAGCAAATTTTAGTCATAATCTCATTGAAAAAATAGAAGGTTTGAGTAACTGCAAGCTTTTAGAAGAATTAAGCTTCGAAAAAAATAAAATTACTAAAATTACTGGGTTAGAAAACTTAATTTATCTCAAAAAAATGGAGCTTGGAAAGAATAAAATCAATTAAATTTCAGGATTAGGTATTTTTTTATTTATTGAGCTTTAAAATTTATTTCATTTTTGTTAAATTTCATTAATAGAATCTAATATTTTATTTTATTTAACTAAAAATATTAGCTCATCTCTCAAATTTAATGCAACTATCGTTGGAAGACAATATGATAGAATCTTTAGAGGATTTCCCTGAATTAAAAAATTTGATGGAATTATATTTAGGTAATAACTCAATAACTGAGTCTAAAGAAATTACTAATCTTAAAGGATTGCAAAAGTTAATTATATTAGATTTATCTGGAAACCCTTTCTCCAGAGACCCCAATTATCGTATATACACTCTATTCATTATCAAAAAGCTTAAGGTAAACAAGCACTTTACACATTTATTTTATTAAGAAACAATTTTTTTATTAGGTCCTTGATGGTATATCAATAGAAGCTAGTGAGTAATAGCTTGCAAAAGATTTGTTTACTGGTAGGTTGACAGAAGAAATATTAATGTCTCGTTTGTATGGATAATCAGCTTAGGAAATAACTGAGTTAGATCTTTCCAACTGCAAATTAAGAGATTTTGATGAAGTATTTACTCATCATAGCTTCCCTAATTTAACAGAGCTTAATTTATCTGCAAACCTATTTTAATCAACTCGTATGCTTGGATATCTGCCTAATTTGAAAATACTTATTTTAAATTCTAATAAAATTGAGACTCTAGCCTCTGTAACAGATGCTAATGTAAAAAAAGCTCTGAATGGTTGTTAAGTAAATAATCAACAAATTTTAAATTAATGAAAATTTATTTTTAAAATTTATAGAATTTAGAAATCTTAGATATAAGTAATAACAACCTTAAAGAGTTTCATGGTTTGTAATTTTGTTTGCTCAGAGAGTTGAAGATATTAAAGGCATATAGAAATGAAATTTATAAAATAGATTGCCTTGAGCAATTAAAGTCACTTCGTGAATTAGATGTAAATCATAATAAAGTTCGTCAATTTGATCCGTAATTTTGATACATTTAATGCCTTTATTTAATAATTTTTATAAAATTAAAAATAAGAATGTCGTTTATAGGATCTAATCCGATCAAATGCTTGAAGATAGATGATAACGGTCTTAAAAATTTTAACAATATATAAAGACTTTATAAGTTGTAGCATCTTTTTGCTAATTCAAATAGAATCAATGATATTCCTGACATTGAAAAATTATCAGAATTGACATATTTAAAAGAACTTGAATTAAATGGTAATGCCTTTTCTAGAAGACCTGGATATAGAGCTGCTGTCTTAAAGAAACTACCTACTTTACTTTATCTAGATGGAAGAGTATTTTAATATTTTGTTTTAAATGTAAATAATTAAGTTTTTTTATTACATGTAATAAAAATTAGGAGGTAACAATAGAAGAAAGAGAGAGATTAGATGGAATCCCTTAGTAAATAGATAAAGGATAAAATCTACCAAATATTCATATGCCTTCTATGAATAATTAAAAAGGATTTGTAAGCTAAATTTTAATTTATTAAAAATGCTAAAAAAATATTTTCAATAAACAAACAGGTTTAAGTTAAATTGAATTCTATAAACTTTGATGGAGTATTTAGTAAAAAATTAAATCAAGCAAATTGGCCAAACTAGTAGTAATTTTGAATGATGAAAATAATCATCATTATCATAATTATGAACATAAAAAAATATTTTAAATAAATAGTTTTTTCTTTTTCTAATTAACAACTTTAAATCTTTCACAAAAATATTTAGGAATAAATAAATGTTTATTTAGTTAAAAATAAGATAATTAATTAATTAAATTAATAAAAAATCTCTCAAATAAATTCAAACAATTTTGTACAATTAAATTATTTAAATAAATTCTAGAGATATATGTTGTAAATGTAAGCCAACAAACAAAATGTAATTATTTATTTATTTTTCTATCAATATTTCAATTTGATATATAGCATAGCGTATATGCTCTTAATTTTATGTAGAATTAGTTTATTTTTGTTTTTTTGTAAAAATATTACACAAAGAAATGACATTAATTCTGATGTTGTATTATAAATTCTACAAGTGTAGTTTATTTTGTTGGTTGATTGGTTGCGTAATAATAATATAAGCTTTCCAATAAGGGATAAATATCAGTAAAATTTTCTAATCAGCAAATTGATCAAAAAGCTATTAAAATTTATTCACAATAATTTAGAAACATATCTTTCTTTTTGAAAAATAAAAGTAATTGAGAAATGTCATAATAAGAAAGTGGAGAAACGTAATCTCAAAAAATAACAAATACGCGTTTAATGAGAGGTAACTAAAAACTATTTAATAGCTATCTTAGTTTTATTAATTTTTATAAGAACGCAAAGAAATAGACACCGTTTTATAAGAGTATGATGTACAATGGAAAGAATCTTAAAAAGGAGTAGAAGTCTAGGTAATATTATGCTTAAAAAATAAATATTAACAAAAAATAAATAAAATCTAACAACAGTTTAGCTTCTAAATAAATTCTGAAAACAAGAAAGATAGCGTCGCTCATGCAGAAATAAAATTAGAATAAAGTTACCCATTTTCATAGCCTCTAATAAAGTTCAATCTTACTGTAATTGCAGCATTAATTTTGTTTTTGAAAAAAATTTAAAATTAATTTATGAAAAGCCTGGATAACTTGCTCTTTTTAACCATGACAGCTATAAAGAAATTGATTATTATACTAACAAAACTTATACACCTAAGATGACAGTCGCTGATATCATTAAATTGTAAAATTATTATCAATAAGACTTTTATTTAGATTAAATATATTTGAATAGGATTGCTGAATATGGAAAGAAAAATATATAAATAGGAGATAAGAGTAAAAAAGAAACAATTTTTAGTTTGGTCCATACTCTCTATTCAATTTTAGGATCAACTTCTACAATTATTTTTATAATTCTATTTGCATCTTTCATTAGAATTTTAGCAGGAATTGGACCATACTCAGGATACAAAGATGGTAACAACAAAGAATTTTTAATAAGACTTATTTATCTGAGAGAAATTTAATTTTAAGATCAATTAATTATGAATAAGCTCCCACATATGGTGACTATGAAGCTTAGAGACACTGGATGGAATTAACTCTTCATACTCCTCCAAGCTAATGGTATGTTGAAACATTAAACAATGATTTGACTTATTGGAGAATAGATTATCCTCCTCTCAGTGCATATGTCAGCTACATTTTTGGATATATCAGTCATTAATTTGACCCAAAATCTGTAGAATTATATCACAGTAGAGGTTATGAAGAACCCAACCATAAAGTATAAAAGAATACATTTTAAAATAAATTTAATATAATTATCTTAAATAATATTTTTTAGATCTACATGAGAATGACAGTCTTGATTAGTGACATATTATTTTTCTTCACAAGTTTATACTATGTTACTAAAATTGAATTCAATAAGTATAGCTTTACTCTTCGCTCTCTTTTTTACCTTCTAGCCTTGCTTTGCCCTCCATTCATTCTTATTGATCATGCTCACTTCCAATATAATAGCTTCATGCATGGGCTTGTATTGTGGTCTGTTTATTTCTGCTCCTAAGGAAGTGTAGTGATCGGAGGAATATTATTTACCCTTGCTCTTAATTTCAAACAGATGGGTTTGTATTATTCCTTAGGTTTCTTTTTTTATATTCTCGGATATCTAGCTGTAGATTCTGGTTTTAGAAGCATTAAAACAAACAAAGTAATTTTATTTTTTTAATGCAAAATAAGTTCTATTTTAATCATTTTTATATAAAAGTACAATTTTGGAGCTTCTTTATTTTTTATCTTACGAATTGCTTTAGTAGGATTTGGAGTTATTGCTACTTTTGTATTAATGATACTTCCATGGATAACTGATAAGTACTTGCTCACTTCTCTGGTCTCTGCTATATTCCCTGTTCATAGAGGGCTCTATTAATTAAAAGTAAATATTTAAATTTGAAAGGTTAATTCCTAATTTGATATTTAAAAATATTAATCTAAGGTAGCAAACTTTTGGTGTTTTTCTAATATTTTTATTAAATGGACTCAGATATTTGATCAAAAAGTGATAATTCTAATGTCAATAGCCTTCACATTGGTTGCTTGTCTCCCTAGCATTTATGTTGTATTTTTGAGACCAAAATATAAATATTTAAAATTAGCTCTTTTCAATATTTCTATGAGTTTCTTTTTCTTCTCATATCATGTACATGAAAAGACTATTTTGATTCCATTAGTCTTATATGTTTTGTGCATCAGATATATGAATATCTATTATTTAGATTTTGTAACAATTAGCTGCTTAACTCTTTATCCCTTGCTAAGAGAAGATAAATAAACTCTCTGCTGGTTTGTTTTAACAATAGGTAAATTACAAATTAACTAAGAAACTTATCAAACATTTATTTATTATTTATTTATTTAGTTCACCACTTTTTTGTTAGAAAAACTTTGAAGTACTTAGAAATATAAGGAGTTATAAAAAAGAACTTAACTGATTAGTGCACACTTATATCAGACAGCAAAGTTACTGATTAAACAACATAGAAAAAAATCTTGGAATAAGAAAAGGATATTCCTTTAATAGTTAAATTGATATCTTTGACTGATTTATTTTACAAATCTATTTTCCGTAAAGCAATCTATATTTTATCTATCATAGCAATTATAGCTGAAAAATATGTTAAGCCTCCTACCAATTACCCATATCTTTTTTCTCTGATCTATGCTGTATTAGGGTTTGGTCTATTTGCTTATGTCTTCATTTAAACTAATTTGTTAATGCTACACTCTTACTAGCGTAGTTAAAAAAAGAAATAAAAATTAGATTGATAGAAATTATCTCAATAAAAAATTAATATGGTATTAAATATTTTATGTTTAATTACTAAATAAAGCTATCATTATTGAAATAGTATTTAAGCTTTTATGTTTAAGGTATATGAAAATGTCTCTCTCTTTATATTTTTTTGTACGTAACTTTAAAATAGAATTTAATAGATTACCTAAATATATCTAGCTTTTATATAAGCGAAGTTTGAAGAGCTGATTTAAATATAAATCAAGAAATTTCGATTTGATAATTACATAACAATTTAATAGTAAAAAATAGGAGAATTTCCAAAGATATATCAAATATCAAAGCAAATAAACTTATTTAAGGGAATAATCTAAATGGACCAAAACTTTTTGACTCAATTTGAAAAGCAGGTTGAAAGTGATGTATAAAAGCTAGGGGGCCAGCTTTATGAATTAACCTAAAATTTTGTAGATATATGTAATTAAAAGCATCCATAACAAATAGATGATTATGTGTAATGTAGAAATTAGAGAGATGTTTTTTTGAGATAAGAATTGACTAATCTCTCTTTAAGAGTCAAGTATGTTAAATACAAAACCGAAGAATGCTGCGATATTAAAGGCTACAATGGAATTGTCGAATGCTCTGACTTATTTAAATAAAAACTTAATGAATAATATTTATTGACCTTCAAAAACCTTAATAACTATAACTGAATGTTCACCATAAATTAGAAATTAATTGCCTAAATTATATCAATAATGTTTATGACAGCTAAAATAATAACCAAAATAAATCTATTCATATAAATTTATTTTAAAAAGACTATCAAACAATTAAAAAATAATTGATTAATCATAGGTATTTCTTAGTTAGTTACGAATCACTTTTCTTTGAAGCAGAATATAAGTTTATTTAAAATTTGTAAAACCTAAACAAACAAACATATTAAATAATAATTAATTCCTTCACTCATATGCATATATTAAATTTAATTTTTAAATATAATATATTAATTAATTTTATGATAGCAGATATTTAATCAAAAAAGATATTTTAATTCAAAACTTAATTAATCTCATCTACTTATCTATCTTAATCATCTACCTACCAATTTTTTAACCTTAATTAAAATTTAATTTTTTAAACTAAAAAATATTCGAATCACTTAGCAGTTAATTATGGAATAGATTATTATGATTTTATTAATAATTAAATTAACCAAAAGAAAATTAATTAAACATTCTTAATCTTTTAGATTAGCCAATTTAATTCTAAATCAATTAATAAAAATGTGAAGGTAAGATTTTTATTCATTATAAAATGGAAATTTAAATAAAAATATTTTAAGTGAAGCTAGTATAAAATTAAAAAAATATATTAAATTTAAAAATAAGCAATTTCAAATAAAAATACATTAAAAAAATGTAAAATTTAGCACATTAATTCAATTAAAAATAGCTTTTAGTTATAAATTTCATTGATATTTTAGATTGAAATTTAAAAAATTATTTTAAATTTATCATTGAGAAAAATTTTGAAATAAATCTTTACTGCAAAAATTTTACAATAATCTAAATTAAGAAATCATTCAAGTAGTAAGTATTTTATTAAACTAATGGTTAATAATGATTTAGAAGTTTTAAATAGAAGTTCGTCATAAAGTGGAAAGAAAATAAATAAATAAAAAATATACAAAAACAAACTAATTGTTTAATTGGATAATATAATAAGTTAATAAAAAATAAATAAACATTATTAAAGTATCTTATTGATTAATTTATATTTAACTATATATAGAAAGGATATTTAAAAGACCAAAAAAATTTAATTTATTAAATATTAATGAGACATAGTAGTCTCTATAAAGTTTAAAACGAAGACTTAAATGATAAAACAAAAATTAAAAATCCTGTTGAAGAACAGAATTTGAATGAAGAAATAAATGCTAACACTCTGATGCTCTTTTATCATCCTCTTTTTTAAGAAACTACTAAAAAATTCTTAGCAGCCATTTATTAAAAGCAATCAAATGATATTTAGATAAAGTTTTTTTAATTTATAGAACTTAATCTTAGGATACAAAAGGCTTTAATAGAGACATTTTAAATTGAAAAAGCAATAGTTTCTGCACTAAATGATTGGAATAGAGAATTAACTTTATTAAATGTCTAATAACACTAACTTGATTAAAATGGCATGAAGCCATTCGATTTAAAATATCACTATGATAGCATAAACGAACTATAAATGGGCGCTTCTTTTTCTATTACTAATTTTGCTAAATTATTAGAGAATTTAAAAGAACATAAATCCTTTTTTTACAGTGAATATTCGATAAGCATTGAAGTATTCTAAAAATTTTTATTTGACATCAGCTGTAATTGGTGCTAATTTTATGATATTGAAATATTTTGCTTCTTTATAAATGCAATTTTCTTACAAATTACAAAAGGTTAAGATTTTAAATTTTGTCAAGTTAAATCCCTCAACTAAATTTCTTATCTCCCTCAGTTATTCTTTAAAGAATTCAACTAAGTTAAATATGTATACAGTAGGTATATTAAGAAAAACCTCAAAACTAATTTTAAGATGTGGTGTGAGTGGAATTTTTAGAGACTGAATGATATTTGTCAGAGTTTGGTTACTAAACTAGGGCGTATCTTTGCTCAAGATTAAAGGACTGAGGAGTATTCTGTTATGTTCAAAGATGCTTTAGATAATTTCAATAGAGAAATAATATAATCTGCTTCCAAAAATTAAGTAACAGAATCTATTGAAAATATGATTTAACAAACAAATATAGAAAACAATGAAGCATATGCAACATATATGAAAGGAGGAAAAGTAAGAATAAAATTTACTAAGTAATAAAGATCTATGAGCGAATCATAAAAAATAGAAGAGAATTAAATTGATGAAGATGAGAAAGGAAGTGCTGATAATTTAGAATAGCTTTACCATAGTAAATAATTTATGGAAGAAGGCTCTAAATAGCTGAATAATAGCAGCAGTCATTCTCCTGATTCTAAAAAATAATAAATTTCTAATGGATAAATCTGTTTAAACGAGATTGAGAATAAAATTATTTAAAAAAAACTCAAATAAATGAATAAACTTCTCGAAAGATAAAATAATGAAATAGATTAAGACTCTTCTTCTCTAAAAGCTGCTTACCGATAAGCAGAGAAATCTAATTCTAATGCCTTTAAATATTTTCAAAAGCTACTTCGATACAAAAAAGAGTAATAAAAAAAATTCATAAAAAACTAACCTTACGGTATAACTAGCAAGTCTGTTGTTTAATAACAGTAAGAATAGCAAATTAGCGAGGCAGAAAAAAATATTTCTTATAAATAAGATCAGCAGAATGAAATTAAAAACAAGTAAATTATAGAAGATTTTTATATGTGCAACTAAGGAAAATTTAATGCTAATCAAAAATTTTAATTATAAGATGAGTTGCTTTAATAATAAGGAGAGTTTGAGAGTAATTTAAAGAAATAAAGCTAATCAAACTTTTATGAGGATAATTTTTCTTTTTATGAAGGAAAATAAAGATTTTTGCACAGTTAACTGAAAAAGAAAAGCGAATAAAAAGTACTTTAATCATAAAATTAAAACTCTAATCAAAGCTAAAATTTATAAATTACAAACCACAATAAGTAATAAAGCTAAAATACTTCAAGGAGTGTGGTTTATTCTAGTTAAACCCCTCCTATAAAAAACTAATCTTCCAGAGAATTCTCAGCAGAAAAATAAAATAAATAAAATTTAAATCTTGATCATAACATTTAAACTCCTCATGTTTTAGATTTGCATCAAATTGCACTTTCAAAAGCTCATCAGATATCTCCTTCTAGATAAAATGAAAGTGTCTATGACAAGAATTCTTCAGTAACTCCATATAGAATGATTGGGTACAATACTTCTTAAATTTAGTAATAAAAGAATAGCTAAAATAATAAGTTACAATCAATAAATATAAATTCTAATAAAGTTAATGAGAGTTAACTGAACTCATCAAAAGTTTCATAGTATAGTAATAATTAGAATCCATCAAATTTTTATGCAAATATTAACAATACTGAGACTCCAAAATAAAATAATGAATCAATTTTAAATTACGAAGCTGATAAAAAATAGTTAACAGAGAGTAAATTATACACAACGAATTCAGAATTAGACTATTCATATATCCAACAACCTAGAAACAACGGTAGAATCAATTCTGAGTAAGATTATATATTTAGAAATACAAGTCTCGACTAAAAGCAGCCTTACAATTTATTTAATAAGAGTTTGTTTAACTCCTCTAAAAATAAAAAGAAAATCAGTTTAGGAGATATAATTAATCTAAATTACCTATATAAGCCTAATTTGACTTTTAGCGGAACTCAAACAAACAAAAACAAATAAAATGATCATCATGATTTATAAATAGATATCAAATCTTTAAAACCTGAAAACAAATTTAATCAAAATACATTATTAACAGAAAGAAAGGGTTAAGGCTAAAAGATAAGATCTTAGACAGTTGGTTTAGGTGAGATTCTACCCTAAACAGTTCCAACTAATTATAATAACGATTCAAAGGAAAGATAATCTGAAGAAAAGCTAAATAACAGTAAAGTATACTTGAAACCTATATAAGCATAATTTACATAGAAATACAGAAAATTAGTTAGCTAAAGTAGATATCTTTGGTAAAAATTTTTAGTAGAAGACGATTTATACAAAATAAATGATTACAACAAGTTAAACAGCTTTTTGGATGAACTAAAAAATACAAAAAATATTGATAACATTAAATAAATTATTTTAAAATATACATAAAACACTAAATAACCTATAAAAATTGAAACATCTTTGTATTAGTTTAAGATACCATATAATAGAAAAGCTGAGTTGCCTTTAATGTAGGGCAAAAATATGAAATTAACAAACAAAATATGATTTATATTTTTACTATCATAAATTAAGAGTAGATAAATAAATGTAAAAAAAAAACTGCCTTATATATCTTAAAATATTAACATAATTCCTACATATATATAGTTTTAAAATATCAAATATCTTTATGAGTTGCGTTTAATCAATATTGTGTTTATTTTCTTTTTTTACCTATAAGTATTTTATTAATTTATATATTTTACTACTTCTTTTGAGAAATTAAAAGTTCAACTAATTAATAAATTATTTAATTTATCATATATTTAAAATTGTATAGATTGTGATTGTTTATTGAAAAATTAGGGCAGTTAGTGATTTCTATTAACTTCTGCATTGCCTTTAAATACAAAAATATATTTTAACTCTATTTTGATAATTAGAAATTTTTATGTGAGCTTATAGTAAGGTCATTCATTACATTTTTATTTCTACAAATGTATTCTACTTAATTTAAAAATGTCAAATTGCTTTCATTATAGATTCATAGCATAGACATGCATTTATTATGCCATTTATAAAAATTATTATTTCTCATAAACTATTAAACTGCTGTCTTTTTAGATATTGTATTATGATAGCAAATTCATAAACCACACTGGTAAGCTGTTTCTCTTAATAGTTGATTTTCTTGAAAAAATTTTTTTCTCTAGGCATAACTTTGCAAAATCTTTTATTTTGACCTTTAAATCCTAATCTAAGTATGGATTGATTTCAATTTCTTCCCATAAATCATATGAGTACTAAAACAGCTTATCACTATTTATAAAATGTATTAGACTAACTAAGCAATGAAGAGTGTTTAAGATTTTTCTGCATTCAACATCTTGTTAATTAATTCTTCTAGTAATAAATGTTTCTAAATCAGAATAGAAAGCCTTTTTAGGTGTTTCAAGAGTATGATAAACAAATTAGTCAAACATTTACTTTTCAAAAAGATTTATATATTAAACCTTACTAGTAAATACAGTATTTAGCTTTTCATATCCCTAGCATAATCTTTACTCAATATAATATCTAAACTCAATAAATGAAAAATCTACTTCTATTTCTTTTCCCTAAACATTAATTAAAAATTTTTCACTCAAGTACGATTCTGGTAAGTCTGCTACCCCTAAGTATTGTGCTTAAGAATAAGTGTAAAAGCCCTTGATATCACAATCAGATTATGATGTGTGAAATCCTTAACCTCTACTTCCAGTTTCTGATGCAAATACTACCTTAAGCTATTTTTGATTTTCAAATTTATTCAGTAACTCAATTACTGCTCTATGTAGGTCTCGATCAAATAATTATTATTACTCTTAATTATCTTGGACACTTTGATTATTCTCTGACATTTTTAAATATTTTAACTTAGTAGTATCTATATTTTTATTTTTTATGATTCAATTTTGCTATCAAAAAAAAATTAAAAAAAATATCAAAATTTTTGATATGAGACTCTCTATCATATAAAAGCCTCTAGTTAGTTTCAACATAATCTATAAATTAAATACAATAGTCTAATTAATCTAAATTAGCCACTTTACAATATTATTTTTTTATATAAAATATATTTGAATATTTATCAAAATTTATTTTTTGAAATAGTTTTTAAAAACAAATAAGAATAATTTTACAATCTTATTATTTAATTATTTTTGTAAATAATTTTCAGCTAATTACATTTGATTAATTTATTTTAAGACTTATTATTTTCAAAAAATTATTTTGGAATTATTGATAAAATGGATTTAAAAGTACTTGTAAACAGTTGCAATTTTAAGGTTATGGGTAATTTTGAAAGTCCTTTACTATTAAAATATATTTTATTAGCTTTAGTTAAAGTTTCCTAATTAAACAATTTAAAATTATAGGCAATTATTTCATAGTTGCTCAATTAGATGAATTAACATTTCCAGAGCAAAACAAAAAAGTTCAAAAAGCAAGAACAGAAATATAACTGAGAACATAAACTCCTACATTTTAAAAAAATATGCTAACATTTAAAGATCTTTCTTTTGGTACAAATAATTTGTTTTGATCTTGTTTGTAATTGTTTTTGCATATTAAAATAATTTAATAAAATGTAGGCAGTAGATTAACTCTTAAATTAGGAGTATTTTTAACTAGATTACAATCAGACCCTGGTGATAATGAGACTTTAATTGTATGATTTTATAAAATAAATTTTTTAAAAAGATTTTAATGCTAAAATAAGGCTAACTCTAAAGTTTTAGGATCAAATGCATTCACATTTACTACAAGAATGCTTTCAGTATTAAGAGAATAAAAAAATTTAGAGCAAGATATTAAAGTATGAAGTATCTATATTAATTTTGCAATAAATGAATTTTTTATTAAATAAAATAAAGATTCTAGCAGTTGATGGCAAAGATGAAGAAGTTGGAAGAATTTAAATGTCAATTAAATATAAATCAACAACTTTTGAAGATAAAATTGAAGATGATATTCATCTTGTAGAACAACTTTATTATGACCCATTTGAAACCAACTTAGAAAAAATTAAAGAAGTAATCAAATCTATTCTATAAAATTGAAGATTTATCAGTCAATTATTTTATTTTGTTATTTTAGAATTGTGCAAAAATAGAAAAAATTCTTGCAATCAAATAAGAAGAAGCTGAAAAAGTTTAACAAAAAGTAAATTATATGAGGAATGCTCACAAAAGCGTTTCATATGATCTAGGAAAGTTGAGAGAAGAAAGAGATAAATTAGAAGTAAGTAAACTTACTTACACAAAAAAAATGATGAGTTTTTCCATAATTATTAAAATTTAGAAAGACAATAACAATTTGAGGGATACTATTAAAAAAAAGAATGATGTAAATGAAATTCATATTCATGTAGATGTTCTTAAAAATACAGATTAAGGTTTAGATGTGCTCAGATAAAAATTAGGTATTCTATTTTGTCAATTTGTATTAACAAATTAATTCTTTTTGATATTATTAAAAGCACTTCTAATGAATAAATTGTAATTCGAACAAAGTGTATACAAAGAATTGACTGAAAACTATTTTTCAATAGAATAATAGCTAAAAGTAGCAAAAAGTAACTTATTTATGCTTCATAACTTAAATAAAAATTATTTCTGTGATAAAAAGATGTGAAAACAGATATAGAAACTGTTAAACTTGCTATTGAGTAATAAGATTTTCATATATAAAGAGCTAAAGATTAATTACCATTAGTATAAGACTTAGTTTAAACAATAAAATCCCAAGAAAGTATTATTAATAATTTAAGGGAAATAATTTAAGTAATTTGCTATTATCAATAATCTGAAACTTGAAGTAAACTTTTAAATATTTTTTGAAGGATAAAATGAAAGAAAATGATAAGATGACTTCTAAGGAATTAGAGTTAAAAGTAAAATATTTGAAACACGAAAGAGAAATTTTATAAGAGAAGGAGAAATAAATTGATGCAATATATCATTTATCAGAAGGTGGTTAAATTCCATTTTAACACTTTGAAAAGCTCAAGAAAGATGAATATATTAGAGAGAATCCTTTAGAAATTAAAAAATACAGAGAGAGATGTGAAGTATTACTTTAGCAGATTGAAAAGAATACACTAGAGTATTAATTAGTTTTGCAAATTATTAATTTTAATTTTCTATTTTTTATTTAATAAAAGATTAGATAAATTAAATATGAAAGAGGACATACTTTAACGTTAGAACTAGCTTTTTTATAAAGATGATTAAACACAAAGAAATAGAGAACTTTTACTTTTAGAAATAGAGTCTAAGTAGAATCAGGCTAATATACTATAAGAGGAGGTATTATTTAAATATATTTTTAGTTTTAATTTACTATTAATTTTATAAAATTAGATTGTAAGAATGACAAGAACATATGCCTAAGAAGTAGCAGAGTTAAAAGCTAAAATAACTCTATTAGATAACTTAATAAGATCAAGTGGTATTGATATGAGAGATAATTATTACTGAAACCTCTTTAAATTATTATAAACCTTAACCATATTACTAAACAAATAAATTTTTATTGAGATTTGATTTAATCTATAAATTGAGAAAAAGTTTTATTTTTTTTTTATAGAAGTAAACTTAAAGTTGCTGTTATTTTTGTTAGTTAAATTAATAATATTTATACTTGTTTAACAAATAACGAACTAATGTTTTTAAAATGAATAAAGAAATTTTTATCATAGCTCTATATTTAGTAAATATAATATGTAATTTAATTTTTTAACAAAAATATTTATTTAATTTATAAGTTGTGTATTTTAAATAAAATAATTAAAGTAATATATGTAATTTTATAATTTTAAATTAATATATTAGAGAAATGTTTCTAAATTATGACAGCATTTGATGTTTGAGTTATATAAAATAAGCTTAGATTTGCTTTAATATATATTTATTTAACCAAAGATAAAAAAATATAAATTAATAAAAATGTGAAATATTTTTAAATTATATAAGCTACATCATTTTAATTTGAGATCAAAAATTAATTAATTATTTTATCATTATTTTATTTAAAATGTAACTTTTAGCAAAGTAATCAGAATAAAATTATAAATAAATTGCTGACATTTGTGTATAATATTTAAACATTATTTATTAAGTAATAATAAAAATATACATATATAGTTTTAATAAATATTATAATTAGTATAAAATAAACTTGATTATAAAAAGATAACAATTCTTTCTTTCTTTTTGGTTATTTCAAAAGTTTTGCTTAAAATTTCAAATTATTTATTTAGTTGGCTTTTTATATAAATTATGAATTGGTGGTTATGTGAGGGAAGGAGTAATTAAATGGTAATTTGTTATTAATTTTTTTTCAGTAAATATTTTTTAGCGGTTAGTTCATTAAAGTATTTTTTTGTAGGTTTCAATCAATTTTTACTAACTTTTTGATGTTTGCTTTAAAATTATGTTTGTTTGTTTGTTTGTCATTTTCTAAATTAAAACAGAATATATTTCATTTTATTTCTTGAATTTCTTGATGTTGATTATTTGGTAAATCTAGATTTAATTTTTCTAAATGTTGCTTTTTATCCTATTCATCTAAATCTAAACTACGGTCAATTTCTTGACTTTCATTTTATTCAGATACTTTGATGTCACTCTCTTTCTAGTTTTTATTTTATTAGCTATTAAGTTTTGACAGCTTCAATATGGAATCTAATTCTTTCTCAACTTCAACGATAGTGTCACTCTGTTGTTTTTCTAAATGCTGTAATATTCCTATTTTGAAATCTTTTGGTACCAGCTTCATCTTTTTTCTAATATTAGGAGATTCGGTATCCTCTTCTTCCTCTTAGACTTTATTAAGCTAAATTTCTATTTTTTTAAGAATTTTATATAAATATATGTTTTGTTTTTTTTAAATTATTCTTACATTTTTTTTAGTCACTACTGCTCACCATTTCAGGATTCATAGGTTGCATGTAGGGACTTGAACCTAATTCTATAGATAATTTTGCTGATTCCATTATATTAGATTTGCCATCAGACTATTAGTTATTTCCTTTTGCAACACTATTAGTCATGTTACTTTAGAACATATTATAAATATTATGATGGAAAGATGTGCTTATCTACTCTTAGCTCAAAGCATTATTAAAAGAATTAATTGCAGCTTCATTGTTTTAAGTTTACCCAGACCCTAAACTTGGAATATTCAAAAGATTATTTTTCAGCTGTTACTATATTTGTGATGTGCAAGCTCTTTTTCTTAAACTTCCAGCTTATTTGTTGTTATTATTATTTAAACCAGGGCTCTGTTATTCAGTTTGCTAAACGTTTACAACGATTTCATCTTATTCTAATTTTGGTGCAGAAATGTTCCATGAACCAGCTTTTTTACGGATCTATTAAGTTTCATCTTCATCTATATCATAAAAGAATTCATGGTTTAAGGCCTATTAAGCAGATAAACGTTTAATTGGATCTTTCTCAAGTAGTCCTTTCATAAAATTCATAGTTCTTTCTGAAGTATTTTCATAGAGTTTTGAATTAAAATCGATTTTGCATTCTTTATTTTTTAGCAATACATCATTAAATTTCTTTCCATAAAATACAGAAGAGTGATAAAGCCTTTTGGTAATAAAAATTAAGTAAGTAAAATTTATTTTTAATTTTTGTTCATTCATTATAAAAATCTATTTATTTATTTATCTTCCAAAATATTATTAACACACATTTTTTTGAAATTAATAAGAAAATAAAAAGTTTGCTTACAATGTATGCAGAATAACACCAACACTGAACATGTCACATTTGGTAGTGTAACGATTTTAGAGTTCTTCTTTATAATTAGCAACTTCAGGTGCCACATAACCAGGAGTACCACATTTGCTAAAAAGATATTATGGTTCATTTTCAAATTCAGCTAAACCAAAATCTACAATTACCAGCTCATCTAAGTTTTCTTTTCTTTTAAACATAATATTCTCAGGTTTTAAATCTCTATGCATGACTCCATATTTTTAAAAATGCAAGACTCCACTAATAATCTACTGAATGAAACTTTTTATTTTTTAAATAGGAAACTTTTCATCTTTTCTTTTCTTGATTTCATTATATAAAGAATTTCCTTCTATCAGACCCATAGCAACATAATATGTATTTTCGCCCTCATAAGATCCAATGAATTCTAGTAAGTTAGGATGACTGCCAACAGTTTACATAATTTTTATTTCCTTTTCTAGTGATTTCTGTTTATTTAAATAATAAAAAAACGTAAACAATAATGAAATTTTACTCACTAAAAGAATTTTATAAATAATTTTTCTCGAATCAAAAGAGTAAAAAAACTCAAAAATTTATAGTCACAAAAAATCTAAGTAATATTAAAGTGGAAAAATGTGAAATCTATCTATTTTGATTGATTTAAAATAAATATGAGTTGAGGCAAAAAAAATTATATAGAAATTTTTGATAGCTTTTATTTTATTAACTTTACTAATTAACTAACTAACTAACTAACTCCTTTTAATTTTTTGTCTAATAAAATCTTAATATTTGCTAATTCTTTTCTTCAATTTTTTAAAAAAAGGAAGAGTTTTTAGCAGTCGATTTATAATATTTTTTTATTTGGTTGAACAATTTTTAAACATAAAAAAAAGCCTATCGTAATAATTAAATAAAATAAAATAAAATTACATATCCATTTTCTGTTTTTCTTAATTTTTCTTTTTCAAAACATTTTAGAGCAATCTTAGAACCTGTCTAGCGATGTCTTGCTGAAAAAACCTTTTAATTAAAATTGATAAGTATTAGATGATAAATATATAAGATATTAAAATTACTCTTGCATAATTTCCTTTTCCTATTTAAGCTTATATTATATACTCATCTTGTATCCTAGTTTAAAATATGTATCTACGAAGGTAATCTTTAACCTGTTCAAGGATGATTGAGTCTCCTATAAATTCAAAATCTTCTATCTTTTCAAAAGTTTTATCTTCTTTTTCTTTTCTAATAGTCAAAATCATTCCTGTGTAGGTTAGCTAAGTATCAGATTTCTAAACTACCCACTTCACTATGTCATAAAAACCTAACTATATAATTCTTTTAGGTTTCTTTGCATATGCTTCCTTTATATTTTTTGCAAAAATTAATAAGAATATAGGAATTACTTAAAAAGTTATTTTATTTGTAAATTAAGTGGTATGAGTGATATTTTTAATGAAATAAAGTTCAAATAATATTTACGTTTGATAAAATAATTTAATTTTGGTGGAAATACATGTTCACTTTCTTTTTAGTCATTAATCCTTTGATATATAACTAACAGTGCATTTGGCAACCAGAATAGTCAAAACTATAATTCTTATTGCTAGTATCAGATATACTTTTAGAAGACCTAGTTTCTATACTATCAGTTAAACTGCTCTACATTTGCTAACTTTGCATAGAGTTTGGACTTTATATAACATCTTTATTCATCTTTAGACAAGGGATGTACTTATTATGTATTTACAAATTATTTATTAGATTTATATAATGGATTTATGTATCTATTCTCTTTTGTTTTAAATCAATTATATTTATGCGAAGTTAACAATACTAATATTATTAATTAATTAATTATTTATAGTTATAGATCATTACTAAAAAAACAAAAATCAGTGCTACTATCTATTACATCGTAAAAAAAAATTTAGGTAAAAAATAGAACTAAATTTTTCAACCTTTTTAAATGGGATTATTGAAATTTAATAATATGTATTAATTTTAGAAACACATACAAATCCTATTTGGTATTTTTTTATTCATAAATTTTTGATATCCTACTTGATTTCATAGCTTCTTTTGGTATATAGTTAATTCAATCTATAAAGCAGGTAATATTCCTCATTAGATCTTAAACTGAATTACAATCAAATCTAAATATAAAATTAAAAAAAAAGAGAGAAGAAAATACATCTAATTATTACTAAAAAGAAATACAAAAAATTAGCTCATTCTTCATTATTATCATAATTAATAACGAATCTACAAATAAAGTTAAATACTTTCTAAATTAATTTAAATACCAACTAAATTTGTAAGATAGAAAACAAATAATTTCATAGACTATTTCAATTATTACAAAAAATGTTATTATAATAATACAACAATAAATTTAAGAAGAAAAAAGTATTTAAGGTTAAAAAATTTAAGCAAAATGTAAAACAAATCTTTTTATAAATTTAATTATAAGGTATTTTTAGTTCTAAAAATTGTTTACTTTATATCGTAATAGAGCAATTAATATTACAAATCTGAATTATAGTTATCGTATATTCTCTAAAAGAAAGTAAGTGAATTTAAAAATTATTATATATTTTTTATAAACTTTTGAAATTTATAAACAAACCCTAAAATAATTTTTTTTTTTAATTTTACTTTATTAAAAATTACCATATATTAAATATTTGAATAGGAAATTTAACAAAACAAATCTTTTTATAAACTTAATTGCAGGATATTTTTATCTAAAAAATGCTAATTTGATATCTTAATAGCACAATTACAGAATTAATATTTTAGTTTTAATAAAAAAGTCATCTATATTTTGTTAATAAAAACTCAGGTATAACGCAAAAAAATCTTTTATGAATTTAATTGCAAAGTATTTTAAAAGTTTAAAAAATATTATTTTGATATTTTAATTTTACAATTAATATTTGAAATTAGAAACTCTATTTTAATTATAATAATAAAATACCACCTAATTTGCAATAATAAGTATTTTAAGTGTATAATAGTAATATGCAGGAATATTTATTTATCTCAATAATATTTAGGATAAATTATTTATCATGGGTTCTATCTATTTCAACATTATGCAAATTTATAAAAATATAATTATGTATTGCTTTTTCGTTATTTAAATTAGTATATTACATTATTATATAGACTGATGGATGGCGTAATTTAATTAATATTGGTAAAGATTGAATACAACTCAAAAATCTTAAGTTTTTTTAAGATAATTAAGATTCTATCCAATTCACTAATAGATTAAATAAGAGCTATGAGCAAAGAATTAGTAAATTAGCATCCCTCTAGTACATAAGGGCAAAACCAAATTAAAGCTTCATTAAGTAATAACTTTTTGAAATAGAGAGCTTAAGCAAGCGGATAAAAAGACTTTAACCTAGATATGATGAAGTTGATGTAATATGATAAGTAGTAATCTTATTTAAATAAGCTGGAATCCTTAGCAACAATCCATTCTTAAGATAAGCATTAAGGAAGTAAGAAAAATACTTAGACAATTGCACAAAGTTAACAGAGTTAAGTAAATGAAACTTAAAGCAATATAGACAGAAATCTCTATCTAAAAGCCTAGCAAAAAATTTTTTCATAAAATCTCCGTATCCCTTCTAAAATAATTAGTTTTAATGATGCTAAAGAGTCTAATACAAATTAGTAAGATAATTCAAAGGAATAACCTTCTGAGAATTAAAAGAATATAAAGATAATAAATATAGAAAGTATGAATTCAGAGATTGAAACGTAAAAGCTAAATGCAAATACAGATTCTCATATTAAATCAGTTGACTCCCCTTTTAACAAAACTAAACAAAATCAAGTTCAAATAAGAAATGCTAATAACCAAAAGTACTTCCCTCAATCTCTTGTTAATTCTAAATTTAGAGATAGCCAGTTTTAGTGCGAAATAAAGGATTAAACTTCGAAAATTCAAATATTTAAGGAAGAAAAGTTAGAAGATAAATCCAATCAAAAGTTAGATCCACTTAGTAGAGTGAGACTGCTGAAGAACTTGAGCCCTTAAAGTTCTGCACCTTAGACATTTAGCTTGTCATAATCTTCTTTGATTGAAAAAAATAATTAGTAAAACGGAAAAAAAATGTAAATGAAAGACTTAAAATTTGAGAGTATTTTCATCGATAACACAGGATCTCATCTCTCAAACTCAAATTAAAACCTCATAGTATAGTCTAAGCAACAATTAAATGCTGGATAAAAGAATTTTTTAAATTCTTAAAGGAATTTTTTGAGTGTAATTTAAAACGATACAAATAAATCTTCTAGATCACAATCTTAAAGTTAATAAAATAACTTAAACAAAAGAAGATACTCTGCAAATGTGAATTAATAAATCTAAACTCCTTAATACAATCAAGAAGAAAAGAAATGTTTTACATCTTTTCTAACAGACTATTTGTTAAATATAAAGGATGTTTCATCACCAAGCAACGGTTTACTATCACCAATAGATAAGATAGCTAACTAAAATCCTAGCTTAATAAAGAGAGCTTAAATTATGAGTAATTATAATAAATAAAATGCTGATAGCTAGCTATTTTTTTCTTCAAAAAATAATAATAAAGTTCCCTATAGCACTTTTTCACAAACTTAACCAATCCTACCTACTTAATTATAAGACAATAAGCAACCTGGATAAATTTCTATTTAAGCTTTGATTCCCTCAGTACCATCTAAACTAATTTAGCCTCAAATCTCACTTAACACTAACATCAATAACAACAATAATAATAGTTAAAATAAAAATATAAGTTAAAGCTAAAGTGAGTACTAAATTTTTAGCATTTAAGATTTTGACTCTAGTAAATCTAAATCTAACATTTTTTATCACTAAAAAAACCTCCCTTCTTCACTACAAGAACTACAAATGATTAAAAGCGAAGAGGATTTAAAAACTTAAGAATTAAATGCTAATGTTAATTTCAAGAACTCAAATAAAATAGCAATAAATGTTCAATCTCCTAAACAAATTTAAGATGCAATAAATAATTTCTAATTATCTAACAAAATAAAGGCATAAAGCTTTGGACACAACCACACTTTTTTGAATCACATTTCAAATTTAGATGAATATTAACAAAAAAATCTTAAAATTATAAAAAATGGCATTAGTAATGTGTTTTAAAAGAATAGGGATTATGAAGATTCTCCTTAACTTAAGTTAGATAACAAAGAAATCTAATTTTCAAAATCTGATAAAATAGTTTAAAAAAATTATGACTCAAAATAATTTGCTCCTATTGGATAGGTTATAAGTGATTAGAAGTTAAGTGCTAAAGATTAAGGATTTTACAGCCTATCAACAAGAAGAACACATTAATAACCATAAGCTTAAAATTCTCCCAGCTCTCAATATCTATTAACAAATAGATAATCTTTCTCTTAATCACAAATTCAGCCTAAAAAGAAATTTTTATCTTTTTAATCATAAAGGGAATTGCCTACATCAGATACATCATACAACCATATAGACATAGCCCCTTTTTCTAATTAAAACAAAGAAAATACTCATCTTTAAAATTTAATGTATAAAGTAGAATAAGCACCTTAAATATCTTAAAATGTTCAACCAAAATATAGATTATTAAAATAGAATATTTCATTAGAGTAATCTTTTGATAATGAAGATGAAGATTTTTATAATTACACTTAAAATATTAAAATACAAATTTAAAACTCTCCTTAAAATATAAATTTAAACATAGACTTTTTATGAAACAACAATAAAAATGAAGCTATGTAAAACACAATAAGAGATGCTCGAGGATCAACTTAATTACTAATTAATAATTGTTGACCATTTTTTAGAACAATTCCTAAAATAAACAAATTATATTATATATCCAAAATTTTATACAAAGAAAATTACCTTATCAAATTTAATTTTTTACAAAATAAATCAAAAATATTCAAGAATCAATAAAATCAATTTAAAATGTTAAACTAATCGTTTTATCAAAATAAATTACTATTGATTAATCAAATATTTTATAAGAAAAATAGTTTATAAATTATAAGTTATGTTAATAAATCAAAAATTTTTAAAGTTTTTATAAATTATAATGAATGCATATTTAACAAATCTCATTTTTATATTTAGTTTTAACACATATTATCAATTTTACTTTAATTTACTTCATAATTTGCTAAATGGTATTTTAGATATCAAAGGTTCTATAATTTTTCTTGTGTAAGTATGAGTTGTATCATAAAATGAATGGTGATAATTTTTATAATTGTTAAAATTTTTGCTATAGTCTACTTCAGTTACTTTTAAACTTGTGCATAGGTGTTATTTGACCTAATTTAAATCATCTAGCCTATTTTTTTGGGACAAAGAAATGAATTTTCTTTCAAAGTGCTCTTTGGTTGGATAAGCAAATAGTAAGATTAATAAATCTAAATTTTTATTCTTAAAAAATATTTCAATTTCCTATTCTAATTTTTCAGTAGAGTAAGTTTCAAATACTGCTTCTGGGGAAATCATAAAGACACTGTAGCCAACATTTGTATTATTTTGATAATTAAATTGCTTGTAATCTTTGGTAAGAAGCTTTGGAATACCTAAATTAGAATTCTTTTTAACATCAAATTTAAGTGCTTCTATTTTAGAAAATATTTCATTTTTATCAAAATTTTATTGAGGAAAAATGCCTTAAAGATAGCTTGTCATGTAATTTAAAACTGTACTATCTCTATTGTTCCATCTAATGTTTTCTAACTTTTTATCAAAATTGTAACTATCAACAATTATTGTTTTCATTATTGAGTCTGCAATAATTGGATCTAAAATATCTTCGTTTCCTTAAATAAAGTATTCACCTAATAATGTAGTAGCAGATCCCACAGTCGCTATATTTTTGATAATTTTTTAATTTTTTTCGTAAAATTAGTCAGTTGTATCTTAATGATGGTCAGTAATTTCTACAACTCTGCTTTTAAGTGTCGGGTAAATAGTGCAATTATGATCATAAAGTATTACATCCAATTTACTTGCAGTAATAACTTCTTAAATATTGAAATCATCTTTAAAAATAATATCATCAACATGAATTTAATGTGTTTCCAGCAAGTCTAAACTTTCAAATCTACTATTTATATCTTATCTATCACACTAAATAACAGGTAGGTACATATTTAAAAGATTTTCAAAATCCATTTACTCATAAACAGAGTTTTCTTTCAAGTAATTTAGATAATTTTTTTCAGCCTAACAAAATTTGAAGTAAGCATATATCATACTCCCAATATTAGAGTCTAAGTCAGCGCTTTCGTTTCCCATAACTATACTAAGGTTTAACTATCCTTAAAATTTCCTATTTTTTTAGAAATCAAACCACTTTCTAGATAGTTTTAAGTATTGTTTGAACAAATTTTTTTGCATTGATGATATCTTTTTTGAAGAAATAAAGCACCTATAGCTATCTTTTTATTTTATTTTAATATAAATTATTAAATCAAAATTTATTAAATAAATACATTTAATGAAATTTACAATAAATAAAAAAATATTTAATCAAATTAATTTACAACCAATATCAAATTTGGTTAATTTAACAATTAAAATATAATCTATTTTATTTTTAAAAAGTTAATGAATCAAAAAACGATCACCTTTTAATAAATTTAAAATAAGAGAAAATAAATAATAATATTATATAAATTAATTAATTAGTTAGTTAATTAATAATCATTTTAAATTAATTAAGAATTATCAAATTATTTTACCACACATAAAAATATAATGAATGTTTCACTTGAAAATATTTAAATTTTTTTAAAAATTAATTATTTTTTTTTCATTGTTCTTGTTTGGCTTCAAGTTGGTTTTAGGGTGTTTTGAATTTAAGAGGTCTGATTTTCATGTACTCTAAAACCTTATCATTAGTGATAGCCTTTCTCTTTTCCTATTTTAAAAAAATGTATTTATTTATTTGAAATATAATATAAAATAATTATTACTTGGTGATCACCAATAATCTTTTGTAAGATTCCTATTAATTCCTTCTTTACTTCACCAGTTAACATCTTACCAGTGCTATACTTAACTCTAATTTCTTCTAATCTAGCATCGTCTTCTAAGAAGAATCTAAGATAGTGATAGGGGATATCTACTGTTAAATCTGCACCGAATTATTCTTATTCTTCTTTAGTAGCTCTACCTCCACTTACTGATTTATTAATTTTTTCTTTAATTTGCTTGGGAGTATCTGTCAAGAAAATAGCACTGTTAGGAACTGTGCTACCCATCTTAGTACCAAAACCTTGTAAAGATGGGAAAAATTTGCTGTGGATGCAAGCAGTTTTTGGAACCTTGAGCTTATATTAAACATCTCTAGTCATTCTAAAGTATGGATCTTAGTCAATACCTTAGGGGATTAAGCAGAAAACGTTCTTATTACCGAAAATGTGAGGGAAAGAAGTAGATATGGCAGGAGCGGCTTGAACTGCTGGGAAAGCAAATTTACCACAATTATCACTTGGAGTTACACCAAAAATACCCTTAAGCTTTTTTATAAAATAAATTAAAAATTAATTCCTATAATTATTATTTCATCTTTATTTAAAAATGTAAATAATATTTTATTTTACTTGATTGTAAGTAACAGCCTTTTGAATTTTGCAAATATTTGGGTACATATGACCAACATAATCAGTATTTCTGAAAATAAAAGTTTTTTCAATATCGAAACCACAAGCTATAATATCCTTAGCATTTTCAATAGCTAACTTTTGGTATTCCTTTTATTTAATAATTTTTCAAAGTTAAATTTAACAATTTTTGATTTTATAAAATTTTACTTCTAAAGTAAAATCTCCCTTATGGAAGAACTTTTCATCATCAGTCAATTAAATAACCAAAGGAACATCAAAAGCATCTTACAAATATTTAGTGAAGATGAAAGGCATCAAGTGACCCAAGTGCATAGATTCAGTGGAAGGACCTTTTTAAAAATTAAGTAGCTTTACTTTCCTATTCTATAAATATTGATTTATTTATTTATTTACCTCTACCAGTGTAAAGATAGAAAGGGATTCCCTTTTCATAATTATCTAAAATTAAATTTAAGTCTCTATGAGAGAAGAAGATTTCTCTTGTCAAAAATGGATGTGCCTTCTTTCCAGTAAGCTTTTCAACTCTAGAATAATATATATGTACAGGTGAATATTGAAAAACTATGTTTAAAAAAATGAATTCATTACCTATCAATTAAACTTTAATCAATCTTTGAGCATCCAAATTCAGATATAAGCTTATCGTAATCAACTATATATATATAAAATTAATAGTTATTTCCCTTTTCTTTAACTTTATTAGCTAAAATTGTTTACCATTTTCACCAACTTCATAAGGGTTTACAGAGGATGGCTTGACCTAATTAGTTTAGCAAAAATGATTTAATCTTTTAAAGTTTGAGCAGATAATAAATCTATCTTATCTATAAATTTAAATTTATTACTTAATCTTCTTATTCTCCTTCAGTTGGCTATTGAACTTTTTGTTCTTCGACAACAGTTTCTTATTGTTGAGTTGACATTTTATGCTAATTTTTAGTTATTTTTTGGAATTATTTGTGTTTAAAATATCTTTTTAGTTAATTAAATTTATCAAAAATATTAATAATTTATTTCAGACTTAAATTAAATTAGTGAATGTTCGTTCATTGACATATTTAATTAGATATTATTGAAATAGAAAATTTAAAGTAATATACTAATGTCTACTCATCACAGTTTTTATCTTTTATTATAAATAATATGTAATATATTTAATAACATACTCGTTAGCTTAAATAAAATCAAAAATTTTTAATTTTAGAATAATTTTTTGCAATTAAATTTTCTATTACATTCATAAAATCTTAGGAATGAAAAAAAAGCCTTTTATAATATATTTTAATTTTTGTTCTAGGATGACGAGTAAAGCAGTAAAAAAAATATTAATTTACTTACACATTTTATTTAGAGTAGACCATTTTATGTATTTTAGCTTTATTTATTCACTTATTTCTTTTATTATGAATGTAATTAAACTAAATGTTAATGTGTAATATCTTCACTTTTAATGAATAAAATATAACAATATTACCAATTATACATTTAAATTATAAATAAAATATAGAGTCTACCAAAAATTAAAAAGCTTCAAATTAATAATCTTTAATATAGAAATTTGAGTTAGATTTTTAAATATTAATCAACTTTTTGGTTAATTTTTTAATGATGGATAAAGAGAAAGTTATTTAATCATTTATAATTTTTATTTATTCTAACATTTCAAATAGAATATATTCACTTATTGCTTTTAAAAATAAACATAATAAGTTAATAGATAATAGTATTTTGATTTAAACAATTTTTTATTACAAGTAGTTACTTTAGTTATTTAATTTTTCTTTTACAAGCAAATATTGAATATTATTTATTAATTTTAATAAAAGAAAATGAAAATATTGCAAAATATACATACTCAAATTAATAGCTTAATTAAATTTAAAAGAGTCTAAATCTTTTAATAAATATATTTAATTACAAAATAAAAAATTAATTTTAACCACATTTAAAATATTTTTCTATTTTATAATAATTTTGTTATTTCATTAAATATTTGACAAAGTAAAAAAATAAAAACTGGTTGTTAACTTAAAAAAGACATATATTTTTTTGTTTTATAAAAATTAACTAAAATCTTTCACTAAATATTTGTAAAACAAAAATATAAAATCTAGTTGTTAAATCTAAAAAAATATGACCTTAATTTAACTTCAAAAATATTAAAATTAATCTATGCATTTTATTTTTTTGTGTTAAAATTCAAAAATTTAACTGAACTATTTATTTATTCAACTGCAAATTTATTTTTCTTATTAAATAATATTACTTTTTTAATTTTAAATAATGTAATTTACATAAAAGTTTTCCTTTTATTTTTAAAGAAGACTCATAGCAATAAAATTAAAATTTAAAAACATACCTTTTATCCTCGATCTATTTCCAACTATTTAAACAAAGTCTTTAAATATATTTTACAAAATATTTAATTTCCTAGTAAAAATATAAAAATAATTTGATTTTAGTATTTTATATAAAATTTTTAAAAGTATTTAAAGTCATAAAATCTGAAGAAAAAAAAAGACAAGTTATTTATCATTTAAAATTTTGGTGTTATTTTACAATTATTGTTAACTGTTTTATTTGGTAATATATTTCTTTTTATTTTCTAACATATGTTTCTTTTTGCAGATAAAATCAATAAGTATTGATGGCAAATTAAAATTTTGATTTTGTAATTTTTTTATTACATTTCTTTTAGCATTTAAAAATTACATATTTTTTTTTTATATATATTTGAATATAAATATTGAAATTTAGAATTAATAAAACAAATTTAAGGCATAGTAGGTTTAACAAATAAGTTAAAACATAAAGCAACATATTTAACAAGTATTCTATTTTGATGAATATTATCGGTTAGAAGCAATTCTCAATTTTTAAGTTAGATAAAGCTTTCTAGAGCTTTTATAAGTTAATAGTTAAAAGCTAGCTTAATTGTCCTTTAGATAGCTACATTTTAACAATTGCATGTTTTTGGATAGGATTCTTTTAAGTATCTTCAATAGTAGATAGCTTTCAAAATAACGGAAATAGCTTGCAATCTTCTTCAATTTCATGGAATGAATGTTGGAAAGTCTTCATTTATTTTATAAGGCCTGTTTAATTTATTTATTAGTAGTATAGTGACACTCAATAAAGCATTAATTCTACCGTAATAGGAATTCTATTTGTATATTTATTTTTCCATGCAATAATAGGGGTTACATCATCCTTTTTAATAAGCTCAACATTCAAAAAAAAATAAAAGGTTGGATTATAAATTATGAAAATATTTGTCAACTGTGCTATTTATTTTAATTCCCTACTTTGCATCCCTATCATAGAAACATCTCTTTTACTTGCATTTTAAGGTAGCTTGACAAATGCGTAAAATCAATCTACTACATCTTTGTCAAGCTCAGAAAATTAGATAAATAAAATATGCGGTTTTATTCTATTTGCTTTATACTAACTATATTCATTTATGTGCTCTAAATTTTATGAAGTTTCTTACACTTTGGAAGAAAAAGGTTTGTAGAAATACTCTTAAGACAACCTCTCAATATTTATTAACCACATTAGAATAGCTGCTGTTTTAGGTTACACATATGATCCCTAAGGAAAAAGTAATGGCCCTATCATAGCTTCTTGTTTTTCATGTCTGTATTTTGTGCTATTGGTATATGAATACTTTATGAAAAAACCTTTTAGTTGCATCTCAAAATCAGACAACTATTTAGCATCTATTGTTACGAATTTCTTATTTTTAGTTATTATTATATTCAACAAATAAGCTAAAATAACAGACGTCTCTATAAGTATGACTTTACTTCTATTAATTATACCAATTGTTGTCAAACTTATGATCGGAGCAATCAGATAGGTTAACGACACTTATCTTTATACGAATTTGCTTGATGAAAATGAGATTTCATCTTAAAATGATGAATTACTTTCAAGAAAAATATCTATGCTTTACAATAATAGAAATCAAATATTACAAAATGATTAACTCAAGCTATTTGGAATATATGAATAGCATAAATTAAATTGCAGAAGACAAGTGTGCTTCTGCTAGTATAAAATAATTAAGTGCAGTGAAGATACTGTATTCTTGCTAAATTCAGATATTTTAGATAGATATATAAGGTACCTAATAAGAATAGAGTTAAGTAATTCGAATTTGAATGAGAAAATAGATAGATTGGTACATTTCATAAGGTATTTATTTGCTTATTTATTTATATTACACACATTTTTAATTTTAAGTGAATTAAAATTCCTAATTTCTTTTAGAATGATCACTTCTATTTAAAAATAAAAATAATAATTGAATATATAGGTACATGACATTTCTTTCTTACTCTAAAAAGCACTCTTTTGCTATAAGTAGAGTTATTGATTTTATTAATGAATCTGAAAGAATGAGAAAAACTTATGGATCATATGTAAAAGTATGTGTAGATACTATTTTAAATGAATTAAAGCAGATCATGTTCAAGAATATCGTGCAAACTATTATTGATGACGAAGTTGAATAGCAGCTAGTGGATATAGACTCTTACATTAGAATGCATATTGAGAAAGATATTTTAAAGGAAATCATTTTCAAGTGTATTGAAAAAAGAATAGAAATTTTTGAAAAGATGAGAAAAAATTTTGAGGATTTTACAGAATTGGAAAAGCTAAACAAAGATTATAATTCTCGATTAGATGAGCTAGAAAATAGATTTCATTTATTTTATGAGCGTTTTCCAACAAAATAGAATTAATCTTTTTATGTTTTTTTTTAGGCTGAAGTGAAAGGAAATCTTAAAAAAGCTATTTAAATTTCAAACACAAGAAAATTTTAGTAGACATCAGACAACAAAAAGCTGTTTAATGTTTTTGAACCAAATGTTTTGTATCTAACAGCAACAATGGGAAAAATTTGGGGTAAAATTGTTAATTTTTCTGATAAGCTTCCAAATGCTCTAGGTTACAAAAAGCAGGAATTTAATTATGTAACTCACATAAAAGATATTATGCCAACATCTATTGCTACCATTCATGATGAAATCATTAGATGCATGATGACTCAAGGAAATGATTCAATCATCAATAACAAAAGATAAATATTTCTTAGAAATAAAAGCAATTTTTTAATTAGAGTTAATGTATTTATATCCATGAATCTATACTATACTGAAGAATTACCATTTGGAGTGTTTGTAACTCCAATAGAAACAAGAAGTGGCTTCTTGTTTGTAACTTCTCAGGGTAATGTGGAGGGTATGGACAACAACATTTTAAGCCAGGTAATGAAAAATTTTTTAAATCAAAAACTAATTTTATAAAAAATATATTATAGGTAGGCTACAATAATGTTTAAAACATGCCACCCTTCTACTAATTTAAAATATCTCATTGCATTCCTGAATTTGAGCATTTTACATAATTGATGGCTGAATAAAATTTAAGCTTGATGGATAGAGTTGATGTCCCATTTAATTTTTTTGCTAGGTCTCATCCATAATTCCAAAGATTATTCACGACTAAATCTCAAAGTGTAAACTTTTAATTAAAAATTTAAAAAATTTAAAAAATTAAATAAAAAAGATATCAGAAATTATAAAATTACAAAGCTAAAGTAGTTTTAAAAATTACTCTGAGTAAGAAAGCTCTTTTCGTCAATCAGTAAAAAAAATGGGATCCACTTCTAACAATTAGTAAAGTAATCTTATCAAGTTTAAAGCAGATTTGACAATTGAAAGACACAAAATTAAAATGCTAGACTCTGTGTATGTTTATTACATAGTTGAAATAAAATATTTAATGCGGGTGGTAAACAATGATGAATTTTATACTAGCACAAATAAAACTATGAATATTTAGGGGTCTTCATAAAATAATTTGAAAAGTTAATTTATGCAAACAAAGAAGGTAATTAAATTTTTTATAGGCCTAAAATAAAATTTGTAAAAAATAATATAGGTTAACATGAAAACAATCAGCGAAACAGAAATTCTTAAACAAGAAAAAATTTTATCTGAAAAAGTTATCCAACCAGCTTCAAGATAAATTATTACAGAAGAAAATACAGAGAGAGTTTAACAAAATCAATTCTTAGGAATTGATTTTACTAATCCTGACTTGAAATCTAGTCCTAATATTTCTAGCTAAGGAAATAATCCAAACACTCAAAGAGATCAATAACATTTTGAAGTTTTACCAAGTGATATCAGAGAAGAATTAAATCTTGATAAGGTTCATGTAACTTAAAGGCAAGCAGCGAATATAAATTCAAAAATTCAGAATCAAATTTAAGAATAAGATAAAAACAATGGTATAAGTTTTGATGTTTCTCAATAAAATCTTGATTTTAGTATGGTAAACAATGTAAATAATCCTTTATTAGAGTATGTTTAAGATAATAACTAAAATTTAAATTATTCCATGGCACATGATGCTAGTTAAGTATAATCTGCTCACAAACTTTATATTAAAGAAGGCACAACAAGAGTAAATTACTTAAATCAAACTAACATTTTTCATTTTTTAATATTTTAAATAATTCTCTTTATTTTTATTAATATTCAATTTATTATTTGAATTTTTAATATTAAAGGTATCAGCTGGTGAAATAAAAGAATAGGAAATAGCTCAGATTTTTATGAAATAATCTATAGAAGACAAAGATAAATAGATAGAAGTTAATTTAAGTTAAGCAAACAATAATAAGAAGAATGAACAAAAAGTTGAAAACAAAAAAAGAAGTTTCTCTTTACCTGATTAATAGGAAAGAGCAGACCTTAAAGTGAAATTAAGGAAAGAAGAAAGAGATGGAAGTTTAACAAGTAGTACTGATGCTTTAAATAGGAGTATGGATAAGTATAATTACTATGAAGAGTTTATATCTTCTAAGCACTATCCAATTCATTTAAGAATTCTTAAAGTAGCTAGATTTACGGAATACTTAATTCTTTTAGTTGCTACCATAGCAAGCATTTTAACATTATACTCTTCATTTGATAATTTATTGTAAAATATTGACTCCCTTACTCTTCACTCAAATATTTTATCACCCTATGGAAATACTATATGTCTATCTGATACTCTCTACTATTTATAGTAGTTTGGCACACCTACTCAAATCACCTAGCAGACTCAAATCTAATTTCAAAGGGAGAAAAATTAATATCAGCTATATTCTTCTATGTTATCATAGGAATGGTAAAACTCATATTTGACCTCATATTTTATAGATAACAGTATTGACATTTATTCTTCTTTTTAACTAAATGGCATTCCATACCAAACACATGAAACACTACTAACAGCTTCTGCTAAGCTACTCTATTCTTTGAATGATAATTAATGTAAACGTTTTACCTAATTAATTTAATTAGTTTTTTATTTTAAATTATGTTTTTATTAATTAGAATACACTTAAGCTTAGATTTCAAGTTAGTTTTATTTACCTGAAAGACAATTCTTGGCAGTGAATTATTCATAGTTCATATAGTTTTTTAAAGATGTTGTTTAAAGCACTCTTAATTCGTCATTGTCTTACTGCAGATCACTTATAACTAATATTGTTGTCCAAACTGTCATTTTAAACATTGTTACACTCTTTGTATTTTGTCTGAGCGGTTGGAATTATTATTAATTTTCAAAGAATATCATGAGCATATTAAAAATGTGTGAAACTGCTTCAACTATTTCTGTTGAGAATGAAATGTTTAGATTTCAAAAAATTCAAGAATAGCTTGCTGAAAACGAAAGCATGCTATTTAGCTACACATTTAGTATTCATTAAAAAGAACTAGAGCTGGCTACCTAGCATGACAGAGGTATGATGGTTGACAGAAAAGGACTTTCTAAATCAAGTGGATTATAGTTTGGTGGAACAAAGAGAAAAAAATTATTAGTAAATATTTAGAATGAAAGAATAAATTATACTGGATTTGCTTTATTTACGATATTTATTTATATTCTTTTTGTGATTTTTACAATTACTACATATTCGGTTAATACAACATTCCTAAACTAATTTTAGCCAGCTATCTAATATTACAAATTAGTATCAGACTCTAATTTTGAGATTTCTTAACTACCTTCATTAAAGGCTTTAATTAGTGAGTACTACATCCTCTAAAATGATGTTAATAAACAGAAGAGCGTATAGTATATCAATACTAATTTGAATACTCTTAAGTCCCTATTTGACACGTCATTGAATGATATACTTGAATATAGTTAAGATCTATTGAATTTTAACAAAATTGATTTTTTCGATTCATCATTTAAGAGTAAGATGGATTCTTTAGTGAATGGAAATATTTGTAATACATCTGATGATGGTTTAGATAATACTTGGAGTCCTTCCAGGTGCTAATAAATTCACTAAGGAATTTTAACTTAGGGTTTATCTAATTCTATAAGTAAATGGTATGATTAATATAACTCCTTTAAGTAGCTAAATTACATGGATGTTCTTTCAAATAGTTAGCTTTTACCAGTATTAATTGACTCAACATACATTTCAATAACTCTATCTAATTATACAACTAATATGAGAGATTAAATCAAAAACAGCATGTCTTCAAGCACCCAAAATCAAAAAAATATAAATTTAATAATTTCTCTAGTATTTATATCAATAGTAACAGTAATTTACTTCTTTGAGCTATTCAAAGGAATGCAAAACGTGACAGAGAGATTTCAAATGGCAAAAAAAGTTATCTTCCTACTTCCTCTATAGACTGTAATGATAGAAGAAACTTTTATTAAAATATTAAAAGCTTAATCAAATAGATTAGAAATAGTTAAATGAAAAAGATTGATAAATTATAAATATTATATCATTAAATTCTTCCAATTTATATTAAGATTTTAAAAAAATCTTAATAAAAAAACACATAAAAAATTACTTATTCTCATATAAATTAGTTAAACATAATTATAAAAAATAAAAGCTACTAGTTTTTTCTTCCATTTTCATTGTAAATAAATTAAAAAATTTAATTAATTTAATCCATACATCAATACCCAAAATTAATTACAAATTAAAATATAAATTATCGATTATTTATTATTATTATAAATTAAATAAAATTTAGAAATTTAAAATTTTTAACTAAATCGTTTATTAAAAAAATTAAACGATCTTAAAAATTAAAGTTAGTTTTTATATATATTTTATTTCTTAATATAAAACATTTTTGAAAAATAAACAGTGAGCTAAATTTAAAATTTAAAAAAAACAAATTTTTAAAAGATATTACTTTCATTATATTTTTATTGTTAATTACTTTTTTTTCTCTTTTACTTCTTTAATTAAAAAATCAAATTTTCCTATCTATTTTTGGTTCTCTCTGTTTGTCTGTCTAATAAATAAATTTTTCTTTTTTAATTTAATCAAAGAATTTTTTTGTGTAAAAGGATTATTTTTAAATCATCTTTAAAATACAAAGAAATATCAAATAAGTAACAAATATTCATTAATATAAATAAAAAAAGCCATTTAAATAAATTTTGAACTTAACTTTAATTAAAAATTGTAAATTTTAATTTGAAAATACAACTAATTTCAAAATTCAAAAGCCATAAATATAAATCTAGTTATCTGTAATGTAAATGGAATACTAATTGCAAAGCATAGGGTAAGTCTATTTGCGATTTTTCCTTTTGGAAATAAATATTTCTTATAAGTGTAATCTACATATGAAAAAGTCTAAATTTAACCCTTCCACTTTTTTGTTTACACTCTTTTTTGTGGAAAATATATTTTGTTATCATAAACTTTTCAATTAGATATCTTAGTGTATTATATATTACACATTTCGAAGTAATCATGCAAATCAAATCAATTTGTTAATTAAATTTTCTTATTTTTGCAAAAATGATCTTCAATATATCATAACAAATGACTAAATAATTCTTCAATTTAAATCATGCTATTTTATGTATCGTTTATAATTTAATTGAATAAAATATTGTAGAGTAGTTAGTTTAGTAAAATATTTAAAGTAATAAAAAGAATGAAAAATTTACACTTTCATTTATTTAATTAAATTAAGACTTCTTTTTTTATTTTTATATACAAACAAAACAAATATTATTGATTGTATTTGCTTTTTCGCTCGAACTTGAAATTATTGATTGATGCTCAAGTAAATTAAGTTTTTGAAGATAGATGATAAATGAATTTATTTATCTTAATGAAAAAGATACTGAAATTTAATTTAATTTCATGACAATATATCTAAATTAATTTAATCTTTCACCAAAATTATTAATTTGTTTGCTTCTTTCAAGTAGATTATAACAACAAAAAGAAGGGTAAAGTTGAAAATATCATATTTAACTTATCATTATGCAAGTAGGTAAGTTATAAAAAGTAGCATTTTTTAATTACCTTCTCAAAAGATATTTATTCTATTATTGTTGTTATGCTAAATAGTTGGATATTTCTTTTATATAAATTTTGTTAATCTAGTTATTTTTTTTTTTGCGTATTAGATTCGTTAAGAAGTAATGTATGTAATAAGCAATTTCATGATTATTGACAACAATACTAAAAATTTACTACTACCTTTATTGAATAAATAATTTTATTTGGTGGTCAAAAGGATTGTTAAAAATGTGATTTGGAAAGGTAGAAAGAAGGGAGCTTAAGCACTAAAAGAAAGATAATAATTAACTCTATTATTCTTTTAGAAGAATTGTTTTGATTTTATGGAATATAATTAAAAGATGTAACAACTAAGATATATGATATAAAAGAAAATACATAATAAGGTTAATATATTAATAAATATATGACGAAGTTTTTATCTTTTGTTAAAATAATTGATAATTTTATTCATTACAAACTACTTCAATTCATAAATTTAAACTTTTTTGATTAATTTTTTGTTTGTATGTTAATTTTTCAATTTTTTACAGCTGAACTTGTTTAATAACTAATTGTATTGCTAGCACCATTTTGTAATTCAATCATACCAATCTTTTCGCCATCTATGTTATTTTTAGAACCATTTTATTCAGTAACGAGAAGAACTTAGCTATGAGGCATTTTAGGAATCTTAGTGATGATTTCTTCAGGATCTTCGAATCTGATTCTTGGGATATGGAAGGTTTCTCCATCTTCAAATAGTTGGGTAGGAGTATTACCAAGTAATTTCATCATAAAGCCAGTGAATAAAGCTGAGCCAAAAGCAATACCAATAGTGATAAATAAGAATGCGACTTAAATTCCTCCTTACTTAGATTAACTCCAATCAGCATCGCTTGATTTAGGATAAACTTCTAAAAGTTAAGCAGCATTATCGCCACGAGAGCTAGCCTTAGCTGCAGCAACAGCACCCCAAACACCACCAAGAATACCAGGCATGCAGTGCAAATTCATAATACCACAAGTATCATGTAATCCGATCTTGTTTTCAAGGAAGGATTATAATTTAGAAAAGCCAAAAGTGGAAATAATACCAGCTAATGCACCTATTAATATAGCCCAAACAGGAAGGATGTTCATATTTGCACATGTACCCTATTATTATCACAAATATAAAATTAGCTAAAATATAAAAAAGTAGAATAATATTAGGATGAAATTTGCTTTAGTTCTATTTGATATTTATTTCAAAGTATTTTCTTTTTTACTTACTGCTCAGTAATTAATTGTTTTTTATTATCAAATCACTGAAAATTAAATTAATCTTTGTTTTTTTTTTTTTTTTGCTTATTTAACTATCTAAATAACTGACTTATTAACTTACTACCATTCTAACTAACTAATTAACTAATATTTTTTTGCTTGTAAACCAACAATTAAAAACTTATGTAATGTCATTTTTAATCTCTTTTTTGCTTCTGATAAAAAAATATATATAAAGTAAACAATTTTTTATTACCATTGCTACACCACCAGCTAAAGTAGCATTCTAGATGTCAATCATATTGAACTTCTTATCCTCAGTTCTAGTGAGTAAAGAAATAAGGAATGTCATCATGCAACTTGCACTTAAAGAGAGCATGGTATTGATGTAAGCTCTATTTTGAGCCTATGAACCAGGTGTGGCAGGTCCAGCATTGAAGGAAGGCCAGTACATGTAGAGGAAAATAGTACCAATAAAGGAAGTAAGATCTGAAATATAGTTAGACTCAGCCTTTTTGTGACCAAATGAACTTCTTGGGCTTAACATCTTTGCTAAAATTAGACCAAAAACTGCTCCATATGTGTGAATGACCATGGAACCACCAATATCAGCAACACCCATGTTAATAGATATTCTTTCGTTAAGGGTAAATCCAATAGTTTCAAAGAATATGCAAACTGCCATCTAAAAGCCAGAAACTTTACCAATCATACCACCAAAAGTAATCAAAATAGCACCAGCGCAGAATGAGCTTGTCATAAGAGTTAAAGTGTTAAAATGAATTTTGAATGGAGCATCTAAGTCAAATGCACATTTCCAGATAGCTTCCCAAATAGGATAGAGTTGGAAAGAAATAGCGCCAATGACAAATGTATAACCTATATTAATAATTTTTTAAATTATTTTTTACTTTTATACAGCTTTTATATATTGTAGAAGTATCTTTAAGATTCATAATAAACTTTACGAATATTCTAATAAAGATAATTCACTCATGCGATAAACAAATATTAAAAATATTTTAAGTCTTATTACCAACTGCACTGAACTAGTAAGTTCTGAGGAAGGTCATTAAGAAACCGAAACCAACGAAGATCATAACATTGATGTCTTACCACATAGGATAACGAGCAGCATTATCAGGTAAATCAGGATCGTTATCATAAACAGCAACGCATCCATGAATAATAACGCAAAAGATTTCAATTAATACGATAGCAAGAGCAAATTTCTTTTGCTCAGATATAGTGACTGCTTCAGCTAAGTGTCCCATTTTATGAATTTATTTTTTACTCTAAGTCTAAAAGTTACTTATTTACAATTATTTAGTAATTAAAAATATTATATGTTTCTCACAACCACTTTTATTATTAAATAAGATATTAATTTAGTATTTATTTATATACTTTCATCTAAAATGCGTGGATTTGATCTTTCTTTTATTTATTTTAACTCAACTTATCCTTTTTTGAAAATTTTATCAATTTCCCCACCTCATTAATTTAATTAAGCAGTCTACATTATCACCTATTTTCTTTTTGTGTATGTTAAGAAAAAATTTATCAATTTAGATATAAACAGATAGATTGATTCTACTTATTGATGAAAGATCACTTAATTAATTATTTAATAACTTGTAAACCTACCCCTATTTCAAATAAAAATCATTCAAAAAGTTAAGCTTACAGGCATACACACCATTTAAAAATAATTAATAATATTTTGAAAGTATTCTGAGATTTATATTACAGCTTTTCATAAAGATTTTATTTGAATTCCTATTTATTTAATCTAGAATGAGAATTATGGTAAAATTTCTTTTAAGGATTTAAAAGATTATCAGTTGGATTTCTCAAAATTAAGGTTTATAGATTATTCAATCATCATAATTATTCTTGAGAATTTATTGTTTTTTTGTGTAGTCTTTATATTAAAATTATACCTGACACAAATAATGAATTACTCAAAAATATTTAAAGATTTAACATATTTTTTTAAATATCTCAATTTGGTAAATCATCCGTAATTTAATTATGCGATAAGTGTATTTATACAAGTTTATTTGCTATTTATCAGCTTTTAGAACGCTTTAATTTAGTTTTCAAAAATTGCTTTGCTATTTACAGTTTATTTGTAGAGATTAATATATGAGAAATCGTACGGATAAATACATCATGTATCAAATTGGAGTTTTTAGATTCACTCGCTAAATAAATCACAAAATTAAAAATGAACGACAAATTGTAAAATATTAGAGAATTATGCTTATTTAAAATATTTTATTATCTGAATCTACACTTTTTAAAAATTTAGTTCATTATAATTATTATTACTTGATCCAGTGAAAGACAGACCTGAATTTTAAGGATAGAAATTACATCATCTTAATCTCATAAAGTTGAATAAATTTTATTAAATTATTGAATAAAAAAAAAGGGATATTCCAAACAAAATTAATTTTTCCCCAAAATTAATTGAAATTAGGAAAAAATTTTAACGAAATTAATAGCATACAATTTTTATATTAAAAAATATGATTTAACCATACAAATAATTGACAATATTTTGATTTTTTCAATTCTTTATTAATTAATTTGCAGTTTATAAACGATCTTTATACACTTCTAAAAGAAGTTTATAATCTATGATTCCATCTCTTTCTGCAAATTTTATAAATTATGAAACTATAGAATCCGCAATTTAAATTCCCTAGCTATTTAAAATTTTCATAATAAGCGATTTAGCCAGATCATATGTGATAGGAATATTTGCTTAATTATACGATTAAAATAAATCTAATAAATATTTTCTATTTTTTGCCAATACATTAAGAATTAAATCATGATCTTTAACATCTAATGATTATTTTATTTGTGTTGCTAACTTTTATTTATTCCTTTCGCTATTTTAAGTGATGTTTGATGTAATTCTAAAAACTGAATTTTTTTCTAATGACTTATTCCTTTCTTGTAGTTCGTCATTTTACTTTCCTTTGAGTTAAATGATCGACTTTTATTGTAAAGCTTCATAATTTTAATCTGTTCTACCATGATGGTATTACTTAATATGATAAGTATTGCTCATAGAACGATACTTCTTCTATCTAGTCAAACCTTCACCAGTTCCTTATTATATATTATCCTCATTATTGACTCTTCCTAAATAGAATTAAGGGGTATTTAAATTGCTGAGAACATCATTCCATTCTGTAGAGTCAATAAAACCATCTTAGTTTCTATCAAGAAATCCAAACATATCTTTAATTACTGACAATCCTTCTTCAGGTTCTCCATTTAACGTTTAAAGCTTATTAATAAGAGCTTCAAACTCTTGGAGACTCATTTTGCCATCTCCTTTTTGATTAAACTTTGATAAAAAAATATATCATCTACATCATCCTTAATTTGTATTAATCTGATGTAATAAATATCTAAAAAATGATTCAACCAGCTAATAATTAATAATAATCTTAATTTAATTTTTTTAAAAATTTATCCAATCAAATTTCTTATTTCATAGCATTTAATTTATGTTAAAATTTTGAAAATAATTGAAATAATAGTAGAGATTAGCTCGAAATAAATTACCTATCTAAATGCATCTACTGGGGATATCATATACTTATAAATTTTGCTTGAAATTTACTTCAACTTAGTTTTGCATCTCTTAACTATTATATCATCTTCGTCACTTTTTTATAGCAGCTCAATAAATTTTTTAATCTAAAGACGTCCATCTAAACCGCATAGATTGATTAAAAAGAATATTTCCTAACTTTTTAGTCCAAGATTTAACTCACTAAGAGCCTTTTTAAATTGATTGTTAGTTAAATATCCTGACTAAGCTATGTCGTTTTTATTGAGTATTTCTTCTAAGTCAATTTATGAAGATGACCTAATTATTCTTTTAAGTTTTTATATAAGGATTTCTCCTTGCTATTGAAGAAAACTTCCAGATTCACGAGTGTAAACGCTGGATAAATTTTGTTGCACACTGTTTGAGTTTTGCTATGTTATATTACCAGTTAAATTACTTCTTGATAATGAATTGTAATAATCATTTAAATCCGATTTGTCCATAAAAAAGCTGGTATTCTTTATTCCTACCAATCTTGGCTATAAATTCTATGAAATATTATTAGCCAAATCTTACTTTTTAAGATCTGACATGTTTCGTTTTATTGGTGAGACATATTTTGGACCTTATATTATTTACCTAAGATTTTGTTCTTTTTATCTTGATTACCTCTTTGGAGATTAGCTAACTTTAGAGCCAGTCACTGTGCTATATATAAAATTTAATTTAAATTTTTTAAAAAATCTTTGGTTTTGATTTAATTTACATAGGTGTATATGATCTAAATCTAATACTATCAATTTTTGAGTCAAATATGTCTATATTTTTTGTAAGACTTTATTGAGATTAGAATATTTAACTATTTTGGTTGTTTGTTTTACTTGTACTTTCACTACTTTAAATATTGTTATTAAAATTCTTAATTATAAATCCTAAAAATTTATTGAAATCCATTCCTAATTATGAAAATTAATTTATTTCTCTATCCCAAACTTAGCTAATTTCATCAAATGTGAATCTCTTTGGATACAAATAGTTAATACCCTTATAGAAACCAGATAGGTAAATCAATTTCTAATTATCTGGATTGTCATTACGGGTTAAAAAGAATTCAAAAGCTTCTTTTGCCTAAGACTTTTTACTAAAGTGGAGGTAGATCAAATTTCTAAGTTCTTCTACCATTTGCTTTTTCCAGTTTATGTGTCCTTTGTTTTAAAAATTGGGAAAATATATTTAGCAAACTTAAAATGATTTTTTTAATACCAAATTAGTTTATCCAATCCGATTCTGTAAGAAAGCCCTTCTTATGAGGATCAAAATAAGCAAAAAGTTCTTACAAAAGAGTGTTTGTCAAATCAAACCCTTGCAGGGAATTGCTCTTTTCTACCCATGATTAAAATTAATCAAATGTTATTTTCTTCTTGTATTAGCTTACATCTAATTATTAAAAATAAATTTATTGGTGAAATAAATAAATAAATAAATAATGATGATTGAATGAATTATTTGTTTACTTTCAAAGTTAGCCTATATCGATGGATAGTGTTTTGATATGTAAAGACCTAACTATTGCGAAACAGATTTTTTCCAATCAACATTCAATATTTCAATTTATTATGAGTCACTTTATTTGCTTGAGGAAGATGATATATTTCTTTAATTTTAAGTTGAATATGATCTTTTAATTGGTTGAATGTCTGACTTATTCAAAGATCTAGAATTTTAAATAGCTTACTATAATTCTTATTGCTACTTTACAAACTTAATAAAGTCTATAATTCCTATTCTTCCAGATTTGTAAAAATCTATTATCTTAAATAGTCTATTCACTCTAGCAATTGTTAGTTCATTTTCTTTTATTTTTAAGACATCTCTTAGAAATTTTTTAAAATCTTGAACATCAACTTTTTTAAGTAAAATTAAGATTAGGTAAATTATTATTGTTAACAAATATTTACCAAATCCTTTGTATTCAAAGTCAATAACTCTAAATGCTTCCTCTTCTGATGTGAAATGTCCTTTTGAGTACCACTCAAATATTCTCTACACCATTAAATTCTACCAATTCCAGTTATCTTCTGTCACTTGATCTTATGCATTTTCTTTGACACTCTTTTCAAGAACTTTTAAAAAGTTGCTAATATCTATCATTCCTATATGCAATTTATCCATATAAGCAAAAAAACCATCCTTAACAGGCTAAGAAAGCAAAATATACTGTATTAATTATAATTAAAAAACTTACTTTAAAATATTGATAAAGGTTAATAAAATTACTTTATCTAAACCATCCATAAATTCACTGCAAGAAATCATACCATTTTTATCTGTATCTAGTAAATCAAATAATTATTTGAATGTTATTTTTTTATCTCTAATATTTTTTCTGAGATCTCTCAAGATCAAGTTAATCATTTCTTCTGATAAAGGGTTTGTAGGGAAACAAGGAGGGCTGTTATTAATGAGCAATTATCTATCTTCATTTTATTTTAAACTAGAGTTAGTTGTAAACTAATAAGTGTAATTGTTAATAAAAGTAGAATTAGAGTGGTTATTGGTCTACTTTTCAATTTTCTTTTAATCATATTAAACAGCAGGAAGATAATCTATAGTTTGCATAGGATTTTATTTGATTTGACTTGGAAGTGCAAGGACTTACTCAATATATTTCCCATTTTTTATGTATTACTGTATATCATAGATATCAATAAAATCATCTCTGCTATAATCAATCTACTTTACAAAAGATTCTAAAAACTCTAAATTCTCATCTTTAAATATGTTATTTCCGAGATAAAAAGCAAACTTTTCAAATTAAAAAATATAATCTCTTTACTAAAATTAAAAGAAAAGAAAAAATTACTTTTTAATATGAAACTTTTAAATTATTTGAATTATCACCTTCTAATTTAACACTTTTGTGTACTGACTTTAAAAAATGTTCTGCAGACTCAAATTATTAATAATGATTTTTTAGCTTTTACATGAAATCACCTCTATCAAAAATTCTTTCTTTTGGAACTCTTGTTGCTTCTATTGTTGAAATGGATTGTAAAAAGTTAAAATAATCTATTCTCTCATTAGAATCTTTTTTTAAGTATCTTATCATTCTGTTTACTTCAGATATACTAAGCTTTAGCTTACTTTTTATCATACAAATTTTAAAGCTTGCAACATCTAATAAGCCTTATTAATGCTCATCATATTACTATTATTTTATTAAGTACATTTTAATTTTTTTAAATTCTCAAAAATATTTAGAAATACTATAAAAAGTTGCTTTAAATCTTCAAGCAATTCTTAATCAGTAAATTTTAGCTTCAACCTCCATAGCAAATTTTTAAACCAAGAAGGATCGTGCTCTTTATCATCTTTATAATCATTAAATAACATTTAATCTATAATTATCAAATTTTTGATTTATTTACCTTCTTCAATAGATTGCAAATGTTAGACTAACTAATGAACTGATATCTAACTTTATCCTGTTATTGATAAGATAGTGTCTGCTATTTTTTCAGCTTTTGAATCATCAATTGTTAAGCAAATTTATTTCATGCTTTATATGAGGTCTTTTTTATTCAAAGGTGCAGAATCTCTACTTAATTTACAAGTTTTTAAGATATCATCTGTCCTAAGTCCTTTTTTAAAGATGACATCTCTTATGTAATCTAAATGCCTAACTTTTTATTTTTAATGAAATAATATTATGTTCTATTTTAATATAAAATGTACTTTAAGAGGGTAAATATTCTCCAAAAACTTTTTGCCAGTCTATATAGTCAATATAATTCTTTTACTTTTCATCTAAAAGTTTAAAAGCTTCCTATATCTAAAATAATAAAAACATTTTATAATAATTAACAAGTCAATAAAATAAATAAATCTTTTCTTAAATAAAATAAAAAAAATGAATCTTTTATTTAATAAAATAAAAATATTATACCAATTCTGGTGTTAGTTTGATTTCATTTTATTAAATGCAGGTCTAAAAATTTTGAAAATCTAACTTTAAGAACTAAAAATTTTTAGATGAGGCAAAGCCCTTTTCACACAATTGTATAAAACCCTTTTAATTATATTTATGTTATTATGATATACAAATAACAAATTAAATACTCTTTCTGCATCTAAATGGTTTTATCTCATCCAGAATTATATGATTCTTTAACACATTGGCTTGTTTAAGTTATAGATTTCACTTTGAAAACTGAGTTAAGTTTTCATGGATTTATGAGATATTTCGGCTTAAGAAAGATTTTTTTTCTTGTTGCTTGGATCTCTTGCAAATTAGTTCTCGTTAATAAAAGATAGAGATTTTTATTATTGATTATGATTTCTTTGTTTTATAGGTGAAAATTGTTCTTCGATTTAAACTTATTTTTCTATTTTTTAATATAATTTTTATTTGACATTACTACAAATACTATTAAAATTCTACTTTAATCATTAATTATGCCTTATAAATTTATTCCGAGATTATTCCTTAAGTAAGAATTAACTGATGAAGCAATATCAATCATAGATTTATTCTGCTCCAACTTTTCTGGCGACAAGCTAGAAAATTTATTTCTGTATTCTAACACACTCAAATTAGCAGCTGTTAATGTCATTTCTCCTTTTTCTTTTCTTTCATCAAGAGCAAGGTTAGTTGAATACTATTTTAATAAAATATGATTAGTTATAAATAAATGTTAAAAATAATATTCAACCTATGTACTAGCTATAAAGCTCTGATGAAAATTCACTCCACACATATTATTTCTAACAATTAAAAAGCCTATTCCAGGAATTTCCAAATCAGCTTATCCATTCTTTTTTTGTAAAAATAATATTTTTAAACTAATTAGCAGGTAGTTATTATTTATAACATACACTATTTATTTTGGAAGCCAAAGTAGAAATCATCCTATTTACTCCAGCTTTGCATTTTATTGGGTCTACTGATATGAGATTTGAAATTTCACTAAAGTTAACTGTTACTTATTAAACTTATCCACTTGTAACTAAACTATATGGTCTAAGTTATGAGGTCACTTCGCTATAAATACTTTATTTTAACCCTAATCCTTTTACAAAATCAGCAGAAACTAAAAATACTGGTTATCTCTTTTGTTTTTCTCTTAATTTTTAAGATGCAAATCCCTTCATATAAAATATGTTTTAGATTTTAATTTTAATTCTACAAGATCATAAAACTAAAAATAAATGCAAAGTCTAAAAAGTTATGATTACATCTTTGTTAAAGTCAGTAGGACCAAATGTAAACAATCCAAATTTATGAATTAAAACACCTCTCCCCATTCTCATCTATCTTGAAATATGCAGGCCTAAATTAAAAAATAGATTGGAAAGTCTAATTAGTATTTTAAACTTAATAAAGTAATACCTAATCCTCCCCATATTTTATGCATTGTATCATCATCTATGTCTTCAATCATTTTATAAAGTCTGATTTAATAATAATATTGAACTCAATTTAAGACTAAAATTTATAAATGCAATACTTATTATCATTCAGCTGATATGCTGATTTGATTAAAGCAGCAGAGTTTACAGATAGCCTTGATATATCTGAAAATTGAGATGCCATTTTTATAATATTTATTATGAAAATTAATTCTATAAATTTTATTTTATTATATTTTTCTATTTACTTACAGATTAATTGCTGTAAATTTTTTTTGTTGATAGTTTGTAAATTAATAATTTTTATAAATTCGCACTAACTTTTTTTAATAAAAATAAATAACACTTTCTATAAAAAGTAAATGATAAATAGTTAGTTAATAATTAATTTATGGTTTGTATGCGATATCTTCTAATTTTTAATAAATTTATTAGGAATAAATTATTTTCAATAAGTTCTTGAAATACCATTAAATATTTGTTATAATAATAACATAGTTCTCTTTTTCATTAGTGTTTTACCTTATATTTGCTAATTATTAGTATTTTGATTAAAATTGCTTATGCAGAATACTCTTTGTCAAAAAATTAAAAATAATCTTACATTTTTTGCTTTTAATTAAAGTTAATATAATTTATTCAAAATTTTAACTTATCAAAAAATAGTCGTTTATATTTAAGTAATATCGTAATGAATTAAACAGCAGAAAGCTAATTAGATTAAAAAATATGTATAGAAATTTTATAAGAGTCAGAGCAAAATTTCAAAAAAACTCATTCATTTGGTAAGAATAAATGTATTTTTATTGTAATCGTTAATCTTATTTTATATTTAAAGAAGAGAGATTCATAGAATACTAAATAATAAGATGCAATTATCCTGGATTTATACCAATAGCTTGCGAATTAGAGAATATAACAGATGTTGATGTATCGAAGTAAATTGAATATTTTTAAAATATAGCTTAAAATATATTAAAAATATTTAATAGGCATATCAATTTCAGGTTTTATGTATCTGATGATATCTTTGTTGGTAATATACACTAAATTATATTGTTTAATATAATTTTTCTCAAAAATTATCCTCCATTTAAAAAAAAAAATATTTAGGCCACCTTAAGAATTATTTGAAGGAGTTATTTTAAAAAAGAATAAAAACAATGAAGAAATCTCACCGCCTTCATTTACTGATTGAAGATGATGTCATAATTAAACGTAATTGCTTGTTTATTTTAAAAAAATAAATAACTAAATTAGATTTTTATATGAATAATATTTCAAGCTTTAAAAATTTAGTTTTGTATTAAATTTAATAAATAATAAATAATAGATGATATTCCAATAAAGGAGGTTTATACTAAAAAAGTTGAACCTGATGGATGGCTTTATCTAAAACTATCAATCGATTATTGATAAATTGATGCTATTAATTAATTAAATACTTTATTTTTATTATACTAAATACTAGATAAATACAAAAAACAAATATTTATTTTGAAAATTGAAATTCAAAATAGATAATATTTTATTAAGTTATTTTGATAAAATTGTTGTATTTTTATTTCTGAACTTAAGATAAATTTATTTATATAATATAAAAAATATTAAGAGAGATATAATTTTTTATTGATTGAATAGAGTTTTATTTATTAGAAGTTATTTTAAAAATTCATACTGACTCTTCTTAGTCTTAGTAACTTTATTTATTAATATGTTTTTATTCAATGTTACGAGCCTCTTTTATAATCTATAAAATATCCATTTTTTCTATTTTTTATAAATTTGTCATCACAACTGCAAAGTCTTCGTCAAGTAATACAGATCTATTTATCTACAATATAGCTAGCCCAACATAAAAAACATAAACTAAAATATTTTTCCTACTTAACAGTGTATCCCAAAGACGTATAACATCATTCAATTAAAACTCTTAAGTATAGAGCAGAAGTAACCACCTTAAACTATAGTACTAGGGGTCAATTTATAGCTTTTCAAAATGGAACCACAAGTCATTATCGTATGCCTTGAGATAGCTGTTGAATTCTTAGCATTATCTTTTTATACCTTACTAGCATTCATCCATTTACCTCATAAATCTATCTTTAAGGAGACCCATAACTTTAATGAAACAAAAAAAAGTATCAGCCTCTATTTATAAAAATCCTTCTTCTTGGAATAAAGGAAAAGCTCTTTCTTTTTAGAAGACGTAATAAATAGGAGCCAAAACTTCATTCATTCCTTAAACGTATTATATTCCTTGATTTAATTTTGCATAAATAAATAAAATACGACTTAATACATCACAATGTCTTTCTTCCTAGCTTATATTTTTCTTCTTCTTTTCTTAACGAATTTAAGTGATAAAAGGTATTTAGAGTCTCACTTCTCTTTATGTATGTGATGTAAAAAAGTGCATATCAGCACGAGTTCTTTCTGTATCTTTCTCTATTTATGTAAAAAGCTCAGAGTCTTAGAAAAAAGAATTCCAGTTACTCTTGCTGCATTTGCTTAAAGGATGATCAACTACTTTTTAAAATTTCATTTTATTTTAGCTGCTCCCTTAACTTAATCTATTTGGATGATTTATTATTGAATTTTTAGAGAATGGATCGCTTTCTTATTTTTTTATTGATAAATGATTAGCTTCGCTTTAATTCGCATTATTTTCTTGCTTTTTTTTTAACTCTTCTTCTTCATGCTCATCAATAATTTTTTAAGGAGGCAACTTTTATTTTCTGAGAAAATCATCTAAAAATTAATTATAAAAAACTCTGCTATCTTATAGCTATTTTGTCCAAGTTGATCTATCTGGTTTAAAATATTCTAAAAGTATCTTCCAGACTAAAGCCCTTAAGCCTATGCATTGATCTGAAATACCTAAATTAGCATATTCTCTTAATTTTACTACATCTACAATATCGTTATTCAAAACTTCTAAAATGTTTTATATATTTTAATATTCAGTTTAAGTAGTCTTAGCTTTCAGTTCGCTATTCAGCTAAGAATTCAAATATTCTAGCGAATAAAAATTATTTGCTTATTCATGATTTAGCTACATTGTATATTACAAATAATTTTGGATTATTTTCGCTAATTTTTGTATTCCTACTTAAGTTTTTTATTAATCTATCTTGTCCAAACAAATAAATTTTTTTCTTAATAAAAATAAGATTTAGAAGTCTTATTAAGTTTTATCTTAAAAAACTATCTTTCAACCTCTAAAAATCTTAAGATGTAAATTACGGGTTTTTAATGAACACAAATTATAAATTATAAAAGAGTAAAACATAGATAAAATTGAAGGAAATTTCATCATCAGATTGCGATTTAAAAAAATATTCTAAAGAAATTTAAGAATTGCAAAATAGATTAATAAATAAATAAATAAAATAAAATTAAAGCCCGTCCAGTATGATATTTTCTATTGAAAATATTTTTTCTATTTCTCAATTGTAATAAACAACTCTGACTCTGCATTAAATATATAAAAAATAGTCTCTTTTACTTTAGGAATAATCAATATTTATAAAAAATAGATAGATAATTAAAAAAGAAATTTCTTTAGAATAGTGTTTGTTTGAACAATAAATTAAAAAGAAGTGTCTTTTTCTAAATTTAAAATATTCATATAGTAAATTATTATCTAAAATCTATTAATACTCAGTAAAAAATATTTTATAATTTAACTTTTTAAATAAATATTCTCACAATTTAATACATAATTTTTTAAAATATAAAAACTATTTTGATATTTGATGCAAGAAGAAACAACTTTTCATTAATAGGATTTTTTAATTTTTATAAGTTTATTTGTAATAGTTAAATGGATTTCAAAATATTGATTATTTTCTATCTCTATTAATTTTTTTAAGAAATTAATAAAATAAACATAAAAATGAATATATATTACTGTGAGTAATTTAGGTTAGTTAATTACTAAATCAAGTATTTATAATATAAATTGAAAAAATTTATTAATTGATAAAAGAACAATAATAATATTTAATAATTAGCAATAGGCTATCAAAATAGATTAAAAAACATATCTTATTAACTTAACAGCGATATTAGAGGTATATTTTATATCTAAATCTAAACATTAAAAAGAATTATATTCTTTATTAGTTAATTAAATATTATATATATTTATTATAATTATTAGGCAAACCAAATAAATTTATTAAGTTTATCAATTAACAACTGAATAATAAGTGTTAGTGTTAAATATGGGACAAATTTGCAGTAAAATATGCAATACAACTGAAAGTGCTAAGGATAGTTAGTATGAATAGACCCCAAAAATAAATAATGCTATTCCTATAAATAACCTCACTCATGGGGAAAATACTTAATTACTTAATTCAACCAAGTTGGAGTAAAAATAGTAGAATGGACAACTTCCACAATAATCAGTTTAGTAGTTATAATTATCTATCAAAACAGAAGATTAAAAAACAGTTGAAGCACCAAAAAAAAAGGATTTAACATATAAAGATTTTGATAGACTTTAGAATTTAGGTTCAGGTGCATACGGCGATGTGATATTAGTTAAAAAAAAGACAAACAACAAGCAATTTGCTATGAAAATTATAAAAAAATCAAAAATAGTGAGTCGTAATCTCAATCCTTAAATGATCATAGAAAAGAATGTCCTTCTCGAAAATAAGCATCCTTTCTTAGTTAGACTTAAATACTCCTTTTAAACAGAAAAAAAACTCTACTTAGTTATGGAATATTGCCCTGGAGGAGAACTATATACATATTTAGTAAATAATAAAAAGTTTTCTATAGAAGTCTCTAGGTTTATTGCAGCAGAAGTCCTATTAGGTAATTGGTTTCTCTTTCTTAAAAATAACAAAATAGTTTAATCAAATCGAAAATTTTCTACCCATTTATGAAATATTATGTATTGAAATGAACTGACATTAAACTAGAGTATGAATGCACATATTAGATTGCTTTAACAATTAAAATATAAATATTTCTATTTAGATTTCAATATTTCAAAAGGTGGAGGAGGGATAGAAGAAATAAATTAAAAATTAAAATTTTTGGAGATTAAAAAGTGAAATAATTTTATTTATTTAATAAATATTAGGTTTGGAATACTTACATAAAAGCATGAAAATTATTTATAGAGATTTAAAACCAGAAAATATTCTTATTTCTGAAGATGGCCATCTTAAAATAGCAGACTTTGGATTAGCAAAATAGTTTAAAAGAGAAGACGAACTAACAACTACTTTGCGTGGTACTCCTGAGTATATAGCTCCAGAAGTTATTTTGGCAGAGTAAACTGGTAAGGGATATGGTCTCTAATGTGATATTTGGGCATTTGGTATATTTTTATTTGAAATCATAAGTGGAAATCCTCCTTTTACTGATAAAAACAGAAACTGGGCTGGTATTAAGTAAAAAATTCTATAAAATAAGCCTCAATTTACAGCTGATTTTACAGAAGAATCTTAAGATTTAATTTGTAAATGTTTAAAGGACAACCCTTTAGAGAGGCCAAACTGGGATGAAATTAAAGTGCATCCATTCTTCTCTAAAATCGATTGGGAAGTTCTTTTATCTAAGGGCATAGAGAGTCCTCTCAAAAAACTAATTCCTAAACGTTAAGGCAACTTAATTCAAAGACCTAGACCAATTTTTGAAACTTAAACAAACGATAAATATGAACAGCTAAATGGTTTTACTTACGATCCTCAAAGTCACTGTAACCCCAACAAAGAATACTGAAGAATCTACTAAAAATTTTAACTTAATTCTTTCCTTTATGGTTATCATCCTAAAATAATTTAAACAATAGTTTCTAATTATATTAGATCTAAATTAAAGAGTAGTTTTAAACAATAAATAAATGAATAAAGTTCTGTAATTTTATAATGTCATCACACCAAATAATTTGGTAGTATATTAAATATTGTCTATATTATTTAATTTAAAATCTAGTTTAAGATAAGTACATAGGTAGATATTTCTTAAAGAAAAAATAACCTTAATAAGGTTATATGCTATTCAATAGAGCAAATTACTTAGAAACTTATATAAAATATTCTAACGAGGTACAAAAATAAAAGCTATTTAAGTATTACACATTTTTTATCGATTAACCATAATGACAAATTAAATTTTGCTGAATTGTGTTATAGATAGAGAGATAGAAAATCTGAATTATATTAACAACAATTATTTTTGTAAGTTATAAATAAATAAATATTAATAAAATAATTATCCTATATTTTTATATCTTTAGTATTTTGTTTCAAAAGTTTGCAATTATTTTAAGAAGTAAAATAATATTTCAATAACTTAATTAGATAAAATTTTCATATTTTAATTTGAGATATTTATTTATTTATTTACTTTTATTTTAAAGTGTAATTTTAATTTAAAAATATAATAATGGCTATTGAAATTTCATTCAAAATACCCAAAATATATTTCTCCTTAATAACTTAATTTCTAAAACTCATAACTTATTTTAACCAAACTTAGATTTGTTTTTTTGGAAGAACTGCTTTTTACATATATAAATTAAATCAAAAGCGCAAAATTAGTAATAAATAATTTACCTTAATATGTTATTAATATACAAAAAACTTTATTGTAAATATATAAAAGTTATTAAATAGTATTTTTTATGAAAATCATTAATAACTTTCAAAATATATTTATTGATTAGATTGCTGCTCTAAAGATTGTAAAATAACATTTTTGGTTTTTTAAGAAGTAAGTATAAATACAGTATTTCTGGTTAATATTTCTTATATGAATAACTCTTTTAATATTTTTTATGAAAAATAAAACTTTTAAAAAAGACTTGTAGACATTCATGTATAGAGTTATTTTTAACGAACTGTATGATCAATTTTATTTTAGCCTTTTAATGAATGTAGATGAATTTTTATTTATATTATAGACAATAGCTAGATTATAATTTAGATAAAAAATTACAAATAACTATCTTGATATAGATGAATCATCTATTATCTATATTATCAAAATAAGACAGAATATTAAATAAACAATTTTTAAAAAAATTGAATGGATTTTTCTTTAATAGAATTATTTTTGAAATTTGGCTCTCTAATGCGATATCTCTATTAAATAACTGAGTTATTAAAGATTTAGTGAAGATCCTAGATTGTTTGCTCAAAAATAACTAAACCTTTTATGATTTTTTATAAAGACAAAAATTTGATTATATTAAGAATAATCAATTAAAGCAAAAAAAAATTTAGTTTATTACAATCAATATTTTTATCTAAAATGGGATAAATAGCTAGCCAGCTTTGTAATTAAAACAGCAAACCAAATTAAGAAACAGATCCTATAAGGTAATCTTTACCACCTCCTCCACCTCCTCTAAGTAATGGAGTCGCTAAAGCTTAGCTGTCTTACAACGATTTCGAAATTGTAAAAAGTTTAGGATAAGGAGCTTATGGAAATGTTTATTAAGTATAAAAGAAAACAAGTAACAAGCAATTTGCTATGAAAGCTATTAAAAAATCTAAGCTTTTATAAAATGGGATGGATTTGCAAATGTTAATGGAGAAAAATGTTCTCCTTAAAAATAAACATCCTTTTTTGGTGACTTTGAAGTATTCATTCTAATCAGATAAAAAATTATACTTAGTTATGGATTTATGCAAAGGCGGAGAATTGCTTAGCTATATTTCTTAACTTAATAGATTAGGAATTTCATAGGAAGTAGCAAAGTTTATAGGTGCAGAAGTATTATTAGGTAAATAATCAAGTTTTAATTTTAGCTTTTTGCTAATAAAATTAGTTTATTTTTTATATACTTATACATATTTGCTTATTTATTAAGTTTGATTTTCAAACTCACATAAGCAAATAATTGTTGAACAACAAAAACGAATTTTAATAATTAATTATGATACTTTTATTTAAATAGGATTAGAATATTTGCAAAGAAAACTGAAGATTATGTATAGAGATTTAAAGCCAGAAAATATACTTGTATGTGAAGATGGCCATATTAAAATTGCAGATTTTGGTCTTGCTAAGCATTTCTATAGTGAAAATGAAAAGTGTACTACGGTTTGTGGAACTTTGGAATACTTAGCTCCTGAAATTATTTAATCTTTATAGCCTGGATTTTAAGGATATGGGATAGAAGTCGATATATGGGCTTTTGGTATATTTTTATTTGAAATCATATCAGGCCAACCTCCATTTACACATCCTAAGAGAAACCCAGAAATAATAATGAAAAAAGTGCTATAAAATAAAGTGCAATTTCCATCTTATTTTAAAGAAGAAAGTAAAGATATTATTCTAAAATGCCTTTAAAGTAATCCTTAAGATAGACCAACATGGGATTAACTAAAAAATCACCCATTTTTCTCTAGTATCAATTGGGACGATTTGTATAATAAATAAGTTATTAGTCCTATATTAAAACATATTCCTAAACGTTAAGAAGTTAAAAAATTAGCAAGACCCATTATAGAAACATAAACAGATGAAATATATAGATCTATTAAAGATTTTTATTATGCACCATAAAGTCTAGTCAATTAAAATTCTAACTAAAGCTGAAATAAGTTCTAGTAGATACTTCATTTATTAGTTTAATAATAATTTTCAATACTTTATCTAACTAAACAATTTCTAATCAATAAGTGTCTCAGTAATTCATCCTATAAATTATAATAAAAAGTAAAAAACAATTATTTTGAGTTTATCTATTTTACTAAAAGTCCAAGTTAATAAGTTATTTATTATCAAAATTATAATATTTAAATAAATTGTTAAATATATTATTCATATTTTATTTTAATCTTTCTAGTTTTAAATCCTAATTTTAATTTCAAAATCAGTTCCACTTTCCAAATAAAAAGAAGTACATAAAAGATTAATTTATTTCTATAGTCTTTAATTGTGTTCCACGATTGTAAGAGAGAGTAAAATTTCTATAAATTAATTATCTTTAATGAATATAATAATTTTGTATAAAAAATATTTTATTTTGACCCTCACTAAATCTAAAATTTATTGAGAGAAATTAGTTTTTTATTTAAAAACTATAAACCCTCTTCAAAATAATTTCCATCGCATTTATCTTACTGTAATTCATATGTTAAATTTATTATTTTTTTTTATCAACTTTATTAAATTAATTTTATTTCAAGTGTTTTTTATCAATATTTACTGATTTATAAACAAAAATGAATAAAAAACAATTTAAATATTAATCAAAATTAAAAAGTAATAAATATTTTACTAATTTTTTATGAAAAAACTATTTAAGCTAATTATGTATTTTTATTGGTCAAATTTTTTATAGGCCTTATATTTAAATTCTCGTTTATTTTTTAAATACTCTAATTAAAATATTTATTTTTGTCAAGTTCTTCATTCATTAATTACTACACTAATTTATTCAATATTTCTTTTTGATACCTACATAATTTGATTATAAATTAATGGTTTAAAATTTATTATTGGTTAAGGCATTATTTGGAGTTTAAATGAGGATAATTGTTATAAAAATTAACTTTTGAAAAAGTGTAATTATTCTTTTTTAATAATCAAACATGCAATTTAAAAAATCAGTTTTTTCATTTCTGCTTTTTAAGTAGAGTATTATTTTGACCAAATAAGTATGAAATTGATGAAATTTCTGTCTTTCAATTTTTCTTGAGAGAAATCCTAAAAGATTAACATTAAATTCAAATGTATGTTATTTAAACAAATTAATATATAAAATTTTTGATTAAAGTAAATTAAGTGTAAAAGTTAATAATAAATTGAAACAAGTAAAAATTACACTAAGAAAGAAATTAAAAATTTGTACAAAAAAATAAAGTTTATATTACCTCTCTCTCCTTTCATTTACTAAATTTTTTAAAATTTAAATCATTTTATTTCATAAAAACTACCAAAAATTCCATAAAAACGCTTTAGCAATGAATTATGAAATTACTAAAAGAATATTTAACCTTATGAAAAGTAGAAGGACTAATAGTCATAAGCATCAAACTGAATAGCCTTCGTAGATGAGCTAGTCAATCACTAAAAGATAAAATAATAAAATAGAGTTAAAATATGTTAAGAATGAAGTAAATGAATCCAGAGTAAAAAAGCTAAAACTTTTAGATGAACATATCTATAAACCTACTCCTTACATGTCTAATTGTTTTCTATAAAGCCTATTTAATATAGCTTTTAGTGATAATCTTTGTATTAACTATAAAAGAGAGCTTGTTAAGCTGCAGGATGGGGGATAAATATCTCTAGATTGGGCTCTACCTATTAATTTAAAAACAGCACAAGAATATAATCCTAGTGACGACACAAAAATTTTATTTGTAGTTCATGGCTTGACAGGTGGCTCTAATATGAACTACATAAAAGAAATGATTTAATAAGGCTAAGCTAGTGGCTATAGGTATGTATTTACTTAGAAATAATTTATATAACAATAATTTATGAAATAGATGTGTTGCTTTTAATTCAAGAGGTATTAATACTTAGTTGACAACTCCTGTTCCTTTCAATGGCGAGTGTCTAGATGATCTTAGTTATGCCCTGAATCTTATAAAGAAAAGATATCCTAAAGCTCCTCTGTTTGCCGTTGGAGCAAGTTTTGGCTCTAATATGCTCCTTCGCTTGGTAGGAAATATGAAAGAAAGGAATTTTTTAGATGGAATTGTAGGTTTATCTACTCCTTTTAATGTTATTCAGTGTATTGAAAAGCTTGGTAGAGTTTATGAAGAGTTTTTTGTTTACAGGTAAAATTAATATTATTAATGATCAAAATAAATATTTGATTTTGTAATTTAAAATTGTGGCTTATAATTGTATATATAAATAGGTATAAGGCAAACTGTATAGATCCTCATTTAAAAATTTTGAAATCTTTAGAGAAAACTCATAACATAGACTTTAAAAAAATAGCTAAAGTTAGAAGTTTAAGAGAATATCATGAGCAACTTTCAATTAAATTATTTAATTATTCTTCAGTTGATGAATATTTTGAAAAATCAATGGTCAAATCTGAATAATTACTGAATATCAAGTGTCCATCCCTCTTACTTCACTCAAAAGATGATCCTATTGTTACATATGAATGCATTCCTTAAGATATTTTAAGAAAGAACCCTTTTATAATCTAAGCAGATACAGAAAATGGAGCTCATAATTGTTGGTTCACAGGAATAAAACCAGAAAGGGTATATTTAAATTAAATTAAAATTCAATTTTTTGAACATTTTTTTAATAATTTTAGTGGTATCCTAAACCTGTTATTTAGTTTTTTGAAGTACTTTTAGAAGAAAATTAACAAGAGACATCATTTGGTATGGAAGAAAAATGCGATTGAAACTTGTTCACCAAACATATTATTAATTAAAAAATTTATTTACAAATTAAAGCTAGTTATACTATATAATATATTTTTTATAATAATCTTATAAAATTTAGTCGAAATTTTAGTTTTAAATTCTAAAAATTAATTACTGTGCATTCTTTTAAATTACCACCCATCACTATTACAAATTTTTTGTTATAATTAGGATTTTTTTTAGAATTTTAAAAAATTTTTAAAAATAATGTGGCTTTGTATTTAAATAATTTACAATTTGACTAAATGTTTTTAATTCAATAAATTCATTAAAAATTGTAGCCCACCACTTATTTTTGAATAGTACAAAAAATATATTTGATTATTATTTATTTTTGTGTATAAAAGTAGGATTTAAAATATTTATTAAAATACATAAAGAATCTAAGTTTAAATAAAATGAATCATCATTTTGCGAAAAAATGGATACAAAATTTGAAAAATAAAGTAATTCATCATGTAAAACCAAGTTTAGGACTTCATCATTTTAGAAAATAAGAGTCGTTGAAAATCAAACCAAAAAATTATAAAATTGAATTAAAGTATGTGGAAAATGAAATTAATTAATAAAGAGTAAGTAAATTAACTCTATTGACTGAAAATAAGTATAGTCCATCTCCTATGATGGCTCATTCTTTCATGTAGAGCTTGTATAACATTAGGTATAGCAGAACTTTAAAAGTTAATTATTCTCGTGAATTAATCAAATTAGAAGATGGAGGGTAGTTTTCTTTAGACTGGGCTCTTCCTATTAATTCTATAACAGATGAGGAATATGAGCCTTCTCCTGAAACAAAAATTTTATTTGTCATACATGGTCTTACTGGTGGTTCAAATATGAATTATATTAAAGCTATGATTTAACACGCTTAATAAAATGGCTATAGGTAAAAATTGTTTATAGTTTCTTAAAAGTATAAATTTATTTTCAACAATTTCAAAAAATTTTATTTAAATTTTATAGGTGCGTAGCTTTTAATTCAAGAGGTATAAATACAGAGTTAAGCACTCCCGTTCCTTTTAACGGTGAATGTTTAAAAGATTTAAACTTAGCCCTTAATACAGTAAAATAAAGATACCCTAACGCTCCTATTTTTGCAGTGGGAGCAAGTTATGGGTCTAATATGCTTCTAAGATGGGCTGGGAATATGAAAGAAAATAATTTCTTAACTGCAATGGCTGGCCTTGCTACTCCATATAGTATAGTATAATGTGTTGATAAAATGGGCTATGTTTATGAAGGCTTTTTTGTCGATAGGTATATATTTGAATATTCTACTTTTTATGATAGTTTGAAGAAATAATATGCTTTTTTTCTAGAAAGTGCCTTTGTTATATTACATTAAATTTAATAAATTTCCAATAAAATTAAAATATAAAAGGTACAAAGCTAATTGCATAGATCCACATAAAGATATACTTAAGTAACTTAAAGAATCACATAATATATGCTTAAAACGATTAGCCAAAACTAAAAAATTAAGAGAATTTCATGAAGAAATAACTATTAAATTGTTTGGTTATAAATCAGTAGAGGAGTATTTTAACTCATCTAATGTTTAACCTGAGTAAATTAAAAATATTAGCCGCCCTTGCTTGTTGATGCATTCAAAGGATGATCCAATTGTTACATATGATTGTGTTCCATCTGATGTTTTAATATAAAATCCTTAAATAATTTAAGCTGAAACTACTCATGGTGCTCACGTATGCTGGTACACTGGAAAAACTCCTTAAAGGGTAAACAAAAAATATCTTTGATTTATTGTTCTTTTAAATTATTTTATTTAATTTAATTTTGTTAATAATATATTTTCGTAATAAATAAAGTGGTATCCCAAGCCAGTTCTATAATTCTTTGAGACAGTATTAGAAGAGGAGTAAATTAAAAAATAATAATTAGTGTAAAAAAATAATTAATAATTATGAAAATTGGAAAAAATGTATTCTTTTTATATCTTACACATATTTTACAATTTACATTTCAGATAAATCAGTAAATTTACTTCCAAAATTATAATTAGATATCCTCATTAAATTATTAGTTATCCTAGTCTGATTTGTAATTTTATGTTATTTTATTAGGTTGAGTTATCAAAATTTTAATTCAATTAGCTGTAAATATTTTAAATAAGCAAAAATAATAACCATAAACAAAAAAGTAAGAGGTTTAAGTTGATTGTAGAAGTTATCAAAATTAATAGTCATTAATTTCATCTGTTTTTAAATAAATGTATTAATTGTTAGATTATTTAATTGCATTTTACTTTACTTTATTTACACTATTAAAAAGAATTTTTCAAAAACTGATATTAAAAATTGTAAAATTAATTCATAAATTTACCATTCAAATTTTTTGATTACTCGTAAAGATTTGAATAAATTTATATTTTAATTTGTTTTTTTTCCCTAATTATTTTAAACTTTGAATATCTTTCACTCATTCATTATTAATTTCAAACAATACTAATCTCTACCAAATTATTTATTATTTAACTATTTTTTAATTGTTTTTGTTTATAATTAATTATATAATTATTTTTAGATTTTATTAAAGAAGTCAATAAAATGAGGTAGCAAGAAAGCGAAAGCTTTAAATAAGCTAAAGTGTCAATAAACTCGGATTAAAATTTGTAGAATTAGTATGAGAACTTAGAGTAGGAGTAAGGAATAAAATAAAAACTGTTATTGCAAGAGGAATAACCACCTTAATAGATAGTTATTTAAAAGGATATTTAATAACCTGCTGCAGCTCCAAAATAACGTTTGGAATGCTTAGATATTTATAGAGGCTTGACTATGGTTGGCATGATTTTAGTTGATAATATGGGAAATTCATCAGTTATTTGGCCTTTAGATGAAACAGAATGGAATGGATTAAGTACTGCAGATTGTGTTTTTCCTTCTTTTTTGTTTATTAGTGGGATGGCAATTACTTTAGCTATTAAGCATAATGGAAATAAAAAGCAGTAATTTTTTAGAATTTTAGAGAGATTTGTCAAGCTATTTGTTATTGGAGTGGCATTAAATGCTGCTTGTGCGAACTATAAGCAACAATTTAGAATAATGGGAGTATTGCAAAGAATAGCCATTTGTTATTTTGTTACCTCTACTTCTTACCTATTTTTATAAAATTTTGCTGTTTAATTTGTATTAAATGGAGTTTTTCTTTTGATTTATATCTATTTCATGTATTTCTTTGATGTTCCTGATGGATGCGGTGCAAATAATGTTACTCCAACCTGCAATTTTGGAAGATACTTGGACATGTAAATTTTTACTCTGAATTATATGATGAAGCCCAGTGATCCTGAAGGATTATTTACTACTTTAGGAGCATTAGTTACTACTTTTATAGGTAAGTTTTGAATATTAAAAAAAATCTTTTACCTGACCAAAAATTTTCTAATAATATAATTAAGGGTTGTGTTATGGACTTGCATTGTAAGAATTCAAATCATAAAAGAAAAGATTAAGCTGTATCTGGTTTGTAATGAGTCTTGTACTAGTTTTTATAGGAGGCATCTGCTGTTTTTTAACTCCGATTAATAAAAAAGTATGGAGCCCTTCCTTTGTTTTTATTGTTGGAAGTATGAGTGGAGCCTTCTTAAATTTGTGCTTCATTGTAGTGGACATATATAATAACTTAAAATTGAATAAAGCTCTAGAATTTTTAAAGTGGCTTGGCTTGAATCCTCTCTTTGTGTTTGTAGCTATGATATGGTTAGAATTAATTATGCTGCTCAATATTCATTTCTATGTTGATGGTACACGTTATAGCCTTTGGAATTTTATTTCAGAGTACGTATTCTTAGGTGCATACATAAACTCTTATGTAGCTTCATTGGCTGTTTCTATATTCCATCTTTTACTTTGGATAGGAATATCTTACTATCTCTATAATAGAAAAGTATTTATCAAACTCTGATTAATAAAATGCTAATAAATTATAAATAAATTCAAAATAATAATAATAAATTTTATAATAACAAAATTCAAGTATCAATTTTGCTTATTTAATGTTTTTAATCTAATTTAGATTTTAGTATAATATTTTTTTACAATAAAAAGCTTAAATAAATCAATTATTTAGTTAGTAATTTACATGAAATATTTTATATAATATTTTAGACATTTTAAGCTTGTTTTCAAAATTTAATTTAATATGTCAACTGATTAAAACTTTTTATAGCATTCTAACTTAGCAGCAACTGCAAATAATTTAGTTATAGAATTAAAATTAATTTAAATATCTGTTACATCACCCATAATGAGCATAAAAATAAAAGTAGCTTTTATGAAAATTTAAGCTTTATTTTCTGATAAATTCAATCAAATATTAAAGAGAAATCATAAAAATAAATAAAATAATTTAATATATAGATAGACAAAATTGTTAGAATTAATAAAAAATATTGAAATAAATTATTTTTATTTTTGATAATTAAGAATCATAACATAAACTTTTATTTATTTTTAACTATTTCTGCTATTAAGTCATCCTTCTACTTATCCATATTTTTAGCTTACCAAAGAAAGATGTTTGTATTAATTTTTCCTACAACAGGGCCTTACTTATCCAGTTCAAATATTCCCATAATTTCTTTACCCTAATTTAAGTTAAAAAGAAGATATAAATATTACTTTAGATCCATATTTATTTATTAATTTTTTACGTCAATTAAAGGTTTCATTGCATATACTTTTTCGATTTTGTTAAAATAAATAAACTCAATTAACTTATCATAACTTGAGGAAAATTCATCCTTGAATTAGATAGAGTCACTTATTCTAGCAATAGAAAACGCGAGCTCCCATGTATTTCCTAGCTTTTTAATTAGTTGAGCTATATTATTAAATTCTTCATCGAAATTTTTCTTAATAATTTCTTAAATCTTGAGAGCATTTTCACAAGTTTGAGTTATAATAGTGCAAACCTTCAAGGCTTTATCAGGGAACTATGAAAAATATTTTTTATGAATTTTTATATTTAATGTAATAATTTTTTAATTAATTAATTACTTTAAGGGATTCAAAAGCTAAATATTGAGGAAGAGACATTATTGTTTTATTAATTTTATACTAAATTTTAGCGAATGGGAAAGAAATAGCAGACATTAAGAATAATAATTAAACATCTTATTATTAGAAGTCCTGTGATAAAATGGGCATATCTTATACAGTTTTTAGTTCTTAAACTGATCTGATTGCAAGGTTATATGATTCTAGTTATTTTTAATCATAGAACACTTTATCTTTCAATTCGTCACATTTATCTGGCATCTAGAATACAATTGACCATAAATTATTTTAGAATATTAAGTTCAATCCTATCTCCACATTCTTATCTTTCAATATTTTTTCAAGCTCAGTTCTTATTCTTTCTCTGCTAACTTTTTCTTCTAAACTAATCTATTTTTTTATTTTAATTAATAATAAATAAGTTAGTAAAAGATACAAAAATTTAATACTCTTATTTATTCTTATTTAAGTGCTTCAATAATGTCTGGAACTATTGAAAAAGAATACTTTGTTGCGAATCTAAATGTTCTCAAAATTCTCAAGGGATCATCAATAAAGGTCTTTATTTATTATTAAATTAATTTCAACTTAATATTTCAAGCTATTTACTTATGTAGGATCTAATGGAGTTCTGATGATTTTGTTTTAAAGATCACTAAGACCTTTACCTGTAAAATCTTCTATTTAACAAGTATTAATATTGTAGAACATTGAATTTATTGTTAAATCTCTTCTTTCAGCATCTTAAAGTGGAGTACCAAATTTCTTTTAATATTATTTGCATTATTTTTTCATTAAGTTTAGTCTTTTTGAATGTAAATTTTGATTACCATAGTAGGAATTCTAGATTTTGTATATTCTTCATGTCTTAAATTAGCGATATCAATGTCGTATCCAAAAATTTTGAAAGTGACTGTTTCTAAATGCTTAGATTTATCAGGGTTACTTTTAATAACACCATGACCTGATATAAGGTCTTCCTAACCCTTTTCCTTGAGGTAGTCAATCAATAAGTTAATAAACTACTCACCAGTCATAGTATCTAATGTAATATCAATATCATGACATTCTTAGCCTAAAATCTGGAGTTAAATACAAAAATATTTTTAAGAAAAATCATTAAATAAAAGTAAAAAATAAAATTGTATTTTGATTTAAATAAAAAATTTTACCTTATCACGAACCCAACCTCCAGCTGAACGAAGTACTACTTATATATTTTTGGCTTTAACAAATTCTAGTAAAAAGTCAAATAATTACTTTTCTTTTTCATTTAAAGTAATTTTAATATCAGATTCTATTTCCATCCTTCTTGCACAAGCTCTTAATCTATTAAATGAATACTATCCTTAGTAAAATAGGTGTCTTTATTATTCTTGCTAATATATTTTAATTATATTTTGATTACTTTTTCCTTCAAACTAGGATTATGCTTTTTAATGATATTTTAATTGTTTATTATATTATCTGTTTATATTAAAATTGAGACTAAAAAACTATTTAATTTGATTTTTACCAATAAAGCTAATCATTTACTTATGAAGATATGAAATTTTATTAGATATTTTAATTATCCTACATTCTAATCATTATAAATATTCTTTCCAAGTTAAATAGGCTTATAGACGCAATAGGATAACTGAATTTCTACAATATTTTCTATTTCTAAATTCATAAAAATTAAAATAATTACCAATATTAAAATAATTTCTTTAAATAAATCATTTTTAAAATAAAATAATGAATGTTAATATATTTTTGTGTAGTGTTAATTACTTTTATATTTTAATTTTATTTTTTATTTTTAAAATTTTATAAAAAATATAATTCAATATTAACAAGTGTATTCAATTTAAAAGTATTATCTGTTAAAAAATTAAACGATTATTCTTAATATTTATTTTTTACTTTTAGCCACAACTTATAATCCATTAAAATTGTAAAATATGTTTTAAATTTATTAAAATTGATAGTTAAAAAAGAAACTTTTGATAAACTAAAAAATTAAAGAAGTAATTTTAGAATATAAATAAATTAACAAAAAGAAATCGCTTTTTACTATTAATTCCTTAACTAACATATTTTTGATATTTGATAAGTAAATAACATCAAAAATATTTTCAAAATAATTTTCATAATTTTTTAATAGTAAAAATTACAAAAAAATTAATTTACAAATAAAAATTTGATATTATTTAATACCATATCATTTAGTCTGTAAACCTTATAGAAATACAATATTATTATAATTAAAATTTAATAACTATTTAAATTAAAGCTAAAAAATTAACTTTAAATTTACTTTTAAAATAAAAAAGTGAATGAAAATATATTATTATTCATTTTTTATCTTATCTAATTTTTCTTTGTGTGATTAAATGACCTACTTAAAAGTTTAATCTTAAGATTTTATAAAAATTTATTCGACATTTTAAAGATGAATATCTTTTTGAATAATTTTAAAAAATATTTATTAGCTTTATGGTGTAAAAACCTAATTATTATTTAATGATTCCATTTCATTGATAAAAATTGAATAGCAATACAATTTTAAAGAGAAATATCTTTACTAATTTAATAATAAAAATATCACATGAGCATATTTGGTTGGCTGGCTGAATTAAAAGTACAGATATTATGTAAACATCAATTAAATTTGATTATATAGAAATAAGAATTAATTGAATGTAAAGGATTGATTATTTTCCTGTAAATAAATAGAAATCAATATATCCTTTTATATATTTTTTTACTTTAAAAATATTTGGTACAGAGTAAAATCAATACATTTTTATTGCCATAAAATTGTCAGTTGTCTTTTAAACATAAAAAAAATACAAATTTCTTTTTATTTTTTTGTGCAATTTTATGCTAAGATTTAAGATGTAAGTTTTATTTCAAGTTGGTAGCTTTAAAGAATATTTAATAAATTAAAGACTCTTCTAGATCTATCTCTTCTAGTTAAAATAAAAATGTTGAGTAAATATTTTATGTATCACTCAAATTATACTTTTTTTAAATTTTATTAGATTAATTAATCACTCTAGAAATTTATTTTTTCTTTGATGCATTTGATGATTAGAGTTTTTATATTTATATCTTTAAAAAAGCCTATTATTTTTTGAATAAAATCTTTTCTTTTATTTGTATACTTTGAGAAAGACTGTAATATATTGTATGGTTATAAAAAATATTTGATTAGATTTTTAAAGTTGAAGAAATTATTTATATCTTAAAAGTATGTATGATACATTATTAGTTGAGTTCAAATTAATTATTTATTTATTTATTTCTTTGTTATTTATGATCAATTATTTATTTATTAATTTCTTTGTTATGTATGATCAATATACATTTTTAAAAAAATATTTATGAAAAAAACTTGAGTTTTTGTTTATTTTTGTAGCATTTGATCAAATAAGTTGATTTAGTTTAAAATTATAAGTTAAATTTACAAATAACGATTTAATTATTTAAATATTTCAAAATATTTTAGTGTTGTTCAAGCATTTGTTCTATTTATAATATAGCAAATTATATGGGCTTTTAATTCTAATTAGAATAGATAAATTTGAAACACTGATAAATAAATTGCTGGCTGAACTAATCTATCAAAGTTTATTTTAATTTAATTGAATATATGTAATTTAAATTTCTTCATAATTAATTAATTAAATTATTATTATTTATTTTTTATTAACAAAAAAAAAATTAAAAGTAAAATGTTCTAAGCAAATGTGTTTAGAGTATTATATAGTATTTACTCTTTGATTATTGGAATTTTAATTTTTATATTTTCTATACTGATATACACAGGCTTTTCCTCTGATAAAAGCATTTATTTATAGACTCTTTAAGACTGGGAACAAAATCCTATAGTAGATATTTATGTTTTAAATGATATTACAGTCAACTGTTAACCTGGTGAAGACTCTGTGTTTTAATATAAGTAATTAGTTAATCTAAAATTATTAAATTAATTAAAATTAATATGATTAGTTGGCCTGGGACAAAAGAAGGATGCTTATGTACTTTAACAAATTAAATAAGAGAGGGATAGTGCTGCACTGAGTAAAATAAAAGTGATTGTTGTGAAGGAAAACCAATAAATCCCGTAAAAAACGAGACCCTTGATATTTGGGATATAAATGGAAATAAGTTTAAATTATGTGCAATAAGATTAGATAATTACTCATTTCGAAACAATGCACCATAAAGCCTTAATTGCTTAGCTAGTGAAAAATGGTGTGGTAAAGATTCGTAGGGGAATTAAGATTAAAATTATGGATTTTGTGTTCCAGCTAACTAGAAATGTGCTGTTTAAGAAATTTTGATAGGATAAGTTAATCCAAATCCTTAGCTTTATGATCAAACTAACATATATAATAACAGTGATGGGAGTGGTTTTTGGGTTTTTATAGGTAGAGGAGGCCCACTTAAACTCCCTCTTATAAATTTTAAAGTCAGTTCTAGTGAATAAATTTGCACTAGTGATGATGAAACTATTGGTATTAATTAAGGTTATTAATTAAATAAAATGATTTCGTCATGCAGCTCAGACGATTATTTATATGAAAAGACTAGCATATCAATTAATCAATAAGATTTCTTGAATAGCAATAATTTATCTCAATAATTATCAGCTCTACCTAATTACTAATATTCATCTGACGAGCTGTATCTATTCTCAAAATCTTATCCAAGCTTAAAAATGAAATGCAGAGGCAGTATAGAAACATTCTATGATAATTTAGATGTAATTTCATAAATAGAGTAGTTGGCTCTTCCTAATTTTATAACATGCTGTGTATATTCTAGCATCCTATTATTTTTTGATTCATGGATTGGATTTAAGTACAACAAATTTTCTTGGGGAGTCATAATATTCAAAGAAAAAGTTAATAACTTATTAAGAGGAATCTACATTCTAAAATATATATTATTTTTATCTTGCAATTTCTTGATTATATTTGAAGCAACCTACTAAATTTAGATTAATAATTTTCTTTCTGATATAGTCAATAAATAATGTACAGACTCAAATTAAAATTTTTTTAATTTTCTGTAAAACGGGTAGATAAGAGATTACACAGTAGGAATATTACTCTGCGCATGGATGCATTTTCTTGCCGAGCCAAATGTATTTTTTGTAATTAATAAATTTTGTTGCTCTCAGATTCAAGATTTTATGAGATAATCAACCGTGAGCCAGCAGGCTAAAAATACTAACAATCAAACAGTCTCTAAAGACGTCTCTATAAGTATGGACAAACATGAAGAAAAACCTCTTCCATAAAACAACAGCATATCATTTTATCCACCTTACAAGTCTCCGTCAAAGAAACCTTCTTCCTTTATTGGAGGATTGAAGAAGACAGTCTCATATAAATTAGAACATAACTAATGAAATAAGTTAAAACTCTAATTGATTTTTACTGCATACATAAAAAATTGAAGCTAAAAGTCTATTAAATATGTTAAATTATTAGCTATTTATAATGTTTGAGATAATTAAATTACTAAAAATTTAACACAAACTTAATTAACCAACCTGATGATTTCTAATATCAAATAATACAGTATAAACCAATCATTTACTTAAAAAATAATTTTATTTATATCTGCAATTAAAATCTTTATTGTAAAAAAAGCATATTTTTATTAAATGAAATATTATCTTAATATACTTTCTATAACTTTCTTGTTTCATTACTTCATATTTTTTAATGAAATAGACAATCTATTTTAATCAAATTATTATATTTGATTATTAATTAATGTATTGATTTATCTAAATATGATGCTTAATAACATAATATAATTTGATAATATTTAATAATCACCCAAAAAAGAATTTTTAAAATATATGAGTAATTCACAATAAATAATAAAATAATACTCACAAATTGTATTTATTTTACTACTAAAATAAACCTTTTCATCATTTAAAAATATAATCAGTATTAATTATATTTATTATTTGTGTTTTATTTTTTAAGATTTAATAATAATACACATGAAACAAAAATAAACTATTTTCAATTTATTAAGCTATTTAACAAAAAAAATAAATCAAAGTATTACTTGCTTTAATTATGTTTAATCAAAAATATATCCTTTTTCTAGCATACACATCACTACTTAGCAAATATTTCTAGCATCATGCAAAGCTATATGGGGATGTCCTGTCTAAGTTAAATTTAATATTTTAAGCATATTTTCTAAAGACTTAGCTTTTACATTGAAGAATCTATCAAACAGCTCTTTAAGGTTAAAATATTAGTTGAAATATGGAGAATGCTTTAGATTTTTTAAATTAATTTCGGCTCTCAAGTATGTTGCATCAGAATCACAATCAAATATAAAAAAAGTAGAATCACTGTCATTGGTGTTTTATTTTATCTCTTAAGTGATTATCTCAAATACTTCTGAAATAGTTGGAGCTTAATCAACATCTTTTTATTCAATATACGTCAAATTCTTTATAAAATTAGTCAACTTTGGATGATAAGTAGGCTTTACAAAAGTTGTGAACTCTTTGATTATCTTTTTATTCTTAACATCAACTATTACTATTGGAAATTCAATTATTTCATGCAAGACAAAGCCTTTCATTCCACTATTACATTCAAAGTCAGATATAACCAAGTAATCTATGCAATCTATAAAAAAAAAATTGTTGAATTGATGAATTATCAAATAATTTTGTTTACTTAACTTGTCCATAATAAATATCTTAACTTCTACTTACCAAATCTTCAATATTTATCTTAATTAATTAAATTAATAATTTCAAATTTAATATACAAGATAGATTTGCTCACTTATAAAAATTTAATTTTTAATGCAAATTAACTAAAAATTAGCTTGGCTAACAATTTTTAATAAAGACAAATATTTTAGCAAGATATTATATTTTAAAAATACAAAATGATAAGAAAATATGTGAATCATTTGTATCTATCATTAAGATAAATAATATTAGGCTCTTCTAACCTAGTTATATCCATAAGTAATTTCATAAAATTAATTATATAAATAGTTATTAAAATAATATTTTTTATAAAATTTAAATTAATTATTTAAACAATGCCTATTTATTGTTCATTTCTCATTAATTATAAATTAAAATTTTCAAAATTTCCAAGCAAAAACAATTTATATAAGTGAAAAAAATTTAATTAAAATATAAAAAATGATAGTGTGGATAGTGGGTTTCGATCCCACGACCTTAAGAGCCACAATCTTACGCTCTTCCAACTGAGCTATATCCACTTTATGAAATTTATTAATAAAACTAAGTGACATTTTACTATAATTTCTTTTTTAAATTTATTACTTAAAATTAAAGTTTGATAAAAAAACTAATAAAATTAAATAATAATTTTTAAATCATTAATCAAATTGACAAACTAAAAAAGTATTCTTATTCAAAAAGTGTGGATAGTGGGTTTCGATCCCACGACCTTAAGAGCCACAATCTTACGCTCTTCCAACTGAGCTATATCCACTTTATGATATTTTTTATTTTTAATTAAAAAAATTTTGTTTAATTTGATTAAATAAAAATTTATTTTAAAAATATTGTATTTAATGGTTCAATATGTATTCAATTATTTAGATAGACTATCTGTTTTCTTTTTAAAAAGTTGGTTAAAAAGTGTGGATAGTGGGTTTCGATCCCACGACCTTAAGAGCCACAATCTTACGCTCTTCCAACTGAGCTATATCCACGCCACGAAATTTATAATTTTGAATATGAGACATTTTGTTATTATTATAATTAAAAAATTTTTATTAATTGAAAACAAATTGTGTATGTAAAATCTTCTACATAATAAACTTTTAAATCATAAAAAATATTTAAAAATGTAATTACAGTCATCTAATTTGTGATAGGTATAGTAAAAAGTGTGGATGGTGGGTTTCGATCCCACGACCTTAAGAGCCACAATCTTACGCTCTTCCAACTGAGCTACATCCACTTTATGAAAATAAAACTTTATCAAAAGCTCTTGCATTTTTTTATTTAAATATAATTTATTGAAAAAATTAGAATAATTTATTAGAAATTAAAGTAGAAGTAAGTATTTATTTCTTTGAAAATAAAAAAATATTTTTCAACTTAAATCTTTAAAATTTATTATCTATATCTAAATTAAAATTCAGTTTTAATATGTAAATAATTCAAATCAAAATCATAGAAAATTCTGACTAATAAAAAATCACAAATTATTTTAAGTATTAAATATCTAAAATATTCAAATAATAATTTAATATTGTTTGTTTTGTTACCAAAATTTTATTTTAAATAGACTATTACTTTCATAAATTGATTTTAAATAATTATTTTATATATTGAGTTACATAAATTTAAATTAAAACTTATATTTTAAAAAACTTCAAATAAATTTTTAAAGAAATTTAATTTTTATATTTTAATTTATATGGTTTAACTCATTTAATTTATTAAAACACCTTTTAAAATTTAAGAAAAACATTTTAACATAAATTTAAATTAAATTTAAAGAATAAAAATAATTTTTAATTTATTTTATTGTTTCAGGTCGTGGATGTAGCTCAGTTGGAAGAGCGTAAGATTGTGGCTCTTAAGGTCGTGGGATCGAAACCCACCATCCACATTTTTTATAATTTCTATTATAAACTATTAAAACAAAATAAAAATGTGGATAGTGGGTTTCGATCCCACGACCTTAAGAGCCACAATCTTACGCTCTTCCAACTGAGCTATATCCACATCACAGGAGTGATTTTATTTCATACTTTGATGAAAAATTTTATTTTAACTTTTTCATAGAAAATTTACATTATTCAATATTCTGTTATTATGTTTTTTTCATAATTAATAAATCAATTAAAAAATAAAAATAAGAAAAAAAAAAATTAAAGGAAATTAAATCACCTTTGGTGAGGCATAATTTTGAGATGAATTTTTTTTTTTTAAACAAAGTATAGTAATAGAGAGAGAGTTTCGCCTAGGAAGTTTTTAAAATATGAACCCGTTCCACTAAAATTTACAAATTGATCACTCTCATGCATCAACCAATTATATTTTACAAAACCTCATTAACATAAGCACTGAAGTAAAATAATTAAAACGTTGATACAGATCAATAAACTCTCTAAGGACTATTATACTTTTAATAAATTGTTTTAAGAAGATTAAATCTTCTAATAGGTACTGAAATTGCATGTTACTATTCAGTCCTTGGAATTGTCATTATTTAATCATCTCAAATAATCTATGCTATTCCCTATGCTCTCTTTTACTTATAAAAAAATAGGAAAAAAACTGAAGAGAACAAAAAATAAATAAATTTTAAAAAATCCTCTCTGATCTAAAAAAAATATGAAAAAATAAAAATTAATTAAATAAAAAAATAAACAAATAAAATCAAACAAATAAATAAATATTAATTAATCAAATGAAATAGACACAATAAAAATAAAAAAAAATAAAACATGAATTAAAAAATAAATAAATATAAAGATATGATTAAACAAAATAAATCTAATAAATTAAAAACACCATAAATTTATTTAAAACACACTGGAATACAACCTATTTTTTAAAAATTAACATTTTTTCAATCGTTCACAATTGTAAATTTTTTAAGATAAATTCTAATATATTTTGTTTTTATTTAAAGATTTTATTGATTATAAAACATTTAAAATTAAGATAACTTCTTGGCATAAAATAAATGTGCTAAATATTGCAAAAAATAAGGATTAATATGAAAAAAATATGTTATAATTATAAGAAGTAATGGATGGATATAATATTAAAGTATGCAAATTCTAAATTTTCATTTTCAATGAAAAATGCTTATGAAAAACTCATTTAATAGAATCTGTTTATTTTAAGCATATCTTCATTTAGCTTTACTTGCGTTAAATTATTAATCAAAGTGTTAACTCATAATCCTTTTTCAAAAGAAGATACTAAGTACATAAAGATCTAATATTAAAAAGACTCAAATATTCTTCTGTGGTTTGAAAATTAATTAAATATAAAATTAAAACTATTAGGAAAGAATTTATGTTTGAATTTTAATTTTTGAAAATAATTATCTAATATGAAAATTAATTAACTTATTTTTAATAGAAAGCAATAAACTTTTGATACAAAAATATGTTTCTAAATAATTAAACTAAATTGATTAAATTTATAGATATTTAGTATAGAAATAAAAAATTTATTTTACTTTATCAATCTGTAAACAAATTATTTTAGTTAAATGATAAAAATTGATTCATCTTTTTTTAATGATGTTTACATCAATTTTTATATTTGAAGGTTATTTACTATTATTTTAATAATTTTAGTCACCATAGTGATCCCCAAAGGCATTGAAATCAAAACCACCATCTTAATTATCTTCGTGGTTATTATATTAGTATTAATGAGGTTAATAATTAGCTTTATTTACATAATCGTTGCTCTCGTATTAATGTAAATCCAGATCATTTTATTAGTTGTTAAAAGCATGGTTATCAGACTAACGATTGGGAAAATAATTATTTTCATGATTTTCTTTAATATGATTATCGTCAAAAACATAACTATTTCTCTCTTATGGTTTGTTGTTATTGTTCTGTGTAGGAAATTAAAAAAAGTCAAAGTTTTATTGTTAAGATGATCTGCGTTGATTTTATTCCACTTAACTTTACATTGACATTTTTTCTGTTATTGATTATTTGCTTGAAGTTGGTATTTGTTGATGACTAGACGTTTAACCTTAACTGGGAAAGTTAAAGAAATCAATTCCAGCATTTGAAGCTCTTTGAGAGTTATTTCCTCCTTTTTATAACTGCTTATTTGAAACAGAACTTTTTTAACTGTTCATAGCATAAAAGCTATTCGAATGATATGAATACCCAGAACTTTATTTTCTCATATCTGGATGATTTTAATCAAATTAGAATGCATCATTTTCTACTGTCTTTCCTAGGGTATCTTCAGGCATATCAAAGAAATAGCTTGTTTAATTACCTCCTTCACTATTTAAATTACTTGTAAATTTCGAAGATCTAGGTTTTGTGAAAGATGGTTTTCTTACTATACTTTAGTCAATCAATGGAGAGGAAAATTACTAAAATTATGCAGGTTAATTTTCGAAATATTCATCATGATCTTATTACTAATCTATTGAATCTAAATTATTAGGCTTATTATTTTAAAAGTTATTTAAATTTTCGAATTGATTGTTATTATTTTGTTTCACATTTATATCTATTGACTTTTAACTAGATATTTTTGATGGTAATTAATTGTTAGATTCTATTTTTTAGATATACTATTGGCTTTCTATAGCATTAGTTGCTGGTAAATTGTTAGCATTTGAGCGTATTGAAATTTATGAATTAGTACTCTATCTTCTATCTTGCTAATTATTATTATAGAATTAGCTCTATGGCTTATTGTTCAGACTTTAATCACTTTGTTCGACTTAAGAATTAATTGCCAATAGTGTATTTTAGCGTTTGGCCATCGCAGCATCATAACCTAATTTTTGTTCAGAAGGAGAAGCAGAATATTACTTTTGATCAATATAGAGTGTTTTTATGATATTTTACCTTTTATTATTCATCTTTTCCTCATTAGGGAAAGAGCTAAACTGAGATTAAGACTCATAATCATACTCAGATACAGCCTTATTAAATTGAATAGGAATACTCTAATTGGGATCACCTAGAGTGTTGGGAGAATGAAAGTTCATATTTTCCTACTAATTATAAATATTTTTTTAGTTGTGAGAATTATTTCTTGGAGTCTATTTATTGGAAGTATTGTTGCTATTCATTTAGTTTTATTGAATTAATTAGCTTCTTTATGATATTTTAGAATCATTGCCTAAGGATTAATGAGACTTCTATGAAGCTGAAGGGGTAGTAGGATTAATGTTTATCAAAATTGGTTGTTATTATTATTACTGCTAAAATTAAAATTGCTGTGTTTACTTCTATTGCTAAGGATTTTATTGTTGTTATGGAGAATTTAAAGGCTAACTTTGTAATTGATTTTACTTAAGATTTGTACTAGATTTGGATGTTTTTTAATTTTAAAAAAATTCATTCTGGCTACCAAGATTCTATTAAGATGATATTTAATTTAATATCTTATTGCTAGAAGAAGGATGTAAATTACTATTATTCATCAAATCTTCTGTATAGCCATAATGACTGCCATCTTTACTATTATTTAGTGTATTAATAACTTTACTTGCAATTTTTGTTTAGTATTCTATGTTGCTTTAGTCTAAATTAACTTTATCTTTTTCTATCTTGCCTTTCAATTTTATGACTTGCTAAGTTATTGATTTTAATATTGATTCGCCTTCTGACTCTGAATTTTTTCTATCTCCAAAACCTGGAATGCTTCCTCTTGCACTAATAGGTGAATTCTCACTATCTTTTCTCTTAACTTCCAATTGTTGAGTTTATGCAAGTTTATTATTACTAACCTTTTTCATGTTTTCTTTTACACTTTATACAAGATTTTATGCTTCAGTCAGATTATTTCCTGTCTTTCTTTGATCAGTTCTTTATATTCGAGAAGCATCTTTTGAACTTTAAATTACACTTTAGGCGAATTAAAAATTGCTATCTAAATTGTTATTTTTATTATTTTCTGTTTTCTTTTTGATAAAATCTTTGATATCTAATTAAATAGGTATAACTTCTGCTTAATTTTATGTCTAACTAGATTTTACACCACTCTTATGTTCTTCCTCTTCTTCGCTAAAATCAGAAGTATGTTTTCTGTTTTTCTTGAAATAATTTAAATCCATCTTTAATTCTATTGGTTTGTTTTCTTAGTTATAATTATGCATGCTATCATCAGAATCTTCTGCATATTCTTCTTCATTTTCAGTTAGTTTATCTTACTCATTAATATATTCATGATCATTCTCATCATCTTCATCTTAGTGATGGCTTTCTGCCTCATCAAATTCTTAAAATAAATCTAAATTATCAATGCCTTATCCATCATGGTTATATTATTAACTTTCTTCAGACTAAAATCTTGCCATTTTTTAGTTTTACAACTTATTTTACTAGTCTTAGTGTTACTTTTATTAATAAGCTAATTACTCTTACTTTTCCTTCTCTCTTTATAATTGTCCTTATTTCAACTTTTAAAGATAGTATTCAGAAACATTTTTTTATTAATTTTCTTAGTCTTCTTTTTTGAATATGTTTTAGTTCATAATATTCTTGACTAATTGCTACTCATTTTCTTAATAAAATTTGCTATTGAAAACAGATTCTTGCTTTTTTTCAGCACTTGACTGATTTGACTAAAGATAATTTTAATTTTAAAAAAGTGTTTACTTGAAGGAATCTACTTACATATTTCTCTTTTTTTTATGTTAATTTTAATATTGATTAGTATTCATGTATGATGATTTATATTTATCGTTTGAATTCTGCAATACTTCTCCCTTTTTTTGAGATGGATAGTTCGAGCTAATGCTTTAATTAAAGGTATTTAATTTGCTCTGATTTCCTTTTTAAATAGGATTTGTTGTATTTAAAGTACTATTCTGGTATCTTTTCATAAATCCATCAATTTAGTTCTTATTGAGAGATTAATCAATCATCCTATCAACATGATCGTTTGTTTCATATTAATTTTTTAATTCTTAATAATGTTTATTTGCCAACTCTTCCATTCTAAATTATTTATTCCTATGACTTTGAAAATTTGTTTCTTTTTTTTATTCTATTCTTTTATCTAAGAGCATCATTTCAATTTCTTTCTTTCTAATTTCTAAATCATACTCTTCTTCTGCTTTTTTAAGTGCCAATCTTCTAATATTGTCTTCTTACTCTAATTTATGGACATCTTAGTATAAGCTTTCATTTACTTCGGAATTATAATCCTTATCTGGTGAGGCATGATATGAATTTTAATATTTCTTTTTATCAAAATCTTATTATTAATTTAAATTATTTTAAATCAAGCTCTGATTATTTTTTTAATCTACTACAATTGTGCCTTTTGCATTTATTGGTAAATGATTAAATTAAAAATTTGGCAGAAAGTGGGTTGTTTTTGAAGATTATTAATTTTGCTCAATTTGATTTTGAAAAACTTGATTAGTTGAATTATTTTATTTTTGTTATTACATTTTCAATTAGTTTTAAAAATGTAACATTTTTTCTTCATCAGATACAACTGATATTTGACTCTCTCTTAATAAACTATTATCTTATGAGTGAGTTCTTGGACTGTGATCATTTTAGTGCTTATGATCATAAATCTCATCTGATTAAACTTCATGAAACTAATCTAAGGAATTTATGCCATCACTATCAGCTATCTGCAAGCCAATTATTTTAATAGGGATCTTCTTAGGATTTGAATTGTTAAGCTACTATTATTCAGGTAAATTTGAATTTTTATTTTTTTATGAGTTAATTATATTATTTTAAACTTTACTTTTTAAACTACTATTTTATACAATATTTTCTTAATTGTTCATTATTTATTAGTTTTGCATCATATTTTTTTGACTATTGTTTATATTTTAACCAAGTTACTTTGACTGTTGGCTATTTTACTTAGAATGCTACATTTTTTTTTTATTTTTAGTTTTATCCTCATTCTATTTTTAAACATTTTCTTTTGAATTTTAAATTTGTTCTGATTATTGAGAATTATTCATAACTATGCTAGACATATTACTGAATCCGTTTTAGTTTTATATAATATTTTTTGCAAAAGGACTGTTTTAATTATTAAAGTGTTAATTTTAATTATCGAAATCAACCTTGATATATTTTTCATCATCATCTTCATCATCATTATCGCTATTTAAATTTTACTAATTCTTTTGTTCCTCAAAATTATGTTCTTCATTTTAAATCTGCTTTGGGCTATTGTCATGCAGAGGATTAGCCAATTTTTTCCATTCTTCTTCTGTAATGTGATTGTTGTCTCCTTGCTCTTACTATCCTAGGGTCAATTAACGTTGATAAAAGGTATTTTTTGAGAAACCGTTTCCATTTTAAATTTATTGATTGTGAGTATTTTCTTAAATTTATTAATTCATAGTTGCTTGTATATTTTTAGATTACTGCTAAAAGAGCTACATTTAAATTTGATGAAGATTTTTGCTATTATTATTTAGATTTTAAGAGAATGAAGGATTTAGTTAATTACTATTTTTGTCAAATATATTAAATTATTAATTACTAGTAATTTAATTTGCTTAAGCTTGGATTTAACTATTTGCATTTAAACCATTTTATTATTAATTAGCCTTTCTAAATTGTTCATCAATCATATTTGCAAAATCTCTATTTGGCAGCTCACTTTTGCTTTCAAAGTAATTTTAAATTTATTTTTTTTATTTCTCTTAAACTTATTAGTTCAATCTACTAGGATGTTTGAGTATTTATGTATTACTTTTTTGCTATTCCCTTAAATATTAAATTAATTTAAGATCTTCATCCTCTTTTTTCTCTTTAGCTAGTTGAATAAAATCTACATTTGAAATTGAATTATTCTCAGTATCATTTAAGAATTATAAATAAATTTAGAGCTCTAAAGCTCTTTGAGATTGTAAGGGAGATTTTTAATTTTGTTGTGTTGGATCTATAGGTTAGAGAAGATCCTAATTATAAACTAATAAAGTTGGTTGTACTAAAGTTTAAGAAGATCCAGTGAAAAGATTTGCACACAGTTTATAATCAGCACTAAATTCAATAGCTTTAACAAAATTCTCTTAATTCTCATATCTTTTGTATTTTTTTTTTCTTTCTCTAATAGATCTTCTAGTAAAGGCTTCAATTTACTGCTAAAAGGTTGCAATAGAATTATCACTATGCCTACGATGGAGTAAACGTTCACTCATGGGTAACCTATCTTTTCTAGTGCTCATACTTGTATTAAAACTTGTATCGGCTTTGATTTAAGTTTTATTCAAATGATTCTATGATATATTATTCAGTACATTTTAATCTATTAATTATCCATCAAAATATTTATTCACTACAAAATTTGGTTTGTTTTTTTAGTTTTTTCCATTATAATACTTATTTAAAACTAATGTGTTTGCTCCTGAATGTATTTATGATTTATCTATTGCCTTACTTTAAAGAATAGTTTAATTATTGCTTGGTGTTGAAACTATTTGAGAAGTTAGGTTATTGTAATAATTAGCCATATTATTATTAGTGCTAGCATCATTTGCTCTTTAAAATGTCCTTGGTGTTAAACCAAGCATATTGTCTTATCCTTGATTTGTTGGTGTATAAATTTAGTTATTAGATACATTTAGCTTATTAATATTATTAATAGGAGAGACAGATTATGATACTACTTTATTGTTAGTAAATGTTGGTTGTTGCTAATAACTATTTACAATTTAAGATTAAACAAATTAGTTTGGAAGTAATCCAAAATTAGCAGTTCCTCTTGATTAAATTGCAGAATCTTATACAAATGCGCTTGAATGAGACTGTAATGCGCTTGAAGCTCTTATTTTTTTGCTTGAATTTGGATTAAAACTTCTTTTATTTCTTATCTCTACTCTTTCTCCTTCTCTAACTTTTTGCTAATTATTTCCCATACTAGATTAAATTAAATATTTATTTATACTAGAACTATGTATGTTTTAGCTGTTATTTTTATTTGGAATTGGGTCTCTCGGTATCAAATGTTATGTAAAAAGCTAGCTAACTGGCTTATTATAAATTTGATTCTTTGTTCTTTTGGCTATATTGATTGCTTTTAACTTTACAAATCAAATATTAAAAATTTAAAACAATATTTAAATTTTGATTTAATCAAAAAATACTATTAAGAGTGATAAGTAAATAAATAATGATAAATTTATTATTAACACTATAATTTTGTAAAAAATTGTATATAATTTACTAATTAATCAAAAAAATTAATAATTTTTAAGATTTTTAACACATTCATCCTCAAATTCACAATCTAATTATTTTATAATTAAATTTAAATACAATGAATGTATGTATGTATCTGTTCAAATTATTATATCCTCAATTTTTAACTTAACCCACTTTTTTCTATTTCTAAAATTTATTTTCTATTTTTTTCTTTTTTAAAAATATAATTTACATTTTTTTCAATAATTTATTCAGATAAAAAATTTTAGTCTAGTCTACTTTCTATTTATTTCTGTCATTCTTTATTTTAATTTTATTTTTTAAATATTTTCAATAGCTTAAAATTAAAAATGAAATATAAACTAAGAGAAGTATACAAAGCAATTAAATATTTGTGTTATTTATTAATGATATCTTTAATTTATGTTACTTATTATTGATATTAAAAAAATCTTTATAAATTTTAAAAAATAAATTTAGAAAATTTTTTTAATTTAAGAAATTTAACTAAAATAAGTAATAAAAGGTAAATTAAGTGGGATTATATAAAATAAATTAAAACTTTAAAAATATTATATTCAATTTAAATAATTTAAAAAGCTTAAATAAGAACAAAAAAATTTAAAAAAAAGTTAATAAAAGTAACAAAAATCAAATTAATAAAATCAATTATAAATTTTTAATATTTTTAATTTTTTCCAATTTCCTAACCAATTAAATACCAATTTATATTAATCTCTTTAATTATTTAAAGGATATTATTTCAATAAATAATATAGAGACTGAATGTTAAACCTAATTCATTACACAAAATAAATAAATAATTAAGTGTTGTATAAGTGATACAACCTTAATAAAATAACTCATATTATTATCTTGTCTTTTACTTTGCTTATCTGTTCAATTTATTGTTAATAATAATAGAATTTAGAGTATTTTTCATATTATCTTATTTTATTTTAATTTTAAAATTAATAAATAAATAAATAAATAAATAATCTTCATAATTAATTGATAACTTTATCATTACTAATTAAAATAATATTAGACAATTAAACAGTTTAAATTAGAATATAGAGAATTTTATAATAAAAAATATTAATGAAACAATATTCAAATTAATTGAATAAATTTTCTATTTTTATATATCATTAAAACCCATATTTTAAATAGTCTCACAAAGCATATTTTAATTATATTAATTTTGATTATATTTTCTGATTTAGCATGTACATTTGTAATATTTTAAAGAATTATTTTTAATTATATTTAAAGGTCTCTCTATTTAGATAAACATTTAAATATCAATTTTTTAAAATTAATAAATTCCATTCATTATTTAAAAATTTTTATTAATAAATTCTAAAAATAAATAATAATTAGAGAGTTATAATTAGCCTATCTAAAATAAATAAATCTATTTAGAAACTATTTATTGACCTAAATACCACATAATAAATAGTTTGTGTGATTAATATGTACTTTAACCAATGTAATTAATCATATAAAATAAATAAACGTGAGATATATAATTTAAAAAGACTCTCAAATGGATTTATAGAATATTTTTGTAAAAGTTATTAAATTAGAAAAATGTTAACAGCTATAAAATCGTTTGTATACTGTTAAATATTTAGTAATATTAAACAATTAACAAATTTATTTTTTAAGCAATATTATGCACATATGTTTTGTTATCAAATTAACTTTTTAGATTTAAAGAAGTTCTTAAGATATACAACTTGGAAACCAGTAAGAAGAGCCATCAAAAGTAAAGTAATTATTGAGAAAGCTAAAACTTTGAAACTAACTTCATCTGCATCACGAGAAATATATCTTCCTTTTCTACTAATCATTCTCTTTTCTTTTCCTATATTTGTTAACATATCTGACATCTTTTCAACTTACAATTCAATAGGCTTCAAATCATTCTTGCTCACCAATAATGAGTAATCTTTAGCTTCTACACCAGTCTTATAATTGAATTTAACCTTAATAGGAACAGCCTCAAGATTAGAGAAACAATATTGGAAATTACCTTCTTTTTGAGTAATAAAGACAAGCTATATATTTATGTAAAAAACGATTAATATAACAAATTAAATAACCTTTGTTTGCATTTTAAAAAAAATATTTTTAACAGCAAGTAATTTAAAAAAGATATGATCTAAATGATAAATAAAAAACATTAATTTCTTCTTAAAATATTTCTAATATCAATTTTTTCTCACCTTTTTATTAATTTATGAAGATTCTGTAATGTTGTAAACTTGCTTTCCTTCTGGATCATAAACTCTGAATTAATAATTAGGATTTGGGCTATATAACTCTATAGATACAGTAATTAATTCACCTATTAATAAAGAAAACATAAATATTTATGTTTTTAAATAAAAAATGATTTGAGATAAAATGATTTTTGGGCAATCTTTGCTCAATTTCTTTTAAAATTTATATGCTAAATTATTCAATTAATGAATTTTGATCGCAATCAAGACAAAATGTATAAATCTGAAATCTATTACCAAGAGAGTCACCAAAACATTGAATTTTCTTAACAGGAAGATCATAAGAAAATTCGATGGCGTTAACTAAACTAGTTGCAATAATTGCTAATACTAATATTTTTGTGAAATTCATATTTACTAAAATTAATAATATCTTATTTATTTATAAATCCCAATTTTTGATGTTATTTTTATTATTAATTTATTAATTTTTTTCTTTATCAAATATTCATATCTTGTTATGATTGTATACATCACACGCGCACAAATATTATTCTCAAAATCAAAAAAATATCTTTTATTATAAAAATAATTAATAACAATATTAATAAAAGCTTATCTTAAATTTCAATAAATTATATTATATATATAAAAATGATAAATTTAAAGTTAAAATTTCAAACTAATTTAGTAGATTAAATTCTAAAAATTAATTTTAAATTTTAGATAAGAAAACCATATTAATCTTTGCTTTTAAAATAAATTCAAGTTTTTTATTTGAATTAATTGTTTAATTTTTGATAAATAATAATTCTGAATATTCTAAATAATTAATACAATTAACTATTCTTTTTTAAGTAAAATTTTTAAAAGTAAGTTAGTTATAAGCATTACTTTAAAATAATAATTTTTCATAATATGATTTTTATAAGCAATAATAAGAACTTAAAAAAATATTATTTTTCATATACAATAAATAAAATATCAAAAATATTTTGACATATTTTAAAGTATTTCAATTAAAACAAACTATTTGTTTTTAAAATTCATTTATAAAAAACTTTACATAGTTGATTTACTAATATCTATTGGATTATATATGGAATGGCATGTGGAATTATAATAATATTATTTTTATTAGAATGAATGGTTTTGAATAAATTTATTTAAAGAAAAATTTGTTAGTTATTATTTAAAACTTTTTTTTTTGTACAGTTTGATGATGATAAATTATTATGGATAAATGTTTATTTTTTTAATTTTTATAAATCTAATAAAATAAAAAACTAAAAAATATATTTTTTTCAAATTAATAATATTTTAATAATTAAAAATGTATTCTCTATTATAAATTATTAGAGAGAAATTTTGAGTTGTAATTTTAAGTTTTTAAAATACTAGTAGTAATAACTATGTTAAAATTTTAAATTTATTCAAAATTAACTTATAAATTTTTCAAAGATTAATTAATTTGAATAAAATTATCTTTTTGTTATTCTATAAGATGCTTTACCAAATAAAAAAGGTAAAATTATAAAAATATCTTTTTTTAAAAAATTTAATTGGCTTTTTGAAAAATATATTTTAAATATAATACTCTATAAGCTTAATCGGAATTAATCAAACTTGTAAAATAAAAGGTGTAAGCTTTTAAAAATAAAACAAAAATATTTCTAATTTACATTTACATTAAATTAATGGATGAATTTTTAGATAATGTTTGTTTATCAGGGTATAATAAATTTACTCTAAAATTAATCTTAAGCTATAGAAAAAAAAACTATCTAAATTGAATGTATTTTCTGCTTGAAATTTGTTTATTATATCAAAAATTAAAAAGTGTGTCATTTTTAATTATCTAAAGAAATCAAACGGTCTCTTCTATATGAAATTTGATATTTACTTTTATTTATATTTTTTGATTAAAAGATTACTTCTTTATTTAGAAATGTCTATTTTAGTTATTTTTGCTCCTAAATTAATAGTAAAAGCAATCAATTTTAGATAATTTGTTTTACTCAAATAGCAATTAGCATACATATTTGTTTTTTATGGCATGGAGTTTTAAAACAATTTCAGTATTTTGGAAAATATTTTTAAATTAAAAAAGTTTCATTTTTAAATGTTAATTTTTATTGATTTTTTTAATGAATCGAAATTTAAAATATCATGGTTGAATTCTAGATTTATAATTAAAACTTAATATTAGCACTATAATTTATATAAAAATAGAACTAAATTGATGGGATTTTTTCTTATAAATATTATAAATACCATTCGTCTAAGTAAATTATTTAAGAATAAAAGTTGCTGTAAAATTTTTACAGCATATTTAGTGCATTAGTGTTTACTGAATCCAAAATTGTATCTAAATCACTAGTTTTATTGTAAATTTTTCTTTAATTAATTATTTAGTGAAGAAATGAAATTCAACTACTATCAATCATTCTTTTACATTATTTTACGTAGAATACACTTACTGTACAGAAAATAAGCAAAAAAAAATTCATAAAATTGATTTTAAATTTTACAAAATTCGACCAGTCTTTTTTATTGTTACAATTATAAAAATTTGAATTGTTTTTTATTCTTGCTTTTGTTAAGCTAGTAAATGCGGCTAGTGACTAAATTACAACAAAAGTATGGTATTTTATTAAATTAAATGATAATGAAATTACTTCTCAGTCAATAATGTAAGGAACCTATGATAAAAAAATTAAGCAGATGTAACAATTAGTTTCCATATTATTTTTATTTCCAAATAAAAAAAAGAGTTTGTTTTGTTTTAAATTTTTATTTATTGAAATCCCCTAATTATTTAATTATGAGGGTTGAAATATGATTATTTATTATTATTTTAGTTGTAAGTTCGACTTAAGCAATAAATTTAACTTTACTTTTTTTTTATAATCAAGGATTCATTATTTCATTTCTAGTAAACTAGTAAACGGATTTCTTTCTTTACTATTTTTAATAAAAAATTCCTAAACAACTAACTAACAAACCATCCTTTTCATTTAGCTTTCAAGAATATAAATTTAATGGTATCAATGATTTTCCATAATTAATGCACAACAAATTTACTGCATGCTTTCTTTTTGTTAATTTTTCACGATTAAAATTTTATTTAGTTGTGTAAAGTTGATAAAGACGGCTTTAATTTCAATTTCTCAAATAAACGGAAAAGCCAATAAAATAAAAAGTACATCAAAAATTTTTATTGGTTCTAAATCTATCAAAAATTTTATGAGATAAATTGTTGTTTAAAGTATTTCAGACAATGTTTTTTAAGGTGAGATGATTTTCGAAGAAACTTTTAGAACAAAGATGGTATTTATTACTGGTTTTTAAAAATTCGAGTTAGAATATATGTAGCAAATTAAAAAGTAATATCTCGCAATATTTGCATCAGAATTCGCATTTAATAAATTTCTTGAAGTAGTACTAATTAGAGGAGAATTAGATAGAAGAATAAAGTTAATGCAGATAGAACATTTAATTTGGTATTATAAATATAGTACAAAGATGATTTTTTAATTAATTATTTGATAGCTATCTCTTTAAAAATATTACTTAAGACAAAATGATAATTATTTAAAAGCAAAAAAATTAAAAATTTTTATAAATTTAACAAAAAAATTATTCAAAAACTTAAACAAATAAATTTATTAATATCAATAAAATAAATACTTAAATATACTCTTAAAATGGGATGCACTCAAGCAAAATAACCTAAAATTAAATTGAGTCCTGAGGAAATAAAAGAGCTTGAAGCTTGCCGTGAAGCTATACTTTAATGTATGAAGGCTTCTCGCAATAATTAATTTTACTACAGCTAACCTTAAAGAAGTTAAAGTAGACTCAATTATATAAACACATAATCAGACTGTACTCTCCCTACAAAAAATTCCCTTAATTCACCAAAGAAATAGTGAATGCGATGCTAGAAGCTTTATCACATTGATTTATCATGATACTACTTGATTAAAAAATAAATTAATAAACAAACAAACAAACATTTAATGACCTATCTCACTCACTTCCTTCATAAACAAAAACTAACAAATAATCATAAATAAATTCACACTTCAATTATTAAAAAACTCATTTCTCATTCTTCTCATTAATTTAACTGTCCTTATGTAAAAATTGTTCTAATTTCTTGACAAAAAAACTTATAAACCAAAATAAACATCATCTCATATAAATTTATCTTAATAATACTAGATTACTAAATTACTCTGTATATATACTTGTATCTATCTATCTGTCTGTTTATATTTTCTTCAATCGTCTTAACGACTAAAATACATTTTTCAAAAAAAAACTAACATACAAAACAATCTAAATTTATATTCATTAAACATATATACTTTTTTTTAAGTAGACTACATTTTTGGCTTTTTAAATATCTATATTTTGGAATAGTTGAAGAAATATTCATGTAATATAGTATATTCTACAGATTGACTGTAAAATAAGCTATATAATCACTAATTTTGATTCAGCTTAAATTAATTACTACGATCTTTGAGTACTGTTTTCATGCTAAATAATTTTAGATAATTAATATTTAGTTGAGTCTAGCATATTATCTAAATTTAAAATAGTTAAAAATGTTAAGAGCTTAGATCATTAATTTATTTGATAACGAATATCCTAAAAAATAATCATTAATTACAAAGAAATACTATCCAAAAAGAAAGACATTTTCACTTATTTCTTTCTAATTGTGGGAGTTTGTGTAAATTGGTTATGGGAGTTTTGCGAAATCATGCGTTGAAAAAAATATTAAATCAGAAGGATTACTCTTTTTCTAGTAAGAGCCTTTTTAAAATACCTGGCATGATTTATTTAACAAAACCCACCTAACTAATTCAAAGATATTTTAAATGATAACTGTGTCTGATAATTTCTTATTTACTCAAATTATTACTTAGAATACCAAAAATATTTACTTAAAAACAAAAAGATAAAATACACATTTTTTTTGAAAGCGTAAACGGTTGAAGATTTATTTACATATCATTTCTCTACATATTTTTTTAGAAGGTCTATGCTCCATTTTTTGATTATATACTTTAATAAACATTTAAATTTTCAAAATTTTTCTATATCAAATATAAAAATGAACTTAGATATTCTCACTTAGATAAGAAATTTAAAAAGAATTTATTAAAATAAAAGTAATTTATTAATATTCTATTGGTGTTGGAAAAGAAAAAAAATTTAAAGCTACATATTTTAGTCTAAATTTAGGAAGAATTTAAATTGATTGCATTAATTAAAATCTACTATTCTTTTACAATAAAAACTGTATTTTCTTCCAAAAAAGTTAAAATTAGAATAATGAAATGTTAAAAATAGATAAATTTAATTTAGGATAAAGGCAAAAATCTAATTTTATTTCAATAAAAATTATAAATAAATGTTAAATAAATATAATAGGCTGTAACCAAAAATAATAAAAAAGAACCAATTTTTAAATATTATTTAGAAAAAAGTATCAAAGGTAAATTTAATATTTAAAGATTAAAATAAAAATCTATGTAACAATATAAAATTTCAATAGTTATCGAGTAACAAAAATTACGAATTGAATGACGCAAATCATATAAGTTTAATTTATTAATTGCTTTTCTAGTTCTAATTTATTTTAGTGCATAATATAGATTAAAACATTCATTATTTACTGATTAATATTGAAATCAATCAATCATCTTAATCAAAGAAAGAGTAATTATCAATTTTAATCTTTAATTTTTAGTTTCTCTTTTTATCATTATTAATGCTAATATAATGTGATAATTTGAAATATAATATATGAGGAAAATTAAAAAATTAAGATATATTTTAAAAAATAAAAGACATTATTTTAATAATACAATGTAAAGATCAGAATTAGTAAGTATTTTAAAAAGCATTACTTTTACATAGTAATCTTATATCTAATTAAATTTACAAAACTTTTAGTACTTCGCTCTTCATAGTTCTACTTCACAAAGATATGTAGTAAAAGCTTGTCTATACTATAATAGAGAGCAGTTTTATTTAGTAGATATTTATATTCTTCTGAGCTAATCTGTAATATACTTTACATTTTAGAAAATAAAAGGTATTATACATTTTTAAATTTAAATTTCCTACTTGTATCCTTAATAGTTCTACTTAAAAGAAAAGATTTCGAAGAATTTTAATATTATTGTAAATTATAAGATATTATTCTGTTAATTGCAAATGTATCAATTGTGTAATTAAAATATAACTTCTTATTATTATCTTTTTATTTATATGTAAATAAATATCAAAAAGAAAGAAATATTTTATTTGAAAAAAAAGAAATTAATAAAGGTTTTCTTAAAAAAGTTGAAATTAATTCCTTGATGAATAGACAGATATTCTCTAAGATCAAAATATCATTTTTGTAAAATTAAGTAAGAAATTAAATTTGATTTTTATATAACCAATTCAAATTTATAATCAGACTAAATTTATTAGATATTTAAGAGCTAAAATTTAAAACTATAACAAATGAGTTAGACTTATTCTATTTCATAATTAAAATATTAATTAACATTACAAATTTACTATTTTATTTAATTCATCTTGGTTAAATTTAGCTCTTTTTTTACAATTAGAAAAATTATTTAAATATTTCAGTTTCTATTATAATGAAAGAAAAATATTTAAAACAAACTTATTTATGATTAAAAGTGCATATTAAAAGCACAAATACTTCTAAAATTTAATTAAATATTTCATATTCATTATCTTAAACATAAATACTTAATCTTGAAGTATTTTATATTAAAATGAAAGTTAACTTTTAAATAAATGTACCTATTATTGAAATTTATGATTTAAAATGAATATTAATAGCATGATTTCTTCTAAAACAAATAAGAATTAAATAATTCACATTAATTATCTCAAATATAAATAACAAAGCTCTAAGTATTTTATTTTAATAACAAAATCCAATATATTTTTTTAAACCTATTCAATAAATTTTTAACAAGAATATGAAAATGAAAATTCAGCAATTCACTGAAATTTAATTTAAAAAAAATTTTCATAAAAATAATTTAGCAAATCGAAACACAATATTTTAATTTAAAATTAATTAATAATTTATCATTTTTTTGTTAGCTAATTTATAGATGATATAATATTTTTTAAAAATTCCAAAATTATTTATTCTGTTTTTTTAACGGATAGTTAGCTAAAATTTTTAATTTACCTTTAATTAATTATTGAAAATAATAAGAAAATTTATATTAGATTAAACGAACAAGGTTAAACTTTTAATGAATAATAATTATAATAATAATAATTCGAATTGAATAATTGAATTCCAAAAAAAAATAAAACAAAAATTTAAGTATAAAATGATTATTTATTGAATATGCTTAGATACTGTACATTAAATTTTACATTTAAAATGTATGCAATGAATTATGGTATAAACATTTTTAAAACTGTATGGAGCCAAATACTATACTTCTAATTTATAAATTGTTAAAAATTAAAGAATATAGTTGTGGCGCGAATATATTATGAAAAAAGGAAAGTAGCATTGTATGTATTATCTTTATTAGTTTTTCCATAAGAAAATAATGTAGCTTCAGCACAAACAATGAAATTCATAAAAATCAAAAGAAATTTCAATGCTATTAACAAGGAAAAATTTTTGTATAAATCTGAATGATGGATGAATGTTTAAGAAAAATATTTATGCGCGCAGTTTATAATTTTTATAATAACATAAAGAGATTTACATGCAATCAAAGAAAAATTTTATGAAATTTATTAAACATCTCCTTCAAGAATAAATGAAATTTTATATGAATGCAAAGATATATGCATATTTGTATACAAAATTAAATAAAAAATAAATGGAAACCATATATTATTAAATAAGCTAACAAAAATATAATAAATCTTATATTCAATTATAAGTAAAAATACTCAAATCCTATCTATATATCTATATACTTAATTGCTTGTTAACTCTTTTAGAAATCAAGAAAGCTCTAAAGTAACAATTAAAAATAAAATCAAACAAACTACAACTATTTGCAAGAAAGAAAAAGGAATAGGAGCAGAGAAAGCAAAAACACAAAGTACAAAACAGCAAGTTTAAGAAAATAAATCCTTTTATTTAAGATCAATCCCTAACAAAAAGAAGTTATTTTAAAAATAAACAACATGTCCAGCTAGGATCTTGATCAGAATAACGATAGCACTTGCAAGACTAATGTAAAAGTATTGATTAAAATTGAAATTTTACCATTTAATCATAAAGTTTACCAAGTTTGTAATACAAAATATTAGAAAATGATATTTAAATAGGAATAATAGTTATAAATGGCAATAATAATTCATATTAATAAAACAGGATTGCGATCGTAGCCAAAAGCTGATAGATGAAACAGATCTTGATGACGATAAAAATAAAAATGAGAAAAAATATTAAGATTTAGTTAAATCCATAAACTACTTAAAGAAGTTTGATTGGTTTGATACAAACAACCCTTAGCTAAAAACGCCTCCAAGTAAGACATTATATTTCAAATTTCATTTTGTATTTTATGAAATAGACATTTAATGAAAAATTCTTCATAAGCTTTTATCTGACCAAGAGTTAAGTAATATTGTATAAAAATAGTAAAGCTTTTAACTCCAGCTGCATTTTGGTTTATGGTATGCGCAGAATACTTTCCAAGGTCTCTAACTATAGGTACTAATGATCCCGCTTAGACACTAACAGAATTACTTCAAAAAATAGAGAGATAATAGATATTTTAAGTCATTAGAGTTAAAGATAAGGTAAAATTTTAACTATAAGTTTATCAAATTAAAAATATAAAGGCGTTATGGTGGAAAGATAAAAGTAAATTTTGGGGTTTTGAGCAATTTGCAGTAGTAAATAAGTTTTACTTAATAATAAATATACTAGCATTATTGATACTCGGTGAAACTTGCTACTGCTTCCAATATTAAATATTTTATAAGTATGACTTGTTAAATTTTGATTTGCGCTTAAAATTTGTTCACACATCTAATTTAAATTGATATTATTTAAATCAATATACTGAATAAGATTGTTGATTTATAATTAATTGCCCCAAAACCTTTTTATATTAAAACCTGTCAAAAAAAGATTATATAATTACATTTTAAAATATCAACTTTTATTTAAATACCCAAATACATAAACAAAGAAAGAAATAAACATTGATTAAACGAATACACACACACTACTTTAAATCTAAAATTTACATTTTATAAAAGCTTTAGATAGATGAAAAAATAACATCACTTACATATTAATTTAAATGCAATTCAAATATTATTTTAATACCATAATATCTAAACTATTATTTTAAGTTTTTATTCATTTTTCTGTTTGAAATAAATTTTTATAATGTAAATGTAATCTTTTATTAACAATTACTTTTAATAAATAAGTCTTATTAGAATCTAAAGGGAGAACCAACAGATGAGCAGTGCCAGGAATATATTTAAAAAATAAAATAAGCTATTAAAAAATTAAAATATGATAAGCCATAAGCAAATATTAGGAATAGTGCAGAATTGAAAGAAGATTACACTTTCGAAGACGATTTATATATTTAAAGTGTCCGTAATGATTTACTGGATCTTTATTCCTTTTACATTAATTAGGAATTGCAATAAACAAATCAGCAAAGTTGCTCATCTTCTGAATCTACTACAGTTGAGGAAGATTCTAGGCATTTATATATCACTAAAGATGAGATAAATGTTAATGTATCATGCAACGAAAAACAAAATTCTGAAAATGCAGTTATGATTGTAAAAGAAATAGATGAAAATAATATTTCTGAAGAAAGCTAGCTTAAATAAAAAAATGAAGAACCTTCACAATCATAAGATGAAATTGATGAAAAGGAAAAAAAATGTGATTTAGAGTAAACTAATGAAGATAATTTGAATGCAAAAATAGAAGCCAATAATTCTAATGAAGAAGAAAAATTAGATGAAGAAGAAACTAAAATCACAAATAATGATGAAGAAATTTCAATTAGAAAGTAAGACAAGTAAAATAAGTTATTAGTATAAAGATTAGACATATAAAAACCAAAAGAGAGGAATTTTAACTAAGAAGAAATCTTGAAAGCCCTAAAGAAATAAGATTTAGATGAAATTATTAGCCTTTACTAGTATCACCTATTTTAATAGGAGAAGGAAGTTAAAAATATGGTTGAAAATTTAAAAAAGAACATGCAAAAAGATATTGAAAATGAAAAACTTATTTACACTCCTTAAGAATTAGATATGAATGATATTTTGGTTGATATTCATTACTAAAACAGCATGGAATAAGAATACCTTAATTTCTTAGAGAATAAACAGCAATTTATTGATTTTGAGAGTGAAAGATAAAATTAAAACTAAAATCAGAAGAAGCAACACACAAAGTAGCATGAAAAAATAGTTATGGAAGACATGGCTTGCTAAATTTGCAATGATGGAGATTATACTGATGATGATCTAATTGTATTTTGCTCTGTAATATCTATTTATTCAATAATTTTTTAAACTCTAAGCTTGCATTTTTATAAATTATCTATTAAATTGTTTCAATAATTAAATTGATCCTATTTTAAAATTAATAGAAATGCAATATTTCTGTACATCAAAGATGTTATGGTATTCCCAAAATCCCTAATGATGACTGGATTTGTGAACTGTGCTTAAGTTTTGGTCCAGAAGGTAAATACTTACGCTGTGCTTTATGCACAAAGAGAGGTGGTGCTATGAAGCCTAGCAAAATCCCAATTACTTCTAATATCTTTTAGCATACAAATACACAATATTACGAATTTTAAAAAACTTGTAAGGCAGGTCCACCTAATAAAAAATAAAGATATGGTAAAAATAAATATTATTTTTTGTTTATTTACAATTTTTATTTTTATAAAAAAAGAGGATCCTAATGAGAAACAAAATAAGGTTGGGAGTGCTTCTAAGCATACTTCTCCAGAAAACGAAGAAGTTGAAGAAGAAAGTAATAGCTAATATTATGACTTCCATTACTTGAAAGAATTTACTGAGGAAGAGCTTAAGAATGAACCTAAGCCATACTTTGTGTGGTGCCATATTACATGCACTTTATGGACTCCTGAATGCTTTTTTGATGATAAAAACTATTATACAAATATAAAAGGAATAGAGAATATAGATAAGCAGAGATTCAAATTGGAATGCAGTATCTGTAAGTAGAAGAGTAACATTTTTCTTATTAGCAAATAAATAATTTTTTAAATATTTTTTACTTATCATGTTTTTTAGAAGCAGGATCTTGTGTTTAATGTGCAAAGACTAAATGTATGGAGGCATTCCATCCTGAGTGTGCTCGTAGAGAAAATATTTATATGGAAATTAGGAACACAGATAAGTTAGCATATTTAATTTACTGTGAAAGACATACCCCACTAAAGTTAAGAAGACTCCTTGAATAAAAAGAAAAAAAATATAAAGTAATTTTTAAAAGCTTCAAAAATGAAACATTAACTTTTCTTTAATTTTAGGAAGAAATTATAAAATTTTGTAGAAGTATCGAAAGATCTAGGGAATTTAGAAAGAAGGAAAGAAACACAAAGAAAGAGCGTGATAGATAACTAGAAAAAGAATAAAAGAAGGCTCCTGCGAAAAAGAAAGTTTTAATTAGTGCTAAAAAGATAAGACAACAAATTACCAAAAATGAGGAAGAGACAAATAAAGAGGAATAAGAATTTTAGTAAATGCTCATTCACAAAATGATAGAATATATTGACACCTTAACTCCGTAAATTAATTTGATAAATTTTGATAAGCTCTAAATTCAACTCAATTATTTAAAATAAAACTAATAGAGAGGACTTGAATAGGATTAACTCTGAGTTTAATTCAAAAAAATAAAATGAAGAAGGTCAAAATATTTAGGTTACTTAAAAATAGATTGATAAGGATGATAATAAGCTAAATGCTAATGATCCTAAATCCGTAAAAAAAATAAATTTATGGAAAAATAGAGTTTTCATAAGAAAGGAAGAGCCCTTTTGGAAGGATATTTAGTATAAATCTCTATCTACACTTTAAATTTACAAGAGATACAAAAGAATTCAAAGAGATAAAAATAAGAAGAAAGAATTCAAGTAGTTGTACCTTAAAACAGTAAGTGTAGTTAAAAATATTAGGATTGTAACCAAAGAAGAGCGTCTCAAGGAAAAAGAATAAAAGAAAATTGAAAAATAATAAAAAAGATAGCAAAAAATAGCTGAAATATTCATAAAAACATAAGAAAGATAAAAAAAGAAATTAGAAATTCAGGAAAGGAAAGAGCAAAAAGAAGTTTAGAAGAAATAAAAATCTCAGACGGGTTTTGAACTTGCTAAGCATGCTATCAGAAGGACTAATAAAAAGAGAGATAAATCTAATGATAAGAAACAATAAAAAAATTTAAAACAATAAGAACTCATTATTGAGCAAGTTGTTCCTCATAATTATGAGCCTGTTGATGGTATTTTAAAATATTAAAAATAATTAAAATTTTTTTTAAATTATAATTATTATCTAATAGAAACTTCTGAATAAGTTTACTGTGTTTGCAGAAGAAAGTATCAAGAGGGAGATTAGATGATGGGTATCAATTTTTTTTTACTTTTTAATTATTAAAAATTATTTTTTTATTATTTTAGAGTGTGAAAAATGTTAAGAATGGTATCATTTTGAGTGCATAGGGTTCAAAGGTACAATTGATGAAGCTGATTAATTAAACTTTGTGTGTAAGTTTTGTGATCTAAAGGATGATGAAAATCAAAGGTAAAAGCGTAGATAGATTTACAAAGACTACTTTATAAATATAGACACTCCTAATTATGATGATTTCAAAGATGCTTTCAATAAAAAGTAAAATTAAGAGTAGTAGTAATAATAAGAAGAAGTCTAATTAGAAACCAAAGAAAAAGAAAATGATTCTTCAAGAATGAAGAGTGATTCAAAATCCTCTAAAAAATAATAAAAAAAATAAACTTAAAATAAAAAGAGATCTTCAAGCACTAAGTTATAAGATATAGAAGAATAAACTACAACTTCTAAGAAGACTAAAAAATCTAAAGATAGTAAAACAAATAGCTCTTCATCTAAGATTTCTGAAGTTAAGGCTAAGTTAGATTATGCTAACTACAGTGATGCCAAAGAAGAAATATTTGAAGAAGATGAAGATGACAATGAATAAAAAGAAGAAATTTAACATCAAGAAGATCATATGCACTTAGAAGAACTTTCAAAATAAGATGAATAGGAAAATAATATTAATAATCTAAAATCTAAATAACTTGACTGTAATTAAATAGAAAAAACTTTAAATGAATAAATCAAGTTTGAAACTTTACAAGAAAGCTAATGTATTGATAAACTAATTGAAAATAAAAATTAAGATAAATGCGAGATTGAATAAAATTAGAAGTAATAAATTTAAACAAAAACAGAGCATACTGATACCTAAATGTTTGATAACTAAGATATGAGTGATAATTCAGCTTTAATTGATAAAAAAATAACAAAAAGTAATGATTAATCACACATGAAAATTGAAAAAGAAGAAACAGAAACAAAAAATGATGAAATTAAAACAGAAAATTAGGAAGAAAATGAATCAGTAAAATAATAAGATATTAAAAAAGAAAAGTAAGAAGATATAAAAAATGAACAAAATGAAATTATAAATACAGAAGAAAAATAGGAGGAGGAAGATGGATAAACCAAAATTAATTTATTGCAAGAATATCAATACAACAAAAAATCTGATAGTTTAAAAATAGAATCATAGTAGAGTAATAATTCATAAAATTAAGTAAATGAAAATTGTTTAAGTAAATAAAGCTCAAATTAAAACCAATAAAATGTGTGCAATATAGCAAATTTAGACTAGTTTAAGTTTAAGCAAAAAAGCATAAAAGATTTTTTCAAAAAGAAGTGAGAAAAAGATTAAGAAAATAATAAATAGATAGATAATTAAATAAGTTAATAAATAAATAAACTAATTTAAAAAAATAAAATAGATATAAATTAATTTAATATTTACTTTACATAAATATTATTTATAATTTCTTTTTAAAATTAATTTATAATAATTCCAAATAAATATTCAAAATAAAAAACAATCATTTTAACAATAAATAATGTGTTTGTGTTGTATGTATCTAATATGTTTGCATACATAAAAATATTAAAGCTAATACATTAAATTTTTACTTTACATTTTAGTAAGATTTATCATTATATAATTATACTAAATAGCAGATCTAAATCTTTCAAAGATCCTAAAAATATATTTAAGACAAAAATAATATTATTAATAATTACTTATTTGATATATCTAAGTATGTATTTGTATAATGCATATTGTTTTTATAATAGCAGTTAAAATTTAAAATTCTTTGTTTTAATTGAACAAAAATCTATAATCAAATAAAAAATAAATTAAGTAAACTATCTTATTTTATTTTTTCAATATATTCAAATACATTTTTTATTTTTTAATCTAATTTAATGTAATTCCAAATTAATATTTAAAAAACAAAAGGAGAATTTAAAAATTTTAATATATTGTTTCTGTGTTTGTAAGTTGAATGAAGAGTTGGGTTAAAATATTATATTCTTAAATTACAATTTATATTTTAAAATGTATCTAAAAGACTACTAAATAAATTTTAAAAAGAAGGTTTCTTAAAATTATTTTAATGCTTGTAATTTTATATGCAATCTTAAAATATTATATTTTTAATTTCAATACTAATAAGATTTATAATTAAAAGATACATCTACTAAATTATGCTAATTTCTTTTTTCAAAAATATTGATTAACTTTTTCAAACAAATAATTTATATATTTAAAATTCATAAAATCCAAATTTATATTCAAAACAAAAAACTTTGATTTAAAAATATATTTTATATTTATTCAATTCTTTTTTAGATGAATTTCTATCTTTATATATATTTCTACTATTGATAGATATTTATATATATTTTTCCAAAATGATTATATTAGCTTTCGTTCTTAAGTTTCATTTTCTTATAGTAAATATTACTTACACACTTACCAACTATAAATTAGCTAGCTAAATAAATAAATAACCAAATAACTTATTACCTAATTATGGTATTAATTTATTAAATATAAATTATAATTTTAGCTTTAAGTTATTTTATGAGGCTAATTTTATTTGATTTTTATTGAATATATAATAGGTATTAGCTAATGTTCTTTTTATAATGAGGGAATAAATATAAAATATTAAAAACGAATTTGTTAATTATTTAAAAACAAGGAAGGTTTCAATTTAAGAAAAAAATAAAGTAAGTGATCATAAAAATAATAAAAGATAGATAAGATAATAAATTTATCATTTGCATACTTTAATAACATTTATTTATTTATTGCTGTTTAAAATTGGGCATATGTGTAGTGGAGTTTATTCACTCTTCATCCTTAATGTATTTAAGCATCATCTCTTTGAATTCTTGATAGGAAATCTCACCATCTCCATTTTTATCTACCTCTTTGATGACAGCCTTCCATACATCTTCAGAAACTCCTGCTCCTCCAAAGATTTCTTTAAATTCACTTAACTAGAGTGAACCACTACCATCCTTATCAAAAATATTAAAGGCCATTTCCAATCTTTATACAGACAACAGCTACTCACGAGAAATAGTAGCAGCAACCCATTCAGAATAATCTATATCACCATTATCGTTTTTATCTATAACTTTCATAATTTTATCTACTTCCTTGATGGCATTTTCCATGGTTAGGATTTTAGAATAACCATTAATGAGTTCTTCTCTACTTAGTTTACCATCTCCGTTGGTATCTAAAGACTAGAAAGTTTTCAATAGTTCATTCTTTTCTTCTTTAGTAGCTAAATAGTTAACGATAAACATCCATACAGCTTCTTGTAATTTCTTACCAGCTCTGAATGTTTTCATATTATTCAAAGATCTAATTAAGTTGGGCATATCTACCTATTATTATTATCTAAACTTCTTAATCCATGGATCCTAAAGAGCTTCTTCAGCAGAATATCTCTTTTAGGGGTCCATAGTAAGCATTTTGCAAATCATTTGCTGAGCCTTTTTATAAAAAATTAGTTTAAAATCTTTAAATGAAAAATAAATAAATAAATAATGTAAATTGGAATGAATAATCAGTAGCATTTCTTTTTTTTTCGTTATTTATTTATTTTTTTATTCATTTTAAACTATTGATTGAAATGTTAACTAATAAATTAATGTAATTAATTTTTTAAAGTATCTTCATACTTAATAAATTAAACAAGTTATTTGGTTATGTTTTAAATCTATAACTTTTGTTGTTTGTTTTTGTATAAAAAATAAATCAGTAAGTTGTTTTCTCTCTCTTCTATTATGGTTCGAGTTTATTAGTAATTTTATGTTTATTTCTTTATTTATTTATGTTTTTAGTAAATTTTTATAATGTTTTTTACCTCTATTGTGATATCTTTCCAGTCATCTTTAGGGAATGTGAAAACTCCTTTTTCAACTTTTTTCATAATATCTTCATCTCTAGCAGCATTGAAAGGAGGATAACCACACAAAAGAATATACATAATAACTCCACAAGACCAGACATCACATTTTTCGTTATACTTATGTCTGAGAACTTCAGGGGCAATGTAATAAGGAGTACCTAGCTTTTAGCTCATTTTCAAAGAAGGATCAAAAACTGTAGAAGTACCGAAATCGACAAGCTTAAGGATAGAATCTTTGTTTTTAGAATCAAGCAATAAATTTTCTGGCTTAAGATCTCTGTGAACAATTTTGTTTTTGTGTAAATAATTAATTGCATTTAAGATTTGGTACATAACATCAGCTGCTTCTTTTTCATTAAAGTGCTTGTATTCTATGATTCTATCAAAGAGTTCACCACCAGTACATAATTCAGTAACTATGTATAAGAATTTGTTGTCTTAGAAAACTTCGTAAACTTTGATGATATTAGGGTGATCCTAAAATTTTGAATAAGAATTAAATTTTTAATTGTGAAGCTAGTTTTTGCATAAAATTGAACAGCAATTAGTTTTGAGAGTAATAAGTGTTAAATTCTTTCAAACACTTGTAGTGCAAAGGGTAAGCTTTATTCTTCCTTTTTCTCTAAAACGATTTTTAGAAAAGTAAAATTTAAAAAAGCGATTACCCTCTTAAGCAAATTCAACTCTCTTCACTTAAGCAAAAACGATAAAATAAAAATAGCAAGAATAATTAAAGAATAGTCAGAATTTTTGAATGACATACCAATTATTTAAGGATGTTAAACTCTTCAATGAGTTATTTTTACTCTTCGGGCTTGCATTAGCTTTTATCAATAATTTTTACTGCTCTTTGCTAGCCTGTTTTTTTATGAACACCTTTACGTACTTCTCCATAAGAACCTTTACCCAAGGGAACATTCATGAGGGTGTATTCTTATTGAATTCTACCATATTTTTCGAAAATGAGCTCTTGGTTAGAAATCTTAAAGTTAGAAGTGTCAACTTATTATTCTTCTTTTAAGGTTTGCTCTATCCTTGCCTTCTTTTCTTTATTCTATTTACTACCTTTTTATCCCATACTAATTATTCAGTTTTTTATTTATTTTTCTAAAAAATATTTATTGGAAAAGTAAAATTTTATAAATCTTAATTAGTATAATCTTTATATAAATTAATATAAAAAAGCATCTTCTAGTTAATAATTAAATAAGATTATTATCAATCTAATTAATTAATTAACTAAATAAATAAAAAATAAATAAATAAATTTCTTCACATCACATTTTTTGTTATGTACCACTTTCATCCAATTTTCAATCTATTTATTTATTATTCAAGTTTTTTATTTATTTTCTCTTTTCTCCTCATCTCATCTTCATCTGATGAATCTATTAGTTTTTTTAAAGTCATTCAGTATACAATTTTTTTTCTTTCTTTCTGATGTTATGACTTTAATTCCTTTTAATTTATTTTTTTTTTTGCAAAATTTGAATCATTAAGGTACTCTAATCAATTACAAAAATAAAAAAAAGGTTAACTATGCTCTTTTAGAAACAAGAGTATCGTATTTTACGTGAATCAACAAAAATTTTATTTATCATTATCATATTTTTTTCATAAAAATTATCATTTGAAGAAATAAAAGATCATTTGTTAAAATCTCAAAAATTGTAAAAAAATGATTTAGTTTTTATTAACTGAATAATGTTGATTATTTATTTATTTTTATATTTTAAATATTTTAAATCCGCTTTCAACATATTTATATAAATTTAGAAAGTCTTTAATTTTTAAGCATAGAGTAAATTTATGTAATTATCTATCTTATTCTTTGATGAAATTTAATCAAAACATTAAAATAAATCTTACTTAACTAACTTCAAAAATATCCCTGAATAAAAAACATTACATTATAATACTAAAAATAATACAACATTTTCTTTAATCTTAGTTTTACAATTAAACCAAATTCTATCTATAAAAAATTAGATACTAAATTATAAGTTGGTATTATATAGTGAAAAGTTTCTGAGCTTGTTGGGTATTTTAAAAAACTGGAAATACAAAAAAAAAAATATTTATTTATTTTGAGTATCTGCTTACATGAATTTCAAACAAATTAAAGTAAGTTGTTCGATACAAATTTTGGCGTATTTAATATACCCAAATCTTAAAAACTTAAGTCATAAATTTTTATAATTGATAAATTATAAAATTATGTGTGGTTATGTATTAATCAATTTTAATCATAGAAATTATATTTAAAAATGTATCTTTTGTATTATAAATAAATAAAAATATAACATTTATAAATGGATAAATTTGATTATAATTTTTGATATAAGTAATAAATACTTGTTGAGAAAATATTTTTAAAGGAATAATTTATTTTGATAAAATAGGATAAGCTTTTCTTAGTTTGGTTATAGAAACTTTATTCATTTTTTGAGATTTTTACATTTTTTTAAATTTAAACTGCTTTTTAGGCTTTTAGAAAGCAAGTAATAAATCAAATAGTAATAGACTAATTCATTAATTTGTAGTAGATTCTATGTACTAGTAGGCATTTTCTATATCTCGCACATAATCGTTAGTATTCACACCGATATTGAGTAAAAGATTTAGAAAAGTAAAATCTTTTTCATCCATAGACTTAAGACTTTTTAATTTGAACATGTATTGCAATATTACTCTTAAATAATTATACTTTTCCCCTATCACTTAGTCTGATAAATACTCGTCAATAGACTCCAATAAAAATAATTACTTTCTCTTTGGATGATTGGCTAATGTAAGCAATTGAACTGATCTGCAACTTGCAAAAAACTCAGCAAATAATATTTCTTGGCGATTTAAATGCTAAGATTATTCAACCTTTTTAAAGAGATCAGGGCACTAAAAAAGAGGAGTATATTATATCCAATAATCTTCAGGAAAAATAGAAGATGCTCCAAAATCAATTAATTTTATCTTCATATTCTGTAATTCATTAAACGTAATGATTATATTACCTGGTTTAATATCACTGTGATGGAACCCTTCATTAAACATGTACTTATTGATAATTAGCAGCTATTTTAGTATCCAAACTGCAAATTTTTCTGATATATCTAAATGATTACGCCTTAAGTATAAATCGTAAGTCTCTAATGTTATCATCCCTAACTCCATATAAATTTATTAGCTTTCTCTTTAATAGAAAATGAGCTTAGGTATAAACTCAGATTACTTTGATTTCATTATAAAAACTTCTGAATCAAATTCATCTAAATTTTCTTCCATTAAATACTTCTTCATAGCTACTTCTTACTCTAAAGGCTTAAAAAGTTATTTTTCAACTATGCCACACGCGCCTTTACCTAAAAGTTAAATTTTGACAAAATCTTCTGCATGGCAAAGTGAGCACATTTATTTTGGTACTACCTTTTATAATAAAACAGTCCTTTCGATAAATTGTTATGTCTTCGACTTTGATCCGCTATTTTTAAGTAAGGATAAAAAAGTGCTAGTAGACTTGGTCAATGATTAAAAAAATAAATGGCGATCTTTAATGAAATGTGTTTCCTAAGATGCTACATTGAAAAATCCTTTTTTTGATTCTTTTTTATGCTCTTCTTCTTATTCAACAATCTCACTAATAATTTGTGAATTTGATTATTTTCGTCCTCTCGGCTAAGTAACATCGATTTGTGTCTCTGTGCTCGCTTCAGATTTATTTTTTGATCTTTTAACCTTATCTATGAGCTTTTCAATTGGCTTTACAATCTTTTATCTTTAGTCATCACCTCTTGCATCCTCTTTGCCTAAATAGTTTCTTAGTTGCTTTTGTTTTGGGTTCTTTAATCTTTCGAAATTTAATTCGTTATCTTCTTATATTGTTTGTCCATTTTAAATATGAAGATTTGACATCATTTATTTTGTATTCAATAAATTTTTATATAAATAATGATAATATTAATCTATATTTCTATATCTTTAGCATAATTTATTAGAAAAATAAATAATCATAAATTTTATTTATATCAATTTTTAAAATAGAAAAAGGTTTATTTATTACAATATAAAATAATGAATTATTGCAATTTTATTTGATATTTTTTTAATTTTTCAACTAAAGAAAATTTTTAAATCATATTTAAAAATATTTAAATCAAGTATTATCATTTGGTGTAGTAATATTTTGTTTATTTTTTAACTTATATTTGGCTATTTATGTAATATATTTTATCTCTTGTATGCATTATTGATTTATCTTTTCTATCTTTTAAGATAATCTTTATTCATTTTTTCTATATTTTTTATTTTCATTAATTGCTTTAATTATTTTATTTTTTGTGTTTTTATTTATTTTATTTTTTTATTTTTTTATTTGTTTATTTGTTTATTGTTTATTTTAAATTTTATTTATTTTTTAAATTTTCAAAAATAAGAGCTTTCCAACTGCTTTTTCTTCGAAATAAAACTCGATCGTCTCTTGTCAATATTTTCCTAGTTTTTTGTTTTTAAAAAATACTTTTTATATATATGAGATAAAGAAGTACTTTATAATTTAATTAGCTTTAAAACATTATCCTAAAAGCAATTTTTGTTCTAAGGAAAATTTAAATCGATGTTTTTAGATTTGCCATCATTGCTGGTATCTAGCTATGCATTTTTTGTTTCGGGAATTAAAAACTTTTAAATGGTTTAAAAACTTATGATGGCTCCTCATTAAACATGTCATTATATTTTCAAAATTGCAAGTGGCCGTCTTACGTTTCATCTAAATAAGTTTCTTATTTGGAAATAGACATATTATTATCTATTCTAAGAAAATACATCCTGCAAATGCATTTTCTTCTAAGTATTTTAAAAACTTTTTTCCAAATTTTTTCTTAAATAGATCTTCTGCGCGCCTTTCCGAGATTAAAAAACTAAATAGGATTCAAGATATTGCTAATTAAATAAAAGTAGTTTGGTTGAATTAAATTTATTTGGTTTTTTTTGTTTTCTTCTTATTTTCTTATTTTTCTTATTTATGAAATTTAATTAAATTTTATTTATTATAAAGATATCCAATTTATTTTTTCTTATTTGTTCCTTTTTAAATTAATTTATGTTTTTCCTTAGTTTTTTTCAAAATAATAAGAATTTATTAGAGCAGAAGTATTTTGTTATTAAGCGGGGAGTTTGATTCAAATTTTCTTTTCTAAGTTTTCCTATTCAATTTAATATTTAGCTATTTAAATAAAATAAATATAAACTATTTAAAAAACATTGATAATTCTATTCTATTTTTTATTTAAAAAAAATATTTTTTAAAAATTTTATGATTAAACTCTAAACACAAAAAGATTTTTATTCAGCTTCTTTAAAATAAAATAAATTTCATATATTAAATTATAAAATATAAATAAAATAATAATAGATTAAATAATACATACTTCTTATATATTATTATGTTTATTCATTTTTTTAATATTTATATCTTTAACGGATTAATTTGTGAGGTGATAATAAGTTTGTTTGATAAATTGATTAAAAAATTTCATAATAAATTTTATGAAAATAAAAGAAAGGTAATTAATTAACTAAAAGATGAATCAAATAATAAATGAAATTCATAACTCTATGATGGAAGTCCTCTCAGTTTTTATAAATTTATAATTTTTTTAAACACAAAAAATGAGTATTAGCACCAATCCCCTATATTTCTATCAAGAACATGTCTTTTTCATTAAAATTGATTCTTAAAATAACCTTTCAAGATGTAATTATTAATTCATAGATAGAACATAATTTAGTATGTAAGTAAGTAAAACACCTTTAAAGTAGTTTTGATCTTATTTATTTCTTTTTTCATTCAAATAATAATTTAAAATAATTTCATTCTTATATAAAAGATGCCGAAAATAAAAGCTTCATAAGCAGAAATACTATCACCTATGTAGGACAAGACACTCGATATAATAACAAATAATAATTATAAAAATAAAGAGGAATAAAAAACTAAATAAACAGAATAACAATAAGCAATAGCTTAAACATAATAATCAGCATGATGACATTTGTCTCTTTGGGAAAGTGCTGAAGAAATAAAAGCATAAAGTTAAAAACAATAAGTTTATTGTTTATTGAGAGATATTCTAGTTTAAGTATTTACAGAAGTAAAAATCAAGTTTTTAAATAGACTAATATAAAATGTGTATGGTTGATTCACCCCATAAAGTTTTTAACATATTCTTAAATCTTCTGCTATACTGAATGAAGAAATCTTCAGATATTTCGCAAAAACCCTTAAAAAATTGAATAAAGTTTCTTTGGTACTTTAATAAAAACAAAGCTCTTTTTTAGGCGCCCGGCCAATTGAACAATATAATATGAGAGTTAATTATTTTTAATTTTAATCTGCACTAACAATATTTTTTTTTCCTTTAACAACATTTTATTCAGTATGATAGATATAAAAAATAAAATAATTTTGAATTTTGATATTAAAAAATAAATGCTTTAATCTAAGTTGAATCTTTTATCATAAAATAAATTTTACAAATATAAAAAACAAAACAAAATAAAATAAAATAAAAAAAAGTTAATTAAAAAACTCAATAAAATCCAAAACTAAAGATAATACAACATAAAGTATAACAAGATATAATATATAAATTGATTGATAGAAAACAAAATTTTAACAAAATAATAATTTGAGTAAAACAAAACTTCAAAATGTGGAAAATCAAATGTTAATTATTCACGAACTATATTTAGACTAACCTACTAATATTACAGAATTATAAAATGCATTTCCATGGTTGCTCTATATTTATAAAAATAAATTTTTAATCTAAATATAATTAAATCGACTTACTATCTATGTTTTGAAAGATGTTTTGATTAGTTATTCACACTCAGTTTTTAAATATTCATATTCAGTTATACTAGAATGTCTTCTTTTATTGTTGCTTTTAAAATTTTATTTAGTTTTTTTTAAATTCATTTAATTTTTTTTTATATATTCTATTTACCTGTATGCTTCTCTCTTTCCAAATATTTATTCTTTTATCTTTTTGTCTATTTGTTCACGAATTATTTTATTGTTTAGTGCATTTATATATTTTTGATCTTTGTTGTAATATAGTTCTTCATTCATTTAAATCTTTGGAGAAGTTATTTAAAAAGATTATTTAGCTATTTTATTAAAAGGAGATTCCTATTTAATAAGTTTATAAAATATTTTAAATGGATAAATTAAACTAAATTCAGATAAAATACAGTTTAAAATGTTTTTCTCTCATCATGAAAACTAAAAAAGCCATTTTTATTTTTATTTAAGACCTATAAATTTTATTAACTGCTTTTCTATAACTGCCTCTCAGAATTTTTGGTTTGATATAAACTTTTTATTTTTCAATAAAATGTTTTTTAATTAGTTTAAAAATAAAAAAAATATACGAATCTCTACTTAGAGATGAATTTCTTGATTAGTTGACTGACTCATGGTGATATTAAAATTTAGAATTAAAACTATTCTATGATTTTGTTAAAATGAAATATATTAATGAATAATAAAAACAATTAATAGTAATTATACCTTTAAGAATGAATTTTGTCTTTACTATTAGCTTTAATAATCGCTTTATATTTTTTAAGGTTTATCTTTAATTTATAAAACAAAATTAATCAAAAATACTAACTTAAAGAAAGTATTTCAGTCAAAAATAATTTCAATTAATGAATGAATAAATAAATAAACAATTTTATTTTTTAAAAATTTTAAAGTTAAATGAAAATTATTTGTAAAATTACCTATTTAGTTTCTATCAAAAAGGTTCAATATTTCCATTTTTTTACTTGGGATTTTTAAATTTTAGATCTTAAGATCTTAGGAACTATCGCCTTTAACAAAGTAGGCATCTAACGACATCTTATTTTTTGGTTCTTGATAGTAATTAGCTTTAGAGATAATACTTCTATTAAAATTGTTTTATTCGAAATTTTTGGTCAATAAATCTTTTTAATTGCTTACATTGTTTTTAGAGAAATTATAATTTTTTATTTTTTAGTTTTTTTAGTCTATGTAGCTACATGCTTAAATGCTTTAGAGCTATTTATATACAAACAGCTTATTCTTAATACCTTCCTAGCTTTATGCTTGTACAGTTTAAGGTAATTAGTTTTAAATTGTAATTAAGTTATTTAGTGTTGAAGAATCCTATTCTAGCGTCAACATTTATTGCAATAAAAATACCTATTATAAGCTTTTACTACTTCAGTTTAATTCAAAATAATAAATAACAAATAACAAAAACCAGTTAAAATTAAAAAAAAAATTTGTTACTTTTATGGTAGTAATTGTAGAAAGTTTTTTTAATTTTAGTTGTCGTAGAAAAAATAAAAAATAATTAACTATTTCATTTTAAAAATTACATTTAATAATAATTGCATAGTTGTTTGTGAAATAAAATTATTTATAAAAGTTTACATTGTAATTTAAAAAATTATTTTACTTTAATAATTTATAAGTTAGATAAATTTAAATCTAAACTTTATCTTACTACAGTTAAAAAACCAACATAATATAAAGTAAAGGAAATAAAATTTATTAGCTAATCTCTTTTTAAATTATTTTAAATAGAAAAATAATTCTAGTTTCAATGAAAAAAATAAAATGTGTTTTTATATCATAATTATTTCTTAGCATATTTTAATTTTCAGCTTAATTTATATTAAATATTTAAAAAATTAATTTATTCAAAATCTATATTAAAAAAATAGCTAGCATTATTCTTATTAATATATATTATTGAACAGCTTCATATATAATAAGAATTTGTAAATATTGATAAATAACAAGAGAAAATTAAATAATATTTACTATTTTTTAGGAGAAATTAGAGTATATTATTTTTTTAAATAGTAAAAACTATTTTAAAATTTTTGTACAAAGTAATTTTATGAATCACAAACTAAGAAGATTTTATAATCATTAAAAAAAAATATTATTTAATAATTTAAATTACATTTGGAAAAAATTTCATTAATATATTCAATAAATTGTTCAAATTACTTTAGATTAAATGCTTTTAAAAATAATTATTGAAGTTTTTTTAGAATGTATATTTAACAATATTGATATCAAATATTTTTTCAATGTTAGTTATTTTATAATTAAGGACCAAACCAACCAAAATAAAAACCTGCATCTGGCTGTTATTATTATTGTGGTTATTACTGATTATTAGGAGGTACTTGCTGATTTTATTGCTATTAAGGCATTTGTTGATATTATTATTAAGGCATTTATTGGTATTACTATGGAGGTATTTACTAGTTTTACTATTAAGGAGGTATTTGCTAATATGGCACTTATTATTACTGCTATTATTAAGGATAATTATAGTTAACTGGTTATTGTTAGGACATCTATGGATTAAATTATTAATTAGGATTGAATTAGTTATTAGGATATTGCTACATATTTTGATTTTGTAAGGGATTGGGAGGTACAAAATTTGGATCACTAGATCCTATAAATTAACCTTATCCTTAAAATGGTTGTTGGTAGTAGTTATTTCCCATTGGCTTTAAATATTTTGTAAAATAATTTTGATATTGCATTTATAATGAAAAAATATTTACGTTAAATTATTATTAAGGCTAAGTAACAAAAATAACTGTTGGGTCGCTGGGATCAGAGTATGCTGCATTATTTGAAAATTAGCCATTTTAGACTCTTTAGTTTAATCCTCTCATTTAATTTCTATTTTTAATTTATCTCACTTCTCTTAGGACAACATCAAAAAGATTAAGAAACTTTTGACACCCTACATTTTTCAATTATATATTTCAAATATTTTATATAATACAAGTTTAATATTACCTCCACTTTTGAACCAGAGCTTAAAACTTGCTATATCAGGAATTAGTCCATACAAAGGCTTGGTCTTAGCTATTATTAAAATATTAAGTCAGAATAAGAATACTGAAAATAGCATAATTACCTTATAAGTAGTTGGAGCCAAATATTGGTTACTCAAATTTTTCTTAAAATAGGTTAAAAAGAGGAATATCAAATGACTTAAAATCTGATTTTTTGTGCTTTTCGTTTACAAAAACTAATCTACAAGTAGTAAGAAAAAGCTATTTTTAGTAAAAATAATAAATATATTTTATATATAAATGAAACATCATAGCATTTTTATAAACTTAACTCAATAAGCAAATATAAACAGCGAGCTTATTAAATCTTTATCTTTTTTTCATATAGTTGCTAATAATTCCCACTTTTTATTGTAATTATTTTAAAGTAGCATTTGTAATGTTAAATAATCTGATTACTTTTCCTGTTGCTGAACGCTTGCCCCATGGTTTGCAATTTTCAATTTTAACTTCTAACTCTACATTCTTTCTTTCTAATACGAACATTTCATCCCCAACTCTCAAAGGAATGCCGTCGTCTGTTATAGGTGGATTCTCAGCCATTTTAATCTTTTTTTAATAGAAATTACTTTTTTAGATTTTTTGATTTTTTTTTAATTAATTAAATTAGATGCAAAATAAACACTATCCCTTTGTTCAAAACATAAAATTCAATATTATTTGATTTTAGAACAGCTGAATTTTGGAGATTTCTATTTTATTTTTAATTTGCAATAAAATAGAAACAACAACAGTGATCAAAAAATTTATTATAACATTTATTACATATTGCAATCTTATTTTTCTCCAGATTTCATTAAAATAAAAAACCTTCAAATGATGTTTTCTCAAAAAAAATTTTATTTTTTATAAAAAATTGGCATGGTCTACTGGTTTTTTTTATATCTTACAAATGATATAAATTTAATTAAAATTTTATAAGATTTTTATAATAGTTTTATTTTTATTAAATTATAAATTTTATTTGTTTAAATTTTTATTGTTAATTTCATTATCAAATAAAAATTATTAATCAGAAACCAAATAATCAATTAAACAATAAAAACGATTCTCTTGTTTATTTATTTTAGTAGAATAAAAAACTTAATTAATTTATTAGTTCTAATCAATAAAAAAATAAAAAAATAATTAATAAGTAGAACTACTTAATTTCAAGTAAAGCATTAAAGTCCAAATAAAGTCTTTTTGATAAATACTAAGCTCTACCTATTTAAATTTTATATTTTAGTGAGATTAGCTAATGAGTGAAAGCGAAGATACAGTTATATGTAGTTATTTATACTTTTATTATTTGTTATAAACAGTTTAAAAAGGTAATCAATAGGTTGTTCAGCAATCTTAATAGGAGTAAATATCTTATAACAGCCCTCTGAAACTCAATTAAAAAGTAATTTTTTTAAACAATTTTATATTTGATTAGTATATAATTATTAATAATTTTAGTAGGAAGATGATGATAAGTTATTTTATGCTAATAGCAATTCTTTGAACAATAAGTATTCGTATTTTTTGGTATTAATCACCCATATTCATTTACAATTATTTTTTAATAAACTTTAGAAATCTACTAGCCAAAAAGAAAATGAGCTCAACTCAATAGCATAAAAGACCGTAATATAAATATATACCTATAAATTTAATTATTGTATTTAAATTTATTTTTTTATTATTCAAAGCCACATAAATTCAAATATAGCTGATAGCTCTGATTAATTTGATTCGTAGAATATGGATAATGCATGTTAAAATGTATCTAATAATAATTAAATACATAATGTTTCTCATCTCTCAAGAGTACGAGTTATCAAGAAAAATTTAGTATATGTCATAGGTATAGCTCCTTAATTAGCTAATGAGCAAGTAAAATAATTTGTTAATTCAAAGTTATTTGCAATAGTAATAAGCAATTAAAAATAATATTTAGATTTTGCAGTCTTACCAGTACTTTGGATAATATGGAAACATACAAAAAATTGTTGTCAACAAAAACAACATATATAATCCTAAAGGACCTAATGGACCATCTTATAGCGCATACATAACATATACTGAAGAAAAAGAAGCATCTCTTTCTATACTTGTATATATTATTTAATACAAAATAAATTTGTTTATAAAGTATCTATCTTGAAAAGGGTGCAGAGAACTTCAAAATTTTTGATAGAATAATTAGAGCCTCTTATGGAACAACGAAATATTGCAGCTTCTTCCTGAAAAATTTAGATTGCCCTAATATACCAGATTGCCTTTACCTTCACTCATACGAAAAAGATGATGACTACTTCTCAAAAGATGAAATGGTCAGCAATAAAAATATATTCATCGATCAACAGAAAATAGCTATTAAACATGTTAAAAAATATATACCAGAAATATTGAGTGAGTATTAATAAAATAAAAGTTTTTATGAGTCTCAATCTCATATCTTTGCTCTACCAAATCTATCAAAAATAATAGATAAACTAAAAGAGTATTCCGCAATTACAAATGAGTAGTATTTAGCTTGTAGAGAATATTAGCAAATCCCAAATACTTTTGTTTTGAGTATTTTTTTTAATTAATTTTATTGGAAATTTTAATTATTTTTGGAAAATATAGGTTAGTTTTTGCCAAATGTAATAAATTAGCATGGATTAAATAACTCTTACAGCTCTTTTATAGCTTAAAACACTGTTGTACCATAATAACCGAAGTATGATTATGACTTTAAAGTACAATAAAGTTCATATTTTAATCCGTTTTCTTAAAATCAAGAAAGTCTCACTACAACAACCTCTAGTTGCTTTAATAGATAACAATTTTATTATCAAAAAAAAAATAATTTCTTGTCTTAGAGTGCTATGAGTATAAATTAGGGTATTTATAGCAATGCTACTTAAAATTAATCACATTTTTCTTATTATTATCCTTCATCTCCTCCTATTAAAACATAATATTTTACAGCACAATAATCTTAAAGCGAGTATTTAAACACAAAATATTGTTAATATGAATTAGTTAATCAAACCCCTTAAGTTACTCCATTTGAAATAAATGATCAATAAAGTAAATAAGATAGTGCTTAATAGAAAATTATCCAATAAAAATTTGATAATTTTCCACATCCTCACCATAATAATTTTAATATTTATCAGCAAAATAACGATAATTTAAAATTTGTTTAACCTAACGATGACAAGTCAAACTTTAGGCTCTAGTAAGACAATTCAAATATGAGTAAATAAGAATTTTCAAAGCTTAATTACTCTTATGAAAAAGATAAAATAGCTGAGTTGACTTCTGAAGACACAACTTAAGTTTCAATGGAATGCTCTCAAGCTGATAACAATTGTGCTTCTCAAAATTAGGAAAAAAATTTTAAATCTGAAATTGAAAGCTATTCAAACAATTAGTATTCAACTTTAACTGAGACAAATAAGGAGTTAACAGACACTCAAAGCTAATATAGTATCGAAGACGATCTTAATGCTATTTAATCTGAAACTTTGTAGATTTAAAATAGTAAAGAAGATTATTTTCACAAAATGCTTAATAAAAAAAAATCTTTGAACTAAATTTAAAGTCAAGTTGCTCACCTTTCTAAAAAATCTAGTCACTCAATAAAATCCAATTACTCTTTAGGAGAATCAAATGAAGAAGAAACAAATAAAATTTAAGAAATTTAACTAAATTAAAAATGTGAGTGTGACTCTTTACCAGTTAAAGGAGAAGGAAACAGCATATCTTAAAATAAGTTTGATTCTGGAAGTAAGACAATAAACCAAAATTACGAACTTATTGCTAATTTTTGGGATGAATAAAATTACAAAAATAAATAATAACAAATTCTTTTAAAACAGCAAAATAATTGCTTAGGATAAGAGTCTGAAAACGAAAAACATTAATTACTTGAGCAAAAAATAATACAAGATTAATAAAACTAAGAAAAAAATCCATTCTATTATTATGAAAGCGAGTAAAATAGCTTTTAAGAGCTATGTTCTGGCTTTAATACGTTTGTTTTAACTAAATTTTATTGAATTATTTCTTATATAAAATCTACCATATTTTTACAACTTCTATAAAAATAATCAATGTTTGTTAACCAAAATACCTAAAAGCTTGATTTACAATAAGATCTCACATTACAATTTTTTTAATTTGCTATTAAGTTTTTTATAATTTCATTATATGGTCTTAAGTGACTTCATCTATTTTAATGTATGAGAAATTACAATATATATATTTATTAGAAATATTATTTATAGATTTTATTAGACATTTAAATACATAAATTTTATTTGATAGGTATTTATTTTAATAATCCTAATGCCAAAAAAATTTACTTTAGAAAAATTGTTATTTATTTATTTATTAAATGGATTAAATTCAAATAATTTTATTTATTAAATTCAATTAATTGAAGCATATTCAATACTCTAAAGCAATATTAATAAATTTGTGTTTAGTGAATAGGCTTCATATTATAATTTTAATAAAAACTAGCAAATATTTGGCTAATATATAAATTAATTAAACATGTAAATAAATTATTTAGATTAAGGATTCATTTGCTTAAGATAAATTTCAAAAAACTTAAAAAACAAATTAAATTGCAAAAATAGAATCCATCCATCCATAATTTAAATGGTGCTTTTCTGAATTTTAAAAATAATAAAAATGTAAAATTAATAAATTATGATAAATTTTAATTGAAATTAAGTATTGATATAAGAAGGAAATCTTCTCAATTTAACAATAATAAATAAGACTTTGTTTAGTTCTGTTGTTAATTAATTAAAGACTACTTAGAGTTTTGTTAGAGAGAGAAACTAAATGATCTAGAATATCTACAAATAAATAAGATTATAATTGCTATCAATATAATCATGTTCAGTTAATATTATGTAAAATTTTATCATTTTTTAAAGTGAGTTTTCATTCATATTATTTTGCGAGCAAAGGTAAGGAAGGATATTATAATGTAGTTTTTTAAAATATAAATTCATTTATCATACATATCACCATTAACTCATGTTGTATCTAAAAATAGAAGTTTGTTTGTATGATTGTTAGTTAGCTTTTTTGACGGTTTCTAACCAATTCAAAACAATGATTTTATTCTATGAAGCTAATTTCCATAAAGAATTTATAAATGCAAGTTATAATTCAAAAAACCATTTATATCCTTGGGATTAATATTTAACAAATCATAAGGTAGCAGTAAGAATCTTTGTTTATAATAAAATATCTTGAAGCAATTTATTTCTCTTCTCTATATTTAACTCTAGCTTGTTTTTTTATAGTTAGCTTAGATATTGAAATGTAATTCAAATATTGAAATATTTCTCTTTTAAAGCTCAGAAACCCATTCCTTTTTTAAATTGTTATAGAATTTGCTTGAGAGAAGATTTATTGACCCACAAAACAATACCTAGAGCCCCAAGAATTCCGCCTCCAACTAAAATATGATAGATATTTTTTCTGAAAAAGTTGTCTTGGGATTAAATAATCTAAATATAATCTCTGTGTAAACCCTTTATTCTTTATTATTATTTTTTTAAAAGTAATTTAGTAGAACAAAATTAACAAAATAAAATACGGCTTTTCAATTAGATTATATATTGATTTATGAAGAGATTCAAAGTCATCTAAGCTCTTTAATGTACAGAGCTCCTTGGAGAACTACTTAATGTTAGGGTTCAACTAATCTTCTCCTCCTTTGTTTGATAACTAGATAAAGAATTTAGGGCACTCATAGAATTTAGAATGATGTTTATCGTATTTAATTTCATTTGCTTCTTCAATAAGTCTTAAAAGCTAGGCTTAATCTTTAAACAATATGCCAATTTAGTCAAACCTTTTTATTTTTATTAAAAACTGCTTAGAAAATTAAAAAAAATAAAATTAATTTAAATTTAGTAATTTTATCTCACTTTCTCATTATTTTGTTTTCTTATTCTTCCTATTACTCAAACAAATCTCTGAGGTCGTTCTATCTTGCAAAGGTGAAAATGATAACTTTCTTTTTACCATTTTCAAATTTGATATTTGTTACAAAATCTGTAATTTTAGTGATAACATCTTTTTCATTTGATTTTTTATATTTTTTTAAAATTGTAAACTATTTTTAAATTATTTTTATTTAAATTAATTTTTGATAAAATTATGTTTGTTAATCTTACTAATTCATCTGAACAATCATCTGTACAGACTAAGCAAACATTGAAAACATATCTTTAGTTCATTTTTTAAATTTAACTAAAGCAGTTTGTAGTATTAGTTATTAAGAATGTCTCTTCCAAAGATCCTTGGTATCCTAAGTATACCAATTTTTTGTAAACATCAAGGTAATCTTCCCTTGTTTTGTAGCTAATATATTTTAGGTAAATTATGTTAAAAGTCTAAGATAAAGAAAGATAGTAAATAAATAATACGCCCAAAGGTTTAGCCATTCTTCCTAAATTATAAAATCTTTATTGGTAACAATAGGAAGGAGATACTAAAAAGGATTTTCTAATTCTCCTTATTTTTCATCTTTGAATGGGTAAGGGAAGAAAATATCTGTGATATTTTTTTTGTAAAGAACTTATCCAATCAAATCATCTGCGTTACTTTTTCTGTCTAAAGCTGAACCAAATCTCTCAAAACATTATCTAGTTAAGAATAAACGAGCTTTTCCACTTAATTCTACAGTTTATCCATAATCTTAGTTTACAATAAGCCTAATTTTTTATAATATAAGAATTAATTAGTATAGTAAAAACTGGATGAATAGTTGATTACTAATCTTTAAACAGCTTCTTATCTAACTCTAGTTTATCGTCATAATTGAAGTGTCTTAAAATAGCCTAAAAAATATTAAATAACACAATTAGATAATATTTTCTCAAGATAAATTAATTACCCAACAAATTTGCATTTTTATTAGTTCAACGCATTTCTTTTAAAGTATTTTGAATCCTTCAAATGTTATTTCATTCAAGTTTGATGAATTTTTATCCTGATTCTGTAAATAAAAGTAATAATTAAGCAAAGTAAATTTTGTTTAAAAGCTTAAAAAGAAATTAGTTTATATTATAAATAATTAATATAATCCATTTAATATTTTCTTTTTAGTTTTTGAATTCTAAAAGAATGTTATTATTTATTTTACAATAACTTCGTCTTCTCTGATGAGCTATTTAATTCCTTGAATATCATTTCCAGATAAATCATGAGAAAATACTTCAAATTATAAGTCTCTTAATTCTTCATCATTCCATTTGTTGTCATTATCTTTATCACAAATACGGAAAATTCTTGCTAAAGCTTTTTCAAATTTTGGAGTAATTGTTTTTTCACGAATATCATACAACGGAGATAATGGGAACAAGACTGCTCTATGAGCCCCATAAATAACATCAGATATTGACTAATAAAGTAAGGCCGAACACTCAAAACCCATCTAGACTTGTTTGAATTTCTTAATCAAAGGAACTATGACCTTTTCTATCTAAATAATTATAGCATTTAATATAAAAATATTGCTAAATTTTTAGTTTTTTATCTCAAATTAATTAAATTATATTTTTATTGCTATTTAATTTTAGAAAAATAATATATTTTTTATTACTCTGTTTCCATCTGGAATTTTATCTTAGCTTTGAATTTCATCAAGCATGTCCCTTTTGTTGCCAATAATAATAACTGGAACCTATTTTTCAAAAATAAATTGAAAAAAATTCAATTAATTATAGTAAATATTCTAATTTAATTTCATAGTAAATCATTTAGATCATAAATCAATCTATCTTAATTTTTTGTTTTTAATATTAAAAAAAACATTTTTTATAAAAATTTGATAAATTAAGTCAAAAAAAATATTTTTGATGCTACCAAAGCTAAAAATAAAATTAATTTAACTAGCAAGTAAGCATTTATACTTAATGATTTAATTTATTATATTTTTTAGCAATAAAATTAATTGTATTTTCCTTTAAACCAGTAATATTAAGCTTTTTTCTAATACTAATAACCCCTAATAAACCGAATTAAAACCTTTATTTTGCTTTATTAATATTTTTAGCACTATTTTCCTAGCTAAAATTCCATTTTTAACGATAAATAAATAGAAAATGTTTATTGCTTCATAGTTTCTAATTTTTTCTTTTCTATGATATACTTTTTAGTTTAATTAAATTATATTCTAATTTTTACATTTGGGTTTTCTTTCTCAATTTACTTCATCCAGTTTTTTTCCATTGATTCAATCGTGGAGTAGTTAGAGAGATCATAAAGGAGAAGAATAACCTGGGCTGCTAAAACTTCTTCCCTAAATTTAAATTCATTTTCTTTTTCTAAGATATTGCCTTTTTTATAAATCAAAAGTGTTTAGATTTTCTAGATTAAGCTGATTAATGTAGATTAAAACCACTAAAATTTGCTTAAAATGCTAAAAAAATCAATCAATAATGAATTAAACTTTGCATTTCATGAATCATTTGATTGAAAAGAAAAGCTTAAATTAGATTGGACATAAATAATTTGTATTAAATGAGCAATTCATTGATATTTGAGTGAAAAATTTTTAAAATTTATATACTAGGAGTATCGATTAAAACAGTTTAAACTTAGAATGTATGGAGAAACATCTCTGAGAAAACAACTGGATCTATAACAGGAGGAATCTAATAATAGTTTAAATAAAAATAAGTAATTATTGTGAGGCAAGTTAAAAGTTTAAATTAGAAAATATCATATAATATAGCTTTGTATATTCAATTTTTAAACTTTGAAATTTATTTTGCATTCTACAAAAATATATTATTTTTAGGGATATGGCGCTGGCAATAAGCTTTATACTAATTCTATTTGGCTATGATTATTTAAATTAATTAACTTTGTCAGGCTGATTGTCAGAAACCAGAGAAGTGATCCAAGAAGTTTTTCCAACTTAAGCTATTATAAATTAAAAAGAAATAAATATCTGTTATTTCCATTTTTGTTATTTTGCAAGGCTATTAGTTAGTCTTATATGAATATCATGGCTTATATTGAAGGATTATTTGATATATAGCAATGTATTGTTTTTCAGATATTAAATGAAGAACTCTTGCAATAAATAACTAAAGATGAATATTTAATAATTTATCAACCATCGCCTAATACTAAAATGCGAATCTTTCTTTATTTCATGATTCTCTTTCTAAAGCTAATTAATTAATATAATTTCTCTAAATTAATTATTGCCAATAAGAATCTTTCCATTGTCCTCATTCAATAATTAATATAGTGAAATGCGTACTCAAATCCCATACTTTGCAAAAATATCTTTCTTAACTTTTCCATTGTCAGTATCAAATGTTAAATATCAAATCAAAACTACATCTTAATATTTATTTATCATAAATAAAATTGAAATCAAAAATAATAATTTTTATAAAGACTCAAAAATATTTTAAATTTATCAGCAACTATCTCTTTTAAGTCAACTTAAATAATTTTTAATTTAATGAATTCATGAAATAGATTTAATTGAAATACCAAAATTTCTAAAAGAAAATTCTAAAATTAATTTAATGTTTAACTAATTAAAATTGAAAAATAACAAATAAAAAAATACATTTTTTTTTCACAATAACAAAAACTCATGAAAATATGAATAAATAAAAATAAAAGACTTTTTTAAATAAATCAATCACGAATTATTTACTTTTAATTTGATTAATCAAATAATCTCATAAATTTAAGTTTATAAATTTGAATAAATTTAAAATTTATTTTACCTTATTAAAAGTAATGAATCTGTAATTAATGAGCTAAAAAACAAGTAAAACATTTAAAATTAAACTACAAATCATTTTAAATTTTCTTTTATTTTTAACTTGACATTTGCTAACATTTTTAATTATAAAAAAATAATGTAAAAATTATAAATAAATTTTATCAAATAATTTATAAATTTTTAAATTATTTATTTTATTTCAATTCTAACATTTTCTCTCTTTTTATTAACTAAAATAACTTATCAACTCATTAAACTATTTATATTAAATATTCTGGAATTAGTTTTTTTTAAATGATTTTTTCAGTCAACTTATCTGATAAAAAATATTATAAATCTTTATCCATTTAAAATTAAGTAAATTAGCATTACTTTAAACGAAATGAAATATGAATTACTTTTACTTTGTTTAAAAGTTGTTAAAAATTAATGATAAAATGTTTAAACTTCTAAATTATATTCTTAAAAATAAACACTGTGTTAATATATAAATGTTTATTAAAGGTTTTGATTTTTATTATCTAAAATAACTAATGAAACATCAATCAAACTAATAGATTTTGCAAAAAAAAACAAAACAAACCTTTATATAATTATATAAATGCTTTTTGGAAAATTAAAGAGCTATTAACAAAGATTAGTTATAAATAAATTAATAAAAAAAAAAGAATAGTTTTTTCCTTTATAGAACATATAAGTTAGGAAACTAATATACAATATTAATAAGGGCTACCTTTAAAGATAATTAGATAAAAAATACTTAATAGATTGTTAGTTATGTCCAGCTTTTAGGAAAGATTTAAAGGCAAAACGTCAACAATATCAAAAGAAGGCGTGATTCCTTCATTAGATAAGCCTCCAGTCTCAAAAGGTTATATTTAAAAAGATCTCTCAATCTAATAGTAAGATAGGTACTAAGGAATTAATGACTATCCTCAAAAGGCAAATAACTAAAACAATTCTTCAAGAGGTATTTAGTCAACCTCTTCTAATCCCTCAACGAATACTCCTATTTCTAACTCTAACCAAGCATCAGGTAAACTAATATTCACAATTTTATTTAAGATAAAAAAATTGTTTTGGCTTCTCATCAAAAGAAACTACCAGTTTTTTAATCATTGTTATTTTGATTGAAGCCACAAGATATCAAATGCTTACAACTTTAAATTGAATAGTTTTTAAGATATTTTGAATAAATATTAAATAGGATCTAAAAATAATTAATAGTATGTAAAAGCTTATGGGAGTGAAGGCGTAGTATTGAATAAATAATAATAAAGCAATTCTAATTTTTCAACAAGAAGTGAATAATCAAATAAATCGAAAATTTCTATCTCCTAAAAACTGCAATATTAACAGCAATAGAATGACCCCTATAAACAGACAAATCCGTTTAACTTAGATATAATATAACTAATGGCAGGAGGTGGTAATCTTTAGCAAAATCAAAATTAAAACAGTAGGGACAATATAGGAAGCAATAATCATTAATAATATTTTAGCGACAACAATATAGGATAGTTAAATAAATCTAACTAAAGATAAAACTCTAATAATTTGTAAAATTATCATGCTTCATCGCACTTAAATATCTAAAATAATGGATTGAATGATATAATTAATATTTCAAATGATGACACTAGCACTAATTCAAAACTTAAAGGTCAAGCCAGAGGAAGTAAATCTTCTGCTTACACATTAGAAAAAAATACAAAAATTTAACCGAATTAAGCTAATTTGCCTAATCAAAATTCTTATCACAACCCTTATACTAACTACAATCCATATACGTTAGATGCAATTGAAAATATAAATGTAAGCACATTTTTAAATTATTTTTACATTTTATTTCAAAATTTCTTTGGTTTCAATTAAAATCATACATAACCAGTGAAATACTTATTTCCTAAACTTCTAATTGATTTTGATTTTCATAAATTAAAAATATTTAAAAAGCTGTTTTTGCAATTTAAAAATTATTTATTTACTTCAAGTTAATAGCTATTTAATTACAAACAAAAAAAACAAATAATAAATTTTTTATCTAAAAAAAAAAACAAAAAAATATTTATTAACAAAATGATTTTATTTAAAAATAAAAAAAATAAAATAAATGAGGAATTTTATTTATTTATTTATTTAATTTTGGTTATGAATATTTGTGTTTTGTTAATTTTTCAGATTAATTTAATAATTTTTTTTTAAAAGTAAAACCCAGGGAAGAATTAAAAGAATAGCTCATCACCAGATATATAGAGATAAAACAGGATACTAAAATAGTAATAAAATAATTTGTATAACTAGGAATAAGAAGCAAATGTATACATTTAAAGTTATGTACCGTCTTTTGCCTAACATCAATCTACTGATAATAGTAGATAGCAGTAGTAACAACAAAATATAATTAATAATAACCTAAACAATTCAAAAAAAAGCCAGTCAATAGAATACCCTGTTGTTCTTTAGCAAAGAGGAGGCTTAGGCGCTAATATTGGCACAGATGATTGGAAATAAAAAAAAGATTTGTAAGATAAAAAATTAGAATACAGTAATTAAGTAAAATATTTTAATTAATAATAATTAACCAATCTTCCTCCCTCAAACTAGAGGAAGCCTAAGCAAAAAGAAGAAGAGAAAAAGATCTCTTCAAGAGATAAGGCATTAGAGTTTTCTAAAAATATACCAAAGCCTAAGGCAAAAACAGATAAATAATTTACTGAAGAAAGTAGTAATACAAAATAATCAAATAACTTCTATAACAATCCAAATAGATATAGCAATGATTCTAGCCCTTCAAACTAAACAAATACAATATAAAGTTAAAATAGTAATGGATATTCAACAAAACAATATGAGTCTGATTTGGAATCTCTTGAGCGTTAACATTTAGAATATTTAAATAAAATAGAATAGTTGAATATGAATTGAACTAACGAAAATAAAAAACTTATAAATAAATAAATATATAAATTAAGTAATTAATTTAATTTAATTTTTGACAAATAAATTAACACAATAATCAAAACAAACTAAAATAAATTATAAATAAACTACTAAACAATAATTTAATTAAAATATATAGCATTGATTCATCTGTATGAATAAAATACTCAGTTTAAAAATAAATTAATTAATATTTAAAAGTGCTTTTATTTTTAAATCTTAAAAAAATAAATTGAATATTATTGGAAAACTCATATAATTTAAACAATTTCTATAAATTATTATCATTATTTTAATATTGGTAAATTAAGTCTATAATTAGGATCAATTTTTTTAAAACTTAATCATTATATTTGTACAAAACAATTATTTTAAGAAGAGTTTTGACGCCTTAGTTACTATTTAGTCTATAAAAAAACTATCATTTTTATTTTTTCTAAAAAACAATTATTTGGATTATTTACTGGGCTTAATATTTTATAATTACATTTATTTTCCAATTTATATAAAGAAAATTTTTATTTTTACAAAAATAAGTTTATTTGAACAATTTTTAAAAAGATTTTTTTCATAATTTACCTGAAAATAATTACATAAAGTTATAACTTTTAATTAATTCTCAAATAAGATTTTTATGTTAAAAATTTTAATTGTGTTGTGTTTGCTATTATTTAATATAAACATTTTTACTAGAAAATCCTTACTTATGTTAAAGATTACTTATAAAATGACATATTTGGATTAAATTTAAATAAAAATATTAAATTAATTTTTTGTTAAAATCATTTATTTTAAATAATTTTATGATAAACCATTTAAAGATAAAATTTTATAATACAATTTTCGTTTTTGAATTAAAAATTTTGAAATTGAAGAATAATTTTTGGATTGTATTTTACTTTTAAATGCTTGAAAATAAATATAGCAATATTAAAAAAGAAAAACTTATATCAATTTATATTGAAAGGCTAAGATATATTTTATCAATTTATTGGAATGAGTAGATTTATTTTTTAAATAATTTATTCACTTTCTAAAATCTTTCCTTTATTTTTAAGATTTTTGGAGAGTTCTGATAAACTTGATAAATAATCAGATTTATTTTGCTTAAAATAGATGTAATCTCTTTATGATAATTCTCTTAAACCTAACAAGTCATTCACTTCTGATCTGTATAAATAGTACTCTAATTGATTTGGATTTATTTCTAGAGCTTTGTTAAAACAAGCTGAGGCTTCCAAGTTTTCACCTAACTTAATTAGGCATTATCCTAAAACTGACAAAGCTTCATCGTCATCTTTCTAAATAAATAAATAAATAAATAAATAAATAAATAAATAAATAAATAAAAGATATAGTTCAGTATAAAAGTCAAAAAAATGTACCTTAAACAAAATATATTTTTTTAAATAAAATGAAGATTCCTGATATTTGCATAAAGAGAAATATGTTTGTGCCAAAGATTTATATGCAAAAGGTGTGTAATTTTCTTACTACATACACTTCTTTAAAAGAATCTCTGACTCCTTAAATTTACCTAGATTTTAATATGTTTTTTTTTATTACTATAAAAAATTAGAAATATATTTTTTGCTTCGAATAAAGTTCGATTATAAATAAAAGTTTGACCAAAAATAAATTTTAGTTGTTTTTTAAATATGCTAAATATTTTTTAAAGTTTATTATTTATTACCAATGATCCTTTTAGTGTCACCCAGTAAATATAAGCAATCGGAGTGGAATGGAATTTTTAATATCAAATTTTCTAAAAGAATCTCAGCTTCCTTTAAATTATTCTATGAAATAAGATACTTAGATTGAATAATTAATTTAGAGTAATCTGGTTAATACTATTCTTCAATATCACTGTAAATATTTTTACTTTACATATTTTTCTCTAGCTTAGAGCTGTTGTTTAGTAAGTCATTTTTTATTTTGTTTGATAAAGGAACTAGCTTAATTTCTGTTTTACCTTATTAGGGCTAATTTCCTGTTGATATATTCTTTAATTAACCATAGATATTACTCCTACTTCTAAAGGATATTTTTTCTCTGCCGTCTGTATTTTTATTATAATTTTATGAATTTTAACTACCCTTAAAACTTTAACTTAGAGGGAGAGATTAAATACTTCTTATTTGATTAGACTCTTATGAATCGTTCAGCATCAAATAACTATTAGGATTGTATGGAAAATTTTAATTGTTCTACAAATCAGTCCTATTATTTCCGTATGATTGTAGCTTTTAGCTAAAACTATTATTTCTATATTCCTGCTGTAAACTATTTGCATTAACAAATTCACTATCTTTTTGTATTGAGTTTTCTTGGAGGTATCTCTTCTGTGATTCTTAGATTTTATAGTCTAATAATCTTTCTTTGTATTCATTTTATTTTTATTTCAACTCATTTAGGCTTTACTCTTTTTATTTTTACTGTAAATGTCTTTATTCATTTTTTTTTTATGCAATATAATTTATTTCTGCTATTCTCTCTATCTCTTTCACTCTTGGATCAATCACATCAAAATTGTCCTTGGCGTTATAAGATTTTTCTCTTTTTTTATAAGGTGTGAATTTTAATAAAGGAAAACTTCTATTATAGAATATTTATCCGCCAATTAGAATACTCTACTATATATTTACCTTATTGAGAGATCATTTATATAAGCATCTTTCACAGATGTTGCGTTCTTTAAATATAAAAAATCTGTAACAAAAACTCAACAAATTTTACATAATTATCGAATATAATTTTTAGCTTAAAAAGTAAAATAATATTTATTATAGAAAATCAACTGTTTACTTAAAAATAGTATTTTTATTGCAAATATTAAGACCTATAATCCATTTTATTTATTTATTTTATGTAAGAGTTATTGTGAAATTAAATAAAATTTAATAAGCAGAAAATCTAGATTTTGTTGTGCTATAATTACTATCAACCAATAAATTTCAGTTGTTGTATATTTTGAAGAAATTAATAAGAAAATTTATCATATAAATTTTTATAAATTTGGTGGTTTAAGTTTTACTTCGTCCCCCATTAGTACTACAAATTTTAGTAAATAAAATTAATTGGATGAATAATAGTATACTTTTAAACAAAAAGATATATTTTTATATCTCAGTAATTTTTTTTTAACATGGTAGTACCTTTACCAAAAAATAAGAATAGCAGATAACTTTTTAGTTAGTAAAATTTTTTGAAAAATGAATTTTCTATTTTTAAGAATGAAACTTTGGCTATTCTTTAAACAGTAATCAGATATTTTACCTATTGATATCATAAGGTAAAAATATGTAGAACATCTTAAACTGGTGTAATATCAGTAGGAAAAAAATTAAAATAGCAAAAAACAATAATTAATAAGATTACAGATATTCTTTATTAATTTAAATTAAAAATATTATTTATAATTGAAATGTCATTAAAAGGAACAAACCAAAGCAAAAATGAAGCATTAAAAATATCTTTAATATTTTGGATTTGATAGGGTGAAAGAGTAAATCATTTAAAATGATCTTCTAATAATGTGATTTTGATAATTTGAAGTTAATCAAAATATAAATCCAATTAGCTTATTTCAGGCTAACAAATAATTTTGTAAGCTGTATCCATCCATCGTTCCATAATTAAGACCATAGAAAAGATAAAAGATAGTAGCATACAAAGATTGTAAATAAAAATAAATACTATATCTTTCGCAAATTATAATTTTTCCTGATGTCTGTAAATGAAGATAAATAATATCTAATTTGTAAATTTTTACAGAAAACAAGTTATCGTCTATCCAAACATCAAACTAATATCATTTGTACTTAAAATCTTTAAATTGCAGACAAAAATTAATAATAATAAATAATTAAATATTTGAATAAAATAAATAAATAATTAAGAAAACTTGAAGATAGATATAAAAAACAGATAAACTAAAATGGAAAATATTGAAGATAACCAACCCAGATAATTGTTTTCTGACAAGCAAGGAAATATTGAACAAGATAACTTCCAAGTATTGACATTTACATATTAACTTTATTTTAATAATAATTTTAAAAAGCTAATGGTATCAATCTGTCAAAACATACCTTAGTCAAATTATTTAATGCAGTTTTTTTTGCATAAAAATCAGATTTAAGAAATACTAAAATCTTAAAAATTACTTTGAAAATGAGAAATTTAGTCAATGATGTTAGTGATATCATTGAGAAGGTTGAAAATTTCATAAAACAAATACCCTCTTTCTTTTATTTTTATAATTGCTTTCTAATTCTTTAAACCAAATTTTTAGCATGCTTACCTGCAGCTGTAGGCATACATGTTTCAAGGTTATATTGAAAAAAATATATAATAGAAATAATATCACTTCTTATCCACATATTTGAAAAAGCTCTTTTATGTTAAAGTGTTTTTAGAAATTAATATCTTATTTTTCTAAATTAAAAAATAGATTACTGTCCACGTTGTAGATCCTATCGTTAAGAAGGAAGGTGTTTCTTAACATGTTGTCTATACCGTTAAGGGTGAAGATAAGGTAAAAAATTTATATTTTAGCTTGATTAGAATTCTCTAACTATTTATAATACCTCGAATTCTAATACTCTAAATAGTCTAATAATAATATATTTTAATTATAGTTAGGTACTTTTGAAGTTATTAGAAGATTCAGTGATTTTGATGGTTTGAGAACTTATCTCTAAAAGAGATGGCCTTCCTGCTATATTCCCCCTATCCCTGATAAAAAGTCTGTTGGTAATATGGACCAAAAGTTCATCGAAGATCGTAGAAATCTTTTAGAAGCTTTTGTAGTAAAGATTACTGAATTAAAGCACCTTTGGTACTCAGAAGAATTCTAATTATTTATTAGGTAAAGATATTAATTAAAAAAGTATTTTCTTAAGCAAATGAAGATGTGTTGATTTTATTGAATTAATAAGTAAAGAAAACACAAGCATACTTGATTATATAAATTAAATTAGCAATTAAAATAAAATTATATTATTTTAATTTAATCTAAATATATATTATAATTATAGAGGTACTTAATCTGATGTAGAAAAGTCTTTAAGCAAGCTTCCTGCATAAAATAACCAAGAATTAATTCAAAAATACTCAAATGCTTTCATGTATTTAAGTGGTAAGGAAATCAACCCTTCAATCGAAGGTAAGATCGACTCTTTCACTTAATACTTAAAGAAAATCGGTTCTTTGCTTACCAACTACAAAGAATTTGCCAAGAATACTTTAGAATTAAGAGAAAAGGACAATAAGCAATATGAATTATTCATTTCTTACCTTCTTCCCGAATATGAAAAGAACTGCTTCACTGAATACATTGGTGCTGCAAATGATGGAAAGCTTATTTTTGCTTAAAATACTGATCAAAAACTTAGCTAACTTATCTCATAAGTCAAGGAATTCGTTAGCAAAGATGAATTAAACTCTCTTTACCAATTGATTAGATAGGAATGCAAGGAAATTAAGGCCTTCACTGAATGTATGGACTCTAGAAAGGCATTCAAAGAATCTAAGGAAAATTTGCATAAAAAGCATAGAGAATTAAAAAGCGAAGAAAGTAAAATTATATCTGGTAAGACTTCCTTTAAAAATGTCTTCTCCAAGAAGAGCAAGGAAGAAAATGCTTAAGAAATTAAGTAATAAATTGAAAACACTGAAGCTGAAATTTCAAGAGCTAGTGAAATTTATGATATTATGACTGTCGTTCTTGGATATGTTGAAATAGATAGATTTAAAGTAAATAATTGTCAGAAATTAAAAGATATTAATAATTCTTCTTTTTAAAATCTTAATAGGCTGAAAAGGAAGCTCTTTACTTCACTACCGTCAAAAAATTAGCTAAATATGAACTTGAATTTTCTAAATTAGTAATTTATTTCTTATTAAAATGTTATTTTTTTTTAAATAATTATTTTATTAAATAAAGAGAACCGAATTCTGGTCTTATATCTTAGAAAACCATAACTTAAGTAGCATTTGAAAAAATGTACCTAATGTTTCTTATAAAATTTTAATCAGATTTAAATGTTTATGAATAATCAATATTCAAATAATATTGTCAAAAATGTCTAAGTTTAAATATATTTTCGTATGATCTTCTAAGTTAAAATTAATTTTAAATTAAACTCTATTTTAAAATTCTAAAACTTATTCAAAATTAATTATTTCATTAAAAAAAAAATAATTGATAGCTATGCAAACTAAATGTTAATGCTGATTAATTTCTCTTTTTTTTATAAAAATGCATTATAAGAAAATATCAATTTTTTAATGAACAAAAAGATATGTTTAAATAATAATTGTTATGTTTGTTTTAATGTATTAATAATGTATTCAATTTATAACAAAATTAAAATTAAAAAAAAATTTGCAGATTTTCATCAAGAATAAATTCATTTAAAAATTAATTTGAAATATAGAATTGAAAATGGAAAACTAACTTTTAGAGCAGTTTAAGAATTATTTATATTAATATCGTTATGAAGAAAACGAGTACATTTAGAGCATGTTTTTAGAAAGATCGTTTAAGTATGTCGAGTTAGAGTATAAGGATTCGTTGACAAATAATAAAATACTTAATTTTCCTGTTTATTCAGCTTTGTGTATCAATAAATAAACAGCTGCTATATGTTTATTTGATATATCAACTATGTTTAATATATTGTTTCCTACATAAAAAGAAAAAGATGAATTTGAATACCTAATTACTAGCTAAACAGCTGTATGCCCTTGTTGCAACGAATAGATTTCTTTCAACTTTTTAATATATGATAGTTTTTTAGCTAATTTTCATGAATAAATCTCAAAAAAATAATCATAGTAGGTATAAATAATATGCTATTTTATATTAAAATTATTTTTTTAATAGATTAAATGAAGCCCCGCTTCTCAAGTTAGAGAAAATTAGAAATTAGAGTTCAGTAAAGTATAATCTGGTCAATAGTTAGCAAATTGAATACCAGGGAATTGTAAAAATAAATGAAAAAGTTAATCACTTCTCAATAGACCAATATTAAAGAATGTAGCACGATTTAGAAAAAGAAATTGATTAATTATAAGAAAAAAAGGATTATCAATCAAAAGAGAGTCAGTAGTAGATTGAATCAGAGATAAAATTAAGATAAACGATTCAAAATATAATTGCTGATGAGCATAATAGAAAAGCTGATGAGCCTTCCACTTACTTAAAATAGGAATAACCTTTTAGAATATTAAAAATTGGTTAAGGAGATGGTTAAGAATATAAATCTGTTTAAAATAGTAAAATATATTTTTTTGCAAATAATAAGCTATATATAGGCTAGTCTTAGCTTTATTTATTAAAAAGATTCTAAATATTCAATCTCTATATCAAAAGAAATGAATAAGCAATAGGTATTTTTTCTTTACAAAATAACATTTTTAGATTTTAGCAATTGATTTTCTTTTATTAAGAAATTAGAATAAAAAAAACTAATCTTCTTTATAATTATAAATTTATATGAATAGTTCCTTTTAATATGAATGATGATGAATTTAAAAATTTTAAAAGTTTGCTTATCTATGATGCTATTATCTTGATTGTAACGGCATCAAAGATTTATTCGCTGTAGATAATAAAAGGTTATGAAAATGAAAGTGATAAAAACTAATTGCTAATCGAAGAGATTTATTAAATATAAGATTTAATCTAAAACTAAAACAGAGTTCCCTAAATTTGCTTCATTAATGATAACTTATACTTACTAGATTATTAAGAAGAGACCTAAACTTTAGTTTTTAAATGTATTAAAGATTTATTAATATACCCTGAATTTTAAGATGTTTCTTAGCCCTAAGTATATCTTGAAATTAGTGATTCTAGCTAAAATGAAAAAGTTCTTCTTTTTTTAGATGATTTTACATAGGAAATAATATTGTTAACTCCTGATCAATATTTTATTTATGACATACAAAAAAATAGCTGGTTAGAAAAAGATCTGTAATTTCAAAAAGTACATGGTGTTTCAGATAAACTTAATTTTAAATTTTATGATTATCATTAAGATGAAGAATATAACAGTAAAGGAAAAAAAATTTAAAAAAACTATAACATGCCTGATAATAACTACGAAGAGTAAAAAAACGTATATTTTATAGATGAAAGCGATGATAGTTAAGATGATGATTTGAATATTTAAGATATGCTTGAAAATATATTTGAAAATTCTCACTAAATAAAAATTATTAACTATAAATAGAGGAAATTCTTCATTTTAAACATAGAAAAAGGATTCATTTATAAATTAGATTTAAGAAATATATAAAAAAATAACATAAATACACTAGATAAAGTTGAGTGTATCATTAATTTCGATATATCCTCCTAAAACATTCTATACAAAGATAAACAGTTTTTTTATGCTATTAAAATAGAGTAAAAAGACACTGCGGAGCTTGAGAATTAAAACAATCTTCAAGGACTTTAGGATTTAGAATTATAATTAGAAGAAGAACTTAAAATATACGATATAATCATACCTGGATTTAATTCAAACGAGTAGTAATATTCAACTCCTTTCTATAAAAATTCAGTTTTATGTAAAGATTTTGCAATATTTTAAGTTTAGAAATTTGCTTGATAGAATAAGTAATAATAAAATTAGATTAGTTGAATAATTTTTTATAAAAAATAATATATTTTTATTTATTAATCTATATATCTATCTAAATATATCAAAAAATAATTAATTTAAGGATAATTTTAAACTAAAAATAAATTAATAAATAAATTATTATTGTTAAGGAAATTTATGTTCCATTTCTAAATATTATTGAGAAAAAATAAAATATTTACTTTGGATATTTTAACTAATAATAAAATTTTTTTTTGAATGAACGAATTTTAAAACTATTTAGCCAAATTTCTTAAATTTATAATGACACAAATAAACAATAAATTAAAAATAAAGAATTCCATTTTTTACGGATTTTATTATTCATATCACATGATTTATTTATACAATTAATAACTTCCTTTTTGAATGAATGAATGAATCACTCTAATTCTACAATCAACTTACCAGCTTGAACGAATTCGCCATCTCTGAATTTAACAGCTTTAACAACACCATCCTTTTTAGCTTTAATTACATGCTAATTTAAAAAAAATTTTATTATTACTATTTTATAATATTTATTTAAAAAATATGTTTTTACTTCCATCTTCATTGCTTCAAGGATGACAATAGGTTAGCCAGCACTAACTTTATCTCCTTATTTAACATTTACTTTAACAAGAGTGCAAGGCATAGGAGCTTTAATAATGTTAGGGTCTTGAGTATCATTTGAAGTAGAAGATCTGTTTTCTACTAAATTGTTTTCGAAAGTAAAGTGAAGTGCATCACCAAACTCGTTAAATACAACACAATCTTCACCTCTGATAAGGAACTATTATTTAATATTTATTCTTATTTTATAATTTTCTAATATTAAGTAAAAATTTAATTACATCTGTGTTAACAGTGTTTTCTGAGGAGGTAATATTGATTTGAGATTCAGTAGTGAGAGTGTAAGCAACATTTTCAAATCTCTTAATAACAGTATGCTTAGAAGGATTTTTAATAGTTATATTCATCAAACCATTTCCAGGATATTCAACATTAACTTCGTACTTTAATTATATGTTAAATTATTATCTTATCAATTATGTATGATTTTTAAATTTATTTATTTACCTTTAATTCGGTATTGATAAAAGCTGCAGAAGCCTTTAAGATAAAGTTTTCAGATTTATGATGATTCAATCTAAAGTTTTAGAGAGTTGAGTGAAGCTTAGTATTTTTTAAATTTTAAGAAATCTTGCTAACAACTGCACTCATGATGTATTGGTTTTCAATTTTAGTAACCTATTTAAAAATTAATATTTAAGCTAATTTGAATATACTTGTTTGTTATTTGTTGATTACTTGTTAAAGAAGATCCTTTTTGTGCTTCTCAATAAAACCAGTATCATATTCACCCTTCAAGAAATCAGGATGTTGACTGCATGTTCTTAAGAATCTCAAGTTTGTTGGTAATCCTACAACCTTGTAGTCATCTATTTGATAATATTTATATGTAAATCAAATAAAATTTTATTTCTCTTACTTAAAGCTTTGTTAAGTGTTCCGATAGCAGCAGATCTATCCTTACCCCAAACAACAAGCTTAGCAATCATAGGGTCGTAGAAGATAGAGATGTCATCACCTTCTCTTACACCACTTTCTAATCTAATAACACCAGGTTCCTCCTTAGGCTCTCTAAAGAATTCGAGGTTACCATTACCAGGAAGGAAATTATTGTAAGGATCTTCAGAATAAATTCTTGCTTCAATAGAATGACCTCTAATTTTTAACTAATCTTGGGTCTTGGGTAATTTTTCGCCTTAAGCAACTCTTAATTACCATTCAACAAAATCTTCTCCTGTAATCATTTCAGATATAGGATGTTCAACTTATAATCTTGTGTTCATTTCCATGAAGTAATATTGATTTGAAATCAAATCGAAAATAAATTCAACTGTACCAGCATTATAATATCCAACAGCCTTAGCAGCATCAACAGCACTTGAACCTATATTAATTTTATTATGATTAAAAACTTATTAAATTCAGCTATACATACCAATGCTATTTCTGAGATCCCAATTAATATTTGAAGGAGCTTCTTCAATGACTTTTTAATGTCTTCTTTAAATTGAGCAATCTCTTTCAAACAGATGTACATAATTGCCATGATGATCACCAAAAACCTAATTATCAATTAAATTATTTTGAATTTGTTTTATAGGTTTTTAAATAGGCTTACTTAAACTTCAATATGTCTTGGCTTTTAGATATATTTTTCAATTAAGACTCTGTCATCTTTAAAAGCTTTCAAAGATTCTCTTTTGGCACTTTCTAAAGCTTCAAAAAATTCGCTTTCCTTAGTAACGATACGCATACCCTTACCACCACCACCTAAGACAGCCTTAATTAATACAGGGAATCCAATAGAACGAGCTTACTCAAAGAGGCTTTAATTTTTAATAAAAAATAAATGAATAAATTTTTTAATTTTTTTATCTATTTAATTACTAATCTTTATCTTAGTTTTCTCCATGATAACCAGGGACTACTGGGACCTAATAATATTGAATAATTTAATTCTATTCATACATGGAAATTTTGCATATTATTTACTTTTGCATTAGTCATAATGATTTTAGATTCACTCTTAGAACCCATTTTTCTAATTGCATCAGTTGGAGGACCAACAAAAATCTAATTTTTTATAAAAAAAGTCAGTTGAAAATTATTCTATAAATTTAGTCATGGTAAAATAATTAATTCTTGCTTCTCTTTGATCATAGACAAATATAAATTGAAGAAAGAAATTTGAATTACAATTTTGTTTGTTGTACATTCATCAGCAAAGTCTGCATTTTCTGATAAGAAACCGAAACCAGGATGAATAGCTGAACAGTTAGAGTCGTGAGCAATTTCTATTATCTTCTATGAATTCAAATAGCTTTACACTTTATATTAAGAAAAAGATATTTTAAAAAAATGTAGAATGAAAATGAAATATTTTTTTTTAATATTGCATATAATTTAAATATTCTGCATAGCTTTAATTCTAAATTAATAATGATGATAGTAATAATACATGAAGGTGCAGGACCAACTCTGTAAGCTTGATCAGCCATGCTAACGAATTTGCTATCTCTATCAATATCTGAATAAATGGCTACTGTTTTAATACCCATCCTATGATTGATTAAAAAAATTTTATTGTTTAGGGCTTCATAATTTACTAATCTAAATTATTAATCGCAAATTCTCCTTGTGTAAACAAAGTATTTTAGAATAAGAAGTAGGCTAAGCAATTTCTTTATGCGATTAAAAAATGATTATCAAACTATTTTTTAATTACTTCTTAGCAGTACGAATAACTCTACATGCTATTTCACCTCTGTTTGCTATAAGTAATTTATTGATCATTTATTTCCACAGTAATATGCGTATTTTTAGTTAATCTTTTTATTTTTTTTAATGTTGATTTATTTTGATTTTGTATCCTTTAAAAAAGAAGATATATATTATCAGAGTTGAATTTTAACTGTGTATATATATATCGTATTAAATTTTTTATTTACTTATTTATTTCCTGAAAAAATTCTGAATTTTTCTTTTTTGTCATCACAATTGTATGTATATTTAAAGCTTGATATAAGATTTAATATTATGTAGGAAATATCCTAAGAAATCAAAAATACATCCTGTTTTTGTTTTCTGGTTATGCTTTTGACTTCAAGAATAACTGAATAAAATCTAAGAAAATAAAACATAAAAAAACAAAGTTCAAATAAAAATCATTTTATGGAATTTTATTTCAAGGAAAAGAGGAAATATTCAACACTATTTTTACTTTTGGCTTTAATCATTTTTTATTTATTATAAAACCAAAAATATCATTTATATTTAGTTTTTATAAGAATTTTATTGCTATAATTTGGATAGTAAATATAACATTGTAACTCATAAAAAAATTTGATGAGATTTGATAATTTACTATGACCATTCTTTCTTTTTTTTTTTCAAAATAAATAAATATCTAGTTTTATAATAAAATTTTAACTTATATAAATAAAAAACAATTTTACTGAAAAGTATATACTTTAAATTAATTTATTATTCATTAAATATTTTTCCATATTAATTTATCAATCATTCCACAATAATAGCAATAAGAATTTGGTTTTTCCTTAAAAAATCTGTTTGTAAATATAAAATAGTAACAAACAAATTTGCAAACTCACATTTATTAACTAATTTATTAATTATTTAATAATTTATAATTTAAAAGATAATTTTAGATATAAATACATTCATATCTTTCCAGAAACAATCATTTAAAGATTATTAATTGACAATTTGAAATCAAACTTTGTTTAAAATTTTATTTTGATGTAATAAATAAACTGTTTCTAGAATTTTTGGTATAATCTAAATATTTTGAATTGATTTTTTGTTAAAATTGTAAACATTTTATTTATTTTGTGTATAAAATTAAAAATAAGAAAAATGATTTATTATTTATTCTTAATTATTTTTTTATTTAAAAACAATTTTAATTCTTTAAAGTAACTTATTTACTTACTTTCCTTATTAATTTATAAGCTAAATAAAATTTGAAATCACCAACAATTTAATACAAATAAATTTTTTTACTAGCCATAAAAATATATTAAATAAAATTATTTTTTAATTAATTTCAATTTAATTAAGAGAGAGTTTCTTCAAATAATTTGGCACTTTTTAATTCACCTGATTTTAATAGTAATTCAATTCTATTTATTTCTTCAGCAGTTTATGCATTTTCTATTAATTACTTTATAAATAAAAAATAAATATTTTGCATATGTCTATCTGTTTATCTATTAAAAAAATAATTTACTCTTATTTTTTCTTTTTTATCTTTAAATAGCTTGCCTTCCTCTTCTTCCATCTTTTGCTTTTCACTATCAAAGTCAAACTTAGCTTTAGCTTATTCTCTTTCTTTTTATGTAACTTTTTAGAAATCAAGGAATCTTAAGGTTGGTATTCTAGAAATAACATAAAGTCTGTAATCAGGAGCCTAAAAATATAATAATTTTCAATAAGTTTTCTTTTCTTTAATAAAATAAATTTCACATAAACACAAAATAAATTTATTTGCTAATAATAATTTAAATTACCTAAGTTACAACGTTATTATAAAGTACAAGTCTTTTGAGATTCTTGCAGTTATATAAATGGTCGATTTCTTTTAAATCTACAATTCTATTATTCATCATACACAAATTTTCTAGAGAAGGTAAAGAATCACCTATGTTAGAGATTTTTGAAATTTTATTATTATTTAAAATCAATGTCTTTAATCTAATTATTTTAGGATTTTAAATATCAATTAATATAATTTCTATTAATTATTCTTTATTTCCATAATTAATATGAAAAATTAATAAGATTTTTGTTCTTTGCTACAATAAGTATTGAATATTATAAAAACATTTATTATAACTAAAATTTAAAGCTATTCTTTGCTAACAAGTTAAATATATATTATAAAAATTAATACCTTAAAAGGATAGAGAAGTTTCCAAGCTTTTTAATTTCATTATCACTCAAATCAATGCAATCAAAGAAGTCCTTTTTAATGTCATAAAATATTCTTTTAGCTTTAGATAAATTCAATCAGAATATTACCAAAGTTGCACCCAAGTTTTCGATAACGTATATTTTTAAACCTATTAATGTAGATTAATAAAAAATTTAAATTTATTGCACAATTTAATTTGCATTTTCTTAATATAAATTAATGTTTAATAGAATTAATTGATCTGATTAATATATATTTATATTTTGAAATGCTATGAAACTCAAATATTAATGATAATTATATCAACCTTTCAAATCTAATTGTCTTTCATTTAGTGGATTAATAGTTTATGAAGAGTTTTATATTAATTCTGCTGTAATTTTGCTCATTTAACTTAAAAAATCTATTAAATTATTCCTATTATCTTATTTTTAAACAGAAAGCTATACGCTAATAATATATTTAATTAATTACAAACTAGTTTCTATGAATTTAATTAAATATCTTTTTTATTTAGATACTGAAATTTTGCATTCATGATTCTATTAAATAAATAGTCATAGACAATATTATTTTAATTTGTTAATTTTTTAACGCAATAGCCAACTTTTTCTTTTCTTCACAGGCATACATAGTTAATGATTTTACATAAAAGTTAACTTGGTTTTCTAATAAATCTAAAATATTGCATAATTTATATGTGCCTACCTACCTCTCTATAATAATTTCATAAACAGTAATTATTTTAAACAAATTTTTTAAACATTAAGCATTCAATTTAATTAACGTAATAAAAATAGCATTTTAAACAAGATAATTTTATGAATTAAGAAAAAAATTTCAGTATGAATTAATTTTAATCATTAAATACTTATTTAATTAGTTGAGTACTTTAATAATGAATAAATTAGATAATATTTGTGACAATAATTAAGATAAATAATCTAATTACAAAATTAGCATAGAATATATAAAAAATGAAATTATGGAAAAGATGTGCATGCTAGTTGATTTAATGTAATATATTTGAGAAAATTGATACAGATCTTAAATAAATATGAACTAGCTATGTTATTTTAAATACTATTTTAATAATTATATAGTTAATTAAATTATTTTTTATTTATAATATATATAGTTCATTATATACTAATTAATTCTTTATTTCTATCCAAAAATTTATATTTTAAAACATTGTTATTATTGTTTTTATTGTAGTTATTATTATTATTAAATTTCTGAAATAATCATTTTTTTTTAAATTATTTTTGCACACAGAGGAAGTTTTTAGTTAGAAGTAAAAATGGTTAATTGTATTTGTTTAATTTCATCTTTTTATAAGATTCAATTAAATCAAAATATAATAAGTATGAAGCTCATTTATTTCTTCATTATTGTTGTAGTTCATTTAAATTTTATAACTTGCTTTAAACTGAAATTGTTGCAGATTGAGATCTATTGTTTTAAATATCCAAGGAGCAAGAGGAACCTTCTTTAGAATTAGCTGTGCATAGTTTCTTAGAGGGCTTTGCACCTTCAACTTCACTAAGATCGTGATTACTAGGTTCATCTTCTTCTTTGAGTTGGTAAGAGATAATTTTACTTATGGGTTAGAAAATTTCTTGAACATTTGCACAATTTGATATTTTTGTGATAATATTTTTCAATATGGTATTCTCAGATTCTAATTCTTAAATCTTTTTATTTTTTAAAAATATTAATTAATTTTATGAAATAAATGCAATAAAGCTCATTACTTTCTTTTCAAGTAACTCCTACTTTTCAAGGAGAGGGCCGATTTATTAAAGGGCTTCTCTTTTTTTCTTTTGTGATTCTTTTGCAGAGTTTCTATTTCTTCTTATGCTATTAATTTATATATGAGTTTTGTTTAAAATCATTATTAAATTTACAAAATTTTAATTTACCATTAACACTTTTTGCAATCACATTTTTCATCTCCATTGAAGACACATTTATTTAAAAGCTTATCAATAGTCTTAAGATAGTAATTAGAAGATTCATTAGAATTATTGGCAGCTTAGCCATTAGATTGATTAGCTCCTGTCTAAAGTTCTTGGTTGAAGTTAACATTTTTTAGGAAGAATTAAATAAATTCTTCTTAATGAACAAGATCTAACTCAATGCGAATAATTTCAAGAAGAGTAAAAACAATTTTTGAATTAGTGTTAGAGTGAATAGAGTTAACTTTGGATAAGAAATTGTGCTTTTCAATTGATTCATTCTATTCAAAGATGTCATTACATAAGTTATTTAAGAAATTCTTAAGATTAGTTTATTTGAAATCACCCATTAACTTAAGATAGCTTTAAAGGAGTTCATCTTCACGGAAGTTCAACTTAGATCGAGAGGAACGTTTAATAAAGCACACAATAGTATTTTACTTTTCAAAGTAGGAGACAAGTTAGTTAATAGAGGCATCAAATTAATCATGGAAACTTTGACGGCTTATCTTGTAAATTTAACCTCCAAATTACTAAAAGCATAAATTGCCATAAATTTCATTGCTCTTTTGTTGGGCCAATGCGCGTCTTTAAGCTTCAGTTGCTTTGTTATTTCCCTATGCTTCTACAGAATTATTACTAGAAGATTAGAGCATTTAGTAGAAATTATTTAGGCTTCCAAGAGTAATCATATTTTGTTTGTCAGCGAAGAAGGAGAAAATCATTTCAGCGACTTCCTACTTGAAAATAAGCATTTAAGATAATTCTTTATAGTAATTATCTTGTATTTTGTCTTCATATTGGAATTATTTTTTATTGATAACTTGAGTGACCAATTTCCATACGCTTTCTTTTAAAATTATTTTCATAGGATTCTCAATTAATTCATTGATAATAGTCAAGTCTCCTTATTCCATAGTTCCTATTAAATAATAAAAGAAATTTTAATAACTTAATCAGACTTACATAAAGCCTCAAATTAATTAAATTATTTAAATATTGATCATTCATTTATATATTTATTCAACTCTCCAAAAAATCTTTTCTTTTATTTAATAATGCGTATTGAACATTCATTCATTATCTTAAATTTTAATTAATTTTTGAATTTTTGTATCTTATTAATTTCACTTAAATCTAGTATTATCATACAAAATCCTTACAATTAAACTTCAAAAAGGTTATTCATCAACCCAGATTTTATTGCTTCTTAATAAAATTGGATTTTTGTTTGTTAATTTTTGTACACATATAATATCAATTTTTTTATTTTTTAGTAAAAATAACCTGCTAAAAATATTTTTCGCTCCATTGAAATGTATACAATCATTATATTTATGCTTAAGGGGATTGGAATGATATTAAGTTCTAGCAGAAAATTTAATTGTTTATGGGTATAGTTAAGCATAGAATCCATGTTATTTATCATCCTTAAGCTAAATTTTTAACTAAGCAAAAGTGAGAAAAATCAATGAATTGATTGAGATGTCTCTAAAATTAAAATAAATTTGGAAAATATATAGAATAAAAAGAGAAAGTAAATAAATAAAAGAGAGTCAAATAATTAGATTCTGTGTATTTTGTATAATTTTTTTAATTACTTTGCAAAGAAGAGAGAGTAATTGTTCCAATTAATTTTATGAAGTTAGGGAACTAAAATCCAGCAAAGTAGTCAGTTAAATTTTCAAGCTTTTGCTTCTTTTTTAAAACTGCATCCAAATGGGATTCTAAGTCTTTCCCAGCGAAAACAGCTTGATAAAACAAATTTTAATTGAATAATTCTAAATCGATGCCAAGCTATTAAGAAGCAGCTACGTTTTAGATTGGATTTAAGGCCTAAATACTTTAATGTTAAATTGCTTGTGATTGAGGCTGAGGGATAATAGGAGCAGTAATGCTTGCGGGAGATTTTTAAATTTAGAATTGTTATTGTTGTTAGAGTTTTATTTGTTGTTAAGATGGTTGCTATTTAATTTATTAGGGCTGTTGTTATTGCTATTCAATTTATTATTAAGTTTATTAAGCTAGAAGCAAAAGTTAATCTTATTGAGAAAGCAATTTTGGGATTTAGAAGAGTGAAAAAGCACTCTTAATGTTTGAAGGAAGCATTTTTATTTTATTTTGGTAGTAAGTAATATTTATAAACTTAAAGCTGTGATGGCGATGATGAATCTTTTCAAGAAAATACCGATTAGAGATGGATAAGTTCTTAAGAATGAAATTCTTTTATAGGAAGTATTATTTTTTAAGAGGGCAGTTATAATAGTATTTTTATCCCTTTTGTGATTTTTCTTTTTTGTTTTAGATAATTTTTAATTTTTATATTTGATAATAATTGTCTTTAATTTGTTTTTTGTTTATGAGCGAATAATTATTCTTTGAACAATTTTTTTTTCCTTGAATCTAATTTCTAAATATAATGAATGCAATGAATTAGACAGAAAACTGGCTTTAAAAGTGATTCAATTAATTAATTAAATAAATTTCTTAATTCTTTAAGATTTTGACACATATAAATTAATAATTCTTCTTGCTTTCTTTTAACAAAGTGTTTTTTGCTATTAAACCTACCCTCTAAATCTTACAAATAAATAAGCGCAAATTGTTAGATTGAAACATCTGTAAGTAAAATATATTATCCATTTGTTTTTAAATGAAAATATTGGCAAGTATTTTGATAATCTATCTAAATACTATGTTTTTCAAGGATATAAATAAATGCAAGACAAAAAAATACTCTAATACAATTAATTTTCATATAATGAAAACTAAGTTTTGTTGATTTGATGAAAAGAATTTAAAAATACATTAGAATTTTACACAGTTACATTTAAAACAATCTGGCTCTGTATAAATTTAAGTAATTTGTTAAATAATAAAACTAAATAAAAGGAAATTTTAAAAAAATAAAATAAAAATAAGCTTAATTGCTATTATAAAATGAAAGAAAATGAAGAAGATTGATAATTATAATATAATTGAGTTTTAATATATATTAAATCTAAAAAGGGGTATTGCATACAAATTAATAAATAAAAAAAGTATTGATTGTGACTTTTTTGTATGCTAAATTACGTAAAAAAAAGTATAATTCAAATATAAATGCTGTCTTCTCTATATTACGTCTTTCTTCTGATTGCATAATATTAAAATATACACACATAACATTTTTTTAATTTACCATTCCAAATTTTGGTGTATAATATTTATTTAAATTAAGTTGTTTCAAGATTTTTTCCTTTAATTTTCCATTTTGCACTAATTTTATTCCTACAATCATCTCATCAACTTCTATCTAATTTTTTTACATTAATTTTATGCCTTTGCATTTATTTTTGTTTTCAACTTCTTCATCAAATAGCCTGCCATTGATTCTCTAAAAAATTCTAATTTATAAATTGATAAAATGTAAGAAATTAATGTTTCTCCTTTTTAAAATAAGTATCATTATTATTAATCATCATCATTTCATAAAAAAAGGGGGAGTAATAGCAATTTTTTTTGGAGAGGACTCCAAAATCTGATTAAAAAATTATAATATTTAATGCTTTTTGCTTGCTTCTTTTCTTTTAAAAAGTTAAAATTTATTATAAAAAAATATATTGATCACTTTTTTTTAAAATTTATAAATATTTTGCTAATGAAATGGTTGAAATTTCTTACCTTATATGCACTCTCCAAAGTTTTAAGAATTTTTTAATATGCATTACTATTAAGCTAATTGTCAGTGGCTACTTAATATGCAAGTCTTTTGTTTAAATTTAAATATTGGTTAGTTTTGGTTTATAAATCATCAGAATTTAAATGTTTCTAGTAAAAGAAAGGAATGCAAATGAATTACTGCTTTAAATTGTCACCTTCTCTAACAATTATTTTAATATAATCTCCATTCCCTTTGTCTAGATTTACTCTAAACAATTCTGTCTATCCTTTTTCTTAAATTTATTACGAATTATAGTTGATTGGACTACTACTTATTTTGTTTTAAGGGGTATATATATTTTATGGACTCAAATTTGAAAGTTACTCTGCCTGTATTTATATTAAATGGAAAGAAATTATTAATATTAAATTATCAACAATAACAATTTACAGAATAATATCCTTAAATATCTTTGAAAGATTTCTACTAAACATCATTATAAGCAGTTTATACAGATAATCTTTATGTCTTTTCTTTCAAGCTTTATTAAACCCTATATTCATTTTAAATCTATCCTATTTTCTCGACTAAAAAGCTAATTTTATTCTTTTTTATATTATATGTATTTATAAACGAAAAGGCTAATTCATAAGGGTCATCATTTTCTCTTATACGAATAGTTGCTTATTTTTTACTATTTGGGTTCAATTCTACTGTTAATTTCCCTATTATTTCATCTTTTTTACTATCATTTAATCCCATTTTTTGTTTTTAAGGTAGAGGATTTAAAATATTTTCTCTTAAATTCCTATCTCTAATATATCGATCTATGGCATCTTTTTCTTTGAGTTCTAATTTAAGTAAAAAAATATTGAGCTTAAAGAAATAAATTACAAGTGAATTTTCAAAATCATAAATTGTAAGTTAAGAAAGAAACAGACAATTGTTTTCTTAATTTTTTCTCAAATTTAATAATTCAAAAAAAGTAATAAATATAAAAAATGTATTTTAAAAACATTTACTTTTATCTTCGATTTCTTCTACTATTTACTGAAGCGACTGAGTGTAATCATTTATACGTTTTTAAATAATAGCAGCTAAGTTCTTCATTTGAGATCTTGTTATCATTTTCTAAAGAGACATACATATTCTTTCTCCAATAGTAAAGGCAGTATCATCTGAATATACTTTTACTTCTAAATCCTAATGTTTTATATTTTAATCAATTTTTTTTGAAATAAAAAATAACACACTAAGTAAAAAAAAAATTGTTCAAAGTCAAAGAGAAAAAAAAAGGAAGCTATTAAATTTGTTCTATGGTTTTTATCAGTTTTTGTGCTATATTTGGTTTTTTGTTTAAGTCATGCATTTATTTATTAGTGGGGGTCGGATAAATAATAAAAATGATAGAGGAATAAGCTTAATAAAATTATAAAGAAATGATTAAATGTAATATGAATGAGTGAATGATACTTTAATTACTTTGAATGACACTTTGATACAAAACAATTATTAAATAAAAATTTTTCTTTCACTTAGAAATTGACAATTTTCAATTTTTGATTAAAAAAATGGGAAAAAGAAACAAATAAATTTAAAATAGAAGAATAAAAAGAATTTTTTAAAAAAAAAGATAATTTCTTTAATGACGAAAACAGTGAATTATCTTCACTAAAATTATGATTTCGTTCGTCAATAAATAAAAAGATGTCAATTCAAACATAAAAATTATTTGTCATTCATAATATTAAATTTAAAAATTGTCTATTATTAAGATTGAATTTGAATGAAATTTAATAAATTTTATTCCCTATTTCTCTAAGTTGTAATGAAAAAGAAAGAATTTTATTGAAATTATACCTGACCATCAAAATCAACATTTAATGTTATTAAATCTTTATGCTTTTTTGTTTGATAGGAGCTTGGACTTCTACATCCTCTTATATGAGACTTATATTGATCATAAATATTATGTCTATAATTTTAATCAGCCGAGCTATAGTTATTTAAAAACTCATCTTAAGTATAGAAAACTTCTACATCGTTAGCGCTGTTATTTGTTAAAAACTAATCTACTCCCTCCTAACTCTCAATTGAAGAAGCTAAGTCTCTATTTAGAATGGTGTTACTTGTATTTATTCCTCCTTTTGTTCCACTGCTAAATCCTCTTGAATTAAATTTACTTGCAGGACTATAAAATTAAAACTTTGGCTAGCTAAAATAATCACTTTTTGGAGTTGTTTTTTTTGATAAATCAACCTTAAAGACTTATGGAGAGTCAAAATTTTTTAATTGCTTTGCAGATAAACCACTTAAATTTGATAATTTTTGTTTTTTTTTTTCCTTTTAAGTATAATTATTCATTAAAGAAGTCTCTATAGCCGGCACACCTTTTGGTGTAACCTTAAAATTAGTAAAATTATTGCTTGCTTAGTCATGAAGTGTTCTTTTCAATTCATTGTACATATTATTTTCATATTATTAGATCGAATTATCTTAGTCCAAGCTTGGTTGTATTTATTAATTATCATTATTTTTTTAGTATTAATATTAATCACCTTCTAATTTATCTTGAGGAGGAGTGTATTATTAAAGACTTAGCTCTTAAGGCTTATTTTTTTATTCTAATTTTAAATGAACTTTTTTAATATTTTTTTAATTTTAGGGAGTTTAAAATGTTTTTTGTATTTCTTGTTAACTTGGCACTTAAGGGCTATTTTAATTATATCCTTAAATGTTTTATTAATTATTTCTATTTGAACTATATTTTAATTATTCATTTGAATCATTTTTGTGTAAAGTACCAGATGCTCTTCCTTCTTTTTCAAGCTGTTTTTACATCTAATCATACTCTTAACTTTCAATTAAAGGATTTTTTATATCTAAGTTATTTAAGTGAGTAAATGTATCACTCTTTTTATCTCTTATATTAATCTAGTAGACATTTTAAGTATCGTTCTATTCATCAATAGCTTCTACTTCTTATGGAATATAATTTAAATATTGCATATCTTTTTCTTTTTAATAAGAACTTAATGATTATGAAGCTAATAACTACTTCTTATCACTTGTTGTTAAGCTATTTATCAAATGGGTATTTTGATCATTCAAACTCACAGCTTAATCTTACTATATACTTTGATAAGGTTTTTCCAGTTTATTTTTAGGTGGAGTGCTAAGCTGCACTAGTTACATTCTTACATCACTAAACGACTCGTCTTCTTCATCTTAACTTTTAAGCTACTTGCTTTTTCCGACATTACTAGCTTAACCATATCTGATCTAATTAGATTAATTCTTTTGATTTATTTGGTCTTCTTCGTTACTTTAGTTAAATGTACTCTAAGTAAATCTAATATTATTTTCCTTTTTTTTTTCTGTGTATAAGATGTCAGGATTCACAACAACTTTTTCTTTAGTCTAAAGCATTTTATCACCAGCAAATTTAATATCCGAAAAAAATTCACTATCATCTTCATCATTCATATTTTATTAAGTTGTAGATTAATTGCCATCTCCTTAAATTATTTATTTTATTTAATTGTCGAGATCTTCTAATTATCTCTGAGTATTGCTTCGGCTATTTTTATCATTTATGTTCATTTACTCAAGCTGAAGAGGTTTTCTGATAATTTCAGATTTTAAATTACTTAGATCTGATTTGCTTTATCGGTATCTTTCATCTTCGTTTTCATCGTCACCGTGGCAGTTTGTTAAATAACTTTAAACCATAAGAGATGGGATTTTTGGATCCTTATCATATGATTCCCTAACAGGAGCTAGCTTTTAATAGTTAGTTGGAGTATAGTTATCATTTTCATCTACAAGTTTTCTTTCAAATGAGCCAATCATGTTGTTTTTTTATCTATTATATTTGTTTGAGTCTTTTTGAGAATTTGAACTTAATTGATTTAAGCTACCATACTAGCCGTTACTATATTTTGAGCTATCATTTTAAGCATTCTAATGACTAAAGATAGGAGTTTACTCTTAAATTACTTCAGATTACATCATATTTTAAGCCTACTGCTTTCTGTTATCTATTGAAGCATTAGTGATACTTATTGAGTATATCGAATTTTTATTTCCAAATGTACCAGTTGAATCAGTATTCATGTTGTTTGATTCTTTATGTTTAGGAACTTGTAAATTGTTTTCTACTAAATTTGCATTTAGCTAGTGTTCATTATAACTTTATTGGTTATCAGATCTAAGCCCATTATTTGTATTATTTACATGTTGTATTTAACCTTGGTTTAAGTTATTATTTTAATTTTTATTATCTTAAAAGTTTTATTGTCTGTTTATCTAGCTTTAATTTTATAAATCTGTTCCTAATTAATTATCTGCAATGGCTATCTGATTTTGTGAAGGTTATATATTTGTTATGCTATTCTAAATTGATTTATTGGATAAACTATTAGTTTCTAGATCTTACAACTTTTACACATTTTAATTTTAATTAATATTTTGTTTGATATATTTACTATTTTGTGCGTCTTAATTTGAATTTTGTTATATTTCTTTATTATTATGCTAAAGTAGATGTTAATCATTTTAATCACTTATTTATGAATTTTAGCTTTTTTAAATCAGTTTATTAGATTCTTAGATGTTGTTAGATTCATTAGTCTATGAATGCTGCTGATCATTTGTTTCCAGTTGAGCAATAGGTTTAGGAACATTTTATACTTTTTAAACAGATTCAATAAGTGGAATAGAAGCATTTGAATTTTGAGATAAACTTGAATCAACTCTAGATTTGTTAGCTTTACTTTTTTCAAGCTCTTTTAATCTCTTTAAATTTTTTTGAAGTTCGTCTATTTTGTTTAAATTAGACTTTCTTTACTACTTTTGTGGAATTTCTTCTTTTTACTTTAGTAAATTATCTTATTTCAAATTTTGTGATGCTTCTAATACTACCTTTTTTGAGGCTTCTTCCTAGAATTAATTACTTTAATTTACATTTTAGTCTTATTATTAAATAGGTATTTTTTAATTTAGTTGTGTGTCTATTTTAATATCTGCTATATTATTCTATTTCATATTCAAGCTATCTTCATTTAAATTTAACTTATTTATTTCAATTTAATGTTGCTAATTATCTTGATTTTATACGATTTCATCCTTCTAATTTTATATTTAACTAGTTTAAATTGGGTTAGGATTTGGTGAAAATGTTCCTTTTAATTCGTTTTATTACTTATTTTAATCTTGATCAGAAGCAATAGCTTCGCTAATAGTATTTTGTTCTTATTATTAAATATTGTTTTCTATTTTACTTTTTTACATATTTTCTAGTTTATTTGATTAATTTTAATTGTTTAAATCTTTTTTAAATGAAAGAAAACCCAATTCTTAATTCGGATTATTGAATGAATAAACTAGTATATTCTCCTCTAATATATCTTTTGAATTTTTCTACATTTTAGATTTATTTGGAGTTTGTTCATTTGATTCTTATTAACCTATTTGAGAGATTTAATTATCTGCCAATAAGCTATTTTAACTACTTAATTGCTTATTTAGATTTCCCTCTTTTTCTTAAGCTTTATGAATGTTTATCTCTGAGCTAGTTTATGATTTCAGAGAAGGTTATAGTACGTTTTATATTAAATTTTTTAATCCTTATGCTTATTTTTATTCAAACTCTTGCTTTTTCTTTAAATTTTCTTCTATAATACTTGGTGGTGTTTTAGACCTTTCTCTTAAAATTTCAGGAATAACGTTGCTTTATGAATTTTACTCTTTTAATTATAATTCAACTAAGCTCTGAGTTTCATTTTTAGGAGTGCAACTTACTCCTTCTTCTCCGTTTTAAACATTTTACAAACTTGCTTATTTCTAAATTTTTTTTATTGTCAATGCTGTTCTACTCTTTAAAAAATTTAGAAAATATTCTATTCCATCCTTCTTTTAGCTAGATACTTACATACAAAATAGTCCATTCTCAACTGCAAATTTATTAGCCTTCAGTATTAAAATAAATAAAAAGTTATAAAATCTTATTTTTTATGTGAAAGGTTGAAGTAATCAATATCATTAAAATATTATTTACATCATGAAATTGTATTTATCTAAAATCCTCTAAATCTATTTTATTTCCAACCATAAAGACATTACATTTTTATTTATCAATACAGTCTGCTATTTATTGATACCTAATGATGAATTATAAATCAATTAAAGAATATTCATCAATTAATTCTAAAAATAAAGACATTTAATTTACTTTTATATTGCCTATTAATATGAATCTATGCTTGTTGTATCAAAGAACAAAATAATTCCTATTGATTGTTGAATCTTGCTTTAATAATATTTAAAATAGTAAAACTATTCCTTTTTAGTATTTATGCTAAAATATTTACTCTTATTAATTCAAATGCAATTTAAATGTATTTGATCCATTCCCTTTTTTATCTTGAATAACTAATTTATCATGGTTATCACTTTTACCTGTAAAAAAATAATATTTTTATTTGAATTTAAACAAAATAATGTCAAAGTTTATTAAATAATGTGTTTTTTCAATATGTAAAACATATATTTACATATTGTGTTTAAAAATGTCTTCAACCCATCGCCTTTAGAGCTAAGTATAGTTAAATTATATTCATTTAAGTGCGCCATAATATTATAGAGCTTCAATAAAATATATATAAAATGCTAAAAATTTTATCTTTGTCAATCCCTATAAATGAATATAAATAATATTAAATCTGATGACTTTTGAATATTTTTTATTTATCAAATTATTATGATATTATTTATGGTTAAAAATTGTGGTATAGCATAATTTTATATTTTTAATAAAGTAAATAACAAGATATTTACTAACAATCAAAATACTTAATTTAAAATCGATTAATTATTCATTGTTATTTATTTATAAATTATCTTTCAATATTTCACTTTTTTATTTATTAATTTATTAATATTTTTTGATAAGTTCTATAATATTTACGATCATTTTTTTTAGCTGTAAAATTCTATATAGAATTCTAAGAAGTCAATTACTTTATTGATTTTTATCCTTTCTTTTTTTAAGTAGCAATCAAAACAATTATTATTAGGTAATTTGGTGGTATTATTATTCAGAAGATAATCTTATCAAAAAATAAATATACAAACTTCTTAGAAATCGACAAAAATATAAAAGAAAATTATAAGCATATTAAATATATTTGTACAATCAGATTTGAAGTAATTTTTAAAGATGTAAATAAATATTACAAATGAAAAAGTTCAAAATATTTAATTTTAGTTGCGTTAAATAAAATTTTAACTCATCAATTGCTTGTTAAAATATTATTTTTAAAATTTTTAAATGAAATATCTCCTTATCTAAAATGTAATTTTTTGTAATTAATTTTGTATTATTATATGATTACAATCAAATACTTGTTTTTCTATTTAAATAATTAAAATTAATTATCATAAAATTTGTTATATTTATCTAAGCGTACTATTCAAATTAGTTTATTTAGCAAATTAATCTAAAAAAAATTTTCATTACCTTTTAAAAAAAATAAATTTAAAATTATTAACAAATTAAAATAATAATAATCAGTTTTTCATAGCTTATACAGTTAGGAATCATATTAGTTATAATTAAAAATTATTCTTACAATTATAACTGGCTGTAAAATTAATTAGATACACTATAGAAGTTTTTTAATGGTTTGATTTTTGTTATCACTTTGTTAATTACTTAATCACTAGATTATTCGTGTAAAAATACATCACTTAAGTATATTTTTTTAAAAATAATTTCAGAATTAATTATCCAAAAATACTGAAAAGCACAAATGTATCAATTTTGAATAGAAAATAATTTTTCAAAAGGTATTCTTTTTAATGTAATATTGTCATAAAATAATAAATATATTTATATAAAAACAAGAAGATTTAATTTTAAACACATTTAGTAGCTTTTTTAAAGCAAAATTGATCACACATATAATTAATTTACTTTTTGGCAGTATGTATGATCGTAAGCTGCTAATTGCAATATTTTAATGAGAGATCCAATAAGCATAAACTTTAACGATGAAATTGATAAACATCAAAAGATTTTAATTAAGGATAATTTTTTGATCGAAATATTGATTCAATAGATTAATTAGATAACACAAACATATACAAATTAAATTGTAAATCAATTAAATTAAAGACTAAAACCAGAAGATTTTATAGCAAATTGAATAAAGAAACAGAATTAAAAATTATAGAGTGACTCTTTATCATTATCAGAAAAGTAATATTTTAAAAAGTAGAAATAGGGAGGACCTATAGCATATTTTACAGCAGTTAATAGGAATATTTAGAAGAAAAAAGAGCACGCATAACTAGAAGATAAAAATAAATATGATTGGAAAATATTAGCTGAATTTTCTTGAGTAGGATCTTCGAGAAGCGTTTCATACTCGCTAAAAGCCGATTTAAAAAAAATTAAATTTTCTAAGTAGCCTTATCTTATTTATAATTTAGTTCATTTTATCGATAAGATTGGCTGCTTATGATAAAGATTTTCACTTAATATTCATCTCAACAACAATCTGTTTTATTAGTTTAATTGCTAACATAAAGTATCCAGAGCTGTCGCAGCTTCTTATTATTATTTAAACTATCATTCTAAATATATCTTTTTCACTTTCCGACTACTAAGATTTTGTTTTTTCTCTGCTCGAAAATAAATCTGAAATATTTCTTATTGGGCTTGGATATGGCCACTTACACTGTATTATTTTTTAATCTCTTTAAAATTGGTATATAAGAGGAATTACAGCTTTTGCTGTTTGTTTTATTGGATTTTTTTGGAGTTACAGTCCAATAAATTTAAAGTTTACTTACCTTGTACCACTGTACCTATCAACAATTTTTTTAGTGATAGCCTTCTATTTGTGGGAGAAGTATGAGAAAGAAAATTTTTGTTTGTTATTTTTATAGAATAAGAGTTTAGCTGATTGGTAGAAAATTATAAAAGAGAACATCCCTTAATCAATGGTATTTGTCACATTTCCAAAAAAAAAAAAATAAAATTCAGAATAAGCATTGAGCAAAATATCACTTAAGCATAAAATAATTAATTTTTGTAGTAAGATTATACCTGAAACATTTAAAACATAAAAGTCTAACTTAAATACTCCTAACTCAGAATTAAAGTATAGAATCTAAAAAGAATAGACTGTTACTAAATTGGATACAAATATCAGAAACAGCACAGAAAACAGTAATAATAACTAGATCATTTATAAAAAACTAGAAAATAGTGGATTGGTTTTTAATTTTGTAAATAAAAAATTTTATGATCAGTTTCAAATCAAAGAGTGGGTAGATACTTAAAGAAAAAGTATCTCTGAAAATACAATTAATATGAATTTCCAATACTCCTTTGCTGATCTAATTCATATGGAAGATTTTTAACAGTAAAAGGGAAATTGGATTTGCTCTGAGTCTCCTTTACACTAAATATTATTCAATAATATATTTAAGAATATTATTGTTTCACACCCTAATCCAAGCCAAAACGACTCCAAAACATTTATGGATTTAGATAATACTGCTGATTTTACTTAAAATTCCACAGAATCTACCTGCACCTTAAGCGACTATTTGAAGTAATTTATAGAAGATAAATAGAATGGAGAAAAAGATGGCTTAAACAATTTTATTACGAATCAATCTTCAAAAACAAAAATATAAAAAGATCAAAATAATTAGTAAAATACAAAATAATATTAAAAACCACTAAAATAATTAAGCTGTTTCTATAGGTAGCTATCACCTACTTTTTTATTGGGATAGTAACAACAATAGTAATCATAACAAATGTAACCAAAAGAAAATATTTAGTCTACTTAAGATAATAATAAATAGGATAATTTATAAATTAAAGAAGATATCTGCAATGTTGCTGAAGCTAAAGATTATGTCCTTGAAAATCAAAAACCTTAAAATTAATATTAAAAAAATAAAAATAACTCAATTTAAGATTAACGCTCAAAAATAATTACAGCAAATTTTGGAGGAGAAGATAGGTAGAATCTTAATACTTAAAATACAGTTGATGTAGAATAAGGTTAAGCCAAATTACTTTAGTCAGAGAAAAGGAGAAACGCAAGTAATGATTTTAAAAAGCATGAGATAAGCATAAATTCTCATATTAATAATAATTGTGATACAACTAAGAAAAATTAACATGAAATCATCTGTGCTTCTGAAGATACTTAAAGGAATACAGAGAGAGAAATGCTACTTCCAAGCTAATCAAACCTAAAAAACTTAATTAATCACATTTAAAAAAATAAATAATCTGAGGATAGACATTAATAAAGGCAGGTTTCTTTTCAAAACAGTCAAACTGAAAATAATAACTAATAGCAAAACTATTAATAATACAACAATCCTTCAGATTAAAAATAACAAAATGGGGTTAAGCAGGTAGATAACATAGATGGTATAGTTATAAATATTATTGACAATTAAAAGTAAGAAAATTGTTAAAATAGTAACTTTTAAAAACTGGAAGACTAGAGGAATAAAAATAATTAAGTATAATAGCAAGATAATGCTTTCTTTTTCGATACATAAATGGTGAGATGTCTATGGGGAAACGAAGAAGGAATTTTGCTCATTTTTAATGATATTAGCTTAAAAATAATTAATGAAAAATTACGTGAGATAGAACGATTTAAAGATAAAATGCTTTCGACTGTTACTCATGACTTAAAAACTCCTTTAAATAGCATAATTATGATCCTTGAAAACAGCTTTGAGCTAGGAGGACTAAATAAAAAATAAAGAAAAATTATTTTATAAAATTCTTAGATGCTTATGAGCTTAATTAATGATATTTTAGATTATTCATAGCTGAGGAGAGATAAGTTCAGGCTAATTATTGAAGAAATATGTTTAACTTAGTGTATTCTTGATGTACTTGATTTGTTTGAAATACAAGCTGAGTAGAAAAATATTAACATCAGTGCTAAATTCATTAATTTACAATAAGACTATATTATGCAAGATGAAAGAAGAATTAAACAAATACTCGTTAATTTGATAGGAAATGCTTTGAAATTCACCTAACAAAAGGGAAAAATAGAAGTCATAGTTAAGTAAAAGTATATTGATTGCATTCAAATCTCTGTAAAGGATACAGGAACAGGTATATCTGAATAAATCCAAAAAAAGCTTTTCTAATTTTTTAATACTTTTGATCACTCGGAAAGAGCAAATAACAGACATGGAATAGGATTAGGATTAGCTATTTGTAAATAATTAAATAATTAGCTAGGACCTTGGCATGAGATTAAGCTTAAATCTAAGGTAGATTAAGGATCGAAATTTACTTTTTGTATATACACAAATTTAGTAGAACATCAGTAAGTTGGTCAATAATACAACAATTAAATATCACCACTAAAATCTAAGGCAAATTATGATAATGCACACTTTTTCATGACAAGCAGCAAGTAAAAGCTAAGAGATTAAAGTAAATTAATAGTAGAAGGCTAAAACTAGCATTTAGGAGATGTAACTTTTACAGAACCATTAAAAAATCATATAAGCATACATAATAGCTAAGTAAATGTTTAGATAGTGCCTTCTCCAGTGAGCATAAATAAACTAACTCCTTAAGCTGGAAAGCAAAGCTAATTATTGTAAAGTATATCTCCTTATTCTTAAAAAAATGAGAATGGAATAGAAAAATCTCAAAAATCTGAATTTAACACTCAACAAGAATTAAAAAGTAAAAGTTAAAATAGTCCTAAAAACATGAATCACTTAAGCTAAGAAGTAAAAACAGATAATTTATATAATAAGAATAGCATTTCAAAACCTCTCTCAAGAGAAATTTAATCTAATTAGGTGCAAAGAAAAGTAGGAAACCAAAAAATAAATTCTATGATTGTTTTAAATTCATAATAATAATTAGAATAGCAAAACTCAACATCTTTTAGTAAGTATTTAGATCAAAAACATTAATTACTCTTACCTTTAAAAAGATCAATAAAAAGAGATTATATTATACTGAAAGGAAGTAGACATAAGTTATTAAATTAACAAAGAGCATATTCTTTAAAGCTGCAAACTGAAGAAGTCAATCGAAGAAAGAAGTCACTTCTCTTTTGTAAATCTTAAACTATAGATGCAAGAAAAAATTCAAAACGATTAACACACATTTAGCAAAGTATGGCAAACTAAGTCGAGGAATAACAGAAAAACAATAAGTTTTGCTCAGAGAATTGCTTGTTACACTCTTTTTCTCATAATCCTAATCAAAAATTATAGTCTGATACAAATAGTTGCCAACAACATTAACAAAGCTTAGGATATTAATTACCAGAAAATGTTATATCTAGCAAATTAATCAGGATTGGAAATTAAACTTAAACTACTTTGAATTTCAATAACTCCATAAACATTTCAGATTATAAAAAAATAGATAAGAGAAACAAAGATTCCTGCTGTTTAAATTATGCAAAAGATCAGTTTTGTATGTAAGGACTGTAAGATTTCAATAAAGCTTTTAATGATGACTAAGCTCAAAGGAAAAAAACAAAAAATATGTTTATTCGAGTAGCTCCAAAATTCTAAGAATAATAATCTTGTATAAAATAAAATCCATAACCAAAGTAAGATTTATAAGAATCATCTTTTGCCTTAGAGCATCGTTTATCAGAAAATTTTGGTGAAAATGATGAACTTTATAAAAATTAACAAACATTTAAATATTAAGAAATAAACATCCACCAATAAATTGACAAATAACACAATCTCCAAAATCAAAGCAAGAGCTTTCATGATATATAAATAGCTTAATCAATTCCTGAATTGTAAAATTAAGAAAATGGGATTTTTGTAAATAATCTAAGATATAACTATAATTAATTATCCAATAAAAAAAGCACCTATATTTTAAATAGTAAGTAGCAATAAGAAGACAAATAGTAAAATAAAATTGAATCATTTTAAAATCTACACAATTCTATTAATAAAATATCAAAATCTATTACTTAAAACAATACTAAAGAAATAAAAGATGTCAATTAAATTAAAATATATGAAGTAGGACACAAAATGGAAAATATTTCTCATAAAAGAGAAGAACAAAACGCAAATGCTGCGGACGAATGGAGAGAAGATGATGAGGAAATGTGTGAAGAAAGTGAAGAAGACTATGAAGAAGATTAAGTTTAGCATCATAACTTCAAAGAATTAGCAAGTAATTATAAGTTTATTGAGAACAATAACGAAAAATAAATGGTCTGGGTTTAAAATGACAGAAAACTGTAAGTTGAGATATTAAAAACCTTATTGTAAGACTATTCTAAAGTTCTTATTGCTGATGACTCTCCATTTAACATTTTCTGTTTGAAACAAATTTTAACTAAGAACATTAATCTTAACATTTTTGATGCTTATAATGGTAATGAAGCTTTAAATTCATACAAATAAAATCGGTAGCAAATCATATTTATGGATCTCAATATGCCAGTTTTAGACGGCTACGAATGTCTGAAGTGCATTAGATAATATGAAGAAGAAAATCATATAGAGGAGAAAACAAAAGTTATTGTAATTAGTGCCCAAGAATATGAACCATTTTTTAGTAATTTTGATGGATATTTAAGTAAGCCAATCAAACTAATTGATATGATAAATTTATTGTAAATATTTAGATAAAACCAAACTAATATATCTTCTTCTTAACCTTAAATTTGAATAAGATATTTTATCATTTAAAATGATTTAAATTATCTCTTTGCTGTAAAATAACCTAATTAAGCTTAAATTTAAATGGTTTCATAAAATTTTGATTTATTTTCGCTCATAATTTAAATAAATAAATAAATAAATATAAATATTATAAATTACTAATATTATATTTATTTTTTAATATATTTATAATTAAAGTCTTTTGTAAATTTGTCTATTTATTAAGATCAAATAAAAATGCTTATTAAATATTGTTTAGACATTAACTAAAATTAAATTATGTTTTGTTTAAAAAATAATAAATAAATCTTTCAGCAACTTTTAATAAATAATAACTTGTTTTATTTAAACTAAAAGAGTATTTTTTTTTGAAAAATCAGTTTATCCATTTTGAATTTAAATTATTTTTTTATATTTGCGTATATTTATGAATTAAAGAATATTTAGTCAAATACTTTTTAATAGAGGAACAAATGTATATCTATCAATATCAAGATTATAAAATAATTAAAATTGCCTGTAATTTTAGAAAATATATATATGAAATAATTTACAATCTATACACTTTTAGAAACAAAATAAATTTTAGTTTAAGCGTTTTTATATGTTTCTCTTTTGATCTATTTTTTATTTATTTATTTACTAACTAGTTTATTTTGAAGATAAACGTTGCTATTATAGTGTAACTACCATACAAATTTTATTATTTAACCTTAAGATTAGAGTGAATTTTTTTATTGAATTGTTTTGATTTTTCAATATATTAATATATCAAGCTCAAAAAGGAACACTTTTATAAGATACCTGATATCCTAATTCTGGGTTATATATTAAAACTAATTTAATTGGTGTTTTCTTTTTAAAATCACTGCTTCTCATAAAGCTTTCTACTTCAGGGAATATTTAATTAATGCTTGCCATAGTATAGCAACCAGTTTCTAAATTAACACCAGATAATATTTTTTTTTAATACAAATAATTTGAGTAATCTTCAATTTTTAAATCGTCTTCTTCACTTTACCCCTCTATCCAGTACAAATAGAAAATTCTTTAATAATTATCTTTAGGAATCATCTATTTATTTTAACAATTTAATTAAAATAACATATTTATAATTAAATAGTATTACTTGAGATAACTAACTTGCTCCTGTCGAGAAATCGATACTCTAAAATTCTCTTAATTTATCTTTTTATCTTAATATTTTGAGAGATGGAATCCATTTAATTTCATTCCATGGATGATTTGAATATACTTAGGTTTTTATAGAAATTGATAAGCTTCCTTAATCTGTATATTTTTTCATCTTTAAATCTCCTTCATAAACCTATTTTATAATAAGGTTATTTATTATGATCATTTTTTTGAAAATTTATTTATTTTACCTTTAAACAATTTCCTTCAATAGGATAGAGGAAGTTGATAAGCTTATCTTTAAACATGGGACTGTACCTATCATAACCTAATTTAAATGACTCAGATGGAATATTGTCATAAAATTTAATACTATTTGAATATAATTCTCTTTTTTGTTATTCGTTGAAGTCAAAAATATTTTCTATTGCCAATGAATTAAAATTATTGGTAGCTATACTGTCTCTTTGCTAACCTGTTGCAAAATTATATTCTTTATCTGGGTTATATAAAATTAGTTTTTTATTTTTTACTGTAGTTTCATTTTCATTAATTAAATTAGGCTCATAAACAGGAGACTCTTCTATAATATTGCTGCTGTTATTAACTAAGTTAGATAAGCTCTTCCTAAAACAAAGTAATTATTTTTAAGAGATGTTTATTTGTATTTTAAATAAGAAATTTACTTTTAAGAAACTTTATTGATGGTAGAATTTGAATCTTTATTCGATTTTTTTTTATTGTTTATTTTTGGTGACACCCAAGGATCATTTTCATCATCTGAGATAATAACAATAGCATCTTACTCTTTTTAGTAGCTGTTGCCATGATAATTTTTGTGATCTTTGTTACTGTATTTATTATTATAACTTTTTGATTAACTTCTCTAAAAATTATTGTTATACTCATCTTTGTTATATTTATTTTCTACACTTATTCCCCAATCATTGCCATAACTTGATTTGTTTTTGCTAAAATAGTTTTCATTACCATAGTCTTCTTTGTATCTTTTATTTCCATTTGAATAGTCCTTTTATTTAACTTAATCTTTTTACAAGCTTTCTAAAGTCCACTCTTCATAGCTTTCATCTTTTCTTTCAGTTTCTTGCTCTTTTTCTTCAATTTTACTATTTGGCATATTAGTTAAACCTTAGATCTATGCATTTAACATTTAATTTATTTAATCAGTGATATCGTCTTGATGTTAATTTGCTAAGCTTTAATATTTCTCTTCGCTTATTCTCTCCTACTTTATTCTGTATGAATTATCTCTTAAAGATGGATCTCTGTCACTATAGCCATTATTTTTATATTTATCTTAATTTTGATGATTCCTCTGATATCTATCTCTATCAGATTTATGCCTATAATCACTTTCACTATTTCTTCTATCATATTTTTAGTCATCATAATCTCTTTTGCTTCTATCATAATCTTTTTTATGCTTATAATCATCTTATTTATTATATTTATCATATGACTTTGATTTATGATAATCATTATTGTCTTATTTATACTTTTTTTCTCTACTTTATTCTATGCTCCTTTCTCTCTCTCTTTCATTACTTAAATTTCTTGCATAATCTTTGCTTATTTCTTATCTTTAATCACTACTCTTTTCTTATTGATTGTAAGCTTGTTTTGTTTATTAATAATTTGATTCATTTTAATCATTAACATTTTCTATGTTTCTACTTTAATGAATTGCAAAAGATCCACCAAACTAAGCTCTTATTTAATCTTCAATAAACATATCTAAATTCACTTAATTATCATCTTAATGTTCCTACTTTGTATAAATATTTTGCTCATCATTTCCTCCCCAATCCTCTTCAAAATCATTTTTGTTTTCTATTTGTTAATTTTAATCCAATTGCTACTACTAATCTTAATTATCTTATACTTATTTTTACTAAATATCATCTTCTTAATTTTATATTTCTTACTAATTTTCCAATTATTACTACAATTTTTTTTATTTTTTTAATTCTTTCTTTAATCTCTTTTTTTCTTCTTCTGAATCAGTTCCTCCTCCCCAATCTTCATCTTCTGGAGGAGGGCAATTATCCTCGTATACAAAATTATCTTTTTATTTTTAAGGTCTCTTATTAAATTAGTTGCTATCATTTCTATTATTTTTATAGTTTTGACCATTTCTTTAGTTTTTATTTAATCTCTTAACGCAATCTGAGATTTTATGTCCAACTTCTTTGCAGTAAAAGCATATTTATCTAAGATATGACAATTAATGGGTTAATAATATTAAGATAAGAGATTTTATACTAAATTGAGCCATCATATCCACCTCCATTATCCTTTCTCCCTCTATAATCGCCATGTTTCCTTTCATCTGAATATTTCATTCTTCTCGATTCTATTAATATAATTAGAAATTAAAATTGAGTTCTCAACAAAAAATATAATATCATTTTTTTAAAAGCTTTATTTACTCTTCAAAAAAATATTTCTAAAACCTTAAACATAAAAATGTTAACCTAAATATCAGTTGAAATTTTAAAATTGAAAAAGATTTACCTTGATAGTTAGACATTAATCTAATTTAAAATTTCTACTATTATATATTCGAACTTTTTTTTGATGAGTTTTTGGTTAATTAAGAAAAATTTGATAAGATTAACTTAAATCTGAGATTTTTTTTTTAATCGATGATGAATTTAAATAGATCTTTTTTATCAAATATCTACCGCTATTCCACATATGCTTTGAAATTTCTATATTAAATTATCACCAAATGCTTTGAATTGAATTATGTATAAAAAATGATTATAAGATTTCCTTTTTAAAGTTGAAAATACTTTATGCCTTCCTACTCTTCCATAATTACTTACTAATTAAATATAATACAATTGTAAACACTCATTCTTTTAAGGTTAAACAATCCTTTTACCATGAAATATAATTTTACAAGACAAAATATAAAAGATTTTTTTCAATTATTAGCTAAAATTTAATAAAAATAATTCAAATATAAATTGATTTATAATTAATTATATAGATAAATTCATTTGATTAATATTAAAAGTTCTATTATACATTTGATTTCAAGAAATACTTTCTAACACTTCGTTAACATCTACTTTTTCTTAATCTTCTGAATGTTATGCCTTTCCTTATTTAGGATTAGTTTCTATTTATAAGTCTGAGTTTGTTCTAAATTTAGTATGATTTCTCATATGTAAAATTTGATAACATTAAAATGCAAACTCAGGTTTTCCATTTTCTGTGCATAATAGTCCTAGTTGAGTTAAAAATATATCATCTAATTTATCTGTTCTTAAAGCTTCTTCAAGTATTTTGTCTGTTGAATAATTATTTCTCAATTCTGGTTCTTATGCACTTTACAAATAATCAACAACTGTATCCAAATTCAATCCAGTTCCTAATCTAGAAGGTATGGATTAGGGGTATTTAAGCATGCATAACAAAGTTCCTGAAAAAAAAGCTGATCCTAAATAAATTAAATGATTTTATGAAGATCTCTTAGAAGAAAGAAATATATTACCAAAGGCATAAAACAATATCTTCCTATTATTTACTTTGTTATGACTTTGTAATACATAATGCAAGTATCTAAAGCTAATTTAAAAATTTAATAACTTAAAAACTTTGATGAGCTATTCATTTTATTACATACATTTCAATTTATTAATAATCAAATATACAAAAAAAAAACATTTAACATAAAAAGTAAGTAAAATACCTTTGTTGAAATTTATGTGCAAATTTATCATATCTTTTAAAAAACTCAATATTTGAGAATTTTTTTATAAATTCAATATATTTATTTAAATAGCTCATTACCTACCTCTATTTTTAAACTTGTTTTTAAAAAACTATAATTTTTATACCAATTCAATCAAAATGCCTTTATTGGCTAAAACAATAATAACTTTATTAATTAATTAATTTTAGGTAATGAAATCTGCTTATTAGAATTTTCTTTTGCAGATACTTTTAACTAATTTATAAAATACAAAAAAAATTTTAAATAATTTATATATTTTGTGTATAAAACAAGAATAAATAAATTTATAATAAACACTCCATTCTTAACAAAAATGTTTTTTTTAATTATATCAATTTATTAATTTTTTATCATATATTTTTAAATATTAAAAATAAGAGTTTTTGGATTAATTTATTTCGCATATGACAATTTTGTTGAAAAGATATTTTATTTATAAAGTAATAAATACAAAACAAAAAAATATTAAAAGTTATTATAAATAATTCACATTTAATTAAGATAAATTAATAGCAAACTTATCATTCTTATTAATCTACGTTTACTGAGCCGATTTACTCATTGTTCTATATATTTGATGTTTATAATTCAATATATTTTTGTAGTTTCTCCATTAACTCTAAAAATCCATCTTTTTAAGTGATTAGGTTAATCTTTTTTATACAATTTAAATGTAAATAATTTCAAATAGGAAGGTAAATTATTGTATAAATTACATTGAATGCTTCTTCAGAAGAAATTCCCTTGTTGAATTGAGATAAATGCTAAATTTGTTTTTATAAAACCTATTTTTCCTTTTCAAATTAACCTTATAACTCTTAAATTTCACTTATGTGACTCTTCTTTATTTCAGCTAAATTCTCGGTTGGTTAAACCTCAGTCTCTTAAATTTATGAGTTCTTAAGTAACTGAAGCTCTTATTCAATTTTAGTTTTTTCCTATGTAAATAATATTAAAGTAAGAAAATAATTTAAAATTAAATTTACTTGTAGGAGTAATTCATTTTCTGAACGAAGACCCTCCTCATTCTTTTGTAATTGATTTATTTTTTGCTCAAAATTATAAATCATGCTTTCATCATTTATCTTTTTTAAGAGAGCATCTTAAGGATCTGTATTTTTTTAATTGGTTTAAGTTTCTTTTTATTCACTGATGTCTTTTTCTTCTATATCCATAGCAGCATCCTAATTTACTGCTTCTTAAACCTTTAATAGTTACTGCTAGTTTTTATTTAACTAGTTAACATAATATTCAATTTCATTTCTATTAGCAGATTCTAATATTAATTTTTCACTAGCTAGTTGTCCTAAATACTCTTTAATTTCTTTTAATTATTAAGCTAATTCTTCTTTTTCATCAGTTAGTCTCTTTAACTTAAATGAACTTTCATTATTTTCTGATTAAATTTACTATTCTTGTTACATTTTTGTTATGATATCCTAATAATTTTTAATAATTCTCTTTAAAATATTATGATTAACAAAACTATACTTACTTGTTATTGTTTTTGTTGCTCTTTTCTATACTCTTCGAATCTTTACTATACATCTGAATACATTTTTTACTTTTATTCTAGCAGTAGTTAAAATTCTTTTTCTTTCTTATCGATATTTACTAGATGTTATTCTTCTAGAGTCTTTATTCTATTGTTACTATCTTCATTTAATTTTTCTGCCTCTTTTAACTTATCAGAGAGTACTACACACTTTTCAGCTAATTCCTCTAAAATGCTTTGCATCTATTAAATACTTTTTTAATGCTCCTCTTTTTGATCAGAAACAATTTATTCCATTTTATTTAAATTTTTGAGGAATTAAGTATCCAATCTAACAAAATTTTCATCTAATATCATGTCTTTTGTAGGGTCTTAGATTTAATCTCCATTTTCATCCAACATACTTATATTTTGTTGTTTTGCTTTTAGCTACTTTATTTCCTTTTCTAAAATATATTTATTAAATGTTTCGCACTGAGCTTCAATAAAAAAAACTGATTACCTTAGTCTTGTATAATTCTATTTAAAGTTTTTGTCTTATTTGTTGATTATTAAGTCAAAAGCTTTAAGTTTTCAATTAATATATTTTAATAAACCTAGGATTATTAGAAGCTTATCTATTGCTCGTTCAATCTAGTTTAAATAACTTCAATTTCTAATTGATTTTTTTCTCTTAGCTCAGTAATTATCTTGTTTTACTCTGTTATTTTAGTTCTTAAATTCTTTAATTCTAACGATGATTTCTAGTCTCTTTCTATAAAGAAAGATTTCTTCTTCAGAGCATCTATGTAATTCTAAGTTTCTCTTTTAAAATAGTTTCAATTTAAAAAAATATAAATCACTTTTCAATTATTTACTGTTTAATTTATTTTTGTTAGAATTCAATTTAGGAATTGAGCCTATTATTTTCTCCAATTAAAGATTCATTTTTAATCTTTACTTCAAGTAATTATTACTTCAGTCTCTTACTTTCAACTCTACACTACTCGAAAGCTGTATTTTCTTTTAGCTAACTTTTGAGTATTTGCTCATATTTAGAACTATACAAGTTGGCTTATACTTAAACTTGTTCTATCATTTCTTTTAATATTTCTTACTCATTCTTTATACGTGATAGCTCAAATTAGCATTTATTGAATTCTTTTTTATAATAATCTCTTTCCTCCTCAACTTTATTAAGTTTACATCTTTCTTTTTACAATAATTCATTATTTAATACCTAAGAATTAAATTGGGATATAGTCGAATTAGCTTCACCCAAAATTTTATATCTGATGGCATCAATTTATTCTAGCTTTTCAATTTTATCTTTATACTCGACTATTTCATTTTGCAATGTAAAACACTCTTCTTCCTATTTTGACAAAAATTGTCTAATTAACACAATATTTAAAAAGTAATTACTTTTAACTTGCACTTTTCTATAATTTTATTGTACTCATCAGCTTTAACAAAACTTTTTAGCTACTGAATTTCATTATTTTCTTCTTCCAATTCCTATTAGATTGTTTTTTCTTTTAATTGCTATCTTAATAATTCGTACTCTTGTTTTTCAGACTCTGAAATTCCTACTTACTTAATATATTCCAAATTATAATGCACTAAATTGATTCCTTCAAGATTGTTTCTTTCAACTACAACCTTCTTCAATTTGTTAAGCAAAAAATTTAAATAGTAGCAATCGTGTTCTACTGCTTCTACTTTTTTATTTTTTTCTGACTATAATAATAAAACAAATTAAATAAATAAATAAGTCACTTTATTTATTAAAATTCTAGTTACTTTTTATTAAGATAACTTCTCAATTTGTTCAAGAAGAGTACTTTTTTCTAGTTAGAGCTAATTTGCATTTTTAATAGATAAAGCTAGCTTTTCTTTTATATTTTAGTAATTGGTGTGCATCGTTTAGTATTCATTTTTACGTAAACCTAAAACTGGTAATTTTTATTTGATGTCTCTTTTTAAATATTCAATTTAAGCTTGCAATTATTTATTTTTATCTGATACCTAAATATAATCTTTTTAAATTTGATTATATTTTAAAGTAATTTCTCGAATGCTATCTTCTTCTGTAGGTATTACACTATCTTATAAAATACTATTTTTTTGTCCCATGTTTTGTATTTCCTCAAGAAGCTATTAATTATTTTTTTCTAATTTTTCTATTTGTTGTTATAGCTATAGAATTTCTGTTTTTTATTTATTTAAGCTTTGCTCATAATTTTATTTTAAGTCATGCTTATCAATATTATCCTAATCTACTTACTCTTTAAGAGCTTTGATCTAATTTTTTAAAGACTCTATTTCACCTTGCTTTTCTAAAATTATTGCATCTTTATCTGTTACTTACTGCTAAAATTTCAAAACCTATTCATTCATAGTGTTTTTTAGCTTTAAAAAATTGGCCTTATTATCATCTGAATCTTTTCTTGCAGATTCAAGTTAGTTTTTCAAACTAGAAATCTATAGAGTATAAGAAGAGATTTATGCATTTAATGAGAAATCTAAATTTTAAACAGCCGAACTTGAGGTGCTTAAATTTGATGTATTTGTTTCTAAAGTAGAAGCTAGACTTAGAGTTTATGCGTTGCTTTGAAGTAGGACCGAAGAAGATTAATACAAATTGCTCTCATTTTCTTTCATTTTTTGAATTTATTACTATAAAATTTCAAGACTTTCGTTTAGATTTTCCTTCTCTCTCTCTAATTTTAAGATGTTGTCTTAATACATTTCAAGTTACTCTTTTTATTTCTCAATTTAATTGTTTAATCTGCAAGCTTCCTCTGATTTTTGCTAATTTTATTTAAATAAACAGAAAATTTACTTCATGATATTTTTTTAGTAATGAATTGTTGAATTTAAAAGTCTTTTTCATTCATTTTAAATGCCATCAATCAATCAAACATTAAATATCATATTATTAATTCTAAAAGAACTAGAACAAACAAAGCGTTATATGTATTTATTTGTAAAGATCTCTCTAAATTTCAACTAATTCATATAATTACATTTTTTAATATATCATTTAGCGTCTTCCTATATGTTTCTTAAAGTTGTTTCTGATCCCTCTCAGATTACTCGAGCTTTTATTCTAACTCCTGGCATGTCTACTTTTTCTCTATTAACTCTCTTTTCATATCTTTCACAGAATCATCATATTTTTCTTTTTCTTTAAGTAAAATCTTTAGCTAGCTGTTCATGCTTTCATTTTTTTACTATAGATAGGTTATTTCTCTCTCATATCTATTTATTCTTCTGTCTAAGTTACAATTTTAAATATTTGCATTTAGTATCTTGAAAAGATATTGGAATATTTTTGAAATATAGATGTATGTTATTTCTTAAAATATTCTAAAATTTGATCTCATAAATATTATTACCTAAATCCAGAAGTTTATCAGAGCTATTATTAGATTTCTCTATATCCATTTTACCAATTCAAGAAAAAATTAAATTACTAACTCTAACTTTTGCTTTTAACAAAAAAATTTAATTATGAATAAATTATTTTTAATTTCTTCTAATTATTTGGTGTCTATCTATCTATCGATTAAACAATGAATATATTAGTTTCTTAGTTTATCTATCTAAGTTATTTAATAAAAACCCAATAAAAATTATATGTAAAAAATATCTTTCCAAAATGCAATTTCAAATAATGATTAATTAATTAATTAATTAAAATTTATATTAAAAATAAAAATGAAATTCAAATATAATAATAATAAGTATTAATATTCTACTTTAAAAACATTAAATATAAAATTAAATTATTTAGATTACTTATTAATATAATAGTTTTATTTTTGAAAATTTTTATTAATTTTATAAATTAGTGAATTAAATTGCAATAGCTTTTCAAATTTTTTTATTCTCAGTAGAATATTTTGAATTTAGAAGCAATTTTTAAATTAATTATATTAGAATAAAATTCGTTAAGTGATAGAATAGAATAATAATTAATTAATCTAAACAAATCAAAAAACTAGTTCGAATTTTATATCTCTAACTTTCTTTTCAGTAAACTCAGCCATTTTGACCAAATCTACTTTTGATCTCAGAGTTTATATACAGGTAGAATTAGGGTTTTTTAAAAATTATTCTAAAATATTTTATTAATCTTATTCATGATAGTAAATAATATCGTTTTCATGTAGAAAGTAGACTTTTACTCTTTATTTAAAATCTTCTTAATTATTATAAATGTTAAATTTGCCAATTAATTTCTTTTTTTCTACTCTTGTACTGTAGTGTTATTATGTGCTGCTGTCGCTGTCATAGTTATATTCTTCATTGTCATTATCAAAAATATTTATTTATTAATATTACTCATAAACTTCAAACTTACTAAAGTCAAAAAATGTATTCCTTATTTATATGTTCATTTCTTTTAAGTCATTATCATTATTTTCAGCCATCTATTATAAAACTTTAAAATTAACTTCCGTATTTATTTCTTCTTCCAGTGGCTACCATTTACCATGTTTATATAAGCTTATATGCATAACTTTGAAGTTACTATTTTATTAATTAGCATAAGCTTCTAGTTAATTGCCTTGCTAGAGCGAAGTGTATTTTTCCTACTTCACTAACAACTATTTATAAGTACTACCATCATTAGCATCGTCATCATCATCAGAAAAAATCTTAGATAAACAAAACTTTTCTTCATTTTGTTAATAATCTTCTAAAAGGCTCTTGTTAAATAATCCGTCTTTTTAAGTACTCTATGTTAAAATATTACTTTAAGAGTCATCTGTGTTTTACTCTTCTTAAAATATATTCTATGTTTGTATTTAGTTCAGTGTTTTATTACTATTTTTCTTTATAATTTTTCTAAGAGGCTCTTAATTTAAGAGCTTATCGCAATCATTTTATATTAAATTTTAGCCAATCTTACATTATTTGCTACCTTTATGTTTTTCATAATCAATTTGCTTAACTCTATTTCGACAAGTTTCGCACTAAACATAAATCTCGTTAATTACCTATCTAAATATTCTGTGTGGTTTAATAAAGTCACTTTTTTGGCATTTATTTGGACATTTTCCTTCGTTTTGATTTATACACTCTCTGCACCACATATTTTAGCATTCGCTACACTCTATAGGATCACTTATAAACTGATAGCAAATATTACAGTCTGCTAACTTTGATAGTTCTTTTATAAATTTTTTAGATATGAGCTTCATATAAAAAAAGCACTTAATAATTAATTTTCTTTCTCTTGTTTTTTTTTAATTTTTTGTTATAATTATCAAAAAATTGAAGGAAAGTATTTTATATTGTGAAAAAAGTTTGTGGCGCTCTTATGTTAAATATTGAATTGGACCGCTAAATAATTCAACAATTTTTTAAAATAATTAAAACAATTTTTAAATATTATTTTATTATTTCCTTTTTTATCAGAGTGAACTATATTTAACATTCAAATAAACTAATTTCCATAAATTTTTGCACATATTTTAATAAACTAAATATTAATTCTAGTTTTGGTTTTGTCTAAAATATAATACCTAATATTTTTTATATTTTTTAATATAATTAACACATATACTTTGATGACTATTAATTACTTAAATTTCATTATTTTGAAATTTTAAAAGCTCTAAAAAATATAAACAAATAATAAAATAATATCATATCTATTAATTTTGAGGGATTTTTTTTACTAACTTTTTTAGAATTTTATATTTTAATATTTAAGATATAACAGTCTGAGTTCATTAGTTGGTTTATTTCATACTTTATTGCACAATTAATTGGTGTAAAAGCTATAAATTTATCTATATCTTAGCATCTCCATATGCATTCCAAACAATATGCCTAGGATTTTGTAATTTACTGAAATCATAAAAATTTATACATTTCATTAAAGGGTTCTAACATCTTATACTATCTAATGGTAACTAAGCAGTTTTTTTACTGTTTTAATTCCAATAAAAACCGATAAATACTACATAAGTCTTTTTTTCTTATCTTGTAGCTCATTAGACTGACTTATAAAATAATTAACTTTAATTAAGTCTATAGAGAGTTTTATATTAATGCTATCATCAGACACAAAAATTTATTACTTAAATTTAGAATACATCTATCCATTAAAATATAAGTAAATAAGATCTAAAATTATTATATGTATGCTCAATAAAATTCCCAGATAAGTTCTAATTAGGAAGAGCTATTTACTTATATTAAATAAAATAGATTTAGAAAATGTATCAAAAATTATAAAAGTTTCTTACATTATTTATCTATTATTTAAATTTTGGCAAAAATTTATTAATTTGATAAACATTTTATGGGTTTAGACAATAAAAAACATAAAAATTAAGTTAGCAAACTAACTATTAACAATTTTTAATAAATTTATTAGTAAAATTTTCTTGTTTATTATATTTATTTGTTATCAGTTACAAATTTCTTTCTGATATTAAGTTGTTTTGATTGTTTGTTTATTATAAATTATTTGTATTTTAGAATATTGTAATTTACAAATTAAAAAGCTGAATTTTTTAGTTCATATATTAGGTATTTTTTAAGTTTTCACCATATTAAAGTTAACTTTTGTCACACCGAAATTTTTCATTCTATTTGTCCACATAGCCTAAGTAACTTTTGCTGTATGCATATTTAATTTATCAGCTTTCTCAGCAAGTTCATTTTTAAGTGCCTTAAATATATTTGAATCGCTTTTTACTGTTTAAAATTAAGTCAACAACCCTTAAAATTTTTCAGGATTTTTTTGCTTACATTTTCTTAGAGCTTCTATTTTTTAATTGAATTAATCTTATGTATCTTTTATTATCTTGTCCTTACTTTAGTAAAGACTTGATTATTTGCTTCTAGATTAATTATCTGCATTTTACAGATTTTAAATATAATCATCATTTTAATTCATAATATGTAAATAGTCTAAATCCGTCTAAATTACTTTAGTTTCTAGTCTTTTAAGCATAAGTTTCAATTAAATGATAGCATTTGTATCTTATTTAAATTATCTCAATCTATCAATTATTTTTTAAACGTCTTAGTTGTATGAAGCATACTTCATAATTTATCTAATTTCCCACTCTGAAATATTATCTCCTTTAAATTCTTCAAATAGAGAGAGTCCATTACCATCAGGCATTACTACTGGTCTAGTAAATTTCATTTTCTAAATAAAAATAAAAATTTATAATATGTTTAAATAATAGTTAACAAATTACTTTTTCATTATCAGCTTTGACCAGGCTGACCCTTTTTTTCAAGAATTGTCTAATTTCCTGCATAACATCAGGTCTTATCATAACATTGCTCTCAAAATTATCTTCAAAAGCAATCAAAAAAGTTACCAATTATTCCTTCCTTTAGAGATCTTTTCATAAAATTGTTAAGCTTAGAACAAAGTATTAAATAACTAAAATATAATTTTTTTACATAAGAAAATATTGTATTTAGTTTCGTCATCCATGTTTTTTCCTTTAAGCATTTCTAAATATACTTCGATTTATCTTTTCAGTTCTCTCAATGACAAATTTTACTTCATTAATTATTCTAGTTCTGTAAAAACATTATTCTTTCTAAAGTCCTTGATTTCTTTTTCTAATTATTCTCTTATTTTTTTTTACTTTGCTTATTCCCTTTTCTTTTTAATTTTTTAATACATTTTCTTCTTATCAGCATCCATTTAGTTCAAATCAGCACTCCTATTAAATTAACAACAAAATATAATGTTTTTCAATTTTACAACAATATCCAAATTTACTTTATGCTTTGACTATCATCAATTAAAGAGGATGGAATATCATCAGAGTGAAAAGACTCGTTAGAAGCTAATGGCATATATTCTATTTCTCGGCCATCAATTATTTATTTTATTTTTTCAGGTGGCTTAGGAGGTTCTTGTTTTACTTCCTTTTCGATCTTTCATAAATTAAATTAAATTTAATTATTACATTTTTATGATTTTTATTTTAAAAAATTTTTATTTACTTTTTGAGATATTTTACTCAAATTGGAAGCATTTGATTCTTATTTTTTTCTGTTTGTTGTTGATCCAAATCCTCCATCTTGGTTGTTGTTAGCACCACCCTAATTCTTTTTATTTTTTGAAGAAACCCACGGTGTGCCATCTTCATTAAACCATTCCTCTTAAACCTTTTCTTTTTATTTCTTTTTATTTTTAGTGCTACCTCCACTATTCGATGGTACATTTTGAGAACCTGGTGAATTTAATTTTTTTATGATTAATTTGTTCTAATCTTTCTTCTATTCAGCAGGAATAAAAAGTTATTTAGTGAGGTTCCCTTTAGAATCATACTCTTAAATTTCTTCACCTCCTATAGGATCATCTACTTCTGTAATAATTTCTTCTATTTCACCATTTGATTTAATCACTCTTTTAATTATCTTATTTTAAAATATTTATATAAATATTCATTAATTAAATCAAATTTATCTAACTTTTTTTTTCTTTCTTGGACTTTCTTTTAATTCTTACTTCATTTATTCTTTCTTCTTCTTTTATTTCTCATATATCATTTATTATCTTGTATTTGGTGTTAGAGGCCTAGAAGCACTTTCATCTATTGAGACACTAATTTTATCAGTGCTTATAGATTCATTGAGATCACTATCATTATCTGTTACCTCTGTTTCTTACACTGTACCATTTTCAAGAATTCTTTTAACAACTTTAAATTTCTTGATTTTTATTTTATCAACTTTTTAAACCATATTTCCATTCTCATCTTAAACTAATTATCTCAATTTATTTTACTTCACCTCTTTCTCTACTTCAATCACAGTACCATCTTCTAGAGTAATTTTTTCTACTTTTACAATTTTGCCATCTTTTGTTATCTTGAAACCTTGAGGTAGTTATTACTGCTAGTCTAGAGTAATGCTACCATTCTCTCCTTTCTTGACCAAAATTATTTTCTTCTTCTTCTTTTTTTCTTTAGAATAGTAAAGTTTTTTATGTTTTATTAGAAATAGTTATTTTTTTCTTACATTTAGGTATTAATTAACCGTTTTCATCGTACTGTGATTCAGTATCTGATGTATCAGTAACTTCAATTTCTATTTCTTCATACACATCATTTTATTTATTTTTTTATTTCATAAATTCTTGATAAAATTAGGGTATATCTTCACCGTCTTTTGTATTGCCAAGTTTACTGATTCTTTTATTTCCGTATTTTGTTTAAGAAATCTATGGAATATCAATAGTACTTCTCCTTCTTTACTGTTATTATTATTACTATTAATCCACAACTTACAATTGATTTTCTTCTTTGGTTTATGAGTTAGATCTATATAATTTAATATAAATTATTTAAATAAACAAATCAAAAAATATTTTTACCTAGCAAATTTAGATTTATTTCCTTTTTTATGTTGCATTTTTACGTTAAAACTTTAATTTCTTTTCTATGTTTCAGAAAATTATATAAGCTCTTTTAATCTCATTAGTTCAGGATCATCGTCATTTTCAGTAAAATTCATTTTTTTACCAATAGTCTGATTTTGTTTAATAATTAAAAAATTATTTTATTCTATTAATTAATTACTTTTATTTTTCTTTATTCTTCTTCTCTTCTTAAACGAAGTTCTTCTTAAGCTCGAATTTATTCCTCAGCCGTAAATTCACCTAGTAATATGTCTTATGCATTTTCATAACCTTTCAAATTTAGTAATACTTCTTTTCTGGCAGTCTATAAAATATGTTTCAAAATAAATTTTCAAACTTTTTTAATAATAAATTACAGATTCGTTATTAATTAGTTCTCGTTAGAAATGTGAATTTTGTTTTGACCTAACATTATTACTTGATTAGCTAGTTTCACTATAAGAACTTCCAACTCTTGCGAGATCTTTTAATTTTGAGTTATTCAGATCTTAATAAACATTCTTTTAATTTTTGATACAATTTACATTAAATATTAAAATAAAAAAATTATTTACAATTTTATTCTTAAATGATTTAGAATTTGGATTCTATCTTTTCTTAATTTAATCTTTTTTGGATGTCTTTTAATCGTTGTTTTCATTATCAACACTTAGGCCACTTGCATCTTATGATTATTCACTTCCATGAGGACTTTAGTCACTTTTTAATCTCATATTTCTAGTTTCATCAGAAGTCTTATCTTTTAATCTTATTTATATTTTTTCTGGTTTATTTTTTTGGTAAAATTTATAGTAGTCAGGGTTATCTTATTCTAATTTTTCAACTTATTCTGTTTATTTATTATCATCTTCAACTGGTTCAATAACTTCATCTTAATGAATTTGAATTTCTTCTTAACTTTTACGGTTCTTCTCTTATTTTTTAATTCTCCCCACTATTTTACCATTTTTCATTTCCAAATTTTTAATTTCTTCTTATGGTATGCTGTTATTGATCATTAAAATGTAATCTTTAACTTTGTCTATATCAATACTTCCAGTTTATGATTCTTAAGATTTCAAATGATTTAGTAGATTTTCTAATGTACCTTGTTTATCCATTTAATTTATTATAAAATTTGCTACTACATCATCTGGATCATCTATCAAATTAAATATTGTCTCAAATGCAAGTGGAGAAATACTATCTTTCAATTCATTAGTTGGTGAATTTAAGTTTTCTGACCCTGCAAGAGAAGCAGAGTTGCTCAATTCTCTATAATACTAAGCTTACTAATCATACTCATACATTAAGCGATGAGAAACTTTTTTTAAACTGTTAGTATGAGTAAGCAAAAGTAGCTATACATTCTTTTTCTTTATTTCTCTTTATAATTCCTGCTATAACTCTTCCAGTTTTTCTTTATTCTCTTCTTTTTCAATTTACCTTAATAATACTTCCCTCCTCTATTCTATTTTACTTAATATTCTTTCTGTTAATTTCTTCATAATAGATTTTTTATCATCTTTCATCATTAATTTAATAATTTGTAGCTTCATCCTCATGGCTTCTTCTTAGTCTCTCTCAGTATTCTCATTTTACTAAAATATAAAAATTAAACAGTTTGACAGTTTGTTTCACAAAATCAAAAAATTAATGATTAATTAATTAAATACATTATTCAACTCCATTAAATATTAAAGTTAATTCAGATCAGCATCATATTCATCTTAACTTTCTTTACTTCTTTCAGTAAGATTTTGAACAGATTTACCTCTTTCTGTTGTCATTCCTTCTTCAATTATTTTTTTAATTGAATTATTATCTTCAATTCGATGAGACGAGAGCTAAAACATAGAGCTTTGGTCGTTATTCATGCCAAATTTATCGCTGTCATTAATGTTATTGTTATTATTTTCTATAGATGTGTTATTTTTAAAGCTGTTATAAAAATCACTGTTAATTTAAAAATTCCTTTTGCTTAAACTCTATTAGTCTTATAGCCTTGGCAAAAAAGAATTTGGAGGAATAAACTCTAGAATTTTAGGATGGAGAACTACTCTTTCAGTTCCTATACTTGTAGATAAAGAGTTTTTATAATTTAATATGGAATCTTAATAAGTCTGATCATTTGTCTCAATTTAAGATTTGCGCACTATTGATGATTATTCTTAAGTAATATAAAATTTTGCTTATTCTTCCTCCTACTCTTCCTATTTTTTCTTTCTCTGCCCTTCTGTGTTGTATTTTCTTTAAAAATTATTTTAAGAAATAATTCTATTAAAATAAAATTGATTGATTACATGTGCCTTTTGATTTCGATAATATCATCTAACTCTGAGAGCATTTATTTGTATTAATTTTTACGATTGATCACAATACCTTATTGAAAAGCAGCATTAAAATAAAGAAAGAATTTAATATAACAATACCTCTAAAGTTAAAATAATCTACAGGCGATAAAGCTGCAATTCCGTTTTATTGAATAAAATAAATAATTTATTCTATAAAAATATCTTCAACAGTTTTTATGCTCTTTTTGTGATCTTCAAAGATATCCCTTTATGCAAGACTATCGTTTTAAGTTTTTATTACATGCAATTCCTTTTTTTAGTTCTATTTAATCATTAATTTGTGAAGTAACCCACCTTCTTTGTATTAAAATTATTGAACCACCTACTGCTTAGTTGTAGTTTCATTGTACAAATCATGCAATCTATTAAAATCTTCCTTTTTTACTTCCCCATCAATACTATCTTGATTGCTATTTTTAAAGTATTATTCGTATTTGTTTAGTATTTCATCAAATTCAGACAAATCTTTAATATTCTGTTGCAATACAAACTGCTTGACTTATAAAGGTGTTTTATCATTTGATATAGTTTTTTCATTGTTAGGTTTACTATGTTCTATTAGCATTTACTTTATTTACATTCTCCTTTCTTCCAATTATTTATTGTCTTATCTTTATAAGTAATTTTATTAAATAAAAAAATATAAAACATAATATATATAACTGTACATGATTCTTTCTCGTATCTTTATGATTCTTTCTTTTTTATCATGCCTTAACTTTTTGATTTTAAACTTATTTTTTATATACATTCTCTAGTAGTGTTTGTGCAAATCAGTATTTAATTTATTTTCGAATCCTTGGCTGTGATTTTTAACAAAATCTACTATTTGGTGAAATGGAAAATCATATTCTAAAGAGTTATCTAGTCCAAAATAATTTTGTTTAGAACTTTTTCTAACCGTTTTAAACATTCCCTAAATCTAATTTACTTCACTTCTTTTAGTCGTCATAAAAGGTTTAACTAATGTTTCATTTTTTTCACCTGTAAATAATTTTAAAAAAATATTAAAAAAATAATGATTCTTTTGTTTTAAATCAGCTTAATTAAAAAAATAATAATAATTAAAGCCCTTTAAAAGAAAAAGCATCCAAAAAATATATTTTTTACCTATTTCTAGGATAGTTTTATTAAATGTTTTCTATGTGAGAGAGGCATGAGTTGAAATTGTTTTTGAAAAATTTTCTGATCCAGCTTAGAGCTTTGGTAGTTATGTGGTCGATTTTGAGTTTATTTTCTAATTTAATCTGTTATTTTGTGAAGTAATACCAGTCAACGGATCTCTAGCATTAGGAAACATTATATAAATATTTTACTGAGCAATCTCTCTAATAATTAATTTTAAAAATAAATTATTATTCCACCAAAACAATTTTATGAATTTTATCATTATATGCATTACCTTATACGCAAAGAGTTTTCTTAGATGGGTGAAGTATTCCTTGTACTAATTAATATAAAATATAAAATTAGTTAATTGGAATGATGAGATTTAAAACAAATATAGTGAGTCTTAAATAATGAAAATATACATACCCTCTTTTGCTTTAATATCTATTAAAAGAGTTACTGCCAAAATAACTAAAGCTTTCCATGTATGTTTAATTCATGAGAATAAAGATTATGTATACAATCCCTAATTTAAGCTTGATTTTTTTATATTTATTTCTTATAATAGTAGTAGTATTAAATAAATATTCAATAAATAGTTTATTTTTTCAGCTTATAATAACTTCGCTGCTTCAAATAATTTATTCAGGTAAACAATTTATTAAAATGCTATTAAACTTGAAACTTCACTGAAATATATTGTAAAATTAAACTATAAATTAACAAATAAATAATTTTATGTAAATCTATGCTCCTGATAAGCTATCTATTTTACTTAAATAGCTATGCCAGTCACTAAAATAGCTTTTGTTATTTATAAAGTTTTATTTACATATTAAATATTATTTATCTTTTAAAATACAAAGCTCTTTATTAAATGATTATCTTTACTTTTATTTTCTTTTGAAATAAAAAAATATTTTTTTGATTACTTTTTAAATAATTAAAAATTAATTAATTATTCAGTTTATTTAAAAAGAAGTATTTAATTTTAAAACTTAAAATCAATAATTAATAACATGCTTATTTTTTTTAATTTTAGGAAATGTTTAAGGTAAAAAAACAAACAAATATGTAGAATTATATTTTATAATTGAAAAAACATTGAATTGAAATTAATTTTATTTCATTCTGTTAATGAAAATAATTAACAACTTTCTATTTCTATTTTTACAAATTATTTGATAAAATAAATAACACAGTATATTAATTAAAATACCAATTATTCTTTTTACTTTTTATTTATAATATCCAAAATTTATTTTTAACGAAAAACATTAAGTTACCAGTTTTAGTTACAAAGTAGAATACTTCAAAAATTAAATTTTAAATAGTTAGATGATTCCTAATTAGACTATAGGATATGTTTAGAACGTCAGTATTAATTAGAAGGATTCATAATAAAGGAGGTCCTTCAGTCCTCCAGAGGGTACTTTTAAAAATATGGTTAATTAAAATCAAATGTAGATGAGCTTTGGTAAAAATTAAATCTCAGATGGATAAAAAAGTTAATTTTAGCATAACTCTGTTGTGTAGGTTGATGTTAATCCAGTTTAAGATTATTAATATGGATAAACAAAAGTGATTATAAGAAATTAAGGTCTTCATAGCAATTAAAATAGTAGTGGCAATAATAGCTTGCAATTAGGATAGTTATCATCAATACAAAATAATTCAGCTAATTGTGTTAATTTTAGTGATTAATTTAATAACAATCCTCTCATAAATTAGCTAATGCAGGAAGAAATAAATTAATATGGATCTGTATAATCATTCTCTCCATTAGTAAATCGTATGATGACTGAAGAATAGAAATTTTAGTAGGGGTCAAGCAATTCTAAGGATAATAATAATTTTATCAACGGAGTAGGAGGTGGTAGTTTTTCTCCATAATAATTTTAAAACTAAGTTGTTAATCCTTAATAGTAAGTAATCTAAATCAATCATCAATAAAGTTATTCAAATTAAGTATTAGATTAGAATAACTAGTCTTAGCCTATATAATAGCAATCCCTATTGAATGTTTCTGAGCGATCTCTTAATGCTAACTAAACACAAGTACACAGAGCATTAAATACTCAAATTGCAAATAGCCAAATAAATAATAAACCAGTTAATATTCAAAATACAAATTCATAATATTTAAATACAAATTAATCTTCAATAATTAATTCTAATACATAGAGAAACAATTAAAGTGCTAAAAATATTTATACTCAATAACATGAGTATAATCCTACATATAGCACAAACTAAACAAATGCAGATATTCAACCTAATTAGATTGTTATAGAAAGAAAAAAAGTAGAAAGTCTTATTGAATCAAATAATCTCCTTAACGGCTAATTAACTAGCTTATAAAAAGATCTTGATATTAAAGAAAAGGCACTCCATAATACATATCATATAGCATTTTTGGATTGTGTAATCATTTAATGTTTATGGTATTTAAAATTTATTTTTTTTTAATTTTAGAAAGAGCAAAAACTGGATTTCATGCAGATCATAGAATCATATGTTTTATTGTGTGCAGAAAATGAAAAGTTATCGTACGGGTATATTGAAAAACTTAAAGTAATTGATGAATTAAATATGGAAATAGGTGAATTAATTTAGTAAAAAGAAGATTGGAAAACTTTATACGAAGGTAAATGCCTCGAATTAACTAGTTCATAATCTCAAGCTAACAATACCAAATAAAGGGATGATCTAATATGTATAAATTATAATTATAGAATATAAAATTTATGAAATAAACCATTAATTATTTAGAAAAATTAGAGGAAGAAAATGAGAAGTTAAGATTTGATTTAGAATTAGAAATGAGAGAAAAAGAGGAATTAAAGCTTATTCATGATGAATAAAACAGCATTCAACAAAATTTACCTGAAGTTAATCTAAAAGTGTGTGATCTTGAAGACAAATTATTAAAAATATTAGATGAAAACCAATAACTAAATACAATGCTAAGAGAAAGAGTAGACGAAGTAGAATACCTTCAAAATACAATAAAGTAGATATAAGAATAGTTTTAGGATTAAACTACAAATGACTCTAGATTTTAAAAAGTTGTAAAAGACTTGGAGAATGAAATAAGAAGGTTATATTTTTTATTGGCTCTTCTAGAAATATTATTTTTAATTTTTCATAAATCATTAATAGAATGGATGAAAGGATGGAGGAATTGATAAAAGAAAAAGAAAATATTATCAATGCAAAGGTTTCAATTGAAGAAGAAAATAACTAGTTAAGAATTTAGTACTAGTTAAAAAGACAAGAGTTTGAAGAATATAAAATATCATAGGGAAATTCCTCAGCTTTAGAAATATAAATCAAAAGGAAATAAGAGTAAATTGAAGAGTTACTTTTAAAGTTGGAGAGAGCTTAGAAGAATTTTAGTGAAGTTTAAGAATAAAAAGAAACACATTTATTTGAATCTAATAGTCTTAAAGAAGCTCTTAACAAATTAGAAAAAAGATATGAAGAAAAACAGCATGAAAATATGGATTTGTTAACAAAAAATACAGAGCTTTAAAATTAAATTAAGTAACTTAAAGGTGAGAAGGACTTGAGCTTTTTAGAAAAAGATTTATAATAAATTTCTTTTGAAAAAAAGTAGCTAGAAATAGCACTCAACGAGTAATAATATGAAAAAGAAAGGATAAAAGCATAGCTTGATTCTGCAAGGAAAGAAATTGATGGATTTAATAAATAAATTTTAATTTAAAAGCAAAAATAATCTGAAATCGAATTATAATATTAAGACCAAATCGAAAAATTGAAGTAAGAGTAATTCAAAGAATCTGAGAACTATCGCTTTAAAGCAAAAATTGAGGTTTAAGAAGAAGTGATAGCTTCATTAAAAGAAAAAATTAGCTTTTCAGAAGAGAAACTAAATGAAAAGCAACTTGAAATAGAAGAATAAAAGCTTCTAATAAAAGAGCTTAGGACAAAGATAGATAGATTTAACATGATAGAAAATACACTCCACACTGTAGATAAAGAAAACTAAACACTTCAACAGTAGAAATAAGAATTAATTTTATAACTTTAAAATTTGCAGGTAATTTTCCAATTTTTGATATTTATGTAAATTTAGTTAAATAATTGTAGGAAAAATTGCTAAGGATTAGTATAGAGAATGAGAGGTTACATAAAGTTATAGAAGAGTTATCTAGTTAGGTTGATTCATCAAAACAAAAGTTAGAAAATCAAGATAAGTTTAATTAAATAGAAATTCAAAAAATGGAAGAAGACATGAAAGAGGAAAGAATATAATTTTAAGATGTTATTAGAACACTTGAGTAGCAGTTAAAGGAGATTGATGAGAAATACACTTCATAAAATAGCTAAGAAAAATAGCATTATTAATAAATTTAAAAGGAATTTTTAGCTCTATAGTAAGAATTTTAATTAGCTATCGAAACTCTTAAAGCAAAAGATCAATAAATATACATTTTAGAAACGAATTATAATTAACTACTCTCTGGTGATAGGAGTACCTACATTATAAGTAAGCTTGAAGAGAAACTGAATGCCTTGACAGCTGAAAATTACCGTCTAAATAAAATAATTGTTGATAGAATACGTGGGTCTAATTCTTATAATGGCTGGTGAAATAAAGAAATTAAATATTTTATTTTAAAAGTCATTTATAAATATACAATTATACTTTATAATGATTTTATTTGTTGATTATTTGTGAATTTACTCATTAAATTGATAGCTTTGATTTTATAATAATCTAAATAATACTTTTAGCAATTTAGTTAAAAATAATATTCTAACTAGCACAAGAAACAAGAAGATAAAAATAAATATTTTTATTTAAATATTACATATTTATAGTTAAAAGGAGATACTTTTAATATTTACTTTTCTTTTTAAGTATGGTCATTTGAAAAATAGCTAAAATGTATTGATATAATTTTTTTTATAAATTTCATAATTTAACAACTATTTCTATTGAAATTTTAATATTTTTATAAATCACAAAAAAAAAATCAACAGTAAAATTAGAATTAATGAAAAAAATAATAATTTGATAATTCAATCTTATTATTGTTTATAAATTATAAAACATCAAATACAGATTTTCTCTATAAAATAATAAATTTTTTCTGATAAATAAATGTCAGAATTTTTTTTGAACATTAAAAGCAAGAAATTAATTAAAGACTGTGAATATGAGGTTAAAGCTTAAGTTCCACTCCATAAAAATTGTCTTCAATTTGAGATTAGAAGCTCTACAGAACCTTGGGTGTGGAAAAATGAATTTTCTGCTTAATACATAGAAGATTTAACTGAAAAAACAGGTTAAAAAAAGTCATTTTTTGAATTCTTAAATTTGATAGATGAAAGTTTAAATCAGAAGCAAGCAAACAAGTCAAACTTCGATATTCTAACCTACCAAGATTTAAAGACGATGAACAATAAAAAAAGCGATACATCTCAATCAAATTAACTAAACTCTACAGGTTAATCATAAATGAATTCTAGTACTTCAACTTAAAGCGACTAAAATTAGTAGCAGTAATAATAATAAAGAAATAATAAGAGATACTTAATTATCAGTTCGTGTAATACAAATGAAGATAAAATTCATTATCCTTTATCTTTAAATGGAGACCAAGTCAATGACCCAGCTTCCCTTAAAGAAATAATAAAGAATCTATAGAAGGAGTTATCAAAGGTTCGTAACAATGATGATAGTCTAAATAGTAGTACTTTTTACTCTTCTAATGGGTTTGATAAAAAGCAAGGTTCACCTCGTTCTACATCTGGTAAATCTTTTTATGACTCATAAGGTTAAAAGGTATAGCTTAATAAAAAAGAGTATGACTAAATTAAATTGGAAAATGATCTTTTAAAAGCAAAAGTCAAAAGAATCGAGGATTATTTTTCTTAAAAATAAGGAGCTATTGAGATTGAGTAGCTTATTAAACAAAAATTTAACCTTGAAAATGAAATCGATAAATAGAGAATAATTTCTAGTAAAAGAATATGCGAATTAGAAGTAGAAGTTGAAATGAAAGAAAGATAATTGAACCAAAAAAAAACAGAAAATTTGGAACTTTAGAAATAATTAACTTAAATTGTTTGTGATAGTGAAGATACAGCTAACAAAAGAATTAAAGCCCAACTATTAAAATTGACAGAAGAAACAGAACAACAACTTGTTTTAAGTAAAAAAACTATATAAAAATAAAAGTAGGAAATAGATAAGCTCACATCTGATGCTGAGAAGTTTGCAAACGAAGAAAAAAAATTAAAGCAAAAAATTGCTTAACTCGAAATCGAGCTAACAAACTCCTAGAGGCGTAGTAACTCTCGTTCTAATCCTCTAGGTGCTAGGGGAGTATATGGGAATAGCTCTTCTCATTCATCAATCAACTCTAGAAGAAGTACACCCAATTCTCATCCTTCAAAATTAGGTTATAGTAGTCCTAGCTTATAAATTTAAAACCGTAATAGGTTTAACCGAACTGATGGATCTTAGAGTAAGAATTCAACACCAAACGGCTCAAAAAATTCACTTCATACTCCTAAATCATAGTCTTACTCTTCTATTCGCTCAAACTCATAAGGAACCTCCTAAAATAACACTCCTACAAATTCTAGACTACAAAGAGGGGTTAATGGAATTAACTCTTAAAATAATTAAAGAAATAATAAATTTTTTTCAAATAACAACCCAAATAATAATTAGTAAAGTAACTAAAGTTTATCTTAAAATAGTAGCAGAAATAACTCAGCTGGAAATAACAATTTGTAAAATAGGAGATAGCCATTGTATTAAATAAATAACGAGAGACAAAACTCATAAACTAGAAATAATTAACTTCAAGTAAATGGTGTAAAGAATGTGAAACCTGGAAGTATTGACATTATTCCCGAAAACGGAAGATATATTCAATAAACAAAATCAAATACTCCTTAGCAATCTTCTTAATCTTCAGTTGTTAGCAGGCTTTATCAACCAAAGTCATATAACTAACCTACATAAGTTTAAGGTAATTAGAGATCTTCTTCCACCTAAAGACAAGTAAACACATCCTCTTAAAGACTTAATTCTTCAGGAAGTAATGCACAACAACTCAGCATAGAAACAAACCCGAATAGAAAGCCCCTTAACACATCCTATAATTCAATGACAACTCCTTCTTCAAAATAATCTACTTAATCAAATATAAAAACTCCATAAAATCCAACTTAACCAAGGTAAAACTTTATTAACTTTTATAAGTATTTTATCTTTTTACAATTTTAATTTTAAAATGATTTATTTTATATGAAAAGATATGTTCCAGCAAATAACTACATGAAACCACTTAATAAAAATTAATAAAACTAAAAGGTTGGTTATTAACCTAATCAACTAAGGTAGCATGCTTAAATTTAAGAAAAAATAGATTAAGCATTGTTTGATGATAAGCACATATTAAATAATCAGCCCTAGCCAGAAGGTAAAAGTGAGCTTGAATTAAAAATAGACAAGTTATAAAATATATTGCAATCAGCTAAGGATATGACTGTAGATGACTTTTGAAATATATAAATAAGATGATATATTAGAACATAATTAAATAAAAAAATGTAAATAAAATGAATTAAAACACAATTTAATAATTAATTTGTAATATAAAATTTATAAAATTTGTACTGAATACACATAAATCTCTATAAATAATATGTAGGTCCTCACATGAAATTATGTTTTATTTTATTTAAATTTTGTAAAAAATTCAGTTAATTTACATTTATGGCAATGAATATGATGTTATTGTAGATAAATCTCAAATTTAAATATAATTTATTAAAATATTATATAAAAAGTTACATAAAAACATATTATTTACAAATTTTATTTAAAATATCAACAATCAACACTCAAAAAAATAAATAAAAAAAATTTTATATGAAAAAATAAACTAATTTGAATCAAACTATTTCAAAATTAAAAATAATTTGTAGATTTTATATTTTGTTAATAAAAAATAAAATTATGGCTAGTGTTGACAATTATTAATTTGGTTTATTTTATCTATTTAATAAAGCTAAAAAAATACAATCTGAATTTACTTTCAATTAATTTCAGATAATGAATGATTAAACAAATTATTAAAATTATGATGTAAGTGATGGTATGATGTAGAAATTTAGTACGCGCTGAACATCATTTGATAGAACTAAAAAATATAAAATTTTAGCATTGTTAATAAATGTTTATAATTTTATTGCATCTATGAAGAGGTGATTTTAAGATATGATGATCTATCAAATTATAAAATGAAGATTGAAATAGATATTAATCAATGAAGGGTTTTAGGTTTTAAGAATAATAAAGGCTACAACAACATTACGTAATATTTATATTTATAATAAAAATAAGAAAGTAATTCTATTTAAGTGTACCACCAATATAAAAATCTAAAATTTTACAAAATTTATAATTAATTAATAAAAAACTTGAAAAATATAAAAATATTTGCTGAAATAAAAAATAGTTGAATTATATTAAGATGGTGAATCACTTTGTATATAATTTAGTATCGAAAGGCATAGGAGGGTAACTAATTAAGTTTTAAATAATTAGCTTTCATTTATAAAAAGCCATTTGTTTGATTGAGTTCTTCTTAATATGAAGCTCAAAAAAATTGAATATATTATTTATGTATTCAAACAATATTGGAAAATGGAAGGATTTCTTTATTATTAATTCTTTAAATTTATTACAAATTAAATATTTATTATTTGAATATTAAGAGCCTTTACAAGTACATTCTTCAAGACTATTGAAATAATTGGATTAGAAAATGTTCCTAAAGTATTAATTTTATTTAATGTTTATAAGCTATAGTATTAATTAAGAAATTTAATTCAAATAGGATTAGCCTGTTATAATCTGTAGTAATCATAACAACTAGTTTGTTGATGCTTTAGTAATAAAATTTTATTCATAAAAATATTTTTAAGCATGTCTATTTATTTATAGTTAATTAGTTCCAGAATGAATAGACCTGTTAAATTTATTGTTGCTGCTAAATCTACTAGAAGACCCGTTATTGGTTAATTCAGTAGAGCACTTGGTGGTATTCCAGTAGAAAGAGCTCAAGATTTAGCTAAGGCAGGCAAAGGCAAAATTGTCTCTCTAAAGAATGGAATAATGAAAGTAAATATTCATTTAGTTAGTCGCAAAAATATATATACTATTATAATTATAGGGAGAAGGTACTGAGTTTACTAAGGAAGTTTAAATTGGATATACAATAATAGTATAAAAAGTAAATTATAGAAGATTTAAATGTGATAAAATGAAATTTTCAACAAAAAATTATTAGGTTTAAGGAGAATTTATTGTAGGTACAGTTGTATCAGACACCGAACTAAAAGTTAAACAAGACGAAGATGTAGAAGACAGCGAATTTTCTTTACCCTATAAGATAGTGCCTAAAATCGATTAACATGAACTTTATAGTCATGTATGGGATGCCCTTAAAAATAATGATTGCATCGGTATTTTCCCTGAAGGTGGTTCTCATGATAGGACAGGTAAAAAAATCAACACTCTAATTTAATGCTAATTTTAATTTTAAAAATAGATTTCCTTCCTTTAAAGGCAGGTGTCTGTATTATGGCTTTGGGAGCTATGGCATAGCATAATATTTAAGTCAATATAGTTTGTTGCGGTTTGAACTATTATGCTTGTGATAAATTTAGATCTAAAGTCATCATGGAATTCGGTCAGCCTTATAAAATTCCTATGGAAGCTGCTGAAACTTACAAAAAGAGTAAGAGAGAAGCTATAAGTGAACTTCTTCATGAAATTGAATATGTATGCATTTTTTAAAATGTTATCTTTATAATAAAATTTACTATTTTTTGAAATAGAGACTTAGAGATGTTACCACTAGTGTTCCTTCTTACAAAGAGCTGATGGCAGTTTACATGGCTAGAAAAATTTATTTGCCTGAAAGTGTAAAGGTCAGTCCTAAAGAAGAGTTAGAATTAAATAGAAGGTAAAAAATTATTTGATTATTTGTTAGATTTCATATAAAAATGATAACTAAAATATAGATTCGCTAAAGGTTTTCTACAAATGCAAGAAAAACCTTAAATTAAATAGCTATTTAACAAGATCAGAGAATATAAATCACTGATAAAGATTACATCAATTGAAGATTATTAAGTCAGAACATATGAGAAAGACTTTAAAAAAAATTTGATGATTTTCATCTATTCCATTTTTACTGTTTTATTCCATCTCATCATCTCTCTTCCTGGTATTCTCATCAATGGTCCCTTTGGTTTACTCCTTAACTATCTCTCTGAAAAAGAAAGAATAAAAGTAAAGAATAAAAACAAAATAAAAAATAAATTAACATTCTTTATAAATTTATTATCAAAGTGTCAAAGAGAATCAAAAGTAAAAGTTCTTGGAAAAGATGTTGTTGCAAGTTATAAGTTAATTTTAGCTATTGTGATATTACCTATCTAGTTCTTTTTACTGGCTTTGTTATTCTTTTTAATAGGTCCACTATTTATCTCAAGCATGTACGGTCATAGATTACTTTACACCTCTATATTCTGCATCATTTACCCCACTTACAATTACAGTAAATAATATTGAAAAAAAAGTAATTAAAGTAATTTTTAATATTTCTAGTTATGATTCTTTCTACTGATAGACTTTGGATGCACTCCAAAAATTTAGCAGGAAAATTCAATTGTCTCTTTAATGAATAGCAATATTTAACATTAAAAGCAATTAGAAGCAATATATAAACTCAAGTAAAATTAAAAAAAAGCTATCAACTAAAAATATTTATTTTTTTCAAAAAAAAAATTCATAGCTTAGAGAATATGTCAATGAATATGGAAAAGAAGTTTTCAAAAATTTAGACGAGAATAAAATTTTAAACGAAAAGAAGCTAATTTCTGTTAAGCAAAAAGGAGATATTCATTAAAGAATAGATAATACTATCAAGAGAATATCTTCAACAGAACTTATGCAGAGAATATTTAGTGTATTAGAAGATATAGGCATTTGATGCAAATACTATATAATATTTTATTAATATTTATACATAAAATGTGTATATTTAGTTAGTTATTAAGAGTAATATTTTTATCGTTCGTTAAATATTATTTACTTATTTCGTTAAACATACATACTATGATTAAAATTCGAATAAATTAAATCAAAATTTTTGCTTAATTTTGTAAATCATTATAAATGAATAAATATAAAAGGAAATGATTTTTTATGATTGATTAGTATTTATAAATTAAATTGTTTAAAATTAATGAACGAAATGCATATTTTTTTATTACTGCCAGAACCATATATAAGCTCCTATAAAATTTCTTCTTGTAATAATTATTTGTAAATTATATACTGGTTAATGAATTCAATTTATCTTTTGTTAGTTATCAATTTTTTTTTATCATGTTAATTACAATATGATAAAATTCGAAAAAAAATTTTTTAAATTTTAGCTTTATAAAAACAATGAATATAAAAAATAAATAAAATAATAAGTATTTTATTAACAACTTTTTAAAACAAAATTTTTTTAATTACAGCTTTCATTTATTTATTTATTATTTACTCTCATAGTTTCAATTTCTTAGGGTATATTTAATATGATAAATGAAAACTAAATTTTATATATATTTACTCCCATTTAATATATTAAAATAGTAATAAATCATAAATTATGAATCAGTTTATAAGTTAAATTTATCTTCTTTTTTTGATTGTTTAATATTATATTCTATTGTATGAAACATTTTTTGATTAAAATCAAATAAATTAAATAAACATTTTTTATTTAGTTATACAATTGAATATGAATGAATGAATAAATAAATATACAAAATAAATATGACTTTGAAATAATTTATTATGATCAATTTTTATAAACAAAATTGTTTTAAAATTAATTAGTTTAATATTTATTTGTTAGTTACTATCAGAGCTAAATTCTCATTTATGTATTATCTGGTATTTATAACTAACTTTTATATTGACTCCCATTTAAAATATTTATATTATTGTTGTTATTGTTATTATTTTGTTAAAAATTTATAGAGTTATCTTCTTGTGATTATTCATTATTTCTACCAAAGATTACACTTAAATTTATATTTTATATTTTTATAAAGTAGGATGCGAACGAACACTTTTGATTTAAGTTAAATAATTCTAGTTAAAATAAAAAAAAGTTTAAAAAATTACTTTTAAAATAAAATAAATCAAAGAAATAATCCATCCTAATAGATTAATAGCATATCTTCCTAAGTAGTCATTTTCTGATAATCCGTCTTTTAGAAATATCAAACTAAATAAATAAGCATAATTTACAAAGATAGGATTGAAAAGAATAATAACTTACTAAAATAGATCAATCAGTGCTGAAAATGATATCATGTAAACAAAAAAATATATTTCTTTATCAGTCCAATTTTTTCTAATAAAAGGCATTACTCTTAATAAAATAATAAGACCTAAGAAGTCACATCTTTCCAATAAACAAAGAATAATATTAAAGGCGACTAATACATAAACTCCATAATCTCTTAGCTTAAATGCTTCATGAAACTGTAAAATAAAAATTTATTTAATATAAATCCTTTATTCACAAAACAAAAAAGTTTAAAATTTTATAAATAATAGTAAATTGCAATTTTAAACTTTTTTTAAATAAATAAATTACATCAAATTCACTTATAGCACTCTATTTATAATTAGTAAAAGCAAATGTACTAAAGAAATCTTAATCAGATTTATCATCTTCTTCAATTTAACTTCTTTTACGAATTTGTTAAGTGCTATGTTGTATCGTACCAAATAACCTTTTAAGATATTCTTATTCCATTTCTCTAAATTACTTTTATTCCTGCAAATCCTTAAGCTCAGATTCAATTTCTTCTAATCTATTTTTTCTATATTCAAACTTTTAAATAAAATTAATTGAACCTTTAATTTAAACTAAAATAAATTTGATAAATTGATTACTTCATTAGGAATATAATCTACTTTAATATGCACAACTCCTATTTTAATATTTTTATCTTTAGCATCTACGACATCAATCCATGAATCTTCGTGATATTCTTAGCTAAGATTTGTAATTTTAATTATTGATTCTGCAAATTGTATTTAATTTGTATCATTTGATATTCTTCGTTCATTCTCGTGAGTTTGTTTTACAAATTTTATTTAAACTTAAACTATTTCTTTAATATTTTCAAATTAAATGTAATTATTTAATTCAGCCAAATTAAAAAATATATTGCTATATTACCATTGTCTTGTAGTAGGTTATCTATTTCAAACTGAATAGTTTCATGCCAGGCTGGAAAAGTAATATTTTAACCTAGTTTTAATTAAATCAAAATAAATTGAATTGTTTTACTGTGAATGTATAATTTACATAGTTTGGTTGAGATTTCATTCATTTAATCTACTCTAACTTTATCACAAAATACAATAGCCTTCACACTAAACGACTCTGTTTCATAAAGCTTTTGATATATTTTAAAAGAAGAGAGATTAGCTTGCTCTAGACTTATCTTCAAATATCTCAAGTTTATCCTGTATCTCTTTTTTAACGTTTATAAATTTTTAAAAATCAAAGTTCAAATATAATTTAAGCTTTATTTAATATAGTTATTTGTGCAAAATAAGCTTCAAAAAATAGATATTTTTTTTTTGTTTAAAAAAGAATTTAGGAATTTAAAAATGTAATGTATTTATTTACATTATTTATAACAGAAATGATAAAGTTTTTTTCATCTTCTAAATTATTTATTTATTCTTGATAAAGCTATATTTCTCTCTTTAGCTCTGACTCCCTGCTTATATAGTTATGTGCAAATTCTTCTCTTTATATATTTATTTATTACATAAAAATTATTTTAGTCAAATTGTAAAGTTTGTAAATGAAATATTTTTAAACTTGATAGAATACAAAGGTAAATAAATTCATCCAACCAATTTAAAGTAGCTTATTTAGAAATAAATCAATACAAATTATAAGTTACAAAGATACTCTACCATCTGAATTAGTATCCATACTGTCAAATAGCTCTTAAATAACCTTCATATTAATCTGTCTAACTTGCTTTTCATACTTCAGATAATTTAAAATTTCTTCTTAAGAAAGAAATCCATTATTATCCTTATCCATTATTTTGAATTCATGCTTTATATTCTTAAACCTCTCTTTTATATTATCATATCTTATATAGAAAGAAGCATTGCTTAATATTATTTACCGTGGTCGTATTCGACTTGTAATGGTCTTACTGCTAAATAGTTTTTTGGATTTTAAAGCTACTCCTCTATTTTTTTTCCAGGAGAGGATATATAAGGGTGGCTGTTTCTCATAAGTTTCTCTAAGATTTAAGAATTTGTTTCTATACAAATCCTTGACTAAATAATATGTTTTCAAATATTGCAAATAAAGGTAGCTTATAATATTTTTTATTTAATAAATAAATCTTTTCAGGATAGTATTATATCGTATTTTAATTTAAGATATAAATATTGTATGCAATCAATTCAAGTTTTAGGTTTCGAGTATATGAAACCAGCATCTAATTAATTATCATTCGTAAATTAAATGCAAAAAGTACATTCCTGCTTTATTGTATATGCATTTATTTAAAGTAATTTTACGCATTTATTTTTAATGCATTTTTCATTTTATTTTCAAAATAATCTCATATGTACTGAATTAATTTGCTTTTCTCATAACCATTTAATGTTATGGAAAATAAAACGAAAAAAAATTTATATGAAATTTAGAACTAATTATTAATATACAAAAAATAGTGAAATCAAAGTTACTTTCTAGCAGAAAATAAGATAAACTAATTGCAAAATAAATATAATAGATTTTAACAAATATTTTGAAATAGCTATCAGAAAATGGAATTAAACTAAACAACGCTTGAGTCATATAATAAATAACTCTAAAAGGGATAAGGTAGGTTCTTTAGAGCTTAAAAATATATATTTGCTTGCGGAATTCTAAAAACTATTTTTGAAATATTTAGGTACATTAATTGGTAATTGGTGGGAAGAAAGAGAATTAAGAGACGTAACTGGTATAGGAAGATCTGCTCATAATTATGCAAAGCTCAAATCAACCATTTCTTAAACTGGGGCCCAATCATTATATAAAGAATCCCCATAAACAGAATCAGTAAATGATACAAATGAAAGAACTATGGGTAAAAAATTCAATCACATACCAAACACAACCAACAGCGAATATGGTAAAGGTAACTAAATAAATTATAACATTTACTGTATAGATTTAATATATATTATTTATTATATTTAAATTGAAATTGTAAAGGGTTTAATAAAGCAGATTAATTACCCAGAACTGGTCCAGTCCATCTTAGAACTCAATAATAAGTACATATTATGTTATATAAATCAACATATAAATATTAAAAGCAGTTTAACTTTTTTGAGAGCTTATAACAATTTAATCTTTGAAATTTCAAAATAAATATGTAAAATAAAAAGATGATAAATCACATAAAATAAGAACTGAATGAAATCGAAAACTAAAAGGAAATTTAAAGAAATATTCGTTACTTCTAGACAACTACATAAACTGAATTTGGACCTAAGGTAAATTTAAAATATTTTAGCTATGATAATATAATATTTTTTTTGTAAAGGAACATGCTATGGCAGGTTGCACAGTTGGAAGAAGGGTAATGAGAACTTAAAATGGATAACCAATAACTCCTGATAATAGAGATGAAGATATTTTGGTAGATCATGGATTTTTGGAAAGGTATTTGACAAAACTATTTTTTTATAAATTTTAATAAATTTATTTTTGTTTTTTTATAAATTAAGATAACCATTTTTGACTGATGAGGAATTGAAAAATCAATTACCATAAGGAGAGAGTTATTTAACATAGCAACCTATTACTTATTGGACTGAAAAGACAACAGATGGTTTTGGTTGCGTGTATTAATCAAAATCAAACCCTAATGACCCTAAATCTACCTTTAAGCTAAACAATTAGTTTCTTAAAACATTCCACGACTATTCACATGTCAGAAAGTGAAAATTTTATAATATATTTTCATAGTATGCTACATAGACATAAATAAATAAATAAAACATTTTCAAATAAACAAACTAATAGCTTTAATAATTTTTTTTTTTAGCTTTTGCATAAAAAGTTTTTAAATAAACTACTCTTTTTTTATAAATTAATTAATTAATTTAATTAATTAAAAAATGTTTAAAAATATAAATTGCATGATAAAAAATAATGTATGATATGATGACTAATTTTAGTTAATATTTATAATATTATTATTGATTAATCTACTTTTAAAAAATTTAATAAATATGAAATTTTAAATTTATAAAGCAAAAATTTGTTGTTAAACTTATTTACAACATTAATTTTTAACATTAAAAACAAATTTTATAAATAATTAAACTCTTTGTTTCAATTTTTGTTTTTTATTTATAAAATTCAATTTTTTTTTTTTTAATAATTGAGCTTGTTAAAAATCTAAAAAATTAAAATATGTTAAAAAAATAAATATATTTCAAAGTATTATGATAAAACAAAAAACAAACACAATATCTAGCTATAGAAATATAAATTATACATAAAATCAAAAGGGATAAGGGTTTGAAGTATAAATAAATTCGGGAAGAGGTTCTTTTTTATAGCAAGATATCTTCCAAGAAGATTGCATCAACTCCTAAGCTATCGAAGCAGGTATAACTTTATTCTTTTGTCTAAATCATGACTGACTAATTAAAATTCTACTTTGTAAAAAAAACTTAGGAAAGAATTCAAGCAAAAGGTTAAACCACGCACTAACTATTAACTATGACAATTAAGGTATTTATACATTTTTTTTTTCATCTATACAAAAATAAAACAACTGTCATATTTTTTGAAATATTTTAATAATTTAAATTTTTTAAACCTTTTTTTAACTCAAATAACTTTTTTGATAATTTCAAATATTTTGGCTTATCATAAAGGCCTAAATAAATATGATTGTATTTTGTTGCATTAAAAATAAATTTATTTTAATAAATATTAAATAATAGGTGAGTATTCTAATAGTTACTCTAACTAACAAATTGCTTAGGTTTCAAAAAAAATTTTTAGTAAACCCACTGCTCAAATAAAAAAAATAGGATATCAATAACAGCTACCACCTAAATAACCAGCAGTAAATTTGGTTAACTTGAATCTTAATTTTAGTAATGGTCCCTAGAATTAACTACCACCTACTTATCCGATGATTAAAAATCAAGAAAATATAATTAACTCTTAGCTTGATGTAGCTAATTCTAAAAAGAAGAAATAGCAAATACAATAATTCAATGATGTTATTTATAGATTGCCACAATAAAGCAGTAATCCAAATAGACTTTAAAAGCTTTAGACTTTATAACCTAAAATATAGGTTTAATAACTATAAGATGATCCGGTGAAAGCCTACTAAGTTGAATAATAAAACTAAATGACAATAGTTGATATTAGTTAGTGTTCACCATAAGTACTAATAAATAGCACAAATTTTAACAAAAGCACTAGCAATTAAACATTTTAATAAAACTTAGCATCAGAAAGTTAATTGATTAATAATGAAACGAGTATCAATGAAAAATAAGAGTTTACTTGCTAAACCTCAGGTACAAATGAATATTTAACAAGACAAATATGTAACCATAAACAAAAAGTAATTAAAGAAGTTACTCACCCCTTCAACCAAAAAATATACTATGAAAATAAATAAAACAAAGTTGAATAAAATTCTACAGAAATAAATTTAACATCAGAAGACCTCCTTGAAAGAAGTATATTTTTTATTTTAATTATCATTTAATAATATCTTATTTAAAGTGAAAAAAAATTTAGACATAACTGCCTAGAAAGTGCTTTAGCTTAAAAACAAGCAGAGAGGTTTTATAGATAATAGCAAGAAGGGATATGGAGATTAACCAGATAGTTTTAATATAAAATAATTAGAGTAATATGATGATTCATTACTTTACAATAATAATTTATAAAATAATAATGAAAACACAAAAAAAGGAAAACAATTCTATCAATAAAGTTAGAAATCAAACTTAAGTGTTAACATAAATAATCATTTTAATAATTTTAAATATAATGGATACAGAAGTGATTAGAATAATAATTAACTTGCTTTAAGAGTATCAGAAGGTGAAGAAAAACTCTAATAATATTTAATTAATAATAATTAACCTACTTAAATGCTTGAATATGAAGTAGAAGATATAAGAAATGGCTTTAATTAGCAAAGAATATTTAAAAATTAAAGGCATAATTCAAACAGTTAATCAAGAGAATTTGAACAAAATAGTATTGAGTATTCTGAAAACCAAAAAGCATTGATAAATTAATTTCCTCTTTAAATCTAAAGAAAAGAAATAATTAATAATAAAATAAATAAGTCTTAATTGAATGCTGGATAGTTAACCGAATAAAATAATTTACCATAAATTTGTGAAGAAAATATTTAAAACAATGATTTAATTTAGCAAGCTAACTAAGAAGTTAATAAGAAGACTACTAGAAAAATTATAAATGCGAATCCTTCTTCAAAATAGACAGTTAATAAAAGATACTCTGTAATTTCTTAAACTGCAAATTCAAAACAAAAAGCTCCTTCCGCTAATTCGAATGCATTAATAACGTAGCAGTAAAAAGATAGACTTTAAAAAATGGATAAAGAAGCTTATTTAGAGTTGAAAATTAAAATATACTTAGACTTTCAAAGAATTATTAATTTCTCTAATAATATGACTATGCAACCTGTCCCAGTCAATGGCGTAAAATAGTATAAGGCTTATATCACAAAGGGTAATAATGGAGTGTTGATCAGAGCTGCTTTAAAAAATAGGTAATTAAAAAATAATTAGTTTATATTTGAAAAGATTTTAAACAAAACCATAAATTTGGTATTTATTTATTTTCTAAATCTTCATGTTAAATCAACGTTAAAAAATAAGATAAATACTTTAATTTTTCTTATAATAAAATTTACTTTGACTAAAAAGGTGGTGGTGGTCTCTCTCAGAATAAAGTGAAGATTACGATAATATAAACTTTTTATGGACATAGTGGCGCAAACCATTATTCTATAAAGCTATAAAGAATAGATCAGAATTATGCTTGAATACTATAAAAGATGATGAACAAGAAGAAAATTTATAAGTTAAAGTTTAGACAGATAAATAATCTTTATAACAAATAGATGTTGATTAGCAAAAACCAGTTAATGGAGTTGAAAATGCTAATTTGTAATTAGAAAACTAAAACTAAAATGAAGAGGTAGATAATAATAGCATATTAACCGTAGCTAAAGATATTACAGCTTGTAGTGAAAATAAAGAATCTTTATAATTAGAACCAAGTAGTACTAATAACGATTAAAGATGGGGATATAATGATGCTTCACCAACTAAAAATTTAAATGATTTTATTTTAAAATCAAATTCTAAGAAGTAGAATTAAGGAAATTCAAGTCCAACTGGTGGTATGAGAAGTAACCAAGAAAGTACTAAATAAGACCCATATAGTAAAATTAATGGTTTAGTAAATGAAAAGGACCTTTAGCTATTGATTAACTATACTAAAATTTCTAAAAAAAAGAAGTAAAATGCTGATAATATAATACCTATTTTCACAAAAGAAGAATACCCACAAGGAATAGAGAGAGAATATGAAAAAATAAGAAATTAAGGTGGGTAATAGGTACAAGTGTTTAAGAATCCTATTAAACAAAAAATGCATAATCATATGGAATATAATTTTCACCTTGCTAATAAGAAAGCTCTTTTCTACAATATGAGATAATATTATAATTTGACTAACAAAAATGTATTTGATTATCTACCTACTACATTCCATATTCAGAGTGGTTTGAATGATCCTGAATTCGCTAATTTTGTTAATTATTATAATAAGTTTGAATAAGAGAATCCTAAAAGGAAAAACGTTTGGATTATTAAGCCAGGTGAAAGTTCTAATAGAGGTAATGGTATTCAAGTAGCTGGTGATGTTAATTCTGTTAGAGATATTATTAGAGTTAGGGAATCACATTAAAATGGCTTTAAGAAGACTTATATTATTCAAAAATATTTAGATCGTCCATTTTTATACAATAAAAGAAAATTTGATATTAGATGCTTTATGCTAATGACAAATTACAATAACACTTTAAAAGGTATAATATTTATTTTAAAATGTTTCCTAAATAATAATTTATTAAAGCATACTGGTACACAGATGGGTATATTAGAACATCTACAAAAGAGTTTACACTAAAAAATTTAGAAAATAGAATGATACATCTCACTAATGAAGCTGTATAAAAAAGAGGAGAAGATTTTGGTAAGTTCGAAAATGGAAACAAGCTCTCTTATGCAGAATTTTAAAAATATATTGATTCTACTTATCCAAAAGAAAATTATAATTTTATGTAATAAATTTATCCATAAATGAAGGTAAATTGAATTCTTAAAAAGTAAAATAAATTATATTTTACATTTTATTAATTGAAAGTAACTTGCTTATGACTCAGTTTGCTCAGTATACACTAAAATAGATAAGAAGAAAAGAAATTTTTCTTTTGAGGTAAAATATTTAATAAAAATAAAAATATTAAATCAATAAAAATATTTTAAAATTTATAGTTGTTTGGTCTTGATTTTATGATAGATGATAGCTTTAAAACATGGCTAATCGAAATAAACACTAATCCTAGCTTGACAATTGCAGCACCTCTGATGTCTAGGCTATTACCAGCATTAATAGATAATGTGCTTAAAATAGCTATAGATCCAATATTCCCACCTCCTAATTTCCCTAAGTCGAAAAAGCATCTAATACCGGAATAAATTTACGAAAACAATAAATTTGAGCTACTTTTTGACTCAGAAGTTGATGGTGAAAGAATTAAAAAACTTTACTAAAACATTTCAAATAAAAGTAATTTTTGACTTTAAAAATCTAAATTATTAATTTAAAATTTTCTTAAAATTAGTTGATGAGCAAATAGAAGAGGATTGCAAAAACGAAGAAGTATATGACGACGATGATGCTGATGTTGATTAGGAGGGAGAAGAGAACGAAGATGAGGAAGGATACTGAAATACTTAACATAAGAACAAGAATTATTTAAAAATTTATGAATATGTCTGTTTATTTATTTTCAAAAGGTATTTATATATTAATCAATATTATAAATTTAATGTAAAAAGTCAGTGAATGTATTACTCAATCAATGAACAAGCTAATACAAGTGTTTCAAAAATGTATTTTAATTCCTAATTTATTTTCATTACTTAAAATTCCTTAAATAACTTTGTTATCAGCTATGCTGTTGTCTTTAAGGTAGATATTTTTTATTTTGCATATTGTATTCTTTTTTAAGTCTTATATTTTGTTTAGAGATTTTTCAGTTATTTAATTGTTTTATAAGTATATTTCCTCAATATTTTTGCAATTAGTTTCAACTAAATCAATAAGTTTTATAAAACCTTCATCAGTAATTTTATTTTTGTTTAACTTCAAAGTTTTTATGGAGCTATTTTCTTTCAAAGCAATAGCTAATATTTCTAAACCTTTATCACCTATTTCTAATAAAAATATTAGACCATAATTATAATTTAAAAAAAAAATCATACCCATATTTGAAAGATCGACAATCTCTATACTATTTCCAAATATCTCTTAAATTAAATTTAAAAATTTTGCCTACTCTTTTATATGTAGTATTTATCTATGGTCTGTTTAACTCTTGCTCGACTCTTCAAGAAATTTGTCATCATCATCCTCATTTAATAAGTTAGTATCTTTAGCCAAGCTTAGCAGAATACTTTTTTTAATATCAGCAGTACCAGTAACTTCATGAGTGTGAATTTATTCTTCAAGTAAATTAATATCATTAAGAGATAAATTATGATATGATAACATTGATGATAAGAGAAAATCTTTATTGTTAATTTATGAGATGAGATTTTCATCATCTAGATCTTCTTCATTATTCTTTTTACAGTTATCATTATTATGCATATAAAAATTGGAGTTAACCCTCGTAAAGTGCTGTTTCTGATCATTTTAGACCTGGTTATGAGCATGAGGTTTTAAAATAAAATCGTTGCCAATTATTTAGCTTTATTATAACTCATCAAAATTAATAATATTATTAGCATCTGATACTTAGTTAATTAGTAATGATTCTTTAAGCTATTCCTCATTTAAATCATCATCTTAGTTATTTCTATTCATAGCTCTCCTAATTAAGTCGTCTTCTTATTTGTCTTAAACTAATTCTGTTGCCTCACTAGCTTCTAATATTTGCTCGTTTTTACCAAAATTAAAGTGCGTATTGTATTTTTTAGTTTAGTTATAAAATTCATCAAGATACTTCTTTGTTTTTTTGTATTAAGATCTTTTTCTAAATTCTAACCTAATTTATTACTTATATGTCAATTCTGATTATTTTAGTAGCTCTTAAAGCTTAGCATTTTAAATATTTTTATCATCTTTTATTTATTTGATCTTAATAAAGTTATTTAGCGAATTTTAAAAGCTTGGATCAAATTCTAACTTAGTTTCTTAAAGTTGAATCATCTTTACTTTTTCAGATATGATAGAATTATTTTCTATGATTTATCTCAACATTTCCTCGCCTTAATCAATTATATCAAGGTTTTAATTATTCTTGACTTCTAGCATATCGAACATAATCTCGTTCTTTGAACTTAACTCACAAAGATTTTATAATTTATCCTATGCCCTAAACAAAAACTCATAAATTCATTAATGTAAAATTATTTAAATTACTTTTTTTTCCATTCTTCGATTTCATTCAGCAAATTCTACTTTGACAAATCTAGTATTTTATAAAAACCCCCTTCTGTTTACACAATTAAGTTATTTATTTCATCATATAATTTATTTTTCTTCTCTTCTATTTGCCTAATAATACTCTACCATTCGATGTAGATAGCAATCAAATTAAAAAAACATTAAATTTTAAATACAAAATGTTACTTAAAATTGTTGATTCAACTAACTTTGAAGGGATTACTATACTGATATTAAATGAGTATGTATAACATCTTTATAATGAGTTGTATTTATTAATGCAGATTTTTCTTCTAATTCTTCATAAACCTAGAGAAGAGTTTCTGCCCTCTCTGTAATGTTTTTAATTACATCTTCTTCACTTGCTACTTCATGCTTTTTATGTTCACCAAATAAAGCACAATTTGAGCATATTGCTTGCCTGCAGTCTAAACAAACTATGTCCTTTTCTTTTTTATGATCTTTACATTTTTTCTTTTATTGCAGAGTCTATGTTTAATCTTCTTCGTGAGAGTTTCTAATACTACTATTGAAAGAAGTTAATTGTATGCTATTTTTTCTGCTAGATCCTCCTTTTTCACTTGATTATGTTTCTTGCTCAAACGTATGCAAAGGTGAGGAATATTCACTCAACTTCTTTTTTTTCCTTATTATATTGATCAAAGAGTAGTTTTTAGGAAAGCTAACTACTTCTTTTCTACTTGATACTATGCTAATTTATAAATTAAGCTAAATTAGTAATTCAAAAAGTAACTTTTTTAGAAAGCTTTTGCTTTAAAATATATTATTCTATGATAAAAATATTCTTTACTTATCTTCTGGGCATTCTATAAAATCATTTTTCTCAAGAATTTATACAAGACATTAATTGCAAAATGTATGGCCGCATTCTGGTAACATTCTTGGAAGATGATTATTCTCATCAAACATGTTTTGGCAGCTTGAACAAAAAAGATCCAACTCATTATTTTCTATCATTTATGAATATTCTTCAACCTTTATTTGATACTAATCCAAATTAACTTATTCTGCTGGCTTCTTAATTTGCTAAACTTACTAAATATTTACTTGATATATTTGAAAGTCTACTAAATAATTTTTAATGTTTGCGTTTTTTTTATAAAAATAATTAAATTGATTTGATCAATTTACTTGAAATTATAAACTACTTAAGCTAGAACCTGGATAATAAGTAAATAAATAAATAAATAGCTTTTTCAATTTCTGAGTATTATTTTATATTCATGCATGAATTGGTTTATTCTTAATACAAATTAAACATAAAATTAATTGATAGATATATTGCATTTTATTCATATTAATTATTATTTTGTATTTTAGATTAGTATTAATTATTTATAATTGATTAATAATATTCCAAATATTCGTTTCTTTACCCAATATATAAATTTAGTTACACTTAATCAAACTATTACTTTTACGTTGAGAGGATAAGAGCTGTCAGAAAGAATTCCGCACATACCACAAACTTTAATTGGCGTTTCATCACCTCCACAAGCAAAACCATTGGTAGGAGTACTATCTATACCGCATTAAGGTACAGCTTCTCTTTTTATTCTAATGTAACCATCTTCGCCAAATTCAGTACCATAAGAATTTCTTACAAGCCAGTAATCTCCGTACTTTGGATCAGTTCCATAACCAACTAACACAACAGCGTGGTCAATATTAATATTTTCTGAATAATCACATCCATCAAATACACCCTCTTCATAGGAATCCCAACCAGTAGAGTCAATTGAGATAGCTATAGGGCCAATTGTAGCTACAGCTTCTAATAGAGCTTATTAATCATTAGGAGTTACTTTAGCAAAACCTTAGTTTATAACTTCAGGCTATTATTTGAGGGGATCGAATTTGCATTCATATGTGTCATTAAAATAAGATTTATAGCCATATTTAAATTCAGAAGTAATACCATATTGAGAAGTATATTCAAAAGCCAAATCAGCAACAGCACCAAAACATCCACCTTATCCACCACATTATTTAGGGTTAGGGACACAAGAAACTAATTGTTAGGTTGACAGAGTTTTTAAATTTCCTGAACCAGCAGCTATTGCAGCATGACTCTCCAAAACGGAAACTGCAGTAAATGCCCAGCAAGACAAGCAATCACCTTAATCTTTTACAGGAGATACAACACCTATTTCTCTCCAGTCTACACTCTATGGTAAATTTTTCAAGCCTTTAGCTTTATAAGTTTAGTTAAATTTTCTAGTTGAAGGATCCAATATTTCAAAGTCGACTTAACTTTTAAATATGGAAAACTATTCTTTTTTTTCAAAGTAGCTTTCATCAGTATTATTTTTAACACCTTTTTTGTAGGAATGATCTTCTTTATTGAAGGCAATTATATCAGCTAAATTCTATTCAAATATTTTCTTCCTAGTTAAGTATTCTTCAGAATCTGCTTTATATTCCTTTTAAAAATCTCTGATATATTTTTCAAAAGTGTAATTTTAAAGTTGTGTCCACTTTGGCTTGCAATTGACAAGGCAAAGTAGAGCTACAAGAATCATAAATCTCATCATTTTTAAATCTTTTATTAATTTTTTTTGATAAAATTTTTTATATTACTAAAGTCAATTTAATTAAAAAGAGATTATTTAATTAATTATTGTTTTTCTATTGATTGTTAGAAGAAATTTGCAATTTTTTCAAAGAGCATTTCTAGATTTATTTTCTGTTTAAAATATAGTTTGATATTTACTTCATTTTTAATAAATACAAATTATATAATTAGTCAGTCAAAAAAATATTAGGTCCTCATATTTCAATTATTTAATAGAAATGTTATTTTAATTTAAAAATAAACTTTTGATATTTTTTTTAGATTAAATTTAATTGATTGATTTAAATAATTTAAATTAAAAAATGAAAAAATAAAATTAAAGAAAATATTTTTCTTTTTTAAATTTTTACTTTTTTGGTATATTTTCCATAAATTTATCTAGAATTTGGATTGTTATTGAACATTTGAAAATAGAATTCTTTTTTTCAGTTACTTTTAACATGTTTTAGTATTTATTAGAAAGAAGAATTTCTGCTAAAATATAGTTTGTTTTTATACCATTTACCCTTTATTTTGACAAACATATTTAAAATATTAAAATATCATCAAAAATAAATAAATAAATAAAAAAACAAACAAACAAGTAAGTGAGAGAGATATGAAGACTTTTCTATCAAGTACTTTTAATTATCTGAATGTAATACGAAATAAGCATACAGATATATAAATTATTGTGAATTATTACTATACAAAAGGAATAATTGAGTAAGAATTAATCTCAAGGAAATATTTATACTAATCTTTTTTATCTGCCATGAGCTACTCTTATTACAATACTCCAGTTTAGTTAATTGTATTTAATTTTAATCTTTTTGTTTCTCAGACAATGTAGTAGTGAGTGTTACCGTACCATCCGAGGGTAGATCTCTTAATACTTCTGTTATAGTGAGAACCAGCAATTAAACCGTGAGAAGGACCCCAAGTAACGATAGCAAGTTCCTTATCCCAGAACCATCTGGTGGCAGCTCTATTAATTAAACCACTGTCGAGGCTAGAAATTCTCTTAGCAACTTCAGATCTAGGAACTCTTCTGTTCAAGTAGCTATTATTTTAAAAATATTTATTTAGATTAAAAATTGCAGGTGTTTATCATTTTATGAATTACGTGACTTAGGTAGCAATAGAAGAAGCAATATCAGCAGAGTTTTATTCAGCAAGGAGTTCGTTGAAGTATTTGGCTCTAGCTCTGTAGATTTCAGCTTAGTTAATCTTAAGTATAAAATGAAAATTAATATTATTAGTTGATAAGAAAAATCATTAGTTTTTACGTAAGAAGCGTATTCAGAGAGAATCATTTGAGATAAGAATAACATTTGGTTGCCGAAAATTTCATTACCATAGAAGTAAGAACCGAAAAGACCAGTATCAGAGTAAGGTAAATAGTGAGTTTTATGGATGGTGACGTCAGGTAAGTTACCTAATTCCTTGTGAATTAAAGAGTATTATCTGTCAGAGGTGTTCAAGTGTTGGCCAGTATATTTATCAGCTTGATATTCACCTAAGATTCTTTAGAAGAAATTAATAGTGAAGAAATCGGGATCAGTCCAGCTAGGAGCTTCGAAGAAGACACCAACGTTTAAGTTGTGCATTTCATCGTCTCTGATGGTCATCTATTTAATTAATTAATTGATTAATTTGAGTTTGATTAGTATGTTTGTTTTATCTCATTTAATATACTACGATTTAAATTATAGTAATTTAATTAAGTTTACATAAGAGGGAGTGAAGTAGGGCTTTTCAGTGTTGGGAACAAAAGTAGTGGCATCCTTTTAAGCGACGGTTCCGAATGCCTTTTCAGCAGCTTGGAGGAAAGCTTGAGAGTTAACATTACCAGCAGCAGCAACAACAAAGTTGGAACCAACATAGTTAGTCTTGACGAAGTTTTTAACAACTTCATCAGTGATGTTGTGAAGGTTTTCTCTGATACCGTGAGTAGGTTGACCCTATTTAATTATAAATTAGAATTTTTAGTATGCATTTAAAATCAAAATGATAAGTGATTTGATTAAATTTTTGAAAATGTTTTATTTTTATTGCATTCAAATCAAAATTCATTCAAATATTTTGTTTTTCACTAAAACATTCAATCTTTTTTGTAATTAAAAATTTTTATGGGCAATGAAAAGTGACTAGCGGATTAGAAACCATAAATAAATTTTTAAATTTAATAATATCTAAGGAAGATTCTAAATTAAAAATCTAAAAACAAATAAACAAAAAAAGTGGGTAGGAAATAAAAAACAAAGAAAAATCAAATAAAACAAAGTAAATTAAATAGCAAATAAAGTTGAATTTTTTGAATGCAAAAGATATTAATTAAATTAATAGAAAAATCTATGTTTTTTTCTATGAATTAAAATAAATAATTAATTACGAAGTAGTGATCTCTGTAAGCAGTGAAGTGAATATTTTCAAGGAGGAGACCTTATTGATCGTTTTGAGCGCTGAGGGCATTGTTATAAACAGCTTCCTTTTCAGCTTCAACTTATTGCTTGTTGAAGACAGAGTTTTATAAAATATCACCGAGGAAGTCAACAGCCTTTTCAACGTTTTCGGGTAAAACGCTCAAAGTATAAGTAGTGGTTTCTCTGCCAACTTAGACCTTCAAGTTACCACCCAAAAGGGCGAGTTCCTTTTCAATTTATTCTCTGTTTCTCTTAGAAGTACCCTATTTACAAAAGAAATATTAATGATATGAAAACAAAGTATTGATTGAGTAATATTTTATTTATTAGTTTATTAAATAGTAAACATTAAAAGTATCTTTATTTTTTTGGAAAGATTAATTTATTTATTTATATGCATTTTATATCTCATTTATTACTAATTTAATCACTATTTATTCTTGTTATAATTATTAACTAAATTCTATTTTTCTTGACTAGTCTACTCTTAATTGCTTACATTTTACCATATGGAAAGCTAGTAATTTAATTCCACTAATATTATACAATATATTCTACTTTTATTACTTATTTTTAAATTATAAATCAACTTAATTGATCTTTTTATGATTGACCCTAATTTAAACTATTTTGAAAACTATTATTTCATAAAGTAAATTTATGTTGCTTGCTTGCTTTTATTTAAGTATCGTATGGTGTTTCCTATGCATTTAACTTTTAAATTACTATCTTTTACCTTTCTTATGGTTTATTTGCATTTATATTATAACATAATTTTTTTTCTTTTGTATTTTAATTAATTTCCATTTTTTTAAATTGTTTCAAGTAATTACTCTAAGAACGAGTCTTTGGACAAATTGGGCAACACCTGAGGTTTCTAATGTTTCTTGTCTAGTACCAGCTCTAACAACAACAGAGACTCTAATTATTTTTTAAGAATAATAAACATGAATAAATAGTATTTTGATTTTTAAAAATTTTAGCTTTATGAAAGATACGCTCATTCAAACCTTTGTTTTTTATATATATATATTTGCTTAGAAAATCTAAAAATTACGCAGCGAGAGGAGAAACGGAAGAAGGTTCAACAGCAAGTCTAACTCCGTTAGCTAAGGTTTCAACTCCTGTTTATACCAAAATAAATGTTATACTTAATATCACAGCCGTTATTAATTTCATAAATAAATTTTGCTTTATCTTCCTTTCATGTTTAGAATATTTTCAAAAACAAAACCAAACAAATAATTCATGATAATTTTTATGAATCATATATCACTTCAAAATGATCAAAAAAAAATTTGATCAACTTAAAAATCCGCAGAATCTGATAAACATTTCATTAAGATTAATTTAGTTTGGCTTAAACTTCTAATTGTATGCACATCTGGTAAAATATAAGCTAGAGTGGTCATGTGATTATGTTAATGTAATTCAGAAAGCTTTAGAAGAGGAAGATAAAGTAAGATACATTCAATGAAAGAATGATATTTTTTAAGGATAATTAATTTAATTTTCTCAATTACTGCAAGGTCTATCGTATTGAAGAGCAGTGGGAATTTCTCCTTGAGGGAGTTCACCGAAGTCAGTCAAACGAGCCTTGCTGAATTGGAGTCTTTCGCTCTTGACAACGTTGCTCTAAGCTTGCTTTTAGAGGGTGGAGAAAGCTCTTTGTAATCTAGCTAACTTGGAAATTCTTTAGCTAATTCTGCCGAACATCTTTCTTTACTTTTATTTTATCTTCTTTTTCTTTTTTTCTTTTTATTTTGATATATATTAATTTTTTTTCTCTCTCTTTTTATTTTATTTTAATATTTTTTCTCTCTTTCTTTCTTGTCATCATTGTTTAATTGTATGACAAATTTTCATAATTGATTGATTGATAGTTTCTTCTTCCTTTAACTTTCTTTCATTTAAATAGTTGTATTAATTATTTCATTTTAATTAGCATACAAGAGTGTATGTATTATGCATGCGGACACACACACACAGATACATGCACATAATTTCCATTTCTGCTTGTTTATTATTTAATATTTATTAACATTAATAATAAATAAATTACTGTCATATATCTATCTATCTCTCTCTATACTCACTTTAAATATCCAAATTTTTATTCATATCCAAACAAAATAAAAATTTATAGCTCTTAATAAAAAAGTAGATATCCATTTATTATCTTATTGCAAGAAACTAAAATTTAAAAATAAATTTAAAATTTATTTATTTGTAAAATAGGAAAATAAAATGGTTTAAGTATTTTGTATTGACTGTTATTTAATAAAATAATTAAAAAAACAATTAAATAATATAGATTTAAAAGATTTCTCAATTAAAGATGTTTTATATGCTTTGAATTTATTATAATTTTAAGTAAATTAATAAATCAATTGAATTGGTTAGTAATTAACTTGTTTTTATTTTTCTTTTTTCTTTTATTGTTTGTTTAACAATTCTTTATAAACAAAATTGATATTTGTAAAATATCTTGATTTATTAGAATATTAGCTTTAAAGAATCAAATTGAAATTATAAATTATTTGATAAAGTAATAAATAATAATAAATAAAAAGCAAAAAATAAAATGAACTTGTAAGAATTTAAAAACAAATATTAATTATTTAGCAATCATGATAATCTTTCAAATGCTTTATCTGGTATTTCACCCAGTGGTTCTACTCATTTGAGGGATTCTATTAGGAGAGGTATTGATTTAATCATGGATATGAATCGCGATCTAGAGAAAGTAAATGAAGATTCTGAAAGACATTTTCTACATATAATTATCACTGATGGCGAAGACACTGGTTCTAGAACATCTATAGAGGATTTGGCAATGATCATGTTTGCACTAAATTTATGCATTCCAAGTTAAATGATACAAAACCACTTTATAGGAATAGATTTTGATCCTAATTCTAGTGATGCTTAGTAGTTAGCAGCGCTCTCTTATCTTGGAGGAGATACTTCATCTATTCATTTAGCTTAGACAGCTAACATAGATGATATTTTTAAAAGGATATAAGCATAAGTGAGAGTCTTGTAATAAACTAGAGTATAAGCTATATAATCTAATAATATAGCTGTAATGAGAGTTTAATAACAGGAGCAAAGAATGTTAGAACTTAAAATTAAAAAGTTTATTGTTGTGTTTAACTTAGATATTTCTGGCTCAATGGCTGGTTAAAGATGGAGGTAGGTATGTAATTGTGTTTCTAGATTTACAGATTCTCTCACTGAAAATGATTTTGCATCAGTCATCCTTTTCAATGATTCTATTAGAATAGTATAGCCTATAACTATAAGAATTGAATTTTAAGTATCTTCTAGACCAAGCTAGTAGTAACAAAATAATTAATATACTAATTATAACAATTAAAATAGTAGACCAGCAAATACATAATAATAAAATACAAGAGCGATTTCATATTAAAACAATAATAATTTATTAGATGATCATTATTCAGAAAACCAATAATTATTAGAAAAAAAGAAAAGATAAAGAGATTTAATAGATGAAAAATAAAAAAATTTATGTTGCTGTGCAATATTCTGATCTAAGTTATAAAAAATTAATTTCTCCTATATCACTTAATTAATTTTTGGGGGATTTTCTAAATTTAATTACGAAAGTATTTTATTAATCAATATAAACATTTATTTTGTTTAACAAATATAACAAAAAGTTGATTTAATTATTTTAAGTGAATGGTAATAAATAATTATAATGATTCGAGTTGATAAACAATCAACATCTTAAATAGTTGATAAACTGGCTATCAAATTTAATCAAATCCTCAAACTATTTGCCAAGAACTCAAGAATGAATACCTATTTAGATTATTCTATTTAATTATTTTACCAATCAGTATATAAAAGTTTAAAAAATATTTTAATATTAAATTTGCAATAGATTAATTAATTTTAAGTAACAACATTTTTTTTGTATAGTAATAGATGCTTTCTTTATTAAAATTATTTTCAAAATAAATAAATACTTTTATTTAATACATAATATTTATTTAAATAAAATAAATTATGGTTATTCTGTTTGTTTTATAAAAAATAAATTTGGAAAATTAAAAATATTTCATTAAATTTATTTGAGGTCTTTTTGAGTTTTATAGTTATGTTTGATAATATATTTTTAATTTAATTTAAAATAATTTGACTCTATTAATAACAACATAAATTTGTTTAGTTATTTTTTATTAAAATAAATTGCCATACTTAAATTTATATAATTAAGATCTTTTTGGGTAAATTTTTAACTTTAATTTTGTGGTTTAGTGTTGGCTTTGAGCAAAAGTATAAATATCTCAAAGATTAGTAAGCTTTAATCAAAATTTTTTTTATTGGTTAATTAATTATTATTTAATTTATTATAAAATTAAGTTAATAATATTTATTTGTCATTCATTTGATAATTAAAACAGTAAAATACTAAAAAATATATTTAAAGTTTAACTACTTCAAAGCAGTATTTTAGAGTCTTAAAGATTTTTCTTTTTTCAAAATGAATGAGGGCGAATAAGACAATTAGTATTCTAAAATAAGAGACGAGTTATTTCTATTACAAAGTAGGACATAAAAGGAAACATAAAAAAAGAATTTAGAAATCAAATAAAATTTATAAAAGACACGTAATTATACAGATGTTATTTCTATTATGCAAGTAAACAATGAATATCGCACATTGATATAAAGGCAAAAGTTATAAAATTATTTTCGCTATACTACTTTCTTTCAAAAACTATTAAAGAAAAATTCACTTGAAAAGATTTAAGGCTTAATTGAGAAATGTGCAGATCGTGTATAATATAGATTTATCAATTAAGGTGATATTGTTTATAAATATATGGAGAAAGCTGACTCTGTTTATTTTATTATTAGAGGTGAAGTAAGTGTTTTGATCCCTAAAAAATATGAATAAATAGAAGATGAGAAATAGAATAAGTTGTAACTTTAAAAAAACACTGTTTCTACTAACTAAAATTAAAAGTAGTAATAGTATTAATCGAGTTTCAGAAACAATGAATCATAAAGCTAAATAAGTGGCCTAAATATTAATATGAACTAAGCTTATAATGATGATTTTCGTATTGCTTCTTTAGCAGATATTCCTCTGGATAGCTCTTTTTAAAAAGATCATAAAAAATATTCTCAAAATTAAAATTCTATTTATCATTTATCGCCTAAACGCTCAGCCAAATTAAAAAGAGGAGCACTTATTTCAAGCTAATAATTCTTTTTTCAAGAAGGTATGGATGCTAGTCCTGTAAAATCAATTGATAATATAAGAAGGTTAAATAGCATGTCTTTGATTTAGGAAATGGAAGTTAATAAAACTAGATCATTTAATATGTCTCCTAAAAAATAAAATTCAAATTGTAGTCATAGCATTGATAGAAATTAATTTTCTTCAGCTGCTGCTAGAGCTTTATTTAGTCCTGAAAAATTAGATGGTTCTTTAAACTAAAAAAAAGATGAAAATTTTGATATAGATATTCAAGGATCAGAGATATTGTCTTCAGAAAAGCAACCTTTATTAGATAATAATAATAATGGTATTCAATAATTTTAATCAGATACAGAAAAGAACTAATAAATCTTGCAAATAAAATTATTTAAATCAGACAGCAATTATAAAAACTTAGGTGGAAATTAATCTTATTTTAACAATTAAGATTTTGGATACGATGGAGCTGAAAGAATGATTACAAGCTTTTCTCAAATACCTCATGAAAACAACGATGTTATAAGTGAAAAAAGTGAAATAGATTCAATTATTGGAGAAAATAGGAACAATTAAGATTTAAGTGATTTTAGATTAGAACAAACAAAAAAGCTTTCAAACTTAGAGAAAGTTTTTATGTCAGAGCCAGAATTCTAGCTTTGCTTTGGATCATTATATCCTCATGAAATTAACAACTGTGCTCTTTATTTTTTTGATGGGAACACCTTTAAATATAACTTTGGATAAAGGCTTAAAGAAAATTAAAATACAGATACTATTGATTTAATTTAAAAATAGCCTAGAAGTACAACATGTGTAGCTTTAACTCCTCTTCAGTTAGGTAATTATATTATACAAATTTAGTAGTTCTTCATTTTATTATGGAAATAATTTATTTTTTTTAAATCTTAGCTTAATTAGACAAAAATGATTACAACGACATTCTCAAAGACATCGAAGAAATAAATTTATGGAGAAAAATTGATCAAATATGTAAATCGTTTGATACAGAAAAGGTTCCAAATCTTAGAAAAATGATTGCAGATATTTTTCCTTTTTTACAAAAAGTTGTTTTCTAAAAAGGATAATTGATATTCTAACAAGGAGAATTCACTAGAGGTTGCTTTATAATAAAAAAGGGAGAAATAGAGCTGACTAAATGGTCTATTATAGATCCTCCAGAAGAATTCCAAAAAGAAAATTAATTTAGAAATTGGTAGTCATTTTGTTATCCCTAAGAAATTACATTGTCACTAATTACACCAGGATAATTTTTTGGTGAAGAAGATATGCTAAGAAATAGAAGATTTAGATCTCTGAATGCTAAATGCAAGTATATCTTATTAAATCTTTCACTATTTTATATCTAAAGTAAGATAACTTTTTTTAAATTATAGGAGTTCTGAATGCACTTTGTATTTTATAAGCAAAATCCACTTTTTGAGGATATTGTATGAAAGTAATATCTTAGTTGATATATTTGTCAATAGGTCAAAGCTGAAAGATAAATGGCATAAAGAAAAATATGAGAAAATTATTCAAATTTTAAAAGATGACTACTCTAAGAGGCTAGGAAGAAACCTGTTTGAAGAAAAAAAGAAGGAAATCTTAGGGAAAAAAAAGAGAGAAGAGATAGAAAAAGAAAAAAAAGACTACAATCAAATGACTGGTATGTTTAGAGATACTTATGAAAAAATGACATGGAAAATGTCAGTAGCTGATGAATTGAATTTTCCATTTAAGTAACTTGAAAATTAAGAAGCCTCAGAGAAAGAAAAAACTGTTTAAGATAACAAAAATAATGATAATTAAAATTAAATAAGATCATATAAATAATCAAGATCTAATTCTACTGACTCTGTGTTAATATCAGACAGTAATAGCTAAAAGAAAAAGATCAAATAATATGGAAGATTGATCATTTAAAAGGGATCTAAACAGACATTCTTAGAAGAGAAGATGGCGATCTTAGCAAATTTACAAGAAAGATAAATGAGATAACTTGCTAAAAAAAAATAAATTTTGCCTCAAAAAACAATTGAGGAAGCTCTAAGTAAAACTAATTTAGTTTAAAAAAGTTTATAGAATTCTCATAATTTAAATACAAGTTCTACAATTTAAAATACTAAAAACAACTCAGAAAAGTAAAGCTCCTAAGATCAAAAATAATTAAAATAAACTACATTTATCAATCACTTTTCTAAGTAATACATTTAATGGAAAAAAAAATCAAATTCTGTTGAAAAAATTTAAAAGTAAAACCAAAATTTATTGGAAAAAGATTAAAATGAAAATCAATAAATATTGATAGAAAATAAAGATAATTAAAATGAAATTCATGAGAATGCTTAATAATTAAATCCAAATTCTAACAAAGATAAAAAAATATTATCACCTGATAAAATATAAAAACAAGATTTTAATTCGCTTCAAGCCTAAGCTTTTTTGAATTAGTTCTAGTAGTAAAAAGGGAATAAGACTAATGATCCTTAAGTTAATGTAAAAGGTAAATAAATTCATGAAGATAAGTTGTTGGCTAAAATAAATTAAGATTAAGATGATGAAACAGAAATTTAAAAATAAGAAACATTTGAAAAATAATAGCAGCTTATGGCTACTTTAACATGCAAAATACAAGGGTTTTAGGAAGATTTACAATTAAAAATTAACAAAATGAATAATAAAGACTAACTCTAAATGTGTAATGATTTAGAAAAAAAATTACCTGTTGACTTTAAAATAAAAACAGCTAGAAGTCAAGCAGAAGCAATAGCAAGTCATTATATGAACATTCTTAACGAATAAGAGAAGGTGTAAAAGAAGAAGAAAAATAAAAAAGTAAAAAGAAATAAGCTGGATATTATTGAATATAGATTAAAGGGTTAAGTTTGGGCTGTTATGCAAATGAAAAGAGAATTAGCCAAATTTGAAATAAAAAAGTAATTAACACTAAAAAATGAAAAATCAAAGCAAGTCATTCGCTCACTGTCTTCACCTCCAGTTTAGTAAGAATAAATCAGCAATTAATAAATGTTAAAAACTAACACATAAATTAGAGAATAAGACTCTAAATTTCATAATATTTTCGAAAAGATAAAAAATTAAATTATATAAATTCAGTAAGATAAATTCAATCAAAATAATGTTTATATTCCTGCTTTTTCAGTTTTTCCTTATACAAATAATGCTGAATATATTTTATCACACCCACTACTGAATTCTTAAGCTGACAAAACAAGCATAGCTTTCAAAAGTACAGATCATACTTAGCAAGTAATTGGGAGAGATTCACTTTAAAGAGAACAAAAAGTAAGAAGCTAAACAGAAGAAACACATAGCAGAAAAAAGTAAAATGACAACAAAAAAAACTTAGATGAGTTAATGATAAAAGAATGGAATCAAGCCCTTTAAATTGCCCAATAAAAATAAAATATAATTAATTAAGAAAATATTAATGATTTGTCTTTAATAGAGTTTCAATAACCATCTTCTTTAAGCAAATAAAATTCTATTCAAAAAGCGGAACCCAGGTTACAATTAAGCAAAGATATTATAAACGTTTCCAGTGAGGAAGAAGATAACATCAAAGATTAACAAAAAAGTAATCATGATAGATAAAATAATTTAACAAATGAAGAATAGAATTTTAATTTATTAAATAGAACTTATTAAAATACTTTTAAGTCAGAACAAAAGAATAAATCATTAGAAACTAACTAAAAGTAAAGATAACCTAGTGACTGTTTTAGGAAAAATTTAATATCAGATTAAAAATAAGGCTCGAATATAGTAAATTATCATACTTCTTCTCTAAATAGAAACAAATCACATAAAAGCTATAACTAAGAGTAGCAAAAATCTTAAAACAGTTCTTTGATGAGCAATGCTAATTTTAGAAAAAGAATATTGAGTTAATAGTTTACTTAATAGGAGTAATTATAGCAGTAATTTAAAAGCATAGAAGATAATATTAAATAAAACTTTCAGTCATCGAATTCATTTTAAATACTAAAAAATTTATCAAACAAAGATATTTTAAATAATTAAGTTAATGAATAAACTGAATAAGAAAAGAGAGTAGATATACACTAGATAAAAAATTTAAACAATATAGAAACATAGAGCACAATAAAACAGCTAGCAATGAATGGAAGTAGAATTGTAAGAAGCAGTTCTTCATCGTTAAATAATAAAAATGGTATTAGTATTAGCAAGTCTAATTTAATAACAAAAATTAATAATAAAATAAACTAAATTAAATAAGAAGAAAGTTATGCTAACTGCATTAATTTAACTAATAGTTTTTTAACTGCAGAGCAAAACAACAATAATAGTAATTCATAGTATCAAATAACAAATTACTTTTTAAATAAAAACTCAAATCTACAAAATATTTAAAATCAAAAATAAACAACAAATAAAGGAGATAAGATTGATGGAGTAATGAAGGTTATTAATGAAAGCTAATTAAATTATTTAAAAAAAATGAACATATAAAACAAGCCAAATAGTCTAGTTATAACCAACCATTAGGGAAAACCCATTACATATAAATTTAAATGAGAGGATATTACAGTAATTAGCACATTTAAATCTAAAAAAATTCTAAATCAGCTTTATTATTTTTACAACATCATAATAATTTTCACAATAAATCAAATATAATTTATATTTTCAATCCTTAAAATAATTTAATAAATTTTATTCTAATTTCAAAACTTGTTTATTATTATTTTATTTTATTATACTTTTTTCATTTTGTTGTATTATTTATTATTTACTTTTTTTTATCTATATTATAAAATATATTTTTTATTTTAAAAAATAAGTAAGCTTCAAAATTTAATTGAAATTTTAATATAATATAATATTAAAATAAAAATAGATATATTTTAAATTATTCACTGACTACATTCAAGGTGAGATGAAATAAAATTGTTTTATATAAATATAATTACTTTTAATTCAACTCAATTTAAATCACTATTATTTAATTTATTTTTATTATATCTCAAATTGATATTGATTAAAATAAAATAAATTATGAGAATGCAGTAAGTAAGTAATGTTGAGAGTATTTTAAAAAAATAATAAAAACGAATTAATTTAAAACTGATATTATATTTAGATTTAATGGATGGATATCTTAAACATCACAGAAACATAAAAGATATTTTATTTAGCAAATATAATTAATTCTAATGTAAATTTAATATAATGTAAATTAATTTCAATATTTTTGTAAAAACTTTGATTAATTTTTTTTATCAACCAAGTTTATCTATATTTTGTTCATCTCCTGCTCATTTTTAAATTCATTAATCTCTAAATTACCCTCTTCTGTTTCCTATCTATCATTGTTTTGGGTCTTTTTATTGAAATTTTAATTCTCTACAATTTTTTCTATACAACTTTAAGAAATATTTGATTCGCTGAGGCTATTTTCGTGAATTTAATCTATCACAATAATTTTTTAAGGTATTTATTTATTTTAGCCATATATTTAGTCACTGTTAAAGTTTAAATTAATATCACTTAACTTTCTATTATTTAATATTGACAGTCTTTCTTATTCACTGCAGTAAGATGGATTAATGTGATTAGATTAGAGAAATTGCTTAGAGAATAAATTAAAAGATTCATCGTTTTCTTGCATAATAGAAGTAGCTTCTACAGAAGGTGTTAGAATATCAGAAAATTTATGTTTCTTTTTAGATAAATAGCTATAATCATTTAAGCATCCCATGTAACTGTATCTTTAGTATCCTTATGTAGAATTCTTTTTATTTATTTAAGATTAGTTCAAATTTTCTTTATCTTCATAACAATATCTAAGTAAATTAGAATTGTTGTTTAATCTGTCTGTTTTACTTTTTGATGAATCTCTCTATTCTTAAGCTTTTTGCTAATCACTATCTTTATTAAACTAATGTAGCTTTGATAAAGCTTATGATACTGGTTATTATTAAGTTTAAGTTTAATCAAAGTAAATTATATTATTATTATGATTATCATCGAAATCTTAACTTGTTTTCAAATGTTCTTCTTCATTTAAGATTCTACATTAACTTATTATTATCTCAGATTATGAATCTTCTTAGTTCTGATAATAACTTTATTAAGGAATTTCTTTAAACAGTTCAAGTTTTACGGATGGCACTTAGTTAGCTTTTTAGTTTTAGATTTAATTTTAGACTTATTCATTAGTTATATTTTAGCAAATTCCCTATTAATTTACTTTATTTATTTCTTGTTAAATTTTGTTTTATAAATTAGTTTACTAGCTTTGGTTAAATTTTATGCTGTCGTTTTAGTTAATTGATAAACTATTTTATAAAGTTTAAAGCGTTTAAGTTGTTTCTTATGTTCCTAAGCTTTAAATATTTTAGATAATATAACCTCTATCAGGTTGATATCCATTGAAATAAGGATTATTGTAAATTGAATGGTTATTTTGTGTCTTAGGGGATGTTATCGATTAAATGTTTGGTTGAGTATTAAGAGAATTTTAATTTATTGGTAAAGTATAATTCTAACTATTGTAACTATACTCTACATTATCGTTTTACAAACATTGTTCGCTTTGTAAATTATTTAATTCTTGTTAAGAATATGAAGAAACATTATTATTATTAGGAGTAACAGAGTTCAAAAAACTCATTTTACCTAAGCTGCTATCATTTAAAAGGTTATGATTAAAGCTCATCTAGTGCTGTAAGAATTAACCATTTAGATTATAACTTTAATTAAACTCTTATTGATATTGCTAAGAATTTGAGTGAGTTTTTATATACTAAGCCACAGATAAAGATTGATTTTAATTTGCTGTTTATTATGTTTATGAACTTTAATTGAAAATTTGATTACTTTCAAATCCAGATTTACTAAACTAATTTAAAGCTTCTGTGGTGTTGCTACTGCTATTGTTGAAACTGTGTTAATTGATTAAATTCTTGCTTTATATATTACTCTTATTAGCTGAGTAGTTATTAGAAACTTTAAATTGATAGAAATTATCTTTAGGGCTAACCTAGTTATTCAAGCAAAGAGAATTGTTATTTGAATTATTTGAAATTAAATTGTATGTTGTATTTAATGATACCCTTTTTTCTTCCATATTGCTATTATTTTATCTTAGAGATTTGTTTGTTAAATATTAATCACTATTTATCCCATTTCTACTAACATTCCTTTTTAAATATGCCGAAGGACTTCTTTATACTGAAAGATTGTTTGATTATGGTAGTAAGCTTGATTTTCTAGTTTCTTTTTTTAAAGTTTATTACTAAGACTGATTTTCAAAAGTAATCTTTTTCTTTGCCTAAAAATAACTAGGTGATCTTAGTAAGGATACATTTTATTCAGGTTTATTTTATGAGTTATTTTGTTGTTAAATTTTAACGTTTTATTTAACTTAACAGAGCTAAGTATTACTTTTTGAAGTTTATAAAGTTTTTTACTTTATTTCTTTGATGTTATTTTATTATTATTTTTATTCTTCTTAATCTAGTTTTTAATTCTTTGAAGAGTTTTAAGTTTGCAAAATAGATTCATTCAAAGGTTGTAAGCTTGGGCTATTAATTTGTATCTTTTTCTAAGGTACAAATATATTACTTGCAGATGAAAGCTAAATATTTTATTGAGATGTATTAAAATTCAAGATGTTTGAAATATTTTATACAGCATCTTTGTCTGAAGAAGGTGAGAAAGGTTATAAGGTATTCTGTTAATTACTAACTAAAGACTGACGTACCTGTTATGACTATTATTAAGAGAGAAGTTAACTTTTTGTTAGTTACTTTGATAATTCCTTAATTTTATTATCTTGCTAAAGAATTTCTTTTACAATTGCTGATTTCTTTTTCAAGTAATCTTCTTGATTTTCAATTATTTTGTTATTTAAATCTACTGATTTCTTTCTTTCGTGTGTTAATTATTTTTTTAGCTCATCTTTCTAAAGTTACTATTCAATAATGCTAGACTTCATTTCGTATTGTATACTTTATAAATTCTGTTTTAAAATCTCATTTTCTGCTTTCTCTTCAACATACTTACTTTCTAAATCTTTAAAATTCATTTATAATTCTTCATATTAAATTTTATTTTTCTTATACTCATTGAGCTCTTTTTGTGCCTCTTGAAGTTTTATGATTTGACATTAAAGTTCTTGGTTGGCTGATTTCAAATTATCAATTTGATTTGACTAGTCGTAATTCACCTTTTTTAGAGTCTGTAACTCTTCAAGTGTATTTTCTTTATGCATTTCATAAAGCATTTGGTCATTTGCTTTATATTTCTCCATAATAGCTCTTTGCTAATTAGCAATATCTAATTTTTTGTTCCATAGTATCTCATTTTAGTGATTCTAATCTTAAAGTCTGAGTAATTCATTTTTGTGATTTTATTAAATTGACATTATTTCATTTTCTAACTTTTACTTTTCTTCCTAAGCAAGCTTTTGATACTTTAGCTTAACTTCATTTTCAAATTTTTGATTAGCCAATTCTGAATTAGATTTGTATAAATTGATTTCTTCTCTCAGCATTTTTATTTATTGTTGCATAATGTGATTTTCTGATGTAAGAGCATGCTATTTACTTTCTTTATCTCCCCACAAGGCAAATTTCTAATCTTCTAATAATTAGTTTGTCTTCTTGAGTTCTTCATTTTCTTAAATAATGCTGTCCATTTCAGCTCTTAATTTTGAAATTTATAAATCATAATTTAGTTTAAGTGATTGAATATATTTATCATGTTAGTCTAAAATAAATTAAAACTCTTTTTTCTTATTAGTACCCTCGCTCATATCCTTCAATCGCTAATCAGCCTCTTAAAAAGCTTTATATAGCTATTCATTAATTTTTATTTAATTTTTTTCTCTTTACTAACTCTCTTATAGTTGCATCTCTAATAATTCTACTCTCAATTTTTGATCTGTAAACTGCATTATGTTATTTGTAGAGTTGTAATCGTTTTGTTAAATTATCTCAGATGACTATCCAAACGAATATGTATCGCACATACTATTTAACTAAAATGAAAACTGTTTTTTATTTGATGTGTTCTAAATCTAAATTATATTTTTTTTCTTATTTATTTTTGCTTATTCCTATTATTGTGTTTTTTAAGCATTAAAAAAATATATTTATTTTGAATTTATTACCAATAAAATTCAAAATTATCTAGTTATTTAAACAGATTGATTGATTGATTGATGCTGACATCACAATCTTTTTGAATTCAAAAGGATATATAATCTAAATTCAAACTAAAATTAATAAAATTAAGATTACTGGCAGCAGAACTTTAGAAGATATTTTAAAAATAAAATCTATTTATTTTTTGTTAAATTTTTTTCTCTAGAAAATAAATAGCAGAAAGCAAAAAAATAATTTAAAATAATTTATCTTCTATTTTACTGTTTTAAAAAATATAAAATTTTATCAAAAAAAACTCCTCCTAATTGTTCTTAAACTTTGATAATAAAATGTTAATTTAATGTTTTGCAAAAAAAGTTAACGATTAAATAAAAATTATTGTAATTATATTTAGTGTCTTCAATATTTTAGATATGCATGTTTGTGGACAACATATTTATTTACTCTTTTAAATAGATTTACAGCATTTGATCATATAATAATGATAAAAAATATCCTAAATTAATTGATTATAACCACTTTATTAAATATTTTAATTTATTATCACATAAAATTAGGTTAATTAAAATGAATTTGTTAAATATGTAGCAAGAACAAATTGTAGGTTTAGAAATCAATTCAGAAATATAAAAACCAATACCTAAGGTACCCTAAAGGAGTTAGCCTACAATAAATATAGTCTATAAGGAATACCAAAAGGAATAAAATAGTCAATCCACATAATTATTACTCACTTAAAATACAATAGAAAATTTAGAAATATCAAGTCTAAGTTTTTTGAATAGCGAGGTAACCTCTATAAAAGTTAATTACCTGAAGTAATAAAATGTTTAAATTTAAATAATAATATATACTTATTAATTTATTTTTTTAAATCTTATTCCTGTTTTAATTAGCTTTGATGAGTGTGATGAAAATATTTATGGAGATTACATTAAAAAACCATATACTATGATTTTAGTTATTTCAGAACCAAATATTAAGGAGTTCAAAAAGAGCGGACTTTAAAGCATGGAAAAATTTGTGGATACATGTAGAAAATTAAATTTAAGCTTCTTGATAGTGTATTGCCCTAATCTAGATGCTTCATAAAAAAAATCTAGAGGATTAGAGTCAAAGATATAAGAGGTGTTAAATGAGATAGTTAGTGAAGGCGAAAATAAATTGGATATATAAAGAAATAAATTCCTTAAGCTTATAGATATAGACCCTAATACTAGCTCTGTAATTTTATGACCTAAATGTTCTTCTAATTTAAACTTTATTTTATAAATTATAAAAGAATGATTCTAAAGAATTCTATGAGTTTTGCAAGAGGGAATTTTAGATGCTACTAAGAATGCAGATAAAGGAATCTGTTGAGGAAAGAATTTCAGAAATAGAAAATAATATTTTTTCTTATAATGAGAAAAAGTAAATTTTTAAAGTAAACAAAGCTTAGATAAATGTATTAAATTTTTAATGTTTTAGGAATTAACCTGATTGGAACTATTAGGTTTCGCTTATCAATAAAGAGAGATTAATTTATCTTCTTAATTCTTTGGGCTTGCATTAAGAAGCTCTTTAACAGTATGAGGAATGCAATAATACAATATACGAGCTAATTATGAGAGGAAGACTAAACAGTATTTCATAACAACAAGAAATTCTTCTAAAAAAATTTTAATTTAGTTAAATAATAGATGGAAGGAATAGAAAAGGATAAAGTTAGCATAATACCTGTTCTGAATGTTAAGCTTTATGATAATTATGAAGAGTTTACTAAGACGATTTTACAAAAAGGATTACACTTCTTTAAATTCTACTAAATTCTTATTAGGAAAATTATTCTATAAATGACTTAAATGCAATTTATTTAAGAATTGATGGATAGATTGTAGTATTTTTTAAGATTTATTCAATCGAATATATTTAGCTAAATGGACTGTGAGTCAGACAATGTTCGTTTGTTTTAGAATATTTGGATAATCTTAACAATTAACTAAATTATAGAATTTTTTGTTGAGCAAAAGAAAATAGTTCATTATTCTGTATCTTAGTAAAACGACATTGACTACAATATTATTCTCTTAAGAGAAATTCAGTTAAAGAGTATGCAAAAAATAGCTGAATTATTATTTTCAATCAAAATAGAAGAAGTAAATAAATAATTTTTTGTTTATTTAAAATTGTATCTAAAATTTTTTAAAGCTTAGCATATAGTCTATTGAGTAGGAATTTGAGTAACTCAGTATATCCATCAAAACCAATAAGCTTAGAAAGTTGAAGTCTTTTATATAAGAAAAGGATATCTCATAGCTTACAGTACTTTAAGATTAAAGTGAGCAAGCAACTTTTATCAAAACCTATACTGATTCGACTCTTTTCTTTAATAGCTATACAAACACTATTTCTGATTAAATAGTTTCATTGCATAAATTAAAAATGTTTAAAAAGCAATTTATTTACTAGATTAACTTGCTAAAATTTAAAATACTTGCAAAAGAAATTAAGTAAAAATTATTTTTAAGATAATTTGTTAAAAAGACATTTTCTTTTAAAGAATACCTTATTAAGCTTTAGCATTGGAATGTGAGGAAGCATACGAAACTTTAGAATCTTGGCCTAATTTACTTGTTTCAGGTTTAATATACAAAATGCTTTTCTACAAAGTAAATTTTTTTGTTTTAAATAAAAATGCTTAATTTAAAATTTATATTTTAGAATCATTGTGTTGTAGAGCAATTTAGGAAATGCTGTATAAAGTTGGTGAAGATTAAAGTATTGACATTAGAATAGAGAAATTTAATATTAAATATTTTGAGAGAAGATAATGAGAAATTAGATCAAAGCAATGAAGATAGCGAAGAGATTTTATTTAATGACAATAATTAAACTTTAGAAAAAAAATCTTCATAAATTTTATCAAAATATTATGCAGATGATATGGTTGAAGATTAAGTAAACACAGAAAAAGAAATTTAAGTAATTTTTATTTAAAATAAAATAATATTAAAATTATTTGTTAAAAAATAGAAAAAAAGTAAAAAAAAATATATAAAGATAAGTGAATCATAACTTTGTTATGTAGAAAAGTTGTAGCTAGAAAAAACGTAACTAATTTGTTTAAATTATTTGCAAATCACAGCAATTTATTTTTTTACAATAAATAGCAAATGTTTTATTTAAAAAATAATTAATCATTTAAACTTAATTTGTTAATTATCTTTAGTTAAGGAGAAAATTATGAGGCAAAACTCAAGTTTAGAAAAAATTACCAGTTTAGCTTAAATGAAACAACTATAGAAATTAAATTAGAATCTTCAGATATTAATAGAACTAGTAGATATTCATAAGATGAGTATGATAAATTAAGAAATAAGAGTTTTTCAAATACATCAAACGATGACTCACTTCCAATAATTTAACCTGTATAGTATCACGTACTTACCCTGGAATTAAATTAATGTGACATTGACGAATAAGAAAACTAGCTAATAATCAAAGAAATAGAAATAAAATCTAAAGGTTGCTATAATCTAAAATCTGTTTCTATTATAGTAGGATAATATAAATTTAAATTAGACATTTCTTAAAGTTCGAAGCTATTCACTTTTAAAATTAACGTAATCATTCTAAATTTCTTAAAAAATATTTAATTATTTAATGATAATAGCTTCCTTCATTAAATATTTGCTCTTTACTTGACTAAAGTGCTATAGAAATACCATATTATCATGAGATTCCAGTTATGGTTACTATAATTGATCATAATTTTTCTAATACCACACATTTGAAATTTATCTACAACCATGAGATCCTAGTAATTTTTATTTATTCATAAATTTTATATATTTAGTAAAAATAAATATTATTTTGTAAAAAAGAAATTAGAAAAAAAATATATTTGCCTAACACAAGGTGCTGATAAGTCTCAATATATTGAAAATAGAAATGAAATAGTGCATAAAGATATAATTTAACTCACTAAAAAAGAAAACAATGTCAATAAAATGGCTATAATTGTTTACTTCAAAGCAACAAGTAAGAACCTATAGAAAATAGATTATGGTACATTTACAAATCTTACCATCAAGTTAATAGAAGACACCACTGTGTTGGACCAGTTTGAAAAGTAGGCTATTACTATCACTTATTATAAACAAGATATAAAAAAACTTGATATTTATTATAATATCAACATTACAAATTATTCTGATTACAAAATCTTATTTTCTAGCCAAAATTAATCTGAAATTTTGAATTTGCATTAAAACGAATTAGAGTTATAAAAAAATGAACAAATATCTAAAACAATAAATCCATAAACAGGTATATTTGCATATTATGCTTAACATTCGAAGTTAAAAATATTTTTATATCCAAAAAGAAAAAGTATTTGTGACATTTAAATTAGAATCTAAAAACCTTCAAGAGCTAGGAGAATAAATCTTTATAGATGATTTATCATTTTTAAAGAACCTCAAAATTGAAGAATATTTCTTAGAAAAAGAGATAAGCAAAAACACTATCTTAAAAGATTCTACCCTGATAAAAAACCCAAAATTAGATATTTTTATCAATAATGTTAATTCTCATTGTTTCTGCAATGAAATATTAAATTTAGAAATAAATGTAAAAATTTTAAGATAAAACTAAAATAAACAGAATAACATTTAAGAAGATAAATATTTCTACACTTTACTTGCATAAAATAAAAGAGATGGAAATTATCTTCTTCTTGGCTAAACTTAAATCAGTACATAAAATAAAAAAGATGATCTTGAGTGGAAATTATAAATATTACCAATAAAATGTGGTGTTTTTTATTTACCAGATTTTGAAGTAGTCTAATATAGCATTGATGAAAACCAGTAGCTTTGTTAAGAAAAAATACAAAACAATTAATACATTCTAAGATACTATTCTGAACCAATAATTTCAGTCACATCGGATTCTAGCAAAATAAAAAATTCATCAGCATTTTTTATTTGATTTTTCTTCATATTAAAAAATATTTTTATTTTCTATTTAATAAACTGTTACTTATTTAAAGGCATGTAAATATTTTACTACAAATAATAATAAATATTTATTGAAATAGAATCAAAAATTATTTTATATGTAATTTCATGAAAATAATTTTTATAGTTTTACAATATGATTTAAAGATATTATTTATTTGATTTATTAATTAATTTTTTTTTTTTAATAAATTGTATCTTATTTTAAATTTTGTAAATATATAACCTGGATAATATTTTCGAATAAAGGTAAAAATGTAATTATTTTTTTTTTTTATAAAAAATTTAGATTTCTTCCTAGGATGGTAAGGTTGGTTTAATACCCTCCCTATTTTTTAAATGTTAATAATTTTTAAATAAAAATATTTTTAGTATTTATTATTAATTATTCGAAAATAAAAGATGAGTTTTTTAAAATTTTATTTAAAAATTCATTTTATCAAAAATATTTTCTAACTAAAAGAAAATTAAAATTCTTTAATTGATTAAATTTAAGCAAATTAATTGTACAAAATGGAATTTTATTTATTCACTAAAAAGTAAAATTTATAGATTAAAATTATTATTTGATATAAAGGGAATTTTTAAAGAATGATAAATCGTTAAGCTAATAGATAATTAGTAAAATAAATATTTATAATTCGATGAGAAATATTAATTGTATGTTCAATAATGCAAAAAGTACCCAACAAATAATTTGTGTAAAAATGAAATTAAATGATTTCTTAATTAATTATTAATGATATTTAACGAATTCGAAATTAATGAAGCTATTAATTATGAATATATTAATTTATTTTTCTTTTACAACACATAATTTTTCTTCTAGTTAATAAATTTGAATATTGCACAATTTCCATAAACTGATTATTGTTAAAACGAGTAGGAATTTAAAAATACAATTATTGATTATTATCTTTATATAAATACAAATAGCTAAAAAAAGATCTTAAACTGCTTTTTTAAATACATTGATTATATTATAAATTTTTAGGTGTTTGTAAAAAATTATTTTCTCAAAGTTAGTGCATAATAGCTAATATGAATTGCCAAGGGTGTAACAATTAATATAATGAAACTGATAGATCGCCAAGACTATTAATTAATTGCGGTCATTCAATATGTGAAAAATGTACAGCAGAATTGTATAGAGATGGATAAATAGTGTGTCCCGAATGTCGCTTTAAAAATATAGCACCAATGGTTACCTGCTTTCCTAGAAATTTAGCTTTAATCAATATTAACAAATAGCAACCTTTAGCAAATATGGTAACTCCAGCAAAAACTAATTTAGGGTTTTAAAGCAGCATTTTATTAAATTCTAACGTTACCTCTCTTTATGTAAACAAAGAAAATAATTAAACTACTTAGCAATAAAACTAAAATTTGTAAGGCCTAACTAATACAAGTTTAAGCAATTTTAAAGCAGCAAATTACATATTATAAGAAATAACACCTCCTGCAAAATCATAAAGCCAGTAATCTTTTTATCCCAACACTAATACTACCTCAGAACTTAAAACATTAGATTCTAATATCAAAGATGCAAATTTACTTTCTGAAAGATATGCTATCTGTTAGAAGCACTTTAAAAAGTTTGAAGGTAACACATTTTAGTATATAATCGAATAATAAATTTAATGCTTAAATTATAAATATAAAGCATACTGTGAAGATGATTAATTATTGCTTTGCATAACTTGTATTTTGGAAGATGGTCATAGGCAACATTCAATTGATTCTATTGAAAATTCAGTTTAAAAACAAAAGTAGAAGCAATCAGAGTTCTTTGACTAAAGCAGATAACAAGAAAAAAAAGCAATTAACATTATGCAATAAATAGATGCAAATTTGAAAGACCTTTCTAGTTAAGTAAACATTTAACAATATCTAAAAATGAGATAAAAATTAAAAAAATTATGTTTTATGTATTAAATTTAAAAAGGCATAAGTCTAATTATCAGAAATTTGCAGTTTTTTTAGTGATGTTAAAAAAATTATTAATGAGAAAGAAAGTAAACTGAAAAGTAAAGTTTAGGATGCATTGCTTGACTAAGAAAATTAAATGAAATAGCTAGAAAAGTACTATTAAAATCATATATCAGATGTAAATGAGTTTTAAACTTTGTACAGACAGTGCTCAGTAATGCAAGATGTTGAATATTTAAAGAGTTTATAAAAAACTAAACAAATTATGAGTAAAATAAATTAGGTGTAATAAATAGATAAAATTGAATTTAAGCAGATTTAAAATTTCTTTAGTAAAGATTCAGAATTGCATGCATTAACTAAATCAATGCTTTCTCTTCAAACTTTGAATTAGGCTAACTAATAAAATCCTCTTACAACATAAGTTTAACTAGTACAAACCAAAAAATAATTGAATTAAGTATAATAAAATAATACTTCTTCCAACAGCAATAAAGAAATTTTAAACAACAATACTTAAACAAGCAATATAACAAATTAACCTTCAAGTAATGCAATATCTTCATCTTCAAACTAAAACCCACAATAATAAAATAAAAAACCTAACACAGTTTATTAAACAGGAAATAAACCTGCAGTTAAAAGAGTTTAAAATAGGAAAGAGGTTGCTTCTATTGGTCCATTAGGGATTACATGCGTTTAATAATAAAACATTTATAGGTATTAAACGAAAAAAATTAATATCATTAAATTGCATTTTTATAAAATAGAACTAAATCTAATCAAATTATGTAAAAGAAGGATTAAACTAAAGAAGCAATAGGTACATCCTATGGGAATAATTCAAATTAAAATTGTTAGTAAACATTATAGTAAGCAGTAACTACTGGAAATCTAAATATTCAATAAAATTTGAATTAGGGAAATTACAAACTGTAAATTGTTTAGTTAAATCATAAGTTTTTTCATATTTTTTTCCAATTTTAGAGGAAGAAACGATAGGTCTACTTCAAGCACTAACCCTTAAAGCATTTCAAGTGAGTTAAATAAACCATTAAGTAATAATTTTTCTTGAATTCTTGACTTTATAAAAATAATGGTCTTTATTTCAATAGATAATTACCATGAGCTAAGAAACATACTGAAGGAAAAACTGACACAATAAAACAACGAATAAAATGTCAATAGAGGAGAAAAGTCATTAACTCCTTCTAAAAGGATAAGTAACTATAGTAATAGCTCTTACTAAAATGATAATTTAAACTTCTTTAACAAGGAGAAAAATTTACCTAATATTTCTCCGCTAAGGTCAAACAATATAACAAATATGTAATTTATTTAATTCATTCAGGAAGTTAATTTAAAATAAAAAATGTTTTAACTAGATAGCAACAAGTTTAAAGCAGCAATAATTAATTAAAATAAGTCTTTTAAATTAATGAAGGCCTTCCTTTAAATAGTAAAACAATGTACAGCAATGGATAAGCTTAATATAAATCAACTGATAAAATTAGTTAGTAGGATTTCAATGATACTACTTAAAAAAGTAGAAGTATTTATAAACCTTCCTCTACTCAATCTAAAATTAATTAGATTGGGCAAGGAGATGAGTTAGATGATTAAAACTTTTAGTTTATAGACAATAATTCTTATCCAGAATCTGCAAGAAAAGATTTATTTTAATGCCAAATAAATTCAAATAACTTGAATGTGCTTACCTCAGGATAAAAACCTAACAGTAACACCAATTCAATAATGAATAGCAATAATTTAATGAAATCTATGAGAACTGATATCACGGACATGTTTATGAATAGAGTAATTTTTTGTTGAGATATTTTTAGTCTTAATACAATTTAATAAAAAAGTGCGATTTTTCTACTATATCTACTTACTAAAATGGTAGTTTTATCTATGTATTTGGAGGATTTATAGAAAGCAGCTAATATGCAATAGAAAGATTTGACATTAATAGAAACGTGTGGGAATAAGTTGATATATTACCTACTAATAGAGCTAAATTTTCTATGGTTGGACTTGATAATGGAAATATTTTAATTATTGGTGGAAAATAGGTAATCAATTTTATTTATTAATATTAATATTTATCATATTTGATATAGGATGGTATGAGAATAGCTTTATGTGAAGAATATGATCCTAAAACGAACAAGTTAACCATAAGCAGCATGATGCTTTCATCTCCTAAAAGTATCTTTGATTTTAAATTTATAAATTAATGAAATTAAAATGTTTAAATAATATTTAAAAAGGTGGATTTGGAGCAGTAAATTTAGGCAGAGGTAATTAACTACTTTTATATTTAAATGATTTGATTAAAAAATTTTTTAGATAAGATAATTATAATTGGAGGAAACGATGGTTAAAATGTACAAGATTTGGTGGAGATGTATGATAAGGCTAGTATGAAATTGCCAAAAAAACTTTGTTCTATGATTGAAAAAAGAGATGAACTTGCAGTGACTTTAGGTTTAGACAAAAAAATATATGCTATTGGAGGATTTGGAGGAACGAAGAATGTTTGCCTAAGAACTGCAGAGCGTTATGATCCAGAAACAGATAGATGGGAGACTATTGCTCCCTTAAATGTTCCTAGAAGAGCTCTTGCAGCTGTAACTCTTCCTGATGGAATATATGCAATAGGAGGTTTTGATGGATAAAACTACTTATCATCTGTTGAAAAGTAAAAAAATCTAAAAACAAGAATGTATATAATATTCAAATATTTCTATTGGTTAATAATAGGTATGATGAATCATTAAATTAATGGATATTTATAAGCAGCATGAACTTTCCTCGTTGTACTTTGAGTGCGGTTACATCAAAAGATAATTAATTTATTTATGTGTTAGGTGGGTTTGACAATGGCCCTTTAGATACAGTAGAAAGGTATTAAAAATTAATTTTAAATAAACTATATAAATTTATATTAAATTAGGTATAATATATTTGAAGATAAATGGGAAATGTATTCTAAAATGAGTTATAAAAGATTTATGCATAGTAGCATAATGATCAGTGGATAGTTTGCTTGATGTATTTAGAAATAAAACTTTAACAAATATGCCTAAAAATAGATTTTAATAATTAAAAAAATTCTAATAATTGATAACTAAAATCGTTAATTTTATACTATATTTACTAAAATCTAAAGTATGTATTTATTCCTGTGTATTGTATATAATATAAATTAATCATAGCTTAAAAAATTTTCATAAGATAATCATTACTTTGCTAAATTCAAAACCAATATAATTAATAATTCTCTTTTGGTATGAATTTTTAAATCCTTACTCTCCATTAAAAAATCCTTTAAAAAAGAGTTGAATTTAACTTTTATTTAGGAGGATTGATTAAAAATAAATTTTATATAACCTTTTTTAAAATATATTATTAATATTAATAAAATTCTTTAATATAATTGTAAATATTTTTTTAAACATTTTATATTGAAATTTCCATAGTTAATTGCAAAATCAATTTTATTTTGGCAAATTTTGTAAATTAAAATTTATTTTTAAAAATAAAAAAAAATTTTTGAAGATATTATTAACGAGTTTTCAATTTTGTGCAAAAAAATAAATTAAGTACTTATCATGCCATTTTATTTATAAAAACCTATTAATTATCTTAAAATTTATTTTTATAATTAAATTAAATTAATAAATAATTAATTTTTTATGTAAATTAATAGAAAATCATTATTACTTTCAAAAGTAAAATTTAATTTTTATAGAAAATAATGATTTTTAGAGAATTATTCAATTAAATATTTGATATTAAATCGTAAGAGTTTTTGAAAAATAGAAAAAATAGTTATTATATTTGAAATATTTGTTAAATAAGAATAAACTTATTATTTAATTAGAGTATTTTTTAATTTTTCTTTGATTTATTTTTGATGTTTATCACTTGATATGATCAAAATATAATTATTGAAGTTTTTAAATTAAATTTTTTTATGAAAAATCATCATTCTCTTATGAATTTTATTTATTTATAATTTTTACAATTAACTAAAAGCAAATAAAAAATTTAATAATAAAATTTGTAAATACTTATTTTAAATATAAATCTATGAAAAATTTGAGAATTTTTATTAGCAAATAATTGATTTCTAATGCCAAATTTTGTTTAGATTTTATCATAAAAATTAGTTTAATTTAATAAATGGATTTTATTATTCAATTGATAGAAAATTTATTTAAAAAGCATAGAATGAGTTGGAAATAAGTTATTAATACTTTGATTTATTGATATGAGGTAGGTTTAGGGATAAAGAAATGTTAGAAAAATTTTTAGAGAATCACATAATTTTCTTTTTCTTTTACTTGCATTTTATAATCAATATTTAATTAATCATTAATAAATTAATTAATTTATTTATTTATAGTTATTATAGCTATTTCAAACCCTTTTTATGATACTTTTTGTTTCTACTGATGTTAAAAGAATGAAAGCAAATAATTTAATTAATTTGTTATAATATTGATAATTTAAGGGATTCATACATAATAAAAGAAAGAAAGAAAACTAAAAATAAGAAATAGAGAAAGGATAAATAATAAATTAAAATTAAATATAGCCAATTAATTATAAGCCCCATTTTATTAGCTAGTTGATTAGAGATGGAATAACCGAACGAGTATCCACATAATGAGTTTATGATACCAGAAAACAATTTATAATTTACTCCTTTACCTTTTCACTCACCACATTAAGGAATCTTTACTTAACTAAATCTCCCTCCACTAGAAGATAAATTAAATTTAGAATATAGCGCTCTTCTAAATCCTGAAAATAAAGATTAAGTTATTTCTAAAATCGATTAATACAATGAAGCTGGCAAAACGTTTATTAATGTGCATTAATATCACAATGTATTGTTTTTTTTTTAAAAGAAATATCATATTTTAATTTTTAGCTGATTAATATTACTACAAAATATTACTACTCCTTAATTAGATTATCGTAATTAATGTTTGAAAAATAATGGCCTGATTTTAAAAAAGCATCTCAAAAAACTGTATAATCTTAATTATCTCAGATTTTTAGGATTGCAAATATCGCTTTTATATTTTATTTTAAGAGGATAAACAATTAAAAGGCACAAGTACAATATAAAACAAATTAAATATGGCAAATGATTGATAATTTGTAAAAAAAAGAAAATGAATTTTGAAATTTTAGTTGAATTTAATGCAAAGTGAATATAATTAGCTAAATAAAGCATTGATAACTAAAATACTATTCTAAAATACTCAATAAATTATTTGTTAAAAATAAAAGGCTTTAAAAATATACGAATTAATAGTTGAAGCTTAGCCAAAAAATGAGAAGGCGGCAGTTTTGTATGCAAAATGCCTATAACTCAACGAAGAGTATCATAGAGCTATTTTCTTCTTCAGATATGCTATGGAAATTAATGATAAACTTAAAGTAAAAAAAATAAGCAAAAATTTTGTTGGAATTATTTACTTGCATTTTACTCAAATAGTTTATGTCTTATTTATTGATTTCAATACATAAAATATATATGTATTTACTTATTATTAAAAATGATAGAATGATGCCTACCTGTGGTACAATATAGGACTTTGCTTTTTCAAGGTAAATATAGAAACTTTTGGATATTGAATTTGAGCTCATATTTATATTTTGAGATATATATATTTATTTAGTTATTTATGTATTAGCTTAAATTAATTTACAAATTTACTATAAATTAAAAAAAAATTAGATTGAAAATTATACTTAAGCTGAGTAAAATTTCAAGCATTGCTTGAAAGTCGATTATTATTTTCCTTTGAAGTTCTAAATATATCTCTATCTTGGTATAATAAATAAGTACAATTTATAGTATAAAATAGCTATTGAAGTAATAATATACCTTAAATATTAGTCAATTAAATATAAATATAAAATTTTAAAATAGTATTTTTTATTGAATCTCTCTGATCCTCAAAACTAGAATCCAGATAAAGCATCTCTGGTTTTAATTAATATAGGCTAATGTTTAGAATGCTTCTAGGAGGTAAAAAAGTTAAAATAAACATAAAATATGATAATTTTTAAAAAAAAATAAGTATGATGAAGCTGCAAGTTGTTATAATAAATCTCTTTGTTTAACTCCTGGAAATTTTACTGCTCTCAAGGCTATTAGTTGGCTCTTTTTTTAAAATGGGAAAATTGTAAATAATAATTATATTAATTTTAATGAGTAATTAACATAAAATTTAAGAATGAATCAAAAGATATTCTGATGCAAGCCCTTTACATTAATTCTGATAGAGAAATATATTATATGTAAGCAAGGTGCTTAGAATAGCTTGGCAAGCATAAAGAAGCTATGCATGCAATAAGTTAAGCTATTTAAGCAGAACCTAACAATCCTGATAACTTTACTGTTTTAGGAGTTATATTTAGCAAGTTAAACATGGTAATAAAAATGATTTATCGATTAATTAGCATATAAATTTATTTAATTTAATATTAATTAGCACTTAGAATCTTTCTAAAGCTTTTAGCGTGCTTATTAGATGGATACTGCAAAAATAGAAAATTTATTTAACATGGCACTTATTTATGAAGTTGCTAAAAAGTATTAAGATGCCTTAAAATTATATACTAAACTCTTGTTGTTAGATCCATAAGATTGTATTGTGCTGTAGAGAAAGGCATGCATCGAATCATCTAATTACTAGAATCTAACTGAGTATTAGTAAAATTATTGAAAAGCACTAATAACTTTAATAAGTAAATATTAAAAATAGATTTTAAATGAGATTCCCCGCCTTTAAGCCTAGTGCTTAGCTGTGGTGGGTAGAAAACTAAAAATATGCTAAATTTAATATTTTGCATGAAATTTCTGGTATTTCTTTATATCAGAATAACCAAGGATAAGCAAGTGAAAAAATAGAACATGGGGTAGGATCTCACTCTATATTTGAGACAGCAACTAAAAAAGCTTCGCTACTATCTTAGGGCAACATAAAAAATGAAAATGATGAATTAAAATCTTCAGCAAGTTTTACTAAAAGTGCAAACAATTTAAATAATCATAAAAATAGTATCACAACAAGCTTTAACAACTAGTTTAATAAGTAAATTTTTATTTTTAAAAGAATCATATTAAATTAATTATCATTTTTATATGTTATAAAAGTTAATTTATTCGCAGCAGAAATAGCAGTTTTAATTGTAAATAAGATGAAAGTGCCAATGAAAATTCAACTAATGGCTAAAATGGAATCAATAAATCAGGTTCTGCAAATAATAAATCGGACATCCCTAATTCAATATTAGGCGGTGGAAATAGAAAAAATTCTTCTATGGATATTACAGCTCTCTAAAGAAGATAGCATATGTAAAGAAATAAGCTTTACAGTATGGAATAAGGATATGATGGGAATGATGGACATAATACAATATACGAAAGTAATTTTTATTTAAACATTTTAAAAATAAAGAATAATTTATAAAACAATAGAAAAAGAAGAAGAGTAGTATTCGTTTTCTAATAGTCCTAAAAAAGAAGATAAAAATAGAAAGGAAAGCGATTTATATTATGAATAGCCTAGAAGAAATTCAATTATGAGTAATTTTGGAGGATAATAATTATATTCATTCGTTTATTCTCCATTTAATGGACCAGCAATAGCAAAAGATTCTATGGATTTTGGTTATAGTTTGAATAACAATAATCATTATTATGCAGATCAAATGGATAATGGCAATCCAAGTGACTTTGGTGGTAATAGATAAAAGAAGAGCAGTATAATCGGCCACAATATTCATAACTACAATAATATCAACAAAAATATAAATAATAAAAATGATAATTAAATCTACTAATGAAAAACATCTATCTATCTCTGCTAAATAATAATTATGTTTACCAATTTACTCACTCTAAAAGAGACTAAATCAACATATATAAATATTAACAAAATATTCTAGACAGTGCTGCTATAATTTAAAATTTAAAATAAACAAATAGTTCCAATTAAGGAATTTTAATAACCCAAGTCAATTCAATTCAATAAATCAATAAAAATAAATAAATAAATATAAAAATTAAATAAATTATATCTTTTTTAGAAATTAATATTTTAATATAATAAGCATCATTTTTTTTCACACACTTGTGTATCTATTTTTATTATTATTATAAAAGTTATTTGAAGTATATTTTAAGTTTAATTTATTTCAACAAATTTATTAAAATTTTAAAAATAGATTATTTTCCATATATATTGAAATAAATGCAATCAATTTCTATTTTTTTAATATAAAAATGTTTTTTATTTTAGCTTTTTATTTTTTGATCGTATTATTAATTAGCTTGATTGAAATAAAAATTATTTGTTTCTATAAATGATGTTTAAAAGCAGTAAAGAAAAAAAAAAAAATAATTAAAAAAGTAATCCTAATTTAACAATTATTATAACTTCAAACTGTAGTTCCTTTCTTCTTAGATCTCGTATAACGGATTTTCAGAGTAATGTTTTGAATAATTTTATAAAATTAAAATTTTAAGTCTGAAAAATTCAAAAAATGACATATTATATGTATATAAGGTATATATTATTTCAAATTTTTAATTTTTCGAATTAAATCTTTCTAAAAACAATAAAATAAAGCTGTTTTATGCTTATCTTGCTTTATATAATATGTAATTAAATTTAATATAGTTTGATTATTATAAATTAAATAGGCATTTCACACAATAAACAAAAATATAAAATAGTAATGAATAATATCAATATTTTTAGCATATGGTACTTTTTAATAAATTGTACTCTAAAGAATAAAAGAATACCATAAAAAACAAAATATCATTAACAAATCCAAATTAAAATACTTGATTGATGCAATAAAAATAAAATTAATAAACATTAATTAATATATTAGTTTGTATAAATCATTCAATTAATTAGAATTTGTAGCCTATTAGGTACATTGTTGGATCTTGACTGTCAAATAGAAGTCCTATTTGATCACCCTCAAAAATTTAACTTTCTTGACCTACCTCTTTCAATTTAATCCATTCTGTGGTGCCAGATTTTTAAATGTAGGTGCCATTTGGACTATGATTAACTAAGTAAAATCCAACTTAATTATTGTCATTGTTAATCTTTACTCTCAAGCTTGCATGATTTCTAGAAATTCTTCCTAAATCTTATTGTCTAGATTTTAATAACTCAATATACTAAGCTCTTTTAAATTAATAGAAATCTTTATAGGAATATTATTCATGTACATCCATGTCTTCGCTCAAGTTTATAATCTTGCAAATAGATACTTCTTATAAAAAATTATCTTAGCAATATAATGATTCATGTGTTTATGGTTCTAATTTATATTTGATGCTTGTTATCTATGTCTTTTCTGGTTTTGATTTGCTATTAGAACTTTGATCATCTTTTTTTACTTGTTAATAGAATATTTATTTATTTATTAGCAAATGTAAATAATAAATACTATCAAAATCTAATCAAAAATAAATAATTTAGGAAAATATTATATTTTTACATTAGGCAAAGAAGTTTTGTGAAGTGGAGTTATTTGGTTTTAAATATTAACCAAGATTCTTAAATTTGTTATTTGCATCTGGAGGTAGGGGAGTTTCAAAAGACAATTAATTATCGTTACTTTTTTCATCCAAAATCTCACCACCACTTAAATTGTTTTTGTTTTTTAAATTATAAACTGTATTCATTTTTTACTAAGGCTTTGATTGCTTATGCTCAGTTTATTCTTCAGATATGCGCTTATATTTATACTGATATTCTTAGTTAGCTCTCAATTCAGTTATCTCTTTGTACAAGATAGCAAAATTCTTTTCTTTTAATTCTAATCTTACCCTAAGTACTTTTTATAGAAGGGAGAAATTCTCATTTTGTAATACTTCTTCAGGATCATCAAATATTAATATTTTTAAGTATTGCCATGTTTTCTTTAGAAGACTTGATTTTTACTTTTTATATATTTGCTCGCAAGCTGCGAAGCATGTGTCTATATCCTTTTCGATTTAATATTTTAGAGAAGAGCTTAAATAATCTTCCACATAAATATTGTTATCTTGTATTTCCTCAAAGTCATTTCGCCTTTCAAGATCCTATGGATCCCCCTTATATGTAGATTCTTCTAGCAAGTTATAAAGATCTTCAAGGATAACTACATAGGTCTTCATATTTAAAGATATTTTACTTAACTCGCTAAATAATTCGTTTAACTGACTTAAATTCTTTTATACTTTTTCTTTAAGCATCATTTCTGGCAATCAATCAATCTATCGTAAATTTTTATCAAAGAAATCCTTTTAAGCTAAATATTATAAATAAATATTGTCCAAATATTCTTAATATTTTTTAGATAAATATTAGAAAGCAAAAATAGCTAATATTTACTTTAAGTTTTTTCTAACTTAAAAATTTGATTTTGTTTTCAAAATCAGATATTGTTGATTTCTTAACAAATTTGAATTCAAACTTAATGTGAGCGAAATAAGCTTATTTATAAAAATTTATATTTTCTTTAAAAAATATTTTAAAATCATCTGAATTTTAAAACTGGTGATTATTTAGTTAGCAATTTAAAATAAATTCTTAATTAAAAAAAATAAACAATTTTTTTAATTTTAATTTTAAATATTTTTTATCTAAAAAAAAATTGGAAATATTTTTATGAAAATATTTAGAAAATCTGTGTGATATAAATTAAATGTTTTATTTAATCATCATGATAAAAAATTCCAAAATAAAAGTTTCTAATCATTTAAACTTGTTTAAAAAATCAAAATAACTAATGGGGAAATCTTGCTCGCAATACAATATATAACAGGGTAATAAAAATTTCGTGTTTATTTGGTGGATATAAACCTTATTGAATAAAGAGAGTTTAAAGAGTTAAGTTATTGATTACGAAATATTAAATTAATCTAAAATTGAAAATAGGCAATAAAATTTTATAATAATGTGAGATTTAATAATTTATAATAATAATAATAATTAATTAATTAGTTAGTTAATTAAAAGAAATATTTAAATAGTATATAATACTAATTTAGAAATATCTTCAAATCAAATAGGTACTACCATGCTAATTAACCAGTAAATACATTTAAAAATATTATTTTATATCAAAAAAAATATGTATGTAATTAAATTAACAATTAATTATACCAACAAATTCGTTTAAAATAGGTCAAACATGAATAAAATTTGTTAGATGACGTAGAAATAATTAATTCTGAAAAATCAACATATAAACAATAATTTATAATTTATTATTTATGAGAATATGACAGAGTCAAAAAAAATTGAATATCAAAATCAGTAAATTTTTCCTTTCCTATTACTTTGAAAATAAGTAATGTTATTTTTAAAATATTTTTAGTTTAGATTAAAGCTTTGAAAACTCATAAAACTAAGAATACTCAAATAACTTAATGTTCTAGAGATAAGAAAATCAAGATAATCTAGATGGGTTAGAATAAAGCGAAACATAAAACCAAATCAATGAAGAAACCACAACAAATTAATCATTTTTATGTTAAGAAGATAATCTCATTCATCAAAAGATTAACCCAAACATTTTAAAGAATATTATCAAGTCGTTTTTCAACTTTCTTATGCAATAAAAGAATTAAGATATCATCATTGAACTTATTCCTAACAAACCATACAAACAAATCATGAAGAATATTATAAAGTATAAAAAATAGTTTAAGTACAATAATTAGTATCTAGTGAGGCTCTTACAAAGTAAAAAATATTCAAAGATTTTTGAATACTATATTACATTTGATATATTAGACTGGATTAATAGTTCAAAGCTCAAGCAATTAGCTATGCATCTCTAATGCATAGATTTCTTAAAATAATGTTGCGTTGATAAAAAATAGCTGTAAGCAATAGGCTTCTATACAAAGAAATCTTGAAAATAAAATATAACAATAATATATTACATCTAAAAAACATCATCTTTATTATATATATTTTTTTAAATTTAACATGTATCCTTTAGCTAATATATTTTTTTATTTTTCTGCAATGAATTATGTTAATTTGTATGAAAACAATTGAAATCTTGCTCTGTCTATGTTCTTTTACAATCTTTTCTATTCAATAAATTTAAATATGTGTAATGTGATTTTTAGATAATATACCATAAAAAAAATATAACCCTCCTCAATAGTATAAATAGAGATAATCAAATCAAAAATCAATTTTTCCCTTAAGACACCAGAAGTGTTTATACTTTACAATCAATAATTTGCTTTTTTACTCCACTTAAATAAAGGAAATCAAAGATTTATAATATAAAAATTTTTTTTTCCCACATTGATTTAAAACTGAAAATTGTGATTCTTTTAGTTAATATTAGATTACAATCTCTATAATAATATATTATTAAAAAAGTGTGTAAAAACAATCACCTAACCATTTCGTGATATTTATTTTTCTAAGGATATTTTATTATTTTCATAAAAAACTCTTTTACGTATTATTAATAATTGATAATAATAAAACTTTGTCTGGTTTATTGAGAAAAAGTGTAATAAAATAAAAAAAATTCTTTTGAGTGATATTTTACTTAATATTTTTTTTGTTGTAAAATATGAATTTTTTAATAAAAGATAATCATAAGTATATGTAAAGAAGCTTGAATAATAAAAATTCTATTAATTTATCTTTATGATCAAAAGAATAAATATTTAAAAAATGTATAATTTGCATTTACGATTAAAAGAATAAATATTAGATTTTTTATTTTTATTAAATAATATAGTAAAATACCTTATTTTTGGGGATGAAATTCATTAAAATAGTATGAAGCTCTGGATAGCAAATTTAATAAAATATCTAAATTATTATATATGAATTTATTAAAAATCTTATAGAAAGATTTCTAAGAGCCTTTAAAAAATTTCTTTACTAACTTTAATTTGATAATTGCAGATTATTTGTTTACTTAAACTATGTATGACTTGACATTGTTTTAAAAAAGTAAAAAAAATTATTTGAATAAAAGAAAATATATTGAAAATCTAATAATTATTTTAATTATATAACCATTTTAAACAAATTAAATAACATTTTTTTTTTGTCATATATAGTTTCCATAAATAGTTTATAATTAATAGCTATTATTTAGTACTTAAATTATCACTTTAAATTAGTAATTTTAAATATTTTTATTTTAACAGAAATGCTTGATTATAAAATTAAACGTGTATCTTCTTATAGCGCTTTGCTATTTTAAAAAATGGCTATTGCTGCTAAACAGCACATAGCCATTAGGTTTTAAAAGTAAAAAGAAAATATCTTTTTTAATTTTTTTATATGTATTTATGAATGAAATTTAATTTGTAAAATGAGGGCACAATGGAATATTTTAAGATTTAAAAAAGGAGGGCAATTATATAAAAAATAAAATATATTTTCATGATTTTGTAATTCAAAATTTTAATACTTAAAATTTTTTAAAAAAATCAATTTAAATAATATCTTGCTCTAAATATAAATTGTATAAATTATATATTTAAATAATTTTAAAACTTAAATTAAATTCTGCTATTTAAAGAAAATAGTTATTTAACATTTCATAAATATCATAATCATATTTAATAAATAATTCTTTAATTGTTTCTTAAATTAATTTGCTTTCATGTTTTCATGATATTTTATTATTATATTATAATAAATGTATCAAAATAAATTTCTAAAAAAAAGCTAATAAATAAATCATCCTTTTTTCAAAAATAATAATAAAACTAATTTAGAATAGAAAATATTAAAGTTATTATTTTATTTATTTAAACAATAGTTTTGATGTAGATATTACTTTTATTTATAATTTAGATAATATTTTATAGAATTAAATTACTTAATTTTGTTAATACAATGAATTATCTATTTATTTTAAATGTATATGATTTTTTTTTATAATTTGGCATATCAAAGAGATTTACTATGTTCTTAAAATAAATGCAATTTCAAACAAAGAAAATCTGATAAATTACTCTTTTTTAAAAAATACCTTTTTGATAGAAAACTTTACTAAAAGTATTAACTAATCTTTTTTGATTAATTTAATATTATCATAAAATAAATGACAGAAAGTGGTAAACCAGTTTTATTTATAAAGATAGATGAAGTAGTAGATAATGATAATGTTAAGCACTAGCAGTTTAATATGACTTAAGAGGCTATGTAATTATTATCATCCATTTAAGATAGAAATGTACTTATTGATATTACTTCTCAATTTCAATAACTTTAAATAATAAAAATATATTAATTCGATAAAAATATGTAATTTAGATAGCAGTTTTAGTAATTGCTGGTCCATATAGAACAGGAAAGTCCTTTTTAGCAAATAGATTTTTAAAATAGTAAATTAAATAGTTATAAATAAACACAATTTATTAAAGTTTTTTTGCAAATTCAATTTAATTAGAATGGATGGTTTCGAAATAGGACCTAGCACAAATCCATGTACTAAAGGAATTTGGATATGGAATAAACCTGTTAAATTAAATGAAACTACGGATCTTATAATATTAGATACTGAAGGTCTAAACTCTATATGTAAACATTTTAAATGCATTTCATTAAACATATTCAAAATAATAATTACTAGAAAGAGATCAAACAATAGATATGAAAATTTTTTCTATTTCAGTTCTTTTAGCTAGCATGTTTGTATACAATAACTTAGGTCATATAGATGAACAAGCAATTGAAAGTCTATCTTTAGTTGCAAAATTAAGTGAAAACATTTGTATTTAGTAACTAATTTAATTTTTCAAACCAATATAATTATTTTATAGGAGTAAATAATAAATTTTTTGTAAAACCATCAACAAAAGAGATGACTTTTATTCCTTAGGACATAAATAAAAATTCACAAAATTATCTTATTTAATTTCCAATATTATTTGAAATAGAAAGGTGAACGAGAATGATTAAAAATTAGGAGAATACTTCCCTCACTTTTTTTGGGTTTTAAGAGATTTTTCATTAGATTTAAAAGGTATGACTCCTAATGAATACTTAGAATAGTGCCTAAAACCTCTACCTGAAAATTCTTAGGAAGCTATCAAAAAGAACTAAATCTTAGATAAGTTTAGATAGTTTTTTAGAGTTAGAGATTGTGAAACACTAGTTAGACCATTAGAAGATGAATCAAAGCTGGCAAGGATAGATAAATAAGATTGGAACACATTACGTCCTGCTTTTATGTAATAGGCATTTATTTAAGAGGTATAATTTTAAAGTGATTTTATCTTTTACTTAATAAAGAGAAGGAGTAAACAACTTTGAAAAAAAAGTTCTGATGAATATAAAGCCTAAGACTATACAAAATAAAGTGCTAAATGGTAAAATGTTTATGGGATTAGTAATTGAGTATTTGTAAGCAATTAATTCAGGAGGTATTCCCACTATCTTAAATAGTTTAGAATCTGTTATTAGCAGCTAAATTAGAAAAGTTTATGAAGAAGCAAGAGGAGAGTACATGAAATAAGTTAACTAAGAATTCTCAGTAGATAAGCTCCCTCTTGATGATGAAAAATTTTATGAGACTCATAATAAAATTACAAATAGTATATTTTAATATTTGTAAACAAAGTCAAAAAATTTTGTAGATGCTGATTAGCTAATCACATTGAGGAATGACTTGTAATAAATTATGGAGAGTGAATTCAAAATTAGAAAGGCAACAAACTAAGAAATTGCACAAAACAAATGTAAAAAAATATTTTTAGACCTTTTCTAAAAGTTACAACACTCAAATTACAATAACTCTGATCAAATTATACGTAAATTCGTTGCTGAGAAATTTGATGATATGCAGTAAATTTTATCATAGTATAATTCATAGACAAGTGGAAACTTCAAGTATTAGCTTTTCTTTAATTAATTCCCTTAAAAAATATTTGAATACTTCGATATAGCTTTTCAAAGATTTTATGACTTGTTTAATGCAGACATCATCAAAGTTAAAGTTTAGCTGTAGGAAACAAATGAAACAAAGGAGTTAATAAAAAATTAGGTATAGCTTTAAGATAAGTAAATAAATAAATTATTATTATTGAGTTATTTTGACTTATTAATCAATATATAAATAATAGAACGATTTTAGATCTTTAAAGAGATGTTAATGAAGCACAAAAATAAATTGATAACTTAAAGAGAGAAAATAACAAGCTTAAAAAAAGCTAAGAAAATAGTGACAAGAGTTAATATGGAAAGATAGAAGAGCTAGAAATGTCAATTCAAAAAAAGAAAGCAAAGATATAGAAACTAAATGAAGTAAATAATAAGCTCTTTTTATCATTTAGAGATTAATATTTTAATCAAATTAGAAATGCTAAGAATTAGAAGAATAGAACCATCAATTTAAATTAGCTTTGAGTCAAAAAAAAATAGAAAACTAGGGTCTCAGAAAGGAGATAGAAGAATTAAAGAGAATGGGATCTTAGTAAGGAAACGGAGTAGAGTAGGATGATATACCTGATTTAATTAACTCAATAAGAGACCTTAAGACATAAGTTTAGTATATGGATGACTTCTTTTCTTCAAGAAGAAGTTCATTAAATTTAAGCATTGGAAGCTAGGAATAATAATTTTAAGATTTTGAGTAGATAAGAAAAGAAAAGGAAATTCTTAAAAAGAATAATAAACAAAAGTTAGAGCAGCAAAAATAAATATATGAAAATGAAAAATAAGAGCTTTAAAGAAAAATTGAAGTCCAAGTCAAGTACATTGATGAGATAAGGGCTAAAAACATGGAATTAATTAACTAAAATTAAGAACTAAAAACAAAGTCTACCTAAGTGAGTGTAAATAAATAAATTATTTCTTTATTAGTATATTTAAAAAAAAAAAAAATTTAAAAAAGAATTTAATTCAAGAAAACGACAGACTAAGAGAGTAGCTTGCAGCAAAGCAATTTAATTTAGAAACAAACACATAAGTCTTAAATGAGTTTTCTAAGTAAATAGAGAAAAAAGCTGGCATAATTATTGAACTTGAAAATTAATTAGCCTATATTAAATCTTATAATTGTTAGCTAATATCATTCAAAGAGACCTTTCCATATATCTTAAGAGAGTCCCTCAAATATGCACTGAACAGAAACAGTATGATCAAACACTCCCTTAGTAAATTGAATGATGAAGATGTAAATCAAGTGAAGGATTGCTTCACCAAAGCAGGAATATAATTTAAGCTTTGATTTTAACAAATGAAAAACTAACTAAATAAGAATAAAAATAACTCAAAAAAAATATTTTTTTAAATAAAAATTAATAAAATAAATAAATAAATTAAAAGTATTAAATTCTTCAAATTAATTATTAAAGAGTTTTATATTTATATATATACAAATTTTAAGTATTAAACACAAGTATCTTCTTTTATTGTTTAATACTGGTTTCGTGTAAAAGCTTATATCGTTTTGTAATCTAATTCATACTAAAAGTAGAAGTTCTAAAGCTTACTTTTGGACTTAATTCATTAGCAGATCTAATGAATTAAATAAATTAGTTTTAAAAAATTTTATCAATTTTTCCTTTTCTAAATTTTCTACATTTACAATAAATGTTTGTTTTTTAGTGTTTGAAAATAAAACAAATATTTTTCTTTGTTTAGAATTTTAATTCATTAATCAATCAATCAATCAATTAATTAAAATAAAATAAATACTTAATAGAAGATTTTCAAAATACTTATCTTGTTGATATGTCCTAAGTTTAAGGAAAGCCAATTCTTTTTATTGACATATAAGAAGGAAAAGACTAAAATAATAATCCGACATATTTATTTAACTTAACAAGTGAAGCTTAGCAGTTATTATAGCAAATAGGAGAAAGAAATGTATTGATTTAACAAGTTAGCTGATATATCAAAATTTTAGTTATTAATTTACAAATATAGGTAGCTGTTCTAGTTATAGCAGGTCCATAGAGAACAGGAAAATCATTCCTTGCAAATAGATTTTTAAAATAGTAATTAGTTATTTTTAATTTATTGTTTTTGTTATGATAAATGAATATTTATTTTAATTGGAATTCTTATTACAGAATGGATGGGTTTGCAATTGGACCTACGACTAACCCATGCACAAAAGGAATTTGGATATGGAGCAGACCTGTTAAACTGAATGATACAACTGATATGATTATTTTAGATACTGAAGGATTAAATTCTGTTTGTATAAATTTAATTTTAAAATATATTTAGAGTAAAATATATTTTTTTTTATGAATAGAAAGAGACTAAACAATTGACATGAAAATATTTTCGATATCTGTGCTATTAGCCAGTATGTTCATTTACAATAATTTGGGACATATAGATGAATAAGCAATTGAAAACCTTTCTTTGGTAGTTAGACTTAGTGAAAATATTTGCATTTAGTAATTTCAATATTACTAAAAACTGTTTTAAGTTTACATTATTTAATTCTTAGGAAATCTACAGAAGGTGATTAGAAATTAGGGGAATTCTTTCCTCTCTTTTACTGGATTTTAAGAGATTTTTCTCTTGATTTAAAAGGGATGACACCTAAAGAATATTTAGAAAAATGTTTGAGCAGTCTTCCTGGAAACAGTGCCGAAATTTAAAAAAAAAATGAGATAAGGGAAAAATTTAAGTAATACTTTAGATATAGAGATTGTGAGACATTAGTAAGGCCTTTGGATGATGAAAGTAAGCTAGCACGTATTGAATTGTAAAATTGGAATACATTAAGACCTGAATTTACGTAAATAATTTTTATTCTTTAAGATCAATACAATTTTTTTTTCCCCATTTTTAGGTAGGGTGTAATTAACTTTGAAAGAAAGGTGTTGGCTAATTTAAGACCAAAAACTATATAAAATAAAATACTTTCTGGAAAAATGTTTTTAGGATTAGTTTAAGAATACTTGCAATCTATAAATACAGGGGGGATACCAACAATCCTGAACAGCTTAGAGTCTGTAATTAGTTAGTAAGTAAGAAAAGAATTCGAAGATGCAAGAGCAGAATATTTAAGGAGAGTAAATTTAGTTTTTAGTGTAGATAAGTTACCTATTGATGAAGAAAAATTTAATAGTACCCATAAAGCTATTGTAGATGATATATTTAATATGCTAAAAGTAAAGTCAAGAAATTTTTTAGATTCAGAATAGCTTTAGGTTTTGAGAAAAGATTTATAAGAAATTATGGATTCAGAATATAAAATAAAATCTACTCTGAATACTTAGGTATCTGAAAACAATAGTCTTAAAATATTTTTAAATTTGATTCAGAGATTGTCTTTACCTACTTTTGCAAATTCTGATTAGATATAGCCAAATTTTCTTATATAGAAATACGAAGAACTCTAAAAGTTATTGCAGTAATACAATTAGCAAGCTTAGGGAAATTTCAAATACACAATCTTTTTTTAAAAATTCCCTGGAAAAATATTTGAATTTTTTAATGCAGTTATTGGAAGAATTTATAAATTATTCTAAGAGGACATTTAAAAGCTTAAAGTTAAACTCTAACAGTCAAATGAATCTCAAGATTTAATTAGAAGTTAAATTGCTCTTTTTGAGAAGTATATTTATTTTATATTGGAAAATGTGACAAAAATAATTTTTATTAAAAAAAAAAAGGACTAACAAAGATTTACAAACAGAAATAGATGAGCATAAGAATATAGCAGATTAATTGAGGAGAGAAAGAAAGTTATATTCAGCAGAATCAGGTGGATAAGTTGATTTTGGAAAGACTGAAGAGTTTGAAATGCATATCGATAAGCTAAATTAAAGGATTGATAAACTAAAATAAGTAAATCTTGTAAATTTGGATAAATCTAATTGTTAAATATGTCATTTTAACCAATAGGAAAATTAAGAGCTATAAGACACCTTGCATAAAACAAAATTAGATTTAAATGATAAAGTATTAGAAATTTAGTTACTGAAAAAAGAAATAGAAGATTTAAGGGTTATTGAGTAATCAGGAGCAGGAGGAGAAATGGCTCAACAACTACCTGATGCAATAGGTGCTTTAAAAGATTTAAAATAGTAAATAACTTAAATGGATGATTTTTTTTCATCAAGAAGCACATTGAACTCTAGTGTAGGAAGTGTAGAATAGCATTAATAAGAATTCGAGTTATATAGGTAAGAGAAAATCAAATTAAGACTAGACTTTAAACAAAAATTAGAGTCTTACAAACAATTAGTAGAATCAGAGAAAGAAGGTTTAAAGAAAAACATTGATGTTTTGAATAGTTATATAAACGAGCTAAGAGCTAAAAACATGCAGTTTATTACTTAAAATGAAGAGTGGAAAAAGAAAGCAACAGTTTACAATGTAAAATTAATTTTTTTTCCTTTAAAAACAAATATTATTTTATAAAACAGGATTTGAGCGATGAATTTAATAAATTGAAAGAGGCTTTCGCAGCAAAACAATCAAATATAGATTCCCTATCGTAGTTAAATTAACAGCTTTAAGGAGAAATATAAAAGTTATAAGAGAGGTAATTTTCGATTGAAGAATAGCTGGCAGAAATAAAAATAGAAAACGTAGAAATGAAATCTTTTAAAGAAGACATATTTGATGTGATGAGAGAATCACTAAGATTAGTTTAAAATAAAAACAATTCTTTATAAAATGCATTAAAAAGATTAAACGAAAAAGATATCAAACAATTAAAATCTTGCTTTTCTTCTGTAGGAATAGAGATAAAATGAATGAAATTTATTAATTAAACAAAAAATTATTTAATTTTAATTCAAATTTTCATTATTTTATAACTAAAATAAATACACTTTAAATTAAAATTCATTTAAAATTAAAAATATCATTTAATTTAAACCTAAATTTAAAATATAAATCATTTATGTCTGTTTCCAATAGGTTTTCACACCTAAAAATACAAACTAACTTAATTTAATATAATTATAAAAAAAAAATGATAAATAAAATAAGAAATCGGTATATTATTTTAATAAATTGATACTTATCTCTTAATACAGAAAAAAAAAAAATTTAAATCATTTTTCTAATTTAATTAAACTTAAATTAACTGTAAAAAAATATTTATTTGATAAAATATATTTTAATCTTTGTTTATTTGTTTCTTTTTTGTCTCTATTTATTTGTAAAATATTATTGAATTTTTAAATTTCTTTCAAACAAATTTCCATAACTAAAAATACAAGTTAGTTAGCCTAATTAATCACAAAGCTAAATAGAAAAATGTTAAAAATTGAAATATTTCTTCTTTCAAATAGATAAATTGGTACTTTTCAGTTTATTTTTAAGAAAATATTTAATAATTTTAAAATAATTTTTATAAATTAATAAAATAAAAACTGAACTAATTAATATTAAGCACATTTATAAGATAATAGAATTTATTTTATTAATTTTTTTTGTCAAAAATGTGTTTAAAGATTTTGTAAATCTGTTTTTTTTTCTTTCCTATTTTTATTCATACATTCATTCATTGGTTGGTTTTCATCATCGCATTTCTAAAATCATCTAAATGAATATAATTGCTATTTCCTTCTTGAGAAATATTATATATAAAATCTTTTAATTCATCTTGTGTTATATTTTCATCAATTTCATCAACTATTTTTTTTAAAGTTTCTATAGATATGGTATTTCTATTATCAGGTTAGAATAGCTAGAATATTTTTTCTGCCCCAGCTTTTGTGTTTTTTTCCTATAATTTTTAGCTAATAGCTTACTTGAAAATATCTACTGTTATTGCTTCATTATTTAACTTTTACTACTTTTCAATTAGCTCTTAAAATATATCAACCAAAATAGGATTCTTTTTAGAATATTCACCTTATCTCAAAATGTCTACATAGATAATTAAATAATTAGTTTTAGATAATAACAAAATAAGTAATAATATATTCATTTTACCAAGCAATTATTATGGATCTATTTTGCCTTAGCCATCTATATCAAACAAGTTAAAAATATTATTTAACTAGTCTTCGTCATCATCATCTAAATTTTAATATTTATTTTACTTATTTGTGGGTGTAAAATTTTTTTTGCGCTACATTTAAATTTATGATTTATTTCAATTTTTAAACAAATTTTTGAAGCATAATTAATTAATTAACTAACACTTTTTATTTAAGCAAAGCATTTTAGCCAAGCAGTCAGTAAGTAATAAGCATTAACTCATTTATAAAATGTGTAACTAAGATTATATTAATTTATTATAAATTTATTAACAATGGAAAAATATAAAAATATTTTATTAATATTTATTTGTTTAATTTTTTTATTTAATTTTTTATAAATAAATTTTTTTGTATTCAAATTCCATATTAAGTTTTTCATTATTTATTTTAATCTCTATCTGAAGCATAAGAGCTTGCTATTCCACTGAGACCTTAAACAGCTAATTTAACATCAACATCTGTTTTAAATTGTAATTTTAATTTGAGTAAAAATTGTAGTTTTAATATTTTTTACTTTAGTTGATATCCAATCCTTAAAAATTTCTTCCTGTAAAATGATCTAAAGTTTAGAAAATTCCCATGATTGCAACCTTATTCTCTTCAGAACTTTACAAATATTTTTTTAATTACTTTTTAGATTTTAACAAATAAATTATTTACATTGCAACTAATGCTTAGGAGTTATTAGCTTACTTTTTCTTTTCTTACTCAGTATCTTCTGGTTCTTTTTCGATTTCTTCTAAATTTAAGGCTTCAATTTATTAGTTTAGACCATCAATTAAGAAATAGTTACTAAAGGATTAGTTTCTCAAAGCCATTTCAAGTTCAAAAGGAGTAACAATTAATTTATAGTATTTTTTAAGGTCAAACAAAGAGTTTCTATAGCATGAAACAATAACAAAAGCCTCAACTTCAGGGAAATTGTTTAATTTTGCCTCATTTAAATTACCTAATAAGTTATTTTTTATTTATATTTATTATAAACATTTAAAAAAAGTTTTACTCATATAAAATGTGTAGAATTTCTTATTTGCGTATTTAATAACTTATTTAACTCTTTCAGTTACAGCTCTACAAAATTAGGTATTAGGATTTTAGATGAGAATGCCAAAACACTTAATATCTCTAGCTTACTCAATCATAGATAAACGCTTGATAAGACTTTTATTAGAAACAGGAGGACTCTCTTTGATCTAATTATTGTAAACATATACCTTTTCTATATTAAATTTGTCTTTGGCAAAGAAGATTTTTTCTAATAGATCTGAATCTTCGTGGCCTGTAAATATAAGCTAGTATTTTTTAGATTTATCAAGAGATTTATTGAGGTAATATCCATAAAATAAGTGATTTATTTTTTGAGCTTAATCAAGCTAAATAAGAGCTAAAGTAACATTTTCTTAATCTCTAAACTGTTAAAATATCTCTTAACTAAGATAGTATTAGTATTAATCTATTAATATCTGTAAAAGAAATAAATATTTATTTAGATTAAAATATTTTTATTTTGTATTACAATATAATTCTAAACTTTTCCATCATCTGATTTAGTTAATTTAAAGGCTTATTCTGTAAATCCTACTAAATCCATATGTGTTTTAGGAAAAATGTATTTTATTTTCTTTTGCTATTCTTCTGATTCTGAAAGGCATGCTACTCCAAAGTGGAAAATAATATCATAATTTATGTGGTTACTTCCTACAATATCAACGCAGCAACTATTTTTCAAGCTTTTATTTTTAAAATTAAAACTTTTTAATTTATTTTTATATCGTTTTGCTATTTTTACTGATCTGAGATAATGTAGATGTTTGTGGCAGGCAAATTTTTATTAATTGATGATTAAACCTTGATAGCGTCTGAAAGATTCTCAACTGGAAATTACAGAATTATACTTTTTATAAGATAAAGGTATTTTAATCAATTTTAATTTATTATTTTCATTTTATTTACTCTTTGTAGTTATTATCCTTGATTTCTTAAATTATTGTAGGAATATCATAGTATTATTCAAAAGAAAAATGTTAAGCTTAATCTTTATATAGAGGGTTTTCTTTCCATTCGAAAGCTTGCATCATGGGTTCTTTATCTGCCATTTTGTATTTTTCTGTTTATACTAACTAACTTCTTCTAAATTTTTTAAATTTTGTAAAATCTTATTTAAAAATTTTTAACTTTAATTACTATTTTTTTAATGTTAATATTTGACTTTAAAAATGTTCTACTATATTTAGTGAGTTTTTGTGTATCTTTGTCAGCAAAATTATCCTTAATATTTATTAATAAATAATCAAAGAAAGTAATAAATCTTTCTGTCTTTAAATTTTTTCTCAGAGTTTTATTAATTAGGTAAAACTTCAAACAGATTAAATTTAGCTAATAGTGATAATAAATATGGAAATAATAAAATAATCAATAAAGTGAATATGATCAAAAATTATTTTAAATGAAGGTTAGGAGTAAATTAACTAAATGAAGATTAAATTGTAAATTAAAGAATGTTTTTTTAACTCTTTTAATAATTTAATTTCATAACTTAATGCAAGCTTATTTTTATTTATTTTTTGAGACTTAATCTTTTATTCTAAGCTATTCCGTCAGCACAGTAATACTAGTGTTTTATATAAACTAAGTATTTATATTTAAAAACTTAATAATATGAAAAATTTTAAAGTATCTAGAATTTATAAAAATAGATTTTTTGAGTGAATGAAGGTAAATTTATTTTCAAAATGTAATTAATTTTAGCAATATGAATTTCATCAATTTAATTAAAATTTAAATACAAAAACTTTGTTGCATAATAATTTTATAAGAAACGAGTAGTATAACTTTTGAGAGGCTATAAAAAAATTATATAAACAATCTGATATTTTAATTAACTAAATAAATAAACGATTGATCAATGAAAGCTTAATGGATTAAGATTATCCATAAAAAATAGTAATTCAGAGAATGCAAGGGACTTTTAATGTATAAAGAGAGTATAGATAAAGAGTAGGAGCATTCATTCATTTATTAATTAATTAATTAATTTTATAATGAATGTGATAAAAAATTATTATTTTTTTTATTTATAAAACTAAATTTGAGAAAAAGAAGAAAAACAAAAGAATAATAATTAAGCAAAGAAAAATAAAGATTTAAGCTGAAAAATTTAATAAATAAAGGAAAAGAAGAAGGAAAAGAAATAAAGCAAATAAAACAGTGAATCTAAGAATATAACATAAACTTAATTTGAAATAAGAAGACATACTTATTTAAGTAAAGTAAGCTTAAGTTGTAATCAAAACAATTTTAAATAACTAAGTTTGAAAAGGACAATTAAAGATGGATGGAAGTCCTAAAAGTAAAGCTGACGCGTCTTCTTCTTTGCAAAATTAATAATCTCAATTAACATAATCCTAGCAAGCTTAAAAAATTTATCAAAGCGAAAGTGGAAATTACAAATAGATAGTTTAAAAAAATAGCTCTGAAAATTAAAAATTAATGGATGATTAAACTGATAAAAATGTGAACAGCATTGGAATATAGGAATTTGATAATAAAATTTGTCAATAACAAATAACAGACAAAAAAATACTGAACGAAGTATCTTAAAACTAGGAAATCCAATTAAATAATATCAAAAGCAGTAGAAGCAGTTCAAACAATTCTTAAATTGCAGGAAATGTTATAAATAGTATAAGCTATGAACCATAAAACGGAAAAAATAATTGTAATAGCTAAAGTGTTAGTAGCAATTCCAACAATCAATCTTAAGATATCCATATTAGCAATCATGTGTTTGAAAGCAAGAATCACTCTTCTAATTGTTCAAGAAATGATTAATTAAACTAAGATTTACAAAAAAAGCTATCTGCTAGTAGTGATTCAGGGATTTAAAACGTTTTTGAAGATTAAAGCAAGAATTAAGTAGTATGTAACATGGCTCAATCAGCTATTTTATTTGATTAAAACTCTTTGGAAAGAAAAGAATAAAATTAAAATACATTAAAGCAATAAAACTTATAAGCTGAAAACGCAAGTATGTCTTCTTCTTCATAACAGTAATTTTTATAGCCTGACCAGTAATTGAATTAGTATCATCGATATCATAGAAATTAATTTAATTATGCACTAAATCGTAGGAGTCACAGCTAATCTAGGGAGTAAGATTTTGAAGAAAGTGCATCTTCTTCATCATTCTCTAAATCATCAACTAAAAAAGCTGTTGGCGAAGTCACTACTGGGTTAGTAGTTAATGGAAATAGCAACAATTAAATGAATTTAAATATTACAACTTAGAATTAAAATCAAAATAGCAACAACAACAGTAATAGCAGCAATAATAATAGTGATGTTAATAATAAGAACACTGCAAACAATAATTTTTTTGTTAACATTGCAAATGTTTCTACAGATTAATACACAAGAAGTAGTAGTAGCACAGCAGATAAAAAGAAAGTATTACGTTAAAAGATGTTTGATGTATCATTGTTAAATTTTTTTGTGAGACAATAATCCCAAAATAATAGTTCAAAAAGTTCTAAAAATAATAGTAATATGTCTTCAAACGATTCTCACGACAACAATAGTGGTCCTAACAGCAGAGTAATTAATGAGAAAAAAATCAAGGAAAACAAGTAGACATCAACTACTTCAACGACACGCGCATAGATTTTATATGGACCAACAAAAGAAGAGTTAAATCAGAAATTAATGGAACCTGTCGGTCACCGCCGTACAATTTCATCTAATTTGCACTAACATAGTTAAGCTTGCTCCTCCTCTGGCTCTTCACTATCATCAACTAACAATTATTCATAAAATCAAAAGCAAAGCTTAAACTTAAATTAAAACTTATTTAATTCGTTTGGCCCTATTTAAAAGCAAGAATCTTCGACTTATTCCCACTTTTAAACTCCAGTTTATTCTTAAAAACTTCTTCATTTTTACAATGAAAGTTCATCTTCATCATCTTCTGCAGATAATCAGCAATCTTTCATCCAACAGAGTAAAAAGAAAATATCCTAGCCTTTCTGTTCTATTGGAGGAGATATTAACAATAATAGTTGTGATCAAAAAGATGAAATGATTTAGTTCGAAAAGTAGTTTTAAGATATTATACCTAATTCTAAATAGATTACTGAACCTTAAAATAATAGCTCATTAGTTTAAAATAGCTCTGTTTAAAACAATAAGTTACCAACAGTTGTAACGGAAGTAGAAGATACTGAGGACGATGATTATGCAAATGCTTTCTAAGAATGGTCTGTAAATATCTCTCCCTAAGCATCAAATTCTATTAAAAAAGCTCCTTTATCACCAGATTTTTTAATTGCAAATTAAGATTTTAGTTTATAATATCCCTAAACTCATCATTAGTAATAAATTTTAAATTTAAATGAAAACTTTGATGATATTTAGAAAGAAATTAACTAGTAAAATCTTCAAAAGCAAATTCAAAATTTTGAAGAAAAAAATGAAAGTGATAATTTTATAAACTAATTACAAAAACCTCATACTCAATAATAACAACAGTAGCAAAACCAAATAAATATACTATCACATTCTCATATTTTAGATTAAAGAATGGAGGATAATAAATATTAGCCTTTATAACATAGTATGTTTTATGAACATCAAATTCATTAATTATAATAGCAGCAGTAGTAGTAAGATAATACAGAAAATGTACTATACTATTAGGATTAAAATTTTAGAATTCAAAATATAATTTTATAGTAGCAGTAGCAATTTCTTGTAAAGTAACCTCAAAACTAGCAAATGCAGTAAAATGTAATAGGTTTACCTTTATCTTAACCTGATTAACAGGCTAATATATTTTTCCCTGCATCAAATGCAAGTGAGAAATTTTAAGCTTAATTTCATACAGGGTCTCTAATCCTACCTCCTTAGTAAAGCGAGATAAATAATATTATAAGTAGTCCTTCTGTAATGAATTAAAGCTTACAAATTTCAACTCCTCCTAGTAATTTTAGCAATTAGTCTAAACACATAGAAAGCAAAAAGTAATACTAAATTGGTGATTTAACTCCTCGTGAAGGCTATAATACTCTTAGTACAAGTAATAATTTTTAAAAATTACTGTAAATAGCAATTTTATATAAGAAAATATCCTTTATTAAAAGGGAATTAATTATAGCAAGCATATTGAAATTTTTTTAAGCTTAAATCGTAATAAATTATTAAAAATTAAATTAAAATAAAAGATCCTTCAAGCAAGAAGAGCGTATGCATGAAATCGCCTAAAGAAGATAACTTCTTTACAACTTCTAGTGCCTCCTCAACAAATAAGATAATTAGTAAAAATACAAATATACATTCTACAGCTGTTACTGATGAAAGTTTAATTGACAATGTAATCAATTTATTTAAATTTTTTTTACTTTAGAATTTATTTTTATTAAATTTTTGCAACTTTTATTGTTAAAAAAATTGATTAAATAAACAATTTTGGAATTAGCATTTGAATCTGTAAAAATTAAGTTTTTAATTTTAAAATAATATCAACTTTAAATAATTCACAATTTATTGTTAACAAACTATCTATTTTACCCAAAAAAATTAAATGGGCATAACTTATTAATTATTAATTAAAATCATTCAATTGTTTTTCTCAATTAAGAAAATTTATTGGGTAATCAAATAAATTTTATCAAATTCAATATCTAATAAAATTTATTTTGCCAAACAAGATATTTTTTTAATTAGTTAACTAAATTCAATCAAGCATAATTCTTATCCCCTTTATTAATTAAATTCTAATTTTAATTGTCATTCTAATTTTTTCATATAAATAAAACAATACTTATAGAAGACTTCCACACATTAAATAAATTAATTAATTAATTTTTTTATTTACTTATATAATTTTAAATGTAAGATTAACTAGCAGTACCCAACAATTTCAAATACAGAATTAGGGATGATGTAAAAAAATTAGTATTTTACTTCTCAAATTCCTATAACACCTCAATTGAATAATTAAATTAATATTAATCCTCTGATTTATCCCACATAAGTTTACTTGAGTGATGAAAAAATGTAATATCAACAATCTATCTTAAATAACCCATCAGGATAAAAAATGAAAACGCAACCTAACCCTCAAACATCATCTTCATCCTAATACTCCTCTAATAGTACAAGTTAGTATAACTTTACTCCTTCAAATATGGGTTTTAAGAATTAGCTAGAAAATATTCATCTCATTGGTACAAATATTCAGAATGGGTTAAGAAGCAGCGAGTGCTATCCTTAATCACCTTCACCAAATTTAGATTTTTTAAATTAAAGAAAAAGTTTGCATGTAAGTAGCTCAACAGGATCTAATTATTTTAGTGATTAAAAGTAAATAATTCCCTAGGTTTTGAACTTTTAGATAACATAGCATAATCAGCCAAATTTATAATAGACATCATCTAATCAGCACTCAAATTCAAGTGAGCCTAATAGTCTTATTAACTAACATCAATATGGTAGTGGTATTCATTTAAAAACTAGTGAGTCTACTGATTTTAGTAATTAATCTTTACCTTAATTTTAAAATATGTCTTCTTCTATTTCAAGCATGCAAGCTCAATAATAAAAGAATTAACAAATTTACGGTAATTAGAATTAAAATAATTAGAAAAATGGATTATAAAAACCAGAAATAATATCATAAGCTTCTTCATCATCTAATTCATCTATAAATTCATCATAACAGCAGCAAGTTTATTAGCAGAAGAAAATATCTAATCAATTTTAATAGCAGAATAGTAATGATTAGACATCTAATTCATAATAATTTTAATTGAACAATAGTAAATAGCAATTCATACCGAAGAAAAATTTTAGCTAAATTAATCAAATAAACTTTTAAAACGCCTCTTTAAATAGCAACAACAGCAGTGGAAGTAACTAAAACAATAGCAGTATTAACAATTAAAATAATAATATAACAATAAATAATAGCTAGTAAATCCATTACCCTAACCATCATAAGAGATAATAATCATAAACTAGCCAAAGTGGATAAAAGCAGAATCCTACTTAAATGCAATAAAATTGTTTTTAAAAACCATAATATTAGCAGCAAAAGATGGACCCGAAATAAAATAACCAATAAATAAGTTAGAATAATATGAGAAATTCTCAATAGGAAATAAAAAGTAAACCTATGAATAATATTTCACAACAGTAATAGTAATAACATTAAAACTAAAAAATTAATTAAAAGAATAATAACAATAATAATAACAACAACAATAATAATAGCACGATTAAAAATAATACCATAAATATGAATTAAAATAATATTGTAAATAATCTCAATAATAGTAACATCAATAGTCTAAATAACAACAATCCTAATAACAAGTAAATTAAAATATAAGATCAAAGGTATTTAAATTTACATATTAAAATAAATAAATAGACAACAAGGAGGAAGACACAGACATACAGTTTCAGAATCTTCAACTGAATATAAAATAGATTTGAAAAGAGTAATTAATTTTTTTGCATTTTTGTTTGTTGTTTGATGGGTTTTGATAATATAATCTAGATAAATGAAGATGGCAGAACAACTTTGATGATAAAAAATATACCAAATAAATATGAACAAGATCTACTTCTATAAACTATTGATAGGAAGCATAAGCATACTTACGATTTCTTTTATCTACCTATTGATTTTACAGTAAATAGAATTATCAAATTTAATTTTTCTAACTGCCTAAAATTTTTAGTTTTCTAAATACTTATTTATTTATTTAATTATTTATTTTTAAAAACTAAGAATAATTGTAATGTTGGGTATGCATTTATAAATTTCAAAGAAACTAGGTTTATTGAGCCTTTTTATAGAGAATTTAATGACTAAAAATGGAAAAAATATAATTCTGATAAAGTAAGTTATTGAATATTTGTATAAAAAATAATAAATAAAATCTTACTTAAAAAAAGATTTGCTAGCTTTGTTATGCAAGAATTCAAGGAAGTGAAAGTTTAAATAATCACTTTAGATCATCATCAGTTATGAATTAAAAAGTATGAAACCTTATTTAATAAATTTTTCAGCTAATTTTGTATATTTATCAACAGGATAACAAATATAAACCCCTATTTATAGATACTAAAGATAAATCAGCTATATAACAAATTGTTGATTAACAAGTAAATATCTAATTTAATGAGTAAGATTAAATCATTTAATAATTTATTTTATTTTAGAAAAAAGATATAGAAAAAGAAAAGAAATGAAAGAAGTAAGCAAATAAAAATAAATAAATAAGTAAATAAATAAATAAACAAATTCTAATTTTTAAATTAAGATTGTGTAAATCATAAACTAACTAACCTCCTATATATAATTCTTTTTTAAAGAAAAATATTATTAATGAATTATTTAATTCAAATAATAAATTAAATAAAGTAAGCAGATAGATAGATAAATTGATATATAAATAGATTTAATTTGTAAAAATATAATTATTTCTTAATATTCTTTGTATTCCTTTTTTAATTTTTAAATAAAATTAAAGAAAATATATCTAAAATCATAATTTAATTCCAATATTTTTCTATAAATATTTATATATATAAATAGATAGATAATCTAAAGACTTTTTCTTTTCTTCAAAATCTTCAAATTTTATTTTTAAATTTAAAAATTTTTGTATTTATATAATTAAAAGATGGATAAATATTCCCTATATTTTGATTACAATATATTTATTAAAGATATTTTTATTATATTGGAATGTTTAAAATTAATAATTTCATAGTTTATTTTTTAAGGAAGCAAAAAGTGTTCTGACTTTATAATTTTTAGCATATTAGAACGTTTTAGTTATTTAAGGGAAATCTGTAACCTTAAAGAAGGTTAATAAATGTTACTTTAAATTATTTGTTTTGTCTTGATAAAAATATTTATTTTCAAAGCATCATTCATTAGAGTTTACTTTTAGTTATATTTATAAAATAGATAAATAATTTAAATAAAAAATGCTAAAAATATTTTTAATTTGGTTAAATTTTTTGGTGAAAATCTTAATTTAATCTTAATATTATTTGATAAAAGTGTAGTATTTTTATAAATTTTAATATAGAATAATGCATTTTATGGTTTAAAATATAATTAATGTTTATTACCATTAAATTGAGGTAACTTATAAGTAGTTCTTGAATTCTTACAAATTAATTTATTTTACTCAGCTTTAATAAAAATTCTTTTTCTATACTCTAAACATATAAATTAAGAGATTTTGTTTTTTAACTATATTACTTAAAAATATATTAATCAGCAACATTTATTCATTCATTCATAATTGATTAAAATTAATCTAAAAAGCTAAAGAATTCCTCACATTAATTTACTAAAATAAGGTTATTTGAATAGTTAATTTAATAATTTAAGATAAAAAAGTGAATAACTTTTAGAGTAGAGGTTTCTAAAAGTATGAAATCTAATTTTGCACCAACTTCATTCTTTCCTGAAGTATTTATTTTCATAAATGATTTTATGTTTATTCTTCAATTAATTTAGGCTGAAAATGATTTGTTTTAACCTTATAAAAATCTTGTTACGATTTTACAGAACCCTAGTAAAACATTGAAAGATGCTGAGGTAATAAGTTAAATTATTAAATTAACGCATTTACAAACCAAATCTTTTCTGTTATTTCAAATAGGCAATTTACTAGTAGATAGAAAACCATCCTTATATAAAAAAATTCTTTGGAGAAAACATTTCAGATAAATCTGCAGCTCTTTAAGTATATAATTTTATTTTTTTCATTTATATTCTACTTTTAGCTGAATAACACTTTTCAAAAAATGTTAGCTTTGTAAAAACATGTCTGTCCAGTTTTTTAAAAGAGGAGATATTGTTATGGCTCAAGGAGATTAAAGTGATAATAAGCTCTACGTAATACTCGAAGGAAAAGTAGGGATAGTTATAAATTTTAAAGGACCAAAACCTCCTGATGGTGCAATATACGACAGAGATTTATAGTAAAATATTTTGTTATTTATATAATCTTCAATTTCATTTAATTTTTTTAATTAAAAGGGAGAAGTTAGAAAGAGAATAGTAGGAGTCTATATAAAGCTAAGAAGACAAGATTGATGAAGAACTAATAAAAAGAATCATTTCAATATTTAAAAAAGATAAAGAGGATGATAAAAAGAAGTATGTACCTTTTGGCGAGGAACCTGAAATGCAAAAGAGAGTTGCTATTAACAAGCATTTAAATGATCTAATTGAAAATAAGAATAGTATTCTTAAGCCAAAAGATGATCATAAATTTACAATAAGCTAGTCTAAATAAATGATGAAAAATAGATCTTCATCTATCTTCAAGCCTCCGTTTAAATAGCTTTTAATGATTATTTAATAAAAAAAGAAAGAAAAACAATAGAAAGAGGTTGTATACTCACATAAACCTAGTCTTCATTTAGATCTTGAAGGGACCTAAAGTAGAAGTTTAGAGAAAAAAAACAGCTTTATTTCTCCTACAGATACTCCTAAAGCTAGAAAACTTTAGACTGAGTTATAGGAAACAAAAGAAAAAAAATATTAATAATAGATTGAATCCTTTGGTACTAAAGTAAACGAGATTGGTAAAGGTACTGGGTTTGGTGATAAGGCTTTATTAGCTGCGAACCCCAAGCAAGCTGTTCGTAACGCAACAATTATTTGCACAACTCCTGTATTATGTATCATAGTGTACAGAAAAGTAAATGTTTAATAAAAAAAATATACTTTATTAGAATTATTTTTTTATTAGGATTTTTTGAGAGTAGTAGAAAATTTCTCTGCTGAAGCTATTTTAAAGGAAAAAACAATAACGAGATAGTTTAAATTCTTTAAAGATGTTAGCTCTACTTCATTAAAGGAGAGATTACTTTATTATTTTTAAGATATAAATTTATTGAAAAACGAATATGTGTGCAAGGAAGGAGAATATGCAGAAGGTTTGTATATTTTCGCAGAAGGAAAAGTCACACTATAAAAAAAATATGAAGACCAAAAAAATATATACTACTAAAAGTATTCAAACATAAGCATTTGTACAATAGAAAGACCTACTTTTTTTTGTGAGGAAGTGATTTTTAGTAAGGAAGAAAAACCAAAGTAAAATAAATAAATAAACTTTGAAATGTAATGATTTAAGACTATTTATTTTAATCTAATATTTTAAATAGGTGCAAATACACTATTTAAGTTACAAGTCAAAAAGCTCACTTATATTTTTGTTCAAAGTAAAATTTTCTTTACAAGTTTCCCAAAGACGCTATTGAGGAATTAAACTAGTTTTACTAAGCAAGAGACTTATCGTATTAGTAATTATTTGACCATTGTAAAGAAGTACAATTTAATAATGATCAAATTAAGAAATAAAATGAGAAGGCCATGAATGATAATGCCCATTATATGAATTTTTAGCAAAATAAAGTAACTTTTTATTAACAAATTAGCATAAAAATTATAAATTAAAATAATTAACTCAAGGAACTTTTTACACAAATGAAAAGCGCTTGTATAGATTATTAAGTAAAAAAAGTTGTGCCTAAACTTATCGATTAATTTGAGAATCAGCAACATCTTGTTACATAAAATAATAAAATAAAATTGAATGATGACTTTGATCCTACTGTTTAAGATTTTTGTTCAAGAGTTGACTTTGTTATGAAGAAGAATATAGAAGAGAGGGAAATGGTCAAAAAAATTATTAAATAAAAAAAAATAAAGACAGACAAAAGAACCTTCAAATAGAAGCAAAGTTCCTACAGTAAATATTTTTAAAGCAACCAGATGATTATTGTTAAATAATAAATAAAAAATAGAATTTGGCAAATAAAATTCTCAGTAAATTTCATTTGAGGAAGATGAGATTATTTAAAGTAAATCATTTATTTATTTATTTATTTTTCAAGAATAAAATTAAGTTTTATTATTTTTTGAAAAATTTAAGGTGGAGAAGAGTCAAACTAAAATGCTGATAAAAAATTGAGTGTTGATTCTGAAGAAAAGATCAAGCTATTAAGAAATATTTTTTCAAAAGGAAAAAAAATGAACTTGAATGATATTGATCTAAACTTATTTTATAGGAATTAGGAAGAATTATATGAAGATTCTGATGTGAATTTATTGTTAGACATTAGGAAACCAAAAAAAGCTTAGTAATCTTATAATACATAGAAATCATAAGAAATTAATGATTAAACTATGGAAATTGTCCCTAATATTTAAAGCATTCAATATCCTAACTCTCCTTCAAATAAAGGAGACTCATCACCAACTAAAAAAAATTTTGAATTTTAAAAATATGATTATTCTAATTTTGAAGCTGACGAATTAAAGACTCCTCCACCTGAACTAAATAAAACACAGAGCTAACTAAAAACCAAATTAAACTAAAATGAATTAGACATAGGATACCTAGAGATGTTTAAAAAGCAATAATATTTTTACATGGTTAGAAAAGGAGCCATCAAGATAAACCATAACACCGAGTTTCCTTAGCTTGACTTAAGAAAAAAAATACTTAAGAAGATAAAAAAAAGAAAAAGTTAAATAACTGATGGAGAAAAATTCTCGCACTCTTTTTGTTTAAGTCCATAGATTAAAAAACAATAATTTCTTAATAAATGTGCTAGCTACGATATATAATAGTAAGATGAAGTAATTAAAATAAATTCATCAAATTATACTGATATTACTTCACAGATACAAAATGAGGAAAATGCATTTACAGATAGAAGCGATCCTACTATTTAATTAAATAAAATTTTTGAAACATTTTAACCTAGTCCAGACTTTAGACTTAAGCATCACTCTGTTAGTGAAATAAAATCTCCTTTTATGAAATAGAAAAATAGTAAAAAGAGTTCGTTTAGAGATGTAATAAAAAGTGGGGATAAAGATAATGTACTAAAGAGCCAGCAAAGCAAAAATGGAAATAAAGGCAGATTTTCTAAAAATACAATTTAAATTACAGAGGACTTTAAGAATCTCGAAGGACTTTAGTAAGTAAAAAGTGACTTAGAAGCTAAATCTTAGTCACAGATATAATTTAATAAATTAGAATTTCCAAATTCATAAGAAAGTATTTAATGCCTTGATAAAGGGGGATTTTTAAGTCCAAAAAATAATATTGGTTCTATGTTTTACAACAAAACTTCTTCTGATTAGCCATTACTCCCTTATTTAAGTTGCACTAACGAGTATTCAACACCAAGTTCAATTCAAACAAAAAAGTAAAGTGATATTCAAACAAATAAAAGCCAATCACTTACAAAACAAGATATTAAATTAGCTCAAATTAATTAAGGATTTACTCCAACAGGAGTAGGATCTCGATTAAATGGGCTCAACAGCTGTGTAGTATAACCTAAAATTGTGAGTGCTTAGAATTCTTAGAAAAAGGATCATTAATTTTACTTAACAACAAGAAGTGAAGAAGTTACAAACAACAATGCTTTCTTTGGAAATCCAAATAATTTTTAAATTACATCTTTTTCGTATCAGCTTAAATAACTTTAGTAATAGTAATAGCAATAGCAACAGCAATAATCCTAGCAAACAAATTAATCTCAATCTAAAAAATTAATTAGTGGAGATATTAGCTCAGTTAATAGAGCAAATAAGTATTTGAAGTATAAAACAAATTAAACCAATGAGATAAACAATTTATAAAGTGCTCCTAATTTAAGAAAATCATATCATCAAGAGTAGAATCCATAACAAAAGGAATTCTTTTTCAAATAAAACTTTAAAAACAATAGTTCAAGAAATTCATAAAATATGACATAGCAATTAAATTAAACAGGTACATAGACCAAGAATGAAAAGAGTGTTTATCCTTAAACAGTTCGTACATCTTAATATAACTTCAAGATTGATGCATCAAAAAAGTATTTATTTTTTCAAGAATCTATTAAATTTTAAAGTGATCATTTGTAATTAAATATTTTCAAGAAAAAATAAATTTATATAAAAACAAATAAAATTTTAGAATTTTAAAGTTGATTAAATTCAAATATTAATTCTAAAAGTTTCAGGCAATTAAAATAAAACTTATTTATGTTATGAATTTTCATTATAAAAACTTATTTTTTTTTGTAATAAAAAGCTGTGAAGATATGAATTCTCTTTAAAAATATTTAGTAGAAAATAATGAAATATATTAAGATTAAGGAGAAGACATAAATTCAGAAATCAGGACAACAACTAAGAAAGACATTTGTTTGCAGACTTTAGCTGCTGGTAATTTTCCACAGAATAAGCAATCTCTTTAAGGGAACTCTTCAGATGTCTCAAATTTCGCTTCATTTAATTAAACAAATGGAAATTTTACTTTTAAAAACCATTTGAAAAAAGTTTTTGTAACTCGCTAAAAAATATTTAAAGCAGAAAATCACTTAAAACCAAATCTATCATACTTATAACCTTTGTAAAATTCAAAAGAACTTAAATTATCTCCTCACTTTTTTGCAAATACTTAATAATAACCAGCAAAGTGATAATAGGAAAGTAAATTTATATAAAAAAGAGTAAAAATAGAATTATACTATAATAGAATAGAATAAATTTATCACGTGTATAAATTAATGTTATATTAACTTGTTTATGAATTTAATTTATTAATTATTTTTCTAAAAAGTAGGTAATTAAAAATATACTTTTTAATGTTTAATTCTTAAAAAATTAAGAAAAATATTCTTTAAAAAATTTTTCACAGTTTTTAAATAAAAAGCTTAATTATGATAAAATTAAATGAGAATTAATACTTTTATAATATTCTAAAAATTTTTCAAATTAAAAGATATATTTATTTTTAACTGAAGAAAAAAGATAAAAATAATTTATTCATTAACAATTAACATAATGAGTTTGAAAATTTGTATTTCCTAATAAATGATCAAAATTAACTTCTGAATGTTGACTTTTATTTGAATAGTGACTTTATTATGAAATTTATTTTAGTATTTATTTATCAAATTAAATATTTTTTGAAATCAAATACTAACTATTTAAAGTCATATTAATAAAAATTAACAATAATTTACTAGTTCAATAAATTATTATTAGTTTTTACTTTTGGATATTTTTTTATTATTTAAATTATATGTAGAAAGATAAAGATTAATATAGCTAAATAGTAGGTATTTTTATCAATTTTATATTTTTTTAATAACTTTTGTATAAATATTTAAAAATTTAATAAAAAAGATCAATATAAATCACAAATTTATACAATAATTTCATTTCTGAAGTTAGCTGATAATAATGTATTTATTTTCATAGCTTTGTAGCTTGTTAATATTCTTTAGTAAAGAGAAATACTATTTAAAACTTTCTAAAATATTTTTGGGAGTTTTTTTTTACCTTGAGCAACACATTTTACATCAAACTAATTATCCTACATCTCTTTTATTAATTAAACACATTGTAATTTTTCATATGTGTTTTATTGATATTACAAAGGTATTTTGAATTCTATTTCTTTTTTAAGACATCTCTATTCTTAGAAGTAATTGTTCAGTTTAAGAGAATTCAATATAGTTTTAAGATTTTACAGTTACAATTCATTATAGAAAAAGTATATTTCTATTATTTTGTAATTAATATTTTTTAAAACTTCCTAAAGAGATTAGTCATATGAATACATAATTAGGTTTATTTCTAAACAATCTATAGTTGTTTTGTTTGTGCTTAAAATTTCTAAGAATTAGTTTAATTTTCTGTCCCAATCTAAAAAATAAATTAAAAAAATATTAATTTAAATTAAATTTTAATAAAAATATTTGCAAAAAAATAAATTGAAATTTCTTTTTTAATTATTTCAAAATTCTTTTTTCTTATGACAAATAAATTACTAAGTTATTAATCAAACAAAAATCATAATACAAAAGTTAAAAAAAATAATAAATGAATTACCTTCATGAATGATGAGAGTGTTAATTTTGCTGGGTAAAATGGAAAAGAGGAGTTACATGTTTTTCATTTTGTAAATTTTATATGTTTCGAGAGACTTGGAGAAAACTTTTTCTGAATAATAATAACAATCTATAAAATCTATGTGTTAAATTAATTTAGACAAAGTAAATTTTAACTTTTCAAGCTGTGCACTTGAATCAAAATAAATTTATAGGAAATATTTTATGTTTTTTTTTGTTTTATTTATTAAGGTGCTATTTTTACTTTAACAGATGTCTTTTTAATCTAAATTATCATATTAATTTTTATAGAGATCAAATATTTATCCAAACAGCGTCAGGTAATTGCCACTTAATGAAAACTTAAGTACATTATATCCAATTTAATTATCATCATAATATTTATCTTAAACAACCTCAAATTACTTGTCTTTAAAGAATATCTTAAAATCAAAGCTTTTTAATAAATTAAATATTAATTCTTAATTGTCAATAAACATTGCAAATAACTTTAACTTAGGACATTCTTTCTTAACTAAATCTAAAATTTAAGTATTGAAAAAATATAAATCCAAATCACCCAGGTTGCTACTGAAAGATAAATGCAAACCCTCTAAGCATTTTTGCTAGATTAAAATCTGTCTTAATAATTCATAGTTATCATTTTAGGACTTGCTATTTATTTTCTTGAAACTAGCCTTTTTTAAAAAATTTACAGATTTTATTTCTTTTTTTATCTCTTCAATAATCTAAACATTATCAAATCTCTTTTAAATTGATATTCTAATAATATTTTAGTAAAGAACCAAACATTTTTATAGATTTTCTTTATCATATGCTATCTCTTTTAAAAATAGCTCATCAAACCCATTTATTTGTAGTTCTGAGTAGTATATATTTTCAATTTCTTTAATCATTATTTTAAATTAATTGAATTAGCCTTAAATTATGGTAGTTTGTGCAGGAATGCATTTTAGTTATATCAAGAACTAAAAGTTGTTTTCAGCTTTAGGATTGAATTCAATAAAAAATTAAGCCAATTTTATCTTTTACAAATTAAACAGAAAAGAAGTAACTTAGTTCAAGCAAACAAAATTTACTTTTTATAAAATATCAGAATTTTAGTCTTCTAAAAAAATTTAAATATTATTTATTTCTATTTGATTTATTTCCTAGCTTACAGATAAAAGTTTTGCAAAATTAAGATGAGAAAATTAACAACGAAATTACTACAGCGTTTCTATGAAAGAGTATTAGTAATTAAATTCAAATTTTTATAATTACTCTTCGTATTATAAGTGAAAATTACTTAAATACTCATTTAATATTACAGTCTACTTTCTACGTTTATGATTTATATTTAATTAAAGTGGTTTTGTGTAATTATTCTTAATTTCTTTTTTAGGTAATTAAAAATCTATGTAGAGTTTGTAATCCCTTTGGAAACACTTTTCACAAAAAGAAATGTATTTTTGTAATTTTAAGTTAAACTAATTTTATTTGCTTTCATTATTTTCATTAAAATTAATTTAGCTTGTTTAAATTACTCTAATTATACATGTAAATTATTCAAAGTACTATTTATCATGCATAAATTTGTTAAAAAAGTATCTTAGAAGTTAGTAATCAACTTCTATTATTACTTTCTTACTTTTATATTAATCTAAAAGTTCTTTTCTGAATTATTCACACTCATTCAATTCATTTTTTCTCTAAAATGTTTTAATTAAAAATGCGTCTTTTAAAATATTGTAACGCTAAATTGCTCCATATAATCCTACTAGAGTTACTTTCATATCTTATAATAGTTAATGAGTTTGCGAAAAAAATGGAAGATGATTACTAATATTGTTTATATCAACAAAAATAATATCTAAGAAATAAGGATAATCTTTTCTTCCCATTAAAAAATCTTAGAGAGAAATATTATTCTAACCTTATTCTATTTTGTATTCAAGTAAACTCTAAAGCAGCTCACATTTAGCGAATAAATTTAAATTCTACTTTTATAGCTAATAGTAAATATTATTGGCTATTTCTTATAATTAGTCTATTTACCTTAAAAATAAATTCATCTACTTATTTTATAAATTATTTAATATCAAAAATTAAATATTTGCAAAAAAAAATTTTTATTCATAAAATCTAAATTTGTAAATAATAATAATACTTTCTGCTTATGATTTATTTCTGAATTTATTTAATTATATTTCTAAAATATTTATAAATAAACCGATATTAAATATTTATAAAAATGTTTACAAATAAAATCAATTTGAAAAAAAATTTTTATTTTTATTTAATTTCTAAATTTTTTTGTATTTTTATTAAATAAAAAGTACTTCATCTTGATATGAGCAGATTTTATACTTATATTTTGGTTTATATATAATAAATTTTATAATTTCATTATAAAAAAATAAAAGGACAAGTAGGTTTTTAATTAGCAACTAATATTCAATCTATAAATTTTGTTAACATATATTATTTATTATTTAGTTATTGATAAATTGCAACGTTAATATCCATTTATAATAAAATATAACAAACAAATATACAAAATTTATTTTAATATAAATAAAGTATTAGTTATATATCTTCAACTTCATGAGATAAAAGAAAGACAATTCATTATTCCTAGGTTGTGAAGAGTCAAAAAGATGTTCAAGTTAAAACCGATTATAAAACCAGTTTATCTAAACAATGTGAAGTTTACGAGGGCACCAAAAACATATCCTACAGAAAATAAAACTCTTGATAATATAAATAAGACTGCCCATGATAAAACTAAATCCTTATCTGATGGTTAGGATGAGAAAATAACAAAATAAGCAAGATTAGCAATAAAGATAACAAATTATTCAAGAGAATTTGTTAAGATTCTTTAGCAGGCAACAATTACAGGAGGGTCTCTTTAGTTTACTGGATCTGGTTTCATCAATGTCACTCTGAAAAATATTGTGGAAGCTATCACACATAGATAAAAAGCAGCAAAGTAAAATAGGACTTAAACAAGAAATGAAATCTTTCCCTCAAATGTATCAATATTGGTAGAGTGCTTGATAAAAGGAAGTACTACTGGCAAAATATACCTTGCTGATTTGACAACAGTAAAACCAATGAATAGGTTAACTGGTAACAATATGAAGCTAATAATTTTTACTAAAGGTGACCTCTATTTATTATCTTCTTGCTTTCCTTTTTCTTAAGCAGATTACCTGTTAGACATTGTGCTAATTTTTTTTACAAATTTTTATTAATATTGTTTATTTTATTAATCAACTATATCTTATTATTAGAACAATTCAAATGGCAATAAATTTTAAAATAAAAAGTCGAGATTGGTGGTGTTTCTGACACTTTTTATTCTTAAAATTGTAAAATAAAATCTTTCTGGCAAAATCCTTGGAGCAGGATAATAAAAGTAAATTTTTTTAGATTTTTGATCAAGAAGAAGTCATGATAAAATATATATAATGGAAAAACTTTTATTATAAATTTTGTTTACATCAAATTAAATTTTTAAACGAAATCAAAAAAGAAAATTCTAAATACAATTAGAAAAATCAATATTAATAAATTACTTTAATGATATTTTACAATTTTATTTATATTTTGCTTTATTCGTAAACAATAAGCATAAGTATATAAAAATTCTAATATTTTTTTATTTGTATTATATAATATTGATATAAATTTTTCTCTTTGTTTAAGCAAATATTAATATATTTGAGATTTCCTGATTTAACAATTTTGCTATATCATAAGTAATTGTTTTTCGAAAAATAAATATTTAATACTAATGTAATTAAAATTTCAAAATTAATTAAAGAGATTAATCTCATTTTTAAATTAAATTTATATGATCTCTACAAATAAACTCAAGTAAAATCTTAAAAAATTAATTTAGAAGAGTTTTAATAAATAATTTATATAGTATTAAAAAAAGAAATTTTTACTACAATTATTAAATATATTTGATTTTAGATATTAAAATAGGTAAATTACATTTTTAATAAAAATGAGATATCTTCTTATAGTTATCTACTATTAAAAAATTTTGTCTAGTAAAAATATTGATTTTCAACTAATTTAATAATAATCAATAAAATATTTGCTTTTTTTATAATTAATTTGGTAAAATAATATTATTTTTTTCATTCTAAAATAATTTAAACTCCAATAATTTTTTATTTCAAACAATTTTAAAAGAATAATTAATAACCTTACAAAAATGTAAAAATTTAAATTTCTACTTTTATTAATAATTTATTTATCTTTTTTATTCGTTGAAATTTTTACTAAAGATTTGCAATTAACTTTTACATTTTAAAACAAATTTTCAATCAATTAAAAAAACATTTATAAACATTTAGAATAGTTGTAATTATTAATCTTATCTATTAAAATGGATTTTTCTTAACTAGCATAGATAACATAAAAAAATATTAAAGACTGGGGCAAAGAAGAAATTTAAAAATGGTGCGATTTTATTAACTTGCCTCAATATAAATAGGTTTTTGGTATATTTTTAGATAATTCATTTTCAATTATTTTTTTACTTTGACCCTGAGTTATTGAGAAAAAAAATGCATACAATAATTAAAAATAGGAGAGCATGTAGTAACATCTAAAGACTTATTGAAGTTGGATTAGTATAAAATAGAAAATATATTAGGCATCAAACCTGCTTTGCATGTAAAGAAAATATTAAAGTGTAATTTTCAATTAATTATTTTAAAGATTTACGAATTTACTTTTTATAGGGGTTGAAATAATATTTTACAGCTATTAGTCATATTATGAAAGCAAAATAGAATCAACAGTTTCATACATGATACTATATCCTTAGTAAACATTAAACAAAGTATTTAATTTTAACATTTAGGGGTTTTTGTTGAATAATTTTATAAAAACAGAATATTCTATATTATAAATAACAGTAATTTATCTCAAAAATAATTAGAAGTATCTAAGAGTTGCGTATGAGCTATGTGAATCAAATTTAAAAATAGGCAGTGCGAAAAGTTGCCATGTACATCTTGATGGAAAAGATATAAATTAAAGACACGCTGAAATAAAATTTAGGAATGGGAAGTACCTTTTATAAGATCTAGGGAGTCTCTATGGAACTTATGTTAAAATTAGGGAAATAGAATTAAAAAAGGGCACTATATTTATGATTGGAAGCTAAATAATAGAAGTTGAAAGTTTAACAAACGAGAGAGCCTTTTCAATGGCAGATTAATTTCATAAAAAATAAAGATAGGTTTTGGATTTATTTGGAAAGCAATAATTAGAAGAAATGAAAGAGTTTGAAATCACAAAATAGCAGGAAGAAGAGAGTCATTCAATAATTTCATAAAATGACTAAACAATCGATAATAATATTAATAGTTTATAATTTGATGATGAACTCTTTATGAGCTTTAAGAAATATAACTACTTGAGTTTTGATTAAACATAATCTCATTTTAATTTATAATTTGACTCTACTAAAATAAACTCATATACAATAGGTAGAAAAAAAAACAATAGTCTTCCTTTTGCAAATGACTTAGAAATGAGCGGAAATCATGCTATTATAGTTTATGAAAACAGTAAAATATATTTAAGAGATAGAGAATCTAAAAATGGGTAAATAAGACATATTTCTTTTATAATTAAATTCATAAATAAATAAAAAAAGAATATTGGAATTAAAGCTAAAGAAACAATTTGATAAATTCTAAATAATTTACTGCACTTGATAAAACTTTTATAATTTAATTTACATTAAAAACCATAAATTTAATAATAATTTTTATTATTGACCTTTGAATTTAGGATATGGTTACGATTGAGTCCAACTGAGAAAAAGAGTGATTTCTTAATTTTATAAAATGGAATGAGTATACGCTTTGGATACTACAATGATTATAAAACATTCTTTGGTTATATTAAGGAAGAGAATTGCTAAAAAGGATTTAGCTTTAATCGTGTTGACAAATATTGCCTCAGATGCTTTGTGAAGTATCACAATACTATGCTTATTCCATGCAGTCATTAAGTTTATTGCAAGGATTGCATTAAATTACATTGTGAAAATTTATAGAAAGTTTGTCCTGAGTGTAAAAATGATTATTGGGATTATGTAGAAATATTTTAATGACTATACAAAATATTATTTATAGATTATTAGTAAGATTTTAAATAAAATACTTTATTGTTTTTTAAATCATATTATTAGGTATTTTAGTCTAATAATTTGTATTTTTATAATTTAAAATAAATAAAATTTCTTACTTTATACTATCCTTTAAATATCTTACTGATTAATATGATAAATTTTTATTTAAACTTTATAAATTATATAAATAAAACATACATTGCAGACTAATTAATTATGACTAATGCATTTTCAAAGTTTTTAACGAGTTATTGGCCTTATAAAATTATTTTTAAATTTGCCTCAATATATCTTGCCCTTAAATAATGAGTATTTAATGTATATGAAGTATTTATTATTGAATATATCTTTTGCCAGAAAAAGTTTTTTTCGTATTTTTTTGAAATTTAAAGATTAATTAAGTTTAATCATTTTGTTATTCTTTTTAGATTACTCATTTTGTGTATATAATTCTAATTAATATTAAATATAAATCTTTTCAAGTATTTTTCAATTTATAAGAGAACTATTGTAGTCATGGAAATATATAAAATTATTAGAAAACAGCCATGCAAGTGGAATTTAAATGACACTCTGCAGTGGCTGGAGCTTATTGGGATGAAATAATATTAGTAAACATTTCGTATAGTATTATTAATTATCATTGTATTTTATGGATATTAATCTATTATTTTACACATTCTTCTGATTTATTTGAGTTTGCTTGAATAATAAGAATGATTTGTGAAATACATCATTCATTCATAGACCATAATTCGTATAATTTAGGAGAAAATTCAGTCGATGGGTCAATTTTAATGGATTTAAGTGAATAAGATTTAGAAAATGAATTGCAGATCAAGACTGAAAATGATAAAAATGAGATATTAAAAAGTAAGTAAATACTATAAAAATAAAGTCTAAATTTAATTTCACTATTTAAAAGGATAAAGAGAAGAAATGCCTAAGATAAAAGCTATTCATAAAGGTATTTTACTTGATAATGTTAAAATATTTTTATTAACTTATTTGCGCTTTATATTTTTTTATTAATCTAATTTTATATTTTAGAAAAGGAAGAATTTAAAAAATACAAAATTGAAAAAATAGATTTCAACTCATCCAATAAATATGAGATTAGCGATGATGTATTAAAAGAAATTAGATTAAAATTTAATATCCACAATGACTGGGAGATTTGCACTGATCCTAGGGAATTAGGATACGTAATTACTGATGAAGAATGCTACTATTTATCAATTTACAGATTTGAATATAAAGTAATTTTTACAATCTATCTTTTTTTTAATTTTATTATTATTTTCTCGTATATAATAAGGAAAATGTTCAAATTTAAGTAAAAGATACCATCAATTAATGTGATTTAAGCATAGGTAAAGACTCTTCTCAAAATTAAATTTCATCTGATCATAAATATTTTGATCCTATTCATGCCAATATAGTGTTTGATAATGTTGAAAAAGTTTATTGGTTTGTAGATTGTAATACGCAGTATGGATCATATGTTAGAATAAATGGTAATTAATTCAATATATTTACAATATTATCACAAACAATTCAATTTAGGTAATAAGATTAGCATCTTAGATGAATATATCATTGGAAACAGCGTTATAAAAATAAATAAGATCACCAGAAAAGAATAAGATAATTAAAGTGTTTAGTTGGATTTTAGTTTAGTGACTGAAAAAGGACTTACTACAAATTTAACCATTTAAGTCTGTAAAGGTATCTAAAAGTGGATAGGAAGAGATTCTACTTGTGAGATTGTGTTGGATGATATGGAGGTATCGAAAAAACATGCTTACTTATCTATGAATTAAGATGAAGTTTTTATTTACGACAATAATTCTAAGAACAAGTAAATAAAATTTTTAGTAATTCAATAACGTCTATCATTCATTTTAAATTACTAGTTTATGGAAAAAGATAAACTCAATTAAGTTTAACAACTCGTAGGAGCCATCTCTAGAAACAATATAAATGAAATTGGGGAGAGAGAAGTTTTCTTTCCTAGTTTACAAATAAAAAAAGTAGAAATATTATAAAGAGATACATGACTATTTAAAATGATTAAATATTTATTTCCATATTTATTTTTATATTTGTATCTAGATAGTAACATTAATTAAACTTTTTTCAATGATCAATTTTTTAGGATCTTATTTAAGTAAATGATCAATTAATTAATCATTTCATGTAATATCAAAATTTTTAAGTATATGTGAAGTTGTTAATAAAGGTATAAAAATTAATTAATGCAATATTTCAATTAGATAGTAAATTTAAAGAAATAAATAAATCTTAATGATTTCAAAAAGCAATTATTTTCAATAAGGATAATAAACGATCATTAATAAGCATAACTGCACTTTCGGGTCATGCATAAGTGAACTCAATAAAATAAATAAAAAATATTTAAACAATATCAAAAAAGGAAATAAAACTTTTTGCCTTTTGCAGAGTAACTTATATGAAAATGATTTGTTTTCTCATTATAAAGACAATCCTCTTTTACGCGAACTTTATGATAGAAGTAAAGTTAATAAATGTAATCATCTTTTGCTGGTAGAAGCACTTCTAAAAAACAATCAAAAGTGCGAATTAGTTTTTTTTGATCTGAATATGTTTTTGGGAAATATTTAAATTTCTAGATTACAAAGACCATTTTTAAATAATATGAGTATGATTTCAGAATTTTTAGAAAAAAATATTATTCCTTAGCTTAAAAAGCTTTAAATTAGAGAAATTTTAGCTCTAAAATATGCATTTGCAGGTTAGGATAAAAACCTAGATGAGTATGAAAGTGGATTCGACAACTATTTGAAATATGTTATTAAACAAAATATAGATTTACATTTATTTATTTAGTATGTTTATGATATTTTGAATAATATTTCAGATGGTGATTTTAATTGTAATTCAGTCTATATATCTAAAGATGTTTGCTTATTAGATCTTGAACCTTTTGTTAATGTTTGTGCAATTTCTATTTAATTTTTTAATTATAGGCTTAGAGAGGAAAATAAATAATACACAAAAAATAATCTTCCACGCATAACTTTCTTAAATCTTGATGGCTACGATCACGGATATATTAATTATAATTGCTTTAAAGATAATATTAAGAATGTTTAGTACATATCATTATTTGATGACAATATAGTTTCTTTTGAAGAATGCAAAGATATTTTTGAAGGGCGTATGGAGATAGAAAATGAAAGAAAATAATAATAGATTAATAAAGAGACTCAACTTTAAAATGAAGTTAGACTTTCGGGCTAAAAAGAAAAAATAATATCTTGTCTAGATACATTTAGCTAGATGCCTGATGAAGAATATAAATAAAAGAATTTGTATCAAAAAAACTCAATAATGATACCCTTGTAGAGTTATCCATTAGATATTTTAACCAATCAAAAAGAAAGAGAAGAATATTAAATCTCTAGCGGTAAAATAAGAAAAGTCTTAAATGACATAGTGTATCCTTCAATTAAAAATTTTTAACCTGAGTTAGTTATTGTAACATATTCTTTATCCATGAATAAATAATCTCATAAAAAGAAAAGTTAAGGAGATACAAATTATTCTTACAATAATTTTAGCTTAAATGAATAACTTTTCTCAGAAATAATGACTCATATTCAAATTTATGCTAATTCAAAAGTAATTTACTGCCCTCATATACTCAAAAATATTTTTTAAGTTAGCAGAAATGACTACAAATCAAATAAAAATTATAGTTTTGATGAAAAATACTATTTTAACACTATGTAATCTTTTGCCTTTAGCGATGCACAACAGATAGAAAGCATGTACCAATATTAATAAAATATATTAGGTGCTTTTTTTTAAGTACAAAGTCTGCAGTTAGTTGAACCGATTCCAAAAGATTATTTTTATAATGATCCTCTTAAAACTCTAACATAAATATAATTTTAAAATAGAATGAACCGATATGCTTCGTTTATCAGTGATTAACATAATTAAAATATTAAATAATATATTGCTAGTAACATTAATATTCAAAAATAAACATAGATTATGTAGTAAATTGCTCATTATCACAAGTCTGAAAAATTGAAAGATTAATTTTTATAAAAGTACAGAAAAGAATATGAAAATAATGATGAAATGAAAGATGAAAATAATAATTAAATCATAGAAACACTCGAAGATAATAAAATGTTAAAATACAATCATTTCGTGTATGATAGCTTACAAATAGTAATTTATTTATTTATTTATAAAAAAAATATATTTTTAATAATATCATAATTATAGAGATTTATTTTAGAGTATTAATTTTTTAATTAAAAAAAAATTATTAATATTAAGATCCTTAAAGCAGGAAATGAAGAAGAGTTGAAAGCACAAAGATTATATTTTGAAGATAAAGAAGGATAAAAATTATATTTTACTCAGTAAAGCTAATACTATGTTGATTATGAATAATAGGTTGTTTTCATATTTAACATTATTTCTGATAATTTATCACCTTAAAATTACTATGCTTCCTTCAAGGAAGGTAATATATCTGAAGGCGGAATCTTAAAATGTAATCCCTTACCCTACTTTTTTCCTGAAAAACTTGAAGGAGGAAACTAAATGATTGAGTATTTATTAGAATTCAGCATTTGTATATTCCAAAATTACATTTTAGTAGTATATGGAAAATATATCTACACACATAAATCAAAGGTAATAAGCATTTAAAGCCTAGTCAACCTCTAAGAAAACTAATTTAAAATATCAGACCAGATTTTATATTTCAATTTTGAGCTATTTGATAAAACTTCAGAAGGTCACAAAAAAGATATTTAGTGGTAAGCTTTAAACATTTAATCAAACGCAGACAAACAATTTCCTGAAAGATTTATCAAAACTAATAACTTTGGTCGCTTGTATCATGCTTGTATCATAACAGATAAATCAACCTCTAAAAAACATAAAAAATATGAGCCTATTCTTTTTGTATTTGGAGGTATCAAATCTTTTGATAGTTAATAATAATCTAATGGATTTTCATAACTATTTTGCAATTCAATAATAAGGATAGCACCTTAAGTAAATTTACTTTTTACTGAATCAATAAAATTCTAAAAAATTATAGTATTATGAAAAAGGTGAAGAGAACATAGACGAAATATTTAAAAAAGATTGGTATGTAAGCATGTTAGATAAATCAAAATGTATCACAACAATGAGGCCTTTTTGTAATTCTCAAGCTATTGAAATCAGTAAAAATAAGATATTATTGATCGGCGGAACCCATAACAAGTATTTAATACCTCTCTAAAACGAAAAAATATTTGCTTACACTTTTAGTATTACAAAAGAAACAGCCATATCTAACGAGAGTAAAAAAGTGTAAAAACAGCTAAAATCTAAGCAGCTTAAACAAAGCAAAAGTAATTTATATTATTGTTTACTTAAATAATTTTATTTAAATTCTATTTGATTATAAATAGTATAAACTGCAATTCAAAATGAAAGAGGGTGGTAGTTAAACGAGGTTGAACCTAAATAATTCGGTACTCAATTTACTAATGCAGCTCTCTCAAGCCAAAATAAAAATATATTCTTCTAAAAAGATGGTTATAATGTTTAGTATTTTATAATGCTGAACTAAGAGAAGTATGTGAATAAAAAAATTTATTTAAAGCTTCAATAAAATCATGATTAGCAGTAAAGTCCTTATTGCTGCAACATATAAATAAATACTCTTTAAAATCCATAAAACGGTACTGAATCCAATAACTTAAGCGCTAATTCAGAAACAGGCAAAGAATTACCACAAACCAACAAAACACTTAAATTATAACTAAATCATATAGATGTTTGTAGTTTATAGCAAAATAATAAAAATAATTTAAATTACTTACCCTTGTCTTACTTTTCTAATAATCATCCAAATTCTTTGATTAAAGAAAAAGTTAATTTGATATATTAGAGCAATACTGAACTAAAAGAATCATCTAGATTTAGTAGATCACTAGATACAAATGTTTCAAAAATTACCAACTAATAACAAAATAACTAATAACAAAATGAGAGTTTTCTTAAAAAGATTTAACTTTATAGAAGTAGGTCACAAAATTAGCAATAAGGTATTTTCACAAATAATATATAATCTTAAAATTAGCTACCTTAACAGCAATCAAATGTTCAAAGCTATTAATAAAATATTTAATTAAATAATTAAAATAATTCATCAGCTCATTTGAATAATTTATAAAATAATTCATAAAATAATTTGATTAATAAATAAAATAGTTTTAATAATCTATTAAATACTTCCAATAATCAACTAAAAAATACAAATAGTTTTTAAAACACTTTGAATAATTAACAACTCCCTTTATATAATTAATAAAATAGTTTAAATAATTAACAAAATAATTTAAATAATTTACCAAATACTTTGAATAACTAACAAAATAACTTGAATTATTAGCAAAATAATTTAAATAACATTCCAAATACTTTGAATTACTAACAAAATAATTTGAATTATTAGCAAAATAATTTAAATAATTTACCAAATACTTTGAATAATTTACAAAATTAAGTACCAATCTTATAAAACCAGTAAAACTAAATTTCAATAGAAAAATTTTAGGCAAATTAAAGAGGATTGATTATACCTAATTAACAATTAAGCTAACCAATATAATAAAATTTCAATAATCAATTGATAAGAATGGATTAAAATAATTAATAAAGTGGCTAATAATTATTTTATATGAAAAATAATACTACATAAAATTTTCACAGCATTGAGTAAGCATAAAATTTTTAGAGTTTATAAAATTTATAGATAAATAAATAGTAATCTCTAAATCAACTTTAACAAACCAATCAACTAGCACAAAATGATTAAAAGTAGAGTGAACCATAAATTTAAAATATTTAATAATAACAACAATTACTACTACAATAAAGATAAAGCTCAAGTGGTTAAATTTAATTGCAAAACTAGTAAAATGCAAGTAAGCAATTAGCTGGCTTTTATGATAATACAAATTAATAAAATTATATATACGGCCAAAATATGCAGTAAAGAGTGATAAACCCTATATATAAAGAAAAACCTAGATTTTAAGAACATCTATTAAATGAATCAAAAAAATTATACACCAAAATTTACCCCGGCTCAAAAATTGGTCTTTTAAATATTGTGATTGTACATTTGGATTTCAAGTAAAGAAATAAAATAATTAAGATTGAAGGAGGTTCCTTCTAAGACAACTATAAATTTCTTCAGTCTTATTCTGAAAATATAGATTTTTAAAAATCAATATTTTAATAGCAGATTTAAGTTTTACAACAATAGTAATAACCTTTAAATTAGTAACCATATACCCAAGAGTGTTTGCAAGAAATACCTAACAATTCTCCAAAAGAATAACCTAAATAAATATAAACAGAGATGAATACCATCTAGCATAATCCTAGCTTTGGCATTCCATATATACTCTAGAGTAATTTTTTTGCTGCACAGGCTCCAGGTGAAATCTACTACTAGAATTACCTTTATTATATTTCTATAGCAGATAATAAACCTATTTACCCTCTTAAAATAGATATAAAAGTGAATGCAAAATCTTTTTAAGCTATACTTGATAATGATTACATATCTCCAGAACCAAATAAAATTAGAGGAATTTATTTATCATAATGTGGAAGTATTTTTTTCTTACTCTACAAAGAAAAATAATCAACATATCATGTGCTTTGTTGTAAAAACACTGCAGATATTATATCAAATAAGTGTATGATATTTGATAAATACATCAAATACAGAACTAAAGCAGAGTTGTATAAGTATATTAAAAACTAGTTAACTAATCCAGAGTTTGAAAAGTATGATAAAAAAAAGCAAGATGAAGAGAAAAAAAATCTTTAAATATTAATAGAAAGATAGATTTAAGATTTTGATAAACTAAATGAGACTCTTGATTTTAATATTCTGGTAGATGATTAGTTTATATATTTTTTATCCCCTTTAATCATCAAGCACCTAAAGAATAATCCTCCTCAAAATTGTAATCTTTTTTATCACTAAATCTTAATTTTTTTGATTAAATATTTTTATGCATTTAATAAAAAATAAATAGAACTAGAATTGGAAAGGGTTCAATCTCATCACATATTTTTATCATACAGATCTTCCTAAAAGGATTTAGAAGTTATACCTTAAGATTTATAATGGTTTAAAAATTATAATGAAGATAACATTAAAGCTGCTTAAAGTAAGAAGCATATTGCTATGATCTTAAATAAAATCTTTAAATCAAGTGATAGAGAAAACGAATATTATTTAAAATATAAAATATTAAATAAAATCAATAAACAATTAAAGACACAAGAGATAGTAGAATCTTCAGAATACACTTATAAATTTAGGTGCAATATAAACATAGATTCTATTAAAAACATTCATCAAATTATCAGTAAGTCAGATTAAGATAAATTTGATTTAATTTTTATTTTAATTGAGAATATTAATACAAACTATAAAAGATTTTTCACATTTAAACCAACAAATTTCCATGAAAATGTATAAAGTTAAAATGAAATTGTAAATGATATCAAAATCGATCATTCCTAAATATTTAGAGATTACATTTTTACGTCACTTTAATAAGCAAAAGCTGAGGATTACTATATTTTTGATGATATTAATAAAAGCTTATGGAATGCATACCCAAAAAGCAATTAAAATACCACTTAAAGTACAAGCATGACTTTGGAATAAAATAAAAATATGACTTTGGAATAAACGCTTGCTTAAAAGAATGCAACAAGTATCCAAAAAAATAAAGATTTTCTAAAACTTTAATATTAATAATCTTTCAAAGATATTTTATGAAACAATTAATTTTTTCTTTTTAAAACAATTTAATAAAAATAATAAAAATTTAAAATTAACTCATAAAATATAAATCTAAAAAATAATTTAAAAATAAACAAACATAATTTTAATTGTAAATTTAATATATTAAAACTAAATGTTTAAATCCTTATGTATCTATTCAAATATATAATAATCAATTTTTTTTGTATCCATTAATTTAAACACTTCTTAATTATCTAATAAATTTCGAATATTAAATATTGAAGCAAAGATTATTAAATATTAAATATTATTATATTTTTAAAAAATAGCTTAAAATAAATTACAAAAATTTTAGAATATCAGAAAATACATTTTTTTAAAAAAATAAAATGTATGAAATATTTTAAAGATGCATTCTTTATTTTCTAAATTTATTTTAGTAAGCTAATTAAAGATAATTTAGTCTGTCATATATGCTAAAAGTATGTTTTTTAACTCTATTAAATATAAATATAAATGTTTATTTTGCTGCTTTAAGCAGATAATTAAATTTGCAAATTACTATTTGTATTATAAGAATATCATAAAGTTTGATATAATCAACTCTTTTTCTCGTACTTTGACAGTTGATAAAAGAGTATTAGATCTTAAAAAATTAATATAAATTCTTTTAGTTTATTGTGTAAAAATTAAAATATTTAGACATGCTCTTAACATAATGTCTGCCTGCAGAATAAAATCACTTCATAATTATCAATTAAACTTTTTTACATAATTATAATTTAAAAAGAAAATTTATTTTTCAAAATCTTCTTATGATTTAGTAGCTTTTGAATAATTCTTTAATTTTATTTAACTTGCTGATTACTTTTAAAAAATATATTTTATCAATACTATTAACTAAATAAAACAAATTGAAAAAAATTCTCAGTTAATTTAAAAAAATTGAAAACTTATTTAATTAAATACAAAAAATAAAATAAATTTTTGATTTAAAAAACAAGATAGATTAAATTTAATCAATATTAATATTCAAATATCATTTTCTTATCTTCTTTCTAGTTCAACTTCTTTTTCTGCTTTTTCAGATATAAGATAATCATAATAATGTTATTAATCTAGAGATTTATTTTTTTATATTTTTATTAGCAAGTATGATATTAAAAAAGAAATCAGTATCACTACAAGGAACATCACTTAGTAGAAAAATGATGGAATATAGTAATGATTAATGAAGTAATCGAATGGTTTAATAGCATTTCTTAAAATAGCAGTTCCAAAACTAAAAAATATTGGAATTATAAAATAAAGATAAGCTCTAATATTCATGTTTTTATAGTAGTCTCCGCTGTTTTTTTCATTTGAAAAAAAGACTATTTATGAGTAATTACTAAATATAACATCTAAAAAGGAAACAGACTTTTAATCATCAGGTTAATCATCTTTATTGCTATTTATTTAATATTTTTCATTCAATACAAATAAAGGAACAATCAGAGAGATAGAGAATTAACCAAAGAATGTGTTGAAGGTACCGTTTAATAAGGGATAAAATATACCTCCAAACATAGCACCAGCATTTAATACATCAGTATGAATATCTGGTAATCTCTCCATATGTTCGCTAACATAAAAGAACCAGCTTGTTAACAGATATAAAAAGACATACTTACTTCCAGATTCCATTATTTATAAACGGTGATACAAATGGCCAACTAAATAGACTATTAATAGTAGAGTACTATATTTAATAAGACTATCATAATGAAGAACGTACAGAGCTTGCAGGTAAAAGTTCATTAAGAATGTTGCATATTTCCAACTAAAATTTGGAGGATTTAGTGGAGTTCTATTTATGAAAACAAGCTTATAAATTTCGGTTATAAAAAATAAAATTTGAGCTACAAAAAGGTAGTTTATATCTAGATCATACACTTCTTTTCCATTTTATTTTTCAATATTTAGTGATTAGATATAGTAAAAGTTGAAAAGGCAGTATAATTAAGAGTAGCACAATAAAGCAAATACAACTTTCTTTGCATAGTGACAAGAACCATGTATTGCTTTACAAGATTTATAAATAAGTATAGTGTAAATCAAACCTAAAATTGTCATAGGATAGTAGAATCTTACATTCACACTTGCAAAATATTTTACATATTCTTCATTTATAAAATATTAATTAAATTTAAAGTTCTTAAAATGACTATGATATCCGCATGAATATGTAAGAGCAGGAGTAATTATTATTAAGATTATCAAATACAATTTTTAAAGAATAGATATTTTCCTTGAAAATAAAACCATCAAGAGCCATATTGCATAAAAAACTAATAAAAACATTTATGTTAAGTCATAGGTTCTCTCAAAAAGATCATTTGTCAATCTTAAAGCAGCATTAAATACAATTCCTGATATTATTAAGAATGTATCAATAAGTCCATAAAGGTATGAGTTAGATATCTTGTAAGGTATAATCAAGCTTTTACAATTTATCTTTTGAGACTGGATTTTAATAAAATAAAATAAAATCAAGAGACCAAAAGCATAAAATATTGAGAACGAAGTTAGGGTGCTTGAGAATATACTTAGAAATCCAAAAATACAAACAAACGATATCATACCAATTTTGTAATAAACTTTTTTAGAAGGTTATTTAGGTGATTCTTTTTAATTTAAATTTTCAATATTCTCTTTTTGTAAGTTATATTGTTTGCTTGAAAGAATTTAAATTAGAATGTACGAACTTAATGCAGCTAAAAAGAAATAGATTACAGTCGCTTTTGTGAATAAGAGGTTTGGGCCTGATATTTCATCTAAGAAAACTTTTTTAATGAACCTTGCATAATCTATACAATTACCAACATATTCTTTGACATCTTCATCTGTCATAATTCCACTTTACTCATATTAATCAAATAAATTATTATACTGATTCATGATTCTGCTATACTTTGTTTAAATTTCTCCAAAGCTTAGTATTGTTCTTTACTTTTCATTTTTAATTATACTTATATAAGTATATATTTGCTATACATTTACAAAGTAATTATTCACAATTACTGTATTATCTACATCAGGCCTATTTATAAAGAAATCAGGAATGATAATTCCAATATTCACTGAAGGAAGAGGAATTCCTTTCAGCATGCAGTATGTAGCAGTGATATCTATCTAGTTTACTATAGGAGAAAGTAAGTATTTTCTATCCATTATCTAACCAATATCTCTATCTTCCTTTTAAATAAAACCTCTCCTATCATATCCAAATAATATGACTTATTTCTCCAAATCAGTGTAGCCTCCGTGCTGTGCAAAGTGTCTTTCATTTTATCCATGATCTGAAAGGTAGATAATAGTCTCAGCCTCGATATCTAACCTTTTAGTACTATCAATTAGATCTCTCAACTAATTATCATGAAAATTAACTGTTGAATAAGTATTTATACCTACAGAAGCGTAAGCATGGACAACCATATCCAGAGCTTCGTAATGAGAAAAAATTGTACTCCAATCTTTATTGCCTTATTCTTCGACAATAAGATTAAATATTTTTTTATCATCTTCCATTGATTTAGTAAAAGGTTCTTAATCAGTGATAAATTTTTTGTCAAAGTGCTTACCAACAAACTAATCCCAATACATGAATCCAAAAAAGTGTACTTTTTTTCCTTATCCATTAACTTTAGATTAATAAACGATATTGTCATCTGGCATTACTATCCCTCTTAAGTTGTTCATTACTTCTATATGCAATGGCATGTTTCCTCTCAATATTGATTTGATTCTAACAGCAGATAATGTTGGACCGTCAGCATAAGCCTCCATCAATATTGTATTTTTTGGCTCTGCGATAAGACGATTTATAGGTTCTTTAAAGATCACATCTGTAAAATATGTGCTGTTACTTGTTTCATCTTTTGAATTTTTCATTTCCTATTGCTTTGTTTTATCAATCGCCCATGGGAAATAGAATCCATCAATAACTTAAAAGAGCAATTACTCTGATTAAGTAGGGAACCACTAATTTAGGTAAATTTGCTTTTGTTATTCATCTTTGAATCTCATTTTTGAGTGATATGGATTTTACTATGGATTAAACTTACCAGTGGTGTTATCTTGATATATAAAAGCTAAGTAAAATAGATAAATTCCTATCAAAAAGGCTACCATAATAGCTAAAGCTACAGAGTTTTGCTTAATAGACTAATTCATTTTTTTTTTGCTAACCTAAATATTAATAAATAATTTTTTATCAGATTGTATTTGATAAAAAATAGATAAAAAGAAAAGAGCTATATTTACTTCAAAAGTGAATTTGAAATTAAAAGTCTACACTTTTCACTCCAAACATCTATAAATTTTCTTCTTAATTTAATTTGTAAGCTCAGTGCACAAATTTTCTTCATAAACATTAGAAAATGGCTTAAATAAACATAATTTTAATAAAGTAAAAATAATTTAAATCAATTTGCATTTTTTTTTATTAAAAAAAAGCAATAGTATTTTTAAATTAATTTAGTTTAATTTATAATAAATAAAGCATACATATTTTAGGTATTAGGGTTTATAGAAATGAATTTATATATTTTCAGGTTAGATTTAAAATTAGATATACTTTTCTATTTGATTACAGAATATTTTACAATTATACCTCCAAAAAAAAAAATACTGATATCAAAACACCAATTAAAAACATAATTTTTCTTAAAAATTATCAAAAATATCTTTATATTTTTGTAATAGCCCTAAAAAAATTTTTACTATTTCATTTGATTTAAATTGCAAATAAAGCCTAAACTCCCCTTTTTTTCCTAACCTAAAAAAATAAAAAACTTGTAAATTCTTTTATAAGTTTAGTTCTATAAATTGCTTAACAATAGATTTCATAAAATAAAGAGAATTTGTCAATTTCTTAATTTTCTTTTATTTCTAAAAATAAGCAAAATATTTATTGACTATTTTAGTTGCTTAAAATTAATAAAAATAAATTTCTAAATAAAAAAAATATTTAAGTTAAATGTAAGTTAAGATTATTGTTTTAGGAAATGTATAATCTTGCTCTTTAAAATATTTAATTTTATTATCAATAATCTTTATATATTTATTAAATTATAAATTTTTATTGTAATAGACAAGATATATTAATTATTAATTTATATACATGCTTTGTTTCCTATTAAAAATTGTAATCTCAAATTTAGTTATCTAATTATTTTTATTAAATCTTAATTTATTATTATAATAAAAAGCTTAATGATTAATTTTCTTAAACTAAATCTAAGATTCGCAATTCTAATTCATCTACTTACTATATAATTTCATTCTCTTATTTTTCCTATAATTCTTTTATTTATAAAACTAAATTTTAGTTTTCATGTCCTAGCTTTTCTATTTGAATTTCTAAAGTTTTAATTCTTTATTCATAAAATCCAATTTTTTTTTACAAATCTTCATTTTAATCTAAAATTTTAGGCATATTCATTTCAATATATTATTTTTAGCCTTTCATTTAGATAATTTCCAAATTTATTTCTTAATTTTATTCTTTTTAATTTTACAATTAATTTTTAAGCTTTTCTATTTCTTGTGTTTGCTAATCTTTTTCTTATTATAAAAAGCTCAATTCTTTAAAAAGATTTTCATTCAATGCTTCAATATGTTAATTAAATTATAGTATTTGTTTTTCTTTTACATTCAGCTACTCTTATAAGCTGATGCAAAGTTATTTTTATTTACTTGCTTCCAAATTCTATTCATTTAATTATTAGTTTTCTTGAAGGACTTTTTCAACACTTGCCATAATTTTATTCATGGTTTTTTTAAGTTCATCTCTTTCAAGTTTTACTGCTTCAAACTCCTCAACTTTGATAGTTTGAGGCTATTATTCATTTTATAGTGAAGCTAATAATTATTGTTTTTCTAATACTATCTCTTATAATTTTTCAATCTCTTCTTCTAAAGACTTATTTTATGATTATTAAAGTTATATCTAACTCACTTAAGAATCAACAATTTTTTACAAAGTTTCAAATTTTTTTTAATATTCCTCTAATTTATCACATTATTCTTTAATCTAACTTTAAAGAACTTCTACTTTATTTTCTAAATCCTTAATTATTCCCTATTAATTATTTTTGCTTTCTTTTTCTTTACTAATATTCAAGCCATCTATATTTTCTTATGATTCCTGTTATTAAAAAATAAATAAATAATTAGTTAGTTAGTTATTGGCTAAACAAACACTACATAAGTATAAATGATCATTTTTCAGTTTTTTAAGATTTAGAAGTATTAAAAAATAATAAAAATAGTAGATATTTACATTTCTAATAATGATTGATTGATTTGAGGGTGTTTAAGGTAGATTATTTTAGCTTTACAAAGGAGAATAATGGCTTAAATTTTTAAGATGATTTTTTTCCATAATTTTTATAGGATAAATTTATGGTTGCTACAAGCAAAATGAATTTCTTTTAGAATCAGTATTTTATAGGATTTTTAAGGAACTTAATGAGCTTTATCCTTGTCTATAAACTTTATGAGACTTTGTATTCTAAATGCTATCCATAAAAGAATATTAACTTTTATTTTATTTGAAATGAGGAGACTAATTTGTGTTTAATTATTATTAGAGAATCTAGATTGGTATGTTTTCTATTGATGATTTATGAGAAAAAACCCTGCTAGTATTTGATTTTTAAGATAATGAAACGTTATTTTATGCTCTTATCCTAGTCGACTGGTAATTCATTAAAAAAAGTTAGATTTAAATAGTATTATTTTATTTTTACAATTCTTAGTTTACGATTTTAACAGCTATTTTTATATTTAACTTTTTTGAAGTAAAATATATAAATTTAGTATTTTTTAATAACTACTGTTATTAGTTAAGCTTTATTTTACATTAGCCTGTCTGTTTAATATCTAATAGATATTTTCATTTTTTAATACTAAATATATTGCTAAAATGATTTTTTCAAAAATTACAATTTAACTTCTAAATAAAATTTACAGACAAGCTTATTTTAATATGTTATATTCAAAATGATTGAAAAATAGTAAAAACTATGCTATTAAATAATTTGTATACTCTTAATTAAATATATTAAATCTCAAAAAGAAAGATCGTAGGAAACAATTATTTAATGTTTAAGAAGGAAAATATTTTATGTTCAAGCTAAAACTTTATTTATGAATATAATCTTTAAAAATATTATAAATTATAAATATTGTAGAATAATGATAATAAACAACTATTTAATTTAATAATATCAATTAAATTTTTTTACAACTATATGTTAGATAGAACTCTTTTCAACAAGTAATTTTAATCCAAAAATAATTAGTTTCTAAATATAAAATTAAAATATTTTTGATGTATATTAAGTAAAAGTAAGTTGAGTTTTCAGTTCAAAAAATATTCTTTTAGAATTTTTTTATTCAAACAACTAAATTAAAAATATCTAATAATTTTTTTAAAGTTTTATTTTATGTCAAAATATTTATTAAATAAAAATAAAATTACTTTATAAATTTTTAAATAGCATAAATAAAATTAAATATAAAAATAAATAAATAGATAAATAGTATAATATTTATTATATTAAAATTATAAAATATTATAGAAAAAGATATGATAAAGATTTTCTAAAAAGAAATTGAAACTGAGAGCCCTTATATTTTTAAATTATTTATGCAGACCGTTTAGAATTAATAATTGAAATGAAACAACTCTCTAAAAATTAATTAATTATAAATTATACAGCAATTTATTTATTTTGTGCATTGAACAATAAATTGATACAAAAAAATATTTGGTTTTGATATTATTTTAACAATTTTGAAATAAACAAACATCATTAAATAAAACCACATAATTAATTTAAGGAATTAAAATGTCAAGCTAAGCTTCATAGCAAAACATAGAAAATTTAGATTAAGTAGTTTATAATCAAATAACTGAATATATTAAGCAGTAAAAAGAAGAATTTAATAACATAGACTTATATGAACACCTTTATAGGGTTTTCCATAAATTGATTAGAGAGCCTAATAAATTTTGCAAAGACTTAGATCATTTTAATTTAATTTCAGATTTTATAAAAAAGAATTCATTTAATTATAAATGCCCTTTATCAGATTCTGAAGTTAATAATATACCATTAAAGATTGCAGAGCATTAAGAATGGATATCTAAATCTGAAGAATTGTTTAAAGTAAAATATTATTTGAATTAAAAAAATTTGTCTACTTATATAAGATAATTTTGTATGGAATGTGCTTTAATTTGATATCATGCAAAAGTATTTAAAGAATTAAGATACTTAATTATAAAATTAGGATTTTTCAAAACTCTCCTTGAACAGATAAAAGCTATTAATCTAGAATTTTTATGAAGATAGTTTATTATTAGAAACAGCAGGTATTGGATTCTCTGAAGAAGAGTCTTTTAAAATATCTTAGTCTATTCGTAGGCTTGCTGATTAATATTAGGCAACTTCTATGAGATTTTGGGGTAAATATTTAACCAGAGGAAAAGATTACTATGTTGCATAAGGTCTCTATTCTAATGAGAATTGTGATAAGCTACCTGATAATTGTGAATAAAAAGGACAAGGAGTTAACAGATACACATTTTGGGTTACACATAATGGTATATATAATATATTTGATAAAAAAATAAATAAAGATTTGATATTTTAAATACAAAAAAATGATATTTTATACAAATAAAATTTACTTTTTGTAAAAATACAATATATAATTAATCCTAAAATATAATATATACAGTTTTAGAGGAATGGACTGAACTCCCTTTGATTCATCCTGATCATATAGTTTAAGCTAGATAAATAAAATATTTGCTCACTGGCGATTTAAATGCCAGTTTAAAAACCTACCCTCTTTTTTATGGAAAGGAAAAGCACTTCGTAATTAGAAATAGTTTTTAGTACTTTAATGCTCAATGATTAATTAATATTTCTTATTTATATATAGCTGAAGGCTTAACTTGTAAGAATTACATTTGGATCAGAATTAGCACCAAAAGGATTATACAGACCACCAGAAGAGGGTGAAAATGACATATAACTTGAAGATGAACCCTTCAAGCTTCCAGAATATACAGAATTATAAGAATTATCAACATGGGTATTAAATTTTTAATATGGCTTTTGTTTCAAATGATTCATTAATAATATTTTATAGGTTCACATGCATCCTCCTTTGTTAAAATAAGGAAGAACAACTATATATGTTGATCCAAAACTACCTGAAGAAGAAAGAGAAGCAAAGCTTGCAGAATTATAAGAATAAGATTAAGATACTTAAATTGAAAGATTAAGAGATATTTCTTAAGATAAATGTAATTATTTTTATATCGGTTTATTATTTTAAAAAAATTTTTATTTATATATTAAAGCTCCTTTCGCCTTACCTGAAGGAGAGGGTGGAAATGAAGAAGAAGAGACAAATTGGTAAAAAAGAGAATATGGAGATAAATAACAATTTAACACTATCGAAGGAGTAAAATTTAAAATCAAGAATAGTTTAAGTAATAATGTTTTTTTGGAATAAAGGATACAGTTGTCAATTATAATTGTGTTTCATTTAAAAATTTAACTTGGCCAGGAGCTCATTTAGTAGTAAATGTAAGAATATTAATTATGATTTAATTTATTAAATTGAATTTTATTTTTAAGAGTTAAAGCTACTGCAATATATATGTTGGGTATGGTCTTAAACAAAATCAACATCCATTCTTACCAGTTGAGCCTAGTGATATGCTTGAAGAATAAGAAGATACTGATGAGCATCCTGAAGTAATTTAAATATACAAAATTTTTATATTTTACTATAAATTAATAAAACTATTTAGCCTAATCCAAACAACCCTCCTGATGAAGTAGAATCCGATAGTGACGATGAAAAGAAGGAAGAAGATGAAGAAGAAAATTGAATAAATTAAAATAAAAAATATAGAATTTTAAAGATTTAAAAATTTTTATTTATATTATAAAATGTATATATATTTACAAAAAAACCTTTTAATAATTAATTAATTAATTAATTTTATTTTTCAAAAATATTTATTGTCAATAATTAACTATCAATATCAAAAAGTTAATAAAAAATATTTTAATTTAAGTTAGATTTTGATAATCTTAGATTTTAAATTCATTATTCTTTTATTTCAAAAAAGTTATTTAAATTTAGTTAAAGATGACATTTAAAATTAGATATTTATTAAAATTTATTTTAAATTATTATTAAAATATTATTTAAGTTAGAATAAATAAATTTATAAAAAATAAATTTGATTGAATTTTATTATTTTTAATAAATCTTATCACAAATATTAAATAGAATAAGAGTATATTAATAAGCCTACCTTTATATGTTTGTAATCTTTTAGATTATTTTAGATTAAAAGTAAAATATAGATAGATAAATAAATACTTAATTATAAATAAAAGTATTAAATATTTTAATTTTCAATTTTTAAACTTTTCCATTTTACGAGCCTTTTGTAGCTATGTAACCTTTTTTGTTTAAAAAAAATATTTAAAATAATTATAAGAGGTGAAATCTATTTATTACTTTCTTTTTTGCTTTAATGTATGCAAGAGCATCTGGGTCAATATCTTCAGATTTATTATCTGTGATATTTTCTTCACTGGGTTAATTAATTAGGGGATTTTCTATGTCATTTACAGAGATTCCATATTTCTTTTAGAACCATTCTTCAAATTTGTTAAGTAATACATTTTTAGTCTATTTTTTTAAAAATTAGTAAATAAATAAATAATTAAATAATGTTTTTATTTACATGAATTATATTTTGATCGATTATTATAATAGTAGATTTTAAGTCTTTAACCTATTATGCATACTATTTGTAATAATTCTTTTTCTCTTTTAGTTATTGCATAATCTCATACTCTTCTTCATCAATAATTCTTTACAAGATTTCCTTTTTTTAAATTTCATTAATTTTAAATTTATATATTTAATTTAAAATATTACTTCTTGATTTTTATTGGCTTACTTCTTATCTAATTTAAGCTTTAGGTTTTCTATTTCATTTTTTATATCGTTGCATAAGTTGGTAACTTACTTAATTTCTTCTTTTTTTTCTTTCAAGGCTTCTATATTTTTGACGATGCTGTCATTATATTCTTTGCCTTCTTTATCTTTGAAGTCTTGATAAGCTACCTTCTTATCAACATTCACTATCTTGTTGTCAAGCTTAGATTTTTCTGGAGATCCAGGCTTTTCTATGACGTTTTCTTAAGGCTTTTATTCAGGGAATTCGTCTTTAGGTATATTTACTAAGTTCTCTATTTATTTTTAATAATTAATAATCTTAATAATATATAAAAATAATCAAACCTATATTTGCTTGAGGACGAGCATCCTTTCTAGCCTTTCCTAAACCAAATCCGTTTTTGTTTTCTTCACTACCCACAGCTTCTTATTATTTAGAGGCTTAATCGGTTTTCTTCTTTTAAATCTATTAGAGAAATAAAATTTAAAATAATGATAAACTATGAAATAATAACTACAGTGTCCTATTGATCTCTCTTGGTCTCAATGTAATTTTTGTTTTCTATATCTTTTGCCAAATTTCTATAGAGATTTCTAAATTAGAAAAACAGTTCTTTCACCTATCTTAATGATTCAAATTCAATATCATCTATTTCACCATCTAAAAACTTTTTCGCAAGAACTTGTTACTCATATTATTACTCAGGAGTATATTAATCATAAGTAATTCTACCACGATTAGCAAGAGTATCATGCATAGCCAGTTCTTTTTTTTAAAAATGAATAAATAAAAGATATTACATTATAATAATGTTTTTAGAATACCTTGCTTTAATTCCTTTATTTCCTTTTCATACTTTTTTAGAAGCACAGTAGGATCAAGCTTTAATTAAATGGTAGCTTCGTTTGCTACTTTCATCATTCTTGTTGCAAATTTCAAAGTAGAAATTGTCTCTTCCAAATGGTCAGCTTCAGGCCATATATTTGCTATCATAATAGTTTTAGAGTTACCACCAATAGAGTCTTTTAACAAATTAGTCAATTTTGATTATCTATATGGAATATGGTCTCTTTGCTTTTCACTTAATGCAACAACAACTTATTCTAAAAATGAGAGTGATTTGTTTATAAACTAAGCTTCCAACAAAGTTCTTCCTTCAGATCCTTAAATATTTTTATTATTTATTTTGTTATTCATGGTAATTTTTTTTATTTATTTTACCTGTTTTTTTAGTTCTTTCAGAACCAGCTAAATCAACTAAATGAAGCTTAGAAATAATAACTTTTTCTGTAGACTCAACTCTACTTCTAATTTCAAGATGAATTGTAAAAACGCAGTGAGAACGTGATGAGTTTTTGTTTAATTTATGCTCAGATATAGTTCTATTAGTTTCACCTTCAAAGATCATTGCTTAAGCTTCCTCCTCAGTTTTACATTATCTAATTATTTAATTTTTAACATGAACTCTTCCATTAGTGTCTTCTTAAATAGCCTATTTATTATTAATTTTGTAATATTTATTAATATTAAAATTTAATGTTTTTAGAGAGTATTTATTTGTATGCAAAATGTCAATCTTTGTTTAAATAACTAAATCAATAAGTAATTCAATAAATTTACAAGCTACTAAGTTTAATCGTTTGGAGCGACAGAACCTGCTAAGAGATCAGTTAATAATTCATTATAAATTTCAAGATATGAAACACCTACTGTAATTTGCTATTCATATCTCTAACCTACTTCTTGGAAAAGCTAAGAAATACATCTTGGAATAAGACCTCTGTATTTATAATCAGTTGTTGTACCAGTAGTTGTAAATGTTTTACCAGCACCTGTTTGCCCATAACACATTATTGTACCTATATAGATTTAAAATTTGCAGTAAGTAAAACTTATTCATACTAATATTATTTAAATATTTTTATGCAAAAATCTAAAATAACATATCTATTAAATTTAAAATTATATTTATTTTAATATGATGTTTTTCTTCTTGCTTTGCATATTTTACCTGAATAACCTTCAAGGACCGAAAGAACAATATCTTTGGCACAAACATCAAACATAACTTCCTAAGAAACATTTTACAAAACTTTATCAAAGTGAAAACCCCAGTTTTCTTGTTAATGATTAACGTAACCGCTCTCTGCATTTTTAGGAATGTTGATTCCTACATAATTAGAAGATTCATTTATCTAGATATTTTTGTATGCAAAATTAGCAGTTGGACGTGTCCTAACTACTACTTTAATAGGAGCTTTTACCATTTTTTAATCAAACTAAATCTAATTATAATATTAAAGATTTAATCACTCTCTTTACTAAATTAATTTACTTTGAAAATAATAAATAACTATTCGAAACTACTTTTTGTTATTATTCACAAATTAATAAATAAATAAATAAAATAATGACGGTTACGAAGCTTAACAAATTTGCAAAAACTTTAATATTAAAAGAATGTATTAATATTTTTTATATTTTTATCATGCATGATTATTTATTAAAAGAAGCAGGTATTTTAGCATCAGGAATTTAAAAAAATACATTTTATAATTTGATTTATTTTAAATCATCAAAAAATATTTAATTTTAATTTATTAATTTTGGTAATGTAAATTCATAATATTCCTTGTTAATTAATAAATTTCTTCTTTTAGTTTTTATTATTAATTAAATTATGATATAGTTTTAATATTAATTATAAATGCAAAAAGTATAATTGAGGATTGTTACAAAATAGAATTGGTTTGTTAAATGTGGTTTAAATTAAACTATTTCAATCTTATTAAATTTTGGAATATTAGAGCGCTCAAATTTATTTTAAAATTCGGATTTTCTGCATCCATAACATAAATAAATAAATAAGAAAAATTCTTTTATTATGAATACTAAATTAAAAGATCTTTTAAATGTAAGCTAGCTAGGTTATTAATATAAATTTATATTTTAAAATAACATAAAAAGCTAACTAAAAATTAAACTTTTTCTATATAATACTATTGGCATGAGAAAACAATTTATTTATATCAATTTTGATTTTAGAGCAAGCAACAAAATAAATTATTGAAGTTATACTGTCTACTTACTTTTTATATTTTCCGCAAAAATATCTTTGAATTTAGATTTCAAAATGTAAATAATGTAGCTATTCATATTAAGTTTGAAAATTGTATATTAAAATAAGTTAAAGAATACTCATAGACAAGCAAAATATAGACTTATTATTTGCTATCATGCTTAATAGCAAAGATTTTATTTTTCAATAATTCATTATGGAACCTACTTATTAAACTTTTTCTATTGGTTTAACAATTAAAATTTTCCGGGAAAAGAAACCAATAAATAAAATTTATCGTATTTAAAAAGAATCTATTATTATCAAGTTTTTATAAAGACTTATTTTTTTTTTTTTCATTCATCAGATAAGATAACTTTATGATAATTGATTTTTTGGGAATTATTTATATAGGGGAGAAATATTGATTTTTCAATTAATTTATAATCCATTTAAGAAAGATATGATTTTCATATTAAATATTAAAGCATAAAATTTATATTGATTTATTTTCTCATAATTATTATAAAAAAGATATTTTATTAGAAATATTAAAATAAAAAGAAATTAACATCAACTTGATAAAACAAAAAAGAGAGATTGAAGTTAATCAAAAAACAAAGAAATATGGCTGATAAAGGAATTTTTATTTACGCAGTCAGAGATGAAGACAGCATGCAAGGCTTCATCTTGGTTGCTAGTGAGGTAGATATTGATGTGGAAAACTCTAAGGCAGAGAAGGTTGGAGTTTACCATATTCATTCTGTAAAAAATAAACCATACAATTATACAGTCAACAAAAAACTCACTAATGTAAGACTTGATGAGTTTATGAGCGTAGTAGATGAGGATTTATATGAGTTTAATGAAAAGAATAGAACTCTAGTATTCGATAAGAAAGGTTATGACAACTTAATTGGTTAACTTATGGATGATTTAGAAGAAGAAAATGATGATGACTCATCAGAAGAAGAAGAAAAAAAAAAGAAGAAACCTGCTCCTAAGGCAGCTTCTGCCAGGAAAACTCGTAGTTCTAAGGGATCTGATAAGGTTAAGGGATCTGACAGTGAAAGCTATGAGGTAATTAACAAAAAATTAAAATTTCGTTTTTAATTTCTTAATTTTGTAAAAAGTTTACTATTTTTTAAAACTTAGAATAAAGACATCAATCAATCAAACGTTTTTATTATTTATTTTGTTCGTTGTCTTATGATTGGATTTCTTAATTTATTATAAATTATATGTTCTTATTAGATATTTGCAATCCAATATCAGAAAATAAAATTTTACAAAAATTTTGTTCATAAACATTACAATTTAATATCTATAAATTTTAAATATCTTTTTGCTTTTTATTGAGTTGATATAATTTAAAATAAACTAAATAAATAACGTATTATTTTAAAGGCAGCTGACGAAGAAGATGAAGAAGAAAAAAAGAGATCAAGAGGAAGACCTAAAAAAAATAAATCCACTGAAGAAATTACAGAAGATAAAGACGAAAACTCTTAAGAGGATTAACCTAAGCCTAAAGGAAAAAGAGGAAGACCTCCTTCTAAGGATAAAGCTGCATCAGTCGCTGTTCCAAAAAAATAGGATAAGTAGGATGATAAAGATGGAGAAGAAAATGGTGAAGATTAAAATGGTCATGAAGAAAATGGAGATGAAGATAAGGAAGAAGGAGAGTAAAAACGTGTTCCTGGTAAACGTGGCAGAAAGCCAGGTAAAAAAACAGCAGAAACACCTGCAAAAAAAGAAGCGTAATAAAATATTATACATAATAGAAAGCCATAAGTATTTTTAATTTAAAGACCTGGAAAAAGAGGAAGAAAGCCAGCAAAGAAGGGCTCAGAATCAGAAGATAATGAAGATGCTGATGATGAATAAGAAGAAGTCTCAAAAAAGGGAGCAAAAAAGAAAGTAGAAAAATATAAGAAAGGTTCACACAATCCTAATATACCTGATGTAGTCAAAACTGACGAAACTTTCGAAGGTGATTCTTAAGATATTAATGACGTTTGTTGCTCATTCTGCACAAACAGAGAAGTACTAATTAATTTGAGAAAAATTTAAATTTTTGAAATTTTAATTAATTAACTAATTAGTTGTTAAGAGCTGTTTACACAGGTAATAGTAATCTTTTGAAAAAATTAGTTTAGTCAAAAGCAAAGGTAAAGAAATCATTTTATTAATGCATAATTTTTATCAAAATCAATACTATTATTAAATAGGTCTCTACTTTGTTTGCCAAGAGAGGTCCTGATGCTGATGAAACCACACTTGAAATCATTCTTAAAAACAAGGATAAAAAGTGCCTTGATGTTTTGATTAATGCTCTTAACAAGAAATCAGAAATTTCTTTAGCTTCTAATCCTGAATGCTCCTTAGAAGAAGTCTATACTGGTTTCAATGACAGATTTGCATACGGTGTACCAACTAGAAAGGTATAAATGGCTAGAGGTGGTAAAGAAGGAAACAATGCTTTTGTTGCAGATATTAACTCATTTGTTGATACCTAAAGCTGGAATGAGAATGAAAGATTAATCTTTTCTCTTCTTGAGAATGAAACAGAAGTTTAATTTTTGGAATTCTTAAGAGGTCTTAAAGACGAAAATCTCACTACCTCTTTACTTGAAAAAACATATGTTGCTGTAAGAGCTGGTAATAGAAAGACTGCATCCTATTTGATGAAATAAGCTAATAAATTCGGTGGATATGGATTCAACAATCTTCATGAATAGGTTTTATCCTTAGATGATGTATCCAAATTAGATGAATTCAAAAAAGGTAAATTCATTTTTAAGATAAACCAAAAATGCATGAATTTTTTAAAGTAAGTATAACCAAGAAAAGCACAGGTGTTTATAGCAAGAATAGTTATGGTTTTGGAGGTGCATAGGGTATTATTACTCCTATTCATTGTGCAGCCATCAATCCTAATCCAGAATTCATCAAAAAGTTGTTAGAAATATCACCTGAATTCACAATTCCCGATGATTTAATGAGAAAGCCAGTTCACTATGCAGCAACTTGCGAAGGTATTTATTTAACTCATACTTGCCTTTAAAAATATTTATAATAAATAAATAAACATAATTTAAAAATAGGTCCTGGTCCTCTTAGTTATCTTTTAAAATAGGGTGTTGATGCAAGAGAAGGTGATAAGAAAAAAATTACACCTTTAATGCTTGCTTGTTAATTTGGTAGAGCCAAGAATGTAGAAATTTTGTTAGATGCAAATGGCAAATCAAACCCTGATACTCGTACTAGAGAAGGTTACAGAGCTATTCATTATGCAGCCCACTATGGACATCTTGACTGTATTAAATTGATGATTGAAAAAGGTGGTGTTGAAGTTGATTCTCCTGGTCCCAAAAGAATGACACCTCTCCATATTGCTACTTCAAGAGGTCATTTTGAGATCGTGGAATATCTTCTTTCAAAAGGAGCTAAAGTTATTGTAAAAGATAAGTTTAAACGTAGTGCAGTCATTCATGCTACTGCTAATGGCTATCTTAAGATTTTAAGTCTTATTTTAAAGAATGGTGGACCATTCAATGACCCAGATTCCTCAGGTAACTATCCTGTACATTATGCAGCTGCATATGGATTTTAAGCTTGTCTTGATTTACTCAAATAAGCTGGAGCTGACTTTAATCCTCAAAATTCTTGGAATTTAACTCCTCTCTCAATTGCTATGGCTAAAGGTAATAAATAGATTTAAATAATTTTTTTAAGTAATTTAAAAATATAAATAATTTAGGACATTTTGGAATGGTTAAGAAGCTCTTAAATTATCCTGAATGCGATGTTAACTGCACTGATGTTAAAGGTAGAACTATCATATCAAGAGCTACTGAAAAATTAAATCTAAATAATCTCTCTCAATTCGAATTCATTCTCAAAGAGAAGAAAGCAAATCCTAATATGGCTGATTTACAAGGTCAATCGCCTCTTCATTATCTTTGTAACTTATCAAAAGATGATTATGTTAGCAAAAGATAGAATGAAGAAAATGCTCATCATGTTACTAAAAAATATGAAGAAGAATATGAAAAGATTGTCTAAAAAGCTACTTAAATTTTACTTGATTGTGGAGCTGATATTAACAAATTAAACACTATGGAAGAATCTCCATTAACTATTGCTATCAAATAATAGAATTTCTTTATTTTAAATATTTTATTAAAGAAAGGAGGCCTCGATTTCTCTCATGTTAACTAAATTGATCAAAATATTCTACACACCTTAAATACTTTAATTTTAGAAGGACCAAGTGGAATCGATCAATTCTATAATATCTTTGAAGAAATCAAAAAAGATAAAAACGTAAATCTTAAAGAATACTTGAATAAAGTTGATTATCATGGTTTTTCACCTTTGTTAATGTACGTTAAAATATTCAGTGAAAGTAAATTTTTAAAGCTTATTATATTAAAATAATTTTTGTATTTATTTATTTCTTTATTTAAATTTTATAAAAAGATGCTTCTCATTATAGAGAATAAAGAGTTGAGGAATTAAGCCAAGAAATATACTCTAAGAAAGGAGGCTCAGCACCTAATAAAAAGAATCCTATCAAAAAGTAAGCCCCTACAAGAGGTCCTAGAGTAGCAAAAAAAGCAATTAGAAGTGCACCAGCAAAATCATTAATTGGATTTAGCAATGATGGAGCCTTAGTTTAATTAACAGAAAAGGAATTAGAAAAAGTTTAAAAACAAGCTGATGAAGATTTATTGCAATTTGAGCAAAAATTCTAAAAATTAATTACTTTCTTGGTCGAAAAGGGTTCAGATGTAGAAGCTAAAGTTTAAAAAATTAAAAAATATAGATCAAACATGGATGTAGAAGATAAATCAGATAATGAAGAATAATAAGAATAAGACGAAGATGATGATGAAAATGAAGGAAATAAAACCTTAAAAGATGAGATGGGTAATCCAATTTAAAATAAAAAAGTTAAGTACATTCCAGAATATAATTCTTGTGGAGAAATGAATATATTTGGATTAGCTCTTAGCCACCTATCTTTACCTTACTTAAAATTCATTCATGAATAGTATCCTTAATTAGTTAACAACGTTGATTATCTCAAGAGAAATCATCTCCATAAATTTATTTTGAAAAATGATGATGAACCAGCTACAGTAAACAAGATATTTGTTTAAATTTTCTTAATTTAATTTAAAAATTTTTATAATTAGAACGTTTCTCATAAAGTTTTAGAGTGGCTCACTACTTTAAAGATAGATATTAATTAAAAAGATATTATTGAATCAACTCCTTTAATCTCAGCTATTTCTTAGAAAAAGTACAAGTTTGCAAAGACTCTTATTAATCACAAGGCATAAGTCGATGTTAAGGATATAGTAAATTAATTAACAAAATATTTTTATCGAAGCAACATTTTTTTTTTTGAAAACAGTTTGGAAAGACACCACTTATTATGGCAATTAACAATATTCAGAGCAACAATCTTGAATTTGTTGAATACTTACTTTCTAATGGTGCTTCAGCAAACTTTGCTGATAACTATGGCAGGTAAAATGAATATACTTTAAATACTTTTTTTAAACTAATTTTAATTAAATAGAACACCCTTGCATCATGCCATCAATAAGGCTGATAAAGGTGCCAATGCTTCTTTTGATCTCGAAAATCTCTTGATTAAGAATAAAGCAGATATTAATGCTGCTGACTCTCTTGGTAGAACTCCTCTTCACTATTGTTTTGTTAGCCTCTAAGATTAGTAATATAGTACATTACAGTATGATCCTTTTGAAACTGTTAGCAGTCTTTGTAACCAATCCAATATTAAGATTGACGTTAAAGATAATTTAGGAAAGACTCCTTTGCATTATGCTGCTTAAAAAAATTCTACTATATCTGTAATCTATATGATCGAAAAGAAAGCTAATATTGATATTGAAGATGCCAATGGTAATACTCCATTAGCTGTCGCTTTCCGTTTCAAAAGAAGTGAAATTACTACTACCCTTATTCAAAATGGTGCTAATACTTCAAAGTTCATAACTATTAACAAGAATTTAAAACCAAACGGGGAAGAAGAGGAAGAATACAAAGAACCTGCTAAAGATCATTGGGGTAATCCAATCAAAACTAGAAGAAGATAAAACTATTCTAGCTATGGAAGCAGATACTTATTCTAATATCAAAATCAATATGATGGATTTGGAGGTGACCAAAATTCAAATAATAGTATCATCAAAAAATTACTTAGTGAATACCATATTGAAGAAGACAGTTATATCGAATTAGTTAAAAGAAGCATCACAAAAGAATAGTTTAAGGAAAAAGGCTTAGATAATCTCGTCTTTTAAGAATTTAGAGTAAGAGGTGATTTACCATTAGGTAAGCATTCATTTTTCAAGGCATCTATCACTTTCTAATGGTAGGGTATTGCCTATTTGCTTTTAATCAAGGGCAATTACAATCTTTTTAATGCTTTAGAGGATGCCATTAAAATTGATCTTTATTAACTTTCAATCACTCTTCTTTTTAAGTATCCAGAAGATGAAACGATTACTTAATGTAATAGCGAAGGACAAAACCTGATACACATTTTGTGTCAAAGATCTCCTAGAGATGTTAATCTTTAAGTGAAGCTTTTTGAAACTCTTTTGAATAGAGGTGTTGATGCTAAAAAATTAGATAATAAGAAGAATCTTTGCTTGCATTTTGCTTTCCTTCATCATTAACTTACTCCCAAACTACTAGAATTAGGATTAGATTGCAATGCCTACAATGATGACTAATAAACACCATTTGCCTTAGCTATTTAAGAAGATGCAAAATAAGCATTGAAAATATATACAGCTAACTACAAACCTGACTATTCTAAAAAATTCAAAGCTAAATTAGAAGGCCATTAAGACTATTTATAATTTACACCTTTGCTTATTTAATTTGCAAATAAAAATAAAGATTTAGTTTTATTGAATCATTTATTGGCAAATGGATCAAATATTAACGAAGTTGATAATTTAGGTAGAAATGCCCTCTATTATGCTATATATCACAACTCTCACAAATTAGTTAAATTTGTTCTTTAAACAAAGAAATTCGATGTTAAGCATGTAGATAATCAAGGCAAAAATGCTGTTCACTACGTTGTTAATCCAGTTGAATTTGGCTCTTATGAAAATACAGAAATATTAGAGCTACTTCACAATGCAAAAATAGATTTCAATGTAAAGGATAAGGATGGGTAAATATTTTTTGTTGTTGTAAATATAAATTTAATAATTCATTTTAAATTAGAAATACTGCAATGTTTTATGCTTTGCAATAAGATTCCAAAAAAATGGCAGAATCCTTGAAAAAATACGGTGTTGAAGCTCTTAAAGAAAAGAAATTGCCTTAAAGAGCTGCTACTTCAATAGTAACTGATGCTTTATTCCCTGATGAAGAAATTGATTATGAAGAAGACAGTAAGAAGTTTAGCGAAGAAACTACTTATGATCAATATAAGGTTAATACAAAAATTAAGTCAAACAAAATTTAATATTTATGATTTTATTAAAAGGAATTCTTTGAGCAAAAGAATGCTGGTGATAAAGTTTATCTCGATAAGTATGTAGCTGGAAACTACAAAAAGAAAGATAATTATGTAGTACTTGATGATAATAATGAACCATACAACTTGCTCATGACTAAAGTTGATCTCGGAGGAGGATTTGCTAAGTATGTATTCTACATCATGTAAGTTATTCATGATAAAAATTCAGACGTTTATATTCTTTACACTCGTTGGGGTCATATGGGTGGTATGGGTCAAATGCAACACACTCCTTTTGCTACCAAAGAAGCTGCCGTTAAGGAATTCAGTAAAATTTTCTACTAAAAGGTAACTTAAATTCAAACTTTATAATTGTTGAATTAAATTTATTTTATGAATAATTTTTAAATTAGTCTGGAAACGATTGGACTAACAGACACAACTTCAAAAAATAAGATAAGAAATATTAACTTGTTATCTTCGAGAAAGGAAATGATAAAAAATCTTTCTCTTTAAAGCCTTATGACTTTGAACGTCTAAATTGTTCAGCTTCATAGCTCGAAAAGCCTATTTAAGAGTTTATTAAGAATATTTCTAATGCAGAAATTTTCAAATAAGCATATCGCCAATTTGCCCTTTCTGACTAATATCTTCCCATAACTAAGCTATCAAAAGCAGCCTTAATTGAAGCTTAGGGCATTCTTGCAGATATTAGAGAAGAAGTCATAGAAATCTAAAAATTAAGAAGTAAATTAACTTAAGGAAATAACATGCAACTTCTTTTAGAAAGAGAAGAAAGCGTACTTCGTTATAGCAATAGATATTATGAACTTGTTCCAAGAGCTGTTTCTAAATGGTAAGTTTATTAAAGTTAAAAAATAGTTTTAATTTGTTAAAAATAATCAATAAATAAATAGGGAGCCTGCTCAACCCTTAAACCATGAACATAATATTTCTTAAGAATAGCGTCTTGTTGAAAATTTACTTGATTTTGAAGCTGCTATTAAGATTATCATGGGTTCTTATACTAAGCTTCAAGTAATGCATCCTTTGGATTACTGTTTCAACTCATTAAGCATCCGTATGAAATAAATTTAAAATGAACATCCTGAATATAAAATGATTTAGTAATACGTTTCCAGAACAAATCATAAAGCTACTGATCCTAATTCTTAGTTTATTAGAAATGTTTTCGCTGTTGAGAGAAGAGGTAATTTTATAAAAAATATTAATATCATTAAATATTTTATTTATAATTTTAAAAAGGTGAGGCTGAAAGAATTAAATAATTCTCTGATCATACTAAAAAGCTTTTATGGCACGGCAGTGGTGTTTAAAATCTCTTAAGTATTCTTAATTTTGGTTTAAGAATCAATGGTATTCATGCCTAAAAATCTGGAAGCTCTCTTGGTGACGGAATCTACTTTGCTGATTTATTCTCCAAGGCAAGTGCTTATGCTAACAATGCTGATGTTGGTGTCGAATCAAGGTATATAACAAATAAATTTACATGTATAAAGTTAATATTTATTTTTAATTAAATTGTAGATTCTTACTTCTTTGTGAAGTTGCAGTTGGAAAGGAATAACAAATTAAAACTAATGAAAATTTTACTAAGTTTGCTAACTCAAATTATTAACTTATGAAAGGCTTTAACAGTGTTAAACTTGTAGGTAAGTCTTGTCCTGATGAAAAGAAAAATCTTGTTTTACCAAACGGTACTATTGTTCCAATCGGACCAATAATTGATTTCAATGAAAACTTGAAGTAGAAACTTCAAATAGAGAAATCTACCAAAAAGAGTGCAAAAAAATCTACTAAAAAACCTGCTTAGAAAATACCTGCTAGACCTATCAAGAAGGTAGTCAAAGCTACTAAATATTCATCAGATGAAGAAAACTCTCAAGATGAAGAAAGCTAAATTTAGGTTGAAGAAGACGAACTTGATATTCGTAAAATCACAAAAAAAAAAATAAATTTTAATAACTTTTTTTTTTTTAAATTTAAGCTGAAGATGAAATTTAATCTGATGGTGATGAGGAAATAGAAGAGGAAGAAGATAACTTTGATGAAGAATAAGATGAACAAAATCTTTTATAAAATAATTTCTTATATGACGTACAACACTAAGGTGCTAAGACTCCATTCAATTAGCTCTTTACTCAATATTAAAATAGTGAATACGTAGTTTACAACTCAGCTCAAGTTAGAATAAGATATTTAATTGAAATAAGAGATTGAAATAATTTAATAAATTTTTATAGATTGTATGATAATAAAATAAAGAAAATAAAACATTTTTTAAATTTTTAAATAAAGTAGTAACTTATACTAATTAATTATAAATTATTTCTCCTAAATTTAGTTTCATTTTCAAAAAAGGGAGTTTATTAAAATGATTTGCTTATTTATATGTTCTATTTAGATTTTTTCAAAATAAAATTTAAATTAAAATAATATTCTCTAAATTAAAATAGATACTTTGAAATAAAAATTAAAAATTTACTAAAATCTTTAAAAATTAGAATTTTATGAAAAGGAAATGGCAAAAGATTTTTAATAATTTATATAAGAATACATACTGACTGTTTTAGACTTTTCCAAGATACTGTATTCAAATAAATAAGCATTACTAAACAAATTTGCCAAATTAAAAATACAAATCATTTACACTTTTAAATATTTTATTTTAGATAAGATAAAAATATTTTTTACTATTTTTTTTATTTTTATTTTTTAAATTATATTAGATAAAAAAACATTAATTTAATTTTACAATAAACATGATTTTAATTATAAGAATCAAATATATCTATTATTCATTATAATAGGTTTTTCTTTCTATTTAAAATATCTTTCTAACTCTTCATCATCCATATCATAATCAAATTCTTCATCTATATTTTATTCTTCTTCTGCAAATTTACTATTATCAGGGGTGTGATGGAATGCCATAGAAGGTGCACTTTCTATTTATCTTAAATATTCATGAACGGTTGAAACCTTCTAATGGAGCTCATCCTTGGTATTTTTATTATCCACATTATTTTTAGGAGTAACATGGAGTTTATGATCTGGACCAAAATAGTCATAAAACGGCTCAGTAATAGGAATATTTCCATCAATTTTATTTCCAACACAAATAGATGTCTCATAAGCCCAGCATCTTGCAACATTTGGTACATTATAACCACCACCTCCCATTAATATTAGAGGAATACCAAAGCTTTTCATATATTCTACAGCTTTTCCATGCCCTTTTGTTGATAAATTGAAGTGTCCTAGCTTTTTTAACAATAATCAATCATTATTTAAAAATAAATACTCTAACAATAATTAATTTTACCTTATCATATGCTAATGAATCAGCTCCGCATTATAGCAATATTACATTAGGTCTATATACTTCCATTACTTTTTTCATAACATCCTTAAATACTTGTTCAAATGTTTCATCATTGATTCCTGGTCTTAAAGGTACATTAATAGCATGATATTTGCCTGGTCCATCGCCAATAGAATTTAGAGAGCCACTTCCTATTTAAATAAACAATTTTTATTTTTAAAAAATTGAATTCTCATTATGATTTATAATAATTCTATTTTCAAAGCTTGGATTTATTTTTTTTTTTAATTTATGATTTATTATTAACTTCTAAATCTATTTCAAAAAGCTATATGATTCATAAACAAATATGTTACCTGGGAAGAAGTCATCACCATATTCATGAAAACTAACTGTCATCACACGATTTGTAAGGAAAAAAGCTTCTTCTACACCATCGCCATGATGAACATCAATATCAATATAAATTACTCTTGGATAATACTTTAATAACTCTAATGCACACAAAACAATATCATTAACATAACAAAATCCACTAGCTTCTTTTTTCTTTGCATGATGTAAACCACCTCCCCAGTTGATAGCAATATCAGATTATTGATTTATAATCATTGATGCGCAATCTAAAGAACCACCAGCACTAATCTAACAAAAATTATAAAGACCTTCAAAACCTGGGCAATCAGAAGTATCTCCTACTCTATATTTTTATATAGATGAGTTCAATATAAAAAGTAAAGATGCAAAGTAATTAGATAAATTAAAAAATATGCAATACTTGCTTGTTTATCTTTTTTTAGGGTTATTTATATGGTATGAAGATTCTAAATTTATTAAGGGATCTTGTTTCAGCTTTTTTAGCTCTTATGTCCAACCATTACTAACATAATTTTGTAGATAATTAATATATTCTATATCGTGAAATTTGATCATTTCTTCAAAAGTAGCTTAACGAGCAGTGTAAACATCTAAGTCTTTATACAGACCAAAATTTTAAATTAAAGAATGTGCCATAGCAACTCTTTTTGGTTTCATAGGGTGATCTTTGCTGTAGTAAAACCTAAAAATATTATTAATTATAGATTTGTTAAATTTAATGATATTATAAAAGTTTAATATAAGCTCTAATATGTGCTAAGTATAAATGCAATACTTTCCTATTTCAGGATTATAGAAATAACTAATTCTTTTCCCTTCATAAATTGTTCTAATATCATCTTCCATTTCTAAGCTCTTATATAATAACTATATTGTTTGCAATTTTCCAAGGTTTTAAAAAATAAAGAATTTATATATATTGTTTTAATATTTAATATCTTAAAAAGCATTATGAAAAATAATAATGTTCTAAATCTTTTTAATTGCTCATAAAAAAGATTAATTAAACTTCTGGCGCCTGCAAAAAAAAATATAAAGTTAAGAAAATTTAACAAAACTAATTAATAAGTTAAAAATTATTTTACTTTTTTTGTCAAATTTAATAAAAACTTTTTAAGTTATTTAAAATTTTTTTTTATTTTTAATTTATTTTCATTAGCATTTTTTTATTTTATATTTATAAATTTAAAAAATATCAAATTTTTTTATGTTATTTTATTTTTTAAAAATTTTTAAAATAACCTGAATATAAAGTAATATTCCAATTCTTTATTTATTATTTTATTTTATAAAAAATATTTTTTACTCTTACTGAAGAGCATGTTAATATTCTAATCTATATTCGATTAAATTTTTATCAACTTCACTGATTGTTTATTGATGTAATTTTTTAAAGTCATTTTCATAATTAGAAATTAGGCACATATTGTTAGGAGATTTAGAGAAAGAGAAACTTATAAATAAGGTATTTAGATATAATATAATTAAATGGAAGGGATAAACAATGACATTAATATACAAAACAAATTTTTAAAATAATATAATATACTTATTAAAACATTATTAATTATTTATTTATTTTTATAATTTATTTACTTATTAATCAATGAGCATTTAATCTATAAAAATAAGATTTATTTGACATTAATTAATCGTAGGTACCTTATTCAACAAGCTTTCCGCTTTCAATAACAAATATCTAGTCACTATCTTTGATTGTCGATATTCTGTGAGCAACACAAAGACTTGTTTTACCTTTCATTACACTATTTAATGCTTCTTAAACAATTTTTTCATTTTCATGATCAAGAGCACTGGTTGCTTCATCAAGCAATAAAACATTAGGATTTTTAATGATAGCTCTGGCAATGGCTATTCTTTACTTTTGACCTCCAGAAATTTGGCTACCTTTGGGTCCTACTTTTCTGTCAAATCCACTTCCTAGAGTTTAGTGTTCGTTTTGTTATTCACTTTCAAATTAATTTGCTTCAATGAAAGTAAGGGCGTTAGCTCTTCTTGCAGCCTCTCTTATATCATCATGACCTACATCCTCAGAACTGTATCTAATATTTTCAGAAATAGAGCCATTAAAAAGAATTGGTTCTTAACTAACAACACCAAAGCTCCTTCTGAATTCTTTCAAGTTATAGCTTCTGATATCCTTTCCATCAACAAAAATTTCACCCTCATAGTTATCATAGAATCTAAGAAGCAATTACAAAACTGAAGATTTTCCTGAACCACTTGGACCAACAAATGCAACTTTTTAACCTTTTTAAATTTTGAAAGAAAGATTTTCAAAAACTTGAGCATCACGAGTAGGATATTTGAAAGAAACGTTTCTAAATTCTATATCACCAAATACTCTTTCTGTGATAAGATTGTTGCTATACTTTTCAGATATTTGAATTTCATCTTCGCTATCGAGTATTTTAAAAAGACCCTTACATGCATTCTTAGCAGCACCAACATCACTCATAAATTAGTTTGCATTACCAGCACCAAAAGCAGCAAATAATATAGTGAAGATAGAAACAAACATTTCTTTTATAGTAACACCATTATCTCTAACAAATATAGCACCACAGATAAATATAATAGCATATACTCCAAACATAGCTAATTAAGAGAAACCAAATGCAACACCAGAGTAATTTCCTTTTTTAACAACTATTTCATAAGGTTTAACTAACTTTTCATCATAGAATTGTGAAACTTTCTTCTCGTTAGCAAAGGAAGCAACAGTTCTAATGTTTGTTACACTTTCCATAATAAGCATACCTGAATCTTTATAAGCGTCATCTGTGCTTTCACTGAAACCTTGAACGAATTTAGCCTGTAATTATCCTGCAATAATCATTATAGGACTAACAGCGAGAGCAATCAATGAAACTCTCCATGAATTAGTAAATGCACTAATAAGACCAGTTGCTAATGCTGAAAAGTTTTAAATTTAAATTGATACTACATTTGAAGTTAAAGAATTAATAAGGTGAGCATCAACTGATAAACGAGCACTTAAACTTCCTGGGTTATTTTCAGGTCTATCAAACCAACCAGCAGGCATTCTAAGCATTTTTTTGTAGACATCTTATCTTACTCTCAGGGTTAAACCTTCACCAACTCTAAAATTATTTGCATAAAAGATAAGGATTAAAAGTATTTAAAATAAAAAATTACCTAGTAAAGAGATATTGTTATAAAGTTGTAAATACTTGAGAACCAATTGCTAAGAAAACGAATAAGAGAGATAGTAGATCAGCCTTTTCTCTGAAATCGCTTGCCCAAGGCTTTGAAAGAACTTCAACGAATTCACCAAGAACGAAACCAGATAAAGGAAACATTGTTCCATTTAAAAGAGCAAACAAAGCTCCCAGATAGAAATAAATTCTTTCAGGTTTGTTAATTTCGTAAAGTCTTTTCATCATACCTGATTCTTCTTCCTTTAATTTTTTTAATTCCTCTTTTGTTAAGGGCTTCTTATCTTTTTTTTCTTCTAAGTTAATTCCAGGAGCATCGATTTATTGACTATTTCTCTTAGATTGTGATTACGAATTGTTATGGTGATGAATCTAAGCAGGATTAGTAGAGGATTTTCTTTTAGCAGGTTAATCCATGCTCTTAAGGTGATTTTCTTCATCATTATCACCTTATAAGTCTTACTTATCTTCTTATTCTCTTTATATTTAATTTTTTGCTAATGCTTCAAACTTGCCTCTGGCATTTATTAGAGATTCATATGTACCTTCTTCTACCAACTCACCTTTTTCTAGCACAAGGATTCTATCTGCATTTTTAATTGTAGATAATCTATGAGCAATCACTATTGTAGTTCTTCCTTTAGAAATATCATCCAAAGTTTATTGAATCATTGCTTCATTTTTCCTATCAAGGGCGCTTGTAGCTTCGTCTAAAAGTAGAATTTAAGGATTTTTTAAGATAGCTCTTGCTATGCATATTCTCTACTTTTAACCACCAGAAATTTGACTTCCTGCATTACCTACATATGTATCCAATTTATTTTGTAAGTCCTTAACAAACTCCCAAGCATTTGCTTACTTAAGAGCTGCAATCATTTCTTCTTCTGTAGCATCTTCCTTGCCAAACTTTAAATTCTCTCTAATTGTTGTAGCAAATAAAACAGGCTCCTAGCCAACATACCTATAGATTTTAATAAAAAAATATAATTTCTATTTTTAATTTGATTTAAAATATTTACCCAACATTTTTTCTAAACCAAAGATAATCTAATTCCTTAACATTAACTCCATCAACAGAAATAGAACCTTATTGAGGGTCATAGAATCTCAAAAGAAGTTGCATAACAGTTGATTTTCCGCAACCAGATTCTCCAACAAGAGCAGTCTTTTGATTTGGATTGATGATTAATGATAGATTTTTATGAACAGGAATATCAGCTTTAGCAGGGTAATTGAAGTTGACTTTATCTAAAATGATTTTTCCTTATAAATTTTCAATTCTTTTTGGATTAGGGGGAAGCTAAATAAGAGGTTTTCTTTCAAGTACTTCAAATACTTTAATAGCTGCTTATTTACCAATTGCAAAAGATTTTACACAAGGTCCCATTTATCCAAGTGAAAAACCACCTTTTTTTAAAATAACACTAGAGTTAATAAAATGGTCTAAAAAAGTATAAAAAGAAAGTTTTAAATGCTTCAAACTAAATAAATACCTATCATAATGGCAAAAAATACAACGAATATATCTCCCTAAGTATAGTTACGATCTAAAGTTTAGTTGGTTGTACCGTCTCCTATAAGCTTTGATCCATACCAGAAGCTTAATGCGTAATCTAAAAACATAGTGCAGAAAGTTAAGCCTAATTTATAACAATTTTTAATTAATACAAATATAATAAGCAGAAGAATATAATAAAAATTTTATTTAGTTACATCTTTAAAAATTAAATTCAAATATTACCTAAACCTGCCCCAGCCCAGAAACCATATCTGCAAGCTATTTTAAAGGCTTCAATCAATCCTTTTTTATAATTTTTTAACTCAAATTCTTCGCCAGTTAATGATTTGACTGTTCTCACTGCATTTAATCCTTACTCTGCTAAACCACCTGCAGTTTCATAAGAGCTTGCAATTTTTTTCTATGAAGTTTATATGACTATAGAGAAGGCTAAAGCACCTATTGTTAAAACAGGTAAGGCTGCTGTTGTGACTAAAGCCATCTACCAACCTCTTGCATATCCAACTGCGAAACCTCCAAGAGTCATAAAAACAGTCATCAAGTAGGTAGGTACTTTTTCTCCTATAGCTCCTTATATTTAGAAGCATTCTGTTGCAATTTTACTTGCTAATTCGTTTGGATTAATCATATCGTACCATCCAACTTCTTAACTAAGAACAGCTTTGAAGTATTCCTTTCTAAATGTAATTGATTATCTCTCACCAGATATCATCCAGCAGCTCATTTAAACCTAAGGTATAAAAATAATTAATTTTTGAATGAGAGTTAAGGATATTTATTTACCCAACTTAAAAAGAATGTTCCCAATCCAATATAAAGGAAGTAGAGAGATTAAGTTCCAGCTGCGTCAACGATTTGATCGCCAGTAGAAGTAGGGCCAAATGAATCAGTCATTTAACCAAAAATAAGAGCAAAAAGAGGAAGGGCTATACCATTAGCAATAGCAGCTATAGCTCCAACTGTCATTAAAATCCAGTCAAACTTAGTTGCATACCTAAAGAGTTTAAAAAAGGAGATCTTTGGTTCTACAATTTTTTAGTCTTTTGTTTTTTCATTGTCCTTTTTATTTGTAATATTATTTTCCTATAACTTCTATGTTTAAGTTGGAGGGTTTTGAATGTGTTAAGGTGAATAAGGAAAGGAATCTCTAGGTTTCCTATCCTAATTTTCAACATCAAAAGCCTATTACATAATAATATTTTTAGAATCCTATTTCTTAAAATTGTAATGTTTTGTATAGATTTAAATTTACAAGAACTTGTTTATGTTTTTATTAATTTAACTTTATATTGCTTTTGATAATCCTTTTAAAGGCAGTTTGTTGCAAATGAGAAATTTCTTATCAAGAATAATTTATTTTTAGTTTATCTTAATTATCAAAATTTATTAGCGATTTTTTATTTAAACAATGTTTTTACACTTCGAAATTTTATCTTAGCCACTCGATGAATTTAATTAATTGATGTAAAAGCAAAAATTCTGATAGAAACTGAATTAAGTGTATCGTATTCTTGAAATAGTATGAAAATTTACTTTTTGTCTTTATCTAATTAGATTTAATATGTAATTACGCAATTATTTAATTTACTAAATAATAAAAGAAAAGGTGTTTAACTAATTTTTGTAAGCGCTCAAACTCTCTTATTTTAAATGATTAATAATTTAAGTAATTGATTTTACTTTTCAAAATGTAATAACAATTTTTTTGAATGGAATGATTAAAGTAGAATAAATTTTACTTTTATTTTTGTATCTAAATTTTATAACAAGTATTTAATGAAACATCAGCTTTTGATTTGCCTTGAGAATTTATCAATCTATAGATAAAAAACATAAACAAATAAAGAAGTAGTAAATAAATCCTAAGAATTTATTACTTATGTCTTAGCTTAACTGTAAGTTTTTAAATTTCTTTTTAAATATGATAATTAAAAGAATATTCATAGAAAAAAGAATAGAAGAAAATTTTATATTTTTTATATATTCTTTAAACAAATAACTATTTATTATTTTTACAATATTTTAAATTATTTTTGAAATGATTCTATTTTAAAAAACAAAATACCTTTTTTATTGTCAGTTTTATTCAACAAAGTATAAAATTAAAATTTATTTTTGTTTAAAATTTAGATTTTTAAGAGATTCAAATAATTTATATAATTGGTGACAAATAGTAATTAATTTGAATTATAAACGTTAATTAAATTTTGTGTAAGATATATTTGAATTATTGTATTGATTTTAATTTAATACATTGAAATAAATTTCATAAATTTAAATTTTGATTTTTAATATAAAAAGTAATCAATAAAAACAATAATTGAATTGAATAAATTATATTTTTTTAAAATATTTATTAAATATATTAAATATGTTTTTAATTTAGAATAAAAAATTATCAAATTACTTTTTTTCAATGAATCAAAATATTTTTAATTCTTAATTTATTTAATCTATTTCTCTTTTTACTTAAAATATATAAATCATTTGATATAATCTTTATTAATGTTAAAAGATATAAACAAATGTAAATAATATAAATTAAATTTTCTTCTAGAAAGCTTTAAAGATGAATCTAAAAAATCCAGGATTATTTTACTTTTTAATAGGTTAGTCATTATTTATTTTATTAAATCTACTTATTAACAAAAATCAAATTAAAACTAATTATAAATTTTGCTTCGCTAAATGATAAAAATACATTAAAGTCCCTTGCTTATGCTTAGAAAAATATAAAAAAATTTGTAGAATTTAGGTGTTATATACAAGTATAAATAATGTTTTTCTGATACCTAAAAGATAATTAGCTTTGAATCAGATTAATGGAACTCAATTCACGTTAATATCAAATAGATTCCATAAGAAAAGCAATTATTTAGTAAAATTTTAAAAAATTCAGAATAGCAATGGCTAAGCGATTAAAAAAAAGCAGTTTGGCTAAAAATTAATGTTGACCAATTAGAAGTATTATAAGAATCTATAAATTTAGGATATAAAATTCATCACGCAACAAGTGAGTATATATTATTAAGTAAATGGCTTTTAGAAGGACAAAAAAATAAACTACCAGGATATGCTAGTCATTATGTAGGATGTGGAGGTGCTGTTATTAACTCTAAAAATGAAGTATTAATGGTTTAGGAGAAATATGGATATAATACTGGTATATGGAGCTTTCCTGGTGGGAGAGCTGATCCTAACGAAGAGATAAACTAAACTGCAGAAAGAGAAGTATATGAAGAACTTGGTATAAAAGTAGAAGCTGTTGATTTGTTACTAGTAAGAGAAAGTACATAATCTATATTTAACAAACCTGATCTATACTTTGCTTTTTTAATGAGACCTGTTGAATAAAATCCTGAAATAAAGTTAGATAAAGAAGAGCTAAATAATTATACTTGGATACCTTTATCCAAAATCGACGAATTCATAGCAAAAGAGCGTGTCTCTACTTACTATGTTTAAAAAACAATTTTAGATAAAGTAAATTAACTTTACAAATAAGGATTTGACTTTTAAAATGATAGGTTGTCAATAAAAAACAGCTATTAAAATTATCCAAGAAATGGAACAAATTATATTATGTACTAGTTGAAAAATCCTAAAAATTGATTATCATATTAATTTATTATTTACATAAAGTCGTTTTCCTATTTATAATTTACAAATTAATTAAAACTGTAAAAATGATATAAAATAATTACATAATAAAAAATAAATTAAATTAATTTAAAATAAATCCAATAATTTTTTTTGAATACAATTGAAGGTTTTACTAAATAAATAAATTAATTACTTAGTTTTTATTAATTTTACTCTTTGATATTATTTTGCAAAAATTCATTTTATTTTTTTTGCTATTTAATTTTTTATTTTTATTTTAATGGGTAAACAAATAATTTTAATTACTTTTACATAAAAAAAATAAGATAAACTGATAATGGTAAAGATAATGGTGACAAATTTTTTTAAAAATCTTTAAAAAAGAAAACTGAATATAATAAAAATAAGATAAATTGAAAATAACTAAAAATTATTAATTTTAATTATTTTAAAGCATATTTATTCAATAATCTATGCTTCAATTTGCATTTAGCCTATAGAAATACGATTTGTTAGCCATTAATTAATCGAATGTTCCTTGTTCAACAAGTTTACCTTTTTCTATTACAAATATTTAATCACTGTCTTTAATTGTAGAAATTCTATGAGCTACACTTATAGTTGTTTTATCTTTCATAAAATTATTAAGTGTTTCTTAAACGCTTTTTTCACTTTCAGGATCTAAAGCACTCGTAGCTTCATCTAATAAGAGAATATTTGGGTTTCTAGCAATTGCTCTTGCTATTGCTATCCGTTATTTTTAACCTCCTGAAAGCTAACTTCCTTTTGGTCCTACTAGCCTTTCAAAACCTTAGCCATAATCATTTTTATTAATTTATGTGTCTTTTTATTAGAATTAATTAGATTAAATGAAGTTTAAAGCATTTGCTTTTGAAGCTGCTTCTATAATATCTTTTTAAGTGGCCTCTTCTATGTTATACTTTATATTTTCTGATATATTACCATTAAATAGAATTGGTTCTTAACTAACAATTCCAAAACTTTTTCTGAATTATTTTAAATCATAGGACTTTAAATCTCTGCCATCTATAAGTATTTATCCTTCATAAGTATCGTAAAACCTCATTACTAACTATAGTATAGAAGATTTTCCAGAACCGCTTGGTCCTACGAAAGCCACTTTTTAGCCTCTCTTAACTGTAAAAGAAAGTTAATCAAATACTTAAGCTTCACGGTTAGGATATTTAAATGAAACATTTTTGAACTCAATATCACCTAAGACACCTGTTTTTATCAAAGAATTTTCTTTGAGTTGAGATTATTAGATTTCATCTTGAGAGTCTAAAATTTAGAATAAACTTTTGCAGGCATTTTTTGCATTTCCAGAGTCATTCATAACTTAATTATTATTCCCCGCTCCAAATGCTGCAAACATAATTGCATATACTGATATAAACATATCTTTCATTGAAACACCATAATCTCTTACAAAGGCAGCTGAGCATATAAAAATTATAGAGTATGTAGCAAACATAACAAATTATGAAAATCCAAACGCCTATATTAAATTAAAATTTTAATTATTTTATAGCAAATAACAAATTAAATATACCAATCCTGCAGTATTCCCCTTTTTATTTATTGAATTATATGATTTTTACAGTTTCTCATCATAGAATTGTAATATTTTTCCTTCATTTGCAAAAGATGCAACAGTTCTTATGTTTGTAACACTTTCCATAATTATAATTCCCGAATCTTTGTAAGCTTCCTCTGATCCTTTACTAAATCCTTAAACAAATTTAGCTTAAAGTGAACCAGCAATAACCATTAAAGGGCTTACTCCTAATGCAACTAGTGATACTCTCCAAGAAGCAGTAAAAGCACACACTAGTCCTGTTATAAATGAAGAAATACTCTAAAACTAAGTTGAGATTACGGTTGAAACTAAACCATTTACTTAATGAGCATTTACAGCTAAATGAGAGCTTAAGCATCCAGGATTATTTTCTTGCTTATCAAACCACTCGCAAGGCATTATGAGCATTTTTTTATAAACATCTTATCTCAATCTTAATGTTAAGCTTTCACCAAATCTATTTATTTATTTTTTAAAAATATTTAAAACATTTTTTTTAATCCTAAAATTTTATTTACCTGGTGAAAAAGTATGACTAAAAAGTGCTAAATACTAAAGCTGCAATTGCTAAAAATACAAACCCCAAAGAGAGCCAATTAGTTCGTTATTTGTAGTCATCAGCTCCAGGATGTGCAAGTGCATCAACATATTCTCCTAAAAGAAAACCACTTAGGGGAAAACAAACACCATTTCCAAGAGCAAAAAATATTCCAAAATAAAGTATTATTTTATCAGGTTTATTTATATCATGCAATCTTTTGAGCATACTCTTCTCTTGTTACTATAAGATTCTTTTTTCTTCTTTGCTTAAGTTAGTTTATTTGTCAAGCTACTAGTCTTATGTTTCGTTTTTAAGTTGATACTTAGTAATAGGTTTTTTTAAAGAATCTTGGCACTAGATTTTTACATTAGCTGAATTCTATTCTTCATTTAACTAATTTTCTAAATCCTCCTGGTTCTCTTCACTAGCATACCTTTGAATTTGGTTTTTAGCTAGTGATTAAAATTTCCCATTTTAAGCTATCAATTATTCAAAGGTACCTTCTTCAATAAGCTGACCTTACTGAATAACTAAAATATTATCAGAGTTTTAAACTGTAGAAATTCTATGAGCAATTACAATAGTTGTCCTTCCTTTAGATACTTAATCAAGAGTTTATTAAATTGAAATTTCATTTCTTCTATCTAAAGCGCTAGTAGCTTCATCTAAGAGTAATATTTAAGGATTCTTTAAAATAGCTCTTGCTATACAAATTCTTTACTTTTAACCTCCTGAAAGTTAGCTTCCTGAATTTCCAACATAAGTATCTAACTTATCTTATAGCATGGAAACGAATTCCCACGCATTCGCCTATTAAAGTGCATGAATCATTTCTTATTCGGTTGCATCATCCTTTCCGAATTTTAAATTTTCTCTAATTGTTGTTGCAAATAATACTGGTTCTTATCCAACGTAACTTTTTTAAAGTTTAAATTATATTTTCTATTTGAATTATTGTTTAAAATTAATTACCCAATATTTCTTCTGAGCCAGTTGTAATCTAAATCTCTGACATCATATCCATCAATAGTTAATTTTCCAGAATCGATATCATAAAATCTAAGTAAAAGCTGCATTATAGTAGATTTTCCACATCCTGATTCACCCACTATTGCTGTTTTTTAATTAGCTTTTATTTCTAAATTTAAATTTCTTAAAATAGAACTGTCTTTTTTAGATGGATAGTTAAACGAGGCATTATTAAACTTAATATTTCCAATAAGATTTTATATAGTTTATGGATTTGAAGGTAAAATAATTTGAGGCTCTCTATCAATTACTTCAAAAATTTTAGCAGCAGCCAATTTTCCAGATTAGAATTTTTTAATACAAGGAGCGCCTTATCCAAGTGAAAATCCTCCTAGAATAATAAAAATATTAAAATAATTGCAATAAATAAATCTATATATACCTATGATAATAGCGAAAAATATAACGAAAACATCTCCTTAAGTGTAATCTCTATCATATGTAGAATTGTAAATGCTATCACCAACAAGAACAGATCCATACCAAAAGCTTAAAGCATAGTCTAAAAACATAGTAGCAAATGTTAATCCTAAAAATAAGAAATTATTTTAGTAATCAAATAAAAAAATAAATGATTAATTAGTTGGTTGGTTGAAAAAATAAAATACCTAAACCAATACCAGCCCATATTGCATATTTACAAGCTATTTTAAAAGCTTAAACTAATCCAGTTTTGTAATTTGTGAGCTCAAATTCTTCCCCTGTCAATGATTTAACTGTTTTTATTGCATTAAGTCCTTGTTCTGCCATTCCTCCTGCCTTTTCATAAGAATTAGCTATTTTTTTTTGTGACATTTAGACAGTTAAGGCAAATGCCAAACCACCTAAAGTTAAGACTGGAAGAGCTGAAGTAGTTATTAATGCCATTTACCATCCTCTTGCATAACCTACAGCAAATCCACCAATTGTCATACAAATATTCATGATATATGTTGGAACATTTTCGCCAATAGCAATCTATATTAGATTAGTCTCTGAGGCAATTTTTGATGTTAGCTCATTAAGATTTATGAGATCGAACCACCCAACCTCTTGTCTCAGTATAGCTTTAAAATATTAAATTCTATATCTGATAGATTATTTTTCTCCTGCTATAATCCAGCAGCTCATTTAAATCTATAATTTTATAAAAATTAAATGAATTATTTATAACTTTTATAATTTAGTTAAATAACTTACCCAACTCAAAATAAAAGTTCCTATACCAATGTATAAAAAGTAAAGGCATTAAGTCTTAGCATTTTCGAACACCTATTAACCAGTTAATTAAGGTCCAAATGAATCTGCCATTTCTCCAAAAATTAAGGCAAATAGTGGAAATGCTACTCCATTAGCCATAGCAGCTAAAGCTCCAATAACCATAAAAACAATTTCAGATGTTGTAGCATACCTAAACAATTATAAAAATGAAACATTTTTGGTTTTTTAGGTCTAACCTGAACTTTCTTATAAAATTTTTTTATGGTGAGTTTAACTCTAAATGTCATTTTTTGTTGCAGAATTATTATTTTTATCTGCTAACTTAGAATTAATTTTTACTATTTTATGATTTTAGCTCATTTTTAAATGAATAATAATTCTTTTTTAATTTTTTTAAATATTTCTGTTTTATAAATAATTTATTGATTTATATTTATAACATTAAGAAATATTAATAAATATTTAAATAGATTTTTTATTTGAGTTTATATTTAATCAGAAAATGTAAATTACTTTCGATTAAGATTAAATCTGATTATTTCTAATTTGAAAGAAATTATAATACTTAGCTTAAAACTGATAATAATTTCATCGCTATTCTAATTTTTTCTATTTCAAATGACATAAAATTTCAAATTAATTCTAAAGAGTTTTATCTGAAAAGTTCAAAATAATTTAATAAAATGAACTTTCATATATCTTCCAACAAAATATTTATAGTTCTATTAAATTTAAATGCATGTATAAATGTATAAGAACTTTTCGATAATTTAATAATATAAAATTTATTTATTTATTTGGAATTTAATTTTTAATTTATCTATTTTTTTATAAATTAATTAATTTAATAAATTAAAAATTATGTAAGAATTTAACAGTATTGCTTTTTTTTTATTGTAAGTTCTGAATTTCTGATAAATTATATGACTATTTTATATGACGCTAAAAACAAATTTTTTTAAAATTTATATCTTATTTATATTAGAAATCAGCTTTAATTTACTTGATAAATTACTCAAAAAGAATTCAAAAATTTATTAAATTATTTTAATAGAAATTTTTCATTAAATATAAAAATTATAAAAAATTCAAATTAGTGAATTTATTATTAAAAAAAAAAAATTTTTATAAATGAAAAGTCATTTTGAATAAAATTAAATTTATTTAAATGATATTATTTTTTTAATTCCTTTTGAAATTGATTATTTGTGCAGTTAAAAAGTAAAAACAGGATAACTTTACTTAAGATGACAGTTTTTTATTTGCTAAAAATAAATTATTTTTCAATTATGAAATAGGAAAAACTTAACCTGGGAGATAAAAGAAAAATTAAATCTTTTCTTATTTTTGAGAAAATTAAATTAAGAATTCAAGATAGTAGCAATAGTATGAAAATATTAAATGAAAATAAATTTAATTTTTAATTTACATGTTATCAACATTTTTCATAAAAATTAAAAAAAAAACAGATGATTGATTATAAAAAGCAATATTTCTAATTTTACAATAATTTTTTTTAAATGCAATTTATTGTTATGTTGGATGGATGATAAAGATTTTAAATAAATTTTTTATGATATTTTAATAAATGTAAAAAATTATTGAAATTTCTAACATTACACTTTGTTTTTGAACTTATTAAAACTGCTAATATGTACATCAGTATTTTAAATGTTTTATAGATTTTGGTAATATAATTGCACAATTATGCTGTTTAGATAATTTGCTGATAAAGGAGAAATCCAGTAAATTATTCTCTTAAGAATAAACATAAAATATAATTTTTACTGATAGATTTATTATATTATTCATTAATTTTTTCTGAATTGAAAAGTTTTAAATTAATTTAATCAAAATTCAGATAATAAATATCTATCTATTTTATCATTAACAACTGTATTATGTACACATATAGTGTGTATTTAAGTAATATTGAAATTAAAATTTGATCTTTAAAACTTCAAAAAAAAAATAGAAGTAATTTGTTCTAAAAGTAATACAAGCAAAAGAATTTATTTATTTATTTGTAAGATTAATGGAAGAGGTTAAAGAAATTCAACCTAGAATTATAGCTAATAGATTTGAAATTAAGGAATTGTTAGGAAGTGGTTCGTTTGGAGAAGTATATTTAGGTAAGCTTAAATTAGTATAGATTTGTAAATATTTATGATTCATTTTATCAAATAAGCATATGATAAGTAATTGAATTAAGAAGTAGGGCTTAAGATAGTAATTAAAACTTTTTACTTCTTTAGAGTAAATTGAACTAATCTTATTTTAATTTAGGATATAAATGCTGATGAGAATTCTTAATTACCTAGAGAAGCTAAGTTGTTGTAAATTTTCTAAGGAGGAGGTAATTATTACAAATAATTCTTAAATACATCATTAATTATTCATTGCTAATATTACTAATTTTGTTTATTTTTTAACTATTTTAATAGAAGGAATTCCCAAGCTATTTTGGTCTGGAGTGGAACAATAAAGTAATAAAAATGTAATTGCGATGGAATTACTGGGCGAAAATCTTGAAAGTTTGTTAGTAAAATGTGGTGGAAAATTTTCATTAAAAACAGTATTAATGTTAGCTGATTAAATGGTAATAAATATTACTAATAAACAATTTAAGAAATATATAATTAAAATATGGAATTATTATTACCTATCAAAAATAGATTAAAAGGATAGAGTATGTTCATAGCAAGGGATTTGTATATAGAGATTTAAAACCTGAAAATTTTATGATGGGCAAGAAGGGAAAATCATAGCAAGTAGTTTATTTAATAGATTTTGGTTTAATAAAGAGATATAAAGACCCAAAGACAAATAAGCATATTCCTTTTAGAGATAACAAAGGCCTAATTGGTACAGCTCGTTACGCTTCAGTCAATACACATGCAGGATTAGGTATGTATTTACATTTATCATGTATAAATTTTAAAATAATTTATAATTAAGAATAAGGTAGGAGAGATGACTTTGAAAGTTTGATATATCTTCTAATTTATTTTCTTAAAGGAAGACTACCCTGGTAAGGAATATTAGCTGAAACTAAAGAAAAGAAATATGAGAAATTAAAATTACACAAAGCTTCAACAACTAACGAAGTATTATGTGATGGATTACCAAACCAATTTATTCAGTTTTGTAAACTTATACGTGGTCTTAAATTTGAAGATTAGCCAAATTATTTTAAGCTTAAGTAAATTTTAAAAGAGTTATTTTTCGAGCTAGGATATTCTTGGGACTATGTTTATGACTGGACTGAATTAAATGATGGAATTAATATTAATCACATTAATTAAGTTGATGCCTTGAATGTCAATTAAATGGATAACAACTAATTTATTACTGACAAACAACCTCAATTTATTTGTTAAATGTGATTAAGAAAAATGTGATTTTATGAAGGTTTTAAAAATTTTTGAAGTAGATATATAAAAGTTTATACTGATTAAAGACAAAGCTTACTAATTAAATATATTAAATTAATAAAAACAATAAAAGAAGAATCATTTATAAAAAAATATTTTAAACAGATAGAAGACAAATAAATAAATAATAATTTATGTATAAATATAATAATTAATTAATTAAATGTTTAACAATAATTGTATTTAAATATTTTTAAAAGTTGTAAATTTTTAATGATATAAATACTCATAAAATAAGTTATAGGTATAACCTTTAAAATGAAATTATAGTTGATTTATTAAAAAAACAAAATATATTATTTGAAATATTAAGATTTTTTTTTTTCACCTTTTTTCAAATAAATATTAATTGAGATTATTTTTATTTTTATATCCTTAAAAATAAGAAAAAAATTAAGCAAAAGTATAAAAGCCTAAATGATTTTTTCTATGGCAAATTCTTTATAATTTTGGTGTATTTATTTAAGTTAAAAATTAATTTTGTTCTTTATTATTGTATAGATAGAGACAAAATAAATTTTGCTCTTCATAAAAATATTTTCAAAAAATTAAATAGTGAATAAATGAGTGCTAGTAAAAAAAACATTTTATGTTGCTAAAAAAAATAAATTTGAAATTATTATTTTCTGAAGAGTAAATTATATTTTAATAAAACTTTAAATATATGGAAGAGAAAGATTAATTTTATATAACAATCTGTTTATTTTTAACCCATTTTGAGCAGAATATGTTTTTAAGACATATATTTAATTCTTTTATTTGCATTTAATTATACTTTGATAAATTTTACCAAATATCTTTATTCAAATTTCAATTTTTCTATAATAAATGTATCCTAATCTTTTGGAAACAACATTTACTTTGAAAATATATTTTTTTATTAGTACTTTATTAATAAATGTAAAAATTAATATCTCTAATACGAAAGTAATCTCTGATAGCATTTTTTTACAGGTTAGAATTCTTAAATATAACATATTTATTATATTTAGTTTTCTAATATTAACTAAAAAAGATATATGATATTTGGTAATATTTTAATTAAATTTTGTAAATTATGTGGTTTGTAAATATTGATTATCATTTTATTAAAGTTAAGATAATGCTCCTTTTTATTTATATTTTGTAAAAAGAACAAAAACTCCACATCAAAAATAATTAATTGTTTATTAAGCATTAATTTTTTTAATTACTTCAGTTATCGAAATAAAATTATAATTATATTTATTCCAACAAAAGAATAAATTTGTTCATTTCGTTCTATAAAATTTACTAAGTATGAACAAGATTATTTTTATCAAATGCATTTTAAGGAAAATATTTTTTTATTTTTTAGATTTATTTGATTATTTATTCCTGTTATTATTTTTTGCTATTGAGATAGCTTTTCAAAACTAATTGAATTGAACGCTTTTTGGTTAGAGGATATATTTTAAGGAGTTTATCTTAGTAGTATTTTCAAAATTGTGCATTTTTTTTAATAACAACAAAAGGAAAATAACTTCAATAAACAACAAGACTATGATTCAAAATATTTCTCTTGCCTATACTGACTAATAAAAAATAATTAATTTAACAAATTAACCAAACAACTTTTAACTATTTGATTTACAATCGATCATCGTTAATTGCAAATCATAAACAATAAAAAGAAAATTAATTTACTTATATATTCCGATTTAAACAAAGGATTATTAGAAAGCTAAGAATAATTAAAAGCAAATTTATTATTGGTTATTTTCTTTGCCTACAGAAGCTCACTTCTATAAGTCCAGCATATCTTATTATTATTACTATAATAGCAGAATGAGTAATACAAATAATAGCTTATAGTAAAGTATAGATCCTATTTTAGGCTTCGATCCGTGGTTTTTAAAACCTCCTAAGGAGGCTATGGAGATTAAACACACAGGTAAATTAATGAATAAATAAGTTTTATTAATCATTAAAAAAATTGGTTATTTATGAAAAAAATTGCTTTTTTATATGGAGAAATAACTATCTTTGGCCAAAATGTTTGAATTTAATAACTTAATTTCTTTATGAACAAAGACTATTACATAAAACACAATGAAAAAAAGAAGGGTAACAGAAAAGTTTATCAAAAAGTACAGTATGATGAATTTGAAACCTAGCATATTGAGATATTAAAGCAGGAAATGGAAAGATAATAAATTCAAGTACCTCCTGAGTGAATAATTTTATTTTTAAAAACTATAACAAATATATTAAAATATTCTTCATTTAAACAGCTGGAAAACAAGCGATTACCTAAAAATGTGCTACTGTGGGCGTTTTGATCTCAAAAAAGATGTGAAGGTATGAATGATTCCATTTAAAATTTAAATTGCGCACAACAACCTACAATTTTTTAAAAGATATGTTACTTAAGAAAAGGAAATAGCAATCAAGTTGTGTTAATAGTTAAAAGAATAAATTTCAATTTCTTTAAAATAAAATCATATGTTTGATTTGCTCCTTTATTCCTAAATTTGTAATAACTTTCATTAAATAACAATAGGCTGCTAAAGATCACATTGAATGGCGCAACAATTTGACGATGCATACATTAGATGATAAAGCAAGAGAACTGCTTTCAAAAGGAATATTATATTTGTTAGGTAGAGATGAAAATTTTCGTCCTATTTTGTATTTAGATTGCACTAAAATCAATTTAAAAAAGGTGATATAATCTTTAAAAAAAAAAAATTGCTTTTAATAGTTAGTAAACTTAAAATTAATTAGCTTACATTTTTTTTAAAATATAAAAAGGACGGTGAAGAAACAATATTAAGATCAATATGTGTATTTTTAGATATGATAAAGAAGTATATGTTTTTAGATTATTATATTGAAAATTGGATCATGGTCATCGATACTGGAGGACTTGGACTCTCCAGTTTACCTATTAACGGCCTTAAATTAATTATTGGAAGTATGTCTATAAATTATTGTGCTACTATGGAAAAGATGTATATTTTAAACCCATCATTTATGCTTAATACTTCATGGAATATAATCAAAGGGTTTATAGACCCAGAAAGTGTAGAAAAGATATAATTTTTAAAGCCTAAAGACTACAAAGAAATGCAAAAAAGAATACCTATTAAGTTTTTACAGAAAAAATACTGTGGAGAGCATCCTGATGTAACATAATTTTGGTATGTGAATATTCTTTTTTCATTTAAAAAATTAATTTAGTAAGTATTTTTAACTTACTAATATGTCAAAATATAAATTGATCATGATCAAATCATTAAATTTAACTATTCGGCATTATATCAATAAAAAATATTAAGATTATTAAGCTAGAAAATATGAAATTAATTAATTTTTATTTTTTTAAATTACAAAAATGTTTCATTTTTCATATTTTAATTAAAATATCTTTTTGAATAAATTAAATATATTGTTTAAATAAAATAATTATATAGGCCACCATTAAATGTTTTTTGTAGTGAGGAAGAGAGACAAAAATAAATAAAAAATTAACAATAAAAATAGAAAGATAAGGAAGCAGGAGCTGCATAAAATTCTTTAACAAAAAAATAAACCTTAAAAGAAGAAAAGAATATAAGTGCTTAATTAAATGAAAAAAATAGAAAAAAAACTGAGGATAGTTAAGGAATCTAATAAAGTAATACAAACTATGTTAATGGAAATTCTGTCACAGCATAATATATGAATAATTAAAATAATCAAATTTTTAATGATGGCATAAAACCAAAAATAATCATAACTAAAGTTAAAGACGATGTATTTGATAGCTAATATGCTATGGCAGGTTACGATGAATAATTAGAAAATTAGTTAAGAAAGTAAGCTGAATAGAGAAGATAAGAAATGTTAGAACAAAAAAAGAAGTAAATGTTATAAAAAGAAGAGGAAGAAGCAGCGAATTAAACTGGATAGCCAGGTAGTTTAAAATAAGGAGTGAGTTTAAATAATACAATATCAGGAAATGGTATCTCAACCAATACTGCAGCCACTTACACTGCTGTACAAGGTGCAAACACAACGAATATATCAAATAATATTAATTTTACTACAGAGCATAGTGAGGGGAATTAGTAATCTAATTAATTTTAAAATAAAGGGAAAAAAAACTTTAACTCAGCTGTACCTGACTTAGATTCTTAACAAGAAGATTCAGCTATCTTTAAAAATAATAACTTGACTAAAGATTAAGATGGAGATCCTCTAATATTTAATCATACAAATATACAAAACAATCCTATAATATAATTTGAAGGAGATGATTCTTCAAATGCTAAATGCTGCTAAAACTGTAACATATTTTGAAAAAGTACAATCTAAACTAGATATAAAACAACTTCATCCAAATTATAAAAATTGTAGAAATCAACTAAAAAATTTTTTAATTTAAATTATCTCAAAAATGATCATTTAAAAAAAAAACAATAAATAACAAGAAAGATTTATTTTATAAAGAACGGCAAAACAAAATGTGTCTTTTCTATTTACTCAATAAAAAACACATTTCATAATAACCATTAATTCCTTGATTATTACAAAATAAATGCATTTGTTAAAACTAGTTAGAATAAAAGTTTTATTTATCCTAATCTCTGCAATAATTTATGTAAAGAAGGATAGATTTAATTACATTTAAGAATTGCTAAAATATTAAATTATTCTATATACTTATAGTTATTGATTGATTTATTTTTTTTCTTGCCATCTAATTTGGTGAGTGAGTATTTATATTTTTATTATACATTTGTTTATTTATTTATTTTCCTTTAACAGTACTGGTTTTACATGCAACATAACTTTTATTTTTATCAAATAAAACATGATTAACAATTTACTTATAACATTCTTTAAAAAATTTTTTTCAAATTATTATTTATGTTTGCTATTAAAAATTATTTTAGTGGTTAATTTTAGGACAAAGCTTGTTTTTGTTGCTTGCTCAACTTATAATAAACATTTATGATAAGAAGCATTTGTAACAAGCTTAAATTAAGTTTTTTATACAGTAAGTGATAATTAATTAAATACTTGAAAAAAAGTTAAATACAAAAAAAAAAGTTCTATTGTTAGAGCTATTTAATCGCTAATAAACTATTATTTCTTTCTTAACAATTTAATATTGAGATAAGAATTTTCTTAAACAATAAAATTATATTTATAATAATAGATAAGTTATTAATTTTACTGAATTTTTAATATAAATAGTAGAGAAGTAAATTATTTATTTATTTATATTAGCATTGTCAGAGCTTATATACATAGCGCTGAAGGTTAAAGAATTGGAAGTGTTTTATATATAGCTGTAGTTATTCAGTATCCAAAAAATTATATATCCCGATTTTTTAATTCTATAGAAGTAGCTGATGCTCATTATTTTCAATTTATTGAGCTTGTATCTCTGTCACGGTTGTTATCATCATTGTTAGAGCGATGCTTTTAGTTTAATTTATTTCTGCGATTGTTGATGTAATTACCAAGTAAAGAATAAATGAATAAGAAGCCAACTATAATTATTATCATTTCGAAGAAATTTCCAAACATTCCATCATTTCCTCCGTTAGTAGAGGGTTCTCTTCCCATCAAATCATCAGCTTTTTATTTAAAATAACATTTAATTTTAAAAGCTAAAATAGTAGAAAAAAAAATTTTTTTTTACTGCTTGTTTAATAACCAGTTTCGGAATTAGTAGATGCTTACTAAGCTTAATTCAAGAGAGATCTAATTAAAGAGCTAGCATTAGAGATAACATAATTACAATTATCAAAATTCATTTTTATTTAGTTAATATTTTATAATTGATTTATTTATATTTAAATTTTATCTATTTTTAAATTTCCTTTTCTTTTCTTCAGGCTTTATTTAGTTTGTTAATCTAAATATTAATATTAATTATCAGTTTATATTTATAATCTTTGTAATTTTATAGAGCTTGAATGAATTTCTTTTATATAATTTAATTGATTTTTAAAATCTAGTTTTGTATTGCGTATTATAATAATATCAAAGCAGTAGAATCCTTAATTATTCCTCCTTTCTTTCTTATTTCTTTTCATCTTTTGTTCAATACATACATACATTTATTAATAGATTTTTCATTTTCCTGATATACATTTCAAAAGTAGCTATTAAGATTTTTGATATAATTAAAAATGATAGCTTCATTTCTCATCACGTGTAGATTTAATATAAATCCTAATATTACTAAATATTAATTCTACCATTTTTATTTCTAAAACCAGCAAATTAAAACCTAAATCTTCTCTGAAAATACATTTGAAACATTATTCTATTTTAAAAATTATTTTTTTCCACTAGTTCTAATTTTTTGCATATAAAAGCATTTATTCATACTATTATTATTAATTCCATAAAATTTAACAGGATTAAGCAGTTTATTTTTTGTAAATTATACAAATTTTATAATAGATTTTTTATTTTTATTAAGATTTTTTAACTTATATTATTAAAAACTTTATCGTTTTTGAAAAAAATATGTTTTTGTCCTACAAAAACAAATTAAATCAAATCTTGTCATTAATTGATGCTATTTACTACTATTCTATTTAATTTATTATTGATGAGTATTAAATGAATGATTTTTTAGTAAAAGAATCAATTAAAGCTCAAAAACAAATAGAATATTAAAATATGAAGAATGTAGATTTTTTGAAATGGAAAAATTCTTTGTTATTTTTTATGCTTTTAATGATTTATGTTACTTAAATATAATGTGATTTACCTATTCAATGCGTAAAGCATTAAATTGTTGGATAATGGACAATACAAACTTCTAAAGTACATTCTAAATATAATTAATTTCTTACTTGTGGTCATTCAATTCCTGATTCACCTGATCAATCTATATAGTCAGATTAAAATAATTTCAAAGTAATTCATTCATTTAGTAAGAAAAAAATACAAAATTATAATTATTATGGTAATATTTTAGCATACAAAAGAATATTTAGTTGATTTGCATGAAAATGGAGAGGCATTTTTACTAAAAAATTCTTCTTAGATCAAAGTATATTATTAGTTAATTAGTTAGTATTTTATATTCTATTTTTCAGATAAATTAAATGATTTGAATCATTTGAAATTTATAAATGTGAATCTATTTAATTGTTTAAAAAGGGTTAATGGACGATGATGTATGATGAAGGTTTTTAAATTGATGTTGATGAAATGAGCTTTTTTACATTTTTTAAGTATTATCCTATAAAAGAAGAATAAATTTCAGAAAGAGTGCTTGTAGAAGATATAACTGTAGTCAGTCATTCTAAAGTGACTACTTATGAATTCGACTGTACTGAAACAATTGTTGGTTGGTTCAATGTGCCAACAAAAAATAAAAAAGGATGCATGAAAGCTTATAAAGTTAATCCTAGGGAAGAGGATAGGCATCTTAGAAGCTAACAGAAAGGAAGTGTAGTATAGCCTTTAGATTTCGATATAAATAACTTCACAATCCAAGATGATATTGATTAAATTAATTCTTCTTAGTAAGATGGACTTTTATACGATTAGTAAAGTTCATCTAGTATAAAAAAAAGAAAATTCAATTTGCAAGGCACATTAAATAGTATTATTGAAAACATAGGGCCAGAAGATAGCAGCCCTTAGAGTGAATAGTTAGAGTTAGATTAAAAATAAAGTACATAAAAAAGCAATAATATAAATTAAAAGTAAAATGCTGAGTTAAATTAAAATGTTCATAAAAATAGGATAGATTAGCTTAATTCCTTAAATAAAAATTGGCAGGCTGGTATTTCTTCATCATTTTAAGATTTGACCTTAGATGAAGTAAATAAAAAAGCTGGTAGAAACAAAAGAAAGCAACAAAAAAAAAATTCTAAAAAAAAAGTAATTAATGAATCTGAAATGTCTAAATTAAATGAGGAGCAATCACTTTATATGCATTTTTCAATATAAGATGTTAGTGACCTACCAAAAAATTTTTCTTGGGAGGAATATATAGATAATCCAATAGAGCAAAATGATTGTGGTTCGTGCTATATAATCTCTACAGTATAGATGCTTAATGCTAGGTTAAAGATTAAATATGGTAAGGACTTTACCAAAAAGATTTCAATGCAACACCTATTAGATTGCTCTTTTTATTCTTAGGTATTAAATATATTTACTATTTCTCCTTATAATAATCAATTTTATTTACAAATATATATATATATATATTTAAGGGATGTGATGGAGGATATCCATTTGAGCTAGGAAGATTTGGCAAAGATTATTTTATGCTACCTGATAACAATACTAAATTTTAAGTAAGAATTTAATAGTATTTTATTTAATTTACCTATTAAATCTGAATTAAAATAGAACGAAGTAAAAGAATGCTAGATTAAAAATTTAGAAAAATTAGACGAGTATTTCAAAGTTACTGATTATGGGTAATTATATATATTTATATTTTTATAGTTTAATAATATTGATGACTAAAGATTTGTAGGATAATAGTATGGTAAAGGAAATGAAAGAGAAATGATGTTAGAGATAATGAAGAATGGACCTATTGTTGCCAACTTTAAAACTAGTGCAGATTTTGTTTACTACAAAAGTGGGGTTTATCATTCAGTAGAAGCTGCAGACTGGATTCTCAAGTGTATTATTTAAAAAATAATCAACAATCACATTATCTTAAATATTTTTTTGTTTAGGTGAGGTTGAGCCTGAGTGGAGACCTGTTGAGCATGCTGTTATGTGGTATACTTTTCTTTTAAATAAGCTTTCTCTTTTATTTCTATCAATCTTTCATAATCGTTATAGTTAACACTAACAATAATTTTTAAATAGCTATGGCTGGGGCGAATCAGAAGAAGATGGAAAATTTTGGCTAATGTAAAATTCATGGGGTGATGATTGGGGAGAAAAAGGTCGATTTAAGTAACTATTACTAAATTTTTATTTAAAAACTTAAAAAATTAATTCATAATTTAAGGATAAGAAGGGGGACAGATGAATCGTTTGTAGAATCAAGTGCTGAATATGCTTAAGTAGAATATATTAATAATAAACAATGATTAATCAATCGCTTATCTACCCTTAATTAAAAACAAATTACTTATCTTATTTCAATTAATATATAAGTGAAAAGCTTACTACCTTATTTTTTTTTGTACTAAAATAAATATTCACATATTAAATAGAGGCTCTTCACAGTTAGAGTTAAAGTATAATTATTAAAAGCATATTATTAATTATTATAGTATAACAAATATTTGTTAAAGCTATTCATTAAATTTCTTTTACTTATTATTTGATTTTTTTAACACATCCTTTAAAAGTTATTCAATTGAAACTATATGTTATTTAATATTTAAAATTGTTGTCATATCGTTTTCACATTTTTATTGTTATTATTTATTTTCTGTCAAAAAATACTGAAAGGATTATTATAAAATTAATTCTAAATTTTGGAATTTTTTTTCTTCCTAAAATAGTAGTGTTTTAATTAACATTTATTCACTAGAAATGTAATATTCTTTATTTATTAAATGATAATTTATTACCATATATAAAAAATTTGAAATGTTAAGCTTATTAATAGAAGTTAAGGAGCTTGTAATTAAAATGCAAACACAATCAAATAATATAAAGAATTTTTATTTGATTTGATTTATTTAATTGATTTTTTCTAAGATGACTAATAATTCAACTAATATAGCTTATATTAGTTAATATAAATATCAAAAAAACATTTAATTGCTTCAAAATACAAACAAATCTAATACTGATGTTCAATTAAAATGACTTTGACTCAATAGATTATCTAGTAGCGTACGATAATAAAATGCATGAAAACCAGAATTATAGCAACTTGAAACCAGTAGACTATTCCCTAAGACTTTAGCCTAGTTAATCTAGCTATTAAGCTTATAGAGATAAGAATAACCTTGCTATGGTAGGAGAATAGATACTTATGGATGGTATTCCTCGTTTTGAATATGATTACTCAGCTTATAATTCAAAAATAATCTAGCCAAAGGCTACAGGAAAAATTGGTCAACATTATTTTGATGGAGGATTAAAAGAAACTGCCGAGGAGATGATATAAAGAGAATTGGAGAATTGCTTATTTAATATCAAGAAAACTATGCGACGCAATTAAGCCAAAGCAAAAGGCTTTGACATACTTGAAAAAGAAAGAGACCCAACTTATATCAGCAATGAACTATATGAAAATGTTGTTTTTGACGACATATATGATAAACCAAATCAGAATTATAGGTAACTTTTTGAATAATTATGGAGTTTCTTATTTTAAAATAATTTCGTTTTGAAAAGTAGAAAAACTTTATCATTAATTATCTTTGCTCAATTCATAGACTTTATATATTTAATTGAATGAAACGAATAAATAATAAAATAAACTAATTTGATTTATTTCATTCATGTTTTTAATTAAAAAACTATCTTTAAAGTAAATAACATTTTAAACACAAAATTCTATTATATTCTATTAAAAAAAATTAAATTTAGAATTTATTTTAATTTAATCTTGAAAAAAATAACCTAATTTTTTTAGTAATTTGTACTTGTCATTGCCTTTTTAATTTTTTTTTTAAAATTAATAATTTATAAAGATAATCTACTATAAATTAATTCATTATTTGTTAAAGTACAGAAGGGTTTTTTATGCTCCAGAACTAAATGAATAAGAGTTAATTGAAAATAATACAGGCGAAGAATTGAACTATGATTACGACATTGATGACTTTCTTCACATACAGTAAGTGCAAGATACAAATATTGAAAACAAGATGAAAAGACAGAGCATATTAAATAGATTAAACAAGGATATTTAGAAACAAATGGAAGAATAAGAAATGGCTGAAAGAGAATAAAATTATTAAATGGAAAAACAGTAGAATAAAAGTGGAATTTTGAAAAAAAAAGGGGATCAAAAGATAAAAAAGACTTTGAAATTCGATGATTCGGTCATTGATAAAAATGAAAGTAGTATCGATGATGAAAGTGATGGAGGTTTTGCGAAACAGTTAGAAAATGGGAAAGTCAAAATGTCATTTAAAGAGTTTATGGATGCTTAGAAAGGAGGTGGAAAGCGCTAGACACAAAGCGCTAAAGCTTTATCTAATGGAAAGATATCTTCGTAAATTGATTATGTTGATGAGATTGCATCAAATGAGCCTGTTTATAACCCTACAGATATGCCTAAAAAGATACCTAGATGGAAGCTACAATCAGAAGCTATCAGAGCTTCAATGAAGACTAGCTCAGCCTATACTAAAGAGGAAAATGAATAAATTGTATCTGCTTTAAATAAAACAGATTTAGTATATTGCGAGTGCTGCAAAAGAAAATTTAAACCAGGTCCTGCAGAAAAGCACATTCCTTCCTGCAAAGAAAAATTTGAAGAAAAACAAAGACAATATTAATTTCAACAACAAAAGAAAAAGAGCAAATCAAGCTCAAAGATTTGAAATAAATTTTTATGATAGTATAATATATAAAATATAATGGATTTGCATTTAAAAAATTTCTATTATATTAATTCCCTTGCAAGAAGAATGCTTGGTCGCTAGCTAAGAGGCTTTATTAAATTTGATTTAGTTGCTTGTTTGTTTGCTTGCTTGCTTGGCTTTTGTTACAACCTTGAAACTATTGTTATTACTTATCTTTCTAGATTATTAAAGGAAACGCTTTAACTTAAGATACGAAAAATAAAAAAGCTGATTAGCACCAAAGAAATTTAGAAACAAAAAAAATTAAATGTATTATTATCCAACGAACTCAAAATTTTTGCCTATGTAAACAAGTCTCTAAAGAAAATTGACTAACGCTTATTTTTCTTTTAAAGTTTTTGAACAATTAATTTTCTTAAGTAATCTTCGAAAAAGATATATAGAATAATATATTGGATCAGCTTATAAATTTTTATTTTTTTAAGATAGAAGTTATAAATTCAAGAAGCTAAATGCATGAATTATTGCATTAAGTTTATGCTTAAATTTATCTCGCAAATAGACTTATTTTATTACTCAGAATAGAAAAAAAATATATTATTAATATCTTTTTATTTGTGTTCTGCTAGAACTTTATGTTACACTCACCAAAATTGTTAATTATTTGAAGATTACAATAAGAATAATACGAAAAATTAATAAAAATTAATCGCCTTGCTAAATTTTCATAAATATTCAACTGGTTGAATGAAAATATTTTTAAACTAATTTCAAAAAGATATTTATTTAGCATATTCATGAACTAATAGTGCATTGTTTCAGTGAAAATCTAAAATATTTCTATTTTTTGCTGGACTGTTTTAAATATCTTTTTTCATAATAATATCTATTTATGCTATAAAAATAAATTAAATCTTTTAGAAGTATTTACTTACTTATTTATTTATTTTTCAATTAATTAATATTTTTTCATTCATCATTTTCATATGATACAAAAGATATTCAAATCAATGTAATATTTCATTTGAAAATTTTAATGTAAATAGATTATTTTATGTTCTGAAAGTGTTTTTGCTATATATTTAAGATTAGAAATTAAAACATTTTAGCAAATCGCTAGAAATTGGTTACCTTTCTTTTATTTTTATTACTAAGCAGATAATTAATTTACCTAATTTGCAAAGAAAAATATATAAAACAAAAAAATATATGGTATTTACCAATGTACTCTATTTAATTTAATTTAAGTAAGCTTTGTAAACTGTTTAAAATACTAAATAAATGTAATTAACTAATATAAGGTCATTAAATTGATTGTAAATAAAATTTTATTTATTGCTAAATTTATTATATGATTTTTAGTCTACTATATAATTCCTATATTTTTTATCATATAAAATCATCTATGTTGCATTTTACCCTAAATTTTTATACATTAGTGATGTTTTGCTGGAGATCTAATAATAATATAGAAATTTTTAAAAAAGGTAAAAATTATATTCCAAAAATTTTTCTTTTTATTTATATTTTTTGCTGTTAACTAATATTATAAATACGATCGATGAGATGTCTGATTTTATTCCTTCTATATAAATGATAATAAATATCTTATTAAGGTGAACTATCTAATAGATTGATCTATTCAAAATAGTCAATTTACAATAAAATGTTTATTTCTAAATAATAATCTATGTTAATGTAATATAAACCATGCAATGAATTAGAGATTTATTTATCCTCAAACCATAGAAATATATTAATCACGTAGTTTTTAACGTCCTTCATATGAATATTAATATATTCATTCAGCCTTAAATTATTTTATTCCTGCCATCATCATACGTACTTAATTTTAAAACCAAAAAAATATGACATCAAGATATATCTTTTATTTAAAAATGTGGAATATAGATATTATCATTTGATTTTATCTTAGTTTATTTTCAAATATAAATCCTACTTCATCATTTAGTTGTATAAATTTGTCTATATTAACACAAATGTTAGCGTCCAATTACTTGAATTTACTTACGCATAACAATTTTTAATAATAAAGCAAATAAAAAATTTGCGCAAAAACATGAATGAAAATTGAAAGGATATTAGTTAGGTTAGTCAAAAAGCATAGAAATAATAAGAAAATTTATAAATTTCAGCTTGAATCGTCTTAATAATTTATTAAAAGCGAATATTCTATTTAGAAGGATTTTGTATGTAATTTAGCGAAAATAATAATAAATTAAAATATATCGGGGAGGATTAATTATAAAGACATTCTTAAACTAATTACAATTTGATTTTATCTAATAGTATCCTCAAATACTGTTGCCTTATTTAATATTATTTTTATAATATATGGCTTTCTATTTCACAATTTTTATAAATTTATCTAATTATAATGAATTATTTTATTAGATTATCTTTCAATCAACTAACAAAATGACATTCAAAAACAAAATGTTAACAATTTTTTTTTAAAAAATTAACTATCATATTTGAGATGTAACTGCATAAAATATAAGTTTATACCTTTTCAAATATTTTTATCTTGCTTTTTCACTGAGTATCTTTTTTACTGAAGAATAAATTTAATTTTACAATTGGCTTTTCACATATCTTGAAATTAATTGATAAATTTGTTTTAATACGTAGTTTTGATAGAATTTTGTTAATGGATGCTTGACTGTTTTAAAGCTTGCAATAATACGAACACATTTTAAATTTATTTATTTTTTTTACGTGATAGAGATTTTTTTTAAATTTGACATGCACTAATTGATCATGATTTAACGACTCAGCTAACTTACTATTCAGATATATAACTCTAACTTGATAAATGATCAATTTTTTTCTTACAAGATTTTCTTAATAAAGAAATCTTTTGATTAATGAAAAAAAAATTCATAGAAGCTAATGAAATTAATTAGGAAGCTGTAAGCTTTGATGCTTTTGCGTAGCAATTTAAATAATTTACTAATAAATTGAATAAAATTTATATCTTCCTCTGATATAAATTTACATAAAAAGTTGTGAAAGAAATTTTAATAGATAAGATGTGGGGTATTTTTTTTTTGATATTAAATACTATCTATCTAATGATCATATTTAAATCTGATATTCAAACTTATAAAAATTAAAATAATAATTAACTATCTCAAAAAATTTCAACAGAAAAATTAAAAATCAGAAAAAATGATTCAAAAAATGGAAAAAGCTTAGGCTTAAAACTAAATTGTCATGCTGAATCCCTGGTAGCGCTTCTACAGATTCTGCATGTTTATGCTCGTAGTCATAGTCTTAATCTTCGATATTTGGTTCTTAGCTAAGACTAACACCACTCAATTCTACCCCTACTTCAGAATGGTTATTGCCTTCTTGGTCTTGCCCTTCGGTCTCGCTTTTATCAACAATAACCTTTTCCACTTCAATGAAGCCAACTAGGAAACTCAAGACTTAAATGAATTGTTCACTATGGTCTACAGAATGTTCAGAGTTATTGGAATGGAACACATCCCCATCTATTTCTTCACTCCTTTCATGAATAACTCCAACAAGGCTCTTGAAGCTAAGCTTGTTGAAGGTAAAATGAATTTTATTTCTACTAATACTTTATATATACACCTTAATTTCTTATATTCTTATCTTTTCATTTAAAAATAGCTAACTACTATCACTGCATTTTTGGTTCTCAAATTGTTCTCATGTGCCAATTACATCTCTACTTCTCCTACATGAACGATAACTCTGGTTATTACTGGATTGTTGCTCCTATTATCCTCCATGCTTGTCATCTTGCTTTGTAAGGTGCTGAAATCAGATAATCTGAACAAAAGACTGCTATTATGACCTTCGTTGTCACTTTCTTCCACATTGATTTCTTGTAAAACTTATTCGAAGGTGTTGGTAGAGCTATCTTAATCGGTGTCACTGCTATGGCTACTATTTATAATCATTTCGATGGTGATTATAATACCACTTTAACCAGAGAAGCCTTTGCTATCGTAAGAATTTTTCTTCCTTTTTTATTTAAACACACAACATAAGCTTAAAAAAAATGAATATTTATTTCTCGTTTATGATTCCCATCAGAATCACTACACTCTTAACAAAAGTATTAGAGATTTAGGTTTTAGCACAAAAAGAAGTCAAAAATTTTTAAAAATGCCAAATTAATTATCTGCAATTATGTGAAATAATAATAATAATTAAATTGCTGAAATAGATAAAAAATAAATATTTATAATATTTAAATTTTCTGATTTGGCAAACAAAATTTTTGAAAATATCAAATAAAAATTTTTAGAGTTAGATTAGTGAAATTAACAAAAATTTATCACAAATAAACTTGACATAAGAAACTGTAAATAAACTCAAATAATTATAAAAAAGCTTTAGATCCCTTACACTAAACATAAAAATTGAAAATTAAATTTTTTTTTCAAACTAACTCAAAAAATAAGAAGAAGCAATAAATAAATAAATCAATAAATTACTATTTAAAATCCAAAATATATTTAGCATAATATTAATAATAATTTCTTTTAAAAAAGGATGCTCTCGCTGCTGGTGGCTGCTGCGTTTTAGCTATTTTCTACATTGCCTTCAAGACTGGCTTAATCAGTGGTATCTTCTATGGAGCCAATTTAATGTTCTAATTACTTGTCTACAGAGTTGACTCCAACTACATGAAGATTTACAATAACTTCTAAAGAAGATTATCTGTTAAGGTTACCGACAAATAACTTAAGTTTGTTTACTACTTTGCTATTGCTTGGAGATTCTGCGAGTTAATCGCTATCTGGGCCGCTGCTTTGGATAACCACAACAATATCTATCACAATTTAGATAACAGCTCTAACTATTTGAACTTGCGTGACGCTCTTCTTGTTGGTCTTATTTTCGATGCCATTTACTTGGCCGTTTTAGTTCTTGAAGCTGGTCTCTACTTCTTCATTAAATCCAAATTCAACCCTGTTGGTGAATGCAATAAATAAGCTATCATGACTGAAGAACTCTAAGCCATCAACAACTAACCCAACAAGGCTGCTTTTAATGCCCCTGAACACACTCAACCTGAAGTTGTTAACACTCACCCTGCTATTAACAAGGATAAGGCTCCTATTAATATTGATGAAGAAGCTATGGACTTCAACCAAAGAGGCTCAAAGATTGCCAATTGAGTAGTTATCATTGGATGAAAATTTGAATCAAACTCAAATTTTCTATCTATTTTTTCTTATTTTAAGTTTTTGTATATGTCCATATAATATTAATAATAATGTTATTTCGATACTAAATAATATTATAATTTTGATTGTAATTATATATAAATATTCCTTTATCTTGTAATTTTAAATAGTTTTGCATTTCTTCAAAAATCTTTCAAAATTTATTTCGTCAAAAATTTTTTATAACAACTAAAATATAAAGAATTTATTTAATACTTTCATAAAATAAATATAAAGTAATATTATTGAGTATTAATTGTATTTTTTTTTTAACTAAAAAATTCTAAGTTCCTAAGTAATTTAAAATTAACAAAAATAAAATGTTTTTAACATTTATCACTACTTTTTATGGAAAGATTTATGCAAAATAATTATTTTTTTACTAAAAAAATATATTTAGAAGAAAATTAAAAGAAAATAATTTCTATTCTTATTTATTATTTACATATTTTTTTTGTTTATAAAAAATAACATGACGTTGATATGTAGCCTTAAAATAATATACATGTACAATTATTAAATATTATAACATATAAATCTAAATATTAAAGTCATTTTTTTCCAAGCAATTTGTTTGCTCCTTAGGCTATATTATTTTTATCAATTTAAAGCCATTTAAGTGTGTTAGGATTTTATATAACAAATTACTTAAACTGAGAATAAGTAAGTTCATTGTATTTTATAACTTCATCTTCATTTTTTTATATAGAAATTAGTGATTAATTCTTTTTTAAATTAACTTCATTTGGTATCTCTTCAATATTTTACATAAATTCCTCATTTTAATATTTTTTTTATTCTTCTTCTTCAGGCTTATACTCCTAAACAATCTTTTTTACCTACTCTTTTATCAACTCAAATAGAACTTAATCATCTATTTAAACTCCTGGAAACTAGTTTATCAAATTTTTCATATAATCATAAATTTGTGTATCTGAAACAACATTCGTTTTAGATTTGCAAATAAGATTAAAAACGAATCTGGTCTTATATTCAACTTTTTCATTAATTAAATTCGCTAATCCTAGTATAAACTCTCTAAAATTTATAACTCTATCCTTATTTAAGTCAAAAACATTAAAAACTTGCTCTGAAAATTCCTAGTTTGTTAGATAGAGAGAGTTGCTAAACTCCTACATGTCAATAACACCATCATCTTTCTAAGAAGCTGATATGTTCTTATAAAACGTGTAAAGATTTTCAACTTACTAATAAGTCAAATTTGTTTAATTTGTAAATTCAGTCAATTCATATTAAGTTAATTTTTTCTACTTTGTGTTACCGCCACCCATTTAAACTCTTTATTTATTTTTTAATTATATATAAATGTTTATATTTTATTTGTTTTAAGTAGTTTTATGTTTAAACTAATTAAAATTAATGATAGATATACAATATATATTATATTTCACAAACATTATCAAATAAATATATATTTTTTTAAGATATTTGTTTATTGTAGTAATAATATCTTAAGTAAAATATTTATTTATTTAAAGCTTTAGCAATCAAAGTAAAACTATATAATGGAAATGATTATAAAATTTATCATTAAATCTAAATTACATCTAATTTTATTTATAAGTTAAAATAATGGGGTTGGGGTTGGGGTTGGGGTTGGGGTTGGGGTTGGGGTTGGGGTTGGGGGTTGGGGTTGGGGTTGGGGTTGGGGTTGGGGTTGGGGTTGGGGGTTGGGGTTGGGGTTGGGGTTGGGGTTGGGGTTGGGGTTGGGGTTGGGGTTGGGGTTGGGGTTGGGGTTGGGGTTGGGGTTGGGGTTGGGGTTGGGGTTGGGGTTGGGGTTGGGGTTGGGGTTGGGGTTGGGGTTGGGGTTGGGGTTGGGGTTGGGGTTGGGGTTGGGGTTGGGGTTGGGGTTGGGGTTGGGGTTGGGGTTGGGGTTGGGGTTGGGGTTGGGGTTGGGGTTGGGGTTGGGGTTGGGGTTGGGGTTGGGGTTGGGGTTGGGGTTGGGGTTGGGGTTGGGGTTGGGGTTGGGGTTGGGGTTGGGGTTGGGGTTGGGGTTGGGGGTTGGGGTTGGGG